ACCGACCGAATCCCGATCCGATTAGCGCCGAAGTTAGTACCTACTAGTACTACTACTACGTAGAGGATATAAAGTACTATATAGCGAGCTAAGCGTAGATAGACTATATATAATATAGCGTCTTTTCGCTCTATTCTCGGAGTATATTCTCGGAGAAAAAGTTACTTATTTAGAAAGCGCTTTACCTAAATAGGAAATTACTTTCGGTAAAAATAGGACTACCTCTAGATTAGGTATTTTATTATAGAGGAACTTTATAGTTTTATATACTTAAGTACGCTTAGTAATATCTATCTTTATAATACGAATATTAATACCGTCTACTTAAAGACTTTTAAGCTAATATTAACTTTTTTTAGAGCTTTAGCTAGATAAAATAATATAGTATATACTACTATATACTATAAATATAGCTATAGATTAGCTAAGTTCGCTAGCTATACTAACGAGGAAGTAAGTTTTATTCGGAGATAGAAAACTATATAGTTCTAGAGATTATATAATAGCTCTAATAGGACTTTTATACTTCTAGTCTATTAAGATAGATAGGCGCTACTAATTACTTTTAACTTATTTATCTAGATTAGAGATTAAGATTATTTCGGGCTTCTACGTTATAGTTAAAATAGCCTAATACTAAAAATAAGTATATAATATATAGTTAAGCGACTAATCTAGAAGCGACTTAAATCCGTAGACTATTTATACTAATCGAGATAAAGCTATAGCGACTATATCTAACGTCGTCCTTTTACTAAATAGAATAAAAAGTATAGTAATATCTTAGAGTATTAATTTTACTAAAGACCGCGAGGATATTCGTAAATAGATATTAATTACTTCTTCTACTATACTATTACTAGGGTTCTTAGTAACGTTAATAAAGAGGACCTTTTTAGTAGTTAGCGTAGCTAAAGCTAATATCGCTTAGATTAGGCTACTAGACGCACCGTATACGAGGCTAGATCTAACGCTAGGCATTCTCGAGACGAGAGTGCTTGCTAGAAAAAGCGTTACCAATTTCGCGAGAACTATTAGGTCAAAGCCTAGCTCATCCTCAAGACGGATGGCAGAATCTCTGCGGACTGACACCTGCGAGGAGTCTGAGTCTGTCAGGGCATACGCTGCGGAGTTACTGTTTGCATCCGCCACTGTACCACACGACAGATAGCATGGAGCTTCGCCGGGGAGATGCAGGGCAATGGATAGCCTCACTTCCATTGGAATGTGATCGTCGCCGATGTCAGGTGAGCGGCTGCACCACAGCTTCCTCCCTGGCGAAGACTCAGATCCGTCAATGAGCTCCACATGCTCGTTTGGTTCCACGTCTTTGACTACAAGACGCCGACCGGCATTGTGCACTTCGTTCTGGGCGGGATCCGATGTTAACCGTGGTGTCATCAGCCGTCCCTCTCGGACAACAATCTCAGGCTCTCTCACCCAAAGCATCGCTTCGGTGGACTCATTGTCAGAATGGATCAGTCGGAGAAGCTGTGTGAGGAGAGTGTGAAGATCCCACTTTTCCTCTTCATCAAAGTCAAGAAATTGGAGCCTAAGGTTGAAGTGCTCGTGAGCCAGTGCTCGCCCAACCCCGACCATGATGTTTGCAGCCGGATCTTTGACCAAACGGTTTGCGGTAACCCACAGAAGATTGCGGGCAGTGCTGAGGAGCCCCTTAAGATGTTCCACCTGTTCGACCGATGGCGGAGACGACCAGAGAGGCTTGTCGAGATCTTGCAAGCAGAGAACTGAGCAATTTTCAGGCAGTCGAGAGACGTCCATGGCATCTAGACTGCCCCACACTTGAATGTCAGATGAGTGTTGTCGGAGAACCTGCATGGCTCCTCGAATCATAGACGCAACTTGACCAGTTTGACCCCCAATCAGAACCAACGGAGATTGACGGATGGCTGGTAGAAATGCCAGCGGATTGCGGAGTATCTCGAGCTGATCGTCAGTGGCCTGCGAGGAAAACACAGAATAGCCATGCATGTCAACCATAGGCGAGTCATAAGCTGCAGTAGTGATGCCCGAAGATCCGCTGTTGGAAAGTAGGTTGTCCCATTGTCCAGTCGTCAAAGCAGCCCCAAGACCGCCTTCGCCCCAGTATTCTTCGAAGCCGCCCATTATTGCCAAAGGACGAAGGGAGGGGCCTGTCATTTCCACGGAGATTAGAAAGCCACCAGGCCGTAAAAGGCGTCGTATATATTGGACACTCTCCGTAAGATTCTGCCCAGCCCGCGCCAGCTCGGTTACTACAACGACATCAAAAGGCGGACGCTCTTTCCAAGCCTCTTTGTCGAGTATCTCGAACGAAACACGCTCTGCCGTAACACCGTGTTTGTCGACCGTCTCTCTTGCGTGATTTACAACCTCCTGTGATGGATTAGCACATGTGTAAGACTGATACGCATCGCCAATGTTGTCGAGAACCTCGATGACAGGAGTAGCGTCATGGTCACACATATGGAGAATATTTGTCCTGGGATGCGTGTGGGTGATTCCAAGGACGGACTGAGCTACGGTCTGCCTGCAAGCACTGCTCCATCTCGTCTCTTGGAAGCCGCAGGTCACTGTCAGATTGGCTGCGCCAGTAAGGAGACGCATGTTGGTCTCTGCACTTGAAGCCAGACTCCTCATGTCAACATCGCCCGGGTCCCGCTGGAGAAGATTGAGAATGGTATCTTCTTGATCGTCCAGCCACTCAACGGGGATGAATGGAAGGTGACTAGTCTCTCCAATGTCCTTGAGAACGTCTCGGATACTTCGAATGAACTGATGATGACCTGGTTGAAGGGCATCAAACTCCCTAGCTCCCACAGCACGACTGAGACGTGCAAGATAGAACAGTGCAACACGCTCATACTCTTCCGGACTGTACGGAAGAGGATTCCCAAGAGCTTTCTCCTGGCATGGAGACATGGCGATAAGGCCATACAACGCATCGTGGGCCAAGACGGTCTTTGCGAGAATGTTGCGGTCTTCAGACGGTCGTGCCTCTGCAATGGCCCGGAAGGCCACACCTTCCATTTGTATTGCACAGATATCGGCAGGACTATTCGAATGCCTGGTATTGATGTCGACTTCAATACGAGAGCCGAGACCGACTTGTGGACTCGTGAGGATCGCTTCAATCGTGCAATGTTGCTTCAAGTCCGTGTTGAGGTTGATGACCGCTCGTTTCACGCCCACAGGAAGATAGGGGCTGTGCATGGAGTTCTCGGCAGTAGATAAAATCGTCGCCAGGCCAACCTGCAGCGCATTGTCCAGAATAGCTGGGTGAAGTGTGCAAGATAGCTGCATATCAGGATCATCCCACATCCATGAAGCGGTCGCCTTTGCATGACCCCAGGTCTTCCAGAGCTTTCGTAATGAGCGAAAAGCGTTCTGATAGCCAAAGCCAATCTCAAGCGCAGCCTTATAAAACCGATCGATATTGGCTGGGATGATCTCGACGTCAGAAATCAAGGTGGGAGGCAGGTCTGTCGGACTGGCAACTCCGAGGTGAATGGCTATAGAACCAGTGCAGTTCTGATCAGCATCTTGAGAGCCATTGGGGAAGCTGTAACATGCGAACTCTGCCTGGACGACAGAACCAGGCTCAGCGAGCAATGCTGCTGACCGAATAGTAAAGAGTACTTCCACATCCTCTCCCTCGCCAATGGGCAAAGCCGTAGGGATGGTCAGATTGGTCACCTCGACGAATCGGATCGGCTGGTGTCCGACAAACGTCTTCGCCGCATCAACAGCCAGGGCAATGTAGCCTGTGGCAGGAAACAAAACCTGGCCCTGGAAGACATGTCCTGCAACCCAAGGCATCTCGCTAAGGCGGAATGTGTTTCGCCATTGGTGCTCGTATTTCGACTCCCTCATAAGTCGTCCGAGTATGTCGTGTGGTGCGTGCGGATTCATACGATAACTGCGAACCACTCGAGATTCTCGCCAGTGCTCCTGAGTATGAGTCCAGGCGTAGGGAGGAAGACCTTTCAGGGGTGGCTCACGCTCTAGCAGGCCGCGAGCAGCACGCCATCCTGGGAAATGGACCAAAGAAGGCTTTATCTTCCATAGCGAGGCAAGCATTTCTGCAAACGTCTCCATTGCATTCTTTCCACGGCTGAGACAAGATGCATACGGCAGTGAGTAGTCTTGCGATAGAGACTGCTTCGAGGTTTGGCTGACTGGGCCTCGCAAGGTGGCGTGTGGTCCACATTCGATGGCGAAAGTAAGAGCAGCACCGTTGGCCTCCAAAGCCGCTTCCACGGCCTTCGAGAACAAGACAGTGTGAGTAAGGTTGTCGACCCAGTACTGGTCTTCAAGTTGCGCAGAGTGCAAATGATTACACAAATTTGTACTTCGCATAACGCTGGAATACCACGCACATTCTTGACCGTCAGCTGGTCTTTGGACACAGATGTGTAGCTCCTTGAGGTGCTTCAGATAAATCTCCACGCAGGCTTGCATATGATGCGAGTGGTAGGCTGTATCGACTTGGAGCGCTCGAGCAACGATCTGCTGCCCATCGAGCAGTTCCTTCATTTCCAAAATGGCGTCGTGATCTCCGGAAAACGTCACACTGCTGGGGGAGTTGCTTGCTGCAACAGCCACTCGTCTCTGGAACGTGGACTGGGAACACAGTTCCATGGCAGCGCTGTAGGACATAGACGCGGCCATCATAGATCCAGACTTCCCTGTTGGGCCTTGCGCTAGACGTGTGACGAGGCCCCGATAGTACGCAATCCCCATGGCGTCCCTCCGGCTCAGAACGCCAGCTGCATATGCGGCTCCGATTTCCCCTGACGAGTGGCCGACAACAGCTCGGAATTGGATGCCACAGACACGTAGTAGGTCGACCAACGCAATCTGAACCGCCGTGCAGATGGGTTGAGAGTACTGCGATTGGGAAATGCGTGATTCTTCTGATCCCAAACATGGTTCTTGAGTCAAAGACCAGGCTGGGGGGCTTGGGAGGGACGCCAGAACAGATTCGCAACTTGCCATCGAGTCTCTGAATGTTTTGCAATGTTTTGATAGCGCATAGCCCATTTTTGCTGCTTGGGCACCCTAGATCGAATAACACACATTAGTATACGTGACGACAATCACGAACTGCCAGCCTGACTGACCTGGCCAGTGAAAACACCAAAGACGGAAGGCGCTCCATCGCTTCTAGGTGCACTGTTGGCAGAGGTAGCTTCATCCTGAGAAGTAATAATGAGGGCGAGCTGGTCCTCCAGCTGCTCAATGAGGTCTTCACGGTCGGTAGCGCTGGCAATGGTTGTGCGGAATCGAAATTCTGATCGCCTACACTGCAACGTATAGCTGAGCGACTCAAAATCGAGAGCCTCGTCGTTCTGTAAAACGTCAAGCAGCTGATAGAGCCAATGCAAGGCTGAGCTCTTGTTCCTGGCGGAGAAAACGAATGGTCCAGTCACGTTTTTTGCAAGTGGATTGGGCTCTGCATGCTCTTCATTCGAGCCGACAGTGACCGGCGGCAAGGTAGCACTGTTCGAGTGTTCGTAGCTCTCGATGATGGCGTGAGCGTTGGTACCTGCCGAAAGATTTAGCTGCACGACATGACTCGAGCATTTTTTCACAGAAGTACTAACCGCCAAACCCAAATGAATTGATGCTTGCTCTTCGTGGTCCTTTGACTTCGGGCCAAGGAAGCAGAGACGTCGGTACGGTTAGATGCTTGTAAAAGGGCTGGATCTTTGGATTCAGTTGGGTGAAGTGCATGTTTGGGGGTATCGACTTGTTTTGAACCGCCAACGAGGCTTTGATCAGCCCGGCAATCCCAGCGCAGCCTTCCGTATGGCCAATAATCGTTTTGATAGACCCGCAGTAGAGTTGGTCGATCTTGGTACTACCCGCACCGCTGAAGAATGCGTCGTGAATCGCTTGAGCTTCTGCAGGATCGCCAGCCTGAGTGCCAGTACCGTGAGCTTCAAAGTACTGGCAACGATCGACAGCCGGATCCAGGCCAGCTTCACGGTATGTTTGGGCAATCATCGAAGTCTGTGCTGTTGGGGATGGCACTGTAAGCCCAGCGTCGTTACCTGCCCCGTCGCTGCTCATCCCAGTCGCTCTGATGACGCATTCAACATGGTCGTTGTCTTGGATAGCCTGAGCAAGTGTTTTCAACACTACTGCGGCCACACCTTCGCCTCGAGCGTATCCTTTTGCGTTCTTATCCCACATTCGGCAGCGTGCATCTTCTGAAAGCATGTGCAAAGACGATTCCATGATGTACCATGACGAATCCACAAGCAGGTTGGTCCCCGCCACGACAGCATGGGTGGCTTCGCCTCGTTGCAAGCCTTGCGCTGCCAGATGCAACGCAACAAGGGAGCTCGAACAGGCAGTATCGATCGCGAGCGACGGTCCTTGTAGATTGAATGCATGAGACAAGCGGTTAGCCAGGACTGCCCGAGACAAGCCAGTAACCAGGTGGCCACCAAGCGTATCAGGATCACGAGCCTGGACAAGGAGATAGTCCTCCGTCATCACCCCGACATGGACAGACGTCCGGGAGCCGTTGATATCGTGTAGAGATAGCCCAGCAGATTCAAATGCCTCATAAACGACTTCCAAAAGTATCCTCTGTTGGGGATCCATTTCGGCAGCTTCCTTGGGATTGATGCCAAAGAAGCCATCATCGAAGTGTGCCACATTCTCTTCTAGCAGGTACGACCTGTGCTTGACATTGGAACGCCCCCGCAAGTCGCTGTTCTCATGGAAGAACCCTTTCGAGCTCATTCGCGCTGGTCCTTCAGAAGGCGTGAACTCTTTCAAAACATCCCTTGGCGCCTTCAAGAGATCCCACAACCTGGAGGGTGTGCTGGCTCCACCGGGAAATCGACACGCTGTGCCAACTATTGCGATAGGTTCGTACATTTTGTTTGACTTCTGCTACCACAACAGTCTCAGGACGAATGCACGAGGGACAACTTTGAATCGAAACTTTTGAAACTGAGCAGGAAACATGAAGAAACTGAACCATTCAGAGAAACCGAGTACTATGGCAGCTTCTTGCTACAGTGTTGGATCCCCGGCGAATCGTAATCGAAAACGAGACAGTCGGATGCATCACTCCTTCGTTCGCTACACTGGTGCAGTGCACAGCAGCTTTTGCCGGCGGCTTTCAAGCTCCAGCCTGACCGCTGTTCCTACGAACTTGTGCCTGGCGAATGGCGTGCACTAGACTGGTCAGGCCAAAGCAACCAACAACTACGTCCTTGATGCAGTGCTGACATGAGCAGTCTTGAAACATCTGCATGAGGGCAACGACTCCGAGTTCTGGCAACGGAGATCAATCCTGTCGCAAACATAGCCGGTTATGTCGTGGCTGTACCTACGCGCCGATCTATACCAACCCATTGGAAGGATGTCCCATCATATATCCAAGCGCAGCTGCACTGTGCCAATAGTGCACACCGGCTCGCAATTCTAGCCTCGTACAGAGGATGCCAACGCAAGAGTGCAATATCACATATCAAAGATCGAGTATTGGCGGAGACGCGATCGACATCGCTTCAATGGACAATCGACCGCGGATTTAGGGGCGGCACATTTGCACTTGAAAGGAATTTGCGAAGATCTTGTTGGTTATGCAAGCCACAAACCTCTCATTGGCAAAGATATAAGGCGATGGATGGTCTCTACCTCCATGCTCACAGCGCCACCAAAAAAAAAAGTAGCCTTGCAACATGCACCCCCGACCGAGCCTGTTTGAACAGATGTTGTCCTTTCACAATCCAAGAGAGCCGTGATACACCTCCTGAGACACGTCTGCAACAATCGCATCGCTGGTCCCTATCTTTGAACCAGCTCGGAGTGGGACTCGCCGACTGCTTGCGTCTCGAATTGCTCGATCGCCGTCATGGAACAGGGTCCGGAGCCCATCCAACATCCACTGAGAGGAGAGCAACATGCAGCTTCCCACCACCGCTCACCACTGTTTCTCTTACACGACGGCGGTGGTACGACCTTCGCCTATCACTGCTTGAGCGATATCAAACGGCCGTTATACGGTATCACGAATCCGCGGTTCCACGACGATGGGCGCGTTGAGGGTGGCATGCGAGGCATGGGACGACTCTATGCTGCCATGATTCGACGGACTTGTACAAGCCCTGATTCCGCAGGACAGCGAGATTCTGGTGGGGTAGTCGATATTCTGCTTGGGGGCTGGAGCTTGGGTGGACTACTCAGTCTCGAGGTTGCCAAAGTCCTGATAAAAGATCGAGTTGTGCGCGTCATTGGCGTTTTGATGATGGATAGTCCGTGTGTAAGGGGTATGTCAAGCGCTGGTGAAGGCTACGAAGAAAGCTTGAGCCACTTCGACCTCACCAGTCCGACCAGAAACATGCTGCTGTCGATTCAGGCCATGCGAGAGGGAATGAAAGCTATCCGGAACTGGGACTTGCCAGTGTGGAATGCCGAAGAAGTCAGGCGACGGCCTCGATTCACGTTGTTGCGAGCCACCGATTACGTGCTAGTTCGCAGTCATGGAGTTCACGTCATCGACAAATACCGCCGTGATCCGAATCTTGGTTGGGATGTCTACGATCCGGATCTATTCACAGAGACTGAGGATGTGAAGGGCAACCACTTTGAGCTGTTTTCCTTCAAGTACATCGAGCAGCTGACGGAGACGATCGCCAGATGCTGTGTACAAAAACCTTCTTTACCAACATCATCTCGTTCCCCGTCTCGCCTCCTCGCAGCATAATGATATGAAGGAACGGGCGTAGGCGTCAATTAGGGTTAACCGCCAAGGTGAGCTTGATACAGCTACAGCCTGGATCGGGAAAGGCTGCGCAGGAATGGATCCTTCCCCTAATGATCCTCAAGCAGTTATCAACTCCTCGGCCTTTGGATAGGCTGGAATACGACAGCACTACGTCCTCCGGGTTGGATCATGCATGGTTGGCCGCTCATGCAGCAAATCCCGCTCTTTGGTGTGCTGTAGGATCGATTCTCAATGGAGCCCTAAACGCCATCTTCACGGCCATTAGAGTTGCGGTGTGGGTTCACGTGTCGTTTCTCAAATAAGTCCTCCCCAGCCTGCCCCACGATCTCACTACATTTCGCCGTGCTGTTCTAGGGCTCCATTGCAGGAGGTCGTAGTTCCTGCCAGGACCTTGCCCGTCGCTTTCCTCCTTCTCACGCTTCAGCTTTTTGTCTTTAGCCATGGAGAACACCGTCTCGGTCAATGGCACTTCTCATCAAGTCAAACCTGAATACGATGCACTGATCATAGGAGCTGGCTTCTCGGGCCTTCGGATGATCCATGAATGCCGTCAGCTTGGACTTTCGCTGAAAGCGTTCGAGGCTGGGCCTGCTGTTGGAGGCACATGGTACTAGAATCGGTGAGCGCAATAGACACTTGGTCCTGGACAACACCGACTGACATGTCTCACTACAGATACCCTGGTGCACGTACAGACAGTGAAAGCTGGGTATACATCATGAACTTTTCGAAGCAGCTCAATGATGAGTGGACCTGGAAAGAACGCTTTCCCTGTCAACCGGAGGTCGAAGACTATCTGAATCACGTTGCAGATCGATTCAACATGCGTTAAGACATACAGTTCCATACGCGCATCCAATCTGCTCGGTGGAACGATGACACACACTTTTGGACGTTGGAGACGGAGTTTGGAAAAAAGCATACGTGCAAGTATTTCATCCCTGCTGGCGGCGTCCTGTCCGCGTCGAGGAGGCTTCCGTTTCTGGGAGTTGAGCGATTCAAGGGCGAGGTAAGTGGATATTCATGTCAAGATATTTTGCAGTACTCTTTTCAAACGCATGGCCAGTACGCGCAGGACAGAGCACGCTGATATGAGAGTCAGTGGTACCAATCAAGCTACTGGCCTCGGCATAGCGTCAGTCTTAAAGGCAAGCGTGTTGCCGTTGTTGGGTAGGTGGTCAGGCTCCAGAACGTGATTCCAAGCAGGGCTGGCTAATCATCTGATGCTTCTCAGAACTGGTGCTACTGGTGTGCAAATCATCCCCACTGTTGCGCACAGCTGCAAGTCGCTGACAGTGTTTCAACGGACACCGTAAGTGCGCGACATCTGACGTTTGACTCTCAGTCTGATTAAGACCTAGCAACTATGTCATACCCGCTCGGAATCATCTCCTGAGCGCAGATCAGCAAGAATCGATCAAGGAAAATTATGCTGAGATATGGGCGGAGGCCAAGAATCAGTCTTTCGGAATGTCCATGACTGATTCTCATACGCCCATGTCCGGCCTTAGCGAGGCCAAGATCCAGCGTGTTCTTGAAGGAGGCTGGGAAGCTGGGGGATTCAGGTGCATACGACAATGACTCTGACGGCTTGCTGCCGTATTAACCCCCGTCAGATTTGTGTTCGAGACGTTTGGCGATCTGATTTCCGACCGACAGTCCAACGATATAGCGTCCGAGTTCGTCCGCAACAAGATTCGAAGTGTGGTGAAAGATGAGAAGACGGCAGAGAAGCTATGTCCAAAGTACGGCCTCTTTGCGAAGCGACCTCCACTTGGTCACTACTACTTCGAAACATTCAATAGAGCAAATGTCTCGCTGGTTGACGCAAGGACTGATCCGATCAAGGAGGTGACCGAGCATGGCCTTTGCACGGAAAGCGGAGAGCAGTACGAGTTTGATACAATCATCTACGCCATCGGTTTTGACGCCGGTACAGGCTCGTTGACTAGCTTCGATATCAATGGTCGCAATGGAGAGAATTTGGGACAAAAGTGGGCTTCGCATGTTGAGACTTATCTCGGAATGGCCATGACGAACTTTCGTAAGATCTGCCCGTCGACGCAATCGTAGTTACAATCAACTGACCACGCACAGCCAATATGTTTGCAATCGCAGCACCTCAGGGTCCGTTTGCCAACTTTCCCGTCGTTCTGGACAGTCAAGCACCCTGGGTTGGTAAGACAATCTCCTACATGGAAAAGAACAACTACAAGCAGGTGGAGCCCACACAGGAAGCCATGGCAGGCTGGACCAAGACGGTCAACGACATCTACGCAATGACAATCCTTCCTGAAGCCACGAAAGATTCCAACTCCTACTTCATTGGAGCCAACGTACCCGGCAAGAAGATCGAACCGCTGTTTTGGTTTGGCGGGATTGTTCCCTACTTCCAGGCTTGCGAGGAGGAGGTTCACACTGGCTTTCCTAACTTTGTAAAGTCTTGATCAAGTAGAAATACTTTACCATCATCGAGCCCTCAACCCGCCCAAGTCTAATATCTTAAGGCAGAATCGCCCACAGATCTCAAGTACAATGACCAGCGAAAGGAAGCATATTTTCGTGCGTGAGGATATGCGATGCAAAGCGTGGAACGAAAGATGATCGACATGTGATTGAGAGTCTTTCGGTCATATTGCCTAATCCGGATCGATCCTTCGGACGTGGGAGAAGTAGATCTTTCAGCGGCTTCTCTCCCTATAGGTTAGGCTTGGGAGGTGATGAGCAGTAGTGGTTGGTTGTGCTGTATTCATATCAGGGCATCGAGGGCATAGGACCCTGGAATCGAAATTCTCTGGAGCTTCACCCTCAAACAAGAGTCAAACGCATACCTCTTCAATCGAGCAAACGGCTTCTGGTCGATTGTTCTCAGATTGCCGGCAGCTCCAGCTCGATAGGACGCATTTATCAACAAAGAATGGAACCATCGTCCTCCGAAGTCCACTATTTGAAGAGCTTTGGGAGTCAACGGGAGACTTGTGACGAACCGCAGCACAATACACAATCCTTACCTCCCGTGGGTGGTGGAAGACAAGCATGGTCATTTCTCTTCGCATGCTTCCTACTCGAGGCTTTGATTTGGGGTGCGTTCACGTCTTCTCTCCTACATGCACGAGTCCAGGTGAGTTGGTACTCACACCAAGTAGGATTTCCAAACTCCTATGGAGTTTTCCAAGTCTACTACAGCAACGACGCACTCTTCGCCGATGACAAGACTGGAGTTGCAGCTATCGGGACGACGCAGATAGGTCTATTGTATTTGGCACTCCCCATCGTGGCTATTGTTATGCGGCAGTGGCCGAAGTCCAGGCGGCCGGGAATGATCCTGGGAGCCTGTGTCAACGTTATCTCTTTACTTGCAGCAAGCTTCTGCAATAGCGCTGCCGGTTTGATAGTCACGCAAGGTGTAAGTTTGAATAAAGTGGGAATGGAAGTGCCCGATCCACTGTTAATTTGCCTTGCAGGTGTTGTACTCACTTAGTGGACTATGCGTCTACTTTCCTAGCGCCTACTACATCGACGAGTGGTTTGTGCGGAAAAAGGGATTGGCATATGGAATTATGTGGGTGCTGGGACTTTCACCAGACAGTTGCTCCGCTAACGTTTTGCCAGGTGGGCGGGTGCAGGCTCTGCAGGCGTTGGTGTCCCTTTCCTGCTCTCGTGGCTCCTGTCCCGATACGGCTTCCGAACAACCCTACGAGTATGGTGTGTCGTCCTGACCGTTGGTCTCGCCTTGTGTCTGCTCTTTGTCAAGCCTCGCATCCCAATCAGCGCGGCCAGCGCAAATCACGCTCCCCGGCTCAGCTTCTTGGGATACGGGTTCTTCTGGCTCTTCGAGGCGGGTGTGATTCTGCAGTCTTTTGTCTATTTCCTTCCGACTTTGTGGCTCCCATCGTTCGCAAAGGACATCGGCTTGCCAGCATTCAGTGGGAATCTGTCTCTGGCCCTTCTGAGCGTCGGAAATGTCCTCGGCGCCGTGTTTCACGGCTTCTTGATCGATCGCTTGCACATCAGCACCGTGCTCATTATCTGCGCTATTGGGCAGATGATTGCAATCTTCGTGTTTTGGGGCATTGCAACGAGCCAGGCCACCCTTTACGTGTTTGCAATAATGTGGGGATTCTTTGGGTGCGGTTTCAGTGCGAGCTGGGCGGGGTATGAACCGGCTATTCAGAAAAGCAGGCGAGATCCAAACACTTCTGTGGACATGACGTTGGTCATGGCCTTCGCAGCTGCTGGCAGAGGGCCAGGGGCAATCATAAGTGGACCTTTGAGCGAGGTGTTGCTGAATGCTGGCTGGAAAAGTCATGCGAGTCTCGCGTATGGGACGCAGTACGGGGTTCTGATTGTGTTTGGTGGAATTTTTGCTGGATTGAGCGGCATTGGGGGTCTTGGCAAGGCTTTGGGCAGGCCCATACACGTTGACAGGCCAACGAGTTGATTGGGACAAGGGCCAGGCGCAACTGAGGCGGAAAAAGAGACAAAGCCTGAGATTTCTCTACGAATATCAGACTGATCAAGATGTTTTTCGATGAAGAGGGCGACATGACCAGCATCGTTCAAGACCTGGGCGAGATATGAATTCACGAGGTCCAGCAGACTCTGACGACGAAACCCAAGATCATTATCTCAGAAGACGCTAAGAAACTCGCTCACATTCGAGTCGATTGCTCCACATCCTTCGAAAGTAGTCCAACAACAACTGGTCCACCACATACCGCAGGCCGCCCTTCTCCTTCACATCGTCGTTGAGACACAAAAACGCTAGCGGTCCCCGACCTTCGCCTAAATGGTTCCTCCACCGATGATACACCTCAGGCTGGGAATCAACATTTCGCTGCTGCTTAAGAGACAGCTCATCCAGATAATGCTTCGTCTCGTTGGTATCCCTCTGAACTCTATCCTCTAGCTTGACCAGCTTCGATTCGAGGTCACTGGCCCTCTCCACCTTGTACATCTCACTGGCTGCTGAGCCCAGTACATAGGAATATCTCTGAATCAGGCGAATGCTCCAGGCCCTCAAAGTCATGCCTGGCTCCTTTGGCACAGCTTGTGATAGCGAGAAATCTGTCGTTCTCCAGTCTGATGTGAGGGGGAGATGAGGAGGCTCAGATTGCGTGTCCGAGAACCAAGTCGAGTCGACATCATCGTTGTGCTCTGGCACGAATTTCTCGATTCCGGAGATCCCACTCGCACCAATCAGTCCAGTGATGATGCAGTCTCCACATCTTTGATTCTCGAACGCTATCCACTTGAAGAACTCGTTCGCAGTGTCGTTCTTTGATGAGGCGAAACACTCTGACCACCGGATAGTGCAAGCCCTGTCAGGGACGAAGTTCGGATTCTTGGAGTATCGGGTATCATCATCCGAGCCAGTTCCTTTACCGCTGACATCGATCAAACCCCGAGTAAGATCTGGATATCCGTGCCTAGGTCGGTTCCAAAACCACATGGAGTCCACGTAAGCTAATGCGTAACCATCCTTGCTTGAGAAAGAGTACTCTGTCGAGATGGGGATATCAATGCCCGCGTTTTCGAAAGCGCGAACGTTCTCGACTGGTACTCGCACCGGGACATCGATGTTAAGATATGAGCTCGTGGGTGACTTTCCATCAGCGAGCTCCTGCCACATGCGTTGCTTCGTGTCATGATCGAGAACTCCATATCGTCCACCCCATTTAGCAACGACCCACGACCATAGCAATGCTTCACGATGCCGTTCCACCACATACCAGGAGGCCAAAAAGACAGTCTGAATCGACGGGGGAGCATCGCTCTGCGCTCGGAAACGTGACAAGGCCGTGTTGGAAAAAGCACTCGGAAAGGTTTGGGCGGCCTCACGAAGCAGTGGGAGCCACAGCGTTCTGGGATGATGCGTAATGTAATAGTGGGACCGCATTCCGAACCGCCGTCCTAATACCCAGGCTGCCCGCATAATGCCAGGCTCTTCGCCTGACGGATTCCAAGTACGCCAGAGAGTGTTCTCCGCAGGTCGATACAGGCTCGTGAGCTTTGTGATGGTCTTGATGACAGGGCCATACAGGGGCGTTGTGAGATCAGACACGGCGAGTCTGCCCATCGTGAAGAAGTCGTCGTTGTAGTACACGAGTTGATCGCAAGACGTGTTCTCGATATTGTGGATCTGCGATTCAAAGGCCAGAGAGTTGAAACTCGGAATGCTGGCGTCCCACCATTGTTGCGCTTCGACGGAGGTCCATTCGGATTGTGGATTGTCGACAGGCTTGAAGTATTTTGCGTCGTGCTGGAGAGTAACATCGCCAGTGCCCATCAGCGCCTGGTCTTTGTCCAACCAGGCAGGTACCTGCCCTGCCATATCACCATGACTCTGATTCTGAACCCAGTAAGCACTGGCCAGTATATGCATCCGCGACATGACATTGCTTCCCAGAGATGCCACGGCGGACCGCATTGAGTAGAGCAACTCGTTGTGATCAGCATATCTGTGAGCCGCATCCATCTTCATTGGACTGTCCGGCCTAAATTGCTGCCGCGAGGCAACCTGCACAGGATCCGACCCATTCACCCATGCCCATACTCCATCTATCTTCAGACCTTCACTGAGATTAGTGCCGACGCACGCCGAGCCCCACTGACCATACACAACCCACTCCTCAGCACAAGCGTTGCTCATGGCATCGTACGCCCGAATCCTCATGGCTGTCCTGCTTGCCACGCTCGCTGGCGTACTCTGAAAGGCGTGATGCGTGTCGTTGTTGGGGGTTCTGTATGCATTGTCGATTGATTGTGTGATATTGAAACGTTCTTCTGGCTAGTAATATCGACGAGTGCGGACGAAAAACACGACGCAGAAGACCGAGAGCAGGATCGCTTTTGTGATGGACGGGAGGCTTTTCGGCAGCCACTTCGAGTCGAGGAGGAGCCTCAAGTAGGACTTCGGTGAGGGCATGAGCGGATCTCTTCCCAACACCTATGTGATGAGGATTTCTGTAGATTGGGTCAGTCCTTAAACAAGGCGCTAATGATTGTGTCCATATACCTGTGCATCCATCCTGAAACATCGACACAGGCAACATGATTTTTCAATGTCAACATCTTCTAGCACAGCCCTCGCCGGCACTGAGAGAGTGCATACACGCAAGGAGAAGGCTCCTGGCGTCGGGAAGTGGTCGTGTGCCGTTTTACTCATCTCGACCATCCGTTGCCCATTGACAGAGCCTTCGGCCAATGGCAGGGCATCGGTGGCAACGGAGCAACGCACCACGTTCTTCGCAAATGTTACTGCCTACAAAATACCCACTTCGCCTCGTGTCGTTCTCTCACACGGCTACCGCCAAGCATCACGCTAGCGGTTGTAGGCCGTCTTGGCTGCATTGGGAATGTGTGAGAGAATGACTGATGGCCACTAGGAAAGTCAATTCATGTGCTGCGCCAGCTTCAGGATCAAAGGATGCACTTCTGGCCTGGCGATCTTGCATCCTCAGGCAGAAATATTCACCAAGAGCGGAGTCGATCACGCGAGCACACCTTCCCGAAAACACCAAAGATTAGTGTTGGCCTGGCTTCCCTCGATCCCACTCCTCTGATCCAACTCCATGCATACAGTGGCCCACTTGAATTCTTGCCGAATACGTCCGCTCTTGGGGAGCACAGCCTCCGCAAAGAATAATAGGCCGTTCTCCTTCCCTTCGCTGGGCAGGAATGGACGATTTGGAATCTGTGGTGGGCATTCGAAGGATGAATGTGGTAACTTCACCCACTCGAAAGCTGCTGCCTTTGCTGCTGGACTATCGACTCCAGACGATTCAAGTAGTCTTGTCCCTATATCATCCCGCGACGCGACAAGTATCAGAGTATGGCGTGGTCCGAGAGTCGCTGTCTAACGCCCTGACCTGGTAATTTTCGTGGGAGCAACAAGTGATCAGCAACTCCGCCACAGTTCAGCTGGCGTGTTCTGAGCTGTAAAAAGGGCATCCGAGCGATCCAAACCCACGGAATGAATCAAGTTGCGAGATTCGCTCACATCCTTACATATGCGCTGTCAAGGTCAAAACTCACCGCCTCGATGTCCTGCCACACGAAGCTCACGGCGGATTTTCTTCAGGCTCAGGTCTTGCCCAGATACTGACGCAGTATTCAAAGCTGCGATTGTTGATATCGGCCTGGGAAAGGACGAACCGCAGTTATGAACTGTCTCCCGCCTACGGCAAACCTCCCAATCGGAAGTCCGAATATCGCAAATTGCGAAGAAGACGCTACAGCAACTTGGCGTGTAGTGCGAACGGCAGTTCCGATACTTTCCATTTGCGTGTGAGCGAGTGCCATCGGTAGCTCAGATGAGCAAGACGCTGCTTTGCTTCTCCCAGTCATACAGTTATAGATCTAGTAGATCCATTCCGCCGGCGCCATATGCTTCAGGGATTGGTTCCCATCGTTTGCAACATCGATCAGGCCATTGAGAAGAGCGTCTGGGTCAAATGTGGGTTGAATCCCCGAGAAATTGTCACATTCTGGCCCGAGGCGAGCAAAACTCGTGATGACCGCCAGTGTGAAGTGTTGCTAATTCTCAACCAGTCATTGAAACTCGTATCATGCGGTGCTTGAACAGCAATATGCGTCGGTTTAGCTTGAAATGTTCCGTACCTTGTGATATCTAACTGCTGTATTGCCTTTCAAGCTCTCTTTCCAGCTCAATCACAGGGGCAAGGGCAGCCATGAACTTCTCGCCCTCGGATTCTTTCAATGGCAATAGTGGCCGCCTCGGTAGCGGCATGTAGCCGAACAGGCTGTGCAGTGCATACTCTGGTTTAGATCAGCGGCGTGTACATCCAACATGCGCAGAAAGACTAACTCATCCCACGAACACCAGCCGGTACAGCCTCAACATCAGCCATAGACAATGCTGTCTGCAACCGAGACATCTCCGCGTTCTCGTCACGGCTTACGCTGGGCTTGCTGCAAAGTTCCCAGAGCCTGACACATGCCGAAGGGGCGAAGTTGCTCATACCGCTGACTGTGCCGTGCCCTCCTGATAGTGCCCATGGCTTTAGGTCTGCAATCAATCCATCAAGTAGAAGCAACGGATAAGACCGGCTCGCATTCAACTTTGGCTCTTGCTCAATCACAGACACCAATCGCATGAGCTTAGCTATGCTACCTCCACAGCTGGGAGAAATGTAAGCCGCTGGTCTTCAAATACTTCATTGATGCAGCCGCTCACGTCAATTTGACACCCGCAAGATTCGGCGCTCTCCGCATTATGGCTTCGATAACGGCAGACGACATGTCTAGCCCAGCTGCATTGGCCGGGAAGTTGTAGAGAAGAAGGGGAATCTACATTGGTCAATAGAGACCAGCCATGGCTTTTCAAATGCTACTTACCGGAGATCCCTCGCAGATGTCGATGTAGTATTGAACGATCTGGCTCTCGTCGGACTTGAGCGAAGCGGCGTAGTAGGCCGGCAGAATCACCATTCCAGCGTCCCTGGCCATCTGGTCAACTCCAACGAGGTAGATGTGAAGATAGGAGACTCTCACGCCCCAGCTTCAGCGGCATCTTTTGCTAGACGAATAGTCTCTCGCGTACTTTGACCACCAACACCTGCAACTATCGGAGTTGAATGAAGTCCCGCTTCATCCAGGGTTCCTCTGATGAAGTATATGAGGGTAGTCCGCTCCGACGGGCTCTGCAAGAACATCAGCCAAACATAAAGCATACCAGGCGAGTATGTACTAGATGAACAGCTTCCCCAAGCGAGCCGGCACAGACGGGGACTGGTCATACTTCAGTAACGTGCGACGCTCAATAATGATTTGGACCTCACCAATGCCCTTCGTTGCAAGATCTGAGAAGATGCCCTTTGTTAGCGATGATCTCCTCGTAAAATAGACATCCACGTACTGAGCAGATGAGTCCTGTAGCATTTCAGGTCCAAGTCTTCATCATCGTCGAAGAACGTTGGCAAGGGCGCATACACGCCAGGACGCAAGGCTCTGATACCGCTCGGCATCCCCATATTGGCGAATACAACAATGGCAGCTTGTTTTGTAACAATGGCACTGTATGACTGAGATGCCTCCAATCTTGCTACTGCATGACTTGTCACATGCATGAGCGTGCGGCTTTGTTGCCGTCCGAACCGATACTGATCGGCATCTCGCCGTCAATTCCTCACCGATAGGCCAAGATCCTTCGATAGGAACATCCAGCCAATGATAGTACTATCGATCAAGTTCCGAAAGATCATATATGTACGACAGTTTTGACGACTTTGTTATGGGCGGTCTTTTCGCTTTCGCGAACGTCGACTTATTGCTGCAGCAACTCCTGACTTCGCGCACTCTGGATTCAAAGTCGGTGCCATGGTCGAGACTAAGGTTGCACATCCGATATGTCCAAGAATAAGACTGCAATCTGACCTGGATCATACCTGCAGGAAGCTTTCGCCGACGTAGAAGATGATGGCAAACAAGATGTCGCACTTGGTCAGACATACGTCGTTGGGGAACAATCATCTTCGAATGGATCGCCGACCGAGCCTGATCATAATGATCTGAAACGATCTCTGAAGGTGAGTAGGCCTCCTGTAAGAAGAACGTATCTTGCCAATACTAAGATGCCGTCAGCCTCGCCATCTGTGAGCTTTCTTAAATGCGTAATCTCTCCTGCGCAGCTTCTGATGCAGTAATAGCCAAATGATTGCAATTGGCGGAGTCATCGTAGGTGATAGTGAGATTTCTCCTGGCTCATCAATTAACAGCACCCAGGGCACCGGATTGTTCTTGGGTACTGGTAGCGATCTCCAACATGGCGGGCCAGCTGGACTCTTACTCGGTTACTGCATCATGGCCTCGCTGCTCTTCTCGGTCATGGTTTCTCTGGGCGAGATGATCTCTTTTCTCCCCATCACGGGCGGTCAATTCGCGCTTGCAGGCCGCTTCGTTGGCAAGGAGCTCGGCTTCGCGATGGGTTGGGTCTTCTGGTACAACTATATCATCGTCCTCCCGGCTGAGATCTCTGCGGCAGCGGTTCTCGTCCGTTACTGGACTCCGGCTGGCGACCCAAACTCAACTTGTACTGCAGGAATATGCAACAACGCGATGTGGGTGGGCTTGATGCTGATTGTAGTCTTGCTCATCAACTTTGGCGGCACCCGCGTGTTTGGAGAATGCGAGTTCTGGTTTTGCTCGATCAAAGTCATAACCATCGTTGGCCTAATCATTACCGGCATCGTCATAACATCTGGCGGAGGACCAAACGGCCAGTCAATTGGCTTTCGTTTCTGGCACCAGACTGGCGGGTTCGTCCAGTATGAAGGCATTGCAGGCGCGAAAGGACGTTTTCTCGGGTTCTTCAGTGTCCTGATCAACGCCGCATTCGCATTCATTGGCACAGAGATCACAGCAATCGGGGCAGCTGAGACGGCAAACCCTCGGAAGACGGTGCCACGGGCGATCAAGTCTGTCTGGATACGCCTGGTACTCTTCTACGTCTGCAGCGTCTTCATAATCGGCCTTCTTGTCTCTCCAACAGAGCCGGATCTTGACCTTGGATCGGGAGCTGCGAAAAGTCCGTTCGTTATCGCCATCAAGAACGCAGGGATCAATGGTCTTCCTTCAGTCATCAATGCTGCGTGAGTTACGTTTCTCCACCTCTTGCATTGATGCTAACCGTCCAAGACTCCTCACAAGTGCATGGTCAGCGGGCTGTGCAGATATGTTTGTTTCTTCTCGAACCTTGTATGGACTGTGCAGCCGCGGACACGGACCTGCGTTCTTGTTAAGAACACGTCGCGATGGGCTACCCTGGATATGCGTCCTCATCAGTGCCGCCTTCTCTCTGCTGTCGTTCATGGCCGCAGCCGGGGGTGGAGCTGGAAAGGCCTTTGGGTATTGTATGTCGTACGCCGCAGACGCCTTGTGAGTCCATTGCTGATAGGCACTCCCAGTCTCGAACATGACAGCCATGTGTGGCATGATCTCATGGAGCTGTATTCTCTGGACCGGCTTGCGATGGCAAAAGGGTATCAAGGCTCAAGGCATTGATCGCAACACCCTACCATATCGAGCTCCGCTGCAGCCGTACTTGAGTTACTGTGAGTATAGGTCGACGTCCTTTGCAGGGTGTGGCTAAAATTATAGCAGATGGCCTATCAGTAGCTCTTATGGTCCTGATATTCGGCGGGTTTTCTTCATTCATCCACAAGTTCGACACTTCATCCTTCATCACGACATACTTCCCAATACCGCTGTTCCTGGTTCTGTTCGTGGGATACAAGTTGTTCTATCGGACCAAGACTGTCAGGTACCAGGACATGGACTTTGTGACCGGGCAGTCAGTGGCGGAGCCTGTGGACGAGATCAAGCAGGGCCGCTGGAATAGGTTTGCGGATAATGTATGAGGATAATGTATGAGTAGATAGATGGCAAGTCGTGACAAGAGGTTGAATATGTAAGTAGAAGGGAGGAGTCGTCACCTCAAGCCGTTAAGCTCTTGGCGCAATTTCCAACCTTCCTACTCGTCTCGACTTCCATGAGGACTTTTCCTATTCATCAATACCTGCAAAATATCTTGTCCTGAGCGTAATAACAGCGACCTCATGTAGCCAAGGCTACAGCATCCTGTGAAGCTGGTCACCGCTCTTCGTAAGAGCGTAACATATCTGCCCATTCAAGTTCTGATATTCTTGGCTCCCCGCTGGGCAGCATCCTTCAAGGTCCCCACTGATAAGCTTCAGCGACGTGCACAATGGAGCGATGGCATCGTTTATTACACTCGTTCGCTCGATTTGGGATATATGGCACTATCATGCCTCCGACTTATAGAGCGCCAGAGATTTCAATCCTGCTTCTGATTGCTTGGGCGGCTGGGGAGTAGTAGGAGAAGACGTTCCACTCTGGCCGGGATTAGCAGTCTCAGGCTTGTATATTGCAGTGTCAGAGTGGTGTCGAAAAATGGACAGGCGCAATGGATCACCTGGGTGAAGCATTGACAGATATACTTCTTTCAACTGAATAAGGCTGATAGAAATTTGACAGTTCACTCAGCGAAGAACCGCCCTCCAAGACACGGCGGTCCCCTCGTGCATGTCTACAGGTAGCAAGACAACATGCACAGTCGCCGTCGCCACTGACATTCACTCAGTGTCGAGCACGAAAACAAAAGTGCATGCTCTCGGCCAACAGCGATGGAAATCAGTCTCCTTGTCTGCGTTGCAAGCAGCTCGATGTTGTGTGCTCCTTTACGACAGACAGGCCCAAACCGACCGAGCTCCCAACACCATCTCGAATGGCCGAATTGGTGACTGAATTGAAAGCTCGGTAAATGGAAAGCTTCGAAAGTGCATCAGACTGCTGATAGATTTTCACAGATCGATCGCCCAAGAGGAGAGGATCGCAGTTTTGGAAATGAGGGCCGACCAACGCAACGACAACAACGATACCGCCATTCTCACAGACGCTAGCAGTGGCTCTACCTACGTTCCTGCAGTTTACCCTCCAGTTCATTCGCCCCAGCTCCGATCGAGCGCAGCATACCCATCACCAGGGGTGTCCTTTGATATGCTCGATCATGCACCGCCGATAGCCACACTCAGATCACTCGGTGCTGTTGGTCACGAGGGACTCAGCTCTGGTGACGGCGGCGAAGACAAGATACTGCGTTTCGGATGCTACGGCCAGGACTTCAATCCTATCGGCCTGAAGCTCCTGACGGCAGACGAAGCCCTGAGAGCAGTGAAAATGTATGATTGGATTGCTCCCCTGACACAAGCTAACGATTGAGCTCAGCTTCTTTGAGAACTGCCACCCCAATGCTCCTTTTCTACACAAGAATCTGGGGGCCTCCCTGCTGAATCTCCAAAGGTCAACTCCAAGGTTGCTTCTCACTCTATGCACGATTGGGACACGGTATTGGACAATAGATGAAACAATGTGAGTTGCAATACCTCGTCATTTCCGCGTCCGGGGGGTTGACAGATTCAATACAGCGGAAGCGATGTGCATCAGTCTCTCCATCCCAAATACTTCGATCTCGTCGCGAAGCTAGACGAGGTAGTTTCACGCCTGCTGCTCATGCCAAACTCAGCAGACATCAACTTGGAGTCTCTGCAGATCCTCCTTCTCTACAGTCAGTGGATGCCCTGCAGACGAGCGTCTGCTACAGCTCCGGCAGCCCCAGACAAAACCGTCAGAAGTGGATACAATGACTTTAGTGCTTGGGCGGTTCTCGGTCTCCCTGCACGATATGCCAAACTCTTGAACATTGAACACATCGCAAAGTCTTTCAAGGGCAGCAATCTGGATAGACATACCGATGAAGACGTGGCTCGTTTGAGAGTGTACAACAATCTCCTGACATGCGACTACAACCTTATGCTGAGCTCTGGACTCCCGGCCTCTGTTGATCCTACACCAGCTGAGAGCGCTAATCAAGTGTTCGAGAACATCGAAGGAGCAGAGAGTTCGGACGACAGTCGAATCGCGGCTTTGGTACAGCTTGTCAGCATTGCGCACCGGGCAGTACAGTCTTCTGACGACAAGTCTGGAAGAAGACTGGATGCCCGATCACTCCGAAAAGCCAATATCGAGTTCGAAGACTGGGAGCAATCTTGGACTGCTCGTCTCGCCCATTTGCCATCAAGCATGAACCGTATGCCTTTCACTTCCGCGAGATGATACCGCTTGGCGCTCAACAGTGCATGTCTTGGTGTAGCTGCTTTCCACAGCACCTGAGCATGAACGTCAGCACATTCCCGGCGTCGCTTTTGGAGTCGCTAGAGATCAGCCTGACAGCAGCCTCGCAGACCCTCGTAGCGCTTAGTACTTGTGGAAAGGAGCATGTCTGCCAGGTACACTCGCAAGAGGCGTCATCACTACCCAGCGGCTTCTTCCACGCTGACGCTGCAGAATGTGATCGCCTACAATTTTCAGTCGACTCTACATGGATCTCGCTCACCTTCTCTATTGCTTTCATCATGCTCTGCTATATCAGAGGTGCGATCAATGGTAGGGACATGTAGTGGTTTCAAGGGAGCACAAGCTAATGCGCTCTCAGACGACCTGTCTATCTCCCGCCTTTCGCCTTCATCAGCCAACCGCAGAAGTACTCCGTCGTCACCGCTTCCCGACTCGCTACTCGCTCGACTTATTCGTCTTGGGAATGACATATTGAATCACGTGTGTCGCACCTCATCGTCTCATCCAGCCCACCAATTCAGATCCGTTGTTCGTGAGGCAACCTCTCTGGTGCTATCCAGCGATGCTCATGGCACGCAAGAAGCGCAAGAGCTTGACGTTTCCAACATTCAAGCGTTCTCGGATCTGATGGGCGAGATTGACATGGACTGGCCTGGAAATCTCTTCGATTTGAATCAAGGCCAAGACTGGGACGGACGATAGTTTTGGTAATGGAATTCGGCAATCCGTCAATGCAACATATAGCTACATTTTCGCCTTCGCCGGTTGCGTGGCCTCTGGAGAAGATCTGCAGCTCGCATTAGCAACTGTCGTCGAGCAGGTCAAGTGCACCTACGCCTGACGATCGGCAATCTGGAAAGTGATATCTTGCGCTCCATGCCACAGGACAAGCTCGCCGAGTGCGCGAAGATGCTCGACACCCTCGACGATTGTCAAAAAATGATTGGCAGCCAAGGTGCCCATCTTGCTGGCAAATGCTACGTTGCCATTGCAGAAAAGTATCTCGGTCTCTGAGAAGCCGCCTGGGTAGAAGAGGATCTGGCCTGCCGACGGATGGGCGGTATGATTTTCGAATTCGAGTCCAAATTTCTGGTCTCCCAAAGGGATCCAGAGTGCTTCACCGCTCCAGCGAACGTGGATCAACTTCTGTCGGTAGGGTAGCATAGATAGAAAGACGGCGGTGGTGTTGGGCGCCGCATCTTCCAGTTTTGCAAGGAATGAGTACTGTCCTGCTGTAATCCTGATCAACGTTCTCTCGTCCATGGTAGTGATGACGTTGCTAATTGGATTCAGCTCAGCGTGATGGCTTTAGCTTCCAGTAGAGAGATACAAGATGACTCTTCCGTGGTCTTTTCCCGATCGGCATGACGGTAGAGATCCCGACGGGCCCCATGTCTCGCCTGTCAGCATCGGCTTGCACGCCGCTGAAGCCGTGCTTGCATCGGCCAAGATCGCAAGCAGAAGGCTGTCGCGTTGATATGCTTTGACATACTTATCGGTGGAGCTGACATCTGACACTCTCCTATCTTAATAGTCGTCGCGTACATTCTCACAGCAATCGCCGTCATGCAGACGACCAAAGTATCGACTGTATCGTATTCTTCCCAAAACAACTGTTCCCGAACAGAACAGTCTCTCCACTTACGAGGTCCACCCACTGCTATCAGCGATGGCAGTTTTGTCGTCAAACCCGTTCTTCAATCAAACGACTCTAGCTTTGGCGCTGAAATTGGTGGCGTAGATTGGACAAACCCAATTCCAGCCAAAGTGGTCAGACAAGTGAGTACGTTAGACTTTGAACAGTCACACCGTTGACACATCCTACAGCTGGTCGACCTACAAGACAAGTATGCGGTTCTGATCTTTCGAGGAACCGGGCTTGACAATGATCGCCATATTGCCTTTTCGCAACAGCTTGGAGAAAAGCTCGAAGTCAACCCATTTTTCCACGGCATCGAGAAAGATCGTCTGCAAGAGCCGTTTCTGTGGGATGTCTCGAAGTACGTACATCGATGGGAACTCCAGCGCTCGCTATACTAACGAAGTCAAGCATTGAGCTCGACGGGTCTTTGGTGGAGAAGGACAGCCGGAGATGGCACCACAGCCTGGGCAATGCTCTTTGGCACACGGTACGGGTTCTGAATCAGTATGCGTCCTGACTCCCATTCTGACATTGATACTCTGCCATGCAGGACTCGTCATATCACCAACAACGTTCGAAATACTCTATCTTGCTCTCACATGGCGAGCCAGTCTCAGGGGGCTGTTGGACGCATTTTGCCGATACCAGACAAGCGTATGAAGATTTGCCAGAAACCAAGAAGGCCGAGCTGTAATACCTGGTCGTAGAGCACGAGTAAGCCTCAGGAACAGCCTGATCCCACGGACACTCTTGCTGACATTTCCGGCGAAGTCTCTGGCACTCACGCAGACTTGCATCGCCCGTGATCTACGGTCAGCCAACCGCGGAAGAGCTCTCACTCAAACCACCGGCATTCCACAAACTCGTTCAAACTGCGCCTGACGGACGCAAGACATTGTATCTCGCTGCTCATGCCAAAAAGATCGCTGGCAGATCTTTTGAGGACAGCCAAAAGCTCATCTGGGAGTTGATTGAGCACTGTACGCAGCCAGAGGTAGGCCATGCATTCAGTTATAATACAAGATAGGGGCTTCGCTGAACTTTCAACTAGTATGTCTTCTCCATGGAGTGGCTTGCAGGCGGAGATATGGTATGGTGGGATAACAGGTATGATTGTTTTGGTTGACTTCGGTGGCTCCGCTCTTACTCCAATCCAGGCAATGCATGCATCGAGCAAATGCTTACACAGAAAATATGACAGCGAGGGATGTGCGAAGGGCAACAGTCATTGATGATGGCCCGCTGGCCTTTGGTGTAAATGCAGAAGAGTTGGTCCCTGGCAAGGAACGTAAAGAGACAGCAGCATAGGTAGCATATCTGAGGTGTCATCATACTTGACATGAAAGTCTAGGTGGATTAAAACTTCCTCCGAATGCTGTGTCGCATGTACAATGCCATCCATATCGACAATTACAATTGATCTGTTCCGACCACACTAGCCATAAACATGCGTCGTAGCTCCGAGGAGACAGTCGGCCGAATTAGTCAATCTCTTGTTCTTTCCCTGCCCAAGCACACCCACAGGCTCTATCTCCAAAACGCTCGTGAGATGTACGCAACGGCTATCTCTATGGCTGTCAACAAGCGACTGCGCTGCTAAGTGCACCTTCAGCTGGTTGGACGGCTCAGCAGTAATAGGGATGAATGCTCCGCCTTGAGCGGACCAAAGGTACACTCTGTTGACGTCAGGCTGCAGAGCCTGATTTCGCTAAGCTACGAAAGGAAGATTGGTGCACAAGTCTCACGTAAGATCGTGCAACGTACGAGCGATTTTGCTTCCTACGTCGCAATAGTAGCTAATTTGAGATTGTGTAACCGGGATCCAGTATAAATGGAAGTCCCAACCCATGGATTCTCCAGCCCGAGAACACTACGCCCGCTGCGATGCATTTCCTTGCCTACCCAACCGTTCTCCTCCTTGTGGCAACTTTTGTGACTGCTCAATCGAACGATTCTAGCCATGCATCTCTCACAAATCTTCCATCAAGCCTGGCCAACGCCTCACTTGCCAGTCTACCGGTCGCCTTTGGACCCAGCGAGAAACCACAAGATGCTGTGCTGCTGGAAGAAATTCGAAACACATTAGCAATCTACCCGCTGTGCGTCGATGGCAAAGTGTTTCAAGACCTCGGACTTGTGTTCGCTACACAAGCAAGAGCAAATTACTCATCACCAGGATTGACGGATTTGTTCCCCCTTGCAACGATAGAGGCTGAACTTCAACGTTCACTGGCAAAAGTAACAACACATCACTCCTTGGGCACGCAGGTGATTGAGTTGTTTGAAAGCTGGACTGCGAGGTCGTTAACCTACACTACGGCTACACATATGGGGATGGGTCAGTACGAAGGCCAGATTGCAACTGCGTACGGCCAGTATCGGGATATCCTCGTGAGGACACAGGTCGGGTGGAGGATTGTAGAGAGGACGATGGTCTTCCAGGTAGGGAACTACACAGGACAAGGAATGTCATCTGCTAACCAATTCTCCGACAGGGCCCATTGATTGGCAACTTGTCGATCTTCCTGTAAATCTTGCACAAAATCCAGCACCTTGTGTCACTAACCCTTTCGTTGATTCATCAAATTCAGCGCGCTACCTGCGACGAAGAACTCATATTGCTCTGGATTGAACGTGTGCTGGAGTTCTATGGTCCATTTTTCACCGTTCTCTTTGACAACAAGCATGGTCACGGGCTCTCCTTTGCCGACGCTTGCAAGTCCGTTGAGACTAATGCGGTCTTTCGGATCTATGCGATCATAGTCGGCGGGATTGGCGAATATGAGCGGCAACATCCCTTGCTTTTTCAGGTTGGTCTCGTGGATTCGAGCAAATGACCTTGCGATGATTGCTACGCCATTGAGGAATCTGGGTTGCAACGCCGCATGCTCTCGTGACGAGCCCTCGCCATAGTTGTGATCCGCAATGACAACCCACTGTTGGCCTCGTGACTTGTACTCTCGTGCAGTAGCTGAGACTCCATCCCATCTGCCGGTGAAGACATTCTGGACAGTATTGACCTCCTTGTTCGCCGCGTTGATGGCTCCAATGAGGGTGTTGTTGGAGATGTTGTCAAGATGTCCTCGATAGCGGAACCAAGGCCCTGCAGGCGTTATGTGATCTGTAGTACACTTTCCCTCCACTTTGATTAGAATAGGGAGATCTTCGTAATCGTGTCCAGACCATGGCCTAAACGGTTCGAGAAGTTGAATACGATCCGAATCGGGCGATAACGCAATCTCCACTTGACGAGGGTCGACTGGTGGTTTCGTGAGGACGTAGTCAGCCTGGACGTAGCCATTTGGTGGGAGGAGCTCCGCAGGGGGAGGCTGGAACTTGAAGTCTGTTCCGTCAGGAAGAGGAATGCTGTCAATCGTGGGATCAAAATCGAGCTTGCCAGCTATCGACTTAGCGACAACCATTTCAGGGGACGCCACGTAGATGGCCGTGGCTGGATTACCGTCGAGACGGCCGGTGAAGTTTCGGTTATAAGATGTGATTACGGAGTTGACGCTTCCCTGGAAAAGGTCAATGAGCGGCTTTGTGGACGGCACAATCTAGATACAATACCTTTTGCACAGATGTACGATCCCAAGACCCGCAGCAAGGTCCACATGCGTTGGCAAGTAACGTCGTGCCTGCATTTTCGAAGACGTCCAAGATTCCCGCATCACCGAGCGTGCGCTTTGTGTTCTCACTGCCTGGGGATAGCATCAGCGGCGCACGAGGCTTCAAGCCCGCGTCGATGGCTTGTTGCAGTAACGACGACGCCCGGCTGAGATCTCCAAAAGACGAGTTAGTACAAGACCCGACAAGACCAGCGCTCAATTCGTTTGGCTGTCCGCTTTTCTCTCGTTCCTCTTTGAAGCTCGAAAGGGGTGTGGCAAGGTCAGGCGTCGAGGGTCCGTTGATATGAGGCTCCAGCGAGGACAGATCAATTTCCAACACCTGATCGTATTCAGCTCCTTCATCCGCTCGCAAGTTGTGCTGCCACGGCCTAAGACCCTCTTCTATCCAACTACGGGATGTTGCTTGAAGATAGCGACCCATAGTTTGGGTGTACGGAAATATGGATGTCGTTGCACCTGTTTCTGCGCCTATGTGGAGTCATCAGTACTGTTCGTAAGAGCACGATAAGATCTGGAAATACCCATGTTGCATATGGTGGCCATGCCAGTGCAAGAAAGAGAATCTACTCCTGGGCCAAAGTATTCCACGATACTTCCAGTCCCACCTTTGACAGTCAATAGTCCTGCTAGCTTCAATATGATGTCTTGAAAGGTCAGCACAGCGCTTTACAGGCGGGTATCATCTTCGTCTACCTTTCGGGGCTGTCCACCCGCTGAGCGTTCCGGTCAATCGAATTCCGATGACTTTCGGTGTCTTCAATTCCCAAGGAAGCCCAGACATAACGTCCACCGCATCTGCACCGCCCACACCAACGGCAGCCATGCCAAGCCCGCCTCCATTGGGTGTATGTGAGTCAGTTCCGATTATTAGTCCGCCGGGGTAGGCGTAGTTTTCGAGGACGGTCTCTAGGAGGATGTCAGGCTTTTATGACCTTTCCCCGTGCACACCAACGACCCAGTACCACTATTCAATAGCTTGGCTGGGTCACGAATATGCATGGGAATGAATAAATGGAAACTCACGGTGAATGATGCCAGCACCTGGCTCCCAGAATCCGCCCCCATACTTCGCACAGACGCTACGCAAGAAGTCATAGACCTCCTTGTTCGCTTCACCAGCGTTGGTCAAGTCGCTATCCTTTCCATCCTTCGCCACAATCAAATGATCGCAATGAACTGTGGTGGGGACAGCAAACTTGGGCAGACCAGCCGACATGAACTGGATCATGGCCATCTGGGCGGTGGCATCTTGGCAAGCGACTCGAGCCGGACGCAATTTGAGATACGAGTCGCCACGACGAATGTCCGCTTCGTCGATGTTGTCGATGTGGCTGTAGAGAACCTTCTCGCTGTACGTTAATGGCCGCTTCAGCCTGTTGAGATCAACATGAATTGTCCTCGTCCAGCACATTAGTTGGTCCACTTACTTATCCCTCACTCTCCGAATGTTTCCATCCAGCCGTGCGTAGTCGATGAATGCATCTCGGTCATGTCGACTCATGGGTATTGGTCCGTACGAGGAGGTTGTCGCATAGTTGCTGGAAGATTGCTTGAGATGGACTTGTCTGGACAGATGTTGCCGCACGACATTGAGCCTGACGCTTAATGTATTCATAATGATACAGATCTCATGTGAGTTGCTATGAGTGGAGAAATACCTTCGGCATATATGGTTGAATCCTTCTGAGCGATCCCGGCCGACGGAGCGTTCATCGCTGGTGGTCGGATTCATCCGACAGTCATGAAAAGGATTTCAATTGCCCCAACGGTGTCGAAATGAGCAAGGGGTAAGCTGGGCCGTCTTTTCCACGTATCTTGACTTCTTGTGCACAAGCAAGAGGATTGCGAGGTTGCATTGTGAGTGTTGACTATCAGGCTGCGTAGTCACTTTGCTAGCAGGTCGGATGAGCTCAGGAAGGCACAGCTTCCATTATTTGCACCTTCTCCGGCATCACACGACATATCCGGCCAATAACTCTGTCAACTAAATCGCAGGAGCACTTGCTTGTCGACTGATTTCTCGGAAAGATGTTGTGCATCGCATCTTTCTTCTCATCTCTCCATCGCGAACTTGACCGTTCCCAGCCTTCTTCTACATCGGCATCGGAAACGAAGACTGTACTAAAATCTCAATGCCCGAGACTTCATGCGCTCATAAATCGGCAACTCTTCCTCTACTCTATGCCTCAACTGCAGGGAGACTTCGTGACCCCATTCGGCCTCCCATCTTTCAGTCTGACTCTCCAAGTCGAATTCATCCCTTCCAGCACTCCCGTCTTCTCGCTGAACCCCAGTGGAGCACTGCAACTTCCACAAGAATGTCTTGGCCATGCGCCCCTCCGACCAGTCCACGCGATCTTGAGCCGGCCATTCATACTTGACGCCTTCTGGATCGATACCAACTGCGGCACAAACTGTTTCCATGACCTTGGTTGTGTTGTATACTATATCGTATGCATCGATAACGATAGGATCAATGCCATGGTTTCTATACCAATCGTGGAGAATCGATGTCCATCGAAGCGTCGTCAAAGCAACAAACATGTCGTCGTCTGATCGTAGCTTGAAAATATCCTGCTGCGATTCCCAGAAGCAGCGGATCATTAAACCTGGATGACGAATCAGGAAGATAGGATGGCGGATGGATAACAGGAACTCCTCTGAGAATCGACGTACGGGGTTATCCTCCCCCGACCATGACTCGCCCCGGGAGACCAGCAAGTCCTGACGCATGAGGCAGATTAAGTGGTCTTTGAGGCACACGATTTTCCCCTCTCGTTCGATAGCTTCGACCTTGGATTTCAGATCGCTCTCTGAGCTTGCATAGGTCAGGCCATTCATGCCAGCGTCGTTTGCCAGCTTATCCTGATGAGCATCGGTGGACGGATCCCGGGATCTCAGTAGAAGATGAATTCTGTCTTTACCGTACATGGCCGATGCGCTGAATGGGTGAAATACATGACCGAGCTGTGGATGTTGGGAGAGCAGGCGCTGGAGAAGCATGGAGCACGTCCTGGGCTGGTCGAAGATGTAGATGCGTTGAGTCGGATTGGGAGCCATTGCATCTTATCATTCCGAAATTGCCCTGCTCACCAGCGGAAATGCGGTTGATGAATAGTCGAAGTCGTCAAGCTGAAAGTCGAGAGAGCTCTGCACTTGCTCTGTGATCCCTCTTTAACTTCGACCTTCCTTAAAAGGACAGAGCTGCGCCCGATTAGATCATACGGTGCGCCCAGCCAATTCTGAGCGTTGTGAGAAGGCAATGTATTCATCTTCTCCTATATCTCAGCAGTAATGCTGTCGACGCCGCCACTTAGGGTGTCAATGGGACACCTCTATCGTTACTAGCAATGAGAGTGGTTGAGGAAGGAGCTAGCATAGATCCTGGAAGTTGAGGTCCTTCAATTCATTGATGTGATATACTTTGATTCGTCTCAAGTGATGACATGTTTCATTTCTATATACGAATGCCTCCTCGTGAACAAGGCTCACGGCGCGGTGTAGCCGCAAGCTGGGTTGAAGAGGACTCCAGCGACAACGAAATTGCTATAAGCAATGTGTGCGCCATTGATCGGATCCTTGCCAAAATCTTGAGCTGCGTTGCAGTTCTGTGAGAAGCGTAGAGAAGTCAGCTCTAATTAGCGTGTGGCAACAGGAGGTTAGGTGACTTACGGTAGGATCTGTTCCAGCACACTTCAGAGTCGATGAAGCCGTATTGCCATTCTGCAGGCTTTGGAAGTACTCAGTGCCATGATGTTGGAAGCCGAGTAGCGGAGGAGGAATCTGCGGGACTCCATCGTTGTAGTGTGTCACTCGGTAGTAGTTGGGCACTTGGCTGTTGATGTAGGTGGTGAATGCAGGGTTGCCATTCCGAGGCTCGCCGTAAGTGTATGCAGTAAGCTGGTGGCCTTGACCTGCTAACGACGCGGCTGCAAGAGCGGCAAGTCCTCCACCGAGGGAGTGTCCGGTGACGATCAAAGAGCTACCTGCGTACGATGCAAGTGCATTGGATACGGCGGTGGAAACATCATTGGCCATGGCACTGTAGATGTTTTGAAATCCTTGATGGACTGCGCAGGAAGAGCATGAGGTGCCAGGGATGGTCAAAGGCGTCAAAGTGAAAAGGAAGTCCTGGTCCAGATTCCGGGGAAAGGCTGAGCCACGGAAGGAAAGAACGACCTGGTTCGAGGATGGCTCATGAAACAACACTGCTTTGGTGTCGGTGCTCGTGTAGTTCAAAGTCGAGATTAAAGTCGAGCCAAAGGGCAGGGTTGGACATGTCTCAGCGTATGCTGCACCGGCATACGATGTGTAGTGGATGATGTTGTCGAAGACACTGCTGGACACTGTGTTTCATTTGTTAGAATCTCGTTGCGAAGATAAGTCTATGGAGTCCATACCTGCTGTCTGAGCAAAGACGCTGGCAACTGGGCTCAACGCCAATCCAAGAGAAAGCCTCGACGTTAGAAGCATTTTGGTCTGCTCAAAACAACGAGGGATGAGTACTACAGAGCGACGGAATTGGAAGAGCTTGGGCTGTGACTATATGACGCTGTTCTCCCCTCAAGTCGGCACATCTACGCCATTGGCACTGCCCGTTACAATGAGCAGCCCCCGACCTGTGGGGTTCCTTGAAGTCAAAGTCTGCAGCGACGAGGTAATGCTCGCCTGTCGAACCGACGGATGTTGCTCACATACGAGCCAATAGCAGACATTGCATCTCTGCTCCTACCGAGGATTGCTATTCCAGCGGCCACCCAGCTATACATCGAGCGGAGGCGGTACTTTGCGAGAGTTTCCCCATGTTCGCTGATCACTGCGCTCAAGGAAGCGGGTCACCCGGCGCAAGGCTGTTTCACTTTAGCTGCAGATTTTGAGCGCTAGCGCAAAGGCTGTCCGCTCGCACCGAGTATATTGCAATTGACATTTGAAGAATCTCGGCATCTTGGACGATATTATTGTTGCATATGTTCAAGTAGGAGACGGCTTCACTCTCAGCTACATTCCCACGACAACTCCCCTGCACCGAATCCAGACCATTGAAACCACCGCCATGAAGCTCTCCATCGGATCCATCTGCCTGATCGCCAGCACCACCATCACCCTCGTCGCTGCTGATGCTGCAGCAGTACAGACACAGATCGCAGTGATTGGAAACTACACCAGCTTATTGCGAAGCGACGTGAACAACTACAACGGCTCGACTCCAGGCTTGCCATGGGCCTTGCAAGTTCAACAAGATGCCGTGAACCTGTACCGACAAATCGAACAAGGCACAACTCTCGCCAAAGCGTCTGGCAACTTTGGGGAACCTGGATCTTTCAACGTTGCCGCAGCACTGTTGAGTATTACGGGGACAGTCAAGGGCACACTCAGCGACACTGCCGCGAAGGCCCCGACATTCGACGACCTGGGGCCGCTTGTGCTGGGCTCGCTTTACCAGCTGAAGGCGAGCACGGATGGTTTCGGCAAGGCTATCGTTGATAACTTGGCTCCTATTGAGAAGGCTCTTGCTCCGGCGGTTCAGGCAGATCTCGATAACTCTTTCAACAGTGCGATTACGGCTTATGGTGGGAAGCCCAATTGATGTTTGCTGCGGAAACGAATGCATGGACTGCGGGACTTTGGCGGCCTGCTGGCAACGAACAAGCAACACTGTGTTTAGCAGGCTTTGATAGAACCAAACGCATCTGTACTCTGGAATCTTCGAGCTGCTCGTACTATTCGCACATTGTTTACGTTCTGTTTCTCCCAAGATGGCCGAATGCCCAGTTCGCCAAGGCCGATCACATGTCAGCGACGGCACAGGCTGCGCTCGCTATCGTTAAACCGCCCGCAAAACTTTCTCCGCATTTTCTGTGCCCCTGCTCCCAACCGTTACTAAAGCTCCTTGTAAAGTTCACGATTGTGGAGGAGGTTGTTCTTTCCAGCCCCTAGTTCCATCCAAAGTTCAGCTATTGAAGCCAAGCTCGGTGAAGCTTGATGATCAGTCACACGCAGCGCTACTAGCGCTTGTACCGCTAGTACAAAAGACCTACATATTGCATATAACAAGATTTCGTCTGCTGCAAGGTAGCGTCGTGCAGCTCGCAGCTCTCAGGGCCTGATCCAACATCCTTGTACAAAGAAGAGGAGAAGTTGAAGTATTTTGACGCATCTCTTCATGACCGCGGTCCTCGGATTGTCAATTGTGACTTGTGAAGTCGGAAGCTGTTAGAGTGCGATCGCTACCTGCCACCAAGTCGCCAATTCATCTGCCTCTACTATCCCTCGTCTTCTCGTCAACGTCGCAGAGCAAGCCGTAAAGATGAAGACAGCAAAGATCATAACGACTCTGGCATTCATTGCGACCTCCGTGGCCGCCTCTATCATACCCAGAGACGCCACAACCATCCTCAACGACATCAACACCATCAAGACGCAACTCCAAAAGGTCCACGATGACGTCCAAGCATTTCCAGGGGGGCCGGGAAGCACTCTGCAAGCCTTGGGAATCAAGGCCGACTCCGACACGCTCGACAAAACACTCCAGCAATCTGCCAAAGACGCCGCAGCTTCCTCATCTCTGAGTGACTCGGACAGCGCAACTGTCGCCAATGCTGTAACCGGCCTCCAATCGCTAATCTACTCGACCTTGGATCTGCTGGTCTCCAAACAGCCCGGCTTCCAGAACGCCATCCTCGGGCAATCGGCGGACAGCATCGTTCAGAGCACCCTCATCTCGCTCCGATCAGACACGGCTGACTTTGCTGGAAACGTCACCAACAAGTTGACGCCGACATTGAAGCGACTGGCGCCCTTGATCTCCTCGGACATCGACTTCCACTACGTAAGGGCAATTCAAGCCTTCTCCACGTAGCACGCAGGGACAGCTGTTGTTTGGCCAACGCTCAGCAACATTGTGGCCAGCCGATGCTTGACTTGAGTGTATCCAGATAGCCTTTAGACAGCGCATGGTATCGATCGTAGGGGCAGCATCGAAATTTCAAATTCTCTGTTAAAGCAGTTGGCATCTTTCAATGAGTCTTGGTTAAGGCGATACACAAGACCTAGTTTGCCCAGTGCCTGTTGTCTTAGATAAGAGACGATGTGTTGATAAGAGTCGTCCCAGCGACCGGTGGCTACTGACCGAGAGAGGCAAAGTTGAGCTGAAGGCCTCTGCAGCATAGTATCCTACGTCCACATACTACTTGACCGTGGTGTTCTTGCCCACATGCCTACGTCAAGCATGGGAGACCCCATTATCGAGACGTCGCCAGTTGTATTCCCAAATTCTTGAGAACAATCCTGAGGGGGCGCTGCATAGTCTCGTCGGGAAATTCTCTGCTGCGACGATTCTCCGAGGGCAGGCTCTGGACTAGCTCGGTTGCCTCCTCACAGATTGATTCTTCCACTGCCACATGGCGCGCTTCAGTGGTGCTGCGTAAGACATCTTTCACTTTCTCTTCCTCGGAATCCACTTTTCGTATGAATTGAAGGGCTGTTGTGAGGGACACTTCTACTGCCGTCGAACCGCAGCATGCAAATATCTTTTCGTCCGGGATGACATCGAATGTGGGTGCAAGGCCCATCAACGTCCCGTTGTCGCCCGTCAGGACCATCAGAACTCTCCTATTGCTATTCAACCACCTGGTCGCAATCAATAGCACAGCACGGCACAAAGGTGGTAGAACTGGGTGCATATTGTGCCGTTGCGGGAAGTAGTAGTGCAGATAATGGTGATCTTCCAGCTGCGCAGGTCCAAGGGCTCGACGATGTACGAGATCACACATCTGTCGGTGCTGCTCCAAAAGTACTGTATTGGCAGATCTACTTCGCGCCGCCGATCCTTCTGCGAGGAATTCAGATTGCTTGCCACACCAAGTCCCACCCAGTCGCTAATCTGTAAAGTGTCCTGATGCGATAGGCGAATAGGAGCGAAAGGATACTTCCCTTCAAGCCTGATGTCCTTTGGAATGCTTGAGTTCCACTGATCGAACGCTTCGGTCAGCCAGCGTTGTGAGTGTACGTCTTGACAGCTTTCTCTCTCCCTGGGTACTGTTAGGACACGAACGCCCCTCTCGATCTTGGTCGTCTCGAGAGTGTAGCCAAATGTTGCCGCATTGTACAGTCGGAGTGCGACCTGAATTTCGAGAGGAGATGACAGTTTCTCGGGCGTCATTCGCAGATCATGCCCGGGAGGAAAACGCCAGAACACTACTCTCCTGCCTCCAGTATAGTCGTCGATTATCTGTTTGCGGAGTTCTGAAATGTAGTCTTAGCCAAACTGCGCAAACCAGTCGGAAGGCAGGTCGTCGAGTGTGATTCGTGGTTCCATGTTGACCAGATTTGAGTTGGGCGTAGTGATGATACTTGCAGCCCAGGGAGGTGTGTGGTGCGGGAAGTCGTGAATCGAGGAGGGAGGATTTGAACAGGACGAAGGGGTGACAATAAGGAGGAGGAAGCGCTGTGACTACAGTACTGACCGCCAGCATCAATTTGCCGCGGAAGTCGCCCAAACCTCGGGTTGGTCAGCAAAAATGAGGCGTTTGGCATAGGCTTGTTCATTACTCATTTGTATCTGTTGGGTCAACCAAGTCGGTGGACAAATTATCAGCTTCGGCCCGCCTTGTCAGCAATATGGGCAGCCAGGAGATTGGAGCCGCACATTCAGTCTGTCGAACCAAACCAGAACCAAGGGATGCCGTAGAAACCTGGCAGATCTTGCAGTTGTCTGAGAGTTCGCATTCGTCCCAGTGACTTGTACAAGCAATCCTCAGCTACCAACGGTCTCGGACAACATCTGCAGGTATCGCGCCGCATCATAAGTTTTGACTTGGACTGATTATTGAATTGCGAAGGTGCTGGCCAACTCACCTCGACGATACGGAAGCTTTGGAGCGTTATCCCAGCGTGCCTTCTGGCATCGGTGCCATCAACTTGTGCGGAAGGCGGGCATCGGGATAACAACAACAATATCATCATCGTCGGACACTCTGATTGCTCTTCAGTCAAAATATTGCATCATTTACATTCTCCACGACAGAATGGCATAGAATTCACCTGAAACCTCACTCACCGACTTTCACATGCGTGGTCTGTGCAAAACGACTTCACTGTTTGCCGCCACCACGCTTCGTCTCCGTTTGTCGCCGCCACCTTCGAACAACAACGAGCATCGCTTTCAAACGGTTCAGCTTTCACCAAAATGGACGTCTGGATACCGGAACTGGACGGCCCTCTGACCCCCGACCGATATTGGAACTGGGGCGAGACGATGATGTTTCGAGACTCGGGACGTCCATGCCACCCGAGAACCACCAGCAGACAGAACTACGATTCGCTTGAGGGCGGGTACAAGACTGTGCTTCGAGAGTATGAATGGATGGAGGTCGCTGCAGAGGTTCCCCGCGGTCGCAAGCAGCTGGCAATTGAGAACTACCAGCATATGAACGAGCAGAAACTGGATGTTCGAAATGGGCTTCTTCACAGAGCGCTGTGCACCAGACTTGATGAGGATTGGATGAGGGCGGTCCTGGAGAGCGGTGGCAACGGTAATTCCACGCTCAGTCTCTACGGAGTGAGAGAAGTTCCTCGCGTTCGCGACGGCAAGAAGTACTTGGAAGATGTGAGATGGCGAAGATGAAGTGAAGATGTGGACTTACTGACACGTTCTGCCAGATCTATCCAAAAGCCCACCCGGTTTCCAAGCAGCGGGAGCGTGTAGGCAGCACCAAACCATTCATACCCGACAACTATCGCATCAGTGAAGGTAAGCTCTTGGAGTATCCTTCGGTTTCAGTCGAAGCGATCGCCTCGGATTTGAGCTTGGAGGACATTCTCAATTTTGATACTTGCTATGGAGAAGACGGGACCATCGAGGTTCTGCTGGGAGGGGCGATGGCAGACAGCGAGGAGGACTCTGACAGTTCCGGCGAAAGCAAGAAGGACTCTCCAATGAGAGAGCTGTCAAACGCCCACTTCGAAAGCGAGGGAAAGGGAGAAGAGGAACAATTGCAGATGGGAGACTGAAGCAAGCGACGAGGAGTGGAGACGAGCCCGGTGAAGCAGAGATGCTGTTGAATATCGGCACGAAGACAAAGAGGGCTGACAGAAAAGTTCTCTCTCGAAATCCATACATACAGCAAGCTTCGTACACGGAGAGATCTGGCCTGAGTTGAGATCCGATCGACGAGATCAGTCTCTCAGGAAAAGGCGAAGATGAGAGTACTGTTTGCTGAAGGTACCTCCGTATTCCTCGCAGCGGTAGGCGCGGCTCATCAATTTGAGGGACAGTCCCTTCGTGCCCCTCACCTTTACCACGGAACATCAGGAGGACCGCGAGCTCGACCTATCTTTTCATAGACGAGGTACGATAAGCCAGAGCAACAAGTGAATGGAACAAAATTCTTGGTAGAATGCATGTCAGTTGACACAAGGTGAAGTTCCAGCAAGCTCATTCACTCGCTCCCCTATCTCGCACATCGCAATCTCCCGCAGATCCTTCCGTTGTCCTTCCCAGATAGGAAGTCCTGGCGAACGCGGCGCGGGATGTCGCCAAGTCTGCTCATCGGCAGCGACATCGGCAGTTACGTAACCCCCCAGAAATCGTTCCACGCTTCCCGCCAGAAGGAAGATCTGATAAAATTTCGACGGCCTTTATCTGATTTGCCTATTCCAGCTTCTCTTCCCTACTTTGTCCCATTGTACTTACATTTAGTCTTGCTGCTATATCATCATGGTGGGCGATTCTCCGCTTAGGGTTCTTGTTGCTGGATGCGCATACGGCGGTATCGCTACTGTGGTCAACCTGCTCGATCTCTCCCTCGGCAAGTCGCCTCGAGGTGCTCCCAACAATGTGCCTCACCAAGCAGCTTTGAAAGGGATCCCGCTCGACATACATATTGTTGACGAGAGAGATGGTTACCGTGCGTGAGATATACATGACTTCACCTAACACGGATACTGACTTCCAATGCAGTCCACTTGATCGGGTGCCCCTTGGCTTTCGCGTCCAAAGAGCACGCTCCCAAGTTCTGGCGCAAGTTTGAAGACATTCCGGCCTTGCAACATCCAAGCATCAGCTGGACGAGAGGAAGCATCACGAAGATCGATCCCGATCGCATGGTAGCTCAGTTGACAGACGCCAAGACTGGCGACAGGGTTGAATACCACTACGATTACTTCATCGGAGCCACGGGCCTGAAGAGAGGCTTCCCCGTTGTCCCAGAGCAGCTCACGAAGAGCAGCTATCTTGAGGAGACTGGAGACCACGTCGAAGCTGTTGCTGCCGCCAAAGATGGGATCGTGGTGATTGGCGGCGGTGCTGTCGGTGTTGAGATGGCTGCTGAGCTCAAGGTCATGCAACCATCTGCCAAAGTCACGCTAATTCAATCTCGAGAGGCACTTCTATCTGCTGAGCCTCTACCTGACGAGTTCAAGCAAGCCAGCTTGGACGCATTGCGGGAGGTCGGCGTTGAGGTGATTCTCGGTAAAGGCAGAGTGGTAGAAACAACCACTACCCAACGAGATGATGGGACATCAGTACAGAAACTCACTTTAAAAGACGGGTCTCATGTGACGGCGAACCATGTCATCAACGCGGTATCGCAGCAAGTACCATGCACCTCTTACTTCCCACCCAGAAGTCTGGACGAGGAAGGTTTCGTCAAGATCAACAATAAGTAAGTTCTACCCCTGTTATACTTCGAACAGTACTCACTGTATAGGTTCCGCTTCCTCGAAGGCCACAAGAACGACGGTCGACATTACGCCATCGGCGACATTGTCAAATGGTCTGGCATCAAGCGCTGCGGTGCAGCAATGCACATGGGATTCCTCGCGTCCGAGAACGTGCACAAACAGATGCTGTACGAACGAGATAATGTTGAGCCAGACTTCCACGAGTTTCCCGAAGTGCCTCCCATGATTGCGCTGGCGATCGGAAAGAAGGCTGCGACCTACGGACCTGGGATGGGCGTTGAATGCTCAGAGCAGCAGATGGAATCGTTCTTTGGAGAGGATCTGGGTTTTACTGGCAAGACTAACATCCAACATCCACTTCAGAGTTGCCTGCTGACATTCGACAGGCTGCTGGAATCACCTCAAGCTCAGTGAGGCTCCGTCGAGTGCTGGCATCAACTTGTACTCTGTGCTACCACAAACAGCACCCTACCGGGATATGAAAGCGTCGACAGCAGTAACAGCTTGAGGCAGGCATTGTTCCGAGCGACGGGTAACGAGCATTTTCATTTTCATTTCAATGGAATAGAGGCAGGATGGCGTGGCATTTGTGTTGTCCTCGCTTCCGACAATTCTCGTACTTACGCTTTCAATAACAGTAGTAACACAGAACGGCTTGACTTTCCCTTGAAGGAATGTCCACATGATTCTATCAGGCTCGTAGCCTACGCCGCAAAACCGGAGATCGGGCCAGTTTTCGCAATTCCTCCTCGCCGCTGCAACATACGAAGTAACACGTAAATAATGGGCAAGATAACGTCACCACGTCACTGATAAGACCAGAGAGGCAAACGTCTCCTACCCCTCACGTGGAGAAATAAAGATTGGCCCTGTAAGTGAATGAATTGCAGGAGCACAGACCATACGCCTCTCCCAGGCTCCGAGCTCGGCCTTCTCGGCGTTCTCGCCCACCGCATCCTTCGAACAGCATAACGCCTTCCTAACTTCAGCACATCAGCAAGATGTCAAGACACTCCATGACTTCGTTCTGCAAAACAGTTCTCATGCAATGTCATCTCTCCTCGAAACGAATGCCAGATCTCTCCTCCGAAATTCCGCTTCGCTTCGTATTGGATCATTACTAATTCCATCTTATAGTGCCCCCTTCAAATGCACCACTCCAACCTCACCTTTCAAGCACTTCCAAGAGCCTCTATCACTGAGAATGTCTTCCTCAACCCGCAGCACAATGAAAGAAATCCTGATCAGCGCTGGCCCCAAAGCCACCCTCGTGGACACCCCAATCCCCAAACCAGCGCCAGGCCAAATCGTGATCAGAACAGTCATCGTCGGAGCAAACCCCAAAGACTGGAAGTATGCAGAGCGATTCGGCACTAAAGCGAATCAGGGCGAGGATATAGCGGGTGTGGTCCACGAGGTTGGGGAGGGGGTTGTTGAGTTCAAGGTGTGTCTTCTCGAGAGTTGAGGCGGCTAGGGGTGTTAGCGAGGCTGATGGGTTTAGGTGGGAGATCGAGTCGCTGCGCTGCACGAGTTTAGTACGCCGTATGGGGCGTATGCGGAGTTTTCGTTGGCGTGGGCGTATACGTCGTTTCATATTCCACCGAACACTAGCTTCGAAGGTATGTTCAGTATGCGTCGTGGACATTGAGAACGGCGATCGCTAACCTACTCTACAGAGGCCGCCACCATTCCGTAAGTCGGCACTTTCAACAGATACAGGCTCAATACTCACGAACGTCCAGTCTGAGCGCTATGACAGCCTGCATGGCCCTCTTCTCTCGACTACCACTCCCACAGCCCTGGTCTCCCGTCTCAAGTCCACTGCCACTTGTCATCTACGGCGCCTCGTCAGCAGTAGGTTGCTACGCCATTCAATTAGCCAAACGAGCAAACATCCACCCTTTGATCTGTGTAGCTGGCAAGACGTCCTGGCACGCTGAGACTCTTATTGACAGAAGTAAAGGCGACACAATCATCGACCATCGAGTAGGGCCGGAGGGCGTAGTAGCTGGTATCAAGCAGGCGTTGAGAGATGCAAGCCTGCCAGAGACATCCTTGAAACACGCCTTCGACGTAATCAGCGAAAAAGGCAGCTGGAAACCCATCGTGCAAGTCCTCGACCCACACGGCTCCATCACAAATCTCCGTCCCATCGACGCCAGCGAATTCCCCTCAACACTCCAAAGATCCAGAACAGGCGTTGCAGGAGTGCACTCCCAATTGGACACTCGAGACTGGGATAAAGACTTCGGCTATGTCTTCTTCAGACTCTTCGGGCGAGGGTTGGAGGAGGGTTGGCTAAAAGCCCAGCCGTTCGAGGTACGAAAGGGAGGGTTAAATGGAGTGGAGGGGGCGTTAAGGGATTTAAAAGAGGGGAGGAATAATGGGAAGAAGTATGTTGTGAGGATCGCGGACACGGAGGGGTTGAGTTGAGTTAGACTGCGCTCTTCCCAAATCTATACCCCTTAAACGGCACTTTTCAAAGAAAACTTCTCTAGGTATAGTAAGCGGTTATCGTCGAGTGGCGAGTTAAGAGACTTATGCTCTATCGGGGAGTTACTTCAAGTGTCGGGTTTACGGGTTTGGTTCCCGGGACATACCCGGTTACTGCTGAAACTCCGCAGGGCCTTGCAGCCTTGTTAATAAAGAAATGGCACGTTCGCCAAGGTTCCGGGAAATTACAACCGCACAAAACACTTCAGTGCATCGATGATGACGAACGCTCACCAGTTCAACTCCAACAACCTTGCTTCAGCAACGACGCCGTTCTACGCCGGGGCCTTCCAAGCTCTTATCGACGGGTCTTCAAGGCCAATTCTCAGTGCTGCAGATGGATCCACGATTCTCGAAGTTGGGTACGCCTGCGTTCAGGACACCGCAGCCGCCATCACCGCCGCCAAGGAAGCGCAGCCCGCTTGGAATGAGGTACTGCCGATAGAGCGCGGATGTCTCTTGCGCAAGGCAGCGCAGATAATTCGCGAACATGCTGAAGAACTTGCGTCCATCGATGCGTACAATATCGGAAGCCCGATATCCATCATGAAAGGCGATGCAGGAGCGGGTGCGAACCAGATAGACTTCTTCGCCGGTTTGATACCTGCCGTGACTGGCGAGACCCATGCCCTGGGAGGCGATACCTTCAACTACGTTGTTCGCGAACCGTTGGGTGTCGTCGCACGAATCGTGGCCTCCAATCACCCCCTGATGTTCGCTGCGGCCAAGATTGCTGCCCCGTTGGCAATGGGGAACACAGTCATTATTAAACCACCAGAGCAGGCGCCGCTGTCAGCTCTTCGACTGGCGGAGCTCATCGGCCACGTCTTCCCGCCTGGCGTTCTTTCTATCCTACCTGGTGGCGCCGAGTGTGGTAGTACTCTGGCTACACATTCGGACATCGCTAAAGTCACATTGATCGGAAGCGCTGCAGTTGGGCGATTGATTCAGAAGCAGTCAGCAGACACCCTCAAGCAGACGTTGTTTGAGCTCGGTGGTAAGAACGCCTTGGTGGCATTTCCAGATGCAGACATAGATGCCCTGGTCCAAGGCATGGTCATTGGGATGAACTGGTCTTGGTGTGGTCAGTCGTGTGGATCTATGTCGCGGGTGTTCTTGCACGACTCCATTTATGACCAGGTACTCGGGCGTGCTATTGAGCAGATCTCTCGCAGCTACCGGCCTGGCAACCCCCTCGATCCGAATACAACCATGGGAGCAATGGTCAGCCAGGCAGCGAGAGACCGGGTGATGTCCTACATAGCCAAGGGCCAGAGTGAAGGCGCAAAATTGCTCCTTGGGGGCCAAAAGCCCGCGTCGCAGGAGACAAAAAATGGCTGCTTCGTGGAACCAACCGTGTTTGGCGAGGTTACGCAAGATATGACTATTGCTCGAGAGGAGATCTTCGGGCCAGTCATGTCTGTCATTCGGTGGTCTGGCGACGAAGCCAAACTGTTTGAACAGGTCAATTCGGTCGAGTACGGTCTCACAGGTGCCGTCTTCACGAAGGATATAAGTACCATGCATCGGGCAGCCCGCAAGATGCAAGCGGGAACGGTGTGGATCAATACAGTAGCGAAGCACTTTCTGGGTCTGCCCTTTGGTGGCTACAAGCAGTCTGGACTGGGCAGGGAAGAGTGTTTTGACGAGCTTCTGTCCATGACACAACCAAAGGCAATTCATGTGCAGCTTTAGAAGCATTTATAGGACCAACTGCACAGAACTCTGCTTTACCATCGTGTACTTGGAAAGCCAGAATAGTAAGAGCGTACGGAGGGGAGTTGTATTGTAAGGTCGATCTACGGGCTCGCAAGATGAAGTTGTCGCTCACCCGCACCGGGCCTTGTGTGTTGCCTTAGGCATTACGCCTTTGACTAGAACCCACATGTTGCCGCGACACTGACGACGACTCGGCGTTTGGCACCTGTTGGGTGGCATAAAATACGTAAATTTGTTGAGAGAAGATGGTAGACGACTGTCTCGACGAAGGGCCTCCGGCCACGGGTATTCTAGAACTACCGAAAGCCCGTCGTGCCCGGCAGCAGCCTCAAAGGAAGACACCCGGACGTGGAGCCATTCCTCTCCCCGCAGATACCACATGGGGGAGGAAGTGTATCATTTGTTAAGTCCCCGGACAGCAGCATGCGTCCCGGCGACTCCTACAGAGATATGGAGTGGCGATTACATACAGTCACTTCGCTCGCAAACCCTCGGTCTCAGCACATGAGCGACACGCCAATCGCCCGAATACCAGAATGGCAACCGATGTAGAGAGCTCAATCGAATATGGCAGCGACGCCATTGCCCTTCAGCTCTCCCGCCTTGGGTTCGAATATGTGGCCATGGTGCCAGGATCCACGTACAAGGGCCTGCACGACAGCCTGGTGAATTTCGATTTTGGAACGGGCACAAGACCAGAGTTGCTGGTCTGTCTACACGAGGAACACCCAGTACATATCGCCCAAGGCTATGCCAAAGTTGCCAACAAGCCCATGGCCGTTTCTGTCCACGCCAATGTCGGCCTGATGCATGCGATCATGGCCATATACAATGCCTTCTGCGACCGAGTTCCTATGCTGATACTGGGCGCTACTGGCCCTCTGGACTCTTATCGACGCCGTCCATGGATTGACTGGGTGCACACCTCTCTCGATCAGGCCGCATTGATTCGTCCATTCATCAAATGGGATGACCAACCGTTGTCCCCGAATGCAGCTATCCGGGCAGTGCTTCAAGCGACTTCGATCACTGCTTCGAAGCCCTGCGCACCTACATATGTCTGTTTGGATTCGGCAATGCAGGAAGCAAAAGTGAACCCAGCAGACATCCACCTGCCTGATACCGGGCGCCGATTGGCTTCACTCAAACCTCCCGGACCCTCGACAATGGATGTCAAACTGGTTTCCGAAGCCATCGCCAGAGCAAAACAGCCCCTCTTCATGATGGGTCGAATGCGTGCCAGTCCTGGATCATGGCGCGAGCGTATTGCGCTGGTGGAAAGCCTTCCTCACGCCAAGGTTCTTACCGACTTGAAGCAGATTGCCCCTTTTCCAACATGGCACAAACAACAGCCCGCGCCGCCCGGTGTGTCTCTGAGCGAGGTGGGCGGAGACTTGATCAGATCTTCCGACCTCCTGATAGCTTTGGATTGGGTTGACCTGGCGGGCACGCTGAGTGCAGCTCACGGTGGACCACAGGTTGTGGAGCCCGTGATGACCATCGTTCAAGTAAGCCTCGATGCTGCACTGCACAATGGATGGAGTCAAGACCATTTCTCTCAGCCGCCAGTTGATATCGCGGTCCAGTCCGACCCAGACATTTTTGTTTCGACTTTACTCCAAGAGATAGAGAAGCTTCCAGCCGTGCCTACGTTGCCTGCCATCATGGTCTACCCCAATGGGGTCATGAAGCCAGTTCAGGGGGGAGGAGATCGCAGGGATAAAACAATATTCATGCACGATCTCTCTTCCAGCCTCTACTCCGCTTTATCGCCCGACGAGATTTGTCTCGTCCGAATCCCGCTCAGTTGGACAGGAGAAGAAGTGCGTGCTACGCACCCGTTTTCTTTCCTAGGCTGGGACAGTGGCGGCAGACTCGCAAGTGGACCTGCGAATGTAATTGGGGCTGCCCTGGCACTGCAGAAAGTCCAGCCATCGCTCCACGCAGTGGCTGTCGTTGGGGATGGCGACTTTTTGATGGGCTGCACTGCGCTCTGGACTGCCTCCAGATACCGCATCCCACTACTCGTTGTCGTGGCGAACAATCATAGCTTCTTCAACGATGAGGTTCATCAAGAACGTGTGGCAACAGCCCGATCGCGACCGGTTGAGAACAAGTGGATTGGAATGCGTCTGGATGATCCAGCGCCTGACGTGTCATCGCCAGCAAAAAGTCTCGGATGCACCGTCGTCCGTTCGAGCATTGTCGATTCGGTGCACGAGTTGCTGCCAGCTCTCCATGATGCAGCCACCGAGCTCAAAAATGGCAAGACCGTGGTACTAGACGTGCATGTGAGTCCCACAGGATATCGAACGGCACTGGAGAAGGGTGTACCGGCAGGGCAATCTGTGGTCTAGTAAGCAGGCTGAAAGCTAGTGGTAGGAAGGCAGACAGAGTTGATAAAAAGAAATCGAGAGCTCTCCGAGCAACTGATTTAGTGCTGCAATACAAGTCTGACCTTGTAATATGACGAGCCGAGTTAATGTCCAGTATTTTCGACATGGGTCCGCAACCCAAAAGCCGAGAAGACATACTTAAAAAACGTTCTCTCCAGGTGACGGAGCAACAAGGGTCGCAGAAGTGGTTGCCTACAGATTGGCACGTCGATGATAGAGAGTCCCAGCCACCCTTCAGTGGTCGTCGTCACTCAATCCTGCACGTTGCCCAAATACCTCTACGAGTATGATTCGTAGCAGAACAGAAGGCAAACTCTGGTTATTGCTGTCGGCGACGATTTTGAGAAAGTGATACTACGGCTACGTAAAATTGTTCAGAAATTTGTGATAGATAAAGAGGATTGGTCTCCAAGCAGTTGCTGCTCCAGCAATGTGTCCCCAAAACTCATCATTTGTTGATGTTCCTGCAAACGAGATCTCGGTGAATCACCAGAAGTCATTCTGCAGAACACTTTCTCCAAAAGAGAACGGCATTTGGGAGCAAATGGAATGAGCTAGAAAGTCCTTTTAATTTTGTATCTGCCAGTGGAAACCTCCCAAAGACTCCACAACCCAGCAATCCGGTACATCGATTCGACACTAAGATTCTGAGCTCTGTCCAGTTTATTGATCCGCTCTCTCATTCATGATACAGCTTTACGAGGCAAGCCGCGGGCGATTTTCCAATTAGCAGGATACCAATCGCGATGATCAGGTCGTTCGACGACTCGACGTGATATAGTTTTGACTCTGTATCTTTTAGCCTATGCTCAACATAAAGCGTGATGGAACTCACTATAGCGATGGCATCGTAGCCATATAGCCACTTGGTCAACGCCGGTGAAGGAAACACGGCAGCGTCGTCCTCCATCCGGGAAGTTTGAAGAAGCTTGCGCTCTACACTGCTCAACTTCAAGGACTCAGCCAACTCTCGGGTGGCTTCTTTCAATCGTTCATCTCGAAGGGCAGCGGTAGACTCATAAGACGAGGTCGAAGTATACGCGCTGACGTTGCGTTGGCTGATCAGCGAGATCTCCCAGATTCGATCATTCCGACGCTTTCGGATCGATTGGTACGCCTGTATTGCGTCTTTCAAGGGGAGAGCGGAGACACACTCCGAGAGGATGGCGGCGTCTTCTATGGCGGCGTTCGATACGCTAGCAGCTCCTGGTAGCATGGCATGTGCTGAAGTCAGAGTTGCACGATCAGCAATCTTTGGATAAATCGAGTGATTCGTCTGAGAATGGCTCACCTGCATCACCAACAAGGACAACTCGGCCATTGTCACTAGAGTAGGTGGATAGAAGCGGAAGATAAACAACCGTCCACTTCACACACTTCTTCACCTGCAGCAGCAGTTCAGGTACCGGCGAGGAAAAGTGTTTTTACGCTGTGACGAGCTCGATCGGATCTACCTCTGGATTGTAGCTGTCATGTGCTTCCTTGTCGAACGGTCGATGACTCGGTGCAACTATGTTGAAAAATCTGCCTTGAGCGCACGGGTAGACCAACAGATTCCCCGCCTGGCCTAAGAAGAGACTGATATTCTGGTCCTTCAGCAAAGTCTTCGTTGATGGAACGGAGGCCATGTCCTCTCGTGCGACGAGGCATCGATATGAATACTCGTCTCAGACAACTGGCTCGACGTTTTGACATCCTGGTATACCGGATCGTACTTTCGACCATACACCTGGCGTTCGTTAGCACTTCATGGGGTCAACGAACAACAAAATCAAACCATCTGCCCCAACCACGAGGTCGCCACGGAATTCCCGCCCATAACGCAGTTCCACGGCGCCCGTCTCACTATCAACCTTCTCCACTTTGGCTGAGAAGGTAAACTTTGCCCCTGATGACATTGCTGCTTCGGCGAGGATGCGCTGATAATCAGGTCTATAGATCGTCCAGAGTCTACAGCATCACGTCAGCCGCGCAACTAATTGACAATAACGCTCCCATGCTGAAGCTGTGGGGCATACTTACGGAGCGCCGTAAATGTCTTCATACCAGTCGTTGACATTGTTCGGAAGCTTGCCTAACGTCCTCCCATTGTCATAGGCCCGATACTCCAGCCAAGGCGGCACGCATACCTTCTCTTCGAACTTGTCCCGGAGTCCCCATGTACAGAGGACTCTGGAAGCATTGGGAGAGATTTGCAGGCCGGCTCCCAGTTCCGAGAGATCGTCACGCGCTTCGAGCACATGGACGTTGTGGCCACGACGGGCCAGACCAAGGGCAGTAGCGCAGCCACCCATTCCGGCGCCGACCACGAGGACGGAGTCTTTGGGGTTGTTTTGTTGCCCTGGTATGTCCATTATGTCTACGCTGGTCTTGTAGAATTTGAGTGCTTATTTCAAGCTTCGTAATTACGCATGGTCTGTTGTAAGGTATATGTATCCCTCGATCGGGGAGCCTCGGGTGCTGGTCGAACAACACGTAAGTTATTCTTGCCCGACGAACGAATAAATACCCCCTTTGATGTCCGCGGAGATAAATCTGGCAATATGCCATCGCCTTGGCTTGCTGGCTGCCCATCAGGCTGCAAACCCGAAAGCCCGTCCGCGTAACATACGGCCCGGAGCCGACCCCATGGGCACCTCCCCAACTCCCCTGACCCCACTGGCCGCGTGTCGTGCATATTGATATCGCTGCCGGGGAGAAAGTTGCAAGTCGTGTCCCTAGAGTTCGGGGATCTCGGACGAGAGACGGAGAGGCCGAGCTAAGAAGAAGATGCTGTCCGCTCCAACGTTAAGGTGCAACGTGAGTGGCTTCTGGCAAGATCACCAGTTGTCCAGAAAGACTCAATCATGGCGTCTCTGTTCAATTTCAACCCTCTTTTCAAAGCAAAGGGGAAGCTGCTCAACATCCTCATCACCATCGCGTCCACCTGCGGTTTTATCCTCTTTGGCTACGACAATGCTCTGTTCTCAGGCCTCATTATATGCCCGTGGTTTCTTCGAACGTTCCACAACCCGAATGCCAATCTTTTAGGGACCAGTAGGTGACGCTCTCGTCCGTCTTTTTTCGAGGCAGAGATTTGACGATAGACAGTCTCGGCGACGTACAAATTAGGCGGCTTTGCTGGCGCCGTTATCGCCTTCTTCATCGGCCAGCCTCTCGGGCGTAGGAAGACTGTTCTCACGGGCATTGCAATCACCGCAATAGGGGCGATCCCGTTCGCGGCGGCGACCAACATTGCACAACTTACAGCTGGCCGCACAGTCTGCGGTGTAGGCGTAGGCATTATGTCTTCGACTGTAGGCTTGTGGCAGAAACAGTGCCAGCAGCAAGTCGCGGAGCATATTTAGTCGGACAGCTACTTTGCGGAGCGACTCTTGGTCTTTTCCTAGCACAATGGATTAACTATGGATTCTACGACGTCGAGACAAGGGTGGCGTACGCCTTTCCGGTTGCCTTCCAAGCCGTCTTTCTCCTAACTTCGACGGTACTAATCTTGGGCCTGCCCGAATCCCCTCGATGGCTCGCTAAGCAGGACCGTACGGAAGAGGCATTGGAGGTGTTGACTCGTCTGGCCGGAGAAGAGAAAGCCCGCGAGCGGCTCGCGAGCATTATGGAGGTTAACGAGCTGGAAAAAGATACACATCGGAGCAAGTTCCAAGCTCTCTTTACGAACGGTCCGACACAGAACTTTCGACGGCTTTGTCTTGCGTGCGGCGTTATGACTATGCGTACGTCGACCCTTTCATGTTGACGACAAAGCAAGCACTGACCTCGCTCTAGATCAACTCACTGGCGTGAACAGCGTAACGTATTACCTGCCCAGGCTCGTCACCGAAATCCTCGGAGCCTCACGCAAAGAAGCCCTCTGGATCTCAGGCCTGAGCTCCGTCGAAACGCCAATAGCCAACCTAATCTCCCTCTTAACTGTTGACAAGGTTGGGCGAAAGCCTTACTTATTCTGGAGATCAGTTGGCCAGGGCGCAGCCTTCATGGTCGTTGCTGCGCTGCTAAGGGACCACACCAGATGGGGATGGACACAAGGCCTTTGGAATTGCCACGATCGTGATGTTGTTCCTGTTCTATTGGACGAATGCGCTGTGCTGGTTGGGACTGTCATGGGCGTAGTAAGTAACGAAGTGCTCTTCCAGGGGTCGCTTGGCTAATTCGGCTCATAGCCCAGCTGAAGTGCTCCCTCTCCAAATTCGTGAGCAAGGCTTGGCTATTGGGAACATGTTCTACTGGCTCTTTCAGTTCATGATGGTGAAGGTCAGTAGAGGAGAGAGGATGGTGTTTGGGTCATGCCCGCTGACAGACAGCATTTGCTCAGATCACCCCTGTTGCCATCGCCAACATCTATTACAAATTCTACATCATCCTGGCAGTCTTCAACGTATGCTCAGCGGTCGTGATCTGGTTCTTCTACCCAGAGACAGGTATGGGGATTCCATTTGCTGTGGAGAGTTTTGAGTCGGCTAACGCGATCCTACAGCTCGGCTCAGTCTGGAAGAAATGGATCTGATGTTCGCACAAAAGTATGGCAATGTCGAGGTTGACAAGATTGAGAAGATTCAGTTGGAGCATGTTGAGCGGGCCCATGTGCAGACTGATGGGAAGTGAGCGTGAAAGATCAAAGTACCCATGACGACGAGATGTGAGGTTGAGTAAAGATTACGCTCTCCCTAAGCCTTGCGGGAAGTCAAAGATATTCTCCGGGTCGGACGACTTCTTAATCTCCTTCAACCTTCCCAGTGCATCGCCATAATACTCCCTCCCCCAATCCTTCAATCGCGGATCAACATAATTGACATAACTCCCCCATCTCCCATCCGGCTTCGCAGCCCTCACAGCCCTCTGAACCCCATCCACAAGCCTGAAAATCTCCTCCTGCTTCTCAGGCTCTTCAAACGTCGGCGTCCCATAATTGTATATCTGACTCAAGAACAACGCCTTCCTCTTCCCAGCATCCGCGAACGCCGAGGCGCCGTGCGGTTGGTCGATGTTTGTGAGAGCTGCAGGGCCGTTGAGATCGAAGGAGAGGGAGGTGGATGTTTTGGAGATGTTGACGGTGGCTTGGATGGCTTGGAGGATGGGCTGGATTGTGGAGTTTGTGTAGTTTGGGGAGCCGTAGTCGATGATGGATTGGGCGTAGTAGGGTACTGCGTTGGGAGGGGCGGTTAAGTTGCCTTTTGGAATGGTTAGCCATCATTTTGATATATCGTAGCCTTCGCTTGGAGTACAGAGATGAGGACGGTGATCTCAACATACCCAGCAAATCCGTCAAAGTCTCCACCCAACTCCCAAACTCACTAACATTCGCCTTCCTATACCCCTCCACCCCCGTCCTCTCCAATCCTTCCCTAATAACAACCTCCAACCGTCTAAACTCCTCCTCATCACCAAAATACTGCCCACTCAACTGACAAGCGCCAGGATTGCTCTCCGTCCCCTCGCCATACAACAACAGCTGAACCCCCAGCTCAGCGGGCAGAGCACCTCGTCGCGCACCAAGCTCTTGAATCGTCAGAAGCGCCACAGCGCATTCTTCGTTCTTGTGCAAGACAGTCTTCCAGTTCAAGCTCGTCGCAGGAGTTGCAACCCCCTGAAATGTCAGACTCGTCACCACGCCGAAATTGTTCGCTCCAGCGCCGCGCATGGCCCACCAGATAGCCTGATCTCCGACACCATCTCCAACTTTCTTGACTGCACCAGTGGGGTCGACGTACTCGATCTCGACGATATGATCCATCGTCCAACCCCACTTCCGACTACTATACCCCCACCCGCCTCCAAGAGCATGTCCCACGATGCCGACAGAGGAACATGTCCCATGGGGGATCGCAAAGCCTTTCGCGCCGATGGCTTTGCTGAGAAGACCGAGTCGCACGCCCATGCCGACGGTCGCTGTCTTCTCCGCCTCGTTGATGGTAATGTCTTGTATGCGTTGGGAGTCGATTACGAGGTATCCATCGCTGCCGCCGAGAGCGTAGGATGCGTAGCCATGGCCGCCGCCATAGGTTGAGACTTTGACGCCGGGTTGAGCGGAGGCGCACTTGATCACCGCGGCGACCTCATTCGTCGATTTTGGCAGGGCTATGGCGGCTGGTCGGTAGTGGTAGTTGGTGTTTTGCGATTGAGCGGTGGTGTTGTAGTCTGAAGACGAAGGGTGCACAATGTCGGCGGAAGTCTTTGCAAGGCAATCAACTAGTGATTGAGGTAGCTGTCGACGAAGAATTTGGGGAGATGAAAACGGCCAGACGTCCAGAGAAGCTGTTGTCAGTGAACATAACACGAAGAGATGCAGGAGAAGGCGAAAGAGTCCCATGCTGGGAGTTGTGGACAAAAGAATGACCTTGGTGAACTTGGATGAAGAGGGCGGCCGAGACAACAGCAACCTATTAATGTCAACAAATCCCAGCCACAGATCGAGTACTGAACCATGGGGACATTCATGACATGGTATGCAGGTACCGGTGGGCTCCTGGCAGGGAAGCCTTGACTAGCTTACCTCCCATTCACCTACGAATGACAATCGGTCACCGTCTACAAGCGGCCAACCTCAAGATCTGCATTTTCACTGGTTCGCTGGAGAAACACTACGTTCGGCTTTCGTTCAGCAATTGAGCTGCCGGCAAGGAAAGGGCACGGTCTGGAACCTCGAGATTCGCATTGATCTATTCATGCCGGTCATCGTGTCGGCGTTCGCTGTCGTTTCTATCCTCACACTACTCATCCACAAGGCGGTCTCATCACATCTCATGACAAGGCGCGGTGTGCGCTCGATAGCCATCGACCGATTCATACAACTGCTCTGCTCGTACTGACGTCTCTCATCGAGTCTTCATCTCGGACCTCCGGTTCATCTTCTGCGCCGTTCTCGTCAAGGCAGTCTTGACTTCACCCTTCGAGAACTCCTCGACGTTATAGTAGTTGGGCGCAATCTCCAGTAGCCACTCAGGCTTTACGGCGGTAACCGTGCGGATATAGTTCTTGCTGGTCAGTACAAACTCGTTGTAGACGACCCACTCAGAGTCCTGTCCAAGCACAGTCGAAGGGTGGAGGAGCACGCTCTGATTGTCCTTGACGGTGACGTAGGTCTTGCCAGAGGTGTCCTTCTTGGCAACCTGCATGAAAAAGCCAGCTACGAGAGCCCGACGGATGTTGGTGTAGTAGTTCTTGTCACTGAAGGGAGTTGAAACAAGCTCGATCTCTTCCCTCTCCATGATGCGCTTCAGCTGCAAGCGTACGTTGTCGGCTTGTTGAAGAGCCCGGTAAGATAGGAAGTGGTCGTGAGTCCACTGCTTGGGGTTCTCTTGGGCTGCAGGTGACTTGAAGGCGTGGTAGACGTTGAGCATGGTGAGGTGGTCACCGTCTTCGTGGGCGAAAAGATTCTTCATCTCGTCAGCTCGCTTGCGTGCGGCAGCTGGGCGGTTGAAGAGTTGAGGGACGGAGAGAAGGGCTGTCAAAGAGAGGATCTCGTTTGAACAGTAGAACTCGGGCGACGAGATGAGCATGACTGCGAGGGCTGGGTCGAGTGGGAAGTCTGATGCCAGCTTGCCCATAGTGGTGAGGTCTCCTTCATCGTCCAGACATGCAAGGTAGTTGAGTTCCTCCAACGCTCGCATGAGTGTTTCAGGTGCAGGCGGATCCATCAAGTCGAAGTGCACCAGATCATCCACGCCCAACTTCTTCAGCTCCAGCACGGTACTCGCGAGGTTGGAACGTAGAATCTCAGGGTACGACTGGTCGATGAGCTCCTTCTTGAATGCGCCTTCGGTGTATAAGCGGAAACACTTTCCAGGTCGTGTACGACCAGCACGACCGGCTCGTTGTTGTGCTGATGCTTTGCTGATGGGTGAGACCAGGAGTGATTCGACTCGAATGCGCGGGTTGTAGACCTTTTGCTTACTGAAACCAGGATCAACGACGTACACAATGCCATCGATGGTGAGGGAGGTTTCGGCAATGTTGGTGGAAACGATGCATTTGCGACCTGGCTTGCCGCCTGGTTTGAAGGGAGGAGGCGCGGGATCGAAGATCTTCTGCTGTTGGGCGGGTGGCAAAGAGCCGTAGAGAGGGTAGCACTTCAACGGGCCTGCGTCTGCTTCCCGCACCATCTCATCAGATTCCATGCTGATCTTGCGGACTGCATCTTCAATCTCCTCCTCTCCAGTCAAGAAGAGCAAGATGTCGCCTTCTGGTTCTGTTGCGTGGATCTGGAGGACTGTTCGCAATGCTGCCTCGACGTAGTCTCGTTCTGGCTCAGGAGTGTAGTAGATCTCGACAGGATGTGTTCGACCAGGCACAGCCAGCAGAGGTGCATCGTTGAAGTACTTCTGGAACTTCTGAGCATCGAGCGTAGCAGACATGATAATGAGCTTGAGGTCCGGTCTGCGCCTCACCACCTCCTTCAACAGGCCCATCAAGATATCCGTTGCCAGTGTTCTCTCGTGTGCTTCGTCCAGAATGATGGTGCTGTACCGCTTCAAATCGTGGTCGTTCATGGCCTCCCTTAGCAGCATACCATCCGTCATGTACTTCAGCATCGTCTTCTGACTCGTCATATCCTCGAATCGGATGCTGTATCCAACCTCCTCCCCCAAAGTCACATCCAACTCTTGCGCCACACGCTGGGCCACGGACATGGCGGCGACTCGGCGGGGCTGGGTACAGGCGACCATCTGGCCCTCCATGTGCGGTAGATCATCGTAGAGCACAAACTGCGGGATCTGCGTCGTTTTACCGGAACCCGTCTCTCCGACAAACACCAGGATCTGGGTCTTGTGGTACATGTCGAGGAACTCCTGTCGCTGCGCGTGGACGGGCAGATCGCGGCGGGACTTGAGGATGCCCAAGTACCGATCGGACAGCGGCTCGCCGGTGAAAGGGTTGGCGGGCCCATCTTCTGCGACTTTGGCCATCTTGGCGGTCGAGGCATGGCGCGTCCATTTGCTCAGGTCACCGCCGGTGTAGCTCGAGCCGTTGGATGCGCCATTCGTCTTCATGTGGGCGAGGTACGGGTTGGCGGCGTCGTCGCTGCGCGATTCGCGGTCGTCGGTGGTCTTGACCCGCTTGAAGCGAGACTTGCGCGGCTTCTCCTCCTCGGCCATGGCTGTTGAGTGCGATATGGTTGTTTTTGGTGGTGTTGTCGCAAAGTCCAGCTTCAAAAAAGTCGATCAACCTTGTCGTCAGGCCGCATGTGGCAGGTGAAGCGAGGTCACGTGCGGCTGGAATTTTCTCTCAGAATTGGCATGCGAAAGAAACACAATATCAATCAATTTGGCCATAGAACAAGATGGATCCCAACGCCGAGGAACCGGCGCCGATCGTGTACATTGGCCAACATGAATCGCAGCGAGAGATTTCGGTCAACAGCCAGCTGCTGGGTGATGCTCAATCGCTGGGCTACGACTTGCTCACGGCGCCCATCACCACCACCCATTTCCAGTCCCGAGTACTGGCCATCTTGGCCGACTATGTCAAGCTCATCAGCGAATCTCCTCTCCCGGATGCTTTACCCCTACCAAACATCTCACCCCTCACCCCCAAGGACACCGATCTCTCTCCCGAGGACAGCAACAGTGCCTTGATTGCAGTCGCCAGCTCCTGGATTGATCTGGGCTCCAAAGACCCCCTCATCGCTCACATCAGTCGACAAGTCTTCAATGCGGAAGTGGCCTACGCTGCCTTTGTTGGAATCAGCAGCATTCTGGTTCAAGGTCCAGTACAGGGCTCTGATGTTGCGCAGTATTCGAGGGCCATACTGGAAGCTCTGAGCCTTGGTCCCTATGTTCAGCTCCACATTGTCTTACCAATGACTGGCGAGCTCGAGATGGAAGGCTTCGACGGGGAGCATCTGTCCGAGCTGGCCAGGAAGCAGTACGTTGTCGAAGAAGATGAAGACGACGACGGCGAGCCAGAGCCATTCGGAAGCTGGGAGACGTGGGATACCATCAGATCCGTTTGCAGCTACAGCAATAAGCTTACAGTAGGTATGTTGTGTCTTTCATCATCTTCCTTTTCCTTCACGTCCTTTGCAATCTCGCGTACATCCAAGAGCACCATCAGCAGGTACGCCACCAAGAATTGGCCTCCGTCTCTGCACTTACTGACTTTCTGCAAACAGCTCTGGAAGTCCCTCGTCAGCTGCCATTCGCCAGCATCCAGTCGAGATGGTATTCTGAATCCATTCGCTTGCTCCTCTTCCCTCGAACGTCTTTCCTCCGCAACGCAAAAGGCTATCCAGTACTTTCAAAGCCGCACCAGCAACTCTTCACTCGATTCCTACGACTTAGATTCCCACCCTGGCTTCTCCTCGTTGATGTCGACTCCATCAAGCCAATGGAGGAGGCAGCATCAGGAGGTGCACCACTTGAGCCAACGCCAGCAGAGTCAGCAAACAGTGCAGAACCCCAAGACCCCGTCTCGCATCTACGCTACATCAGACATTTGCAGCAGACCCAGCCATCACGGCCACCAATGGAACGCTTTGGCCAAGGTTACCAAGACTACATCCAGTCGCCACTGCAACCTCTCACCGACAACCTCGAGTCCATTACGTATGAAGTCTTTGAGAAGGACCCTGTCAAGTACGAGTGGTACGAACGTGCAGTTGCTGCAGTGTTGAAAGACTTGAGGAAGAAGCTTGGCGAACAACATGAGATTGTCGTCGCTGTGGTGGGTGCTGGTCGAGGACCTCTGGTGACGAGATCACTGCGGGCCAGCAAATCCACCGGCATCCCCATCAGATGCTGTGCTGTAGAGAAGAACCCCAACGCCCACGTTCTCATCCAGCGACGCAATGCCACAGACCCGCTCTGGAATGGCCAGGTCCTCATCTACAAATCCGACATGCGTGCATGGCCTGGGCCGACTGTCAATGGCAATGTGCGGCAAGTCGACATCTTGGTGTCTGAATTGCTCGGCTCGTTTGCAGACAATGAACTTTCACCTGAGTGCCTCGATGGCGTACAGCACGTTCTCCACCCCGATCACGGCATTAACATCCCACAAAGCTACAGCGCACATCTCACACCCATCGCCACGCCGAAATTGTATAGCGACCTGCTCACCCGTCCCGCCGACGATCTGTGGGAAACTCCAGCGGTGGTCATGCTTCATCAATACGATGACCTGTGCACCATCGCCAATGCCTCAGGTGAACGGGTTCCAGATGTGAAAGAAGCGTGGTCTTTCCATCACCCAATCGCACCAGCAATCCTCACCCACGCCTTCGTGCGAGCCGGCGGCGCTTCAGACGCAGGTGGCTGGACAGGTGGCGACGGCAAGAACGAGCACAACGTCCGGTCGTGCAAAGTCTCCTTCAAAGCCCAAGATCGAGGAGTCTGTCATGGGTTGGCGGGATACTTCGAGACAGTGCTGTATGCACCAGAAGATGGGAGCAAGAAGGTGGAGCTCAGCACGAATCCTGTGATGATGAAGGCGAAGAGCGAGGACATGATCAGTTGGTTTCCGATCTTCTTTCCGCTGAAGGTGAGTACCCTCCCATCCTTGCAGACACCGATCAAACTTGCTAACATAATCTCATAGAAACCCATCTTCATCCCCGACGAGGCCGAAATCGAAGTCAGCATGTGGCGCCAGACAGACGATCGTAAAGTGTGGTACGAGTGGTTCGTAGAGGTCTTCGCACAAGGAACGAAGGGCAAGAGGATGAAGGTGGGCGGGAGTGAGCTGCACTCGAGCAAGAAGAATGGCTGTTTGATGTAGATGGGGAATGCTCGGCTCGTTGTCGAGCCACAGCCTTGGTCAGACTTCATACCTCTATAGCTTGATATGTGACGCTCTCGCTCAGGTATCGCGGCAAAGATGTCCCTGTCCCTGGCATCGAATCAACATGTGTATGCTTAACATTTCAGTCACCAACGGACAATGGCAGCTGTCAAGTGAAAATAGTCGAGCGTTATGCAAACTTTGTGCTGCCGGGCTTCGTACGAGATAGAGTAATCTCCAACAAACCCCTATCATCCATGCTGCCCAGAGTGCAATCACACTCGCAATACAGGCGACAATCGAAGGAATGGCGAGAAAAGGGAAACAAAGAAGGTAAGCCTGATCGAGCTGGCCAGGCTTCGGATAGAAAACGATCTCCCGTATTCGTCGTCAAACTATCCCCAAGTAATCTCACACCTCTATGCCATCAAATACAGCACTATCTGATTCCGTCATCCGGTCACACAGGGAACTTGGGGAATTGAGTGCATCTCATCGAGGTGAGGTTTCACCCATTGGACTTGGGCGTTCCTATTGTCCAGCACACATCAGCGGTATTGTGAGACCTCACCTGTTCTGGATTGTGCAGACGGTCCCTATTGTCAAGTTCGGATTCGTCTCACCTATTATCCCAATAACGTTCTCATCTCACCTAGACATATCCTTCTCGTCTTGCTCATTTCCGCTTCATCATAAGCCTACCTCTCTTTCACAACCTCGCGCTTTCTTTGAGGCAAAATCTCCCAAATCCCATCATTCAAAAATCCATCAACAAAGACGTCGAGGACCCTGTCTCAGACAAAGCCTTGAGATTGTTTGTTTCTCCTGGTGAGAACAAAGCCGGTAAATGAGACAGAATATCGCCCTCACCTCCCAGTCGAGATGAATACCGACGAGGGCGACATCGAGAAACCAACCTCATCTCCCAATTGTGAAGCCTTTGTCCAGCGGAACGATATAGTCTTCAAGGCCGCAGCCTTGTCAAGAGCACCGGAGAGAGATCCAGCATTTTTCAAATCAAACTCTCACATTTCATAATCGTCCAAGATGGCTCCCAGGAGGAGAGCAAACACCACCGCAACAGCCAGAGAGCCCGCCAGGCGCAGCGCAAGGCTGGTCGCAGCCGCTGCGCGAGCTTCAGGCGCCCCAAGAAGATCCACGATAAGAATCAACCCAGCAGCGGAAGCACGGCGTAGAGCAGCGGCCGAAGCAGCAGCCGCAGCGATAGAGGCATCACCAGAACCCGAAGATATCCCTGCAGCACCAGAATCAACTCCACCACCAGAAGGGTCACCCTCGCTTGGGTCCCCTACTCCCCCAGCGGAAGATACGAACTTCCTCGCCTACACGACGAGCTACCGCACAATCCAATACGGCCCCCGGGGAGAGCGCGAAGAGCGCCGTCTGAAATGCATGCTCGTCGTGGCGAGACCGCCTCCGCACGTCGAGAGTCGACTGCGATATTACGCCTCGTTCTTCCTCGACGGCGAGAACGGCTCCGAGGACGGGCCCAAGGTAGCGGTCATGAGCAGCTACCGCATCGACAAGCGCACAACGAACGCCCCCAACGCCAAAGCCAGCTGGATCGACGACTACCTCACCGTGCCAGACCCCAACGCCCTCTCTGCCGATTCGCGCGAGCTCGCCAAACTGCTACGATCGGTCTTCAAAGTCGACGGCGTGGCGAAGCACTCCATCCGCGCTCTCCGCAACCAGATGAACCGCCGCGGCGTCATGGTCATCGACGTCGTAAACGTCTTTCCCGCCTTCCAGGGGCGGGGGTTGATGCGAACCATCCTGCAAATGTTCCGGGCCGCGCTGCAGGAGCTGCCGGAGTGGTTCGTTTTCCGCGATGTGTTGATTTTGAATAACGCGCGGTTCACGGGGGAGATGGGGGATACGTGGGGCGAGATGACGGATGATGCGGTTGCTAATACGTTGAGGAATATGTATGAGAGGATGGATAATTATCAGTGGTGTGGGAATCAGACTGCGTGGGGCGAGATGATGGGGATTATGGCGCGTATGGTGCAAGATGCATAGATTGTCAACATTGCACGGGAAGTAGAGTGTTAGCCAAACATAGTTGCCCAGGAAAGGCTGCAGGTCAGTGTTTCCAATGCCCTGAAATATTTCCGCTTTCGAGGCTCTTCACCGCTTTTCTTACATATTTCTGCTCGCCGCCTCCTTTCTCATAAGGCGAGGAAGCTCGGGCTCAGTCCAGAAGCGGTGTCACAAAGCGAACACCTCTTTGTTTGTTCAAAATGTCAGGCTGGAAGAAGGCGCACTTGGCATACCGGAGCCCTGTCCGCTCGGCCCGAGTTGGAACCCAAGAGAAAAAATATCGGGCCAGGATAGTCGTGTTCTCTCGACGCCTTTATCATGGCAGCGAGAGTGAAGAAATGATGTATTGGAATGGCAATCAGCGTGCTCGTGTATGTGTGATCTTTATCACTGTCCAGGTGGTGAACGAGATTAACTCGTGGCAACGCTCCTACCTGTGACGATTTTTCACTCGTCCCAATAGGGATGCAGTTTCCCGCGACAGCATCGCAATCACTGCGCTGCTTGGCGCGAAGACTCTTCTGACAATGAGCAACGAGGATCGAGACAGACAGCCTTGAAGTTTGGTCCATGTTGATACGGCGAAGTTTATTCACTTCACGCAGTCCGCTGCAACCCGGTCCCGTCCCAATCTGGTCGCTCCAATGCTTACCCCACAGCCTGGCTGGCTCGCCCCCTCCTACAATCTTCTCCCAACGCGCTCAGCGAGCCATTGCACACACCCATTGATCTCAACAGTCTCACCAGTTTCCTGCGTGATAAGGATTGACGCAACCCCTCTCTCCCAACCCAAAACTTCGCTGCTCTCCCGCGACATTTCCTCTCCTTTTCTCTACACTTTCCGCTGCTTCCAAGATTCCCGACTTCTTGAGACTATTGATCAGACACCAACACCAACACCAATAGCATAGCGGCATGTCTTACAACCGGGAATAAGTCCTCTACGCCCCTGAGGACTACTTCGATAGCGGAGACAGCGGCGACTTCGGTTGCGGCTTGTTGAGGATGCTATGGAGAAAGCTCACGGGGCGGAGAGTGGCGGGCTCGCTCCGGTACCAGGTCGACTACACCGCGAGGACGGTGGGGTACGACGAGAAGCACCGCCGGGTGGGAGGGGCGGAGGTGCACGTCCAAGCACGCCAGCAGCGCGTGCGCAAGAAGCCCAGCTTCTGAGGGGGAGTGGGCTCAGGTGCGTATGATGGACGACATTTTCCTTTCTTTCAAGCTAAGCGGCCGTCAACGACCTGTAAGTCGAGTTCGCTTCGGCGTCTCGCTTGGGAGGGGATGGTCTGCTGGCGCCTTCAAGCGCCTCGACACCGAAGCATAAGTCCTATACGGCAGTGGAGTGTGTAGAGCGCGCTGGAGGTTTACGAATCTCCTTCTGTTCCCCATTGTACTGGAGGTTGATCCGTCAGTCTCTTTTGAGCCGGTGATGCCTCTGGGAGAATGGGGTGCCTGCGTCGCTCGACACCGAAGCATAAGTCCTACATGGCAGTGGAGCGTGTAGATGGGACGCAGGTAGCTCGCAGAGATCCACGACCTTCACGCGGTTGCGAGTGTGAGTAGCCTCTTCGAGGTGAAACCAACAGTGGATCATCATGTACATTAGCATAGATAGCTGTATTGAAACATGTTCTCTCTTCCTTCTAGACGGAACACTGATCGTTCTGATGAGTGTTAGTGACGGCCTATTGCTTCATCCCCTCTCTCGACTTCACCTCCGCTCACCCTGCGCCTCCATCCCTATGGCCTCTCGCTGCTGTCGCTTGTCTCGCCCTCGTCTTGCGATGAGTCGCCGCCGCAGCGTGTCGCTCCCCTCGCTCGAATCGCACATTTGGTGGCGCAACGTCACAAATCGCTGCTGCTGCAGGCTGTCATTCCAGTCTTTGGTGATGATCGCTGTGGTGTATACGTGTGGCTGGTAGATTTCTGCAAATCCTCGCGCGTGGGAGAGGTGCAAGCCTCCGCACATCTGCTCCTTCTGACGGCCGCAGACCAAGTAGAAGGCGGCACCGTGGCCATCTGCTCCCACCAGACACGACATCACAATATCCATTTGCACAGACGAATCTGCCGCGGGGCATCTTTCATGCCTGCACGTTGCATCATGCCCTCGTCGGAGCCCCAGTCTATTCAAACTTCGATGCGACACGGCGACTTGCAAGCCTCACAGCACATTGATCGTCAACTTCACGAAACCATGCCTCATCGAGCACGACTACAGCCTTCTGCAACGCCTTCGTGCCCATCCAAATCCGCCGCAAAACTGCACAAGCGACTGAAGCCTGAGCCCGATCACTCACGTTGTCGCTGGAAACAGCTTCGAATGGAGCGCTTGTGGCAGAGAAAGTGCACCCAAAGGAAGAACGGGACACAACTCATGAAGGACAAGCCAGCGGCACGAGCACCAAATCGCAATTGACCGAGGATAGCCAATTCGAGGAGGTGGCGGCAGTACGGAGCAAGACTCGCGAGCAGAAGAGACGCCTCTCTACGCACCGACGTGGAATCACTCAAAGCTGCAAAGCTGAGAGTCCTCCCCATCCTCTCGCCTTCAATGAGCTCTTTGCCACGTCGCAGACCCTCGGAGCGGTATCCGCCTGGTTGGTCAAAGAGGCTGTAAGATCTAACAAGGTGTATGCTGGCAGGGCCGAAGGACATGCACTCTGCCAGGTGAGTATTGCTGACGCACATGGGAAATAATGAGGCGCAAGGCTTTGGCTGTAGCCCGTTCCAAGCAGAGATTACACTGAATCACAAGGCGTAACTTAGGTCTCCTTTACGTTTCGGACAAGACAGCGCAGGTGAAGAATATCTCAATCGATGGACATGGCGAGTGCGATGATTTGCGAATTTTTTGATATCTTTGCAGAGAAGATTGATCACACGCGAAAGCGCTGAAGAAGGATGCCTTGATGGGCGCGAACGAGCCACAGCAAGACCAAGGAGCTAGATCACATGCAATCAAAACTCCCAGATCCTTTCTTTCGAGTCTCGTGACGACAAGATGAACCTGGAATGCTATATAAGCCTTCCTTCCCTCCTCTTCTTCTCCTTCAATCAACCACACCGAGAAGATCGCAGCTCGACTACCCTTGCCGTTGGCCAGGCCATGCGTCCTCAACACGTCGCGCGCTACAGTGTGGCCTTGTGAACAGGCTTAACTTCCTCGTCTCACGTAGACGTAGCGTAGCTGGGGACGGACTTCACGTGCAGTCTGGCAGAGATCTCCTCGCAAATTGACGAGCGGGTAGTCTGAAACAGCTTGGGCAGAGCAGCCTCACCTCCGTGCGATCCTCTCCACAACATCCGCATCGTTAGCGCCGCCCACACGAGGTGGTCGTCGAGTGAGAGGTTGACCAGGTTCTTCCTCGTCTGCCGTCCGAATCTTGTCCAGTGGCTAGTTCTCGAGCTTGTTGCTAAGGTTTGGAAGAAACGGGACATTCACATAGCTCATACTTGGTCGCAACGCTGCGAGCACAAAGGTCCTCACGCCTCTAGAAACATTAAAGCGCTCGAGACGTTAGTAAGTGCACATGTGCAGGTAGGATTTGTCACTCAGGGCTGGTGAGGAGCGAAACCAAGCGGGCGCTGCGAGTAGCTAAGTTATGTTCGAGGCTGTTCGAGGCGGTGGCAGAATGGTTGGACGCCTGGATACAAGGGCTCCAGGCTGAGACTCTCAACCAGCGCTGCGGCCAGCGGTCAGGACCAACAACGTACCAGCACGGGGCGTTTACTGTGAGATGACGGTATGAGCGCCATTGTATAGCAATGGAAGTGTTGTTTACGTATAAGGAGGAATCAGAGAGAGATGACTTTTAATGTCCTTCAACATAGTGCTGCGCATCAGGCTGCAAGCGCTGTTTGCAGGAGGAAACGATCACTCTGGAACTCCTGGATGTCGCTATCTCCAACGGGCCAACAGAGGCACGGATACAATCGACGCAGTGGAGATGATTTTCCCCTGATGAATTCATTTGTTTGTCCTTTTCGATTCCTACAATGCCTCCTGCGCATCCTAGAAACACATCGCCCCAATTGGCCCCCTCCTCGCCACGCCATCCGGCTCAAGCGTCAAATCCCCCAATCCGCCAAACTCCCACTTCCCTCCACCGTCCTCAAATCCAGCGTCCAAATCAACGCTTGGTAATTGCGCAGACGCATCCACGAACACGTTCGAAGCCTCCCTTGCCAGTTCCTGTGGAACATTCCATCTCCGTCCATATCGCGGTGGATCGTCGAGGTCCCGCTGCAGACGTTCGTTGGGCATACCCGTCACAAGGGGAGTAGTATCGAGCGGATCATCCGGCGCATCAGGACGGAGGAAATCCAGATCCCCGAAACTCTGCAAGGCTGCGTGGACATCCTCTCGCCAGGCGAGAGGGATCCGACTACACCAGTTCTGGCTCGAATTGACCGCGTTTCGGGCGAGATCCTCGCTCAGACGGTCTTCTCTCGACGCTCGCGGGTTGTAGGTTTTGTTGGGGTATTCACCTTCTAGACGCAAGGGCGCAGGGGGTGAGGTGGTGACGACCTTGAAAGCTGGTTTGTCGTTCGCTTTCGCTTCTGTTCGAGGAGTGGCGGTCGGCGACGGGGGGCGAACGGTGCTGTTCTCGAGAATTTTTCGCACGGCTTTGCACCAATTGAGTTCTTGGGTGTATCCCGCGATCTCCAGGAAGCTCTGGGTGATTCTGAGGAGGAAAGTGCCGATTCGGCCTGCGGAAGCCGTTTCGGGTTCGCAGCAGTAGGGAATACTACGACAATAGTTTGTTGCGTTGACGAACATGCTTCGCCAGAAGTCTTGTTTTGTTCTTGACGTGAATAGCTCAAGGTCCGGGAGAACGCGGTCTTTGCCGTAGAGCCGGTAGAGATTGGCGATGGTGAAGTCGAGCATTAGCGAGGTGATCCAATGCAGCTGGAACTGACTGCATAGCTGCACCGCCGAGAATGTAATGGCAGAGCGGAACGTCCGATCATCACACAGCCTTGCAAACTCCTCCATCTCCTCGATATTGACGACATCGTACCCTCTCTTTGGATGATGATACATCTCCCACTCATCAAACTCCTCTCTAAGCTTGCAGATATCCGTACACAGCCGGATAAAGTCCAGATCGAACTGATCCGAATGCTTGATATTATCCGCACGTTCAAAAAGTCCAGGCGCCTGCAATGCAATGTCGTATAGCGCAACGTATGCGTCGCTCCTCGATAGATTCTTCGTCGGCTTCAACCACTTCGGCTCTGCGAAGAAGACGGCTTTTCTCCTGACAAGCCCCATGCATAGTGATCCATGTCGGATATTGTGGAAGAGTAACCGTCCAAAAGGTGAGGATATGATCTCCGGTCCGTGGGCTTTGATGTACTGCTGTGCGCCCTGTACATGGCTGATCCACCCCTGACCGCCATTGTTTCCTCGTGCAATCGCATCAAACAACTCGCAAAGCGCAAGGATGGTGATAGAGGCCAGGATAGCATCTTTCGACATCTGTCTCGAAGCCGGCTTCTCCAGTTCATGCTTCAGCATAGGAAGAGCTCGCACATATGCCCCTCGTGCTTCTTGAAGACACCGCTCATCGTTGTAGAGACTGCCCAGTTCAGCAAGACAGACTGTATCCACAGCGACTTGAAGCAAAGGTGTTGAGAGATCCACATTCGGCAGAGCGGAGATGTACGCAAAATGGCTCATCATTTTCGCATCTCGCCGTTTCGGCAAGTACAATCCCATAAACGTACTGAGTAACTGGATGCGGTGAAGGTTCTTGTTGTTTATAGGCACGGGACCTGACTGAATGATCTGACCGCTGAAGTGGTTGCGCCATCTGAACTGGGTCCCGATGCTGTGTTTCGATTCGTCTAGCGATGCGGGTGGCAAGTCGCTACCAGATTTTCGAGCGATGTGTCTGGTCTGGTCGACGAAGTGGAGGTCTTTCTCTGCTGGTGGTCGATAACCCTGGTCGGCACTCCCATGTCAGCATCAAGAACGACTTGCGCATGCGAGATGAAGCACCACTCACGGGACAAGTCACTCCATACTCCGCACATCGACTACAACGAGGCTTGCCCTCATCACATCGAACCTTTCGTTGTCGACATTTCTCGCAACCGCTAGACCGACGAGGCATGATTGAACTAGGAAATCCTGCTCAAGATTATTGCGAGGCGGTTCTCTCCATCGTCTCTGTCCCCTCCCCCTATATGAGAATTTTCAGTTGACCCGTAACGCCGGTACTCGCTCGATGTGTCTGAAAACGGAAATACTTTTGTTGTAGGGCAGCGTGCGAGAAACAGGTGAGGTCGACTTCGCCACGTTCAGCTCGTCCATTCGGAGCTTTCGAAGCCCGACTGTCTCCGCCTTGCTGCGGCTGACATAAGGTGGTAGAGTTTGATGATTAACATTACGAAAGGCAAGGTTTGTATATGTTTTCTGCAGGTACCTTACACTAGCGGTTTCACTCCTAGGGCAAGGCTCTCGTACCTTGCCCGGTGGTGCTCGAAACCGGGCCCGAAGTTCATACCGTGCCATGAGGTCTGCCGGCCCATGCCTCCATACGATCAGCCTTGGCAATGACCATCTCCCGCAGAGAATCGGGTATTGCTGAGTCCGTTTCAGTGACCATGCCCAGCCAGCTGAGAACTGCAGCTCGTGTGATTAGAGTGTCGCTGCCTCCTTCCACATGGCAGGCTCGGAAGATCAACTCACAGATCCTCTCGCGAATCATCTTATGACTCGCCGCTCCTGGTGACGACCACAGGGCCATGACCTTCTCAAATACATCACCTCGTCTGTAAATATCAAGATCTGGCGGTGATCGCAGTCCATCGACAAGCCAGTCGAGAACCCATTGCGTCTCCCGCCAATGGGCGTCGTCTTCTTCTGGCAAGCCCAGCACGGTGTTCGAAAGCCAGTAGCCTGGCAGTCTGTTGACCCGCCATTCCGGCCCGCGAATGAGGAATCGATTGACTTTGGGGTAGATGAAATGATGCGGCTGTATCAGGACCTGCAGCGCACGAACGGCAAAAGTACCTGCGACATACGGCAGGGCTGAGTCTCCCCCTCCGTGCCGGAATTCGAAGGTCTCTGTCAACTCTCCGATGAGCAAGGAGATCTGGGAGGCATTCTCGTATGTTGCAGTGCGGAGCTGGAGCTTGAGTCTGTTGAGTTGCGTCAATCCTTGCTTCCGTATGTCGCCGTGCGTAGAGCACAGGCACAAGATGAGAGCATCGATATCTCCGTCTTCGATTGCCACGTCGATATCTTTCTGGCTCCAACGAGTTAGCTCGGGATGGCTGGAAGGCTCCTGTGGTGGTGGAGTGAAGCTCCATTGATGACCGCTTCGTCCTGGCTTCTGAGACGGCCGCTGATCAAGCACTTGAGTTTCTTGATCATCTGCTGTGCCTTGCGGTATTTGCTCGAAAATCGCTGTAGCGTCATGTTGTTTTTGCTTAGGTTTCAGTGCTAGCACCTTCGACACAGCCTTCGTCAAGCGCTGAAGAGGCTTACCAGAATCTGAGGTGTGATCCAATAGACCTAGGAGGAGCAAGGTCCATGAAGCCTTCGCCTTGCTGTCCTCGTCCTTTTGAGCTGCCACAAAAGAAGCCTGCTCTAACAACACACCAGCAAACACACTGGGTAGAGGCGATTCATCGTCCTTTGATGATGTCTTTAGCGACTTCAGGGTGTCCACGTACTTCACGGGCTGACGTCCCGCTCTGGCAATACAATCATCTAGGAACTCCCACACAGGACTGGCGTCTTGTAAATGCAGGACGCTTCCAAGGAGTGCATCGACAGCATTCCGATCCTCGTCTTCTCGTCGAGTGTTGAGAATGCCATTCTCAGTGAGCACCTTTCCGATGAGAGTTCTCATGTACCTGCTCTGCAGATCCTTTCGAGCGATTCGAAGCAAGCTCACAATGGGTGAGTAGGCAAGTCCACCTTGCTTCGCGAACCACTTCATCCCCGCGCTGTATCTTGCAACTGTGAGCAAATGCTGAAGTTCGAGCTGCCTCAATGTCTCAACTTCGTTAGTCTGATCCTTCTGTGACTCGCTACGGGCAAGTGCCGCTGTGAGTGGAATCGATACGTCGAATGGCTCTTCCATCGCTTGCAGCGGTATGACTTCGTAATAGAGAGCCAGTACTCTTGTCGAGGCCTCTCTCTGAAGCGCATGCTCAGCGTCATCTGGTATCTTCCGGAAAGTACTGATGGCATCCTTGATCGCTGGACCACGATCAATGAATCGCTGTGTCAGTCTCTCTTTCGCTTCATCCCACAAGCTCGAACTACCCTCCACACTCAGTTGCCTCAGCACCGTCCGGAGCTTCTGAAGTGCGATGACCAATATCCGCAACGCAAAGAAGGTGATCAGCTCACTGCTCTGGTTCAGACAGCGAGTTAGGATCTTTTGCCCCAGAGGTCGAGGCAGGATACTTTCAATCATAATGGTGGTTTGAGGCGGTAGAGCGATGGTCTCTTCGGTACCACCGAAGTGCGTTTTGATGTCAAGCGCCACGACCTCGAACAATAACGAGGCATATCCGATCCAGGTATTGGAGAGCTTCGGATCAAGCTGCATGCCCTTCTCCGAGAAGTAGGCGGCAACAAGCTCAGGCGCCGACGTGAAGCAGATTAAGAGAAGTTCACGCTCCCGCTCGACCGAATGTGCTCGCAGAGTCAGAGTCCACGATAAGAGAGTCGTATTCCTGATGTTGATGGATTCATCTCGATCGTAGAACTCCAAGCTATCCAGTCCGAGATCGATGTAGTTGTTGGCCAAGTGCTGCTCTGTCTTGGTCGTACCGGGTGGATACCAGCCGCTGGGTCTCAGTATACCGTAGTCTGGAGTCTGGCACACTGCCTTCAGCCAAGCAAATGCCTTGTCTGATGCTGCATGCTCATTTGATGATATGATTGTGACTTTCTCCAGATTTTGAGACGTCAATATAGCTGCCTTCGCAGAGCGTGGAAGCTCTGAGTCTTTCAAGAGGTTCTGCTCGACTGTAGTGAGAAGTTCAACGACCAAATCGGCAGGGTCCTCGTCTAGATGATGGAATAGTGCATTGCAGAGTGGCTTGCTTTTGAGAACGTCGATTTTGCCGCCTTCGTGCAAGTACTTGAAGAGTGAGAGAATGTATCTCAAAGTGAGCGTTCGCAAAGCAGGCTTTCTCTTGGCTTCATCTTCTGAGATTCTGTATCACAGTCAGCAATCCATCGTATAAGCTATGTGCGATCGTATACATACTCAGTCTTCACAGCGCCTAGCAACCGGCGCAGCGCACCGACGTCAAAAGTCTGCTCTCGGCGTTTGTACAGTTCAGTCGCCAGAGACCCTCCATCAAAACTCGCCACCTCCGTCAACAATCTTAAACAAGGCGAGATCACAAAGTCCTTATGCTTCGGCGCATCAAGACAGCGCTTTACCAGGCGCAGGTGTTGATGCTGGATGACAGTACGACACAGCAAAAGTCCCTGCTCTCGCAAATCCAGAATCCCAGACATCGTCTTTAGCAGTAGTGCCAACACTGCACTGATCGAAGAAGCCAGGTAGTCATTGTTGTTCTGATTCGCAAAAGACCACGCCTGCCAGAGCTGCGAGAGAAACGGGCGGTCTAGATCCTTGATGTCGGCCGGCTTTTGAGTCTCCAGGTACTCTCGCAGGATGGACACCTGTCGCCCGCGATTATCTTCCTCCCTATGGTACAAGATGCTCTCCAGGAAAGCCTTGAAGGAAGCGATACCGCTGCGGAGTTGCTGGATGCCATCTTGACGGAAGACGAGAAGATCCTGAAGCTGTCGCGCGAAATGGATCTCTTCGACTTTGGGCGGTTGGTGTTCTTGGCGTGTTCGTTTTGGCGGCCTATCATCCCCGTCTTCAGTTCGGTCTCGTTTCGACATGATGCGGTGGTGCTTTTGGATTGTTGATGTTTGCAAGTCGAGATGGGAAATTTGTCGAAGTCTCGTTCGAGATGTGCAGGGATGGCACGGGCCGCATCTACGCCGGAGCTCAGTCCGTTCCTGCATAAATGTGCATAACGCTGTGCACACTTCTTGAACATTTCTTGAATTATTGACATGATTCACGGCTGAGGACATGTCGATGTAAAGAGCAGAGCGAGACCCCACAGCCCAACAATCGTGGAGCGTCTAACATGAATCTCGTGATACAGCTTATATAACTTCAACTCTCCGCTTCCCCGACTTCACCCTCTCAATAGTAACATATCCATCAGCATCTCTCCTACTCGACACAGGCCTCCCATCTATGCGCACAGTCTGCCCTCGACCGACTGGCACGGATATAGTTCCTTGCCCAGTCGGAGCCTGCACATCCAGCACAAAATCCCCTCTGCCCTGCTTCTGCCACGAAGCCGTGAAAGGGCCTTTGGGCGTCGCAACCTGACCCTTCGCCCAAGACAGCCGACTTGGCGGATATGGCTTCACGGTCCAGGTCTGAAAGCCAGGACCAGTTGGGTTGATGCCCAGGACGTAGTTCGAAAGCAAAGGCACGATGCCAGTGGACCATCCATGAGAAAGGCTGGTGAACTCTTGTTCGTACTTGGTACCGTTGGGCCCAATACCTTCCCAGAATGTCACGCCCGGATCATTGCTCGACATCCAGCCGTACAAGCGATCAATCTGCTCGATTGCTGAATCTGTCTGATTGGCCACGAAGCGTGCTTGCAGCTCAAAGTAGGAGATGAAGGCGTACACTCGGTCGGTTGCATTGTCAACACCAGGAAGAGAGCCATCGTAGAATGTGTTGCCGTAGAAGCGAGAGTTGTGGGCTGAGAGATATTGCAATGCTGAATTTGCTCTGGATCTGTCAGCAACGCCTGCCAATACTGAAATAGAGTTCCCGTCTTGAGCGTGGCGAACTCCACTTGTGGTGTTGCTAGAATCGAAGTAGGCTCCCACAGACGCATCCCATAGATGAGAGTTGATGGCAGATGATACCACCGAGGCTCGATCCGACCAGCGCTTCGATGATGCTCCGTCGTTAAGCGCTGTAGCCCACGCAGAGGCATATTTCAAAGCCAAAACATACAGCGCATTGTAGTACGTGACTTCAGCGGTACGTGGCAGGAATGCATAGTCGCCATAGCCGTCGGTTCCGTTTAAGCCCTTGGAGAGCAGGTTGTTTGAATCAGTAACCGATGGATACCAGCGATCGAGCACTGCAACCAAGTTTTCAAAGTACGAGCGAGCGTAGTCGGTATCGCCGGTGTACAGTACATACTCCCAGCCGCTTACCACCCAGTGTAGTGGATAGTCGAACAAAGGAAGGGTGTAATCGTTGATGCTTGCTGGTGGGATCCAGCCATCGCTTCGCTGGTGATCTGCCAGATCTGCCATGACATTCTTTGCAGCCTCGGCAACATCATGTGTGAGATACGAAGTCCGCCCAGAGACAGTGATGTCGCCGACGTACGGATCACGATCCCTCTTCGGCCCGTCCAGGAGAACCAGCTTACCCTCCAGCGTTGGCGTTGATGAGTTCCGAGGGTCAACATCTGAAGAGCGGAAGTGGTCGGTACACAGCTCGTTGGTGTATGCAGCGTCGAACCACCATTGAGTGAGCTGTTCGTCCGAACACTCAAAGTAGCCAGTGTAGGTGTCTGCGGTACCGAGAAAGGCGGTGAATTGCAGGGAGACGTCCTGGATCCTGAAGGTGCCGTTAGGGGAAGTATGTGGAGCATCCGAATCGAGCGCATCGAGGGCTATTCGCAGGTATCGAAAGCCATGCAGACCGTCGGCACATACTTGATTGCCATACAAGCATCCATTTGTATCTGTCCAAGTGTATGGCTGGGAAGGTACTGCGAATTGATCGTTTCCTGGGGTGATCGTATCACCATTGTCTGACCGGGTGAAGTCAGATACGTTCGTCAGATACTCGGTCGTTTCTGAGAAGGTCAACCTGACTCCTGGAGTATTGTTTGAAGCTCCAGCGAATGCGATTTGAGGGTATCCCACGACGTCCTGGCCAAAATCCAGAGTCAAGGCTGGCACTGGATCGCTAGTCGATTTGCGAATGAATGTTGCAAACCCTCGCCCGGTGGTCAGAGAATTCGCATTTTGCACATTTCCGGTAATGTTGAAAACTTTCTTGGGCTGTACATGGCGAGATGCTGGAGCTCGAGTGTATTGGTGCCAGGAAGAAGGATGCTGATATCGGCTGTCCGCAAGACAGCAGCCCAGTAAGCAGACAAGACAGACGAGTGTCAACCACATGTCGAACGTCTGCATGCCCTGTTATCGACAGACCTAGACTGTTCTTTATGCCATTCCTCAGCCGCAGGAGGATGGCGGGGAGCGTTGCATTGATCGACCCTCACGGTCGACGTTGCGCCGAGGGCGAAAGTATGGTACACGAGCCAAACTCATGACTGCTCGTGCCGGTAATAGATCATCTCTAGCATCAACGAAGTCGGTGCGATGATCTGAAAAGACATGTTGATGAGAGAAGACTGTAGGCAAGGTGAGGTTGAAGGCGATTAACGACAATCTAGCCGGAAACGATATTGACGCAACAATTGCCCGTTACCTGGTAATATCGAAAGGCCGCTGACTTCCAAGTTCCATCTCTTGCTCGCATTCGCTGAGGAGTCCGAGACTGCACATCAGCATCTACCACTGATGAGCTCCAGGCAACAGAATAAAGCTCCCAGCAACGCCGACGGACACAATTGCCAAATCCACTCGTCCAGCGCGCATAGCCGTCCTGCAAGGCTGCGGAAATTAGTGCGGACGTAGCTGATACCGCGGCCGCACTCACCGAACGGCATGATCCCATGCTGTTGTAGAACCACAAAGAGGATTTGGGGCTCGATCCTGCTGGCAGGTATAGATAAGTACAGAAGGATGGGTACCACTCGTTCGATCTTTCTGCCCTCTACCATCCCCTCCTCACAGTCGCACAGCTCACCTACAGTTATCCCGAACTCACTCATAGACGAACAAGTCTTTCATGGCCCACATAATCCTCACAGGCGCCACAGGCACCGCAGGCGCCGGCATCCTCGCCCACGCCCTCACCGTCCCCACCATCGCCAAGATCTCCATCCTCTCCCGGCGCCCCGTCAAACTCGCCGAGAACCAGCCCGAAGCGACCGTCATCCTCCACAAAGACTTCACCACCTACCCACCCGACGTCCTTTCGCAACTCAGCGGCGCAACAGCATGTATCTGGGCGCAAGGGATCAGCAGTCGAGGCATGAGCGAGGAGGAGTACACGAAGATCACACACGACTATCCCGTCGCGGCGGCGCGGGCGTTCGCGGGGTTGGGGGAGAACTTCACGTTCGTGTACACCTCTGGGGAGGGCGCGGAGATGGATAAAGAGGGTGGGATGCTGTATGCGAAGGTCAAAGGGAAGGCGGAGAGAAGTCTGCTCAATCTACAAGCCGAACTGCCGTCTCTGCATGTGTTCAACATCCGGCCTGCGGGGATCAATCCGGCTGGCAACTACCTCGCGGAGCGCAAGCCTTCGTGGGTGGATAGGGGGATCAATTTGTTAGGGAACGTCTTCGAGAGGGTGTATAAGCCTCTGGTGATTTCGACGGAGAATCTGGGTAAGGCATGTGTGAGGCTTGCGATGAACGATGGGAAGCCGTGGCCTGAGGGTAAGGGCGTCGAAGAACAGGGGAGGTTGATCAGGAATGTGGCACTGAGACGGATCGCCGAGGAGGCGAAGTAAGCTGTCAGAAGAGCGGGTTGATGGACTTGGCGATGGCGAGCGTCGGCGCAGGGTTCGTTGTGTACGAGTAGAGAAGAAGTAAGATATCCCAAACGACAGGAGTTGGAACAGTTCGCTTTCACCCTTCCCATCCGGCAACATGCGGACTGCGACCGAAGCAGTGTCACCACAACCGCCATCCAAAGTCTGCATCATCATCGTCGGCGACATCCAAGTCAGCCTCGCAACTCATATCTTCGTCTCCCTCGACTAACGCCAACCCACAACTTCCATCCACCCCAAAGCCGTGGGAATCCACAGACGCACGATGGAGATCTTCGGATTATGAGGACTCTGAACCAGTTCTTCGCCACTCGTGAGGGCAAGACAGCAGCGCTGAAGCTCGGAGCAAACTTGCGGCTGTATACCAGACCCTTCCAGGAGATACTAAGGGTAGATTCGGGATGGTGTTATAATCATAACAAGGTTCTGGACCCAGAGATGATGTGGATGAGCCCTGTGTAAGCGATGATGGCGAGATGGAGGCTTGTGTGTCCAGGCCTTGCACGGTTCGGGGTATCAGCGTTGTGGTGAGGAGGGTGCTTCGACTGTCGTAAGGTAGAGAGCCATGGCGGGTGTTCGATGAGTTGCCAATTCACTTCTTCACAAACCCAGTTCCACTGCCACCTCCTTTCTTCGCCTTCTCTTCTTGCCACTTTCTCTGCTCTACCAACAGTTCATCCTCCTCCTCATCCATATTCTCATCACCTTCAGCATCTTTCCGCTTGACCGTCGCCGCTGGTTCCTCGGGCAAAGCACCCGCCAACCGGGCCTCCTCTTCCCAAGCTTTCCTCTCCAACTCATCAAACTCCTCTTTTCGCTCGATCCACCGCTCCTGGACATCTCGAATCTCCATTTTGCCATAACCTTCGTTCATGGCCTGCGCCCAGATGCTCGCCTCGTCGGAGATTGTTCGTCCTTCCTCGTCCGTGGCTCGCGCTCCTTGGAAGACATAGCCGGATGCTCTGTCGATCGCTCGGAGTAGGTTGGCCATGCTCTGCCGATCCTCAACCGCTACTGTATCGAAGCCGACAAGGCCGTGGTCTTCAATCAATGAAATGAGCGCTTCATTCAGCTTATCCCATTTCTCGCTCGAGGCCGATGGAGTTGCTTGGAGTTCCTGGGCAAGGGATGGTAGCAGATGATGCAGATCCTGGACCTCGGTGTAGAAGTCCAGATTGAATGGCAAGTCGGCGCCACCAACGGCTTTGAGGTTATCGATCTTGGTTAAGACATTGACCACCGGGTATGGGAGATGCAGCATTCCTCGGAGGCATAGTATCAAGCTGGAAAGGTAAAGTGAGGGCCGTGTCAACACTATCGAGTCGAGGAGTTGGATGATGACGATCTACTGCATGGTCAGTCAGCGGCGACTTGATATCACATGGAAAGGAGAGCATACTCGGTATCCTGCTTTCTCCAACCGGTGAAGTATCCGAGGGAGTGCGGTATGATGTGTCGTAAGCTCAGGCTGCCCAGGCGGGTCCAGGAGAATGGTCTCTTCTACAGCATCCATTAGCATGTGACCACGACTCCCAAACATACTCCCACATACCACAGTCCTCGAGTCTCTCCAACAGCCAGTCAATGTTGGCCTCGACCTCCTCCATCGCCCACAAAACGCCACCATTCGGCCCCAATTCTTCCCGCTCCATCACTTCCTCGATGTTGACCAGTTCCCGTACATCGAATGAGGCCTCGTATGGAATGTTGTCGTTTGCTGGGTCGAGATTGCCGACGGAACATGGTCTGGCGACGGCGCGCATGAATTGTTGGAGGCCGTTGCAGAGGGTGGATTTGCCGGATCCTGGAGGGCCGGTTGGTATGAGGATGGTGCTCATTGTTGAATGTCTGGTTGGTCGTTCGAGTGTTACGTCAATGTCGACGTGTTTGTATCATCGAAGGGGGTTGTCGCACATGACGGTGTGTTTTGGTGAAGATTCTGGAACTGTGACAAAAGTCGTGTCGCCAGGCGTTTCAGCTGTCGCCGCCGTGGTCCTTCTTTCTTCACTCACTTCATCTCGACATCACTACATGTGAACAGGTTTTCGCGGCAACACGACACCTTGCAATCCACTTTGTCTCATGCGAGCAATGCACGACTGCTGCCATGACAGTATCAATTACGGACCTTCCAACCGAGCTTCTCACCCACGTCTGCTCATGTCTGGATAGAGAGAGTCTCTGTTCTTTGGCACTAGCAAGCAGACTCTTTCACTCTTCTACAGCTTCATGGCTCTACCTGAGGATCAAGATATCGGATCGTGACTCCGCCGCAAACCTCTTTTTGTTTCTGACCCGCACCTCGTACGCCAAGTACGTACGGCAGATCATTGTTGGACGACTTGCCCGACGCTCCGATGCCGACGCATTCCCACATCCTGTCGACGAGATTCGATATCGTCCTGATCGTCAGATCTCCCAAATTGTCCATCAGCAAGACTCATCGTGGCGACCCGTCGCAAATCTCATACAAATCCTACCTTCGCTTCGCGATCTGGTATGGGCGTGTCCGGAGCAAATCCCACCTTGTGTAGTCCGGGCCCTCACCTCAAACGGACATCTCTCTTCGTGTAGACTACATTTGAGGACATTTCGACTGCGTAGTCTCGAGGAGAACGCTTTTGATTCCCACGAACTGGACCTTATTCGATTGCCCAATCTTCACGACATATGGTTCATCCACGATCTGTCGGATAAATACAGTGCCTCTCACCGCTCACCTGAGATCATATTCAGCGTTCTTCGAAGCTTCGCTCCAAATCTACGCTATCTGCGATTCTGGGAAGGGATGTACTTCACGAACCTTGTCTCCGATCTATCGTCCACACTGTCCAGGCTGGAGCAGACCTATTCGCGCATGCCAAATCGCAAAGCTTCGCTGACAGAATTGGTACTTGTAGGCGTTGATCAGGTGCCACCGGAGCGCCTGATTGAATGGAGTCAGCACATTGATTTTAGGGTACTCGAGTCTTTGATCATACACCGCCCTTCTATGCCGGAGACCATTGAATTACTGGCAAACATGACAATGCCCAGTGTAAGGAAGTTGTTTGTGAATCTTGGCAATGACTTCGACCCGAGGTACCCGGAAGACTATCATTCTAATGCTGGTGGTCGACTCCTTGCAAATCTCCCACAGCTGCTAGCCCTTGGACTCTTAGGCCATCTCAGCCATTCCCACTTGCATGGAGCTATGGTACATCATGGCCCCACATTGACCAGGCTCTGCCTCCGTCCGTCGAACAAGAAAGATCACACACTACTACTCGGATCAGAACAAGTTGAGTGGATATCCAAATACTGTATCGCATTGGAAGAGCTTGAGATGACCGTGAAAAGATCGAGGGGTGATCTCAACGAGGTTTCAATGTATCGTGCCGTCGGACGAATCGCCAGACTCCAGACCCTCGACCTGACACTGAACTCAGCCGACCACAGCGTCTTAGACCGGCCTTTCTCGACCAGTGAGGGCAACCCATGGTTCGATGAATTGAAAATGGTGTCAATGCCGTATAGGGACCATCTCCGCGAAATGCTCATCAACACTGCCCTTGACGAAACTCTTGCGCGATCAATCTATGACACCATGGCCACGGCCAAACCAGCCAGAGGATTGCCTCTCGCACAAGTTCGTCTTCACTCGAAGGGAGGCGGAGAGTTCGGTGCAGGCGGGCTCCTTGGCGACTTGCAGTATGTTTTCCTCGAACTTGGACGGGGTTGGTTGTTTGAGATGACAGGCGCATTCTGCAAAGAGAACCGTGTTACTATCAAAGAGATTGACACCGCGAGGACACGGATTGCAATCTGCCGTGGGGACTTGAGTGACAGCGTTGAGCCCGTCTTTCGTAGTTTGTGGCCGTCCAAGACCGGAGACGATGATCGGAGAGACGATTGGCACAGTTTTCCGCTGTGCACGTGAAAGCCTCTTGCTGTCGCTACTGATGATGGTCTTTTTCGATACTCTCCCAAGTACATGCAGCCCTGCCACTGAGAAAGATCCCCGTCACATTGCACTAGCGTCGCCGCCCGGGATCCGAGCGTTGACATGTGAAACCATTCTCAGCCAAGAATCATGTAGGACGCTCGGACAAGACTCGGATTTCTTTGCCGAGTCGTCTTCTGCCCTCGACTTCAAAGTAAACACCACCCCATCAACAAACCACACAACACTCGACGCTCGATTACGATGAGTGCTATCAACGAGGTCCCGAATCCGCCAAGCGATGCGATCTCGAGCGTGCGCTTCTCCCCCGACGGCGCCTCGCTACTCGTCAGCGCATGGGACAGCAAGATCCAAGTCTACCACCGCAGCGACGAAGGATACAAGCACAGCGCCTCGATCCAGTGCGATGCGCCCATCCTCGACGTGTGCTGGGGCGCGGACTCGTCGACATTCTTCGCAGTGGGTATTGACTATGACGTCGCAAAGTACAATGTTCATGAGGGACAAGACAGCAAGGTCGTCATGAGCAGCCACGACCAAGCCGCCAACAAGGTCGCATACAGCAAAGAGCACGATATTGTCATTTCCACGAGCTGGGATGAGACGATGCACATACACAGGCCAAGCGACAACGCATTCGTGCCTGTCAAGCTCGCCGCAAAACCTTTCGCCATATCTCTCACTGCGGATCGTCTGGTTGTGGCTATGGCTGAGCGCCACGTCCACGTCTACGACCTCGCCGCTCTGCGCGACCTCATCCCACAAGCTGGCAGTACCGAAGCCATGCGAGAACCTCTTGTGGTCGAGCCCTGGCAGCAGCGACTGAGCAACCTGAAGTTCATGACCCGCGACATCGCCTGCATGCCCGACGGAACGGGATTCTCGACCGGCAGCATAGAGGGGAGAGTCAGCGTGGAGTTCTTCGATCCGGCTCTGGAGAAAGAGGCGTACGCTTTCAAATGTCACAGGGTGAAGGTGGACGAGGTGGATGAGGATGGAGAGGAGATTTCCGAGATCATACATCCAGTCAACACAATCGCATATCACCCTGTGCATGGCACGTTTGCGACAGGTGGCGGAGACGGCGTGGTGGCTTTGTGGGATGCGAAGACGAAGAGAAGGATCAGGCAATACCCTAAGTTGGATGCGAGTGTCGCGGCTTTGGACTTCAGCAGCGATGGCACTCGCCTTGCCGTTGCCATGTCGCCGGGCTTTGAGGAAGGCAAAGAGGAAGAAGAGGCTGACCCTAGTCTTGTCAAGGTGTATGTGAGAGAGCTTGCCGAGAGCGAGACGAAGGGCAAGCCGGCCAAGGAGAAATGAGTGCGGATTGCGTAGGGAGGTTTTGGGATCTTGATCGATTAGCGAGGAGTTTGGGGCTGATGCTACGAGACAACAGCGAGATGTTGTATGAGAATTGAGTCTTGTTACCACACTGATGCATCACAGATAAGCATCAGGCGCACACGGTGACAATCCGCCCCATGTGGCTTCATGTTGTGTAGCGAGGCTAATGAGTTAGCGAGTTCAGCTCGACTCGCTTGGGGCGAAGACAAACAGATATAGCTGCTGCTTGTTGAAGCTGTGCTATGCCACCTTGCAGTAAAATGGGCAGGCTGAATGCTGAAGTATTCCAAGAAAGAATCTCGAGACTGCTTTGTCCGTGAGGGACCGAGCCACACACTTGACACGCACATGTCTCGACCTCATATGTCTAGCGCCAGCCTCTCCTCTGCAGAGATTCCCCTCATACATCTCAACAAGATCCCTTCACAGTCCGAAACCTCCTTCCGCTTGAGCGATGCGCAGACACCCGCCAGCGACAGCTCACCAAAGCCTGGGCAGACATTTCGGCGCAGCCGCTCGAATGCCTCGCTCGAGGTTGCGACTGATGTGGTCTTCGGATTGCTTTCAACAGTCTTCTTTGTATATGGATTATACGTCGCACACTACAACGGAAAGGCTGTAGCGGACTATCCCAAGGTCACCGACACGCTGATCAACGCCACCAAGATTGTACATGGGCGGAGACGAACTGCCACATACGAGACGCTGGCTGACAGACCGCAGGGTCCCACGGTCTTTCCCATTCTCTTCGCAGCGGTACTGGGACGGGCTTTGAAAGCCATAATGCTATGGCGTCTAGAGCGGGGCGAACGATTAGGCTTGCTCGATCTCCTGGCAGGAAGCACGACTGTAGTCAACACCATACTCACGCAGATCAGCCTGCGAATCCTGAACGCAGCCGGCTTGATTCTGATTGTTGCATGGGCCATCTCCCCTCTGGGCGGCCAGGCGTCTTTGCGAGTCATGACTGTTTCGCAGCAGAATGCGACGTCGTCGGCGGAGATCAAGTACATGTCGACCAACCACTCTTTCGGCCCCTACGTGAGTGGTGACCTGGGATCTCTAGCCACGCTGATGGACGGCCTGTTTAATGCTGCCTTGCTGGGACCAGAGAGGATTAAGAACTCGCCGACAGATCAGTGGAATAACGTCAAAGTGCCGCACCTTGAGAGTATCGCAAATGATCCATCCCTCCTGGCCAACAACTCGTGGATCCCGGTACCTGACCAAAATGTGACATACGCTTCCCTGATTGGACTCCCCATCGCCGACCTACCCGCTTCTTGCAACGCTTCATTCACTATAGAGTCATTCTACTGGACCCTAGATTGTTCTGCTCTCACTGACTCGTATCAGCCACCTGGTTACAAGAGCAACGACGAACTACCTGATGGATGGTCGAACCGGACGAATGGCCTTGGCAACATCCTCCTACTGGACTACGCACCACGTGCGGCGAACAAAACGAATTGTCGAGGCAGCCCTTATGATCCTGCTTACGTGCCTCGAGTTCTCGCATACAACTCTTGGGATCCATCAAGCGCGCAGTTCGGGGCCCTTTGTACGATCTGGACTTCGTACGTGGAGTTAGAGACCCAGTGTACGAGCATCACGAATTGCTCGGTGACAGCGATTAGGAACTCAACTCAAGTGCACCCCACTCCTGCTTGGACTATGCTGGATGGGCCGGAAGATGCTTGCAACTGGTATATCTGGTTCCTGGCACAGTTCGTCGACACCGTTAACGTCAAGCGCTCAGGTACTTCCACGCCCGTGCAGGGATATTTGCTCGATCCCAACTCGCCTGCTTCGCCGCTGCTTGATAAACCCATGACTTCCGTGCCGAAGAAGACGTTCGCTGTTCGACTGGCGCAGCTTCTCAACACGTACTGGTCAATCACGGCCGGGCCATATGCCGTCCCGTATGGATTCGCTGGGGATATCGACAATACCAACGTAGACTACTACGATGAGACTGCTGCGAACGCTACTACAACGACAGCACAGCTTACCCAAACCTTCAACGTGATCCGCTGCCACTCAGCCTGGTTGGGTGTGCTTCTTGGCTCATCCATCTTTCTCATCGCAGCGAGTATTCTCTCCATTGTCCTTCGCTTGAGAAGCAAGACGCCTGATCTGTCGTTGAATTGGTCGACATCGACGAGGGACAATCCATACGTCGATACGAATTACTCTGGCTCTTCCCTGGATCATACCAAGCGTTCGCAGCTGATGAAGAGCAATAAGGTGAGGTTCGGAGACGTGGAGCCAGGAAGACGTGTTGGGCATCTTGCTGTGGGATCGCTGGAGTCGCATGCTGTTGCCAAGGCTGACAGGAGTCGGATGTTTGATTAGAGAATGGAGAGGGTTGTGAGCTCTGCTGTGCCGTTCACTGCCGACTCTGGCTCCATCGGTTCCCTGTTACGGTGCATGTCGTTAGGCCCAGCTCGTCGATACATGCATTCTGTTATCGGTCGTACAATTGATATTGCACATCATGACTGATCTGTACCACACTCGCCCTTCTCTCGGACCATCTTCATCGAATGCGTATCGGCCAGAACCGCGACGTTTGTCATGTCTATGGTCTGATCATTGCAGAATTCACAGCAAACACGCTCAAGTGAGGAGGTTTGCGTCCCGCTTATACAGCAAAGTGGTTCCACAGCGGGTGTTTCGACCACGCTGCCCTAACAGGGGTGTCTCTAGTGGCGATACAGTCCTCGACGACATCCTTGACCAAAACCCTATGCAACGCGCGGTAAGTATGTTCCGCAATAGATGCTGCCGCGAACGACGTCGAACTTGGGATGGAGCATATAAGAGAGGGACAAGTTGTTGGAAAGATGAAGGCTCAAGAACAACATCACCCTTTCATCAACAGCATCTTCCACAACACAACATCCAGATATCACCAACAACATGGTCGCTACAATCCGCAAGTACAAGGCCGCTGCCGTCAACGCTGAGCCAGGCTGGCTCAACTTGGAGCTCTCGGTGCAGAAGACAATCCACTGGATCAACGAGGCTGGCAACGCAGGATGCAAGCTCATTGCTTTCCCCGAGTTGTGTGAGTCCGGGCATCGAGCAAACTCTCATCATTGAATCGCTAATTGTCTCGAAATCTAGGGATCCCAGGCTACCCATACTGGATGTGGCGAGTCAACTACCAAGAAAGCCTTCCTCTCCTCAAGAAGTACCGCGAGAACAGCCTTCCCAGCGACTCCCCCGAGATGCACCGGATCCGTGCGGCGGCAAAGAAGAACTCGATCTTTGTCTCGTTGGGATACTCTGAGGTCGACCTCAACAGTCTGTACACCACCCAGGTCATGATCGACCCGACGGGCAAGGTCATCAACCATCGCAGGAAGATCCGAGCCACGCATGTCGAGCGTTTGGTCTTTGGTGATGGGACTGGTGATACTACGTCAATGGTCGTCGATACTGAGATTGGTCGCATTGGCCACTTGAACTGCTGGGAGAATATGAACCCTTTCCTGAAGGCGTACGCCGTATCCCTCGGTGAGCAGGTCCACGTCGCCGCATGGTAAGCCCATCAAAAGTATTTATTAACACACGAAACCGCATACTCACGACAAGATCGCCAGGCCTCTCTACCCTCACGCCACAACCCTCACCTACCCAGACCCCTACACCAACATCTCCGACGCCAACTCGGACATCGTAACGCCCGCCTACGCCATCGAAACCGCCTCCTACACCCTCGCGCCCTTCCAAACCATCTCCGCCGAAGGCGTGCGCCTGCAAACACCCCCCGGCAAAGACCCCGAAGACCACCACATCTACAACGGCAACACGCGGATCTACGGCCCGGACGGGCAAGCCCTGATCCCGAAGCCCTCCGAGAACTTCGAGGGCCTAGTGTTTGTGGATATTGATTTGGACGAGGGGCATTTGAGCAAGGCGTTGAATGATTTTGGGGGCCATTATATGCGGCCGGATCTGGTGAGGTTGGTGGTGGATACGGATCGGAAGGGGTGTGTTAGTAGGGTGAATGGGAGTGGGACGCATGAGGTTGTTAGTACGTTGGAGAGGGTGGGGTTGGATAAGCCGGTTGATGAGGAGATTCTGAACGGGGAGGAGTAATTGTTGTGGTTGATAAGCGTGATTATGAGGTTGTAGACTGATGGATTGAAATCTTCGCTCTTTGAAAAAGCATGAAGCTCACCCTGGATGGTCAGCATATCCAAGACATTCTCCTCGATAGTGAGAAAGAAAACGGTTCGGACAGACACAAGTCTTGCTGCTCGGAAACCTGATTACTAGTACAATATCGACACGTTTTCCCTCTGCTGGCAACAAATCGCAACTCCGATGCAATCTCTTGTCTTTCTCTAAGCAACCTGAGTAACAGTCATATCCTCAACAAAGATAGAGAAGTTCTCCAACGGCGCAACAAAGGCATTGTACGTAGCCTCGTGTGTACCAGTGATGTTGTAAGTGATCCTATCATCTCTGTCAGCACACCCAACTCCCATCTACCTCAAAACCAACCATGACTCACAAAGTATCAGCATCCGTAAAACTCAAACTAACCGCCAAACTAGCAACCCCATCCTGCCGACTCGGCTGCAAGCTAGCCGCCACAAACGGCGTCCCACTCGTCGACACCCCCTCGAGGATCTCACAGCCCTCGAAGAACCCGATATCCTCGCCAGCGCAGTACGCCAGGAAACTCGGGTAGATGCCGTCTTTGTGGCCGGTGACGTTGAAGTTGTAGCTGCAGCCGGAGCGGGCGCAGCCGGCGTGCCAGCTGGTGATGTTCCAGTGGTAGTACTGAGGGAGGCCGGTGGCGGCGTCGGTTTGGGGGATGGCGACGGCGAGGGAGGGGACGATTAGAGCGCCCAAGGGAGGTAAGGGCGGTGATGAGCTGCATCTTGTTGATGGGGTGAGGTTGGGGTAAGGTCATTTGACTCGAAGGGAGGCTAAGATTGAGTTTGCCAGGGTGATGGAAGGGATGATGTTGGACAAGTCTACCTTTATATCTCTTTGTCCTGTCGAGAGGAGTAGTACAACAAGGTCACATTACGGTGTTCGCATCCCGCGCGCTCGCCCAGAACCCTCTGCCGTACTGGTAAAAGCCGGCGTTGAACCTCATTGGCGACTTGCAGCCCGATATTGGTATAGCAGGGGCTGGCTCGGGTGCCATAGAATCGCCGGACGTCATTTGCATCCCTGTCTTGTCTCTCTGACCCCTCTGATGGCTGCAATCTTCTATTTCTAGGCGTTTCGTTGCCCGGCGCCTCCTATTTCCGTCGCCCCTTGCGGCACATCATTTTGAATAAGCCTTCCAAGCTACAGCATTGACAACTCGTCTGGTCTCCAAGCCGACACCCTCGTCCATTGACGAGCTTTGGGAGGCCGACAGACTTCTGTGTGAAGACATAAGGAGATACACATCGTCTGCAACAACAGCCAGGCTTGATGGCGACGTCCTGGCTGCAACATGGCTCGAAGAGAAGGCGAAAGCTTGCCTGGTCAGATTCTTCTTTTATTATTACATCGTCCTTCTCAGAACGACAAAAATTCATCCTCAATACTAAAAGTCTCAGGAGAAAGCTCTTCCAATGTCACCCTCGAACTCTTCGTGAACTGTGAAGAAGAAGCCAAGTCCGCTGATTGATATCCTCCTTCACTTCCCGATTTCGAGCCTTCACTGCTCAACCGCCAGAAATAGTCAGGCGGCGGGTTTGAACCAACCCCAAGCAACGGCAGACTCAACTTCCAGTTCTCGATAGCAGAGTCCGATGCGTCTGCGACGTAGGGGTAGTGTTTCTTGATCACCTCGGAGAAGTAGAGCTGATCGGAGCGTTTCTGTGCTGATGTACTGCAGACGAGCAAGATCCAGAGAAAGAGGACCGATAGGGGTGTGGGTGGGGCCACTGCTTCCCCTGTATCGGCTGCTATGCCGATGATGTGTTTGAGTAGGCCGTCCGTCAGTCTCTGACGTACCTCTTTGCAGGCGGCTTGTGCAGCAGGCGAAGGGCATAGGACGAACAGGAAGGATGTTAACCTCGTACATGTTTGAAGCTCTATTCGCCATTCAGGGTCTTGTCCAGTGGCATCGCCACTTTGAAGGTCCGTACACATCTCCGCCAGATGTACAGCTAGCTTGAGCAGTTCGACCGCCTGTTGAATACCAAGTGTGTCGTGAAACACAGGAGTACACTTTGCAGGATGGCAGAGTGCTATCATCGCACAAAGGACGTCGAGGAGCTGTGAATCCACCTTCAAGTGTTTCAGAGACAGAAGTGCTGCCAGCGGTAACTTGAACCCCTGGGCCTCAACATCCGCAAGTGCTGAACGCCCTGTATCGCCATACGGTCTCCTGAGCTGAGCATTGACTCCGTGAATCCGGCTGAGGTTCGTCAACAGTAAGACGCTATGCGTGCAGTGGATATGTGCTGCAAACTTGTAAGCGGCCAGGTCCGAGATGGAGCTGCATGTCAGAGCGCAGGCATTGATGTGCTTAAGGGCGGTGTCCCAATCACCCTGCTGAGACCGAATCATCGCAAGGCGTGATATAGCCCATGTGATGGCTTCTTTGCTGGTTGAATCGGCTTCGTCGTCGATCTTGGCTTGCTTCAACCCCCGTGAGATGGACATGATGGCCTCCGTTTCGTGCTCGATGGCTTTGATCTTGTCCTGCGAAAACATGTTGTAGGCTATGGCGAGGAAGCTGTGATATAGTTTTGGGTCGCTGGCCGTCTCGCGGAAGAGATCTGGCTTGTAGGCGTCCCATCGGTAGCCACGATAGTATCGCTCGAAGAGACTGACGAAAGCTTCATCGACGCTGACGGGGAATGAATTGAAGGGCTCGAAGCTGCCTCTAGCAAGAGTCACGGTCGACGTCTCTGAGCATCGGGTCCTTCGTTGACATCCATGCTTGACAACGTGCAGTGAATCTGTCTCGTCCGGCTGCGGCGGTTTCGTGGTCGATCTGCGACTCTCCGGACTCATGACGCCACCCTCCCTCGAGCGATCTTTCTTAGACCCGAACACTGGCCTCCGGCGCCTCTGAACATATGCCTGAGCGTGGCTCCGGATTAGACTCAGCTTGTCTTCATCACAGCGCCTGCGAGCCGGGCTGTGGCTGACGAAGAGGACTTCTTCCTGTATGGAGAACATTGGATGGCCTGAATCCGGACAAGATCACCGTGTAGGAGATAGTATCAGACATGCGCCGGTAAAAGTGCACGGAGGTCGTCCGGGAAGAGATTAATCAGCGCGAGGTGGGAGATGATATAATTCTTGTTCGCTGCATAGCTCTCCACTATAGAGGTCTGTGCGGCGAGATATACCGGTGTCACATGCCTGGGGCCGAAAAAAGTTAAAGTTGTAGAAGTTGAAACTCGGCCGAGCATTGCATCGATCTTGTGGCTATATCGGGTGTAGTCGAGGTGTTGCAGGAGGAAGGTAAAGCCTGATGTAGGGCCGTGCAGCCACGATTGTCCTATCAAAGACACCTCATTATAGATCATAATATGCTTGCCTTTGTCTTCAGTTTGGTCGTTCCTCATCGATCTTCTTCCGATGCGTGGATCATCTTAGCAGCAGTAGATGACTATCCAAATGGAAAGGAAGCAAGAGCTTCCGAAGGATCACCAAAGCTGGTTGCTTCCGGATGAACTCGGCCATTACCACGAAGGGCGAAATCGAGAGATCCATTGGAGTTAGTCCAGATGTAAGATCTCGCAAAGGCCTTGAGCTTCAGAAATGCGTTCTCGATGATTAGAAGTAGCGACATGGCACACCCTTCGCCGCCAACAGGCCCATCCCTCCTCAATATTGGCGGCATGAAGAGCTCTTCATTAACGCTGAGAAGCCCCGAGGCAGACCGTTCAACAGCTTCAAAGCTCACACTTCACCAAACATGACCACGCCAAACCCAAAAGACCTCGTCAAAACCTCCTACGACAGCATAGCACCCGCTTACTTTAACTTCATCACGAAACTGCCAAGTCCCAAGCTACTCTGGGTGGACAAGCTCCTCGACAACCTTACAAGCACCTCGAATGTCCTGGAACTGGGCTGCGGGAATGGCATGTCCGGGACTCTGCCACTCGCTGAGAAAGTACGAAGAGTCGTAGCGAACGATATCTCCACGGCGCAGATTGAGATTGCGAAGGGGAAGTTGGCTGGGCGTGGGAATGTGGAGTTCTTGGAGGGTGATATGACGGGATTGCAGTTTGAAGAGGGGAGCTTTGATGCTATCATGGCGTTGCATTCAATTTTCCATCTCCCAAGGGAGGAGCAGCCGGTGATGCTTGGGTTGGTGTATAAGTGAGAATCCTGGTAGTATCATGAAAGATTGGCTGGGAGCTGATATGTTTAGCAGCAGCCTAGGGGCGGAAGGGAGCAAGCAGATGTTGGGTGATGCCGGCTTCGAAATTCTCGAGGCGGAAGTTGTGAGGACTGTGGACGAGAAGAAGACGGTGCCGTTCTTGTGGGTATTAGCCCGGAAGCCATGAAGTCGATATTTTCATCCCTCGAATGGCCAGCCTTGCAACTTGACTGTCAAGACCTCACTGCCCTCCTCCTCCGCTCTCAGCTTCTCCATCAGCTCCTCCACGTCCCAGTTCGCAAACAAATACTTCCCCGTGCACGCCTTTCCCGCCTCAGGCGTGCTCAGCCAAACGAAGAAGTCCGCAGGCAGATCGTGCGTGTCGAGGAGGCCAACGCTCCGCATATATGCCTTCTGCTCGTCGGTAGCAGTCAACATATCCGTGTCGATAATCCCAGGATGAACGCTGACGACGCTGATCGAGGGATTTTCCTGAGCAAGATGCTGCATGATCTGAGCGAGGGCGATTTTGGAGCCGTTGTAGGCACTTTTGGCCACCCAGCCGGGGAATGTCAATGTGAACGGCAAGGCAGCATTGACAGAGATGATGGTTGGGGAGCCCTGGGGATTCACATGCGGTAGAAAGGCTTGCGCGGTGATGAAAGAGCCCTTGACGTTCGTTTCGAAGGCCGACCACCACACGGTGAGGTCTGCGGTTTGGATGGGAGCTCTCCCTGGAGAGATGCCTGCATTGAGAACGAGGACATCCCACAGTCCGACTGCATCTGCGGCTAGCTGGAGACCCTCTGCATCGGTGGATTCGCAAACGTGAATACTAGTCTGCGTATGAGAGTTGGCTGCTTCGATGGATCTTCGAGTCTCCTCAAGAGCTTCCTGACGGCGTCCAAGGAGGGCTATTTTTACGGCACCAGCTTTCGCAAAGGACACTGCCGTTGCTCGTCCAATTCCACCTGAAGCTCCAGTGATGACAACCGTCTTGCCCGTGGCTCGACCCGCCGGTGACAGGGCTGGATAGGTATCGTTTCGCCAAATCTTGGTAAACGACGGAAAGGGAGGCTTCATTGCAACGTCTCGACCAGTAGTGGTTCCATTAGCCGCAGACTGGGCTGAGGTATCGTTGTGCCACGTCTTCGTCGACGACGGAAAGAAAGGATTCGTCGCCATTTCTCGGACAACACAAGAGAGTCAACATAAAAAAGTGAGCCCGAGGCTGGGATCAGGATGCTCGAGCTTTTGAGAGACAAATCCAAGATCGAAGGGCGTGGGAATCCAGGCTCGCTTGTTCAACCAGATGGGAAAGTCGGCGCCGTCGTTCGCGAGCATTCCCGAACACTTATGTGGTCTCGCATCATTCCGACTCAATAGTGGACGAAAGTGCTTCGTCAAGTGGATTGATACGTTGTCGTCGATGCTTTCGGTCAATGCAGCCCTAAGGTTATCTGTAGGCCTTGCATAATCTCGCCCCAGGGTTCATCAACGAAGTAAGACCTCACCCTGGACAATCTGGTACAAATGGGTGAATGAGTCGGCATCTCTGCCCTTGAACACGGCCCTAGGGTTGCTGAGGGCCTCGGGTGCCATCTGGCCCCAGGGCTGAAAACCGCCAAGCATATCACATGCCTGTTAGGGCAATATTCATTCTCAGTACGAAGACAGCATAACATCACTGCGACAACGACAACTTCTCCCACGCAGTCTCAAAACTCGACCCCTCCCCCGCCTCACCCACCCTCACCAAACGGCCCAACACCTCCAGATCAATCGTATTCCTTGGCCACCGCACCCCCCCCCCCCCCGGAATCCTCAACTTCATGGTAAACCTCCAATCCTTCGGCTGCGCAAGGTACCACTTCACCAAGTCCTCGGGTCGGGTGAACATGACCCAAAAGGCGTTGCGGCAGTAGTAGGGCTCGAGGAGACGATGGCGGGTGGCGTGGGAGACTTGGAGAATTGACGGGGGCTTGTAATTTTTGTTGATGAGGTTGAGGGTGCCGGCGGGGATCGTGAAGGTGTAGGAGAAGATTATGTCGCGTAGCTCCTGGGGGAGACGGATGAGTTGCCATCGGAGGCTGTAAGTGTGGTTGGTGTGGGGGGTGGCGGCCATGGTTGCAGCGGCTTGGGGGAGGTTCAGCCGTGATGGCAGTGCGGGTAGTTTTCGCTGCGTTCTGGTGAAGAGCAAGAAGAAAGTCCCGCCGACGCGACCATCCAAACTCTCCTTCTCCTTTCGAGTTGCAACTCTCCCAAGTTCGCCTTCTGTGCGCCAAGCATACCAAAGCATCTCTCGACCGACGGAAAGGTAATAAGCAGCCTTGCCCTAGCATCAAAAACACACCAACGCCATCCACCCATCTCCGCCTCACTGTCCAGATCAAGCAAAATCCCAAGCAAAAGCAAAAGCCGGATCCGGCGGCCACCTTCCCCTCCAATACTCCCTCACCTTCCCCTCCCAAGCTTCCTCCACACCCCTCCTAACGCCCTCCCTCACCTCGTCCGGAACCGCGTTCGAAAACCGCCAGACATCCTTCGCTTCGTTTGGCTCAAACACATTGCCGTGGTAGTAGGTTTTCAGGATGCGCGAGCGGGTGTGTCGGGAGACCTGCAAGATCGCGGGGAGGGCGTAGGTTTCGTCGAGGGGGATGGTGAGAGCGGTGGGTGGGGTGAAGGTGTAGGCGAAGATGAGGTCGTGGAGTTCTTGGGGGAGGTTGAAGAGGTGCGTGCGGAGGAGGGTGGTTGAGGAGTCTTGCGGGGGCGGTGGAGGGCGGAGAGGGAAGTATGTGGCGGTTTGGGGGAGTTGCGAGAAGGCGTCGTGGGGGGTGGAATGCCATGCGTATCGGAGGGATGTCTCGTCGCTACTGCTGTGGAGGGATAAGGGATCCTTGCCGGACCAGGCGCAGACCTCGGCGGAGAGCATTGTGTATCGTCAGGGTTGAGGTTGTAGAATTTCCAGTGGGTGTCAATGTCCAGTGTGAGATGTGTGTACACGAGATGCTTCAGCAGTGTCCGGCTTGGTTCTGGCAAGCCAGCGCGAAACCGCCAGCGACAACGAGAGCGTCTTCAACTCCTTGCGATACCGAACGCAACGACTCGATCCAGTCTAATTCGTGCCGCGGGAAACAGATGGCTCTGTATTAAAACAGTCCGGGCGCATGTGTAAACACGACAGCGGCCTGGATCCTCGTCCTGGTATCGTTAACGCGCCAACGATATCGCAGCGTCGCACGTCGCAACCCAGCAAGGACAGTACTGAAAATACGTGGGCGGCGATCGAGCGGTTGCATCGTCGAATGAATCTCATCGCGTGTTGCTGAAGAGAAGTGACCTTGATATTTGTGCCGCTTCGGGTTCCGTCCATGGTTGTACGACTGCCCCAACCTCCGCTTGGTGTGCGAAATAGGGGACTTACAATTTGTCCGAACCAAGTCAGCAACGCATTCTCACACACATGACGACACAAACCGGATCCATCATTGATGGGGAATGGAGAGGATAGAATCAGATTGTCATTTTGCACACGAACCTATAAATCCTCATCGTCGATGTCGATCTCGTCCGTATTCACAACCTTGACGGGCTCTGCGTCCTGCTTCGCTGAAGGGCGATTTCCGCCTTCGGGACCGGAACTCGCTGCGACGAAACCCACAGGCGCCTTTGCCTGTCGCTCCAGTGCGGCCATGGCATCTGCCGTGTCTTGGTCCATTTCTTCGGCATCCCCGTGTTCGGCGGAACCACCAACGGCGGTCTGCTGTCTCGCAACGGCCTGGCTGGCGATGAAGTTGACGTCGGTATTGAACTGAGCTTGCACTGAGCGTTTGATCCGCAGCATTTCTTTGAAAGTGTCCTCGTTGCCGTGTTGGACCTCGAAGCTTTCCCACTTTCGCCAGAATTCTGCGTCCACTCGTGGATCGCAGAATTGTGAAGCGTGGCCGTAGATTGCTCTCGCTCGGTCGATTTCTCCCAGTCTGCGCTCCATCTCTGCGAATTTGACGCACATGCTCGCTGCCTCTTTGTCTGGAAGGGCGGCAATGGCACGCTCGTAAATTGATCGTGTCGATGTCAGGCCAAAGTTTGAGGCGGACTTCGTGATGTAGAATTCGAACATTTCGGCTCGATCTTCATCTGCAACAGCCCTCGTCGCACGTTCGTATATCCGCATGGCATGTCTTGCCAGTCCTCGCTCTTCTTCCAAGGCACCGTACATGAGGTACAACGTCTTGGCGAAGCGTGGAGGACAGCCTTCGACGGCTTGTTCGAAGAGGTCTCGAAGTCGTTCGATGGATATCCGACGATCGACCGCTTTTGTGAGGTAGAGATTCCAGAGTTCGAATGCGACGGGGTATGAGAAAAGATCCAGGCCTCGCTCGTAGACCTTGAATGACTCCTCGTGGTATCCGTTCTCCTCAAGCAGGTTGGAGTAATTGACGACGGTTTGTGGAGTGGCAATGCGAAGCTCGAAGATGCGCTCGTAGACCTTCTTCGTCTCGTCAAGTGAAGACACTGACTCGACCAGATCGACGTAGAACGACCACAATTTCCAGCTCTTATGAACTCTCTGCTGCGGTGAAAGCGTCTCGTCGAAGTAGTCGACATTGCTTCGTTTGGGTGCTTTTGTCGCTGTCGCCATGATGTTGACTGCCTGATCGAAATTCTCGTTCCTCAGCTCCATCTCAGCCCATTCCGTCCACATCTCTGCCAGCTCAGAGACAGACTTGTACGGCACCTTGACGGCCTTCTCCATGATGATTCGCGCATTCTGGAGGTCGCCGCCAGCTTCGTAGAATTTCGCATAGTTTGTCCAGAGTTCGTGGAAGCGGCCGACGCATTTCTTCGGATTGATAGCAGCAATCGCGTCTGCATATGTCTGCACAACCATTGCTTTGTTCTCGCCCCACAAGGCCACCCGCTTCTGCCACTCGACTACGTTGTGGGGGTTCTGCCGTAGTAGCACGTCGTTCACCAGGAAAGGTCTCCGGTCCATGAGTTGTTCGAATCGCAGCATTCTGATGTCGAGGTCCAGGTCGGCATCTTCATCGACTCTACCCTTCTGTTGCCGTTTTGCCGAGTCTTCCAGCTTGATGGAAATGAGTGCTTCCTCAGCCTCCGCGTATGTGTCGAATACCACGCTGAAGTCTCGCACTGTCATCACACTGGTGATGCCCTCCTCGAAGATGTCTCGCGCACGCTCGTATGCCCCCAAGTTGATGTAATATCTGGCTAATCCAACCCATAGAATTCCTCTTTGATCGGCAAACCTCTCCAGTCCTGATCTGATGATGGTCTCCACGGATATGGTGCTTCCATTCGATAGAGGTACAGGATTGGGGACGAGTCGCGCATGATCGATGAGGACTTCCAGCATCTCAGTCCAGTGTTGGAATGGGCCCTTCGCTTCCTTGCTCTTGAATTTCGGGTTGTTCAAAATCTCGATGTACCGCTGCACCGCCTCCGTGTACTTTCCCTCATTCACCAACAGCTCAATGAAATCTTCTGTGTGTTCCGGATGAATCTGAATGTACCGCCGCCACACCTTGACCGCCGTCTCTCCGCCTGCAGAATTCGCAAAGGGTCTGTAGAGTGCCCATATCCGGTTGTGCTGGGTGACTGGCAGGGCTCGTAGTGCTCGGTCGAACGTTCTTCGCGTGAAAGTTACGAGGGGTTGTTGGCACAAGAAGGACAGGTACATCTCCCATATCTTGGGCATCTTGTTCAGCAGAACGAGAGCCCGCTCGAACAGCGCATTGACCTGGTATAAAGTTAGCGCTGAACATGATCACATGCAGAACGACCTCTGTAAGACGCAGAGGCATGATTTGTAGTCTTGACAAGGTCCCAAGCAGGAGCAGATGAATGCGCCGTGTCCAGAGATATCGCCATCAGTGCGCAAACACCTCCATATGAGGCACTTGACTGATATACCAACAGCCTCAAAATCTCTTCCAACAACAAATCCCACTGCCTCTGCTTCACTCTTTTTTCACTCACCTTCTGAAACTCGGTCTTCCACCTCGCCGGACTCCTCCCCTTCAGATGAGAGACCCTCAACTCCAGATACATCTTCCACAGCTTGTAGCTCCGCGGCAAGGCATTGCAGGCCCTCTCCAGCACAAAGCTCTGCTCGAGCGTGGTGCCATACTGCCGCTTGAAATGGGCATAGTCGAGCCAGGCCTTGACGCTGCCGGGCGAGCGCAGGATGTCGTTTTCGTAGACTTGGTCGTTCGCCGAGATGAGGTACAGCGGCGGCGCGTGCGGGTTGGCGGCCATGCTGGCGGTGGTGAGAGTGGTGGTGGTGGTGGTGGTGGTGGAGGTCGGCTCGGCGGATTTGCGACGGGTGGGGAGGCCGATGGCAGCGCTGAGGGTGAGGTTGAACGCCAGGCTGCCCGGCATAATCTGGAAAAGCAGTGAGTGAATAATGAAGCCCGCACTATTTTAGCAGCATGCAAGGGCTGAGGTGCGCGACCACCTCGCCGGCGCGAAAATTAAACTTTATCACGGGTTATGTAATTGCGTCTTGGATTTGAAAGTGGTATGCCGTAGATGCTGCTGCAGCTGTCTCGCATTAACGTCGCTGGAGCTCCCACTACACACACCAACACATACCACGACGACGACGCCTCGATATCACCCTCTACGCCCTGATAACCCCTTCAGAAGCTGTAAAACACCACTGCGACTTCAATAACTGCCCCCAAAGTCGCCCACCATGTCGGGCAAGGTACATCCACCACCCTCCATCCACCCTCCCACCACTCACTCACAGTCGTTATGACAATAGGACCGCGAACCAGTCTTCCCGACCCGACAAGCGCTCGGCATCATGAAATCCAAGCTCAAAGGCGCCCAAGTCGGCCACGACCTGCTCAAGCGCAAATCCGAAGCCCTCACCAAGCGTTTCCGCGAAATCACCAAGCGCATCGACGACGCCAAGCGCAAGATGGGTCGCGTCATGCAGATCGCCGCCTTTTCGCTGGCCGAAGTGACTTATGCTGTGGGGAATAACAGTATCGCATACCAGATCACGGAGACGGCGAGGCAGGCCAAGTTCCGCGTGAGGACGAAGCAAGAGAACGTCAGTGGTGTGTTTTTGCCGGCTTTTGAGAGCTTTCAGGTCGAAGGCGCCAGTGAGTTTGGCATGACGGGGTTGGGCAAGGGTGGACAGCAGGTGCAGAAGTGTAGGGAGACGTATACGAGGGCTGTGGAGACGCTGGTCGAGTTGGCGAGCTTGCAGACGGCGTTTGTGATTCTGGATGAGGTGATCAAGGTGGTGAATCGGAGAGTCAACGCCATGTATGTGTTGGTGTTGTGTTGCTGAGGGTGTGCGTGCTGACGATCGTGACAGTGAACATGTGATCATCCCACGAACCGAGAACACGATCAAGTACATCAACTCGGAACTCGACGAGCTGGACCGAGAAGAGTTCTTCCGGCTGAAGAAGGTCAAAGGTGTGAAAGAAAAGGTTCAAGCGGAGGAGGAGGCAGAACGACAGAAGAAGAAGAAGAGCAGCGACAAGGAGAACGAAGCGGAGCCGGAGTCAAAGAATGTACTAGGCGACGACGGCGATGAGGATGTCATCTTTTAGTGCTGTGAGTCTTAACGAGCGTGTACAATTGCAACATTCTATAAAGCACTACCAGGAACGCATTTGAATATCGGACGTTACTACCCTCTGCCGACGAATCCTCCCACGACGTCCTAGGGATTCGCAGTCCTCCGCACTAAGAAATCGACTTGACCATTCCACCGGGCAGAAGAAGAGATGAAAGCAACCTCCCATCCTCCACCATCGATCAAGCCACAAGCCTCACAATCGCCCCCCCCCCCCCCCCCTAATCACTCTCATCCCCATCATGCTCCCACTGACCCGCATTCCACCCGTCGTCCTCGAGGTTGTGCCAGTACTGACACTCATACACCTTCTCGAACGCGCTGCCAGTGACAGCGTCCCAGAAAGCTACACACCCATCAGCCTCACCGATGCACTCCGACAAAGAAAGGGGGAAAAGGGAGAATACTCACAGACGTTACACATCTCCCTCTCCAGCTCCTCCTCGTAGGTCATGTCGTAGTCCTCGACGTGGCCGCGCTTGTTGACGCGCGTGACGGAGATGACCTGGTAGGGCGTCTTCTCGCCCGCGAAGTGGACCGGCTGCGGGAGGTCGGTGTTGGGGCGTACCCACTCCTTGATGGCGTTGGGGAGTACGTCCTCCTTGATGGCATGGGGGAGTACGTCCTCCTTGGGGACCGGCTTGGAGTAGGCAGGACCCGTGTGGAAGTCGGCGGGGTCGAGTTCCTCGATGGGATCGAGTGGGTTGGGGACGCCAACCCCTGGCCAGCCGCCGGTTGGTGCGGCCACGGCGATGCTGGCGAGGCTGAGGCCGAGGCCGAGGAGGGTGGTGGTGAACTTCATGTTCTTCGAAGGAGAGGATGGGTTAGTATGTATGGAAGGGTAAGAGAGGGAGAGGTGACTTACTGTGAGTAGTTGTAAGTTGTAAGCTGTTGTTGTCCGAGATGTGAGATTGATGTTGCATGAAGACTGAGTCCCCAGGAGCGAGGTATCTGTTACTGATATACCCTGCCTCCCTCACCACGGAAGCCTCGCTGGAAATCTTCAAGAATTCATTTGTCCTCTCGTGCGTGGCATTTTTCCCAGAATGGAGCTAGTCAGCAAAGATTTAACATGTGACACAGCCCAACGCCAGACACCGCGCGTGGTGAAGGTAATCAAGATTTCACCATTCGCTCAAAAGCCATGAGTAAGTCTATCCAAAGATTCAAGAAAATCAAGACTACATCTCCACGATTTGCAAATGGAGAAATCGCTCTTGCAACTTGTCAGGACCGCAGACCGGCGACGTGTGTGCGAGATGTAGGGAACTTTTTGGAGGACTGGAGAGTTTTGCGATACAAGGTAAATCATCTCATTTAGGGTGTATTGTGTCCAAGAGCTAATCTTATTGTCGACTATCTGTGGCGGGAAAAGCGAGACGAGCACGATTCATCCAGAACCAAAGCACCAACGCCGCCATCTCTCCGTCCCCTATCCCCGATTCTCCAAGCAACACCATCCCCCAATCCCTCTACTCAGCAGCATGATCCCCCTCGTTGCACCGGGGATTCCTCCTACTTCCCAGCAGCTCCTCCAGCGGCTCACCCCCCTTGATGTGAGCATACACCAACTAGTTGTTGTTCCACTTCTCCTTCTGCTCCTTGCGCCACTTCGCGCACTTGAGACCTTTGTCGTACGCGCTGAAGACGAAGAGCACATCCGCGGGCTCTGTGGACAGTCAGACAGGCAGGAGACGAAGAGGAGGTGAAGTAACTTACTGATCTTCTTCTCGCACGGATTCTCTCCATCGTCATCACGAACAGCGACATCGCGAGCATCAACGACAGCACGGTCAGACTCCACATCCTGGGGATCGCGAATGCGTTTGCTCCACTCCTCGGCGGGATCGGCCTCCCCCTCGTCACAGGGACCGGGATCCTTCTCCCCACCAGCGCCCTCGTCGCGCTTCCAGATGAAACGCCAGAGATCCTTGATGGCTGAGCCCCAGGTCTGGTCCTGCTTGTCGTGGTGACCGTCACCGCGAGGGGCGACAGCACCCTCGTCGCGGTTCCAGACGAAACGCCAGAGATCTTTGATGGCTGAGCCCCAGGACTGGTCGTGCTTGTCGTGATGACCGTCACCGCGAGGGGCAATACCGCGGATGGGGTCGCTCCAGAAGTTCCAAAAGTTGTGCCGCGAGCCGCAATACGGAGAAGCACCTTTGCACGGGAACTCTGGTTTGGGGTGGGGCAAGTCGACATCCCCGAAGGGATCGGTGGTGACGGTGCTGTCGTTGGTGCCGTTGACGGCCTGGAACTCCGGCAGGTCCTGCAGAGGATCGTCGGTTGCGATCGGACGAGGTGGCATCCCAGTTGGGAGAGCCAGGGCAGCGCCCAAGAGGGCGGCGAGGGTGAGGGTTAGCCTCATGTTAGATAGTGGCTTGTGTTAGTACTGAAAGGGTGTAGATAAGATTCACTTGGATCTTTCTTGATATGAAGGTGAGGAAAAGAAAGGAGAAGTAAAGCGGGCGGACCTGTGCTTTTTGAACCCCCGAAAAGTGAGTCCCCTCTCCTACAAGAAATTCTTTCTAAATTGAATTAAAGAAATGTGAAGATAATTAATATACTGAAAGCTAGTCAGCAGGAAGCGTGACCCCGGCAGGACAGCTTTGCATGTGATTGCGGACTAGCGCTGTGGGGCGGTTTTCACGGAGAGGCTTTCAGACTTCACGTCTTCCTCTTTCCTCGCTATTACAGCCCACAACACGCCCTTTTCACGCTCATGTGATAGCGACAACCAGGTCTCCTGCGTCCGTGATAGGTAACTCTCGATGGTAACTCTCGCTAACGACACTGCTCACCAGCGTACGAGTACATACCGACAGGCTCACCCTGACCGCCATCACGCAACAAGACATCAAGGTTCATCAAGAGCGGTCCGACCGCCTCTCACTGCGCCTCCCTCCCATCAGCCTTCACCAGCAACTACTCTCTCCTCCACACCAACCAACCACCACCTCGACATGTCATCGCCAGCAGACTGCATTCCGCGGCTCGAGGCGACAGAACCAACCGCCATACGCAACTATGACCACCCAGCGCACTGCAAGGCTCTCCGATTGCCATTCAAAAATCTTCCCGTGGCGAGTTGTCTTATTCTTGTCGTCCAACCTTCACAACGACCACGGCTCCTGCACAACCCGACCAAGCTGCCCACTACCAGGCTCACGGTATGAGTTAAACGCACTCGCCTCGTCGTGCTACTCAAAGTAGCCCCTTGGCAAAGGATCCAGTCGTGGGAGTGTAAGAATCCACTCTCACCACGGAGGTCATGCAGCCCAAGAACTACTCAAACTGATTCCGACTTCGCCCATCGACTGCCAGGAGATCTTCTCACTATGGGCTTTCCTACTCGTCCAACCTCCACATCGACCACGTCTCCTATACAACCCGACCAAGCACACTTTTCTCTCCAACCAGGCTCGCGGAAAGTCCCACTCACGCCATTAACGGTGATCAGGTTCCCCCAAGTTGTTCCAAGATACTCTCACGAATCTGGTACCTGCAACCCATCTTAGCTGGACGCCCAGCGAGTAGTAAGCACAAGAATCTCCCCTCAGCAAATAACGCCACGGTAAGTATGCTCTTCAACCCTTCAGATCATGAACAGACAGTAACCACAGCCCAATCGTGTACAATTCAGCTACAGAAACCGGCTATCAAAAACCGCCAAAAAAGCAAAGCCGCCACCACGGGTATCTCGATTCCAACGCCAAACCAATTCTCCCTAAAACTCAAGATCTGACTTCAAAGCACACGAGACCTCCTTGCCTCCACACTTCATCATCGCCATTCAGGCGGAACCTCCTGCTTCACAGCCCCATCCCGACCCTCGCTACCAGCAGAAGACCGCGACCGCCGCCGATCCAAGTCGTCAATGTACTGCCTCCCGTCCGCGGTACTCCGAAGAAAATCAGCAAAACTCGACACATTTGCGCCTCCTCCATTTGGACCTCCTGAATCGAGCCGCGGCAGCTCGCGGGACTCTATCATCGTTGGGCCTGTTCTTTTCGGCTCGCCTATACATGGACGAGGGCCGGGAAGGTTGGCTGGTGTCCACGTTGATGTTCCCGACGGTCGACGTAGCCCTGGAGATGCTGATGATCTTGCTGACGGCGGCGTTGGTGCTGGTCCTGCTGGTGCTGATTCCGCTGCTAATGCTGTCGCCGTGAACGATGCTATCGTTGATGCTGACGAAAGTGCTGGCCCTCGTACCGATGGTGGAGTTTCGGATGCCCTCCCTGCCGCCAATACTGCTCTCGACCGTGCCAGCTCTGGACCGGATAATGGTGTCGTGCTCGGCGACGATTCTGGAACTGAGCCTCCCCTCGACGGTACGGGAGAAAATCTCTGATCAGAAGACTCCACAGCCGCCTGCGCCAACGTCTGCAGCGAACTCTGGAACGCGGTATGACTCAGTCCATATCGTGGATACTCTGTCCAGGAGTACTGCGGTAATCTCGTCGATGGCGATACCGTGCTGGCGCCTGAGCTCTGTCTGGAATGGCTTGCAGTGCTCGTGACGGCCTGCGGTATTCGCTCGATGACCAGAGGCGGGGGAAGAGGCGCCTGCGCTTGTGTAGGTGCTGGTCCAGTGCTGTATGATGGAGTCGGCGCATCGCTGCTGCTAGATGGCTGTGGCATTCGAGGCCGCTCATCGCCACGCCCTTCCTTGAACCTGAACGAATGCTGCCGTTTAGCGTCGTTATGTTCGTGGGATGGAGTCGAAGCCGGGCTCGATAATGCACCTTGGTTCGTCGCGACTGCTGCCGTCGCACTCGGTGGCGTACTGCTGCTGCTGCTAAAACTGCCGTTCGCACTCGTCGATGGCCTGCCCTTCGCCGCCCGCTTCTCCAAATCAGCCGGACCATGAGAGACGAAATTATTCGCCTTCAGCGGCCGCTTCTTCGTCGTCGATGCAGTGTCGGTTTTGGTTTTCTTGCTGGACTTCGGTTTGCGAGGTCCTATGCGATGCGAGTGCTGCGCCGCCGCGCTCCGGACTTGTCTCCGTGAGGCCTCGCCTCGGTCTCCATAGAACAAAATGCTATCCATGAGATTCTCTCCAGCATAGTCACATGCAGATATGGACGGGTGTTTAGTAGCTAGCGAATGTCGGCAATGTCTGGTCCCGATGAGCGGCTGTCGAGGAGAGGTCGTTGTAAGGGAAGTATATAAAGAGAAAGAAAGAAAGAGAAAAGAAGAAGCAAGAGGCACCGCCAGCCCAAGCGGCTCAGGTGATAGTTTTGTGATGCACGACAGGCAGGCAGGTAAGAACTGCCGGGCAACACGGTAAAAGTCGAGCAGCTACAAATCGACCAATCCGATTCCCTTATTCCTCGCACTCCCAGTAACCAACTTATCACAGTTTGTAATCCATGCAGGCCCGCAGGACGATGCAGAGCTTACTGGCCGCTATGCCCAATCGTTCCTTTCGCGTTCTTGCATAGCCCGGTTTAGGCAAATGGCAAGCGTTCGAAGTATAAGCAAGAAGATTGGAGGTTCAGGCTGTTGAGTCCTGTCAAGGAACCCATTTAACCATTATTCTTCTTCCATTGTGTTTCCATTCACCAATTCTAGTCGTCCTTTCCACTTCGATTACGACCACCTCCCCCGCCCGACCCGACGGTGAGGTGTATACGAGAACCGTGGGATTGCAAAGCTCCAATTCGACATCGATTTCGGATTCGGCGAATCCACTACCCCAAGCGTGCCAGCGGAAAGAGCTGTGAAAGGAAACAAATCCACTTTCTCCAGAGCCCGTCCAGCCTCGTCCTCGCTTACAAGCTTCCACCGAACCAATACCCGAGAGCGAGAATAAGACGTAGTCAGAAAAGTCAAAAAGATTGCATGACATCTTGCACTCCATCATGCAGCGGGAACAGGTCTTTGCAACAGGAACTTGGGTGCGAAAGGTACCTCTCTCTCACTACAATGCCCGCTTTTGGGGACGGAACAGGTGGCCTTGGTCGTCGTACCGTGCACTTTCCTTTTTGCGTTTGGATGGTCAAAGTCTAAAAGAGACGGACTAGGTTGCGTGTGTGTCTGCCGTCCTGCTTCTTCTTCTGTATCACCACCAACATTACTGCCCACATCAGCACTATCGTCGGCCGCTTTCCTCTTCACATGCAGACTGCGATACGAACAGACGAATCCAGTCTTCGAATGCGAACGTGAAAGAGAAGATAGACGGCACTAACTTACCAGAAAGGCAATCGGCCTGCGCTCCGATCTCCTCGTAGGGCACAGCGTCCGAATTGCCGAGCCTATAGCCCTCTTTCAGCCTTCGATAGTTCAAGGGTTGCTGTTCGTTTCTTTTGCTTTTTCTCTCATGCCGGTGCTTCAGCTTCAGCTTCAAATCACAGGATGCCGACATTATGCGTGCTTGCGGCGAAGCAACATGACAAAATCTTCTTTGAACGGACGGGGCGGGATAAACTGGTTCGTATCTTCGCTCGTATATGCATGTCCTGGAGAGGAAGGCGTCGCGTGCGAGCTGGTTTCATTCCTGCAGGATTCTCTGCGTGTTGGCTGACTGTTGCAGTGGTCGATCCACTTGGCCCGCCTTCTAGAAAAAGGTACTGCAGAATGATGCATGCGGTGTCCCGTGTGGCGGCTTCTGCCCATTTTTCCATTGCCCCGATTTGGGATGTCGTTTTGTTCATGTGACGGCGAAGTGATTGATGAATCTCGATCGAATGATCATGATCCTGTAAAGTTCATTTGTGAGGTAGATCAGTATTGTCGAAAGGAAGAATGTTAACAAGCGAGTTCGATGACATCGCATTCTAGCGAAGTTCGCAAGCCTGGTCACCCTATCGAGGTAGTGCTTTCGAAGGAATGGCACGTTGCCGCAAGTTCTCACGTCATCTTCCTGCATACCATGCGGCGCAAACTTGTGCTCCACCGATACCGTGCACTTACCTGGATAGGATGAACCGTCTGAAAGACCAACTTGACGCTTGCAACGACATCATGATCCGCTCGTCTCCGCGATAACGTGTCCATATCTTCACAGCTTCGACGGCATCCACTTCGGCTGCTTCTTCTCGGCGAAAGCTCTCAGCCCAATGCCCAGGTTCTTCCCTTCACGCAATGCTTTCCCAAATCGCAGCTCAGTGTCCTGACTCGCGCGCTCCACACTTCCTTGCTCCCAGCTCGCCCGCAGTCCATGCCTCGTGACAATGATAGCGTCGGGTGAGAGGCTAGCAACCTTCGCCGCCAGCTCGACAGCTTCGTCGACGACGCTCTCGTGGGTCTTCGACACGCTGTTCACGATGTTGTAGTTCGCGGCTTCGGTTGCGGAAAGGAAACGCCCAGCCATGGCGACCTCGCTGGCAATCGTCATGCCTGCGAGACGAACGAGGCGAGAGAGACCACCTGCGCCTGCATATAGACCACGCATAGCTTCTGGTAGCCCGAACGTAGCCTTCGGTGAAGCGATGATCATGTCACTGTATCCCACCATCAGCTTGACCACACCTCTCCACCTCATCAATAGGCTCGTCCACTCACCACCCCAAACAAATCTCAAACCCCCCACCAAGCGCAAACCCGTTCACTGCCGCAATGACAGGCTTCTTGCCCACCCTCCTGCTAACCCCCATAAACCCCGCGGTCGGATGCGTCAACAGCCTCCGATCCGGCAATTCGCTCTCTTTCAGCACCCCCCTCGCGACCTTCTCCCGCAGATTCGCCAGATCTTTCTGCTCGATGAGGTCTTGGCCGGCGCAGAAGGCTTTGGGGCCGGAGCCGGTGATTACGGCGACGCGGAGGGCGGGCTCGGAGTCGAACCATTGAAGGAGAGCGTCGGCTTCCCAGTGCGAGGCGTAGGGGAGGGAGTTCATTTGGGGAGCGCGGTTGATTGTTATGAGGATGACATACGGGGCTGGGTAGGTGAGGATGTAAGTGGGCGTTGGCGGAGGTTGCGTTTGTAGGGCTGTCTTCGTCATGGTGGTGCAGGCCACTCGGTCGCTGGCTGTGTATGTGTGTGAATTCTTGTGCTTCTCCTAGAGCAGGATATAGTAGTAGCAGAGTAGGAGTTATGCTCGGTCAATGGGCCTGATATGGACTGCGACTTATGAAGTGAGATAGATGGAGAGACCAGAGTCTGGGAGGATATTAATTGAGAGATCAACTTGCCATGGATAGGGACAGAAGTCGGATCGTGTAATCAAGTCTATGAGCCTAGGTATGTCAGGTCGCGTATGGGTGTTCGGTAAGAGATGCTCGGGATCCCGGCTGGAGCTCAGGTGGAGGAGTGAGGAGGTCAACGGTGGTCTAAAAGCAAGCTCAGTCATGCTTTTCTAGTCCGCCGTACAGCGTTTCCTAGACCTCACCTCGTCTTTTGACCTGCTCTTCTTCATTCACTCAAATCCCATCTCGCCTGACTTTCGCGACGCTCAAGATATGGCAATTTGGCCAAATCGTAATTGCGAACCTCTATCTGTATCCTTTAACAAGCATCACTCCACCCCCAAAGACCATCCCGCCCACTGACTCGCTTGCTTCGACGCCGCACCCTCCCAGGACATAGCAGCGATATTTCAAGCGACCACATCTGACTAGTACTGTCTACCGTAGCTGCGATCTTGCACAGAGATCCTCAGCCCTTCATGGATGCTCTCAAAAGAGCAAAAGCAAACACGGTCGCTGCAAACCAACTCCGAACATTCCACTTATCCAACCCATTAGACAACCGCGCAACTCGTAGAAGAATATCGGGAGGAAAATCCGCTGGCAGCTTGTCAATCCATTCCCGTGCCTTATCGCGATTGGCAGGCCCCTGATCCCGATCCGCTCTGGCAAGTAGACGGGGCAGCTGCTCCGCCGACGGCTCAGTGCAATATGCTGGCTGCCCGGGCTGGTACCGCCACGTGTCAGCAAGCTTGCCTGCGTTGTATGCGTCGAATCCGACATCCTCGACCAACGCCATAACGATGTCCAGAGCCGCAGTGTCGTCAGCCGACACAGGGAGCGCAACTCTCCCAGCCGAGCGTTTCGTTCTTGCGCTTGTGAAGATATTGGCCGCGATGATGTTGTTGAATGCTTTCACCACCGGAACCGACACATTCTGTGATATCCACACGCTATCCGGCAAGCCTTTATCCAGCTCCTCGACCCGGCCATCACGGGACGGATAGTAGTTGCAAGCATCCAGCAAGATGGAGCCCGGGCGCAGCGAAGTTGCTCGAAGGATTGGATAAAATGCCGATATATTGCCTGTCGGGATCGCGAGGACGATGATTTCCGCCTCTGCAATTGCTTGTTTGACGTCTGCGGACTTGGCGCCTGTCTCCCTCTCTTGTTGGCGCAGCGTATCTGGGCCTCTGGAGTTCGAAAGACAGACTGTGTGTCCAGCTTTCACAAGTCTCTTCGCCAGAGCAACGCCGACTGGGCCAGCGCCGATGATTGCAATGCTGTGGGGGCTTGAAGTCGAGAACGATCCATCATGATTTGGGGCCGACATGTCTTGAGGAACGAGTCGAATTCCAGTTCTTCTATCGTACGCAAACACCTCTTTCGGCTGATCGGTACTCTTCTGTATGAAAGTAAGTTGGTTCCAGAACTGCCTGAGACTCGACTCGCGTTATTGTTGTCCTCGATGGCACCAGATTCAAAACTGCAACTGAATCAACAATGCAGCTGTGAGAATTCCACCTCAGCGTTGATATGATACCACATTCTCAACCCAACCGACAACTTTAAAAGTGCGAGTTATATACTCTCGTCCGGTGGCTCATTATTCCGGCGTGTCGGTTTCGCGTCGCCGCGGCTAGAGGAATTGACCCGATAACTGGAATTCATCTAAATCACACTGAAGGCCGAGGCAAACAGTCAGCATCTGTCGTGGAAGAGGGAAACGAACTTGTTGAGTGCAAAATAATTGTGCAGTGTAGCCAAGATGCACAAAGTCGGCAATGTTTCTGCTCCGGTCACTGATCAAGCTATGGATTCCTGTTTCGGGCCCGAATGAACTTTTTGTTTCGTGAGGACTAACTACATAACAGCACTACAGCCCAGCACGTTCGTTACTGATGATCTCACAGTTGCATGCTGTAAAAACAGTACTATACGTGGGTCAATCCGACGTCTACATTGAGATATACCTAGCGACTTCCTCGCTTCAGAGGCCGAAGTTCGTTGATTCAACATCCATTTGGCAAAATCTTGGCCACAGACGAAGTCGAAAAGCCATTGAAACGGCTACAGCGGCCGCATCCCTCCTTTTCCAACCCATGGTGGGGATGAACCAATGCTCACAACGCCCACACTTCACCAGATCGAGGATGCTGCCTTTCCGCCAAACTTGCGAACCGCTTACTCATTGCTTTCATTCTGACCAAGCGTGGTCGTGCTCGAAGACTCAATCTCCGGCTCTTGGACCTCCGATGACGGCACCCGTCGATTATCGCAAAGCGACGAGCACATAGTTGCCTTCAATCCTTACCGGCCATGCTTCGGCCAGTAAAACTATCCCGGAGTTCATGCGGCTGGGTCGGTTGACCTCTTCTGCACAAGAAGACCTAAGCATAGCCCCATTGACATTCGGCAAGCATCGTATCCTTACACAACCGGTGCGCGCGGGACGACGGGCATTGCATCATTTATCTCTATTCTGAAGACATTAAGCGAATATGTACTATTCCTGATGCATGCACGCCGGAGAATGCAGAGGAGAGCCATCTTGGCCTCCCTCATCAACATCAGAAGGGCAATCAGACTCAGTGCCGGTGAAAAATTCTGCTATGGCGGCTGCCTTGATCCTGGAATCAGCAACACCTTCGCTAATGCCGTGATCATTCTTCAGCCAATGGTCGATGGACTGAGAAGCCACACTTCGCTTACCATTACTCCAACACCCAGCGGCCAATTCCATTTCGCTCTACATCCAAGCTTAAGTGTGCGCTGCCAAGGTCTTCGCGACTCGGCTCTGCTCCCTCCACTTCCCATTGTAACAGCTACCGTTGGCCACTCTTCATAGACCTCGGGGCGCAGCACATGCGAACCATCCCTTGGCCTTTATGCAGCCCGGAGAATTGGTATTCCTGAAACGTCTTGGATGTGGCAACTACAACGTCCTGGAGGCCACCCGGCCATGAAGGGCATCGACAACATGCCCTGCTTCCAGGCAGATGGGAGTGAATACAAAGTGTACGAAGTCCTCGACGCTGTCCGTGAGACTTCCAAGGACTTGCAACAGAAGCCAATTGATACATTTGCCCAGCCCATCAACCACAGCACGTGCTACAACATCACGCCATGCTACCTCCCAATTCCAGCTACGTGGCTCCACTGCCAATCGAACCCACTGTTGGCACGACGCTTGTTTCACCACCAACAACAAGCCTTCCACCTCTAACCAACCCAGGCGGGCCAGGACCCGACCGTTTGGGTCCATGGCAGATCGTCACCATCGTTGGTGGGCTGGTTTTTGGCGCTGCGACTTTGATAGTCCCCGGCATCACCATTTGGAAAATTTGGAAGAAGCGAGTTGTGGTCCCAAGAGACGATACGAAAGATGAGCATGGCCAAGAGCTGTATACTATCCACACCATATCGGTGTTGACCTATGCTGAGACCTTCACAGTGCTGCAATTCTCATCGAACATCACCCTCATCCGGTGGACATGAATGTTGGCCACCACTAGTCAACATTAGCGAGCGCCCCTTGGAGTCGTACCAAGCTTTGCGGTCACCGCAGTCGGCAGCCTTGCTTGCGTGCTGCCGAAAGAGCTTGATTTGTTAGCGATGGGCGTTGGATGCGAATACAGCGGTATGTTGAGGGGAGAGTTCAGGTACTCATGTGTTTTGTATTTCAAGGGATGTGGTGGCATGTAAGATGAAAATAAATGCAGACTCGATGGGCTTGCAATTTAACCTGCGCGTACACCCTCAGGTTCGATTGTTGTGTTGCGGGGTCGCCGCCCTGGCTGCACTCTCGGTGGATACATCGAGCCTCCTTTGTCGACGGTCTAGGATCTAATGCTGGCTTTGTCTCTTGCATGCATGAGACCGACACAACTCTGAGACAGTGTCTCCGGCATGGCTACCGCAGATTTTCCCAAGGCAGCCACGACCTACAATATCCCTTTACCTCACATTATCCTTCCATATCTGTCACTCTACTACCATAAAACACTCAAAACTTCATACTGCCATGTTTCAAATGCTACCAAGCCCTGAAAGCCACAACATCAGAGAAGGGTGACTCACGAATCGATGCCTAATCACGTTCTCGACAAGTGGACCAAATGCAGTCTTCGGCCACGTTTCCGCTTATCAAATCCAGAGCACCGACTTGCCAGGCAACACTGGTAATGGTGCGGTTGACCCACGTGTAGGACCCTTTACAGCCTGACGGTACCATATAGCCTTCCCGAAGCCGAGGAGTTTCCAAACCAGCGTCAATCCCCAAGACTTCGATATTGTGCTCTGCACACGAGAACACGTTCAGTACAATCGTATCAGCGATTCGCCATGGGAGGCCTCGATCACATGTGTCGATGAACAAGGGCATTGTTCTCTTTGTCCGTCATGAAGAATATTCACCTGTCGAGCCCGCTGCGCTGCCTCCAGTGGCGTTTGACGTGATAATGCTTACTACGTTCACGAGTTCTTGGGTCGGCGCACAATAGGATTCTCCACAATCAACAGGGTCGCTATATAAATCACCATGCCTCGCGCCTCGAAGGTGCGCTATACTCCCCCACACAAACACCCCCTTTCCCAAACCAGACCAGCCCAACATGAAGTTATTTTCATCCGTCTACTCGCGCCAAGAGAAGCGCATCAACGAACTCGAACAGGCTCTCGAGCAAGCTAATGCCACGATCGCGCATCTCCGCGCAGAGAACGCCGGTCACCCGACCGCTCGCCGCGATTCTGCATACAGCAGTACGAGAGCTTCCTCGCGAGCGCCATCTACCTCACCTGCACCGTCATACAGCCGGCCTACAGCGGCCTCTGCGAGAAAGCCTCTTACAGTGATTGACCCTGTAGTTTCTACGAAGCATCCCGCGAACTCTGCGACTGTCCATGGCATCCGCTACTACTACGTAGATGGGTGCATCGCTGAGCAGGAGAGATCGGGCAGAAATACCGGTTATCTCAAGCACACCAGGTCGTCGGCAAGGAAGGCTTCACACCCAGAAAGAGCCCTTGACGACGGTATCACCTACACTACGAGGTTGAGGGAAGACATGGAACGCTGGGATAGCTCGACCCCTGAGCCCGAAGACAACGATTCTAACTGGGGTCGGGTCGATGATGAGCCTGAATACCTTAGACTCGAGGATGGGAGCCTCGATGAGGTTGCTTCACTCAAGAAGACGACCCGGCTTAACGATGAAGACTTCTACAAGACGCAACAGGGCCAAGTAGGCATTCGATTCGATCATCAGATGCATTCCTTGAGAGAAGCCTTCGAGCTAGCACAGGATGCGTTGTTCGATGCTGCTCGAGAGCGCTGGCCGGAGACGTGGAGACGATTCTTCATTGCAGGTCCACGCAGCATTCGATTCGGTCGGGATGAGTTGTATGGCACAATTCTTGGAGAAGGCGGTTCGCGCTTCGTACATGGCGTGCACATATCCCCTGGCTACGAGGTCGCGTCTAGCCTTCTTGAAGTCGTCTACCTCCGCAACGCAGTCGCTCATCCTGGGCCAAAGAAGACTTGCGACATCGACAAGCTAATGGCACATGCTCAGCGGCTGGCATGTGCTCTACAAGATAAGACCCGAGCGAGGAAGATCCGTCAGTGTAGAGACGATCTCCAAGAGAAAGCCAAGGCATCGTTCGAAGAGATCGTCGCCTACGAGCCCTGGTCTCGTCTCCCAGAGCAAGGACCATGGCAGCCTCACCATCAGGGGTTTTTCACCAGGGTGAACGCAAGACACGGCAAGACCGAGGAGGAGATTGTGGAGACCTATGGCGCTGCGGCGATGCGAGCTGCTGCGGCATGGGACTTGCTTTGCCAAGACGTTGGACAGGATGATCCGGTTTACCTCGCCAGCATTGAAAAGCAAGATGCTGAGTGTGCTGAGCTAGCCGCAAAGACGGCTACAGAGGCTGAGGCTTAACCGCCCATTCCAATGGTGTTCAGACCTGAGGATTCCTCAAAGACAGAAGGCGTGAGGAGCTGCTAGCCTCAGGTGCTGCAGAGTCTGTCTGGCAGCCCGTGCTTGCAAAACCAGTATATCAGCCCACAGAGGACGGCTGGTAAGGAACAAAGGGATGGTTTTCTGGCTGAGAATTATGAGCGCTGTTTCAATATCCAATAGAGAAAGACTTCGATTTCCAGATCATACACGTGTGCAAACCTCTCATCAACTTCCTAATTAGCTCGGTATCTAAAATTCTTTCGGGAAGCACGTGAAGATGTTCTTTCAAGAATCATACCGTAAGTTAGCTCATAAATTATGAGACATCGGTGACTGATTTCGTTCGCCATTGTTTAATCCTGCCTAAAAGAGCTCAAACTCCCTGAAGATAGGTCTTGAATCACACTGTTCAATGGTAAGGTTGTCTGAGGCAAGGTCGTGGGGAGATATTAGACGACTGTCAGTGCTTTTTGTCGCCTCGATAGATTGAGTAGGAGGTTGCATATTCAATGACAGCTGCCGACCAAAGGATCCTGATCCCTGTTCTTGGAAGCTCACCGGTCAGAGCTTATTATTATTAGAGACCTCGCCATATTGTAGCCTTTCCCACACCCTGACTTGTGTTCGGAACATACTCACAATTGATCAAAGCACTGCCACGACACACGTGGAGACATGGCACTGAACGAAGAATTCTGGAATGCATGCTGGGAGAGACCGCTACCAGAAATTCAAGAACTGCCCACTGGCCGCTGTGCAGCCTGTACAAGAATAACATGGGAAAATTTCAGGTCTGACAGTGTCTTAGGCGAACATTCTCGTCCTCGGATGCTACTGATAGGGGACTTCTCCTACGTATCGAAATCAGCGTTTCGTGGGTGTCAGCTCTGCAGGATTATATTCTTACACATCGTTCAATCATTCGTACACACCAGTCAGGAATTTACCAGCCACAAGATCATCAAGCACATTGGACTAAGGCTTTCTTTGGATGATGAGCTATCGCTTCATTGTCGAAATGCTCAGAATAAAGAGATCACACTATCGGATCTGTCGGTGGCTGGGGTATTGGACCTCCAGGACAGCCATAGTCCCACGTCAAAGAGCAGCCCAGGAGCGTCCGACGAAGAAGGGACTCTACTGGGAGATTTACGGTGGGGACTGAACGACGCCACACGCGAGATTGAGCTCCTGAAGTGTGGTCAGTTGTTCCAAAGCCTGAAGTCGCATTGCTTTCGTAGCTGATCTTGTCGAAAGCGGCCAACAGACTTGTCCTAAACCCATCTGTCGACGTTCATAAACTACTAGTCCCGCACTGGCTACAAGACTGCCTCACCAACCATTCGACGTGCTGCCAGCATTCGAAGGGCGCGCTCTCTGAAATGCCCACGCGGGTTCTCGACGTTGGCTCAATGGACTCAACACGTAGCTGTTTGGTCTTGACGGCCGGTATGAATGAACCATATCTTACCTTGAGTCATTGCTGGGGTACCGGTCGACATAAAATGACATTGACCAGCGCGACTTTGAAGTCGTTCATGAGCGGGATCAAGGACTCAAAGTTGCCACGAACTTTCAAGGACGCTATCATGCTCACAAGAAACCTCCGGTTCAGATACATATGGATCGATTCAATGTGCATTATTCAGCCCACAGGGCCCAGTAATGATGACTGGAACCGAGAAGCCGCCAGAATGGGAGGTTACTATTCGAATTCTCGCCTCAATCTTGCTGCAAGCGCAGGTATGGGCAATGCTGAGCCTTTGTTAAGAGTCAGGATGGGCTCCATGATTGAAGCAAGGCCATTTCCGCTTTTCGAGCAGGCTGTCCACCGTAAATGGACCGGAATGTCCGAGATCATGAAGCGGGACCCGATGTGGCTTCCCAGCGTCCAGCCGTCAATCCCATCATGGTTGCACCATATTCAGGACTCACCTTTGAGTTCCAGAGCCTGGGTACTGCAGGAGAGACTACTTGCTCCCCGAACGTTGCATTGTACCATGCAAGGCTTCATGTGGGAATGTTCTGAGCTCCGTGCAACCGAGTATGAGCCACTGGGGACTAGCAGTGACTTCGTCGCTCGAGATCATGGTCTGCTAAACGTTAATGTAATCGGTCGTCGAGAAAAAGATTTCATCGTCGGCACATACTGGCGGCAAGTTGTAGAGGCATTTTCCCAGCTGCAGATAAGCTTCCCATCTGACAGGCTGCCAGCGCTGGCAGGTATCGCGTCAAAGGTCCAGGAGTACACGGACGATATCTACATCGCCGGACACTTCGAGAGCTCGTTGCTGGGCAGTTTACTGTGGTCGACACTTCGTCCGGTGACACCAGTGAAAGTCACGAGGAATGCTGGCGCGCCATCGTGGGCCTGGGCATCGACGTCCGCGCCAGTAACATTTGCCTCGCTGGATGCAACGGACTACCCCTCTCGAAATCCAGAGAGGATCGAATGGGAGGCTGAAATCATCGACGTCAGTGCTCAACCAGCGTCCCGTCAGAACCCTTTCTCTTGGTTGTCACTGGGCGCCCTGCGAATCCGGGGCCGACTAAAGGAGTGGAAGTCAGGAGAAGACGTCGCTGAGATCCGACTTCAGGATCAAACCGCAGAGGGAAGATGGTGGGGTCACAGACCTATGCCAGACGGCAACGTGAACCAGGCCGGTGCGATTCCAGTCAAACGCCGGGAGTCGCTTGTTGAACTTCAGGGGCCCCAATCTGCGGACTCCGAGGTTTCGAAAAGGCGTTGCGACGGCTGCGAAAAGGTTCTCTGTAACATTTACTTCCAAACACGCCGGGTGTACTGACTGTGTACAGGACATACGTGGTGGTTTCAGTTCATGTCTTATCTGCCCCGACTTTGACTATTGCTCAGACTGCATGCTCAACGCATCTGCGACCCATCCCGAACATAGTTTCAAGACCTATGAGAGTGATCGTGCCAGGACTGCCGCTGTTGTGGCAAGTGGTGATCTTCTGACAGCGACAATCGAAAAGCAAATGACACAGGCTAGACGTACCATGGAGCAGATAAAGCTGGAAGAGCAGCGACTTGAGTCTGGAAGAAACCACAACCCTACGATTGACGTAACGCTGGACTGGCCTGATGAGTTCGTCGCAGGAGCCACCATGTATCTGTTCCTGATAATTCGTGGTATCCAAGAACCATCATGGGAAGGATTAGTCTTGGCTCCGACAGAAAACGGACGAGATTTTCGAAGGCTCGGGTATTTCTCAACTAAAGCTTCGGCTGTCTTTCAGGATGTGGAGATACAACAGATTTCATTGACTTGATGTAGATAAAGTGATCAGGACACAAGCACTTGACAGTCTCACAGTCGCCACTCTCTTCCTAGGCTGCACGACCACAGGAACGCTAATGGACGTCTCTGGTTATCAGCGAAACCATTGCCATGATAGGGGTCGTTGCTGCGCTTACGACCGTCCCTTTCGAAGAATCTGTTACATTTGTGGCGCTTGTTAGGCCACTAGTGATGATAAAAGGCTGAGCAATCGTGATTGTCACCAAATGAGTACCGAATGAGCTTGGTAAGACGCTAGGCATGCACTCATGCACGCACGTTCGACTTTCAGGGATGAGAATTGTCTGACACTGTCTCAGGTAGCAGATTAGCCTGCGCCTTCAACAACAAATGTTTTTTAAACTCCTCTTTCCACGTTGGATTTTAATTCTAGCTTGTAATCACATACCAGACGTGGATCGATCTACCTATACACGTATTTACAGCCTGAAATATATAACATCTATGCCGATGTTCAATAATCGAGACAGCGAAGGAATTGGGCTGGAAAGGGTATCGCTTGACACAGTCGCAGCTGCAGACTCTTCACTAACTCTCCCAGTCTACCTCTGTAGGGCTGATGATATGCAAGCTAAAAGGACAGGGCTCCCAAGAAGTTGAACGGTAATGCTCGCTGGCTCTCAACTACTTGAACTTCTTAGTTCGGCGTTGGGAGAAATGATCGTCTCTTAGTCTACGCTGACCTTTACCAGAGCTAGGGCTGTCTCCTATTCATGACTTATACTATGTCACGAGCTTATGGCTTCTTTGTGAACACAAGAGCTTGACCAGTGCGAAGGGAGGACTAGCTTGTGATTTGCAACTGTTCACCTTCTCCGCTTTCAAACGTAGCATTTACCGGACAAAGAGCACCTGTGCTTTGTGCAATGACAAGGCCATTGTCAAGTGGTGAATGGCCTTGTCACGAGGTCGAGTGACTCGCCCCCAAGTGACTGGCGACAACACCCGACGCCTGTTTGAACGCTACTTAAGTACGCTCGATGGCAATCTCTTTGGGACGTGAAGCAACACGCCACCCACATACACACCGGAAGGTCCGTCATCCAAGATGAAGCACATACCAACACTCCTCCGGGAGAGAGAACGCGAAATTCGAAGACTTGAGCTGGAGAACGAGTCCCTTCGAGCTGAGAATGCGAGGTTGAGAGCAGACAATACAGCGTATGCACTTGGCAAGCGCCCGAGTCGTCGTCAAGGCTCTTCAAACAGCAATGGAAACCCGTCGCGAGGCTCAACCGCCTCAACTGGCCCATCATATTCGCCCCCCCGCAGCTTCCACAAGCAGAGCCAAGGCTGTGTCTTCTGAAACCCAGGTCGAATTCGAAGAAGAGACAAGCAAAGTCTACAACAAATTGGTGTATACCGATGGCCAGCTTCTGGACTCAGAGACGTAGCAAATGTTCCCGCACTACATGCACAAGACCCGCTCAACAAGGGACAAGGAGAGCTGGCCCCATCACGTCAACTTCCTACGACGCAACAAGGCTTCGGCCAAAGACAGCGATTCAATGCCATCTCCGATTCTGGCGGCAGCCTCATGGGGCGATCCTCCATTCGAACCTGAGCCGTCAGAAGTAATCCACGTCGAGGCTAAGGAAGTGACAGTACAGACCCTGGCCCAGCATTCACGCTTGCGAACTAATGCGATTTACTCCAAATCAGCTGGCCAAGTCTATGTGCGGTTCGAATTGCAGCTGAAACTCCTCAAGAAAGCCCACGAGCTTGCTCAAGTCGCACTCTGGCATGCTCTTCGGGAGCGCTGGCCAGAGGGACAGAAGTGTTATTATGCCCATGGACCTCGATCGGTGAAGTTTGGCCGAACTGAACTTTACAATTCAATCAGATACAGTGTCGGCCAACATATTTCCGAAGGGGTTCGTCGTGCTGTCTACAATGTTGTCGAGCTTCGCAATGCAATCGCGCATCCTGCGATGCGCAATGCCGACGATCTCGACGACTTGTTGGAACCCGCGCAGAACCTCGTCTGCTTGCTCGGAGACGAAAACCGGGCGATGAAGATCCGTCGCCTGAGAGACGAACTCGAACGCAAAGCGACGACATGCCACAAGGCAATCCTTACTTATGAGAGCCTGTCTCACCTACCGCAAGCGCGCTCTCAGCCAGTGCATCATCAGCAGCTGTACAGCCAGGTTGTAATGGCAGTCAGGTACAGGAACGAGAGCGAAGCAATTGCTCGGTACGGTGCTGGTGTGATTGCGGCGGCGAGGGAGTGGGAGGCCAAACGGACGGATCCTGGGGAAGACGACCCAGAGTATCTCGGCAAACTGGCGAAGAGGACAGACGAGGCTAAGTTCCAGAAGACTGCCGATGTGGATTCAGAGGCAGCGGCAGTGGCGGGTGCGAAAGAGCAGGAGGAGATCGCTGAGCAGGAGGAGATCGCAGAGCAGGAGGAGATTGCAGCGGGATGAGATTGCAGCAGGATGAGATTGCAGCGCAGAGCGGATGAGCTTCCAGCTACGACAATAGAGACTAGAGTCAATTAGCGCAGACACACCTTCTGAGAAATGAAGAATCCAGCAACGCTTGGTAGTATGAGCTGACTCTAAGCCTTTCCCTCTCCGTTTGGTGATCCTGCAGTAACAAGTCCGTCTCGACAATGAAGCTCCAGTCGTTAAGAAGGTCCAAATGCAATGTTTCGCATCACTTTCGTGACTCGTCCGCCCCCTTCCAAGGCGTGCTATCCCGCACTCCATACCAAGCCTGAGCCGCCTTGACCATCCCATCCTGCGGAATCATCACATCAGCCCTAGCAAATAACCCATAGAAGAACTTTCTCATGAGACCATTGCCAGGACGATTCCTATCCTCAACAAAGTTCCGCAAACTGCGTGCCTCAGACGTGTGCCAATGGCCATTCGCAGCAAAGTAGAAGTTCGTGGCGATCATGGGCGTGTGACTTGCGAGTGCTGACCAGATTCCAAATCGTGGATTGGAGAAAAGAGGGCCGGCGACGCTGATGAAGGTTGCGTACGGCCAGCCGTCAATCCAGAACGGGAGTTTCAGGTGGGGATGCCAGAGCGAGCAACGGGCCACGAGGAGCTGGAGTTGGGAGTGCAGCAGCATGCATATCATCCAGTGGTGGGTGAGGACGTTCAGGAGCTCGCCGTCTGCGGTAGAACATAGCGAGTATAGTGTTGGTCGTCGATCGTTGCAATACAGAGCCATGGCACGCTCTTCCCATGCCATGAGCTCTCTGGCGAGCTCGATTCCACGATCAACGACCCTTGGCACAGCTGCCGACTGCGCAGCAGTATGTTGCATTTGGTCCATGCGCTTCATCAACTTGTCCACCGTCGGAAACCACGTCGCGAGATCGAACATGTTGTCAAGCACATCGTCGCTCAGTTTCAAGCTAGGTGTTGTAGATGACCACTGCGGCGGTCTTCCTAGCCCAAAGATTGGTTGTCGAAGGAACATAGCGGACCGGAATGCCATGAGGCGTGCTTCTCGCCAGGCGTATTGCATTGCGGGGGAAGGCTCATAAGACTTGTCGACGTTCCTTATGACCTGACAGAGACCACTGACATGGCTGAAGTACGAGTTGAAGTACCAACTCCCTAGTTCGGTGTCGTCTCTCAACAGTTCGTAAGTGCACATCACTAGGCAACATACCAGCAGGTCATCGCCGTGAAGTGATGCTCGCCGTGCTGATGTATTCCGGCGCTCTAATTCACCTCGTGTGATTCGTGACGCTTGCTTTTGTCGTTCCTGGCATTCTCCATCAAGACATATGTTGAACAGCAGCTGTTGTGGGCTGCTCAGAGCTCGTCCGCATATAGAGCACAGCCACCGCGGCGTGCTTGTCCCCTTTCTGGTGTACACCGGCTTTGACCCCAGCTTTGATGAGTTTGGGTTCCGGCGAGTATGCTTTGGATTTGCCGCCGTCGTGCTTTCATATCCACTGTCCTGCCGGACAATCAAGCTCTCTGATTGCCTTAGCATTGTGTCTGAGAACAAACTGCTGCATACGACCCAGCTCGACATTATGAAACAGGAGTCGTTTTCATGAAGTCCCCTGTCCGGACAACGGCATCGTGCCTCTCAGGGGCCATTTGCCGTTTGTTGAGCCGTGCTGACTGAGTTGGCTGATTAATGAAGATATAACCAGATAGTTCGGCTGTTGTGAGGTGCTGCCGATGCAGTCTAACTATTGCAGTGCTTGGTTGCAGGAAGTCGGTGCAGTCGGCGTGTACATTGTTGCTGACTGAGCGGGCCAAGGCTCTCAAGGCCCTTGAATCTTCTCCCGATATCCTGGTAGACTGCAGCACTAGTTAGTAATGCAAAGTTTATTACCGATGGAATTCGTTTGGTTGCGCTATGCTGTCTCAAACTTTGTGAAGTTCTAGCCTTCTTTGGTTAATGGGGAAGGTCGACCTTGAGGCAAGCAATGCAAAGCTCCGAAAATAAAAGGCGCAGGTCTGGCTCGTCGTTAGAGATCGTGTCTTGGGAGGTCTCCTCCACGTCCGGGACAAAGTGTCCTCCCAAAGGCCTTGCTTGTAGGCATATGGTTTCGCTCCCCTGCCTTTCAAACTCCCGCAGTCCTCTTCAGCGTGTAAGCTAGCCATTTGGCTACGAGCTTCATCTGGAGTCGGTCGGCCAGTGTAGTAGGGCAAGAATGAGGCTTTGCAGAAGACCGAGGTTGCGCTCTGGATGGTAGAAAATGTTCCATATCAGGACCAGTGGTCAGATCCTATCAGGCTGCAGAGATCCCCATCGCAGCATCATTGTCGTGCCTTCTCTTTTCCCTTCTTTCCCTCCTCAATCCTCTGAACAACCTCGCCATACACCTTATAAACCGCCAGCGCACCAATCATAACTCCCAAAACCACATATCCGACTTCCAGAACAGGATTCCAGAATTCTCTGCCTTGCTCCACACTGACACCACCGACAGCTAGCTGAAAACACAGGAACACGAAAAACAGGATGCCGCGGCAGAATAGTCGCCCATCTTGATCGGGAATAGCGGTGGTGATGGTGATGAGGAGGACTAGGACCAAGGAGTCGATTGTACCGAGCTGGATGCCATAGAAGATGTGTGACATGGGTGCTTGAAAGGGTGAAAGAGACATTTTGACTGCGATGTGTGCTGATGGAAAATTGATGGAGGTGGCAAGAGGTGAAGTTGGAGATGCACGTGAAGTTGGAAGTGGAGCGCTGTCATTGGTCCGTGCGCCTCGAAGGATTCTCGAGCGACAATATGTACGAGGCCGTTGAGATGAAGGAGGGTTCCAAATGACACATTTTGACCGTCGCTATCCAATGTATGTACGAGTGCTGCTCATCATATTACCGGCCCCAAGCTACCATGCCGTACTCTAGAAAACCTATCCTCAAGGTCTTTCCTGTTCGATCTCATCTCTCTGTCTGCTTTTTCCGTCGATTTCGACCATGCATCGTCACAATCTGGTATCTGTTTCTCTACTGATTTGTACAATTCCGGTCCACTTCCGCGTCCGGGTTCATTGGTCTTTGCGGATCAACTCTGCTTCGACTCGAGGCGGGCTCAAAGTGATTGGAGCAAGAGCATCTGGAAGTCGGCTGGCCGCTTTCGAGAATGCCACTTTCAAGCTCGATCTACGAGGCTTATTTGCAGTAGATTTTGGGCCCTGCTTGAACTTCGCTTGGATCTCCTCCTCCGTGAAGCGGCGAGTCTTCGTCTTGAGCATGTCCGCGATTTCCTGCTGCGTCATACCGATTTGATCTCCAATAGGAACCAAGCACTTCGCCAAATGCATGTAGTCCTTCTGCAAGAGTTTGATGGTCATCATGAGATAGTCGATGTTGTGGAAGACCAAAGCTCGTCCTTCTCTGTAAGCGTCCTTTGACTGCAGAAAATGGAGCGGCTGGTCTCGCCAATGTCGTCTTGGGTTCAAGTGATGCGCAGTGTGGTAGCCGTCGTTGAAGCAGAAGCGGTTGCTTGGGACGTCAATCAAAGTAATGCTGGATCGAAAGTCCGAGTCCGGCTCGATATCATCCACCAAAGCATGCTGACCCCAGTTTCCAACCATCAACCCTAGTCGTAGAAGCACAAAAGGGATGATGAGTGTAAATACAGCCGCCCGTGTGTTGACGTGAAACATCATGTAGTACATGAATGCAAGGCTGGCAGCTTCGGAGAAGAATGCTTTCGCCGCCATTCTGGGTTTGCTCTTTCGAAGGAAGTAGAGGGGTAGATCCAGCCAGATGAGGAAGAAGAATCTGGCAAAGTAGTGCAAGAAATTGAGTAGATCGTCTCGCTGATATCGAATCGTCGAAGAAAGATCTTCAGGTCCGTTGCCTTCCACGTGGTGATGCTTGACATGGTGATAGTAGTATGAATCCCAAGTGTGTCCCATCAACGGTTCCAGAATGTATGGAAAGGTGAGGTCCAACCAAGCCCAGTCCTTGGCAAGTACGCCATTGTTGTGGATGTGGTTGTGCATCATCAAAGTGAAGCTTCCAGTGCACCAAAAGGTGAAAGCCACGTGAAGGACTCCATGGATGTAGGTGAAGTTGTAGAATAGCCAAATTGCGCTTGGCAGGTTGACGAACAGGTACAGAAGGATATGGGTGAAGAAGACCACATCAGTCGGGTGGCGAACAATCCCGGTTGCGATTTTCGCGTACGGTCGGACAAGCCATTCGTTCAAGATCGGGTGTATATCCTTATCGTCCCAGGTCACGAAGACGGTAGCTCTGAAGTCGGGACTGTTCGGGTCATTCCATGCTTTGATGCGTTCAATGGCTTCTTCATCGTGCTGCCCCTTTTCGAATGTCTGGTCCTTGCGGTCGTCTGCGGCAACACCGGCCGTTCCATTGTCGATGTCGTGGAACAAATTTTTGAGGACAACGATATCAGCCTCGGTCAAATCAGGGGCGGTAGCCATTTCCGTGATGGTTGATAAGCTTATACGAGTGTCCAGGATTCGTGGTCGTGGGTGCTGTTTTCCTCTTTCCTGTTTGGGTCTGTGCTTGTCGGAGTTCGCTTACGAATGCCGACCCCACTTCCTCAGATCGGACTTCCTGGTTGTTCCTTCTCTTTTCTTTTGCTTGAACTCAAATATCATCAACATCACCATCAGTCGAGTCCTGAATGACGACAACAAGGCGGCCCCTGAGATCTGTGCCGCATAGCCCACCTTTCGTTCAATCCTCCTCGGCTGCATGCGGCTCGGAAATTTACCGGTCTTGTCCTGAAGGATCAACCTCAACCCGAGCATTTCTCACCACACAGGGCTGGAAGAACCTGTCAGCCAGCACAGTGAATTAGAAGAGAGTGGGTGCTCGCCGGACTCAGGCTCTCTTTGAACTCTTGAAAGAAGATATGCTCTGGGTCATTTCACCGAGTTATCAGGTGTGAGATTTGGCAGAGCTCCTTGGGGGAAGTCGATATTGCAGGAACTTGACCACGAGGACGATCATATTGTTTTCCTGAGATCTCTATCGTCAAATAATTCATGCCCTCATCTCGTCCTACCATGGATCTTGCCGTTTCATTAGCCTGTTGTTGACATTGTGACAGAGAGAAGCGAACGCGAATTGATGTCTACGACAGAGGACACAGCTGCGTGCTGTTCTTCGTTACACTAAATGCTCCCGTTCCCCGAATTACACTAAGATAGTCATAGCCACCCAAGGACGGCAGAGGCTCTATTGCTGTTAGAGTTCGGAGGCTCGAAGGCTATTGCAGCGTCTTTTTGTGAGTTCGTTCGGGGAAAGCGACGTGATGACTTCTGGAATCAGAATACTGCAAAGCCGGAGATATAGCATTGCATAGTCCTTTTCGATGCCGCTGGACGGTGGAGGATGATCTCGGACAATAGACCCATCTTCTCATGAAGTGGTATGCTGAATAAGCGGCGTACGTAGCCTGGACCCTGGATTGGGAAAGGATCGAAAGAAGAAGCTAGATTCCATGTCTCATAACCTACATCATCTCACCCATCACATGCTTTGAAAGCCTGGAAAGACCTTTATTTCGTGATTCTCGGCACCACAAGTCGCACCCATATCTGAAAAACGAAACCGCCCCCTCTCTCATCAATTTAGCAACATTCACCGCATCCAACCATGCCTCTCAAGGTCGTGATCGTCGGCGGAGGAATAGCAGGGCTGACCGCCGCCATAGCCTTCGCCCGTAACGGACACGATGTCCATGTCTACGAGAGGCGCGACCATTCCAGACATGGAGAAAGCGGGAGCGGGATTCTGCTGATGCCTAATGTCATACCGATCCTCAAGCAGTGGGGCATGCAGCACGAATTGGAGAAGAATGCTAACCCTGTTTCGACGACTGAGATGAGAATGCCGGATGGTGAGGTTATCCTGCAGCGAGACTGGGCTCAGCGGGGAGAGGCTTGGTATGGTCTACGAGGAGCTTTCAATGCGATGTTTCGGCGGTCAGCGGTTGCCAGTGGAGCCATGATTCTGGACAGCACTAATGTCAGCCATGTTGATCCGGAACGGGGAGTACTAGTACTGCAAGACGGTACGGTCGTGGAAGCAGATCTCATCATCGGCGCCGATGGCTCCAGTTCCAATGTTCGTCAAGACCTGTTCCCTCAGTACAAGGCCACAACGCTCGATATGGCATGCTTCCAGATTTCGACGCCCTTATTTGAGGTCACGAACGACCCAGTTCTTAGCCAACTCACAAGCGGAGCTGCCACTGTGATAACACTGTCGCCCGGCCGGAATATCTATGCCTCTCCAGCGCCAGCCCAGAACTCCTTCGACATACAATTTGTGGATCAGGAGTATTCTCTGGCTCAGGACCCTCATGCCGACCTATTGAACGAACGAATCACCGATCTGGAGTGGCTGAGGAAAAGATGGAGTGATCATAGTCCAGCTTACCAGGCCATTATTCAACGGGCAGAATCTGCATTCAAGTGGAGATTCATGGAGGTTCGTAATCTACCGTCTTGGTCAAGAGGCAACGTCGTTCTTCTGGGTGATGCTTGTCATTCCATGAGACCGTTCGCTGGACAGGGTTGTGCATCGGGGATTGAAGATGCAGCTGTGCTTGCAAAACTGCTGCGCACCGCATGCAGTGGCGATGACATAAGGAGATCGCTAGCTGAGTACGAAAAGATCCGTCGGCCTCGAGTCGACAGGATACAGGCTTTTGCCACAGCCATGGGGCATATCTGGTCATGTAAGAGTCCAGGGGATATTGAACGACGCAATTCAGCTTGGCGGAATATCAAACAAGAGCAGATTGAGACTGCGACGCCGGATATGAATGCTGCTTTCAATAGTCCGGAGTTCACAGCTTGGCTCGATCGTTGCATCGTGATGGGAGATTCGAGACTGGGACACCTTTAAGGTCAACATACCGTGCAAATCGAGCCTTGCTAGATAAGTTATGAGTCACATGTAGCAATATTTTGCAGACCTCAGCATGCTCAATCTACCGCAAGTAGTGCCGCCATAGACGTAGAGCATCCACAGCGGGAAATTCACCATTTAGGCGAATATGCGAGAGTTTTCGGGGCCGTAGATCGGCAATGGGCGATCGTACTGCTTGAAACATCCATTCATGTTATGGAAAGATTTCATGGCTCGCCATGATTGATCTGAGCATAATCCGCCCGATCTTCACCCTTCGGAGCCTCCTCCAGCTCCACCGCCCCTGCAGGGACGCCGCTTGGATGACCAAGAAGAACGAACCCCAGTCTCATATACGCAATCATAACAGCAGCCTCTTCCAACAACCCCATGCAGAGGAATGCGGTCACACTGCCGTTGATGGTACTGAAAACCCGAATATTTCCCAACATGTCGAGACAGAGATATGTGACTCGCTCGACAAGCAGTGGCTGTGTGATTGCAAGGGTCCAGAGAATGTCACGATCTTGTTTTTCTGCAGTACGTGCATGTAGAAGCAGAATACCCACACTGTAGAAGATACCCGCCACGCCGACGATGTACAATGCAGCAGCAGCTTTTGATGTTGGTGGGTGATGGATGGTCGTTTCCAGATCTTTCGCATGAAGTCCAGAGAATCCCACGCTCGCGCAGATGAACGCTGCTGTGACGGCAAGTTCGAGGAATCGGAGGTGCTTAATAGTGAGCCATACAGAGCAGCGTTGTTCGTGGAACGTATTCAGCAGTCGATGAAGGAGGCCCAGTGCACAGAACAGCAGCGCCGAAAGGCCGTCCACAGAAAAGGTAGCAGCAGCAACGCGAAGTCCAGTTGTCTGAGGATAAGATATTGTAGAAAGTTGCAGTGCGCCGAAGATAATTCGTGAGATCGCAAATGTTGACAGCACGAACCAGGTCTCGGAACTAGCTCGCCAGCCGTGCTTCCAGATCAACCAGCATGTGCAGAGGAATGTCGGGCTGTAGAATAAAATAACAAGAACAGCAACAATGTTTCGATTTTCCATGGCCAGCGTAGTCGTGATACCATTGGTACATTCGTTTCTGTGACAGCCTTATAGCAAAAGGCAAAATGTTGGTGCCTGGCTGAAATTCGCCAATGCTTCTGCCTGAGAGACTAAACAGGGGTTTATTGGTCCTTTCGCGTTCCAAATTGGGCATACATGGCGCAGGCCAATGAAGTCGGACAGTGCGCGCATTCCACGGCCATTGTGACGTCCTTAGAGATCGTTTCGAGACAATTCATGGCGTTCGTGGTATACTAAACTTGGCAGGGTAGCGGGTCTTTGATCATCAGTGGACTGCTGCGGGACACATGATGCCTGGAGAGCTGAAGTGACGATTCATTGAAGCTCTTCGTGTGGATACCATCTGATATGTTTAGATTCTAAGTGCCGCTCATGTTGCATTTATGCCGTCAACCGAATGGAAATCGCTCAAAGCGGAGCGACGAGCCATCGAGAGTCTCAATACGAGATGTTGTTATACTTTTGAGGGACGCTGCCGTCGTAGATCCCATCAAGAAGTACACTTCTGAGCCATGACGTTCGTGAACCGGAAGTGCTTCAAGTTGTTGATGAAGGAACGGTCGGAAGTCGTCAATTGGTAGTCAACCTCGTCCGTCACGAACAAAGTATCCATGGAGTTGTCGAAGAGGATGTAACCAGGCCGATCAGGTCTTCCAAATATCAAGCTGAAGTGCTTCAAGGCTTCTTCTCTCGATTCATGGCATACGTGGGCGACCGTGGGTGGCGAAAGGTTTGAGGCGAAGTCAATGCCGTCCCATGAGACCACAATGTCGCGAGGTCCGGGATGGCTGTACTGCCAGATGAGGATGCGAAGCTCGGCAGGTAGGTCGTGGAAATTGGCCATGGTATTGATGATGTGAGAGTATCTTCGATGCGGACTAGAGATCGACCTTTCAGGTTGTCTCAAGTATCAGGGTCTGCAACTATAAAGGCTAGCGTTTCGTCTCTGAGCTCTGAGACATGAGAAACATATTGTCAAGTCTTGAATTCTGAGCGGAGCGCTCCTGATCCACTGATACAATTCACCGCCTCCATCGACGCCTCCGATAGGGATACGACGCGGAAGAGGTTAAAGCATGTGGAGGCAGATACGATTGAAGCTTGGTCCACACTCGCATTAACATGTTGACCCAGGAACAGTCAGACCAGCATGGAGACGAGGCGTGCCGTTGTGGGGAGGTAAATGCCTGTTTCAGGATATTGACTATGATCATACCAGAACTTGTCCTGAGCCATCTCTCAGCTCCGGCAATCTGAGCGACCTGCGACGGACTATCAGGCTGAGCCAGAACCTCCTTCGTCGAAACCAAGTTCACTATACTCTTCTCTTCTATTCCTAGCTGGAAGCTAGAACATTGTCGCCCAGCTGCATGTAGTAGTTCAACAGATCCGACGACGACGTGGCATTATAGATCAACCTCGAAGCAAGATCCACTTGCAAGTAGTCCGTCCCCAGATACTTAATCTTAGTCCCGACGGGCACAGTCCTAGTCGATGTCAGCGCTCCCAAATTACCACAGCCTTCTCCTCTGAACAAGACCTACAGATTCGTCGCGTTGGCACTTAGAGAATCACTCTGCCATCTCGCACCAATGACGTCGCAATTGGAAAAGACGTACAGCACCAAGTACTGTACGTCTGTCACCAATGCGCCACTGTATCCGCTCCCAGATACCGAGTCGTATACGGCGGAGCGATTACTATATAGGGGCGTTGGGTCACCGAATGTGGCGCCCTCGTCGGTGTAGCTGAAGTTGCTCGCGAGCGTATTATTGACGAGAGCGGCACCGGTGCCCTCTGATCCCACCACATCAGTTAGCTTTCGATGATGGGGGTTATACACAAGGTCGCTGATAGACTTACTGCCAGTGGAATCAGTTTGGAAGATGGAGAACCAACGCAAGGCAATGTTGGCAGCCTCGGGATGGTTTAGACATGGTGCCTCTGGCGTTCCAGCAGCGAAGATGGTTGTCGTGCAGCACGCAAAAGCTAACAGCGGGAGGTTGCTCAGGAAACGCATGATTGCAAGATGAAGTTGTAAGCGGGAGCTCTGAACGCACAAATCGTCAGAAGTTGACCAGGAACAACGAGGATCTCTGATCTATATGTGAGTCCAGCCGACAGACTCAACTGAATGGTCGCCAGGAAGGTCAATCTCGGTTTGTCTCTGTTGGTGCCATCGAGCAACGCGATCGACAGAATATCATCTCCATCAGCGATGAGGTGGAGTTAGCCTAGTCTATGCCGTAACAGGCATCTAAAATGACATGCCAAGGAGTCAGGGTAAACAAGAGATAGACGTACCAAAGCTTCTCTTGCAGTGTTCATTTCCGGGAGGTTGGAAAGCTTCGCGCTGTCTTTTGGTTTGTTGGATGACTTTCGTGTTGTTGTGGTTGAGCGTTTGGACAGGCAAAATCAGATACGAAGTATGAATGTCTCAAGCGAGAGCACGGCTGAATATATACTGCGAAGGGTATCCTGAATCACGAGCATGCATTCCGAGAACAATCCCATCTTGATTATCCTCAAAATCCATCAGACTTCGGGGGACCGTCATACTCTGCAAGACATTTCATTAGAATCAGGGACGAATGCCATACCCATAAGAACAGACTCACCTTTTCGAGCCCAGAAAAGATAGTAGACGGTGCTCAGGAACATAAACCCAACCAGGACGACTGATGCATAGTTCATGCTCACAATCGTCACTGGCAGAGCGGTGGGCATCGAGAATAACACCAGCTGGAATGCAATCCACAAGACACCGAGGATGTTTACCGTCCACCCTACAGGCGCTGGTAACCTGAAACGGGCTGTGGAGACTGCCACTCTGCCGCTGAGCATGCTCACGGTGATTGGAATGGCGTATCCTGCAGCAAGACCCTTTCGCGCGAGTTTGTTAGTATGAAGAGACATTCCGAAGGGGGCAGGATTTTCATACCATAACGCCAACACTGGCAAATGCGGTGAATGCACTGGATGAGCCCAGGTTGATCAGTCCCAGTAACATCTGGACGACAGTCGTCAATATCAAAGCAAATACAGGTACTTGGCCCAAATCAAGTCTCGACCAGAGTCTCGACAGCGGAATCGCTCGATCTCGCGCGAACGCCCAGGTACAGCGAGAAGCCGTTGTGGTGATGGAGATGGAGCAGAAAAGTCCCACACCGAGAACAAAGAACATGAGGGCCAGTCCACCTCCTGGCGAGCCCATGACGACGTGGAAGGTGTACGGTAGACCTTGTGCGGCCGGGGCATTGAGGATGTCCTCCAATGGTGGTAGTGTGAAGCAGATGGGCAGGATGAAGCTGTGTTCTTTGTCAGTCTTTTTCACCACAATGGTGCTTGAGATCACTCACAACAGGCCAGCAATCGCCGAGATGGGAATGCTCAAGCACAGGGCCTTGGGCAATTGTATGTCAGGCTCATTGACCTCTTCAGCCATGCTGGCAATCATGCCCACAGCAGCGTATGTGTATGCTGCCGGCAGCAGTCCAATGAAAAAGCTAAATCCTCCCCAGCCAGACAAGGATTTGTCGTAATGGGCGAGGGCCTCGCCTGCACTGTGTCGACCGACGTTTGCAGTGACCGATAGGCCAATCAAGACGACGAGTATACACAAGGCGTTCCACACCGAGGCGGCGGTGTCGATATATGGTAGGATGCGGTTTCCGAAGACGCACACGAGGAATGTGCCCACGCAGACGGCGTAAAAGATGAGGAGAAGTTGCCACGAAGATGCTACCCAATCTGGATGATACCTGTTGCAGTCGGCAGCCGTTTTGAGGCCTTGATATCTCACATACTCACATCGTCACTGTTCCTGCTATCAGAGATGCCATTCCAAAGTTGACACTCAATGCGATAGTCCAGTTGCCCACGAGCCACGTCCATCCCGTGATGAATGACAGTACCCTGCGGAGTTGTCCTTCCGGCAGAAGACGATACACCCAGTAGTAAGGCCCAGCCGATGTAGGGAACTTCGAAGCGAGTTCTGCCAGGCTCATGGCTATGGCTTCGTCGAGGATCGAGACCATGATCCATCCAACGAAGTACGGTAGTTGACCGCCTCCGATGATGGCGCTGTTCATTGCGCTGCCTTCGCCATACGGGACGGCGACGATGGCAAGGCTCTGGAATAATAGGGTATACAGCGATCGGTTACGCTGCAGTTCGGAAGTATACCCCAGTGCTGCCAATTCGGCTTCTTGAACATCGGTGGATCCATCCAGAGTCTTTGCTTGCTCGGCGTCCAGGTCGCCATCGGCCTTCGAATGCTTCTCGGTCATCATCAACTTTGTACAGTGTGTTGCTGCAGTCCTAACGATCATTGCCGACGATGTGGCCGGGAAAGACGTCGTGTTAGTATTATACAGACATGCTATTGAGCGACGAGCACATGTGTCGGCAAAGGAACTGCATGCCCACGAGCTAATGCAAATACACTGGCGAGTTTGGTACCGCATCGGGTAACGTCTGGCGCGAGACGTACCACATCAAGCAATTAAACTTCCAACCAAGCTCAAGCATCAGAGAGCTTGATCGACAAGGCGGGGATGCCATCAGAACAAGAACGTCTTGCTTGAGACGGGCTCGAACATTTCCCACCAGGTCGAATCCACATTGCTTTGAGACCATATCTCCTGGAGTAGATCGGTCATGAGGACAAGGCTGCCGAAAGATAGATAAGAAGTCGACGGCGAGAGGAACTCGGATGCTGCCTTCCTGTCTTGGGTGTGGATACAGTGACTGCCGATCACGAGCAGTGGAAAGACAACGCAATGAGCCAGCATTCCTGGGAGCTGGTCGTCCATCAGTTTGGAGATCCCTCTTCTTGTGGCACTCTGTACAGCTTCATGTGAGACGGATCGGCCGCGCAGCGTTCGATGGCTATAGATTGTGGCAGCGATTTCGTAAATCGAACAGAAGGCATCCCATTCGGCGGCGGAGGCGAACGTTGGGCTCGTTTCCATGCCAGTGGGCCCTGCGAGCATCATCTCGATTGAAGGAATGCATTTCTGGGCAAGTTGTGTTGCTGAGTTCTCTGGTAAGTGTGACTTGACAAAATGTCCAAGTGATGCCATCTCGGAGAAGCCCTTCAGCAATGTCAAAAAGCGATCGCCACAGGCCAGACGTCCCCACCAGGCGTCTACCTCGCCAAACATGAGCCAGGTCGTGGGAGTGAAGTATGGCCTTTCTCCAGCTAATAATGCATGAACCAAGTCCATCGTTACAAAGATGGAGACGAGGTGAGCCTGCAAGCCTCCTGCAATGACCATATTCGGGACAATCGAAGCCCATGAATCCAAGAGGGAGTACCCGCCCTTGAGATGTTGGACGGAAGCATTGCTCTCCGTCTCTGGAAAGATGACTCCATCCAACATGCAAAACAAGATCACCACCTGTAGCAGGTCCTGCGCTGTTGGTGCACAGCTCACGCCGGACTCGAGACGATGTCGGAAACTGGTGAGTGCTAATTGCCGTGCTTGCTCGCTCGAGTGACGTCCTTTGTCGATGGGAGAGCGTGAGCAGAAGTGATGGTGAGCTTTGGAGACGGCGAGCACGGCTGGTCGTAAGGTAGGATCTCGGATGATAGCGCCCTCGTCGATGAGTATACTGGAGCCAGCCAGTTGGAAACGCGGAATGACGGCGTTGGAGAAATAAAGCACCAAAGATTGCGAGTCCAAATCTGGCGTCGACAGTGATGCGGAGAGTGTCAGGTGCGTGTCCTGGAATGTTGCTGCATTTGGTGGAGAAGTGGGCGAGGCTGGCGCATACCGTCCTCGCGCTGCCGGCCCACCCACCCACTGAAGCTTCGTCCCATACTCGCAGTCCGATCCACTGCGTTCGCAGCGTATGCAGCTGGGTTTGTCGAGGCTGCACTTTACTCTCCTCTTCCGGCAAGCCCAACAAGATCCCTCCACGATCCGTCGGCTTTTGCTGTTGAGCATGTTGGGGCCGGCGGTCTGTCACCGGTGGTGCTCCCGACGAGCCTGAAAGAGACTGGACGCACAGTGGGCCGGAATTACATGACTGAAATGTCAGAAATCGTTTGGCAGTGGCCTTGAATAGTGGGCGATGACGAGGAGAGATGACACGCGAGCATGGACAGAAGGCATTTGCGGGGATGATAGAGTTGACCCCTTTGCCCTTGCCCTCATTACTGCCAAATACGGTTAGCTTCGCTGCACGTGCCAGTCCTTGCAGATGCGAGTGATGAATTGCAGATATCAGAAAGAATGGGCTGGGTTGTCATGATACTCACTCTTATCCTTTCTGTGGAAAGAAGACCGGTCGTTGAAACGTGCGTAATAAGATGTCATCGACCAAGATCCTCCTCCCAAACGGCACAGAATACGAGCAGCCAATAGGTCTATTCATCAACAATGAATATATCGGAGGAACAGGAGACTCATTCGAGGTCATCGACCCGAGCATTGACAAGCCCATCCTATCGTTGAAAGGTGCATCAACTGCAGACGTTGACACAGCCGTGAGTGCTGCCCGGAAAGCTTTCGACGAAGGGCCATGGTCAGAGATCAATCCGAAGGAATGCTCGAAGCAGCTCTTCAAACTTGCCGCCATCATCGATCAAAATCGCAGTCTGATAGCAGCTATCGATGCTTATGACCTTGGCAAGCCGTACGAGGCCGCTTTGGCGGGTGATCTGGATGAATCTGTCAATGTGTTCGAGTATTATGCTGGCTGGGCCGACAAGATCGATGGCAAATCGATAGAAACCTCTGTCGAGAAGCTGTTCGTCCGTGGAATTCGTCTTGACTGACCACTTGAGTTGACTTGATCACAGATGCTACACTGTTCAGGAGCCACTCGGAGTCTGCGCACAGATCATCCCCTGGAACTTTCCTTTCATGATGTTGGCGTGGAAGGTCGCACCGGCGCTCGCATGTGGCAACGTGGTTGTGCTCAAACCAGCTGAGCAGACACCTCTCTCCGCCATGTTCTTTGGCAAGCTCGTACAAGAAGCCGGGTTTCCTCCTGGTGTTGTCAACATCCTTCCTGGAATTGGCTCTGTCACGGGCAAAGCACTTGCTGAACACCACGATGTTGACAAGATCGCCTTCACAGGATCAACAGCAACTGGTCGATCGATCATGCGCTCAGCGGCGAGCAATCTTAAGAACATCACCCTTGAATGCGGCGGCAAGAGTCCTTTAATAGTCTTTGAAGATGCCGAGCTTGAAAATGCGGTCCATTGGGCCCATGTCGGCATCATGGACAATTCCGGCCAGGTCTGCACTTCGACATCCAGGATCTACGTTCAAGAGCGGATTTACGACTCCTTCGTCAAAGCGTTCACGGCGTATACGGAGAGGAATGCTCATATCGGTGGACCGTTCGAAGAAGGCGTCACGCATGGTCCTCAAGTCTCAAGGGTGCAGTCCGACAAGGTGGTGGCGTACATGGAGCAAGCAACACGAGATGGCGCAAAGGCGATCATCGGCGGCCACAGGCTAGACCGGGATGGCTACTTCATTGAGCCAACAGTATTCGTGAATGCGGATGAGAAAAGTACCATTGTGAAGGAAGAGGTCTTTGGCCCAGTTGTCAGTGATTCGCAGCTGCTCCACTCTTGTGTTTAAGGCACTCGCTGACATACCGCAATCTATCGTAGGTCACCATCTCGTCCTTCAACACAGATGCAGATGCCATCGCCAAGGCCAACGACTCACCCTACGGGCTGGCCGCCGCACTTTTCACCGAAAAAGTCTCGCGTGCGCATAGGGTAGCACGCAGACTGAAGGCGGGAATGGTATGGATCAACTCGAGCGGTGACTCTCATTATGGCATCCCGTTTGGTGGGTACAAATCGAGTGGGATAGGGCGAGAGCTGGGCAGTTACGCGCTCGACGCATATACGCAGACGAAGGCCGTGCATGTCAACTTGGCGATGTAAAGTCGCAGCACTTCCGGCAAGACAGTCATTTCGTATTACGTCTTCTTGGCAGCGTGAGATGGAAGACAGTAGCTATTGCGGGGTCGTGGAGAAGTAGAGGCATGGTTGAGCGATATACGCTGACTTCTGCATGGCCGAATTGGTGGCAGTCCAGTATACAGCTCAGGATTCAGAAAGGGTCGACGGCTTGACCTGGGAATTGCTCATATGCTCCTCCAGGTGTCCCAGTACCAGCCATACTTGGTTGGGCAGGCTGCTGCGACTTCGAGTTGTGTGCAGGTGGCCGGAAGCTTGCATTTGAAGGCGGAGGAACAAGCTGATCGACGCCTCTGCCCCAGATGAACCGCCTTGTCCTACCCTTCGGTGCAGGTGGAAGGGTGTCGATCTCTGCTTCAGCGAATCGTTGGCGCTCTCCCATCCCTGATACTTCACGAGGTGTCGGACCTTGCCCGCGACGTCTTGCGTGAATTGGTGCCGAGGGTCGCCGAGTCATGTTCAACGTCCCTGGTTGTTTTAGCTGATGTACACTGCCTCTGCTTGTAGCCATTGCAATAGTCTCCCGTGTGCGAATGCTCGAGCTTGACGTTGGCTTGAGATACCCGGGTATGCGAGAGCCGAGACGTGGTGCTCCGGCAGTTCCAGATTGAACAAGGCCTGGCCGAGACCCTCCAGGCCCCGACTTGTGCATGTGTGCGCTCGATGTCGCTTGGGACTCAGGAGGAGTAGGCTTTTGTTGGAGGTATGCAAAATACTCCTGTAAGGCCTGACCCAAGGGCCCATCGTAGTCTTGAAGGAAGCTCATTCCCAGCGGGACAGGTGGAGCTGAAGGTGCGGATACATGCAATGGTTGTCTGAAGCCATTGCACGTCTCTTCTCCTCCAAGTGCACCACTTTTCCGTGGTGACGTTACCGCTGGTGCCTCTGTCACAGCGATAGTACCAAGTAGTTGCTGCTTGGTTTCATGAGCATCGTCCTGAATAATCTTGGACGCTGGTGGCTGTAACCGTAGGTCCACAGGTATTATCTGTTCAAGTGTTGGCTCATGAATTTGCTCGCAACCGGAATCTCGTTGTAATGCCTGCGTTGAAATCGGCGGTTGCTGTGGTCCCGTACCCATCGTGGTAAGCAGAGCCGAAGCCTGTTGGATGATCTGCGCCAACACCGCTGGGGGCAAAGAAGGCAGGAGGTCGAGATAGTTGCTGGGACTCGTTGTTCCCACGTTGACAGAAGCACTCTGCAAATTTTCCATCCTCTCACTCTGCTCCTGGCAAGCAATTCGTGTATCCTCCAAGTGCTTTGATGCTGCCGGTTGTTCAGCTTCCAGGCGGGCGACATTCGATCTGACATGTTCCTCGTGTTTTCGGAGCTGAGAGTAGCGACCTGTAGACTCGCCCAAAGCAAGCGCCGTCTCTTGGAACCGTCTCTCTAGGTCTTTCACTGTAGCTTCCGCACAGGATTTCGTTGGAGGAGCTTTGCCACCAGACGACAAGCCGGCCTTGGTCCGTACAAGAAGAGCGTTGTAGTCCTGTCCCAGCGTCGATGAAATGATGGCAGCTTTCTCGAAGACGTCGAACAGGTGCTCGTAGCCTTCCCTCTTCATACGGCGCCAGTGCATCGCCAGTCGATCACCCATCTCAGCGGGCGTCTCATCCGGTTCACATCTCGACTCGTCTACCAAATCCGCATCATGATCAATCATGTCGCCCACGAATCCAGGTCCGCCTGCCCGTGCACTATCTCCAGGTTGTTGCTGCGGGACATCTTCGTCCAGGCCGTCGTTACGGGCATCATCGTCATCAAAATCTAACCTGCTTCAAGGATCCTCGCCTCCGTCTTTCGAGATCTCCATCGCTATGCCATCTTCCTCGTCACTATCAGTGACTCGACCAGGACCACCTTCTTCCACGCCCGGGCGTTGCGCTGCAAACTCCCCACCAGTCTTAGGCAGGTAGGAAAGGATGGAGATCAATCTACGCTCCAATTCCAAAGTTGTCAGTACCCAGGTATTCAATGTCAATCTGTTCGTCCGCACTTCGTTCATGATTGGATGCGCCCCGTCGGCAAGTCTGGCCAGATTGCGAGACTTGACTCAGAAGAAGAAGCTATTTTCTTCGGAAGCCTTAGCATGGACACAGAATACCCAGAGGTGACGGGAACACACTCGGCGATGGTAGCCAGCTCGTAGTTTGTGATGAGGTCGTCTGTGGGTAGGGGCGCCAGAGGTTCACTTGGAAGTGAATGCTGGCACTGTCGATGAAGAACCAAAGTTGACTCGGTGGAAATGGGATAAGCTTCGAAGTCGGCTGTTTGGTTGAAAGTTCGGGAGAGGTTCAATGTCGCCGCTGTTTGTCTTGCTGCCAAGACATTTCAGTGAAAGATGGATTCTTGACATCCTCCCACCAGATCATCTCCGCCACACAATCATCGATCGCGTACCCTTTGAACATCCCATTATCCCAAATGGTCCACAGAAATTGAGACCGACGGCCGCAACAATGGACGAGCGTGCGAGCAACACCGCTCGCTTCTACCACAGCGAGTACGATAAGGTAAGGTCTTCGAATCCTGGCCGATGTACAGAGGCTGATGGTTCCAGGCGTACAAGATGTTCCTTGACGGCGAAAAGGAGGCGTCCGACGATGCATGCTGCGAGCTTATCTCCGATTTCCAATGTCCCCGACTCCTCCAGATCCAAGCATGGCAATTGAGATCTGTCTGCACCGAGGATTACTGGCTGGCTCGAAGTCATCTCATCAATGGCCTCGACTTGATCGCAAGCCTGCAGGATGATGAGGAGCCCCTGGTGAAACAGACCAAGGAGCACACGGTATGCTGTCCCGATTGATTGATCCCAGGATTTGGCCATCCCAAGGTGCTGACTGTGACAGACTCGCATGCTTGAACAGCGGGATGCCGAGTGGAAGGCATACTGGGCGGAGACGGGTCAAGATGCCCCGAAGGAGCAGCGTATGGAGGATACGTACGTCGTATCTGGAAGTCGGGAAGAGCACGAGATGGGAGAGTCGAGTCCCCAAGGAGATAGAGATGAGGCTGCCATTGAGAAGCAGCGGGAGCGTCCGGGCCGTTTGGAATTGGGAGAGAAGGATGGCGAGATCGGTGGAGTCGAGGTCGAGTCGGGAGCTACGGCGATGAAGACGACGTCCCAGATGGGCGGAGAGGATGAGGATGGGATGGCACAGTGAGGAGTGGGATGGGAAAGTTCGGAGTTTCCGCTGGGAGCGCGAGAGGCAAGTCAAAGTGGATGGAGATGTTACATTATTGAGCTCGTCTCTGAGACAGAATGCAAGACCCCACCAGTCCCAGAATCGTATCTTGAGGTGAGAGTAACGAAAGAGCCTCCCAAGTCGTACCTTCCCAAAGTCCTCCTGATGTCGAGGCGGCTCTTCCCGATCCGGGAAAGATCTGCGTCTCCTTCCTACTTTCTTGCCAACAAGAGAAAGAAAGAGCGACCGACTGCTCAGAAGCGGCAGGAACGTCAACGAATCTGTGATTGGGAATTCTTCGGTCTATTTGGTAACATGGGCTTGTCTCGGTGATTGCACTCTATGGAAAGATCGCAGCGAGGGCCGTGGTGAAGAACCTGAGGCACACAACCGCCGCGAAATTTTTAGCACGCTAGTGAGGAAAGTCTTGGCACTCAACCTATATTCCCAGCTCTCTCGCTCTCTCTCCTGCTTCCTTTCTTCATTCGACGATGCAAGTTTTCCCCCAACCCCTACACTTGAAGACGAGAAACCTCATACTGACTGTTCAAAAGACTTCAAGGAATCATTTCTATAGTAAACGTCCACAACTGTATTCTCTACACGAGCTACAGACTCCAACCTGGCTGATGAGCCGATCCGCGGCGCCCAAGAGTGATGCCGATATGCTGGTCTCTCGACCGGCGGTGATGATCTCGCCCTGCCTGAGCGTCTTGGCTTCGTGCCGGCTCTCGCAGGTGGGTGCTGTCGGACGTCTGACAGGTCTTTTTCTTTCTTTTTCATCAAGAGCTCGGTGTTGCGATACCAAGGCTTGGAGAAGAGGCTTTTCGAGAGGTGCGAATTTCGCGGCGGGTGGTGGGCTTGGCGGGTTTTGGGAATACTGTGCTGTGGGTTTGATCACGATGCCCTGCTGTCGCTTGAGGCTGTGCTGCTGTTATGGCAAGAGATGACGCTGTCGCTGTTGCTGGATGGCTGTTGTCGCACAGGTGCCTCGATACCAGCTTCGACGGCGGATCGAGAGGGTAGCATTCGAGGACGGCAGATAGCGTTCGACTCGACTTTTGAAGCGTCTGCGATTTCTCGAGAGAATGATCATGAACTCTCCTGCTCATTCTTGCGACTTCATCTCCTACTGACAGTCTTCAAGGCCGCTCATCAATCCATACCATCCTCCAAAACACCGCACGCGAAGCATCCACCAGCAAACCACCGCACCTCGAGACCATCTCACCTCCACACATGCTCAAGAACAGCACCATCCGACTCATCTACGAGACCATCAACACATGCCTCTCGTCCGCCATCCGTCACCATCGCCGGCCGCCCTCCCACCCAAGCCGTACCCACGACCTCCGAAATTCTCAGTGCGCGCACGGCCCTCGAGCGAAATTTTCTGCACAGCACCCAACCTGCCAGGAGTTCACGCATGAGGAGGTCAGTGAGGTATACACGGCATGGCAAAGGCAGTGGTGAAAGAGGTAGAGAACACACTACTCGACCGTACATACATAGATCCATGTACATGCATTCCATCCCACATGATACCACATCGAGGAAGGCTTTCTTGATATTCGGTGGTGCTGCACACGCCTTGTATTCATCCGTACACTTTGCCACTTGATTCCCCCTCGAGCAATCTGCCAGCTTGTGAAGCTCAGTCTCCTCACTCCTCGAGTGAGCAGACACATCATAAAGGATCTACGAAATTCATGGTATACATCTACATTTTCAACTCCATACCAGTCGCAGGCCTCTCGATGCCAGCATCCCACCATCGAGACGGCAGCACTGCTTCTTCTGCTGCGTGGATGGATCATCGATAAGTGATGAAGCCCAGCAACAACCTACCTCCTCGTTTCGACAGGCACAACGTGAAGGATCTTCGGAACTCATGTACATCTACATTCTCAGCTCCATACCGATCCGCGGGCACCTCAATACCAGCCTTCCACTTCCAGCGTGAAGGTTTCAGGACACCACTTCTTCCAGCGGACTCATCTGTTCATCTGTCAAAGGCCTTCTGTACTTGGTGGGATGAATGATTGAAGATCTGTAGACATCAGACACATAGGATACATCTTCATACATCTCTATATGCGCCTCATACAGTCCTCGCCTTCTTCTCGACACCAGCTATCGATATCGACTTTGCTGTGGAAGCGGCGTTGGTTCATCTGGCGAGCTGCTGTTTGGTATGCCATGCCATGCTGTCTGTTAAGTTTGCAGGTTTCATGCTCACGCACTGCCTCCTCATGTATCCATGAGAGTATCGCTCAACTTGTGATGCGACCCAGGACGGCCTACAGCCTTCTGGAATATGTGTGCGTCTCAAGTCATCCGCCGTACTCTGTATTTGGCTCTTTCTCAAGAGCTCTACCCTCACGATTAAATCTTCTTCTCTTGTACCATCCTCCAAATCTCGTCTTTCAACCCTTCCTCCCCCTCCGACTCCCCTCCTTCTTCACCCCATCCCTCTTCCCGACCTTCTCCTTATACTCCCTTATCTGCTCCACAGCCTCCTCCTCCTCCCTCCTCTCCTCATCCACCTCCTTCTTACTCGCCCTCTCCTGCGCCCCACGCTTCTCCGCCTCCTGCACCATCTGCTCGCTATACTCCCACAGCTTCCTCTGCGCCTCCTCATCCTCCACTTCCTTCCGCATGAACTCCCGCTCTTTGCACTCCTTGATCAAGATCCCACCCTCACTCCGCGTGAACTTCTCTTCCATGGATGCGTACAGGAAACTCTGCGTGCCCATCTCTGGTGCTTTCAGGATCAACAACCACAGCGGGTACGTGATGAGATACAGCAGCAAGCCCAACAATGACCCAGACGTCAACCACCGCCTCGTCCCCGGCGTCCTGCACAACCCAGGATCCACGAGCAACACCTTCGTATTCATCGGCATGTTATCCGGCCTCTTATACGCACTCAAATGCTTCTGAAACGCCAGTGCGAACATCGTCAGCGCCAACTTCGACGTCGCATATGCATTGCCCGGCGAGAACTTGGTAGGTTCATGCGTCTTGTCCACTTTCTTCTCCTTCTTCTCCTTGCTCTTCGATGGCGTCGTCTGTGTGATGTGTAGCAGATCCCCGCCCATATAACTACTGCACCCTCCAATCAAAACCCTCACATCCCGATCCGGCGGCTGCGCTCTCAACGCCGGCGACAGAATCGACAGCAAGTGGAAGTTCGCCAGATAATTTACCTGCCAGTTCACCTCCACTCCCTCCGCCGTACTCTGAATATCCTTACCGCCCGGCGTCAGCGTATTCGCGCACAGCACAATCATATCCAGCCTCCTCGGCGGGGCATTGTCGATCCATTTCGTCGCGAAAGTTCGGATGCTGTGGAGGGAGGATAGATCGACTTGCTCAGCTGTGATGAGGTGGTTATCGGTGTCTCGACGGATGTCCTCGATGTAGTCAACGATGAAGGGGTCGCTGAGGGCGTGTTGGGTTAGAAGGACGATTTGGGCGCCTCCAGCTGCGAGCGCGCGGACGGTGGCCTCGCCTACGCCGGATGTGCCGCCCTGGCATGATTAGATGTCGGTTTTGGTTGAGCACGTTTCCTTACTTACTGTCACCATCACGACCTTGCCATGCATATTCCGCTCGCTCAGATTGGTCGCTCCTTGAAAGTACGTCTTGACGAGCCACAGCAGACCGAGCCATGGCAGCGTTTTGAGGACGGTCCAGAGGTATGGAACAGTGTTGATGCCATCGAAGAGGGCTTGCGTCGCGATGTAGACGGGCATTATAGCGACTGGATGGCCCTCGAGGGGCTGTGGATGTTGCAAGCAGGGAGAAGTTCAGGGTCAGGAAGTGGCTTTGGAGCTTCGGCGTTATGCAGGGCTATCTCCACTGCGATCATATGAAGGCGAATGAATGAACAGGTAAGTAAGTATTGAAAGACGAATAGATTGATATTATATATTCAAGAACATACGCTGCATATGCTTGGTATCTTCACGCATCTCATCTCACCCAACGAAAACGCTCAATGCAGACATCCACCTCACCAACCACCCTCCTCTTCATCACAACACCGCCCTCTCTCCACCAATCTTCCTCGCACAAAACGCCCCAAAATAATCATTCAGCGCATCAACCGTCCCACTCCCCTCCTCCAACTTCACCACACAACCCACATACCCATCCGGCCTCACAACGACAACCCCGCCCTCCTCCTGCGACAACCCCATCTTCGCGTGCGCCGCTGCTTCCGCGTCCGGTACTCTCTGATCCCACACATCATCCGCGTAGACGTGGTCGTGGTAGCGAGAGAGTAATGAAGGGAGGAGTTCACGGATTTCGATTTCGGGACGATGAGCGTTGAAGATGGTGTTGATGGTGAAGAAGTGGCTGTGTGGGTTGTGTCGCTCGTGGTAGTTGACCGTGTCGATGTCTTCTCGTGCGTAGACGGAGTAAAAGGAACCCTTCTTCTGTATGTTTTTGGCGAAGTCGGCGATGGCCTTCTTCGTTTTTGAGGGTTTGCCGCCGAAGAGGAAGATTCTGTAGGAGCCGTTCAGTGGGATTTCTTGCTCGAGATGCACCACATTGGCGTCGGCTACTCGTGTCACAGTCGCTGGCATCAATATCCTTCCTGACCGTAGTGCTGTCGTGCCTTTTTCTGCGGAGAGGAAGAGTGGATGTTTTGCAGGATGATTCTCCGACCAGTTGAAGACGTTTTCGAGGTAAGCCACGCCGTATCCTGAAGTGAACTCGCAAGACTCCTTGAACTTCTTGATGAAGGAATTCTCCTCGCCATGGCTATCACCACTGCTCTGTTTGCTGGCTGTTTTGATATCGTCCGCCGAAGGTTGCTTTTGTGAGAAGAGTTTCGCATATTCAGCGTCAAAGTTGAGAAGGTTCTCTGCAACATATTTCCGCTCGCTCTCGTAGGACTTCAGAATCGATCGATCAGCAAATCCAGACTCTACGTGATGAATCTTCCACGCCAGGTTTTGCGCATCCAGGAAAGCAGTGTTCATGCCTTGACCAGCCTTGGGAGAATGCGTATGGCAGCAGTCACCGCCCATGAAAACCCGCTCGTCGAGTGTGTATTTGTCCGCGATTCCTTGACCGATGGGATAGACGGAATACCATTCCACGCGATCCCACTCGACGTAGTAAGGCTTCATGATCCGCTTCGCAGCTGCTTGGACTTCTTCGGTTGTAGCAGACTTCCGAGGATTCCAGTCTGCGTCGGTAGATGAAGCTATTTGAATGTACAACCGAACCATGTTATTCTCGCGAGGGATGACCATGATCGAGCCGGCGTCTGAATGGATGGTGCATTTCATCTAGTCAAGTCAGCAACGTTCTCCTCCCAACATATTCGCTGTCATACCTTGATATCAGGAAAGTCCGTCCGCACCACACCATCCATCACACCCCAAACATACGCAATAGGATCCTTATGCGTAATCTTCACGCCCAACTGCTCCCTCACAAAACTCCTCGCACCCTCTCCACTAAACAAATACTTCGCCCTCACAGTCTCCTGCCCTTGCTTCTCTCCATCCACGTGCGCGATGCTGACCTCAACAGGATACTCCTCATCCTTGCCATCATTCTTAAACCCCGTGATCCTCCAAGGCCGTTGTATCCTCGTATCATGCTTCTCCAAATCATTGATGAACACCCTCTCGATCAACCCCTGATGCAACAACGTCGTGAACGGATACCTCGCATCGATGAACTTCGGACACGACGCCCACGTTCCCGTTCGCTGTATCCCACTTTCTGACGGATCCCAAAATGCCACCTCGTACACTTTCGCGGGCTCGTTGGCCATGATGGGTCGTTTGAGGTCCATGTTTCGCAGGAGGTCGAGTGATCGTGGTTGGATGCCGTCGGCGCGTCCGGTGAGGGTCGGTTCGGGTCGCATGTCGATGTGCTTGATCTTGTATCCCCATCGTGCGAGGCATGTCGAGAGGAGGAGGCCGACTGGACCGGCGCCGATGATGACGATGTCGTACTTGTCTATTGGAGCCATCGTGACGGCGGGCTCGTTATGGCAGAGATGTGCTGTATGTTGTACTCCTCCCCAGGGCCAACAAATTATTCCTCTTCTATACGAACAAACAGATCCGGCAAGCAAAGGGTATATGACGCGAATGGATAGACGAAACCAAAAAGAAAGTATAGCAGGACTTGCCTTTAAGTACCAAACCCAAGATGGGCGTCTTGTGCCTCCTAACGCATCCACTACGACGACGGCGATGCTCGCGCTTGCACACGGCTGATGGATCGGGAGGCTGGACTCAGCGCCAGAACAGTTCCCATGTCGCCGTACCGAGAGCTTGGGGGGGAGTGGGTGGTGCAGAAGCCCCGCCGGTCGACTCCCGCTGCTGTCATCCGAACGAACGGAGTGTGAAACGGCAGTCAGAGAGGCTGCACGTGATGCGGAAACGGTGGGGGTGGGCTATTTTAGTGCGTCGTCCGAGATTCGCCCTTGTCATCTTCCTCACCATTAATATCAACACCATTGTCCAGTTCAGGAAAGCTGATTAGAGTGTCAGCCCTCATTACACTCTTTTCGTCTCTGTAAACAGCAGGTTGTCTCTCTTCTGCAGGCCTGTTTGCATCTGACATCGATCCACCGGCCCCTGCCGCCGCACCCCAGCTTTGACTGCCGTATCGTCTGGCCGACAATACCGCTGACCACCAAGCGAGGCGCATCAACCTCACGTGCAGACGACTACGCCGACAAGCTCATTTTGTAGCTACACAACCCCTCCACATCTACTCCGGACGGAGCCATTGCGGCTGCTGGCGTACTAGCGGCGACGCTTGCTCATATACTCTATTAGATAGGATCCTCATCCTGACTGCGAAGATTAGTGAGGGTTCAGCCTTGTCAAACTTCATCATTCAAGTAATCATTCCAATCGTCTGACTGTACATTTGTATCTCTGTATGGATATATGCTTGGCCGCCATGCCTCCCCAAATCCACAACACCATCCCAATGGCCTCGTCCACATCCCCGGTCTTTCTCTTAGCAACAATACTTGCCATCCCATTTGCATACGTGATCTACCAAACTTACTTCCACCCCCTCGCTTCGATTCCAGGTCCTTTCTGGGCTCGCCTCACTCGGCTATGGATCACCAAACACTCCTGGGACGGCGACATGCATACCACCATAATCGCACTGCACAAAAAGCACGGCAGCCTCGTCAGGACAGGACCCAACGAAGTCAGCGTCTCCGATCTAGCAGCCATCAAGACCATCTACGGGGCCGGGACGAAGTTCAGAAAGAGTGATTGGTACTCTGTATGGCAAGGCCATCGCAAATTCGACCTCTTCGCCGAACGAAACGAGAAGATCCATGGCGAGCAGAGACGGTTGATCAGTCGGGCGTATGCGATGGATTCTCTACGAATGCTTGAGCCCTACGTCGACAATGCAGTCAATGTATTCATGAACGAAATGACGAAACGAACAGGACAAACCATCGACATGGGCAATTGGCTTCAACTCTTCGCCTTCGATGTCATTGGCGAAATCACCTTCTCCAAACGGGTAAGCAGCCTCATTCCCAAAAAACCACCCCTACTGACACCTTCCCTAAGTTCGGCTTCCTCGACACCGCCGAAGACGACGGCTCCTTCACCCAAATCTCCAACGCCCTCAAATCCGCCGCCTGGATCGGCCAGCTTCCCTTCCTCTACTGGCTCCACGACGCCCTCACTCCCTACATCGGCAACCACCTAGGCATCACCGCCCGCCACGGCTCCCTCCGCACCTTCGCCACCCGCGAGATCACCGCCCGCCAAGACCGCGGCAGCGACCACACCGACATCCTCTCGCAGCTCTTCGCAACGCAAAAGGAGAAACCCCTCGAAATGAACGACAACGCCGTCATCAGCATGGCCACATCCAACATCTTCGCAGGCTCCGACACGACCGCCATCTCCCTCCGCGCCATAATCTACTACCTCCTGAAGAACCCCTCCTGCAAAGCGAAACTCCTCGCCGAAATCCACGCCCACACCCTCTCCGACCCCGTCATCCTCTCCGAAGCCGAAAACATGCCCTACCTCCAAGCCGTCATGTACGAAGCCCTCCGTCTCCACCCAGCAGTAGGCATGTCCCTCCCACGCGTAGTCCCGCAGGGCTGCACAACCCTCGCAAACACATACCTCCCCGCCGGCACGGTCGTCGGCGCCAACCCCTGGGTCATCCACCGCGACGCGACCATCTACGGCACCGACGTCGACGCCTTCCGTCCGGAACGTTGGCTCGCCGCACGGGAGAAGGAAGGCGGTAGCGGTAGCGACTATGGCGATCTCTCGAGGTTTTTCTTCGCCTTTGGCTCCGGGGCGAGGGTTTGTCTCGGCAGGAATATCAGTTGGATGGAGATGAGTAAGGTGATTCCGACGTTGTTCAAAAGGTTTGAGGTGGAGCTTGTGGAGCCGGAGAGGGAGTGGGAGGTGAGGTGTTGGTGGTTTGCGATGCAGAGGGGGTTGGAGGTGAGGGTTAGGAAGAGGGGGTGATGATGTTGTGTGGGTGGAATATTGTTGCTTGTCGAATCACTTCCTTGTTCGTTGAGACCTTTACTCACAAGGAGACACGGGAAGTACCCTAGCTCCTTTTCCTCAGAACTGGCTTTTGTTGTCATCGTCTCTGCTTCATGTAAATTCCACCGCTCGGAATCCTGGCCTTCACCCAACTTTCTACGTTCTTTCGAATAGAACAAGATTCGGCGTATGAACAGAGGCCCACCTTGCCCAATTGCTTTACGTTGCTACACAAACTCATCTCCTCGCAAAAACCACACTCCCCCCACTGTTCTCTCCTCCTAACCCTCCCCTCAATCTACGACTGACTCGCCACACCAACCTGGTTATTCCCAAGATCAAACACAACGAAGAAGTTCTTCATAAACACATCCCCAAAAATACTCCCGGGCAACCCATCATCAACCTGCAACCCCCCAAAACAATCCCCACTCCCATCCCCCAGCGGCTGGAAATTCAGCGCCGCCCCAGGAACCGTAAACGTCGTCCCACCGATCCCGACCGAGAAATCGGGGAGACTCTCGTCGCAGCTGAAGACGTACCCGCCGGCGGAGGAGGAGTCCTGCGCGCTGGGGACGTTGGCGTAGTAGCCTGAGACGGAGGCAGAGGGGAGGTACCAGAGCGAGGTGCCCGTGTCCATGATGGAGTAGCCGATGGCGTTGCCGTTGGCGTCGCTGTCGGCCGTGAAGTCCCAGTACGAGGGGTTCTGCTGCAGGGTGGGGACGTAGGTGATCGAGCCGGAGTACTTGCTCGCGTCGATGTAGCCGAAGTCGTAGCTGCCGCCGGAGGACTGCAGGTCGGCGGTGAAGAGGGCGGAGGAGGCGGAGGATTGGAAGTTGCCGAAGAACGTCTGGCATTGCGAGGGCGTGCAGGTGTTGCCGCTTTCGTAGCCGAGGCCGAGCAGGCCGTCGCTGTTGCCGCTGGTGAACGTCGAGGACACGCTGGTGGCGGCTTCGACGGCTTGGGAGGTCACGGTGGCGCCGCCAACCACGACGGTGTCGGCGTAGACGACTCCTGAGGAGCCGGAGCCGTCGCCATAGGTGATGGACCAGGTTTCGCCTTGCTCGGAGGAGCCGGAGTTGGGGTTGTAGAGGTTGTGGCCGGAGGACTCGCTGCTGGGGGTGATGGTGGAGAAGACCCAGCTGAAGAAGTATAGTCAGTCGAGTACATCCAAGCACAGAACGTCAAGGCACTTACAGATCCGAGCTACCAGTATCAAAATCAAGATTGAGTTGATCATTGCCAACAGTCACCGGACAGATGTACTCGGAATCGTACTGCTCAGCCGTGGCCGAAACGGATCCCGTGCCAGCATCCGCAGCAGCGGCCTTCTGGACATGCTCTGGTGCCGGACGGTGGTATTTGGTGTAAGTATGGTAGTGGGCCATGGCAGCCTTGTTGGTATGGTTGGTCCTGATGCGAGGGACGGAACCAGACAATTTCTTGGGCTGGCTACTGGTGGGAGCGGCGAGGGCAAGAGAGGCGGTGGCCAGCACTGCTGCTGAGCGGAAGAAGGAAGGCATATTGGCGATGCTGGCGTCGACGCAGGTGAAGCGAAGCGTGGCAGGCGTGCTCTGGTTGTCGAAGTGATTGAAGAGAAGCCATGACAGCTTATATATCTCTTTCTCCACCACTCGTGGCGATCATCAAGAGTAGGCCAGTGATATGAGCAACATCGGCTGTTGCTCGTGCTCGTTTAGCATCTTTCACTCTTCGCCAGTCGCCTTGCAGTAGTCGAGACGGCTAGCGATAGTATGTCTACGTATGCTCTGGCATAAGAGGCAGGTCGGGGGTAGGCAGTGATGGCACCATGAGCGGAAGATGGAACGTGAGATGATAGCCATAGAGATCTGGGGTTACTTCCACCGACGGCATTCACAGGGCTGATTGGGCGCGAGGTCCATTGCGGTCGCTAAAAGCAGCTGGTCAGCCATTCTTATGCCCCAATCAGCAAGCGCTCCGAATCACAGTATCAGAAAGGCAGGCGACGACAGGGTAGAAACTCGGTACCTGACCACAATAAGCGTGAATTAGCAGACGAGGTTGTCGAAGCTTGTGAATGCTTATCCGATGTTTCGAGAAGCTTGGTATGCATGTTGGACGCAAGTGTCGTCGGCTTCCTTACCTCGACGGTGATCCTTCTAGGCCCGAGTAGGAAGCTGTGAGGCATATAAGCTATAAAATTCGCTTGATTCCGGCGAAATTATCAATTCAAGTAGATGATCGGCAATTCTTCTCATATGATGCTCGCTAAAGCAGAACTCTCGCGCGCAACCGGCCGGTTATCTTCAAGAGCCGTCCAGATGCTTGCGAGCTTGATGCTGCTCGTGGTTGTGATAATTGGTTGCAACCGACTAAAGCTCGGTCTGCAAAGGCGAAGTACAATCAACCGCGATCACACCTTCCGCATACATCCCAGGAACCGTGACTGAAGATTCAGCGGCGGCATTCTGTCGAGGATTGGTGTCTCGCGGTGTCCTCTTTGAATGATTGATAGTCCACAGTGCGTTCAGAGTGACGAAGACCAGCAGCGTGGAGCTTCGGCAGCAAGGCCAAAGAAGTCATGCTGTTCCGACACTGCCAGGAGATATGACTGCCACACCAAGACTTCCACCGGAGCATCGTGGATCTTTCTTCCCTTCATCACGGCCAGCATCCAGGATGGTTAACAAGACCGACTCCTTCCTGATCAGACATAAGCTCTTCACAAGCCTGATCAGATCATGAGGCTACCAAGTCTTTCAATCTTTCCGACGCAGCATGCGAGATGGAACAAGGACCGACTTGACGTCGACTCTGGCGAGTACGAGATCTCTGGCCAGATTGAACCCCGAAACTTCTCGTTGCGAGCACAATGCCATCTGGGTATCAAATCGTCCATTTCAAGTGCTCGAACTCCGAACCACTTCCTCTTTCGCCACCACCTTCATCGCCGGCTCCTCGCTCACCAGCATAGAAGACAGCATATCCTTCAACTCCCCCACAGTGTGACCGTCCGAATCATCAGACAGCATGCTGGAAACACACTCCCTCATCCGCGAGGCGTGTTGACCAGCACAACTGGCAAAGTGCTTCGGGTACTTTCCATGCCTCAACTCGTGCAGCGTATGTCGCCGCTCCATCTGGGTGTCGAATTTGCATAGCAACTCACACGCAATCACCCCTACGGCGAATATATCCAGCCGTGGACTGAAGTTGTCGTTGCTCGTAGCCGGGCGATAAATCTCGGTACCCACAGCTCGCTGAGGCGAGACGTCCTGGTCCCCAGTCTGCGTGATGTTCGTAACAAGGCCAAAGTCGCCAATACACACGCTCAAGTTAGCAGGGCCAGTCACCTTCTGTGCCCTACAATCAGCACACGACGACAAGTCGATGCAGCTCGGGTTTGGCTTGGGGTTGTCTTCGACTTTCAGAAAGACATTCGCTGGCTTTAGGTCCCGATGCACGACTTTCTGTGCATGCATGTACTCCACGCCTTCCAAGATGGCCAGGAGGATTTGTATTGATGGCTCAAAATGAAAGCAGTGGGCCAGCGGCTGGACTTCTGTTTTCTTCTTCGGTGATATGAAGTCTGCGAGAGTCATTGGATATTCCGCCATCTGCACGTAGAGTGCAACGGTTGGGCCTGGAATAGACAGCTGGCGATCATTCCGACTGGCATTTTCTGAGGTCGTGACATAGCTTTCGCTGATGTGATCGTTGGTGTTTTTCAGAAGGTGATTGTTTGAAACCCGACCGCCTGTGACCTCTCGAGATCCACTGTCGAAGGCGATACCAGGACCCATATCTTCTGTCGTGTCGGTCTGTGTTTTGATGCGGTCCAGAGCTACTGCTCCAAACGATAGCGGAGGTGTGGTTCCGAGCACAGCATCCGAGTCGGTATCTGGACTGCTGGAAGGCGGTTGAAAGCTACTTGTCGGCGACATTTCGACCCAGCTGCTGTTATAGCGAACAATGTTGGGGTGAGACAGCCGGGATAGTGAGCGAACTTCTTTCAGGATCTCGTCCACCGCAGCCTCTCCATCAGGGCCATCGTCTTGTGTACGTCTGATCTTGACAGGATCCATTGGCACCTACGAACATATTAGTAGACGTCTTTGGAGAGAGTCTAGACGGCAGCGAATTTGAGGGTAGTTGCGGGTATATGTTGACCCCCGAGAGCAGTAGGATGATTGAAAGGATAGGAGTTTCGCGCAACATACCCTTTTGACAGCATACACTTGCCCATCAACTCTGTGCTTCGCCCGGTAAACTTCTCCATACCCTCCCTTCCCAAGCAAACCGATGTGTTCGAAATCGCTTGCGTAACGTGGGGTCTGAGGCTCGTATAGCTGCATTGATCCTCGAAAAGGTGATGCAGGGCTGAATATGCCATTTCGAGAGATAGGTGAGGCACCTCCGTCTGTCAAATATCGTCTCAACGGACCCGGGACCGGCGCTTCACAAAAGTCAGCAAGTTGATCGAGATCACAGCGGTCGTGATTACGTGAATATGGCGTTCGATAGTTGGAAGAAAGATGTTCTGGGCGTCACTCACTTCTCTGTCCGCGTTGCAACGCCCGTGAAGTCGAAGGGTTGCCAGTGAGAGGCAACCTATCCAAGCCATCTCGCACCCACTGAAAGCAACAGTCAGTATAACTCAAAGAGAGGACAGAGGGTGAGAATTCAACCAACATACCTGCCTATTAGCCCCATGCTCACCCCCCTCCAACCCGGCCGAGAACAAGTTCAACGGCGCCAGATGCTGACACAGCAACTGATACCTCCTCTGAGCCTCCTGCCGAATCGCACCTTCCTCGCGACCATTCCACTCGCTGCGGACTTGATTGAGGCATCGTTCTTCGAGGAGTGCGTGAATGAGGAGATCTCGTCCCAAAGCACCACCGTTCTTGTCGATGGCGATGGATTCGTGCGAGCCGGTGTGGGAGATTTCAATATTTGAGAGATCGTTGCTTAGGGAGGCTGGAGGATGGTGTTAGTATGTGTGGACTTTACATGTTGATGGTGAGTAGTCAATTGTAGACCACTCCAACAAATGGAGATGCGAGTGTGCCAAACTCACCAGATTCCTCCTCCTCCTCATCCTCACTCCCCGACGTCTCACTCCCACTACTCTCATCCGGCCGTCGAAAGTACTTGGAAGACATCTCGCAGTAACAAGATCCGGCATTGGCGCCGAAATCTCACAGCCAGTCGAGTAGTACTGAAAAGCCCATTCGAGTCCTCGCCCGATGGAGGCGCCGCATTGAATGAGCGAATCAAATTATGAATAATGAGCGAGTGATTGTCAAGCAAAGGGCGCGTGTCGATGTCGTTCCATGTATTTCGATGTCAGTTTTTCTTCCAGCTGTCTTCTTTGAATCCAGTCATAGATCGCTGAGAAGGCGCAGGTGAGGTCTTCACATTTCAGCCTCAGGCGCAAATCTCGGCTGATCGGGCCGACCGAAACTCTAAACTCTCGTCTTCCACGCCGGGAACTCGTGTTCACTTCACGCATTCGTTCAACAACGATTCATTCTCGCGACCATGGATCTCATCACCCGCGCGAAAGACCTAGCAACAAATCCCCACAACACGAAATGGACAATCCCCCTCCAACTCCTCGGCGACGCGATCCTGTGCGGATTGATCGTGTGGAAGATTCCCTGTACCTTACCCCTTTCCAACCTCCAACATCAATCCCAACTCTCTAACGACGAAAATCGTGAAATAGACACCGAAATCGACTGGAAAGCCTACATGCAACAAATCACAATCTACATCGCCGGCGAACGCGACTACGCCAAAATCTCCGGCGACACCGGCCCGCTCGTCTATCCCGCCGCACACGTCTACATCTACCGGGCGCTCTACTACCTCACGGATTCCGGCACGGACATCTTCACGGCGCAGCTCATCTTCATCGGCCTGTACGTCGCGAGTCTGTACTTCGTGATGCAGACGTACCGGCAGGCGGGCGTGCCGCCGTGGGTGTTTCCGTTGTTGAGTTTGAGTAAGCGGGTGCATTCGATTTTTGTGCTGAGGTTGTTTAATGATTGTTTTGCGGTGGCGGGGTTGTTTGCGGCGGTGGGGCTTTGGCAGAGGCGGTGGTGGACGGTGGGGACGTTGGTGTATAGTGTTGGGGTTGGGGTCAAGATGAGTTTGTTGTTGTGTTTGCCGGCGGTGGGCGTGGTGCTTTGGCAGGCGATGGGGAGGGATCGGGCGTTTTATCAGGCGCAGAGTATTTTGCAGGTGCAGGTGAGTGATGAATGGAAGGTTGAGGTTGGAGAGGTGTGGGCTGACGTGAGGACAGACGTTGATTGCGTCGCCGTTTATCATTGGGGGTTTGAAGAGCTATGTTACGAGAGCGTTTGAGTTGTCGCGAACGTTCATGTTCAAGTGGACTGTCAACTGGCGCTTCGTGGGAGAAGAGCGCTTCTTGGGTCGGCCTTTCTCTCTCCTCCTGATCGCAGTCCATCTGTCTCTGCTCTACACCTTTGGAGCAGGGAGATGGCTGGCACCTTCAGGTTGGAGCGTCCCAGATGCGTTCGACAAGCTAATCGAACCTCCGCCAAAGGAAGAACAAGCACGCATTGCGCGCAGAGTGACTCCCAACTTCATCTTGACCGCAGTTCTCTCGTCGATGATCATTGGCTGTCTATGCGCGAGGAGCTTGCACTACCAGTTCTTCGTGTACATTGCATGGTCGACACCTTTCCTGCTTTGGAAGAGCAGTATGCATCCAGTCCTGATATATGCGATCTGCATGGCGCAAGAGTGGGCGTGGAATGTGTATCCAAGTACCAATGCAAGCTCACTCGTAGTAGTGAGCTGCTTGGCCACCACAGTCGGCAGCGTCTGGATAGGAACGAGTCCATATCTGGCTGCAAAGAAGGATGAGGCAGCCGAGAAGCCTCAACACGAGCATGCAGAATAGATCAAATTAATTCAAAAGCTTCACCCATTCAATCCTCATCATCTGACGGAGGCATCTGCGGTCCTGCATCCGAGTCCTCATCCGAATCTTGCTGATAGCTCGACTTGGTAGCCGCAAACTCCCCAGGCCAGAAGGGAGCTTTCATCCAAGCTTTAACATCGCCAACAATATTGACAATCTCGCCATCGATCTTATTCTCCCGTCCCGCCAAGGACGTCGTGTCGACGAGGACATACGACCCGCGCTTCATCCAGACGGTGGAGCGAAACTTGGCGGGCAGCTCGCACAAAAGTGCCTCACCGGAGGGCAGGGCGAGGTTGTACAGGTTCTTGCCCGCGGCATTTTTGACGCGAGCGATTTTCTGGCCCGGGGTCAGCGTCGTCGGGGGTGTCAGCGTTTCTTCCTGCACGGCTTGGACGTTGCGCTTGGGCTTGGGCATGTTGGACTAGCTTGCTTGCTACCAGGTCACGTCGGGTCAGGTCCTGCGTGGGCAAGCTGGGAGAGCTGTGGTGGTTGCAGATGCAGATCTCTCGTGCAGGATGGCTTTTGTGGTATGGAGCTCGAGGTTGGTGGCGGTGAGGGAGATGTTGTCGTCGTCGTCACGCAATACGAGGCGCGTGTGATGGTGGTCGGGTGCCGTGTCCGATGCCCAGATGCACGCAAGACTGTGATGGACAGCGGTATAGGTGAAATTTCTGGCACAGGAAGGGAATGCTCGAACGGGAGACTGGATGCATTCCATCTTCGCTAAAGTTGAGGCTAAACCTTGGGGTGCAGCAGCAGCGGCAGCAGGTCGGCGGTCGGTGATGCAGCTGCAGCCTCCCATTCGTCGCCGTCACCATGACATGGCGATAGCATCTCACCTGGCCGCATCTGTCCGCCATCATGCTGCATCACAGCTATGTACGATTGCAGTGCTCGCAGTAGTGCTCGTGATGCGCCGGTGGGGGTGAGTGAATCCCGCCGCACATTTACCCTGCGGTGTGGCTTGATGGCCCAAGCTCATTGGTAGCTTTGTTGATGTCCGTCAGTCTCGTGCGCGTAGTACATCTTCACGTGCGTGGGCGGCCGGTGTGAGGGACAAGCAGGCTGACAAGCCGTGTGCGACTGCTTTCGCTTGGTACTGGGGGTGGAAGGTCGAAAGTGCGGTGGCATTCGTCTGCATTCCCTTCTATCCATTGCGATCAGAGGTGTTGGCCAGTTTGTTTACAGCCGTTTGTTGACAGTCCCGCGTTGAGAGAGAGATAACGGGTGCATTCGAGTGGAGCGACGTGTCACCACACAACCACGTTTGGCCAGCGAAGTACAGTCAAATGTTGCGCCTGTTCCGTTCCATCAGCAGAGGGCGGAAAAAGAACGACGACTCCCCCCGCGCCGCATGGTCTCCCTTTACACGCTCGCCCGAGCGGACGCGGGTTGTAGGGCGACGATTCCCCGCCGACGACTACGACGATAACCACGACGATGAGGATCAAGACGAGTATTCGCCGCGACACCGCCTCATTGGCCGCGACGACTACTTTGGCCCGGCCGATCAGAACGAGGAGGAATTCGACGAGGATCAAGAGGAGGATATCGCTGAAGACGAGGATGAAGATGCAGTCGATACGCCACTGTTACCCATCTTCTCGGCGGCGCATCTTGACAGACTGCCCCTGTACAATGTCACACATGCCATACGCCAGCTGATTGTTCAGCGATGCGAGACGACTTTGTCTTGGGATCAGCTAAGGAGTCCGCAGATCAGCCAATTCCTCGTCAAGCCCGTCCAGAGCCAGATCAGAGCGGATCATTTCAATCGTGCTACACTATGTGCGTTGATTGCGAATTGTTTGCAGTTCCAGAAGGAGGGGCAGATAAATCCGGGCAATGTGGGTGTATCGAAGACAAGAGCTTTGATCAGCGAGTTGTTGGCTATGCGGTTGTTGAGGGAATTTTCGACACGAGAGTTGATCGATTCGTTGTCCTACGACTTCGATCCGCTACAGGGCATGACCAATGGTCCGTCGCCAGGACAGGCGACTCCCGCAGTCAACTCAGACGTACAACTGCGAAGAGCTCAAGGAAGGGTTGCGAGGGTTAGCACAATCGAGATTGCCATTCGGGCAGAGGCCAAACGATTTCTCGCACATCCACTTGTGGTCCAACATCTGGAGGCTATCTGGGCAGGGAACATCGTCTTCCATTCAGAAGCGGACAACCTGCATCGCAGACATCGTCGGTCAAAAGACCAGACGACAGGCTACGGCACTCAAGACGCACATTCGCCCAGCGCTCTTCCTGCAGATGCTGTTCTCTCGAGAAAGGCCCGCGGGATGAAACTGACCAAGAAAGCCCCTGAACCAGTCGTGGCTCGGCGAACAGTCACACTCTACAACCCACGAGATGCATCACTTTTCAAGCTCAGCCGTCTGCGTGTGCCGCGTTACAGGCAAGTATTCAGCACCCTCAGCTTCGCGACAATGCTTGCTCTGTTCGTTGCAGTTCTTGCCGAGCGAAGTCTCGTCATCACACCATTGGAGGTCTTGTTCTGGTTCTGGAGTATTGGATACATGTTGGACGAAGTCGTGGGTTTCACCGAGCAAGGCTTTGGGCTTTACATTCTCAGCTTCTGGAATGCTTTCGATCTGGGGATTCTGTTTCTGTTTGGAGTCTACTACTGCCTACGTTTGTACGGCGTCGTATTGGCAGAAGAAGGCAAACATCGAATCGCAGGAATTGCATACGATGTGCTGGCAGCGACAGCTATCCTGCTCTTCCCCCGACTTTTCAGCGTCTTGGATCACTACCGCTACTTCTCGCAGCTCCTCATTGCGTTCCGAATGATGACTGTTGACTTGATGGCCATCTTGGTGTTGATTGTTATCAGCTGCTCTGGGTTCTGGGTGGCACTTTCTCTATCCTTCGCTGACACGAGAGATGCCAATGGCGTGGCCTACTCACTCTTCCAGATCTTGATGGGCTTCACACCAGCGGTTTGGGATCACTGGAATGGATACAACATCCTTGGCAAGGGCATCATGGCCGTCTTCTTGACGATTTGTCACTTCCTGATCGTGACGATCCTCATCACCGTCTTGACCAACAGCTTCATGGCCATTGTCAAAAACGCAGAAGAAGAGCACCAGTTCTTGTTCGCGGTCAACACCATCTCCATGGTCAAGTCGGATGCACTCTTCAGCTATGTGGCACCTACGAATATCGTTGGGTGGATGCTCAGCCCGATTCGATTTCTCATCCCCCTGCGAACCTACGTCAAGATCAACCGCACAATCATCAAGATATCGCACTTCCCGATCTTGTTCATAATCTTTGCATATGAACGAGTGGTCATGGCACGGAGATCATATGCACCTGGCGACCTCATCGAGAAGACACACATCCACCAGTCACAGCCTATAGCTTTCAGCATCAACAAACCGGTCGACTATCCCACCGCTCACCGCCTGAGAGAGCCATCGGTCATCAGCTTCCGCAAAGACCGAGCACTGGACGAAGTCTTTCGAAGACCCTTCCGAGGCGACACTGTCCGTACAACCACCAAAGAAATGGACATTGATCGAGAAGATGCGAATGCAGTGGATCAGTGGATGCAAGAAGCCGATATGGAAGGCGGTGCCAGTCCACCGATGGAGCAACCTAGAAGCGTGCTTGAGCGTCTCGAGCATCGCCGGCCTCGATTCAAGCGTGCAAGCACTGCCGATCGCCTGAAGCTGATGAAGCGATCGCGGGATTTCTCGACTGCCACTAGGAGCGTGGCCAGTGATCCTGATCTAGTATCCGCCACTCAATCAAGACGGCCCTTCAAGATTGATGAGGAGACTGAAATGGAGATGAGTACTGAGACGTTGCCACAGGATACTGAAGCAGATGGAGATGATGAGATTAATGACGATTCGGATGGTGACAACGCGACTCCAGCTCTTGGTGAGAGTGCGATATCAATTCGAGAGCGGACACCTGTGAATGAAAGCGAGCCTGAGTTCTTCACACCTGCAGGCCCTGCTTCACCTTCACTGCAATTATCGCATGCAGCACGACAGCGTTTGGCATATTCTCCAGAGCTGCACCGCAGACCAGGAGCGCCGCAGCATGCACAGCCAGTCTTGCATGCACCTCGTAACCACACCCGACAGACTTCGAGTGGCACGATCCTTTTCGCGCCCCAGCTTGACTACGACTCAACGACTTCCAACCACTTGCGACCTGCAATACAACCGAAGAAGAACAGTGGAGGAACGACAACCCCAGCTAATGGCGGACCAAGTGGCACACGCACTCCCGTCAAGAGACCCGCCCCGGCCAAGGCGCGTCCTATCATGCCGGCTAGACAGAAGACAGCACCTCACGCGACTGCAGGTGGGTTAACCTTCCTCGACATGCCTAGGGCGGGCCGAAGGGATCCGTCATTCAATGCCCGCGCTCTCGATCTGGCCAGCGACCTCGGAGATAACAAGTTCGGGCCTGCTGGGATTGATGCGGGTGGGATTTCTGGTATGCCCGCGTCGTTCAGCGAGCAGATGATGCGGGAACGAGAATTGCACCGCAGAGCAGAGGAAGAGCGTCGACGGTCTGAGGAAGAGGAGAAAGGTATGGTGAATCGCATCATGCTTGCGAGGATGCATACATTGGAGGAGGGATTCCGGGAAGTTCTGAAAGAGATCAAAGACCTGAGCCAAAACGCCACCAACTCTTCCCGACGAGACAGCGAAGTCGACTCCGGCGGCGCGGCCATTCCTCCATCTGGACGTCCCAAACCGCAAAGACCCAAGATCGAAACGCAAGACAGCCACGGCGTGAGCGGACCAGGCTGGCAGACTCCCAAAACACCCATCGGCCGCATCGGAGGCAACGAAAAGGACCGGTCCCGCCGAAGCCCACGCAAAGTCCAAGTCCCCCAACGCACCAGCCGAAAAGGCAAAGAAAACGAGCGACCAACCAGCAGCGGCGAGCCTTTGAAAGTCGGCTCCAGCGAGGATGTCTTACCCGAGCAGTATCAGATCCATCAACTCGCGAGAGAAGAGCATCATAACCCGGAAGACGCGGCGAATAACCCCAGTCCGGATTCCGTGCGGAGTGTGATTGAGGTCGGGAAGGAAGATTCTGCGAGACCACCGACTGCGCCGCGGCCGGCGACGGCGATTCGGGATGAGGATGAGGGGGATGAATGAGTAGATGATATGCACGACGGATGACACGTTGGGATGAGGGATTTTATCAGCTTCTTGCTTGTGTGCTTTTTGTTGTTGTTTGGGGGCTTTCACTTCGATTCGCTCTGAAAGCAATGGATTAGATTGTATGAATAGACTCTCCCTTTCGGCATATCGATAGCGAGCGAGCGAGCGGGTTTGGGTGGCTTTGTTTTTAATGTTGTTGACGTACATGGGCATGGTTAGCGAGCATTGTCTTGTCTCTGGTCTGATTGCAGCAATTGAAAGAGTGAGAGTGACTTGTCAGAATATACAATCAGGATTTATTCATGATGGCCTTGTGTGATTGATGAAATGGTTTGATCTCGTACTTCTTCGTGGTTTTGACTGACTCCTAGTTTTCCATTCTATGCATCTGTGGCTCTTTTCACACTCTGCGCCATTCTGTAGCCGTTCATTCTCGTGAGATTTGATTACATCGCCCGAACCATTCATTCGTTAATCACACCCATCTCACCGCCCCTCCCCACCCCTCCCTTCCCACCCATCCACCCCTCGAAGAATTGAATTAATCACACCCCACCACCTACAAAACCATCAGTCCTCCTACCCCATCATGTAACATGCTCTAAGTGGGGATATGAACCTACCGGATCGATGCGGCTCCACATGGTAAGTGTTCGCATTCCGTCTTCGGTCGGCTTCTTGGCGCCAGCGGACGGCCGCCCAGGAGGTGCCTAGGGCGAGGGTGCTGAGGAGGAGGGTGTTGGTTCGTCTTTTTGCTTGAGCGTCAGTTCGTCTGTGATGGAGAGGTGGATGCGGGGGAGGTGGGATGGGGAGGGGAGGGTGAAAGGAGTGGGACGCAGGCAGGGAAATGACAGGATCCGGTCTTGGGGCACGGTGTTTGGGAATGAATAGTGTTGGGATGTGGCGAACAGCTGAGGTGAGGTGAGGTTGAGAACGACGACATACGTGATATACCGTTCCCAGGCCATGGTTCGTTATTATACCAGCTTCGTCCTTCAAATCCTATCGGTGTAGTTATCCAAGATAGAAGAAGTCCAAAATTCGAGCGGTAACGTGTCCTTTCAGCAGCGGTCGAAGTAATAAATAGCTCACCACAAGCAAGCGTTTGATGGGAAGTGAAGTGAAGTCACCAGGTCCACCTCAGGTCGGACGTTTCCCCGCGGGTTCATTAAGGTTCTGTGGGGGCCGACCCCGCATTGAAGAGCTGGGAGGGAGAAAGGGGGAAGGTGTAGCGAGAGACGTCACTTGCCTGGACGGGAAGGATGCAGCCTTGTCGAGTTTCTGTGGAGGATGTGCTCGATGCTCTTGCGGATTGGCAACGCTGGCCCTATAATTGTTGAGAGATGTCATTCTGTTTCGACTAGACACGGTCGTTGTGTTCGCGCTCGCTATAGTGCTAGGTTACGATTCGGCATAGTCGAGCGTTCTCGAACTTTGGTAGCAATTTGAAGAGACGCACGACTGCATTGCCTGGTGACGGTATTTCATGGCTCGATACAAGTAGACTCAACATGGTTTTACCGAGAGAAGAAGTAGAGTCTCGAGTTCTATGCCTTGGTTCGAACGGGAATTACTTCTCAAAGTTAGAGTATGCGTTACTCGTCCGGCTTGTGTCCTATCCTATCGATCTCTAGAGACTACGGCGGCAACCGGTCAACTTCGGTAAGCACCTCAAGTCAAAATGTACACGTGTTTGCTATGCGCCTTGGATGCAGTTACTAAATGTCTGTGTCTTCATATATCATTTGTGTCTGCACGTTTTACCTGCGCGCTGTGGAGTGGCACGACGAGACTTTAGATAGCTATTAAACACTTACTTAGGTTACCTAGGAGATGTAGCTTGTCTATAGTAAATTGATTTTCTTAAGTCGACTTATAGATGCTATTTGGTTTAATACGTCATAAGATTTAATCGGCTAAGTCTATTGTTTGTTTCTATATCTCGAAAGCAACGTACAAAGAGCGAGCGTATCGAGCGCAAAACATGCTCGTAGTTAATATTGCGAGTGACGTGAGCACTAGCTTCGATTGTGTCGAATTACGCGCCACAGATTCGATCCGTAACAAGACTCTCCTCGATCAAAGCGATCGTGTCTGCACACCAATGAGCACTCGACCATCATCACCTTCGCCACCGAGACGACTCACCCAATATGCACTCATGTGCAATAGCAGACCTGCCGGCAGATGTCGCAGTTCGATTGATCAACACAGCAGTCACTCTCTGGGAACATGGCCTCCCCATCGACGCAGCTCGTAGCGCAGTCCTGGCAACTTGTGATCAGATTTCCCGCATCAAGCCGACATTGCACACCCTCGAGACGCTTCTCCAACGATGGCGCAGGAGCCGGGACAACCCCCGGCTCGATGCCCTCGGAGTAGCTGAACTCGTCCACCTCGTCCTCGCCGTAGTAAGGCACTCCCACAGGATCTTCGTCCCGCTTCAGATCGTAGCTCCGGACGACCTGGAAACCCCTAACAGCAGTACGCACATCGGCAAGGTCGGCGCTGGAGAAAGTCCTGACGAGAGTGCGGCAGCCCACGTCTGCGAAGACCTGGAGGAGGTATCGGCCATTGCCGCCCGTGAAGCTCACTGACGAGGCGGAGCGCTGGTTGGAGATGGCGTGGCAGCTGAAGCGGCCACGACCACCGGCGACTCCTACGGACACTGCGCCGGCGAAGAAATCGGCCTCCCAAGCGTTGGCGATGGAGAGGTAGCTAAAGAGCAATGTGGTAGCTGCGAAGAACTTCATTTGGATGAGTGTGTGGAGGGCGGCTCTGATGTCGGCGAGGTTGGCAGTGTCTGGGACGGTTATGATGGTGTGGTGGTCTCTGGTGAAGAAGAGTTCAATGTCCATGTGATGGTGAAGTTGAAAGCGGACGATGGGGCACGTATTTATGTGTCCAGGGGCGAGTGCCCGAACGAAGACACTCCCATCGATCGAAGCATCATGATGTCGCCGCGGCAAGGAGATGTTGCAATGCTAATTCTTCTGGCGCCGCGTCAAAGGCAAGTCGTGTTGAGGCTGATCGTGCTGCCTTCCTCTTCCAGTACGGATCGTAGAGCATCTTGACAATACCATCAGCGCATAAGGTGGTTAGTGAGAAAGACTGACACCGTCTCATGTTGGCCAAGCCGGATCTTGGAAACGAAGATGGGTGTTTCAATGAGCCGGCGATGAGCTTCTGAGCCATGGAGTCCCTGCGTTGGTCATGTTGGGGGCAGCATTTGTAACAGAGTCGAGAGTTGGATGCCAATCGAGTAGCAATGTGTTACGTTGGTCCGAGGAGTGTGAGGACGGTGCTGGACATTATTTAATCTTGGCGTGGAGCAGGTGTTGGAGGCCTGACGTTGAAAGTTACGAGGCACTAGTTCTATGTATTCACTTCGCGCTTGGATTCAATCGGGAAGCAGCGTCCTAATGGGGAGTCCACGGCGGGCCGTCAGTACCCTAGATGTTGATCGTTCCCATCTAAGCAACCCGGGCCCAAATACGTACATAGGACGGCGAGGAGCATTATTGTTACAGCATAGCCAAGTGAGATCCCCATGTGTTATAGAGCTAGGACAAGACAAGATCTGGGTGGTCTGAGATTGCAACGGGGAGGCTCAGCCGCCAAGGCTGCGGAACCGCGCGTTCCGTGCCGACCCCGCTGAGGGCAGGTGCGGCGAGTGACATCACGAGATCTCGAACCCCAAGCGCTGGTTGCGCCAGCGGCGTTGGTGGAAGGCAGCGACCAGAACTCGTCCAGCAAGCAACAACATCCAATCCAGCAGGATCGCACTACTCGGCAAATACGATATAACGCAACGACTAGCCAACATGGCTTCCGGCTCAGCTCCAGCGACACCGTGAGTACCTCCAACCAGTCCCCAAACAAGACCACTCACTCACACTCAAACAGCCTCCTCTACGCCTGCATCGCCCACGGTAACACCATCTTGACCGAACACACCGCCTCCGCCGCGTCCGGCACCTCCAACCTCGCCTCCCTCGTCCTCCCCAAAATCAGCCACGACACCGCCGAGAAACGCACCTACACCCACAACGACAACTTCATCCACTACATCGCCGACAGCGCGCCCTCTTCCTCCGATCCCGCGTCTCTCTCCGCCGCTGGCCTTACATATCTCGTCGTATCCAAAGCTGACCTTGGCCGGCGCATTCCCTTTGGCTTTCTTGTTGAGATCAAGAAACGCTTCCTCACCTCTTACGACCCGGAGCGCACAACCTTCTCCTCATTATCCGCATATGGCGCGGCGGCGTTTAATGTGCAGCTCAAGAACCTGATGGTGGAGTACGGAACGACGAAAGCCGGACAGGATGATGCAGTGAAGAATGTACAAGGCGAGATTGAGAATGTGCGGGGGATCATGACGGAGAACATCGAGAGGGTGTTGGAAAGAGGAGAGAGGATTGATTTGTTGGTGGATAAGACGGATCGGTTGGGTGGGAGTGCGGCCGATTTTAGGGTTAGGAGTCGGGGGTTGAGGAGGCAGATGTGGTGGAAGAATGTGCGGTTGATGGTGCTTTTGGTGGTGGTTATTGTCTTTTTGATATACCTGTTTGTTGGGTTTGGGTGTGGACTGCCGGCTTGGGGCAAGTGTGTTGGAAGAGGATGAAGGTACATGGGTTTACGATTCATGGAAGCTTGTATACTTGGGCGTGCAGGAGATTGTGCCTCGGCGTACAGCACGGGGAGCTGGAGTTGTCACGATACCTCTTCCTCAAAATGGGATGTACTCATATCAATTCATCACGACCATGGCTTTTCTCTCAGGCAGAGTCTCCCCAACCAAGCATCTCCTCCAATTTCTGCTTGCTACTCTTTCCATCAGCACCATCCATCAATCCTCTCTCCTTGACCTCTTCAATCATCTAAACAGAACAAAGTCAGTCACATAACCCTGATCCAGACAACATGAGCATTCAAACTCACCTCCCTAAAGTCCTCATCCCCACCCTTCGCCTTCATCTCAAACTCCTCCCAATGATCCCTCAACCACTGCACATCATCGCCCGCCTTGGGAATCATGAAACCCGCCTCATACCCGCCAATCATGCCCCCCAACAAAATACAACTCCGCAACTCATAATCCACATCCGGATCACTCCTCTTGACCTTCGGCATCGGCACGATGCTATTCCACGCACTCACAATCTCCTCCGTCAGACTGTTCCAATCTTTTTGGGTTCTGGATGGTCCGACGCGCACGTTGGCGACGATGTGGTTTCCCGCGCGGCGTTTGCCCGCGACGTAGGTGATGTGGGAGGTGGCGTCGGTGAATTTCACGTTGACGAAGAGGCGTGGGGTTGTGAATTTCGTGGAGTGGATTGTGGTTATGGCGGTGGCGAGTTCGTCCATTTGGGCGGTGGTTAGGGGGCAGATGTGTTGGACTTCGTAGAGAGGCATTTTTGGATGTTGGTTCTGATTTTGTTTCTTCTTGCAAAAGTGGTTGGGTTCTGGCTCAAGCTATGTTGTCAGGATGAGGTCTGGAGTGTTGAATGATCTGTCGATGTTCTGATCCCTATTGATGGCAATTCAGGCTGCTTCTTTCTTTCACGTTCGCGTAAGATGGAGAGGCCTGGGCATGCGAGAGAAAAGAGAGAGATGAAGTCGAAATTAAACTCGGGAGCTCAGAGAGCTCAATGGGCGAGGCCTGCCGAATGACGAAGCCGGGGAGAGCTCCAGTTTCCAGACAAGCTCCCTTGTCTCCGAGCCGACGTCAGGAGCTGAGTTGAGCTAGAACAACTACCTCACGATGTATACCTTTCTGACGTGCACTTCTAGAGCCTCGAATTGTCGTGCCGCAGCACTCGTCGATAGACAACGACATACATGCACAAGACATCTCTCCGCACGGCACGCTCGCGACTCTATCGCACCGTTCGAGGCCCAAGGTGACCTCCAATCTCGAGATGGGTCACAAGGCCAGCAACAAGAAGCCCTCCTGGCCGCCGAAGCAAGTATCGTACGTCACGCATTACAAGAAAGCGTAGTCCCATGATACCAAAGGTTTGGCTTGCTCGCAGGATACTCCAAGCGGCCCTCAACGCATACAAGTCAAGGGTCAGGTAAGCAAGACGACACGGCTGCCATGACCGCCCTTGCTTGTATCTAATCAGCCCGCCTGGCAACTGTTTCGAGGATCCCAAGATCTGACGCTCTGCCCGACCGCAAGACTTAACGACTATCAACGTTGTACTCGAGGCCCAGAAGTTGCCAAGTTTGTCCAAGTCTTCTTTACCTACCGGATCTGTACTAGAACATAGGCCCATGTGCCGAATAAGGCAGGTCAATCAACCAATTCTATTGATTCCAAGAAACGGCACGCGACCTTATCAAGTACAAGGCACGGTTTGTCTAGCGGTGCACGCTCCGTGTCGAATCAGAAAAATTGTCGAGTTGGCAGTTGCCAAATATGGACTCGCATAGCAGCCGCATAAGCGTCTTCTGATGGAGGTGCCAAGCACAACGCAGCCGCCCAGCGCCTTGTGTAGCACTCAAGATGGGGTGAGGTGATAGTGAAGAGGACGCACAGCATTATAAGAAGCGTCCAAGAACAAGCAAACGTGGCAAGTCAACCAGCATCTCCTTCAAGACTCATCAACAATGGTTTGGGCAATCCAGGCTGCAGCCCTTTCCAGCCTCGTGCTTGCTGTCGTTGCACATCCACATGCGAGAAGTTCGGAGCATCAATTACATGCTCGTCAACTGACCTCGACAATCGACCGCTTTCGTCCTCGGCAACGAGCTACATACGTTGCAGAGTCCAGAGATGTCTCTACTCTTTCCGTCTCTACTTCTTCTGGCGACTACGTTCAAGTGGCCGAGACACATTTGAGGAGGATACATCCGGAAGCTGAGTTTCGTCGTGCTAGTGACAACTATGTGTCCGGCAATGGTATTGGACGTGTCTACTTCAAGCAGACTCTTTTTGGATTTGACATGGATGACGCCGACTTTAACGTGAACGTAAGTTGTGCTTAACTTGAAAGTCGAGGTCGACTGACCAACAAACTCCTGAATAGGTCAAACCCGATGGCAGTATCTTCTCATACGGAGACTCGTTGTACACTGGACCATTGCCAGATGCTGCACCAGCTGCTGCTGCGTTGATCAATCCAGAGCCAGCTCTTGAGACTGTTGCCGACGTCTTGGCTCTCCCGATCACTCCTTCGGAAGGCGATTATGTCGAAGAGAGTCAAACCTCGTTCACGGTTCAAGGTCTTTCAAACGTTGTGGCCCCGCCTGCTGGCCAGTTGGTCTACTATCGTACACCCGAGGGATCGCTCGCTCCTGCATGGCGGATTGAGACCGACCTTGACGATCATTGGCTCACCACATACCTTCAGGCAGAGGGAGGTAGTGAGGTCTTGGCCGTGACTGACTACATTGCCGACAACAGCTACGAAGTCTTGTAAGATGCCACGTTCATTACCCGCCAATCGAGTGGAAGGCTGATAATATACGTACAGTCAGTGGCCAACCAACGATCCCCTGAACAATCGCCGAAGGAATGATGTCCTTCCTCGCGACCGCGAAGCGAGCCCTCTTGGCTGGCATCGCGATGAGAGCCAACGATACTTCGAGACTCGAGGTAACAATGCCATCGCACAGCCAAATACAGATGGCGATGCCGAGTTCCTCAGCGAACCAAGGCCAGAAAGCCGCCTCCTGATCTTCCGCGCTCCATTCAACCAAGCTTGGGAACCAAAGCAATACATTGAAGCCTCCACAATCCAGCTCTTCTACACATCGAACAAGTTCCGCGACATCCTCTACGTTCTCGGCTTCAATGAGGCCGCCGGCAACTTCCAGACCTCCAACTTTGGCCGTGGGGGTGTCGGAAACGACAGCGTCCAACTCAACACCCAGGATGGCTCAGGCCTGAATAACGCCAACTTTGCCACACCACCTGACGGTCAGATGGGTCGGATGCGGATGTACGTCTTCAACTCCACTGTCCCAAACCGTGACAGCTCTTTCGAAGCCGGCATCGTCGTTCACGAATACACCCATGGCTTGACCAACCGCATGACTGGTGGCCCTGCCAATTCCCGCTGCCTCAATGTCCTGGAATCGGGGGGCATGGGGGAAGGGTGGTCCGACTTCTACGCCACCGCGCTGCGCATCACCGGCCGCGATACTCGCACCGTCGACTATCCCATCGGAGACTACGCCACAGGTCGTCCAGGCGTGGGCATCCGCGCATTCGTCTACAGCACCAACATGCAAACCAACCCATACACATACTCTAGCCTGAACGGCCTGACTCGGGTCCACCAGTACGGCACGGTATGGTGTACGATGCTGTACGAGATGCTGTGGAACCTCATCGACGCCCATGGCAACACGGACCGAATCGAGCCTTCGCTGGATCGGAATGGCATCCCACGAGATGGAAGGTACTTGGGTATGAAAATCGTGTTGGATGCGCTGGCGTTGCAGCCTTGCAATCCGACTTTCGTCCAGGCGAGAAATGCTATCGTGGATGCGGATACGGCGTTGACCGGGGGCGAGAATCGGTGTAACATTTGGAAGGCGTTTGCGAAGAGGGGGTTGGGGGAGAATGCGGCGAATGTGGGTGGGGTGTATACCGATGATTTCACGGTCCCGGCGGGAGTCTGTTGATGCGTTGACGCGGGGCGTAGTTTAGCCTGACTCTCTCTACTATTCCAGCAACTGCATCTCAACGCACTCCCTCCAATCCGAACCTTTCTCCCCAGCACCATCTCCATCCCATCCGAACCACACCTGATCCATTCACAACAAATCCTCAACCCCATCCCTGATACTCTCCTCAACTCCAGTCCACCCCTTCAACCCCCAAAACTCCCTCAAGATCTTCTCAGCCTTATCCCGCGGCTTAATCTCCGAAAGATCATCAAGCTCATCCGGCGGCGGGTTCGGAATCTTCGCATTCTTCGGTGCAAGCTCCCGTAGAATCTCGATGACTTTCGTCCACTTGATGGGTTCGGCGAAGGCGAAGACTCGCTGGTGGTTGAGGGATGGGTCGAGGAGGGCGGCGATGTGGAGTTTGGCGCAATCTTCGACGTTGACGAACCATTCTGATATGCAGTGTTAGTTGGAAGGATATTCGCAGTAATTTTTGTAGGAATGGGATATTCGTACGTGGTGGAGTGATGCTGAGTGCTTCGGCATCGCCAACGAGGAGACGGCGTACCCAGCCCATGGTGCTGCCGGGGATCTCTGGTGTTAGGATTTTACCATACTGCAAGCGATCAGCACAATTATGAATATCATCATGAGTAAGAGCAGCGCTTACATTCGCCGCCGGCAGCACAGTGTTGACAGCAAAGTTGACCGGGTTCTCCTTAACATATTTCCACAGCGCTCGCTCTCCCTCTGTCTTCGATGCGGCATAGACGGTATAGGGGAGAACTTCCTTAGGCGTCTTGGGATCCGATGCTGCTGCGACTGATGCATCGTTCCATGTGTCTGTGCTCAAGTGGTTAGTCGTGGGTCATTCATACGCGGTTGGATACTTCAAATACTGTGGCTGACCTTCTTCAATGACGATTCCCTCAACTCCAGGCTGAGGCATCAGACAGGCGGTCGAGGACGACGTAAGCACCAAGCTTTTGATACTCGGCACCCTCGCAGCAACCTTGACCACATTAATTGTGTGCGCAACCGTTCCTTTGATGACTTTCTCGGCGTCGGTATCAAGGCTGAGGTCTGATGCCTAGCAAAGCAGTCAGCCTGAGCCGTCTAATCTCGTTTCCACTGTACTTACCACGTGTACAATCCCATCCACGCCCTGAAGAGCTCGTTCAAACTCAGCCTGGACGCTGAGATCGGGGATAATCGCCAACTCGAACTTGCCGGGTCCATACTTGTCGTCGAAGAACTTTTGCAGCCATGGCTTGTCACTGCGCACAGTTCCTCGGACACGGTACCCTCCATGTAGAAGTATGTCTAAGATGGTGGATCCGATGTAGCCATTTCCTCCAGTGACCAGCACCAGCGAGCGGCCGGGCTCCAATCTCAGTCCTGTTTTGTTCATGGTGTTCTAAGAGCGACAACAGGAGTCTTGCAATGTAGTAGGGAGGACGTGGCGAGCGTGACACAGCAAATGAAATGTTCCTATTCAATATCGACGCAACTTGGATTGTTTTCGCGTACACTATGTGGTCATATATAGGCCAGCTGAAGCTCAGAGCACAGTAAGCATGAAGTCTATGCTTGCTAGGTACAGTAGCTAGCCGCTTGAGGGGTAGCACTTCGGTAATTCAAAGAGCAGCCTGAAGGATCCCTCGAAGGAGAAAATGGCGTCGCCGAGTTGAGAATTCAGGATGGTGTTCCGACACGGCTTCATATAAGCTGTTGCCAAACTCTGCCGTGATGACTGCTACGTGTTAGGTAAGCCGTAGGGCGCTTGATGGGTGAGTGTCATGTAGTCCAGGCTCGGAACGCCAAGGCGAGACCGTCTTCGATGGCGATGACGAATGTTCGTTTCCTCATCAGAACTTCAATCCAGGCCGTTGTTTCGGTGCGGTGACTGCGTGAAGCCAACACGTTTCAAAGAAACATACATGTTCTTCGATGGCATTGCACGATGCCTCTCGCACGGGATGCGAACGGCGCATCTTGCTCTCGTGCTGATAGGTCCGTACGCCCATACCGCCGCCACCAGCAATTGCCGCCAAAGTTTAGTTTGTTCGGCGAACAGCTCAAAGCGGCAGAGAATTTGGCTCACGGACGAAGGCAATTCATCCGACTTTCTCAGCAGAGCAATGTTCGTCTCCCAGGAAGACATCGCTTCCTGGCAAGACCGGCAAACCAGTAGGGATGGCATTTTCCAGGTCCATGTCCCTGGACCCGGAGGCTGTATGGATTCTGGCATTATTCGTCGGAAGCTTGGCCCATGTTGGAGACCATGCCGCACAATGAGCAACGAGGTCTCTTCGTCCAGTAACACTGGTATCTGCTCCTGATCGGCGGATACTTTTCAATGGACAGTGCAGACCGTGAAGGCCAGTGGGTTGGTCCAAGCTCGATTTGGCCCGGAAAGAAGGGGTCTAGCATTTGCGGTGCCTCGTATCTTCTCATGTTCCTGTCTCGCCATGATCGACAGGTATCGCAGGATTTTGGCCATTCCGCCAGCACTCGTCCAATGCTTTCCAGAATCCCGGGAACGCTAACATTGACGTCTGCACAGCGTCTTCACCTTCATCTGCGACACAGGGTGGGAAGTCTTCTGACATCAGTTGCACCGCCAACATTGCATAGTCCAGTGGAGCTTTACGTGAGGGAAAGATTGTGTCGAGGCTCGTGAATTCGCCGACATCGTCCCCGAAATCTTCCATGCGCAAAGGGGGTGCGACTGGCTGGTCGGTTCGCACATAATTGAGTATCTCGGTCAAGGCTTCGGGATGTGCTTTGATGGCCTGGTCCATTACATTTTCAAACGCATCCCGCCGACCGCATCGGGCACATAGTTGAAGCATGGCAACGAAGGTCTGAATTCCAATCGTCTCGGAATTCCACTTGCTACCAGAGTAGCGCGTGCTCTTCCACTTCAGAGTCTGAATCTGCTTCCAGATTGTGAGGCCAGAGTTCCAGTCCCGACGTTGGGTGCAATCTCGCAGAATCGTTCCCAAACCACTGATACACAGGCTCCAGCCTTCTTGTGCCATGTTCTTGCAGATTTGAAGTGCAGCTTCGAATCCGCTGAAGTTCAAGACACCGTTCACCAGAGCACCGAACACCATCGGCGTAGGGTATGGCAACTGAATGATCGTGCCCATGCCATGGTTCTTTCCATTTTCGCAATGAATAAGACGACTACTGTTCTCCTGATAGATGGTTGTGTGTGGTGAAGCGTTCATAAGTCCGCCAAAATCACCGCGCATTCGCTGGATCCACCACCTGAAATTGCCCGCATCGCCAGTGGCACTGTGGAAGTTGAGCACAGTGGCGAGAGTGACTTCATTTGGTCGAGCCATTGTTCGTAACATCGCGTGAATGACGTGTTCTGTGTGCTTCACCTGCCGCAAGTCGAAAAGTCCAACTAATAGGCTGTTGTACGTGTCGATGTTTGGAGGCGCGGTGGACAACGATAGCTGGTAGCAGATCTTGGCCATGAGAGCTGGCACAGTGTATGATCCGGCCTCTGTCTGTTGTACAAGGTCTCGTAATGTTTGGTTCAAACTCCGCGTTGTATCGTGGAATTCACCATCGGCGTCCACAATGTATCTGCACAGCGAGATATCGCCTTCGTCACGCCTGAACCAGCCTTGAAGATAACGTTCTGATCCCATACGCTCAAGACGGTCGAGATCTAGCATTTTCTGTGTGATGTTCCTGTGCAATTCTCGCTCAGACATGGTCAGGTACTTGGTGTATGCACTTGGTACGGCGCTCGCAGCCTCCTGGCTCAGGCCTCTCTTTCGCAGCTCGTTCCAGGTTTGTAGCATGAAGATATCGGTGGATATCATGCAGCGTTCGACTTTGTACGGGCCCCAACCTCGAACTTCAAACTTTCTCTTGAAGTAGTTCGGCGCGTAGATCGATTGCGGAGGCAGCCACGTCGGATCTGGATCTGAGCCTGTATTTTCAGGCCATTTCGGTCTCGTTTTCCTCTTGCTACTGCTGTCAAGGTTGGCCGCGAGTGCCTGCAATGCCTCGTCACCTTCAAAGATGCTCACGTTGCTTGCCCGAACGTGGTTCAGGTCTTGCAATCCTTCGTCCTGTACGAAAGCCGGCGTTTCTTCCAGCTGTTGTGCAGGCATCGAGGCATGGTCATCGTCTTCCGGGCCTTCGTATGTGTTACCAGCGCCAGCTGCGAGCTCTTGCGACTGTGCCTGGTCTCCAGTGCTGCCCATGATCCCATCCTTCTCCTTTTCATGCGCACTGCCCTGCTCAGCATCGACGTCCAACTTATGCAAAGTATAGCCATATTTCGCTTTTCCCTTCCGCTCTTTGACCTCCTCAATTGCCTGCCGACTCAACACATCCTCCAAGCCATCATACTCGCCCAGCTCTTGCTTGATGTCCGCAATCGCCTGATCCCACTTCTCCCGCCTCTGGACCTTATACAATGCATCCCAACTTGCTGCTGCTGCAAATATGCCCGAGTACCAGATCGTCGAGGAGGTCCAGAATTGAGGTCGTCTCGCCGCGGAGGTGGCCGTGCTCCTGGCAACTCCCTGGGCGGCCGAGAGGCATTGAGGGCATCGACAGGAGCCTCGTATTTGCGCAGCCCGGGTCCAGAGAGCGAGCATTATCTGTCCATGGTGCGAAGAGTGGTGTGTGAGGTATTGACATGTAATAATGCGCAATCGCTGCGATGGATTCAAGATTGGCTTGTGCCGGTCGGCCCGACCAGCCGGAATGGAAACCTGAGGCATCAAATAGCGAGGCTCCTGCCATTTACGAACACATTGAGACGAGAGTCAGGAATGTGAGGATAGATTCTACTTTTTGGCATGGTCAATGGTTTGTTAAATCTCTACGTACTTGTCAAAAGTTCTATCGAGATTTCCATCAGATCGCGAAGTAGAAAAGACGAATACACGAGGTACATACGCGATCCCTATGGCTGCCATCCGGGTCCTGCGTGTTTTGCCTCTCTATCATTTCCGAAGTCCCCTTCCAACTCAACCCTTTCCCTGGTCGCAGGAGCCTCAACTGGACCTTGCACAAAATTTGGTGGCAGTTCTACCACGTCTTGACCACCTGACTCCAAAGGGCTGTCCTTCTCCACACTGCTCACGTACCCGGTCGTCGGCGTCGCAGATGCGAGAGCTGTAGATGCAGGCGTGACTTTGGCATCATCTTTTGCTGGACTGTCTTGAAGCAACATGGAATGAGATTCACGCTGCCCGTTTCTCCTCCTCCGCATGCAGAGCCAGACTGACAAGCCAGAAATGGCTACGACGAGAGGTATTCCAACTCCTAACCCAACCCCGAGACCAATCTTGAGCGTTGTATCAGTTTGTTGGTCGCGAATGTAAAACCTCGTGCTATTGCTTGTGCAAGTCTGACAGCTCTGGTTGTTTGTGTTGTAGAGATAAAGCCAGAACGCATCATTACGGTCCATGTTCTTGGTGAGTTTGTGCGCAGACCAGGCGTGCTCGCTGACTCCTGGACCGACGCCCTCTGCGCAACACGCTATTAGCACGCGTGCCTTCATAAAATTACATCTGGGACTGTCTTACCTTCCAGCTTGTTGTGTGCGGTGTTGCCGAGGGAGTTAGGGCCTTGATAGATATACAACGAGGTATTTGGCCAGGTTGAGGTCCATGTGAATTTGACATACTGCTTGGGGTAGAGGTCTTTGATCTGGGGACTAGGCTGTGGAGGCGGGTACTGGATCTGGAGCGTGTTCTGTGCTCGGACGACAGCGAGAGTGGCGAGGATGATGAAAGGCCATACCGAAGATACGCTCAATCGGTAACATGCCATTTTTTGAAGGGAAGCGTAAGAGATGGCGTCGTCAGGTTTTGAAAGGGACACGCAGAATGTATGAAGATTTCCTCCAAGAATAAACCCAAGGTCTGCACTCACAGCTGCGGTTTGACGTGTCTTGATCCCACAATTTCAGCCTCACGAATGTGGTTGTACAAATGATGGCTGAGGCTGCAAGGGCTCCAGGATCGTCCTATCAGGGACATTGAGACCAATCGTTGACCGGCGCTACAGGGCACTGTACATGGCGCATGCTCTCCATGCTCAGCTCCAAGGAGTATCATGATCGGATTGCTGTTTTAGACCAAGTATCTTCTTGGCTGCCGGACGGAACTTGTGTCCTTGCTCATCTAGTCGTCGGCGGTCCAGGAGCAGGGGACTCAGGCTGACTTCGGACAGGCAGGCATGAAGAATCGTGATGGGAGCAGTACGCTGGCGACATGCCCCTGATAGAAGTCGGGTTGTGATCTTGACGAGTGCATGCTGAAGTCTTGCTTTTAAGCTTTCGTGTCGGGTAGCGAGGCGCTTGCTTATCTAAGCTGCAAACTTCGATATAGCCCTCCGTAGTCGTTATCTGATCCGTGTCGCCAATCTCCAACTTCACCTCTCCAAAATTCACCTCTCCAAACTTCACCTCTCCAAACTTCACCTCTCTATACATCACCTCTCCATACATCACGCGCGACATCAGCTTGTCCTAAGATGGAAGGACCCATCGCACGCCAGTCACGTATATGAGCTGGTCTTGGCTTATTATACATCCTGGCCATGTTCAGGGGCGCCGCTGGACTTGAAATGCTCTTGCATAGGACAAGTGTGGTAGAGAGACCTTGAGCTCTCGTCACTTTGGGCGGCTTCTTTTACCATGAATTTCACCTGGGCGGGAGGCTTTCACAGTACGAAATATACGGATCTCATTGGAAAGCCTTAGCACGAAGTTTCCAAAGTGCACGTCCAACAACCGATACTTCGAGCCCACTAGCTTCGCTGCTGGGACTGTCCTGTGTGTCCTGACTAGCGCATGCATATCCAGCGCCGTCGGCTCGAAGGCGTCCTTGCCCCTTTGACAATCGAAGTAAAGTCATATCGACAATCTCCTTCATTGCCGAAAACGATAGAAGAGATTTGTCAATCAGATCGGCGCCGTGGTTGATCCGCGCCTGGATGCCGCTTTTCACATGGAGAACTGGCTACAGCGGGTGACTCAAACAATTCGCGAGACGCCTTAGATACAGCTATGGCAGCACAATCGTCAATCTGGCCAAACGGAGACTGATGTGGACTTCGTCAGCCTTTCAACCCTCGGATCGATTCCGCTCGGCCCTGGTCGCTATCAGTTGTCAGTATGTTCTCACAACTCTTTGCGGTGAATTGTGATACTCGTCACTTTGATGAGTTGCACCGTCACGAAAGCCGTACACGCCTTTTGCTGCAAGTTTGACGTTATTAAAGCCATGACTGCTTCCCGTCAAGCCTCGCATCGCCAACACTCTCCAGCTGGCACCCTCAGCATCATCTACGGCATCGAAACCGCCGATTCACCATCTCAAGCAACTAGACGGTCAAATTGCCTCACTCGATCGGACGCCACAAACTCTCACGCTATTGAAGCTTGACGTGGCGCAGATGGCGCAACAATGCAAACTATGGTATCATCTTCCAAATAAGGTTTCGAGCGAATGGGTTCGCAGCTCATTCTTTCTATTAAGATCTATTGTACAGCGCCGAACTGGTTCGTGGCTCACACGTGCATGAGCCGCAATTGATCGCCTCTGCCATTGCCGCATATGGCAATATCATACTTCATGTCTGTTGGTCACAACTCTTTGATGCGGTTTGCGCTCCGAAAGCCAGCCGTCACAGCGTCAGGATTTCGAATAGCCATCGTGAGTTTTCTTGAAGCTTGATCGGGATGCGACGAACGCTTCGCACTCAACAAGCTCAGACTTCTTTGTTGAGTGATCACGGCTTCCAGCATTCGGAGGAATTGACCCGTCTCCGTCTGCAGTATTCTCGGTCCCTTGGACGGTCTCCCTCGCTGGCCAGAAAAGACCATGGTTCACATAGTAGCGGAGACGACCTCACCACCGGGCTTCCAGTAGGAAACTTTCCATGCCATGAAGGTCTCAATCACAGCCTGGACTGCCCCTCTTCTCGTGTTCAGAAAAGGCTTTACTTTTGGTCTCTATGACATCTCCAAAACTCAACATGACCTGACATGCAGACGTCTCGAGTGCGGTCGTGAAGCAGCTCCGCCATCCCACGCCGCCCTTCAATCCGTTTTGACTTGCCGATCTTTGCGGCTCACATGCTCATGTCGTCGGTTTCTGGACTCCACCCCAGCGACTGAGTAAAATAGCAGACATGTTGACGCACGAGTGGTTGTAACAAGCGTCAAAAGGAGAGACCCCCGTCTCGGTTTTGCTTTGCAGAAGTCAAAGTGTATGCTCACGATCGAACGATTTGAAAAGTCGGCATTGTGCAGAATGAAGGCGTGCTTCAACAACGACGGCGATGTCAAATCCAGCGCACTGAACTAAGCTCGGTAGGACGAGACCAACGACGGGTATAAAGACGTCGAAGTGTTCACGCATTTGAGACATCAGCTAACAACAGCATCAATACAAACAGAGCTAACCAATCTTTACCAACTCCACAACACTATGCAGTTTCTCCAAGTCCTCTCGCTGGTCGCCAGCGCCTCTGCATTCGTCGCCTCTGATCCTCTCGAGAAAAGGGCCGACATCCAATACAACGACTCTGTACGCTAATCCATCTCCGTGCACTACCATCAACTAACGGCCACCAGTTCGATGACCTCGCCACCACCATAGTCCTCCCCCAGCTCTTCCCCGTTGGCCTCTACGTGAGTATCAACCACTCAGCGCACACTATGCACTCGACCTAACATCCCATCCCACAGAACGGCCTGAGCTACGGAGGCGTCGTCGTCCTCCGCCCCATCGACGGCGTCGCCAGCGTCCTCCCGCACTCCCCACCCCAGCACGGCGGCGCCGCCGGCCCCCTCGACCTCCTCTACCTCGGCGACCTCACCCTCAACACCTTCGCCACGCTGACCCGCGGCAACACCGTCAAGTCCTTCGACCTCCAGGACTTCTACTGGGGTTTCGGCACCGACACCGGCACCACCTTCGGCCTCGCCCAGCCCGGCACCATCTATGTCGTCGGCTACACCGTCTCCGGCCAGGAACTCACCACCACTTTCTCCTACGTCCCCGACAGCACCTTCAACGCCCGTTTGACCTTCGCCCAGCTCCCCGCCGGCTGGGTAGATCTCCAGAACGTTACGTTTGCTGTTGCGAACAGCGAGCCTATCTCTGAGCGTACTTATATCGCTCTTGATAACGTCAGGCATATCAACCATGTCTAGATCCTCTTAATCCACGAAGGCCATGTATCAGTCTGTGGAAAAATGATAGATATATGTTGAAAGAGGGTGATGGATCGATTGCTGAGCCACCATGCTCGCCACACGCTCAGACGAGCACGACGTTGATGTACATACTGCTGATGATAGATAGTCTCGTTACTGCCCAGGTGAGGGACGCCAAACCCTGGGTATAATCTGCAGAATAGCATCTTTTCTGATTCCATACCCGTACATCCACAAAGATTCGAAGTCTCTTGAGCACCCCAGGATCAGTCTCGTCCTATGGTGAACAGCAGAGCAGCTGACAGATCACCAGCACAAACATCCCTCCCTAACCGCATGTGAGTACGTCTTCTGTAGATCCGGAACATAAAATCTGACTCACCACGCACAACCTCATCTTCAGACCCCTCACATCGCAACGGCCCGATCTGTCGTGAGAAGTCCTCCGGATCAAGTCTGTCCATGTTACGAAGCGCTTTGACATGCAACCAGATGCGACGCGGATGCAATTTAGCGAAGAAATTGTGCCGTGCCAGCTTGCACGTCCGCTTCGAAGCGTCGTCTGCTGCCATGGCTGAGAGTGCCGCGTCGATTTTGAAGTGCAGGAAGGTGATCTTGGCAGCCTGCTGGACGTCGGTGTACCATTTTCGCATGGCTTCTGGGGTTTCGACGGAGCTGCCGCCCAATGTTTGATATGTTTCGAGAAGCCGCGGATGATGCTTCTGTATCTCAATAGCAGTATGGAACGTCGCCCATCGAGCCATGTGCCCCGCGAAGTCCAAAGGGTGTCGCTCTTCGAAGGAGATCGGGCATGCAATATTGTTGCGGACTGTGTTGGCTTTGCCGCCGAGATTCTGCAACGTTGTTGCGAGTGCGTTCAGATACCTGTCCGTACCTTCGCGGGAGGCTGTCTTGAGGCCAGGTTGTGGGTCTTCTCAGTAACTACGTATCGCACGCGCAGCGGCAGTATCCCCCTTGAAGACGATGGAGGTCGCCGTGAGAGCTTCTTCTAGAAAGATGCTGTTGATGCGATCCATGTGCGCGGACTCCAGTTCAAAGCACTCGAACGTGTACTGGTCACTGCCATGGTAGTTACTTTCGGAGACAGCTCTACCAGACGCAGAATCTAAATACGAGGTCGTGCAACGCCTGACCGGCAAGTCTTGCACCAGGCTGGAGAAAAGTTGTCTTTGCTTTGCGGATCACTTCGGCAGCTTGACCTTCCAGACGAGAGAACTTTGTCTCCAGCCCATGCTGCTCGGCTGCATACATGTCGCGATACATATCCTTGAAGCCATAGTGCCGTGACAATTGCCCCGAGGAAAGCACGCCGTCTCTGGTGCTGATGAACCGCAACAATCCGTCTTTTCGCGTCCGTCCGTGTGACTTTCTTTTCGCAGTCTGCGGCCGATCTTGAGCGAAGTTCCGCAAAAGAAACTGAGGAATGGAATGATGATACTGTGATATCTCGGCTGCGATCTGCCTGCTGCCGGAGCCTGCTGTTGAGTTCATGTCGGATAGCCTTGCGCCAGCTAGCGCCGTTCGTTCTGCTCGGTCAGCTAGCTATGCCCGTCAACTGGGTAAGGATCCGGAGGGGAGGTCGAGAACGAATATGAACAAGTCTCTCAAGCGAAGGCTGCGACGTCTTTGTTGCCTCCGCGGCACAGGAAACGCGACCGGCGCGTAGATACATGTGCGGAGAGCCTCTTGGGTACGGCGCAGCTGTGATGCTATTGGACGTCCATTTGCGGCTGCATGAAGCGATTCGCGGTGTCAGAAAAAGACCAGGGAATATTGTCGGTGTCTTCAGATATCAGCTGTGAAGTATGCATTGTTCGAGATTGATGCTTGGGCCTGGTGAAAGAGCTTCCTTCGATGCGCCTTAAGAACGAGCAATTCTTCGGAGGCGCCTCCCATACACCAGCATGTGCAGCAGGAGGTGACTTTGGTGTGGCATCGCCGGCACAACCGCTACGGTCAAACTTCGTTCACCGTTCCACAGGCCAGCTATGTGAGCAGTCAATAGCGATGGGAAATCCAGCTTGTTTCTTGCAGGACATGTGCGTTCGCCGACCCTTGTTCATTCTAGAGCACGGTTCTCACACAATGCAGGACGAACCCTTGATATCCATCTGAGGACTTTGACCTCACAATCCACTAAGCTGCGGCGAAGGGCTCAGCATGCTATGCTTGATACACTGCCATCCATTCTTGGTCTGTCGCCAACGAAACCTCAGCACATTTTCCATCTTCGTTCCATTGGGAACACCAGTTCTTAAGACACTGATCCACACAGTACCGTATGTTTCGTCCTCGTTGACATCGACAAGTGTGTTCAAGACTTCAATGCGGTATTCCGGATGGTCAGCAGAAAACTGCCTCATGAAATGGACAGCATCGACCGAGCTGTGACTGGCTACCTCGCCATCACCCAGCGGACGGGAGTCGACGAAGGTTGGTGAGGCATGTTTGAAGAGTATCTCAAAGGTTCGAGTGTTTACGGAGTTGATGATTTCCAGGGATCTTTGTTCGAGTAGTTGTGCGGTTGATGAGCCTTCTGGGCCGACTGGTTTGACTGATGTGTCCGTTTCAGCTTCAGCCTCTGTTCCATGATCTGCCATATTGGCGGGTGAAGGACCGATCATATGGGTCTTGATGTGGTAGGTGTTTTGGAAGTCCCGCAGACGACAGACGGTGGTGCTCGATTGACGATTTTCGGACTTCAGCACCGGAGGATTCGACCTCTGAGACGCTGGAAGAGTAGCGAAATCGGCCGCACTGTGGCCAGGTTCCCGAATTCTGAGCCTGCTACGCTTGAAGAAGGCGGGTGCAAAGTATTGGCAAAGCCCAAAGCTGAGTGACCCTTAAGAGACAGTAAAGCTTGTAGTCAGCTGGTACAAGAAGACTTACAAATTCCGGGCGCAGGATTCAATCGCGAGACTCGGCATTTGGAAGATGCGGCACTCGTCTCTTCTTCGCTCTTGTCTTCGCTCGTTTCTTCTCAACTTCACCACTTTGGACTTGCTTGCCATTGTGAGTATCACTCGCCGACTGATACCGAGATTTTTGAGAGTAGCGCAAGAATGCCCTAATTCGGGCTAGTAGAGATCCTTTGTGATGTTGAACGTCTAAGACGATGCTGCAGCCACATGCAGATATCAGGTTGATGCCAGGCAGATCGCATAGTTCAGGCAGATAAGCATGGAGTCAATGCTGCCAGATTGATAGTCGTCGGGGATTCTGTGAAGAATTCGCGGAGCGAAAAGTGGGACTGCTTGGCGTGGAGAGAGCGGGTCGCGTGGCGTGGATCTCGACGTCGTCTTTCGACTTTCTGTTCGCATCTCTCTGTCGAAATCGTATTCCATCCAGAGGTGAAGTCGCGTGCAAGATGTTGCTGCCAGACCCCTTTTCAGGACCAAGGCCTCATAACGTGGCCTGCTTCGATCCTTCCCAAGCTGAAAGAGGGCTAGATCCAACTCTATAGCAACCGAGCTCTTTCCTCCGATTCGTCCTCTTTCCACGCCAACGATGAAGGACACGAGGCGCCAAAATGGCAGTGAGACAGGCGAGTTCCCTTCTGTTGCCATCAAAAGGACCATCTCTTCGCATCAAGGGTTCGTTGTGGTCCTAAATGTTACTGCGGCTATAGCAAGGACCTGGACTCTAAATTTCGTAGCTCAACTTCCCGGACTGGTATGGATGGCTGGCAACCTTCACAGAAACAGCTGGGAGGAGCCTGCCTCCTGAAAGCGAATCTGAGAACATGCTTTCAACCCTGGGCCTTCTGGCACAACGCAATGCTTTGATCGCATTTGCGACCATCTCCATCCTACTCGTGTTCTTCACACTCCGCAGTAGCAATGCCAGCTACCAACACTCTGCGGCGACCTCACAGCATCATGAGCAGAGCGCCCTCACGTCACCGCCTTCGAATCTCGACGAGACAGCAGGACTATGTCGAAGCCACAACTTCCAGCCCTACCGACCGAAGGGCAATGATCACCGCAAAGTCTACGATCTTTTTTTGTTCTCTCATGAACTCGACTGGCTAGAGATTCGACTGAATACTCTTGCACCTTACGTGGACTACTTTGTCATTGTCGAATCTCCTACAACATTTACTGGCATGGAGAAGCCCCTTTATCTGGAACAGCACTGGAGTAACTTTACCAAATTCCACAACAAGATCATCCACAAGGTCGTCAGAGATCCAGGCCCAAGCATTGGAACGAGCACATGGATCCACGAGGACTACTTTCGAAATTCCTTATTCGAAAGCACGTTCCCGACATTGCTATTCACCGACAAGGAAGCACACGAAGGCGATGTCATACTCGTGAGCGATGTCGACGAGATACCCAAACCCGTGACGCTCAATGTGCTTCGACACTGCAACTTTCCCGACAGATTGACATTGCGAAGTCACTTCTACTACTACTCTTTCCAATGGCTTCACATTGGAGAGCAATGGCCACATCCGCAAGCTACGGTCTTCCGCGGGTTATCCAAGACCCTCTCGCCGAACGAGTTGCGCAACGGCATCGGAGGTCCATCGAGTTGGTGGCCTTTCCGAGCTTCGCTTCATCGCTGGTGGCAGAAGGCAGACATGTGGAACGCTGCCTGGCATTGTTCTTCTTGCTTCGCCACTCTAGCGGAGATGCGGGCGAAGATGGAAAGCTTCTCGCATACACCCTTAAACACGGCCGAGAATCGAGACGAGGCGACTATGCTTGAGCGAGTCCGGAGCGGAAAAGATCTTTTCGGCAGAGAGGGCCAAGAGTATGAGCGTGTCGATAACAACCGAGATGTCCCGACATATGTTTTGGAACGGAAGGCAGAATTTGAGTATCTGCTTGATCGCGATGGGAAGAATGCGGGCTTTCGGGACTGGACTGCGAGCTGACAAACACTACGCTATGGACCGTCGGTGTACCCATAGTCCAGCATATTTGGTCAGACGACCATTTTGTACAACAGTGCAAGCGGATCATGAGGCCGCATTACCACCCATTGCCCGAACATGTACCGTCTGACGGTACGTTAAGATCTGTAAGTGCACGATCAATGTGCTGTCCACCATGAGATGAAGTTGGAGGCAGCTAAATCCCAGAGCACTCTCATACACTCCTTGTTGGCTCGTTTTAACGGCTAGACGCATATTCAAGAGGTCCTCAACGGCCCATGTATGTAGCGGGATTCGAGCAACGATGGAGAAGGAAGTGTTCGACGAGGCCGCTTTCTTATACATGGAAACAGACAACTATCCGTGCGCCCAATAGCTGCATCTGCAACCACTCAACTCAGCATGTGGTTCTACTTGGAAACTCAGAATACATGGGATCGTCGCCCCCAACTTCTCCATAGCCGGTCGGCCTCTTTCAACAGCCACGCCAGCCGCCTCACCAACTCGGCATCTCTCGGACTGTCATCCTCACCAAAACTCCTCTTCTTCACAGTCACGCAACTCGCCTGCACAACCCTCATCACCAGTCTTCTGACCAGCCCATGGTCAGCAAAAGACGTCTCCCAACCCAATACATCCACACTCATGCGTGAGCACAGCCCTTCGATTCGCCAGCCGAGCCCGCGCAGGCTTTCCCCGATTCGGTATCCCTACAGCCAATGGGAAGCGCCATTCCGCGCACAACCACATTCTGCGGCCGTCGTGGGGTGCGAAAGAATGTCGAGCGTCGTTGTCGCGGGACCTCACCTCGTCTTACCCACTCCTCATTCTACTACTGCCATCGTTGACCCGGTGGATGATGTGAGTCCTGTGGTATGCCTGAGGTGAGGGGTACATGTAGTATCCGTATCGCTTTCTCTGTTTCTCCAACCTACTCTCTTTGTTTTCGCAGCGTCAATTTCCATTTGCTAAAATCCCGCACTAACGAGCCTGCAACACTTGCGTATCTCCCTCTCCTCCCACCCTGCAAGTGAGCGAAAAGACGAGCGAGCGAGCAGGCAGTCCCACTACCGCCGACCGAAACGAGCGACTATTGGCTCCGTGTCGCAGAAGAAACAGCAGAAGGAAGACAATAGAAGCAGAAGCCCGGCCGAGCCAGGCCACGACCCCAGTAGTTGGCCCCACCGGCAGAGCACTCGTGAAGGACACATACAAACATGAACACCATCTCCCTCGTCCTCAACGGCCGCACCGCCGCCGACATCCGCCTGCTCCCAGAAAAACAACGCGCGAGCATAACCACCCTCCCACCGTCCCGCCGCCCCTTCTTCGCCCACGCCCGCACCATGTCCTCCTCCTCCACAATCTCCACCATCACGTCCCCCTCCCTCTCCTCCGGAACCTCCACGCCGCGCCGCCCAGGCAGCTCATCCTCGCGGACCAGCACGCCCGGCTCCGGGTGGTATAACACGGAGAATAACCCGACGTTAGACGATTATGCGCGGCAGTTGAGCACGGTCAGCAAGAAGATTGAGATTTGGCAGGGGAAGTGTGCGCAGAATGTGGTCATGGCGTTGATGCGGCCGACGCCGATTGTGTTGTTTGCGCTGAATCCGATTTGTTTGATTTTGTATGTGCTTGTTGGGGTGTGGTGGATGGCGAGGGGTGGTGGGAAGGAGAGTGGGGAGGTGGTGCCTTGAGGGGTGGAATGGATTCTTGAGAATAAGTTGGGACGAGGGATTTGGATGCTTCCATGGGAGCGACGTTTTCCGAGCGGGGCTGCATATGATTCGGGTTCGAAATCCAGGTCGCTCGAGGCTTTTCTGCAACATCTGGGCTGCTCGCCTGCCGGAAAACCTCGACGACCGCACGGCCAACCGCTCAAAAGCTGGAAGACTTCTGGTTCCAGCTGGCTCCTTCGTCGTCCTTACGACCTCACTTCGAGAAGAACATGGCATTGCCATCCTTGTCCTTGCGAACACCCGTCGAATAATCCCTCTCCGGATCAAAGTCCTCCCAACTCGACGCCGGATAAATGTGCTTATTCCGCTCATACCACCTCCGATCCACCACCTTGGTCAAATTGGGATCATCGTTGAAACCTTCGAGTTCGGAATCGGGAGGACCGGTTGATTGAGTCGCGGCTTGTTGTCGGCGCTGGGCGGCGGTTTGAAGACCCGATATATTGCTTGGGGCAGTCGGCTCGGGCGTAGCTGACGCAGATGCTGATGCGCCTGGCAGAAGGTCTTGTGGTGTTGCAGAAGTGGGTTCGGCGGAGTATGGGAATAGAGGGCCAGTATATGAAATGGTTTTGTTGATGATGAAGTGGTGGAAGTCGTAATGCTTGATGGCAGGGTCAGCAGGAGTATACAGATAAAAAAGCCATATATCGACTTACCGGCGGAATGATCAAGTCTCCCTTCACAACCATCAAATCATCCACCGATATCCGCGCCCAATCCCTACGATTATTCTGACCCGACCCGGGTGTATCTGCACCAACTTTGCGCGCACGCTCAAGAAAGAGCCAGATATGGTCGCCCTTCTTCAGCCTGACTTTCCCACCCGGTACACTCTTCCCGTGGTAGAAGACGAACGGTATCACAAACTCGGTCGCTTTGACTGCTTCCTGGATTTGAGTATACTCTCTCCGCAACTGCTCTTTCAATTGCGCCTCTTTCAGCATCGCAGATTTCGTCATCGCCTTGGGCTGCAGACCGACGCTCGCGTTGGGCCGCAAACTCTTCTTCTTGAAAACACTGCTGGAGGAATCAGAGGGCGCTTCGCTGTCGGTCGGTGGGGCGGAACCGTCCTGTACGGCCATGGAACTCGCACGCGATCCATTTCCTGTTGTGATGTCTTCGTCCTCTTCGTCATCCCCAAATGACAGACCGCCTTTCTTCACGACTTTCTTCCTCTTCTTGAATGCGGGTTTGGCAGCCGGGTCACTGTACTTGGGCCGTCAGTACCCACGCCTTCTACAAGAATGAGGATTTAACCTTACCGTCCATCTGGCGTCGTCGCACCGCTCGCCGGCGCACTGCCCTCGAGAGCTTCTGCGCGCCTCTTGCGGAAGTCGTCCAATGTAACCAGTCCAACGGTGTCGGCTTTCAGGCGGTCTTCCACGGTCGCCGCTTGGGATGTGAAGCGCGATGCATTCGGCGTCGATGCGCCCGAGTCGGGCGTGTCCGCCATGTTGTCAAGTAAGGATGTCGTCGTCGCAGGTGGTATGGATCAGAACTGAAGTGAGTTCAAAAGTTGAAACTTTGAGACAAGCTCAGACCCGCCGAAAGATTGTGAGATTAGCGCATTGTCCAATGTAGGGTCAGGAATCTTGACATCTCGTTCCCACATCTCTTCCTCTCCCTCCCATCCCCAACCCCTTTCCTTTCATAGTAAATGCTTCACAACATGGATAACGCGAAAGAGAACTGAGATGGTCTCCTTGGATTAGAGGCGCAATGCGGTACGGAAGCGCCCTGCTTGACCACGTCCGTTCTTCGTCCATCAACAATTGGATTGTGAAAAGAGCAGGTTCCTACGCAATTTCCCCCAGCAGCTTGCGATGAGCCTCTGCGTGCCTCAACGAGCCCTGCATCGAGGAGAGCAGTACCTGGGCACCGTCCGCGAAGTGAGCTGCGGAGCTTCCGGCCACGGCGAGCACGAAATCAAGACAACACTACATCTGTCCGACGTCGTCTCTTGATCTTGAGACGGCCTCTAATAATGTGTCCATGTCACGGAAATCATGAAAGCACACAATCTGCTTAGAATTGCTTATGCGATGTCATTTCTCTTTCCAAATCCGTCCTCCAGTAAAGAATAAGACAGGTGCCACTGTCGACCCTACCAGAAGTCCTAATGCCCAGGTCATAGTCCCCCAGCCGGCGTGTTGGCAGATAAAGCCTGCAAATAAAGGGCCAGCAATAGCACCACAAGCGAACCCAATATTTGTAAGGCCAAAAGCGAGCGCTACAGCCCCACCCTTGCCGAAACTGCCTAGAGCAAGTCGCTCTTTCTCTTCAGCGACGTTGACGGCCTCAGCGTACAGCGGTGGCAAGGTTATAGAGACGCAGATGCCGATAGCGGGAAGAAGACCGCAGAGCAAGATTTTTTGCCTCAGCGAGCTGTAGGTAATGAGGCGTAGGAGCACGATCGTAGGTACCGATAGTAAGAAGGCGCCGGCGATGACACAGCGACGGCTTTGGGAATGTTTGTCCATGATTGAGCCTGCCATCGGGCTAATGAAATGAGGTAGTAAAAGAGGGAGGAAGATCAGGCCCTGACCGCTTTGTTTCCAGCCAAATGTATCCAGTACATATAATGGGAGGACACTGTCGAAGGAGGCATTGATCGTAGAGATGACGAAGCTCCCCCAGATGGCGATAAGGACTCTGGATGAGCTCAAGAGGATGCTAAATCGACCGAGATTTATTCGTCGAGGCGACTGCACTTGCTGTTTGCCCGATGCGTGCGGTGACTCAGACCCCTTCGAGTCTTGTACTTGTTCAGGATCAAGCCAAATCTGGGCACGCTTCTTCTCGATAAGACTTAGACAAAGGATGATATCTAGGCCAATAAGACCAATGGCGAAGCCATAGACTGTATCATATCCACCGTACTGGTATAGCACACCGCCCAGGAGAGGTCCAGCGAATAATCCAATGCTACATGCCATTGTAGTCCATCCAATGGCCTGAGTGATACCTTCTGGTCCCACAGTATCCGATACTAGAGCATTGCCCACGACCCAAGCCATAGCAGATGCCGCGCCTTGGAAGAGTCGCCCAGCGATCCAGAGTCCCAAGGTATTCCCAACCCATAGCATAGCAGTCGCCGCGCAAAGTCCCACTAGTGCAGATAGATAAGGACATCGTCATGTGTTACATCGGTCGGAGACATATCCGGTTATGGGAGATGCAGCTAGTAGACCTGCTCCGAACAGGGCGAGGAGGATTGAGGTCCATTTTTTGAACGCCGTCTTCTGAAATGCCGACTCTTTGGTGCAGTGCTGTTGGTGTCACTGGAACCACGAGGCCGTATAAAAGCACGTCCGTAGCGCCGGCGAAAGAGACCACTAGTGTGATGAACCAGCGTGAGGAGCGTATCCGAAGCAATTTGGGTGTCTTCGGTGCCGATCTGTTTCGGGTAAGATCCATCTCAGTGGAAGGGGCATTGATAGATGAAAGGACGCTGAGGGCTGAGAAGCTCAATGTGACAGGGTAATAGCGTCGCCCCAATATCGATCAAGGGCGAGGGAAGTTATAAAACCACTGTACGTTTCGAATTGCTCTTGACAATCCAGGAAAGGAAAGCACGAAGTGAAAACTCTAAACCAATTTAGGTGAATTATGTTGAGCCATTCGCGTCGGTGTCGACATTCTGAAAACGCACGCGCCAAAACCTGGACACCGACGACAAAGTGAGATGGCTATTCACGTTATGCCTAGCAGTTCTGCCAGCTACATGCTGTAAAATGTGCGGAAAGCTAGAATCGGGATGAGAAGACGCCCCCTCAAATCCAGCGTTGGAAATTTGGGAGACCAACAGGGCAGTGTGGAGTGGAAAAGGCGATGACATCAACGTAAGACGGTCAATGCATTCTCCCACACTCGGATGCTTTGAGTGTCCTTCTCCCATTCGGATGAGAACGGTATACCGAATATCCAAAAAGTAAATCAAACATCCCATCTCCACGCTCCCCTCACAACACCAACCCAATCGTCAAAAATCCCGACTCCCTCTCAACCCTCTCCTTCAACGCAACCAACTCATCAACATCCCACTCCGCCCACACATACCTCCCACTGAGAAAATCACTCTGTGGCCCAGCCAACCACACCGCAAAATCCGCTGGTAACTCGATCTCTTCATGCACGACCCCATTCTCCGCGTTGAACTTCTCGATGTCGTCTATCCCGGACGCCTGCGCGTATGCTCGGTAGGATTCGGTGATGACAACCCCGGGGTGGTAGGAGTAGAAGCGTACTCTCTCGTGCGGTGGTTTGGAGGCTTGTGCTATGGCGAAGTGCTGCATGATCTGGATCGTGGCGGCTTTGCTGGCGCAGTAGCCGACTGCGCCTGGGATGTATGTCTGAGCGGCGGCCGAGGTCACGTTGAGGACAGTCTTTTGACCTCCTGAGGTTGGTGCTGGTAAATTGAGAAATAGCTTCACAAGCTCAAAAGAGGCCATGACGTTCGTTGCAAAGGTTTCCTGCAAACGTGATGTGTCCACGTCTTGCGGGAGGCTCTGCTCGTGAGTCTGGAAGGCACTCAGGAGGAGGATGTCGATGTCCTTGAGCTCGTCGAAGATTTGGGCCATGCTGGAGTGGTCTGTTACCGAGTCGGCGTACGTGAGTGTTTCGGTATTCGGAAAGGAAGACTTGAGCTCGTCTTTGGCTCTCTGTAGGGTGTCCTTCGAACGAGCGACAAGAACTACACGCTTGACGCCTGCTTTTGCAAATGCTTTGGCTGTAGCGAAGCCGATGCCCGTAGCTGGGAGAGTTAGCAGATCATAATCCGTTCGACGGGAAGATTTCAGAACCTCCACCGGTGACAAGGACAGTCTTTCCAATTCCCACAAAGCCAGTATTCTCGAGCGCAATGCGGTCGTAAGTACTCCGATGATACGTCTTGACGGGTCGGGGAACTGTGAGCATGAGGTCAGCCATATTGAATGTCGTGTTCTAATCGTCGTGAGGAACGCAGCCGTTGAGGTATGAACTGTACAGATAGCTCCATCGCGGTCTGATGCCAGATGAAGAGCTCTCAAATACCATAGACATCAGCTAACATAAATCAGTCTTTTCGAGACACCGTATCACTGTATGTCATCAGTCAAAAATGCGAGAAAGCGGTGTCAACAGAAACCTCGCCAAGCCCGCTTTATGTTCGTTCAGGCTGTTGAAGTTCGCATTCGCGGCTGTCGAACATAGCCGAGTCTTGAGTCAGGTCAAGATATACGAGCATTTATCGTCGTGCCATAGTAAGACTCGACCATGTTGAGGCAAAGTAGCGTATTCGTATGCATATCTAGTCCTGCAACGAGGGATCCTTTGAGCCGCCGAAATTCTGAGTCTGAGAGATGAGCTTGACTTTTTGCAACACTTGCTTCAACAGGAGTCCCATTCGAGCTGGATCTGATATATGCGACTGAGAAGCTTGACGCCGATAGCCCTGGACATCAAAGCCTCCACATCTGACCAAGAATCAAATTGTTTTAGAGTTTATCAGTTTAATTCCGTGCTGTCTCTGTCCATGCCTCAGGCTTGCCGCCGAGGTGGCAGTAGCACAGACAAGCTGTCGAGCCTGATGCTATAGCCAGCACCAAGTTCATGTTCCCAAAGCCAATCCACTCTTTGAGTCCAGCTGCCAGCTCGGGACCGATCCCCAGACCGGCGTTGAAGACCATCCCATTCATGCCATAGACCATGGCGTACGGTCCCCTCTCCCCGAAGAGCTCGGGATTGGCTTTTTGGTATCGATCGACGACTGCACCGACTTCGACAATAGACGGCGTGCCAGATCCTGCAAGTCCAAAGCCAGCTAAGGTAAGTAAGCCGGCATAGAAGAGTATCTGCGACAGGCCACCCGTGTGTACAAATCGAAGGAGCAAAAGCACCGGGACCAAGAGACCAAACGAAAGGACAGCCGCAAGTCTTGTTCCATGCCGATCAATGAGCCATCCGACGATTGGGCCGCTGATGATGTTAGTGATACCCATGGGAAGAAACATAATGCCGGCCTGGAAGGCATCGAAGTCGAACAGCTCATGTGCCACCACAGCGATAGTAGAGTCGAAGGTGCCCATCAAGGTTGCTTGCATCAGGGATCCAAGTAGTGCTGTAAGCATAATCTTGTCTGTGAGACACAATACCAGTGCACGCACCCATGCACTCTGTGGATTTTTGTCGGACGAATTAGTCTGTGCGTTATCCGGTTTCCTTCTGTCGAGAAGAGGCTGCTGCTCCGGATCGACTCCAGCTTCAGTCCAGCGGCGAAAGCTGCCAGTCTTGTCAAAGTCCTTTGCCGCGACTTTCGTCTCGATGACCAGCAACCTGAGGACAAAATCGATCCCGATAACAGCAACAGCAACAGCCATCACAGCTTCAAGACCCGCGCCTCGGTAGAGCATGCCTCCTATTACTGGAGCGGACGGCGATGCAACAGCAATGACAGAAAATATCTGGTATCAGGTCAGAAAGAAGAGGCTCTTTACGTCATTGCTGGACATACATACTACTCCCATTGTTTTGCCCATAGAGAGGACTCCGACGGTCTCGATGCACATAGAGAGTCCATTCGTCCAGACGAATGCGGTACTCATGCCTTGAAGTGCCCTCGCTACCATCAAGACTGCGATAGATCTCCCAAGGAAGAGCATTATCGTAGCAACAAACAGACAGCACTGTGCAAGCAAGAAGGACGCCCGTCGAGTGGGCAGTTTCTCTGCCAGGTACCCTGTCAAAGGGCAGCAGACGACGTTAGACCCTGCGTACACGGCCAACATCAATGATGTACAACTCTGACGCTGTGACGGTGGGATGTCCAGACCATCTTCGAGCATGAACGGTAGGACTGGGATTATCAGGTTGTATAGGAACAGGTCGCCGAAAAGACCCATCGCGACCGTAGTCAAGATGAAGGTTGGGTGGCTCCTCCATTTCAGACCTGCGGGTGGCTTCGAAGGCTCTTTACTCGGTTGCGTTGGGTCTTTCATTGCGAATGTGCTGTACAGAGGAGGTCACAATGCTGATACTCCAGAATCTGGCGTAGAGAGGAAATCCACGAGTTGAAGAATGCGTTGAAGCCTTCGAGGCTGAATGCTTCGAGGCCATCATGACGGAGAATTCGTCCTCCTTCAAATGGTATCCATCTTTCTTCCAGCTCCTCACCGACATTCGAGGCGGTCAGACGAGACTTCCGACTTCGCATGGCCTCGTCGTTACACTTGACAGCAGAACTGGTCCGCCCATATCATAGCTAGTGTCAATGAGTCGGAATCAATGCAGCATGATGAAAATCCAGGATCGAAATGAAGCCAAACTGCTGCAGGCGCCCGCTGTCTGGCGCAGTGTCACCCATCCACCATCGCCAGGCTTTCCGATACGCCATGGTGGAAACACGAAGTGGTGTTACACTGACTTTGTTCCGAAAACGTGGGTCCGGTAAAGCGAATGAGAGGGCTTCGATAGAGAGACTATCCAGCGTAATCTCGATGTCTCGAAACAGGTGTGAGCCACTGCGTTGGTGTTCATGGTGAAGTCGAGGAAAGGTAAGGAACAGGAAAGCAGGGGGGAAAGAGATGGAGTGTCGTCTGGTGCCAGCAAGGTCCAGCGGACCCAGTTCCGCCTTCACATGCGTCACTCTCCAAATATCAACTTTCGTAAGACAACATTCCAACAAGCGACATCATTACCACAACGATGCCTTCCAATCCAAGCCGACTAAACAGCAACATCCCCGACATCGACTCCGACTCAGACGAATCCTTCCACTCCCTCCAAGACGACCCCCAACCCTCCACAAACCCAACACCCACAACCCCCAACCCTCAACCCAAACACACCCCCACCGCGCCCAAACCCACCTTCGAACGCTTCCCGCCGGAAGAAGAAGCGACCCTACTCGCCTCATCAAACTCCATCAAAGGCGAAGGAAACCAACAATTCGGCAAAGGCTCCTTTTCCAGCGCAATCCAAATCTACGACCGCGCGTTGGCGTCCTGTCCGAATTACCTGGATTACGAGCTCGCGGTGCTGAGGAGCAATATCGCGGCGTGTCATATTAAGTTGGAGGAGTGGAAGGAGGCGGTGGAGAGTGCGGAGAAGGGGGTGGATTGTTTGGAGCGGTTGGAGCCTTTGCCGGAGGTGAGGGAGAAGGGGAAGAAGGATGAGCAAGGGAAGGATGGGGATGTTGGTGGGGTGGAGGAGGTGGATGAGGAGTTGGAGGAGAGGATGAAGAGGCTTCAGTTGTCGGGGCATACACTGGCTGAGATTCGGAATCTGCAGGTGAAACTACTCATGCGAAGGGCGAAGGCGAAGACTTCTTTAGGAGGATGGTCCTCATTACAAGGCGCGGATGAGGATTATCGGATACTGCTGTCGCCCGCGATGTTGCCGTGTCTATCGCCCACAGATCGGAGGAACGTCACAGAGGAAGCGAGGAAGTTGACGCCGAGACTGAATGAGGCGAAAGAGAAGGAGATGGCTGAGATGATGGGCAAGTTGAAAGGGCTGGGGAATTCGATTCTCAAGCCCTTTGGGTTGAGTACGGAGAACTTCCAGTTTGTCAAGGATGAGAAGAGTGGAGGATATAGCATGAATTTCGATCAGAATGCTGGAAAGAAGTGAATGGAATATGACCTCAGTTGAAGAGAGAAGTCTTGACTGTTCAATTTTTCATTCGTAGTCTTCTTTTTCTGAACCATTACACGTTACCGTAGCATTTCCTCGAAGATGTATGTCTACTTCGAGGGAATGGCATCAAAGAGCTCCGGACTCGCTTGCTATGCCAAACAAAGCCCACGCTGGTCTTCTGCCTCTGATGAAACGGTAAAAGCAGCAGTATGGAGCCACACCGTCTACAACCTCAGTCGCTCCACCAACTCCTCACTCCTCTGGCGTGTAGGAATCATCGAAGCGGAAGGCTCTACTCCACTTCCTCGATCTTCTTGCCGCCCTCCTTCGATGCACCAGCCTGAGCCTCTTCACCTTCCAGACCTGGCATCTCCTCGTCATCTTCCTCGTCATCCTCTTCCTCTTCTTCCTCGCCACCACCCATGCCTGCTGCGCCGCCGAGCTTGCTGAAGTCGATGCCGCCGAAGCCACCATCGCCTCCCATGCCGCCCATACCACCCATGCGGCTCATGTAGTCGTCGTCGTCTGGGATGGCGTCTTGCTCGTCCTCATCAACCCACTGTCGATGCAATGTCAGTCAATGCCCTCAATCACAGACTCGAATGTGTGTATCTCACCTTGTCAAAGTCCGTCTTCAAGAAGTGCACCTTCTTGTTCTCCTTGAGCAGTCGCGGCCAGTACTCTTCACCAAGCTCCTTCTTCTGCAGGACCATCTCCACGGCGCGAGGCGAGTGGTTGATCTTCGAAGCTGAGGGGTCGATTTCGGCGAAGAAGTCGAGCTCGACGTGGTACTCGGCCTTCTTGGTGTCGCTGTAGCCGGTGAAGGTCAATTTCTGCGGCTGGACGTCCAGCTTGATCTTCTTGGGGTCGACATCGGGGACGTTGATGGCAAGGAAGATGTGGTTCTTCTCGGCGTCGCTTGCACTTGAGCGCTGTGCCCAGGTGACTGTATCAAACAATCAGTGAGGTCTTGGAAGATGTGGTGGAGCTGAAACGCACCTTCGGGAGTGATTTGCTTGCTGTGAAACTCCTTCACGTCGGTGGTGTTCTTGGGGACCTCCATGGTTGCTGTGTATTCGTCGATCTAGTCGCGGATAAGAGAGTGGTTCTAGGGTGTCTTGTTGAAGCTGCAGGTACACAGAGAAGTGGTGCAGCCAGAGGATGACAAGGCTTGAGCAGAGGATCGCTAGTGGAATCAGTCCGAATGCTCCAGAAAAGCTGCGGCTGGAAGTGATGGTCGTCGTATTTGCCCGAAGCAGAATCGTGCAGCACGTGATTGGCGTGAACGGGGATGGTGAGTGAATGACTTACGGGTGCTGTCAGCGCTGTTTCGGCTGCGATAGCTTGGTGGTGAGGAGGGTCGGGTGGTGGTCGTCGTCGCCGGGTGGTCTTGTTGCTGGCTGGCCCCAGCCCCACGATTCAGCAGTGTGGAAAGCTTCCCGCGCAACGTCACTCGGCTGCTCCCGCCGCCTTGAACGTCACTCGTTGCCTGCGCTGTCACATGCGCCTGAACTATTACAATCCACACCTGTGCAATGCGATTGAGACCCTTACGACACACGGGATCCGGCAAGGTATGATATCGCGACTCTGAGAAACCACCTACACAACCACAATCATGGACGGCGTGAGGAAGTTCTTCTACGGCCCCACGCCAGAGGAGCAAGTACGCCAACCCAGATGAGATGTATACCTCATGGCCCTCTGACATTGCGCATAGAAACGAAAATGCAAGTCCCTTGTCCGTCAAAACACCCGCAAAATCGACCGCGACATCCAAAACCTCAAAGCCGTCGAAGCCAAAACCCGCAACCTAATAATCCAAGCCTCGAAGCGCGCCCAGAAGAACCCCTCACAATCCAAACAAGCCGCCCAAGAAACACGACTGTTCGCCAGAGAACTGATCCGCGCGAGGAAACAAAGTCAGAGGCTCGCGACGAGTCGAGCGACGTTGCAGAGTGTCGGCTTCCAGGTGGACGAGGCGTTTGCGATGCGGAAGATTGAGGGGAGCATCAAGAATGGCACGAGTATAATGAAGGATGTGAATACTTTGGTGCGATTACCGGAACTTACGGGGACGATGCGGGAGTTGAGCCAAGAGCTGGTGAAGTCGGGCATTATCGAAGAAATGATGGAGGACTCAATGCCCAACAATGAGTTGATGGAGAACGAAGACGAGGAAGCTGAGTCCGAGGTGGACAAGGTACTGGGCGAGGTCCTCAAACATAGGGTGCAGACTCCTGGTACTCAATTACCGACCGAGCCTGTGGGTCCTGTCGAAGCGCAACCAGCCGAGGAGGAGGACGAGCTGGATTCGGAGGAGATGCTGGCTCAGATGAGAGGGAGGCTAGAGGCATTGAAGAGTTGAAAGGTTACTGGATTTGGAAATCTTCCGTGGATGGACACGATGGCATGAAGGCACGGCGTTTGGTGTTTCCGAGACAGGTAGAGTCAATCCGCTTTAGCGATGATGAATTGAGAGACCGATCCACATCATTTCCAGTCATTGGAAGCCGGAAGCGACGAAGATAGGATGCGCCAGCCCTCACCCACGCTCGCATACTACGGATCAAAAGACCGTCACTATCCCGCATTCGGCAGGACTTTGGTCTCCAAAGCTTCGACAACGAAAGAAGTAGACGTCGAGATCTCTTCCTTATCTGAATTGTTTGAGTGAAGCGTGTATCTCCCATTGAGGCACATATGAGCTACATTTGGGGTTCTTTGCTGGCTCCAATCATGACTCGCTAGGCATTACAAACGCTTTCGATAGTAAACGGCTTCTGGACACACAACAGTGAAACATTCTACCATTGCCATGCCTCGTACAGTTGCGACCTACGCCTAACTCTCTACTTTGACTTGGTCCGGTATATCCACCCAAGCTTCATCAAACCCAGCAGACCGAACCCAAGCCTTCCCGGGACCGTCAAACTGAATATGGTCCTCTTCTCCTTCAATCTCAATCGAATCGATCGCCATGAGCGCAAGCTGATGCCAATCACCATCCTTCAGCCGATAAGCTTCCCCAGACTGATACGGCTTGCAGACCTTGTGACTATGAGCGATCGCTCGAATAACCTTAGACGCATGTCCGTCATCGGGAATGAGACAGACCCGACGTTTGATGTCTTCCCAGTCAGAAGCATGCTTTGCTTCGTGATTTCGAATGGAGGTGATGTGAAGAGCTGGCGACTTTCTCGAAGCATACATCACCAGATCCATGCGGATTTTCCATTCCAGCAGGCGGGCTTTGTTGGTATCGCTGAGCCAGGATTGTTCTAGGAAGTTGGTGAAGAACATCGCCGAGGTCAGGCAGTGGAGGAGGTAGAAGTCGAATTTGACGTCTTTGCCAGACCGCTGGGCGCCGGCTGTGAGGTAGGCGGCTGCGTTGATCATTTCGGCCGTCCTTGCTAGAAGGTCTTCGGGCTTGACCTGTACCTGCGCCAGGTAGTGAACCATCCTATCGCCGGCACGATCAAGGATCCCTTCGTGGATCTTGTCGTGATCGTTCCAATGGGGTGCTTGAAGGATTAGATCATCCGCTCCGACCGCATCCAAGAGCTCAGCTACATTCTTTGATGCACATCCAGCTCTGGACAGTGCTTCGGCTGGCAAAAGCAGCTCTTGAATCCATTCTTGATGACAAGCCGTCTGAGCTAGCGCTTCAGCAATAATCGCCGGCTGCTCAAACTCAACGCCGAACCCAACATGAATCAGAGGATGAAGGAAGCTGTCGAACAGACGAACGAGCATCGTATCCGCCCGCTTGTCCCTCGCGAAGAGGTACTTCTGCAGTACTTCCTGCCAGCTTGTGCTGGTAATCTCCTGCGAGAAGAAATCAAGATACGCTTTGTAGTACTTGTCATCTCCCATATATTCCATGAACGTCTCAACATCAGCCAAGTCGAGACTCAACTTCTGATCAGCGGGTTCCTGAGGCCGCTGAAAGACTTTGTTCAGGTCGTAGAACTTCTCGATATTGGTAGGAGAGGCTTCAAGAGCCCAGAGCGTGAGGAGGCCGTGGTTGATATGGTTGTGGAAGCCTTCGCCGTTGAAGAACATGTGGTGCAGCTCGTGGTTGTCCTGTAGCAGTCTCGATGCGGTCTCTGAGGAGTCAGGCTTATTGCCCTCGGGGAGGAGTATTTTTGTCGATGTCGCCATTGTTTGGGAATTCTGGGTGCACGAAGTGGAAGAAGGCAGAGGGGAAAAGATTGCAGAGCTCCGTGAGGAACAAGATATTGTCTCGGTCTTGGTGAGTCTCGCTGACGCCAGCTTGCGTGTCAGCTTTATTGGCTATCACCTGCAGCAGCACCATATCACCAAGTTGGCCTGGGCCTGTAGCAACCGAGCGAATTTGTCGGTCGTGATGAGGCAGCAAAGCAGTAAGCCGTTCCAGCTTGGCCCAGAAACTCAAGGGGCCTTGAAAAGCTCCATTGAGATCACTCCAAGATCGATTGAGTAGTCAGTCGCTTCTACTTCGAGGATGGCTTGGAGTGATTCTTGGTTGCTGCGGGGGATTAGTGGTATCCACTTGCCAAGAACTAGGCGCTAGTCCACATGAAGTAGTCTGTCCTTCCAAATGAGGACTAGTGGATTTGGCGAGTGAATGTTGATGTTGGCGACTTAGCACCATGAGGTACGACGTTCGCGGTCTGTGAGACAACCTCCATCTCCACCATCTTAATTATCTGCAGCCTCTTTCACGCCTGGGCGTCCTTGACGAATACCAAGGCTTAGACTAGTCCTTTCGAGTAGTCGCCGGGCCTATACGAAGTTTAGCTTAAACGCTATTGCAACATCACTTTTCTTGTTGTTCTCTCGCCACATCGCATTCGCACAAGCAAATTTTCGACAAGACTCCACGGAGGCGGTTAAGAGTTAGTGCTCGCATCGTTGCAGCTAGAGCGTGCAAATCGAGCTTGGATCATAGTTAGTGCGCAAAGGAATGCCGAAAGCGAGCTTGGACCATGGAACCAATGCAGTTCCCTGCAATGGAGCCGGAAGTGATTTCGCTTGGCCATACTGGCTGCCTTTGAGTCGCAACGGAGCTGATACTATAGCATACGTTGTACTTTGCCGCTACGCAAGACCAAATGAATCACAGCCGTCGTTGCGAGGACCCCGTTTCTCGACATATCCAATCCTCGGCCATACCAGCAAACCCTTTGAACCAATCGGCGCTGCTTCTCAGTGACTCTCAATGAGATCATTATTTCCATTGGAGCATCAGCTCTACCTCCCTCCGCGTTGCCACTGCCCTTTCTGTCTCTCAAACCAGCCTCCTTGGGCGTAGTTCGACTCACTGAACAACCCCAACTCCCACACAACTCCCGCTGTCTTTGAAGACTTCGATCATGTCTTCGTGTTGGAGAGCAAGAACTTCATGGCACTGATGACATTCCATGTCTTTGAGCCTCTTCCAGACTGCTTCGATGAAGTCATCCTGCTGGCGGCGCAGATATGACTGGATCAAAGCCCACATAGCTGATGCGGAGGTGTCATGGGAATTGACATCTGCCATGGGGGCTTCAGCTGTAGTCCGCTTCGTACATGAGATCGGACCCTCGCACGTTGATTCAGACGTTCGACGGATGGTGTGTCCAGATGGTCTTCTGGTTTCGTAGCGGGAAGCGATTCCATTGTCTGGGCTGTGATTGATGCGGTCCTCGTGATCTCTTGTTTTGCTAGGGAAGTTGAAGAGCTTCAGTCTTGCTCTGGAATGTAGCATACTGAAGTTGCTGCTTCAAGCGCTTGTTCTCTGCGCGAAGGCATTCAAGGTTGTTCTCGAGGGCTTTTACCTGCGTTTCTAGTTCGGCGACTTGCTTCAATTTGCGTTCGCGGTAGGCCCGTTGTCTGCATCATAGTTAGTCTTCGCACTGAAAGTACACATGCAACGACCTGAGTCTTTTGGAGATGCGTTGAGAGAAAACTTACGCAGCCCTGTTCTGCGCCTGTCGCTTTAATTTGGCACAAGTCCGCATGCCCGCCATGATGCTGTCGGAGTCTCTGTAAAGGTCGTGAGGAGGAATAGATTCCCAGTCGGAAGCAACATCCTTTCTATGGTCGCGCCTGGGAAGTATTGGTCTAGCGAAAGGTGGATGTAAGTCGAAGGTCAGGGCGTCCTGCTCGCATGACTGATCGTTCACGGCGATAGTACCCGAAGCACCGTCCAAGCAGTGGTTGTGCGAGACGTCAGCACTTCGATCGACAGGTGATTCCAGGGTCTGCTACATGCCACGTTGGTCAGTCGGGCGAACATCATGCATAAGGACCCTTTTCTGCATCATCTTACCTGTATAGACATGAAACCATGTTCGTCGATGTTTTCACCGGTGGTGGCCATTGCATCGTTGTAGATCGGTGCGATCGATAGAGGAAGGGCTGACGAAAAGGCGAAGCTCCGTTGAGTTGTCGTCATCTTGCTGCGAGATCGATAAGGTGGCAACAAAGTCGTCGGCGATCGTGACTCTAATACTGCTTGCCAAGTGGACAGCGTCTTCAAACCACTAGGAACGTTCCTAGGCTGAGGCAACGTACATGCGGTGTCAGTCTCCACCTGAAATCGAGATCACTGCTGTCTCATAGTTCTCAGCATGTCACCCAGTCTGCCTCATTACCCCGTGTGATCGCTGGGCCAGCACACAGTCGACGACAAGGTCTTCTATCACATACCCAGAGGCTTGGATTTCTACTTTGGGTAGTCAGTCCTGACGGTTGTCTATTAGCCCGAATCCTCCAGATTATGAGGCTGGGCGCGATGTTAGCCTTCGCACTACTGGAGAGAGGGGTATGTACCAATTTGCATTAGTCGAGTTCGGAGTCATGCTGACTTCAAGCTTATGTCAAGATCCCACAAAGGTGTTGTCCAGAAAGCCAGGACTTTAGCCAGCAATGACGACAGGGGAGCCGGACGGGGAAATCGTTCGCTTTTCAGGTGCCCGCTAACTTCAAACGATAGACAAGAGCGGGTCAACCCCCTGTTCTTGCTCAATAACGTTGATCTCGTTCCAGATTGTGTTCAAGAGAGCCGCGTAGTCTGGAACGAAGCCAAACTTGATAAGATGCGCTCGGAGAAGTTCCAGGCTGTCAATCTGTAGCGCCTTGCATGCCGACGCGGTGTAATGGAGGACCCATCTCCATTGCTCCTCTTCATGCGAAATGCAAGCTGCCATGATCAGAGCCCATAGTAAGAGTTCTGGACATGGCTGCCATACACCCGGAACGAGAGACTCGACAAGCGCCGAATCGAGCTGTTGAGCTAAAGAGCTGTGGAAGGGAGTCCGTGGCAGAGCAATGTTGACAGGTGGGCCATGGACCAGTACAAGGCAGAGACGAACAACCTCTTGCGCTCGGGTGGTGAGATCAGTCTCGGATTGTGGTGACAGCGACCGTTGCAGCCGACGCTGCTGTGCCAGCCTCGCAATAAAGAGTGCCTGCAGTTGCTCACTTGAAACCAGCACTTCTTTGCGTAGCACGAGATTGTGGTACATGTCGATCGTATGCAGCTTCCTCAATATGTCGGTCAGCACAGGCCCGACAAAATCATTGTATGGCGAATTGAGTAGAGGAGAAGATTTTGGCCCACTCCCAAGAGCCAGTCTTTGAAGTCCTGAAACTGGGATACCGCCGACGAGAAGACCATCATTCTGGCTTTGTTGTAGGTGCCGATTAGGTATCAAATGAGGGTTCTCGCCAAATAATGCTGCACAATGATCCATGGAGCTGTTTCGTACACGATCTTAGCAAGTTCGCTTGTTGATTCTTGATTCTGGTCCACATACGCTTGCATGCTCATGAGCAGTGTGGGCGGAAGCTGGATCTGCGAATCTAGTAGATCTAGAATGGTGACCAAGCCTTTGAAATGAGCCCTGGCAGCATCAAGGTCTCCTTGACCGCACTGCAGGAGGAAGGTATGTTCAGCTGCATTCGACGACTTATTCAGTATGTCACTCACCTCAAGACGCAGAAGGAGTGCAATCGCATAGACTGTGCTATGCCTAATACTTGGCCCTGAACGCAGGTTCTGCCGGATATGAAGCACAGTCTGATACCTGCAGCGAATGACGCTCTGAGTACGGGCATGATCTCGAGTCCGAGCTGCTATCACGGCGTTCGCCATGCCTACCAGCGCATATATGACGGCGGAGTCATCGGCAGCACACTGCATGACATTCTTTCTGGCCAGACTCGTCATATCGCGCCACCAAATGGAAGGCATTACGCTCTGGCAATCTCGACTGACCTTAGCTTATGCTGGACACTGCGGTGGACTCACTACTGAGCAGTGGCAGATGCAGGGCGGGAAGTAGGGACTCACAGTATGTAAGCATGCATTGCATGTCTTTCTTCAAGTGCACCGAAAATGACTGGAATGGGTCAAGCTCCGATGGAGCTAGTTCTCTGAGGCGTGGCTGTCGTTTTTCTTCGGCGTCCCGTCCTCTAAGTCGTGTTTGGTGATTGGTGCCCGGAGAGGCGTAATTGGATGCAGTAACCACGACGAAGTCTTTAGGCGAGCAGGTGGTCGAGCTTGTTTGGGCCCGTGAGAAAATTTGCCGTCGCTCTTGACCCTGCGAGCGCGATAATGTCGAGGATCGGGCATTCTTGTTGACGAAGACAAAGTTATCTCCGGGTGCCATCCTTTTCCCTCAGACCCAGGTTCCAAGATTTCACTCATTCTTGTAGAGAAGAAAAGAGTAACCTCTTTAGGTTTGAAATGCTCATCCAAATCCGCGCAGCAAGTCAAGCTTTCGTCTTCCGAAAGCGGAAGGAGACAAGAAAGTTAGAAGCTGATGCTGCTTTTAGTCATCGGTCAAAGTCTACCCTGGGATACGTACAAGAACCATTTTTTTCTGCTCATATATTGCTTGCATCGTTCCCTACGCCGGAAAGTTGTTCATGACTAACCCCAGTCCTCCTCGATCGAAGCGAATCTCCCTCATCGCTCTCGTCAATGGAAGTAGCCACCTGCGAAAACCCTTCGTGAATGGTATACCCGCCCGTAGCTCTATTAGAGTCATCATTACTCCCCTGAGGCGAGCTGACATAAGTGCCGTAGGCAATCGTACTCCAGTCTCCGCCTCCCCAACTAGTGTTGAAATTGTTGACGAGGGGGCGAAGGATTGGAAACGTTGCTGAGATGATGGAGTAGTTTAGTTCAGTCGATGTCCAGACGACGAATTCTGATTCGAGGAAAGTAGGGTCATTATGTTGGCCATTTTTGCTGTAGTTTGCTAGGCGGAGGGCCACAATCGGGATAAGTCTGGTCGAGAAAGTCAGCAATGTTGTTGTGTAGGATTTTGTGCTAGAGCACATACAGCAATCGGGCGCCGAAGGCTATAACTACCGTCGCTCGGTTATTCCAACTGGTCTGTAGAGAGTAGACGAGCCATACGGACATGCCGACCATGGCTACTTCGTACAGACAGCCCAGGCTCTCGAAGACGGCCCAGTATGTAAGCTGTTCATTGTTGTCAGCTGGTAATTTACCTAGTCTCGCCAGTCACGTACATATCCGCTGCACTGCTGTCCAAGAAGAAGCCAAGGGTGCGATGCAGTACATGATGTCGCAATGAGAAGGACGAACGCCACGGCCCAGATGATCAGAGCAGCGAGTAGGGCTTTCAAAAAGCGAGTATGTGGCTCAATTGGCGTCAAGCGAAGGATGAAACAGGTCACTGATGCTTTGCTGACAGCCAGACAAACGATGTACAGCAAGTTGCTGGCGTAGTACAGCTGTAGATTTTGTCAGACTGTGTCCAGTGAATGCTTTCGAGCCATATCTAGACGCACCTTCTGGACCGACAGTAGAGCATCTGAGCTCAGAAGTGTCTTCGACTTTCCCAGGCCGAGGTGGCAAGCGATCAATACCAGGGTGGATTGAACGAATGAGAGAGCCTAGATCATGTCAGTCTTGCGGATATGAAGATGTAGTGTAGCAAGATGAACTTACTGTCGTGCCGGCGATGAGCCAATCATCAAAGCCGTACCTGCTCCCTCCAGTCCATCGAACCCATACTCGAATGCATCCAAACATCAAAGTCAACGAAGTCCCAAGTGCTGCTGCGATTATGATGTATGCTTCATGATCAGTAGGGGTTACTGTGGCGAAAGGCGGACTTTGGCCAAGCGGAGTGTCGAACGTGAAATTCGGAGCCGTCATGATGCCCTTCACACAACGAGATCCAGGTGGAGCATCTCCATCCAAGACTCCGGCATGTTACTACAGGCTTAGCGGCGAGTTCAGGACACTCGAGAGCCGAAATCACAGATGGGGCGGAAGCATTCTTTTACACATCGAAACGTTTGCTGTGCCACAAGAGCTGCAGTTGAGATTCCCGGAGCATGCGTGCTCGCTGTTGGACTTGGCGCAGCGTGGGCGTTGACTGAGGATGCAGCCCACGCCGCAGACACTGCCGTAAAAGTGTTGTGATAGACGGTGAAGGTGTTGATAGAGTTCCACGTCGTGGAAGCTTGATAACCGCCGGCCCCAGTAGCCAGTCGAGGCACGAGGCTCGGTCCCGTGGGAAGTGGCTTGATCCAGTCGGCTGCAGGCTTCACGTCCCCGACGCAATCCTTCAACGTCGAAGCTCGTCGTACACACCAATGGCAGAGAAGCTTGTTCGCCTTGGTCTCTGCGTGCCGTTCCGGACCTACGCAAGATTGCCGGACACGGCATGCAACGTGCAAGTCCAGACGCCGAAGGAATCAACACTGAGCTCGCAGCAACTAAAGCAGGCAAAGATCCATCTGCCGGCGATGTGCGATGTGGAGGGGTTCGTCCGAGTCTCAAATTCTGTCTCATCCTCGAACCTTCTCTCCATACCTCGACGGCGCTGCCCTCCATGTCCAAGTACGAGTCCGAACCGAAGCCAGTGTTTGAAGGTGTCTCCATCCAAGATCTCGGATCTGGACATAAATCGTCCCCGGGAAGCAGTGGCGAGTCCAATGATGACGACTTCGTCGTGGACGACAGTGTGCCTGCGCAGTATCATGGCACTAAAGAGGACAAACACGACATGAGGGTGTTGGGCAAGAAGCAAGTCCTGCGCCGCCACTTCCATTTCACCTCTATGATTGGGTTCTCCAGCACCGTTTTGGTCGCTTGGGAAGAGACTCCTGTCCTCGCGATATATGCTTTAGACAATGGCGGCACCGCGATTATCTTTTGGGGTATAGTAGGTCGGCCATTGGGATGAGAAGATCCTGGAAATATTGCTGACGTAGTTGCCGACTTAGATCGCTGCCATTATTGGGTGTAGTGCTATATACATGTCGCTGGCTGAGATGGCTTCTATGTTTCCGACTGCCGGGGGACAGTATCGTGAGTCCAGGGTTGCCAACGAAGTCGAGCGATGCTGACAGTGGTGAAGACTGGGTCTCCGAGCTCGCTCCACGTCGCTACCAGAAGGGTTTGTCGTACACTGTTGGGTGGTTGACAGCAATGGGTTGGCAAGTGTGTCTCGCAAGCATCTGCTTCGTAAGTGTTTACTCTCTGGACGCAAAATTCGCTCTGACAAAGACACAGCAAGCCGGCATTGTAACACAAGGCCTCATCCAACTCAACAATCCCGACTATGTCTTCCATAACTGGCACGGGACACTACTGTCTATGGCGTATATGGTCTTTGCCAGCGTCTTCAACACCGTCCTAGCCACGAAGCTTCCGTTGACAGAAGGTCTCATGTTGATTTTGCATGTTGCTGGGCTATTCGCCATTATCATTCCGCTTTGGGTGATGTTCGCGGAATACTTCGCGGCTGTCCTCGGCAGTCGTACTCACTGAAAAAATGGTCAGTGCTGATCATAAGCAGGGCTCCCCGTGGTAATGCCCACCAAGTCTTACTGGAGTTCAGTACGACTGGTGGCTGGTCGAATCTTGGTCTGGCCTGCCTCATTGGATTGGTAAGTTCCATTCAGTCGAGACTCATAGTGTGTCAGTTACTGACGACTTGGAAGAACAATCCAATCAGTCTGCTCATCGGGTACGACTGCACCGTCCACATGTGTAAGCCTTCCATATCGAGGCCAACTTCCCTTACCATTTGCTGACTCTACCACGTAGCCGAAGAAGTCAAGGACGCCGCCACAGTTGTACCGAGAGCATTACTTTGGACCATCGTCCCCAACGCTATCATGTGCCTTGTTATGGGAACCACCTTCATCTTCTGCCTTGGAGACATCGACGACGTCTTAGCGAGTCCAACCGGCCAGCCTTTTATTCAGGTCTTCAAAAATGCCACGCAGAGTAATGCAGGAACCACAATCATGACTTCGATCATCGTCATCATGCTCGTACGTGCCTCTCTGCTTCATGAAGCTCTGCCAAACACTGGCGGCCGATATGGCGTGACTGCTGATGTCGAATGCTAATGTGTCGTTGCAGGTCTCCGCCACAATTAGCGAAGTAGCAACAGCATCGCGTCAGCTATGGGCATTCGCACGAGATCGTGGATTCCCAGCTTCCACCTGGCTCTCCCGCACGACTCCAGGCCTCAACATCCCACTTAACGGCGTCCTTGTAACAGTCACCATCAGCTGTCTCCTCTTCCTTATCAACATCGGGTCCGACGTAGCACTTAACGCCATCGACTCCCTAGGCATCGTCTCCCTCCTCTTCTCTTACTTGGTAACAATCGGCTGTATGGTATGGCGTCGCCTCTGGGGACCTCCTTTGCCATTAGCTCCATGGTCGCTTGGCAAATGGGGCCTGGCGGTCAATGTGTTCTCGCTATGCTTTCTGGTGGTGCCTTCGTTTTTCGCTTTCTGGCCTGTGGACGTGAATCCGACACCGTAAGCCTGCACTTGACTCTTGCAATACTTTGGACGAGGTTGCTGACATTTTTAATAGCGAGGAATTCAACTGGTCGCCTGTTATGTTTGTGGGGATTCTGTCGATTACTGCTGTCTATTACTTCGTCAAGGGTCGACATGAGTACGAAGGACCAGTCGTGCTCGTGAAGAGACACTTGCAGTAGACAAGGCAACGACTAGGCACAAGCGTCCTCGTTATCCAGAAGTAGAGGCCGCAACAGGACAGCTATTGACGATTAAAAGGCATGAAAAGAGCACTCAGCCCAAAACCAGTGATATGTTCTAGTTTGAAGTCGTGCGTAAGCAGCTTAGCGAACGTGAAGTTTTGAAGGAGAATGTACATGACATAGACGAGGCTAGCGCGGTGCTGAGTGACTTTGATGCCCAAAAGATTTTGAACACTCGCGGCGACAAGAAGTAACGTCGTGGCTGTCATCAGTTGGAATGTTGTTTAGATTTGACTCTGCACTAGTCCGGATGTGGAGGTCCAGTATCTAAGAATGGATGCCTGAGGCAGCAATGTAATGATGGCCGCGTGGCTGAAATGCAAACTTCAGCTTCGTTACAGTCGGGTTGGCTTCTGACATCACCTTCAGTACCTGTGCTCTTACTCCATCGAACATGTTAAACGCCAGTCGTACCCTCTCGTTGCGTAAACGCTGCCGATTCAACATGGTGATACCCAAGTAAGACCGGATCAATTCACTTTTCAAGTCTATCAAGATCATCAATGTACTCGGTCATGGACCCTCTCTATTCACTTCTGCCCCCTAGAAGATTACGCCTAATCAAACGGTTTCAAAGAGAGTACTGACCGCTCAACAGTTTTGTTGATGGCAGAGCAGATGCTCGTTCAAGGCTAAGATAGTCTCGAGAAAAGACTACGATGGCGGGTCGATCGAGCCAGGATGTCTGAAGATCAGATCTCTCCAAGCTGATAGGAGCTGTGCCAAATGATGAACGGCGAGTTGACTGTCGCTGTATGAGTCCGCGGCGGCACGGATATGACATGGGCTACCTGACCTCTGGAGCTGAGCCGAGCGTGCCGTATAAGCCGGACACTCCATGTTCTTTGTCAACGCTTGATGTGGGAGTCGTCGCAGGTCTGGCACGTCAAGATATAGACGTTACTAGAAGTACTGCTCCCGCAAGTATTCAAGGCGACGGATGGAAAATCAGATATCTGGTAACGGACGCGGACATGCTGGCCTGGCTTTCGGGCGCTGGGATGCCGGACTGGTTTGAGGCTATGGACACCGTGACTCAGTATAAATCCTTGCGTCAACATCATTCCCAACCTAAGGCAAGGCCACTGCCTTCCCAATTCACGCGGGCGATGTCAATGAACAAGTACGTGTGCTGGCAAAAAGATCCCGTGGACCTTCGGCGGGCTGCCAGCATCTGACCTCGACTGTGGCTTGGATGCGACACATTCAAGCCTCTACAGATTCTCAAATACCTCGATGCGAGGTGTGCTCGGAGATGTGTCAGTCTCACCCATGTGACAAGCAGAGATTTAGTAATAGGAGAGAAGTGGAAGATATCAAACATCGTTGACTCAAGCGTGTGGAAGACCCGATTATCTCAGGATGCGTTTGTTTTGTGCTCCTGTACCATCCTCTGTATAGTCTTGCAAATATTCCACGGGTGATTACTTTTATCTAGCCAACAGCCTAAAAGCGTCAACGGTTTTATGCACTTGCTGACGAATCCTTGTTACGTATGGCTGTGCCAACCCGGCCTTCCCGAAGCACAGGATTTGCCGACCAGGCCGGCCGAAATGTTTTGCTGAAAGTGTGTGACCCACGGGGAGATTGCGGAGTGGATTTTCCCTCGTTCAAAGGCTCGAAATGTGGAATTGGAATTCCTGAAATGATGTCATCCGTCATCTTTCCCACGGGGAGGGTCTCGTGGACGAAATGCACGTCTTCTCGCTCTGCTTCTCGATCTCAATCTCCCTTGGCAGTGCCATTAACCCAGAATGCCGGGATCACAACAACACGACCAAGGCTTTGCGGACGGGGAAAAGGGTGATGGCTACCCCGGAAACCCCACGATGCCGGACGTGCCCTCTCCAGACCAGATCGAACATAACAAGTCAGAAAGTCATGCACTGGTCCTCACAGAGACCGAGGCTGCGGAACACTTTCGAAAGAATCCGGAGCTGTCGACGGCGATACATATCAGATTTGCGGACGACGACCCTTCGAATCCGAGGAATTGGCCCAGCTGGAGAAAGTGGTACGTCCTAAGCCTCTGCTGCTTTCTCAATTTCTTGACGGTCAGTCTCCCCTCTGCCTCAACAGACATACCTGCGAGACCATGTTGTTAAATAATGATGTAGTGTCTCTGCGCTGGTGGATATTCATCAGGTGCAGACGGCATCGCAGAGAGTCTCCATGTCTCTTCCGAAGCCACCACGGTAGGATTGTCGATGTACATCCTGGGATTCGCCATTGGACCAATGGTGCTGGCGCCGCTCTCAGAATACTTCGGCCGATCTCCTGTATACATCTGCTCGTGGTTCTTTTTGGTCGTCTTCCAGATCCCCCTGGCCCTGGCGCCCAACATTGGCACGATCATCATCTGTCGCTTGATCGCTGGCTTCGGCGGATCAGCCCCATTGACCAATACTGGCGGTACAGTCAGCGATTTGTGGTCCCGGAATGAGAGCGGCTATGCGATGATGCTCTATGGTGTTTCTTCGACATTCTCACCGCCCATGGCGCTCGTCATCTCGGGCTACATTGCTTTGGAGAAATCGTGGCACTGGCTTTTCTGGGTCTACTTGATCGTAACAGGCAGCGTCTGGATCATTATGATCTTAACGCTTCGAGAAACCCGGCACAGCACAATACTCGAGAAGAAAGCCCACCGCCTACGCAAAGCTCTAGTGAAGGAAATGATTTTGAAGAAGGAAGATCAAGACCAAATCTCTGACGTCCACAACCAGAGCGACAAACGAGGTCTGCGCAGCCTCTTCGTCGTGAGCCTGACTCGCCCGGTCCGCTTCTTGCTGACGGAACCGATCACGATCATGGCAGCCGCGTATAACGGCTTCATCTATGGCATCGTATACCTCTTCAACGAAGCCATCCCACTTGTCTTCGGACCTGGCGGCCACAATTTCAATACCGGAGAATGGGGCCTGGCCTTCCTTGGAATTGCCGTGGGCACCCTCATCGCCGCGTGTCTGTTCCCGCTGCAAGAACGTTACTACCTCCACCGAGTCGCCGAAAACAACGGCAAAGGCGTGCCAGAAGCAAGAATGTGGCAAGCACGGTTCGGCGCATTCTTACTGCCTATATCCCTCTTCTGGTTCGCCTGGACCTCCTATCCGTCGGTGCATTGGATCGTTCCGATCATCGCCTCTGCATTTTTTGGGGCTGGGATATATATTGTCATTCTGTCAGTACTTAACTACGTCGTTGATAGCTATCAGACCTACAGCGCTAGTGCCCTGGCTGGCGTGATCCTGGTTCGTAATGTGGTTGGCGCAGCCTTTCCGCTCTTCGCTTCGCAAATGTACAAGGGAATGGGATATGAGTGGGCCAGTTCTTTGCTTGCATTCTTGAGTATCCTGTGAGTATCCACCTCTCCTTACCAAATGTGTCTGAAGTCTTGTGCTAATATTGCTACCTGTAAAGATTCATACCTATCCCGATTTGGTGGTTTTATCGAGGAGAGCAGTTGAGATTGAAGAGTCCCTGGGCTCGAGAGCACTTCGACCAAGACGAAGATGCTTCGCATTAAGATTGGCCATCGTTGAGCATGTACGGTAGATAATTTTAAAACAAATGTTAGATTCTTAAAATTTAGGAAATAAGAGGACGACAAGGTAAAAGCTCGAGGTACAAGTATATAATTAAATATTACATAGCCCTACTATGCCCCTAAAAGACCCCCTAAAACGACAAAGTATAACCTACCTAATTCTATTCCTAAAAGCGCAATTCTAACCGCCGCGAATTATCTATAATCTAACATCTTCTACCTTATCTTCCTAAGAAGCGTCCTCTATATTGTTCTAGCCTTTCGAGCAACGCCTATCGGACGCCTCTACTTAGTCTTCCTAATCTCTACTGTAACTATCTTCTCCACCCTCCAAACTATGCAGGCTATGGACCTGACTTCTTTGGTCTTCCTTCACCCCGAAACATGGAAGAAGTGATGTATTGTCTAACTGCCAGCTTCCTCGTCAAAACGCTCTGACCTTCACTAGAAGCCCTTCTCCTTCTTCTGCGCCATTGCAAGAAGCTTGTCAGTCCGATCTATGACCTTTTCTCGCAAGGTCATCCGCCTCCAACCATCCACCACTCCCTTTGATCCGGTCTTTTGCGGATCCCCAGACAGCTCTGCTTCCCTATCCCTGAACTGATCCAACTGGGCCACTTTGTCCGGCCTTTTGCGCAGCACACCATTCTTGTCAGCAAAGTAGCGAACTGGGATGCCTATCGTGTACGAAGGGTGTGGCTGAAAAGGTGGGCCTGCGCCATCAACCTCAGCGACAAATCGGTACCCGATGTCTTTCTTGAAGAAGAGAATCTCTCGGCCCTGTGGGACCACCTCGTTCCAAAAGAAGTCCTGGAACATGACATGGAGATGGACAAAAGGTGTTCTCCACTGAACCTCGACACCAATGTCCTCGCCTCGAGTAGCATATAGCATTCCACATTTGACGTACATCAAGCTCTTAGATGGGCAAGGCCACTCATTCAAGAAAATCATGTGGCCTTGGCATTGGTGTTGCTAAGTCTCGTTAGTGTAGTTAAATCGGTGGTTGATCTAGAAAGCGTAGTCAGGGATGCCACGAAAGAGCTATGCCACAATCTCGAAACCGAGCTCGGTTGAACGGCCCTTCTCACCTACAAAGACCTGGTGGTTGTATAATTTCCAAGGCACCACGGCGAAGAATGCTACGTGGCCGAGTTCATGCAGCATAGTGGTGGCGAAGTGGAATGCGACTATCTGCTCCCGAACGATGTCCCGAGGATCATTCTGCGACTCAATCAGCTCCCTGTACAGCATGTTTGAGATGGCGATCTCACTGCCGCTGCCCAACAACTTCAACCCTAGTGAGACACCTGGCTTTATCAGAGGCCGACATGTAGCATTGAAGCCATCATCAATGTCAGGTCTCACGAAAGTCAGGTTCTCGCTCATGATCTCGAGTCTTTGCCACGTCAGCTGCTCATCTCCCAGTGACAGCTTCTCCCGAGGCTCGGTAAACACGAACATCTGGCGACCTTTGTGGTCTCGGTCCGAGTCGACCTTTGAGCAGCCAAGGAAGATGGCGTGGAAGAATGGCAGACAAACCTTGATGAAGTGCGTAAGTAGACGGAGTGAGGTGGCCATCTTTGAGTAGTCGAAGTCCTTTTCCGCGAAGTTCGACTGTCGAAACATGCTGTGGATAGACACCTGGGGGTTTGTTGGGTTCATGTCGATGACAGTCTCGTTTTGAATGTAACCAATGTCGTAAATGCCACGCAGAGGGTGGTCATCACCCGTGCTCGACGTCGTCGAACAAGATGGTGGGCCTGCCATGGCTCTTTTCGATGCGGTGTTCAGGCTGTTGAGTAAGTTGTTTCTGATCGAGGCTTGCATCGCAAGTGAGTCGTGCTGGATAATATATATCTAGTCATTTGTATATTGTGTCGGATGTTATCGTGGATATAAGCTCAATGACATTCTGCTGCAGCCTCGCCATCGCAGGCATTGCCGCTACCAGTCCGAGGAACGAAGCGAGCCATTGAACTTGAGGACCATCAAGATTGGCCAGAGTCGCCGCTTCTCATTCAAGTCGCGGGAACAGTGTCACTGTCGTTGGTCGCTTGGGTCAGCCTGATAAAATTTTGAGCGTGCTAGAAAATCAGAACACAGCATTGTGTGGAAGGCAAAGGCGAAATTTGGAGAAGAAAAATGAAAGAGAAAAGAAGGTTTCTGACACTACAAAGAGGTGAAGGCACGCCCCAGAACAAGGGCACTGTTTCAACCCTACCGATGAGGCTGAGACAGAAAAGGGGTAGTCACAGAATCTGGGCAGCGCACGCGGCAGCGAAGCGACTTGACAAGGGAAAATTGTCACAATTCAGTCATGAAGCGTATTTTGTATTATAACTGTAGTCTTGAAATGAAGGCGTGGATTGTCCCTAATCAAAAATGTGAGAGATCTCATGTCTTGAAGTTCAAACGATTTCCCAAATGTCCATATGTCAAACAGCCAGCCCTATCAAATTCGCCCATCTGTGCCCAAGTACTAAGGAGAGATACTACTCATACATACCCGATTCGATGCCCCAATCGTACAATCAAGAACTCACCCGACATTTCCCCGTCAACATGTCCACAGCAACGTTTATGTTCAGCCCGGCAAGCTCCCAAGTATTACCTGCAGTCTTCGTAGCCTCTTTGGCTTTCTCCAGCGCACTAGTCGATGTGTCCTTCACAGTCTCCTTCACTTGAACAGCTGTGTCCTCTGCCCTCTGCTTGATGTTTGCTGAGACCTTACGGCGCCAGGCTCCGGCCTTCTCACCAAAGCTGAGTGGTGTCCAGTCATGGTCCATGGTCCTTGTCTTGACGATGTTGTTCACACGGATCTGAAGCTCGACCTTTTTGGTCTTGCTCATTTCCATCTTCGCCAACTTGTCTACCTTCCTCCGAATGAGACCATTCTTGTCCATCCAGAAGCCGGTAGGAAGATCAAAAGTCTCGTCAGGGTGGGGTAATATGGGCTGACGATTGGTGTTACGCATGGTGACTTGCGGAGCGAACCTGTAGCCGGTGGTCCTCTGAAAGAAAAGAGCCTCGCGGCCTTTGGTACGAATTTCAGCACCAGCCCAGAAGCTGTCTTGAAACATCTTGTGGACATGGAGGAATGATGTCGCCGAGAGTATCTCCACTGTCTTGTCGTTGCCTCTCGTGGCGTAGGGGTTGCCGCAGGAATCGTATACGAGACTTCGAGAGGGACATGGCCATTCAGCGATAGTCATCAATTTCTGGACCCGGCTGTACTTCTGGGCATCGTTGTCGAAGAGAACACCTGGGGGCGGACAGTTGAAGGTGAGCTCAGGAAGTGCACCGCCGAAAAGCCACGCCGTGATCTCAAATCCCATCTCCGTTGAACGCCCACTCTCGCCAAGATAAAAGTGGTGAAACTGATGATGCCATGGGGCAGAAGCAAAAACTGCGGCATGACCCAGCTCATGTAGGATAGTTGTGGCGAAAACAAAAGCTCCAGTCTGTTGGCCTATGATGTCGGAAGCGTCTGATTGCGAATCAACAAGCATTTGGTAAAGGCGATCGCTGATAGACACGATGCTACCAGTGCCGCACATATCAAGGCCGAGGAGACCGTTCAGTTTGTCGCGCAGTTCACAGGTGGCCTTGGTGCCACAGGCTTGGTCGCTGCATGCTATAGCGAAAATGAGGTGCTCGCCCATCTCATTCAGTCTTTCCAAAGTCCAGGCCTGCTCAGCTGGAGATAGCTTGTCCAGGGGCTCGGGGAAGACGTAGATGTTCTGGCCTTCGTTATCGAGCTCGTGTTCACGTCTAATCTTCGTGTATGAGAAGAGAGAGTGGAACACTGGAAGTGCCGTGACCGTGAATTGAGTAGGGAGCTTCAGGGCGGTCGTCATCTTGCAATAGTCGAAGGCATCAGGGAACTTGCTCTGTCCGAACATCTTGGCAATTGGGCCATTGAGCTGGGTAGGAGCCAGGCCGGAAAGCGTCTCGATCTGGATGAAGCCACTCTTGTCAAACTCCTCCGAGATATGCATCCCCGACATGGGAGTCAGCAGCGATGATGGGCCAGCCATAATCGTCTAGCTCTTGGTCGGAGGATGCGGCTGTGGTGGATGGCTTCTTGTCCAGTCGGTTGGTGTGGTATGCGTGAAATGCGTAGGTACTGGTGGAGAAGGTTGGTATCGAACTGATGACGAAATCCCCTCCAGGCAGTCACTCGTCGCAATATATATAAGAGTTTCGTCCATTGTATAATGTGTCGTGTGTTGTCGTGTATCCCACCTCAATAGCATTACGCTGGAGCTTCCCTATCAATCTCCTTGTTGTTCCCTGTCCAGATCGCCAGCTATCGGATAGGTCGCTGGAGTGACAAGACCATTGTCCCCGGAGACTGCGTAGGATGAAAGACAGATCATATAGCTCTGGTAGTGCTCTCACGTATGGAAACATAAGCATTGTCGTAGATGTTCATGCTGGGAATGGCTTTGCAGCGTTATGAAGCAACAATGCCTTCGTCCGGGATTTTGCGTAGGGAGCGGCAACGATGTGATGGCAAAGATATTGTACATAGCAACAGTAACGATTGAAGAGGAGGGCAAGAAAGAGCAAGAGAGAGGGTCATTCACACCATGAAGACATCAATTCTGGAGAACAAAGGCATTGTCTAAGACGCCAAGCCACAAGGCTGAGACGAACACCGGGCAACCACGGCTTTTTGAATTGAGCGCGAGTTGTAATTGAACGTCAAAGACACCAACAGAGTACAGACAGTTGGATAAACGTCAAAGGTATCACGATTGGAAGAGATAAGATAGAGGACTTCAAAAGAAATGTCAGTCTCTGGAAATTTGAGAAATGAGAGGATGAGAAATTCGAGCTACAACCATTCGATTGAATATTACACAGCCCTGCTGTGCCCTTAAAAGAACCCCCACAAACAACAAAGCCTAGCCTACTCCATTTTGCTTCTCATTATCTTACTTAATCTCTGCAAATCATCCATGATCAAAAAACTTCTCCCGAACCTTTGTAAGAAGCGTCCTCCACACTTCTCCGGTCTTTGTAGCAAGATCCTCTGTGGGCTTCCGCTTAGCGTTCCCCATCTCTGCAGCAAACATCTTCTCCCCTCGAATAGACAGGTTAGAGAGGTCGACTTCGTTGGTCTCACCCACCTTCCACCGAATCAGCCCCCTCCGATCAGCGTAGTACCCATGCGGAATGGCGATTGAGTCAACCGCATGTGACCAGAGTGAGGCGACCTCGTTCTGAGCATCTCGTCCGTACTGCAGACTCGTGTGGCGCTCGAAGAAGAGTGCTTTCCGACCTTGAAATGGAACGACGTCTTTCCAGAAGGCGTCCTGGAACATCTGGTGGATGTGCAGGAAAGAGGTGTTCCAAAACGTGGCTGCGGTTTTTTTACCATCCTTCTCTCTCAACAAGTATGGAACTGACGACTGTTGGTAGCTTTTGGCTTTGAGAGGACAGTGGTACTCGTGGGCTGTGATCATGTAGTTGAACTCACTGATCTTCCCAGTCTCCGCGCATTGATAGGTACCGCAGTCGGTCTCGACGGAATGGTTCGGCGTGACACCACCAAAAAGCCAAGCTTCTGTCTCGAAACCCATCTCAGTGCTCTTGCCATGGTCTCCAAGGAAGTACTCGTACTTGTCTATCGCATCCGTGGTCGCAGCGAAGACAGCAGCGTGGCTGAGCTCATGGACGAGAGTGATGGCCAGCTTGAAGGACCAGTACTGTTGTTGGACGATATCATCCTCGGCAGCCAGAGCCTCGACGAGAGGATCGTACAGGTTCGAGCCGGAGATCCAGATCTTGGGTGCGCAGCCAGCAAGGCCCGTCGACAGAGTATCACAGCTGTTCTTGTCGGGCGCCGGGAGTCCATGCCAGGTAGCGTTGCCAGTGGTCTCGAGGTAGAAGCGCAATGGAATAGAGAAGGCCTCAATCCTCCGGTACGTGGCTGTCTTCTGGCAATCAGTGAGGTTCGTCAAAGGGTCGGGAAACGAATAGCAGTCAGTCTTAGCCTTACCGACCTGGCCAATTCGCGAAAGTCTGCCGCAAAGGATGGAGTGAAAAATTGGCAGTGCAGTCTCCAAGAAATGCGAGGCCAACATGAGAGTAGGCTTCAACTTATCATAGTCGAAGGCCATGGAAAATCTCGTGCGATCGAATACCGGGTGGACGTCGTTGTTGAGATTAGAGGGCACCAGGCCGCTCAAAACCTCGCGTTGGAGGAACCCGCTGTGCTGCTCATGACTGCAGTAGTCATGCAGGCGAAAGTCCTGACGTCGCAATTGTGGGCCTGCCATGATTGTTTGCTGGGCCAGGAGATTGTTGTTGTGAGGGAAAAGTTGGGTTCTGAGCCTTCATCTTGACAGTCACTCGTCGCGCGATATATGAATTTCCAGTTCATTGTGTATAGGTGTCGTGTGCTATCGTATATAGCGGCTCAATAGCATTCTGGAGCGGCTCTCCGGCCAGAGAACAAGAGCATTGCCGTTGACGTCCTGGCCAGTACGGATGCCGCAAGCATAGCAGCGCAAGACCATTGTCCTTGAGATGCCATCGGAAAGGGTGTTGAGTGCAGTTGAAGTTTTGAGTATTCTCGTGTGACCGACAGAATAAGACTCACCCGAAGGCTGTGCGAGAGGGGACACAAAGTCATTATACAGGGTGTAGGGGAAGCGTAGTAACATTACAAGGACAGAAAGGCATTGATAAAACAAGAACGAGGTCACAGGACATAGTACAAAGAAAGAATTGAGCAGACTAAGTATTCCTCCCAAGCCTCCAGAAACAAAGACATTGTCTTAGCCCCTTTCGAAACGAGGCTGAGACCAAGCCCAGTGGCCGAAGCAGGAAAGGGGCTGGACCTTCACCCGTAGCGTAGACTCACTTGTCCTGGTCTTCTGAGAGATCCTAAAATGTGAATCAAAGAGTTGGTGGTAATGTGTACTTCCTAAACGCCGTGGATGATGACTAGACACTTTCCGGCTATGTTGCTTGATCAGGACTCCTATGCGAATACGATTACACACACTGATCCATCAATCCTTTCCGCGTATATCTCACCACCTCGACTTGCAAGTCAGATCCATATCTCACACTACTCCCCCGCTTCCCAACCCTTCTCCATATCCACTAAGTCTCAACTTAAAAAACACGAACCCGCATCAAAAATGACTACCAACGGTTCCCAAACCCAAACCCAAGACCAAACCCGCTATACCCTCCTCAAAACCCACAACCTCGCCTTCTGCACCGCCTTCACCCACCCCGAGACCAACCCACCCTCCAAACTCCTCTCGGAGCACCTCACACCCCACAACCCACGCATAACAGAATACGGCCCAGCATGGGCAACGTCCCGTCTCCCCTTCCTAGGAAAAACCTTCGCCGGCCACGATGGCGTGCTAGCGTACTTCGACGCACTGGACAAGACGCTCGAGTTCCTACCGAGGGAGGATACGTTTGGGAGTGTGGTGGTAGATGAGAGGGCGGGGGAGGGTGGTGTGGCGTGTGTGAAGGGGAAGGCGGGGTGTAGGGCTGTGGAGACGGGGAAGGAATGGGAGGAGGAGTTTGTGGTTAGGTTGAGTGAGTTTGATGGCGAGGGGAAGATTGGGCATGTGGAGTTGTGGGGCGATACGCTGAGTGAGTGGGTTGGTGTTAGGGGAGGGGATGGAGGTTCGGAGTGAGAGTGTTGTGCGATGATGTTATAGTGTGAGACAAAGAAGAAGGACAGAATTCCATGAAAGGCGAAGACGAAAGTGAAAAGACAAATGTGAATTATCTCAACTTACCTGAAGTTTCCAAGCGCTAAAACACATATGCCCTCTTGAAACGAGGCTGAGACTAAGGTTAGGGGCTAGCACAAAGGGCCGAACCCAGTATCACTGTGAATGAGAAAAATTGACAACTATTCGGCTAGAACAGGCTGAAGTCGGCTATAATTAGAGCAGATGCATGTATCGTGACGTGGTTTTCCAACATCACAACCGTGCCACACCACGATTCTGTGCCTCCCTGCCATCTTGAAGCTGGATCGATTTCTTACGCTTTTGATGTGCAAACATCCAAATGCACGTTATGGACAAAGTGACTATACTTACTGCTCCTTCAACGGGCGATCCTGAGCTTGGAAACTCAGTTTGGTCCTTCCCAATGGAGGTTGAATCCGAGATACTAAAGTTAGCAGCTGTCTGCCACAGCAAGCAACAACAACGAGAAGTCTTACGAACTGCAAATGGCGCTCAGGAAGAAGACTGGTCTGATGAGGAGAGCTCATTTGACGATGACAATGCCTCGACCTGCGCCGCTGTCCTCACGACTGACGACACGAAGTCGACAAAGATGGGCTTCCTGGATCGTCTCGCCGAGATCCTTTGCTCGCACAAAGAGGCTTCTTACGTTACATGTACTAGCATGATCGAGGACGAGGGCAGCGTGACTTTGCTAGCGGCTCGAAATGAGGAGTGGACTAGCGAAGATGCAAAGCTCCTGAACCAGACGGCGAGCATCATGGAGCAGATTGCCTCGCAAAGTAGGTATACAACCCGTTATGTCAACGGGGCTGATGATGTTACAGTGCCCTCAGAGAACGATCTCGTCCTGAATTTGGGCATTTTGCTGTCGGACTATTACGATGCCCGACTTCGTTACCACGTGGAATCATTCCTCGAGCTTCTTATGAGGTACAAAGTCAACATCAATGAAAAAGTAGTCAATAATGTCGTCCACGAGTTTCGCCGCTTTCTAGCGGGCAAGATTTGTGCATCTGCAATGGTTGATGATGTTGAAAGAACCATAAAGGACTCGACATTTCTGGAGAAGATTTGCAGCCGCTGTAGCGAAAGTGCGTCCAAGAAATTAATGAACGAACTCCACTGCATCAATCGACCTCGGAGAGCAGCCAACGCAATCTGCAGAGCAGCTCGTGATATCGACGCATTCCAAACCGTCCAGATCTTTCTCCTACCAGGCTACCCCCCTAAAAAGCTGGGCCGTAATGAATTATCTCCCTACCAGCCACTTAGCTCTACGGCAATGAGGTATCTGAGCAAGTGCAAATGGGTACATGCAGAGATTCGGATGGTCACCTACCTCCTCAGCCACGATGAGTTTCGACATGCGTTTGCTTACCTGGGCATCAGCAAGAAGTCGTGTTTGCTATGTGGGCATATCATACAATCCCTGGGCCGGTTCAACACCCGTTCCAACCACGGCAAAATCTATTCACAGTGGACTGTGCCTTCGAAGATGTCTCTCCCGAACATTGACGTTGCATCTTGGGAGCGCGCGGTTGAAGGTGTCAGAGATGTCCTGCGACTCGAAGCCGAACGTGACGAACTGCATTATATCCAAGCGGTTAAGGAATCTACTATCACGACACCTGCAGCACCGCGATTGCACGGGGGAGATATATTCACAAGTCACGTCGATGATCCCCGGCTGAGGGAGCGTGAGATGACTTGGCTCAGTTCTGCTCATTGGCCAGAATCAGATAAATCAAAGTAGGCATGCCATATACGTATCCTCGTAATTTGATTTGAGCTGACGATTACCAGAGCACAGGACGATTGCAACCCCCTTGTAGATGATCTCGAAGCTCTGCCCAATGTCCAAGAACCAGAACCAGGAACGAAAGTGACCAGTCCAATCGCCATCGGCCAGGAGCTCAGGGGTAATACACCGTGCTCATCTTGCCAGAATGTACGGAACAGTATGATCAAATGCTCTCGATGCAGCTCTGCCCCGTACTGCAACACTAGCTGTCGCCAGAAACACTGGATGGAACACAAGTTCCACTGCCATCTCGGACGACCAATTGACGAAGCGGACCATCTAGTGCGAGCTTGCCATCGGGGTCAGTATCCTACAGATGACGAGGACGTGGCCACTGCATTTGGATTTCGACATTTCATTCAAGTCCCGGAGCGCCTCAGGCTGTTCGACATATACTGGAAATTAGTCAACTACAGCGGCTTGGGCGACGAGGAGTTGAGAGAAGCACGGGAAACCGATCAATTGAAGCAGTTCATACTCTTTCGTGGCTCTCAACTTTCCCCTGGACTGATCGGGGACGACTTGGAGTGGCTTCGCTCCAAGACTGGCTTTGCCGCCAACTCGGTGTGCAACTTTGGCAACATCTTGGACTGCGCAAGAGATGTCCTCGGCTCACGCCAATTGCAGGAACTGGACTCTCAACTTCAAAAGCAGGCATACCTCTTCTATTGCCAAATAAGGGCTGGTTACAGACCGGATGCCGACGAAGACAATTGGCTCAGGCTAGGCTTCTGCACCGCACGAACATCCAAACAAATGGATCGCATTTGCAGGTGCTATGCAAGATTGATCGAGTCGTGCACCTTTGAGGAGTTCTGCCTAGCCGTGGAGAAGTCAACCATGGTCGAGCTATTTGGCAAATATGGACATTCTTTAGAGAATGACGACTTTCGAAATTTCAACACCCTGATGCGGACGGTGGGAAGATGGCATCAGAGTGTCTGGGAGCTCAAGCGTTTCACTTTGCTGACCGAACGTGAGCCGATGCGGTCCGTTTTCGTGGACTACGGATTCAGGAACTGTCACAATCCTCGCGATCGATTGAAGCTACGCGAGATGTACTCACGATACTTTGCGCGAGGCCTGGATGAGATGGAACTGCACCAGGCGTGCATCGAGGGGAACTTATTCCCCTTTCTGACGTCCAGACTCGGCGACCTGTCCCTAAGGAGCGAACTTCTGTCGAATCCATACCCCCTGGACCAATGCAACCACATGGGCCTCGTGGCGCGCAAGGTCGCAATATGCACAGAGGCCGACTATGATGTGGTATGCGAGAAATTTAAAGCTGACGGAGACGACTCGGTGGTTTGGACAATTCCAGATTCTTGTGGCGATGATATGGCGAAGACTGTCCGAGATCGTGCGGCAAACGTGACGGGACAGATGAGAATCGGGCAGAGCAGGGTGAAGGACTATACTTTCCGGTCGATGTCTAGTGATTGAAGCTGGGTGCTTTTGCAAACGAGTGTTACGAGACGAGGTCGTGAGAAGAATGTCATGCTGGGACAAGAAACAGAATGAAATCGAGAAGATGGATGTGGTGAAGAATCCCTTTCGACTTACCTGAAGTTCCCAAAAACGCCAAAACTCCATCCCCAATACGGTCATACATACTCCACGACCCCTTGGGGACAAAAAAAAAAGAAAGCCCCAAAACTCACCTAAGAACCCCCCTTCCCCTTCTTCCGAAGAATATGCCTAGTAATACTCTTCACAATCTCCACCTTACTCATAACAACCTGATCGGCCGCGGAGACCTTCACAACCTCCCCCTCCGTCTCCACAACCCTCACACGCGACGATGGCATAGCAGGCGGAGACGGGGGGTGAGAGCCGAGGGGGTTGGGAGGCCCATGGAACGAGCCGGGACGGGTGAAATGTGCGGAGTTCGGACGTTCACCGGTGAGGGCATCGAGCGCAACAGGGTTCTCGAAAAGAATACTCATCCGCTCGCCGCGGACGACGATATCCGTCTGCTGGGCATCTGAGTGCAGGATTTGCAGGTCGGAGGGTTCGGAGAGGTCGTTGTCGAGGGCGTGGGAGAGGACGTTGGTGAGGTTGATGAGGGAGGTTTGGGAGGGGGTTGGGAGGGTTGTGAGGGGGCGGGTGGTGGTGGAGAAGGAGGAGGATGCCATGGTGGTGGTGGGTTTGGGGTGGTGGTGCTGGACCTGCAGCTTGTGCGTGTGGGTTGTTTTTGTGGGGGTGTCGAGGCTTTCTTGTTTCGAGAGGGGTTGACTGTTCAGATTGGAGGCCGACTCGCCTGGACTGGGTTTTGAGGGTTCTGAGCAGTGAGGTTCGAAGGGTAGAAAGTTGCACGGGGGAGGGAAGATTTGCGTTGGGGCGTTCTGCTCCTGTTAAATACATTGTATCGGTGTTGTTAGGAACAAGGAGAGATTGATGGCATTGTTAGGTATAATGGCCAGCAAGGCGTTGCAACAAAAGGGCTTTGTGTGGAATGGTTGAAAAAATGACCTGACGAACCTTTTAAGGTGAGTTGTAGAAGGATAGGCTTTGTTCTAAGTCCATCAGCAGAGATCGAAGAGAGCTGGTGTGTCCACTCACCACAATTAAGGCCAGCTTCTTGAGGCTGACTTCGACACAACACAGAAAAGAAAGTAGGCACAAGGCCATAGGCAAACGAATGAAGCCCAGGCTCGCGCCCGCGACTCTCATACTCATCGCTACGGAATGTATCAAAGACAGAATCAACGAACCCGCTCAAGCAAAGTGGTATATCCTCCATTGATGCGCGCCGAAGTCGAGAAAGCAAAAAAACCACAAACGACAGTCTCTTGAACGTAGCAAAGAAAACACCACCAGCGCCATGCTAATCGTATTGCAAGTCTCAGCATCCCAGTCCAGTCCCGTTGATATCGTCTTGTATGTCAAACGCCGTGAGAGGGACTGCTCTCCGGCCTTTCCCGACTTTTCTCTCAATCTTACACTTCTCCATCTTACACGGACACCTCTCCCGGATCGTCTATGATGCTGTCCGTCCAGCCTTTGTGTGTGGTTGCGTTGGAGATGCCCCTCTCATCAATCGCCATGCCCTCGCCTTCGCCTCGTTCGACATACCGCTGTCGATGCAGGTCCTGGTAGATCTTCTGAAAGTACATTCGCAACGACCTCAGTCCGCGAAGGTAGCCCCAGTCGATGCTGTTGGGATGCATTGGAGGACAGGGCTTTCGTAGAACATGGTCCATCTCCTCCGCGGTAACGCAGTTGGCAAAGTCAACGATCTTGAGCTTGATGTCCGGGTATTGTGCCGGTTTACCGTCTTCGTTGATCTCGTGCTGCACTTTGCCGTCTTGGTCTGCGTTACCACGATCGTATATCATGAGCAAGCTGCTGGCGTACAAGCGGTAGCCTGGCAGTGACCGAATGATGCGGTCCAATTCGTTGATCTTCTGTAGAACGGATGGGATGTGCTTCAATGCCTGGGCGTGGCCAATCCCGTCGAAGAAGAATCGTGTCAGCGCATCCTGAAACTCAGATCCAGCTTTGAGATCGCGGCCGAAGTACTTGTCTTCGAACTTGTACTTTTGCTCGCGCACGTTGAAGACCTGCATGCCGCACACGCGCACGCCTAACTCACGAGAAGTCGTCGTCTTGCACTTCATACGTTGCGAAGCTTGCTTCTTCTCGTTGGCTTCAACGCCGTACTGTCGTGTGCCCATCTTGAGATCGAGGACACATGGCTTTTGCATACCAGCAGTCAGGTCTTCAAGTAGTAGGAAGCGCTCCACTCGCTCGTCATGCTGGACCAGGGAGGTTTCGGGATTGCGCGGCTCTGGACTTCCAAAGCTGATGGCAGGACCCAGTCGAGGTACGACAATGTTCTTCGGTCGATCCTCGCCGGCCGCCATAGCTTCGAGTTGGCTCTGTGGTCGCGCAGGCTTGCTCGCCTTCTTGCTGACATCGTCCATCGCAAACACATCTTCGCCATCAGCAGTGTAGGCTTCCTCTTCATTCTCATGAAACTCAAGGTCTCCACGAGCTCCTTCAATATCCGTTGGCTTGCGTTTCAGACCTCCTCCAGAATGGCGTCTGCGGTGGTGACGGGGCTTGGGCGGCACATTCAGACCTTTGTCCCCGTCCATATCCGCACTCTTGCTCAGAGCTTTCCGACTCTCCAGAACACGTCTGTCCAGGTCTGAATTGGCTCGATCGGCATCCTCGCTGATGACGTGCTGCAGCCGCGCCAATGGCACACCGTTCTCAGCACCACCATTCGATGCCATGTGCTGCAGTAGCGGGAGGTCGACCGAGTTCTGGCGCTTCGAATGATTGTCGTAGTCTTTTCGCAGGTATTTCGGAATCTTGCGCAGGGACCTCGCGTGATATGCACGCTCGCGACGGTCATGCTTGTAGATGTGCGGCGGCGCAAACACCTCCCGCAGAACGTGATCTCGCAACGTCTCATTGACAGAGGTGAAGCCCCAGCTTGCAGCAGGCTTCAGAGACGGCCGACGCGAGGCTCCGTTGGATGTCTCATCGTCGCTTTGGTTCTCACGTAAGGGTGGTGAAGTACTCGCTCGATGCATGTCCGGGGTGGCTGAGCGTGGGGGTACCCGAAACAGGTCATCTGGTATGAGATGCCTGTTGTTCTCGAAGATGACCTGTGGGATGGCCTGGGGCGTTCGCATTGAATGACTAACCATGCGGCTTTGTTCTTCTGCTTTTGCCTGTTCCTCTGCGCGTGGCTTGCTTGTCTCAGTCTTGGCGTCTTGCTGGAGGGCGTCGTCTGACGCCGTTTTCCGCCGCTTCTTCTGATCTTTACGATACGTGACATTCAGAACGCCAATGTAACGAGGCATGTAGCCCAGCAGTTCAGTGTGATGCTTTTCTACGGTTTCGTAGAATTTGTTTTCTTTGCTATTAAGCTGCTTGCAAACCGCCCGTCGTGAGAACCGATAGACGGGGGTGTGACCACCAACCTGATGCTTGTACGGTTTCAGCTCCACCGCACCAATGGGAGCAGGCGCCTGATGTGAAGGTCTGCGCTCGGACGAACGTTGGTGCTTGGCCTTGATTCGAGGTGTTGCAGTCGGTGTCGTTTCCTCGTCGTCTTCTTCGCCAGATGCAGACAAGTTTGAATCGTAGCCATGAGCGTCTGACTCGTAGTCCGAATCTGAAAACAATTGTTGATCAAGCGCAGCTGCAGGGCTTGGTAGTTGATCAAAGTCAGCAGATGAATGGCCATGCAGCACGTCGCTCGCGCCGTCCGACTTCAACGACACCTGTATGTCATTGTTTCCAAGTCCCTCGTTCTGCTTGGTTGCCTGCTTTTTGGGCCTTCGTTCTGCGACTTGATCTTCGGTAGGCGAGTCGGCGATGGTCACACCTTGGTGAGGATAGTATGTGGCAGATGAGATGTGTTCCTGGTCCGAGTCTTCATCGTCAGTCTTGGAACGAGACAGCTCTTCAAGCTGACGATGTACCGCCTTTGCAGGTACGTGCTTTGAGGGTGTTGACTTGACGGGTACCAGGTGGTCATGGTTCCGAATCTCTTCCAGCAGGTCCAATGGCAGCTTCTTTGCCATGCGCTCCCTCGACACAGTGACATCGTTCCCATCCTCCGTAGTCTCCACATCCTCTGCAATGGTAGGCTGTCTCTTGTCATGGATTTCTTTGGAAAGCTGCGACTGTGTCCCATCTTTATTCTTCGCCTTCTTCTCGTACTCTCTTCTCTCTTCCGCCTCATTCTCTTTGAACAATCCCAGATAGTGACTGGCCTTTCGACTGCGAACGTTGGCCATCGGTGGCTCGGGTTGAGGGAGCTGGGCATCGATGATCTTGTCCACCCCCATGGAAGCGCTACTTCGCGTTCTTTGCGTCTCGGCGATGGTCATGCCGTTCATCTTGGCTTGGCCTTGCCTCCAAGAACGGTACTTCTCCCGCTCTGCACTCTGCTCTGGGTCAGCAAAGTCAATGGCCTTGACCGCGGAGGCGGGTGTTTTCGGAAGATCGTCTCGTCGTAGGGGTGTATCGGGCAGATGGGAATCGTGTTGGGGTTGGGAGGTGAGAGTGTTTGTGGTGGGTAGTGGAATGATATCGTGCAAGTCGTACAGCGAGCGGCGATGGTATTGGGGTGGTAGGCTGGTCCTGCTGGGTCGGGTGGGGTGTTGGTATGATGTGTGGTGGAATAGTGGCGAGGCATGCGTTGAGACATGTTGGTGGAGGGCAGGAGAGAAGTCGACCGAGTGACTTCGCAGCGGAGATGCGGCCATCATGGTTGGGGAGGAGTGGGTTTGTGGTGTTGTTTCGTCCCTTCCGTCGTCTGCTCCAGCGCTCCTGCCCTCTGTCGGCGCACCTGCGGGCGGTGGAATGTTGGGCGGCGTCACAGCGTCCTGACTGGGGAAGTAGTGTGTCGCGAAGATGCTGTCCCGTTCGGACAATTGAGGGCGCACGGCATCGTGGATCGAAGGGCCGGAGCGAGAGGTGGTGGTGCGGCGGCGGCGATTTGGGGAGGTTTTGGGGGAGGGTGCAGGGAGGACGGGGGAGCGAGTCGGGCGGTGATGGTGAGGCTTAGACGAGGGCCAGGAGAGGTCGGATGCTATGTCGTGTTGGTGCTCCTGGCGTGAGGTGTTGTCCGCGTCGGCGGCGGTGGGCAGAGCATCGTGGTGGATTGGCGAGATCTGCTTGGATCTCGCAGGGCGACCCTTATTTGACGTCGGGTCGCTCGCTCCAAAAGCCGGTGCCATATGAGGCTGACCATTGATGCGAGCAGGCGCACGATGGACGGCAATTGGTAGGGAATGGATGCGCGGAAGTCGGGCAGGGCATTCGATAAGGCTTAGGCCAGCGGCGCCGCGTGGTCGGCGCAAGGTGAGAGACGTGCAGCAGCAGGCCAGCGAAACGTGCGCTGCAGCGACAGGGAGGTCGACGACTCGGAGCGCCGGGGCAGAGGGGGAGGTGGTGCGGCGGGAGGTGCTGGTGCGTGGTGAGTGGTGTTGTTCGGGCGTGGTCTCGCTGCGGGCTGTGAGTGGAAGCCCGGCGGGCGCCCAGCGTGACGTCTGCGACGCCAAGTCTTCCTTCGCAGCAAGCATCGACCAGCTTGTCCGTCTCGCCTGGCACACGCCCGTCTTCCCCCCCTGGAGATCGCTCCCAAATCGCAGCCCACGCAGCCAACGCCCTCCCGCCGTCCTGGCCGTCGGCATCGAAATGCCGGCCGTGGGTTACTGGAGCCGGCACTACAACAGACAGGTCACGCCCAAATCCCGCCCATCAACACCACCACCCATCGAAACACTACCCTTTCCACGCAACCCCCGAGGCACCGCACCCGTCCGCAGCGATATGCGATTATCTGCCATCCCATTCGCACGCTCGTCTATGCCCAACACCCCTGGCGGACGTCGCAGAGACATGTGCAAGCGCTGCATACCAATCATCGCAGCACGTTGATCTGACAGTGCGGCGACGTGCGCGGTGCTGTGCTGTGCCCATCGGCTCGCATCTCGCTCACAGCACTCACAGCCAGGATACGCCCAGCAGCATCGCCGACGACTGCTCGTTTGTCCCATGGGCCAGCCGACTTGCGGTCAGGGAGATGCGCGCTTCCAGACCCGACCTTGATGCCATGCTGGACCCATTCCTGCGCCTAGCAAACGTTGATTCCCTCACATGGACACCTGCGCCGACGCTGATAGGCGCCACCTCCGCAATTCATCGCCATCCGCTTTCTAGGTTTGTCGCCTCGTCCGGCCCGGCTTCCGCAAGTGCCACTAGTCCGCCCGTCTGGTAGACTTCAGCTCCCGATCGAACAGAGCAAACAGTCGGTATGCCATTGCCAAGGACGCCGTTTCTATGACCACACCTTCAAGCAGAGCACAGAAAAGGGGCACTTTTACTGCGTCGGTGCCTCACGAAGCAGATGATGTACGGACATGACACGACATGTTTCCTGTTCCTGAGCGTAGACGCCTCTCCGACCTGGCTATACCCCGGAGATTGTCACTTAAGCCTCCCTATTTTAGCAAGACCGCAAGACGACTGCAAACCATCTGCACACCGCCGCGCCGCTGCATCCCCGATTTCAGGAACAACGTGCCCGACATCAATGGCGCAGATTAATCCCGCTTGTCACCGGTAAGGCTGAATTTAACATCATCATGACTCGATCAATACGAACATCAAGTTTCACATCCCGTCAGAATTTGTCGACGCCTCATGTACGAGTCAGAAAATGAGCCTCATTCGAGCTCTAGGATTGGAAAACGACCCACCTCCAGCATCATCACTCGCGCATGAACGATCAGTTTTGCTCCCCGGACCAGGGAGCTCACATCTGATCATGTCCTGATGCCGACTCATCTCCGCCGCAACGAACCGCATTGTCGAAAAGAAAATTCCCCATACCCTCTGTGTCATGAAGCCGACCGAAACCTTCAAGTCGGCGCCGATATGATGACAGTCACGGGCCGCATGCCCTACAATCACAGGACAAGGACTTGGCGTGATGTGAGTAAGACCACGTCGATGCTATACAGACTTTTTGAAAAGAATCATGAAAGTGAGACCACGTCAATGCTGTGAGAATGTTGGGAGTGAAAGCCATGGATGGCATGCTGTATTTCTGCGAGTTGCTGACGAGTCCATAAAGCTCCTGGAGTAATTGATCTTGTCGGGACGCCGTCTCCCCAATTCAACATCGACCATGGCCATGCTTGAGAGGTCAGTGGAACATCGAAGCACTCAATGCTTAGACAGGTTCCGCAGATACCGGTCTACGACTCTTCATTATGCTCTTCTGTCGCTTCAACAGCACAGACGAATGCAACACACCTCTAAGATGTACCATCCAGACCTCCTTTGCTGGAGAATCCACATTATCGTCGACTTCAACTCCCGGATTGCGGACATTGGTCTCTCATATCAATGGCAAGGCACACGTATGCAACCTCTGCCTCTCCGCTCCATACCCACCGTAAGGTACACTCATTCCTCATCTGTTATCCAAACACCACTCTATCCCCTCCACATGTCATACCATTATCTCAACACACCCATCACGCAATAGGCACATAAAACCCAAACGCCCCCTCCGGATCCCACCTCCTCTTCAACCCCCTCAACCTCTCCACCCTCCACCCCTCCCCATAAACCTCCTCCAACGTCTCATACCCATGCGCATAATTCACATACATCCTCCTCTCCCCCTCCCCCTTCCCATCCCCCTCAAATAAGATATCCTGAATTCTCCGTCCGGCGACCTCGCCGATTTCTTCGAAATTAGCATCGTGAGGCGGGTGCGTTATGAAGGGGCTGAGGAGGTAGTTCCCCTGTCGGTCCGGATAGGCTGTTGAGGCGGAGGGGATGGCTTGCACGGCTTCTAAGGAGAAGGCTTCGATTAGGAGGGCGGAGTTTTGGAGTTCTTTTGGGAGGTTCGCGAGCATCTCAGCGGCTGCAAGGAGGGCCGTGGCGTTGAGCCTCTGCAGACTCGCAGGCATCCGCTGCGTTGCGGAGATGTTCTTGGTGCAGAAAGGGCCGGACATGGTCATCAGGCCGCTGAAGTCGGAGTAAGCGGGGAGGTCGCCGTGGCCGGTTTGGGGTGGGTGGAGCGGGGAGAGGGAGTGCAGGGCGGTGGTGAGGTGGGTTGGGAAGGTAGGCGTTTGGGAGAGGATGGAGAGGTGGAGGACGAGCTACGGAAAAACAAGTCAGCAGTCTTCATTCTCTGTCGTGACGAAGAAATTGGTTTTAGGAGACTTACATCCCCATCATTCACCCCTTCGACAAGGCTGATCGTCGCCCTTTACCCACAATGTCAGCACACCACCCATCCCTCTCGCGCCCATATGTAAAAGGAATGGAGCATACCACCAACTAATCCCACACCCTCCCATCCCCCTCACCTCCTCAAGCGCCTGCAACACCCCCTCCAACCCCTCCACCGCCCCAAACCCCCACTCCTCCCAACTCCAACCCTCCCCCTTCCCCTCCATCTCAAAAACCCTATAATCCCACCTCACCACAACTCCAAAATTCTGCCCCGCGCCCCTCAACGCCCAAAACAAATCCTCATGTTCCCTCCCACTCACCGTAACCACACTCCCATTCGCGATAACCACCTCCGCCGACAGCAAATTATCCGCCATGAGTCCATACCGCCCCTGCAACCAGCCATGTCCGCCCCCGAGCAGCGGGGCGATGGCCGAGGTGCATTCGCAGACGCCTGTGACTTTACACACATCAGCAAGCCCTCATCCCGTCGGTTCTAGGGAACGAGAACGAACATACCACCCTCCAACCCCCTCCCCGCAAGAAACCGCATCAACGCCCCACTCAGCACCCCTCCGCCAACTCTCACAACCCTCTGTCCCTGTCCTTCCCCCTCCCCCTCGCCAACAAGTTCGATAGAATCCAACCCCCCCCATCCAAACCCCCACCCCACCCCGCATCTTCCCCAAACTCCTCGTAGCACCATGCCCACCCCCGATAGCCAGAAACCCCAACCCAGCCCCTCTCGCGGCTTTCACCGTCTCCGCTACATCGCCCGGCGTGGCGACGGCGACGACGACGCCGAAGGAGGGCGCGTGCCAGGGGGACCAGCGCGAGCTTGCGCGGGTGAAGCAGGGGGCGTTCTGGTGGCAGATCTGGGCGGTGGGGGAGAGGAGGGGTTGGAGGGTAGTTTCGAAGTGGGATAGTGCGGTATTGTTGATCGATGTGTTAGTCATTGGTAGGAGGGGGGTTTGAGGGGAGAGGAAGGAGAGGATGGAGGCGCTGAGGCCGAGGGCTAGGGCGCTGAGGGTGGAGGCCATGATCGATCTTCTAGAGAAGAAACGCAAAGAAATTCAGACCAAGATACGACGAAAGCCCCCAATGTTGACGGCCTCTCTTTTCCTTCGGCGACGAAACTCGAAATATCAAGGAATGACGCAGCAGCCGGACCCGAAGACACGAGACCACTTCAAACTAGAGATCGCACTTACATGTAATAACTTGCCCTTCATCGAGGATTGCGGCTGAGAAGTCAGTGCCACGACACAGTCGGCTGTATTCGCCGTGGTCGTGGAGAGATCTAGAGGCAAGCGAAGTCGCCAAGGGGTCCCCTACAAGCCGCTAGTTGAAAGAGTAGGGAATCCTTCGATGTAGGGCAGCGATGGCAGCAGTCAGCGCTGCACTCCAAGATAGCGACAAGTCGTGTTGAATAAAAAGCTGACAAAGACATGTATGCATTATTCGCGTTTTTCCTTTGTGGTGCATCATTGATTTTATGTTCCGTCTGCACCCAATTCCAAACCCTCGGGCTCTATTGCGAGCGATTCTGACGCCAGGCTCCATCTATTCATCAGCAACTTTTGGGCCAAGAGTCCAGAAACCACTGGAACCAGTCCTACCGATCGCCGTGCAGCTCGTCTTCCACCTCTTTTACTACGATCTCCCGCACCTGCTTCCAGTCTGCTTTGCTGTTGGTGATGCGCTTGGGCAAGTTCTCCAGTCCGACGAATTGATCCGGTAGGACAGTCTCGAATGAAAAGCCGGGTTGCTCCTTCAGCGCCAGTTCGACTGCATGCGAGAATTTGGCGGGATGCGCGGTCGCCAGCGAGATGTGGTGAGCGCTTGCATTCGACTCCACGGACCGCAAAGTCGCCGCTATGCCAATGGCTGAGTGTGGATCCAAGATGTAGTGGCCGTCCGTCTGAGTGCCCTTGGTCGGGACAGCGTCGCCATTGGCATGACCGTTGCTCTGTTTCGCCGAGGGAATTGATCGGCCGTAAATTTGCTGGATGGTCTCGATCGTCTGCTTGTCGCTGACTCTCTCACTCTCGAAGTCCTCCTTCGCGGCCACAAGAATCTCCTTGGTAACACCAAAGCCTCCACTAGTCTTCAGCTGCTCCAACCAGCCTTTGACTCTCTCACCAGCTTGCATGCGTCGCCTGTTAGTCTCTTCGACATCGCTGGTCTGGAAAGCCAGGTACCAAAGCAACCGTTCGAAATTTGAGCTGACGAGGATATCCATAGCTGGAGCGTAAGTCTGCTTGACGCCGCTTGGGTCTGCCTTTGCACCATCCTCAGCAAAGCCACCCTCAGTTTCTGGGCCACTCTTTGGCTGCTTCTCGTAGTTGCCAGTCTTCCAGAATCGATGGAGAATGTCGTTCTCGTTGGTTGCAATGACGAGCTTGTTGGTTGGAAGGCCCATGCGAGTTGCGAAGTAGCCCGCAAGAATGTCGCCAAAATTGCCGGTGGGCACGACAAATCTCACATTGGGCTTCTCTTCCCCTGTTCGGCGGGCGATGGAGAAGTAGGAGTGGAAGTAGTAAGTGATCTGTGCGAGGATGCGTGCCCAGTTGATGCTGTTCACTGCGGCGAGTCGAAGAGTTGAGTTGATCTCCTTATCTGCAAACAAGGTTTTGAGGATGTCCTAGATTCAATCAGCAATATTCCACGCCCTCTGACTATTTTGACCCACCTGACAATCGTCGAAAGTGCCCTCCACAGACAAATTGTGCACATTTGGATCCGTGACAGTCGTCATCTGCGCCTCTTGAATCGGGCTGACCTTGCCCTTGGGATACATGATGAACACACTGACATCCTTCTTTCCCCTCAGACCATAGATGGCTGCAGAGCCAGTGTCACCACTGGTTGCGCCAATGACTGTGAGGTGTTCCCGATTTGTACCCTCCTTGCCCTGATTTCTTCTCACGAGGAAATACTCGAACAAGTTGCCCACAAACTGCAGCGCAACATCCTTGAATGCGAACGTTGGTCCGTGGAACAGCTCCAGCAAGTGCACCTTCTTCTCCTCGTCCAATGTCACGATTGGAGTGATGTCTTTCGCGCGGAAAGTATCATACGACCTCTTAATGATATCTTTCAAGTCATCGGCGGGGATCTCTTCGCGGGAGATGTAGAGGGAGAAGATCTCGAAAGCGAGTTCTTGGAAGGAATAGTCGCGCCATTTGGAGAGGAAGTCGGAGGGCAGTTTGGGAATGTCTTCAGGGATGAAGAGGCCGCCATCGTTGGCGAGGCCTTTGAGGACTACTTCTTCGAACGAAAGCTGGCCATCTGCATCAGCGTGAGCTCAATTTTTTCGATTCTATGGCGGGGTATATCCACGCACATCGTAGGAGCCTCCTCGGGTGCTCAGGTAGCGCTGAGAGGCGCTGTGGGCGACCATTCTCTTGGACCAGTTGGAGCGGAGTACTCGATCTGATATGGGCGGAGTCGTGACGGGGAGGGGGTGGTGTCGGCGGCGGTGAGTCAGGGTCGAGTCTTGGTTCAATGCGTGCTTGAAAAGTGTTCGGAAGCCATCGCCGCCACTGCTCGGAAGCTGTGGTCCGAGCTCTTCCCACACATCCCAGTCGGCCATGGCCACGACTTCACCTCGTCGCCATCAACATTCACGTCGTCCATCGCGGCCGCTTATATCCAGCTCGCAGCGTCTCGGGAGCTTATGACATATGCTGAGGACAGCATACCCTCGTGCCGCTCGCTGCGGATGTTGGCGGAGTGGCTTCTCACAGCACTCGGCTGTCTTCGCTGTCGATCGCGCACCCGACGGCCGTCGAGACCGAGACTGCATTGGCAAGCGTGCCATTGGCGACACGGGCTATTTTCTGGGCGTCAGATTTGATGCTGTCTTCACGCGATTCGCAGCAATTCAGAACAGCCTGCTGGCCGCTGGGAAGGACCGGATCGCGACAAACAAAGGTGGCAGGTTGCCCATTCGAATTAGAGCAAAGTCACCCGTGTTCCTATCTTTCAAATCCCTGTCTTTCTTGTTTTTCGAAGAACGGAAAAGATACGCCACTGTCTCTTTGCTGACGACGTATCTACCGGTCAACGGCATGCCTATATCTACCTGAACACCGTGGACGACGTTACACAGGGGTCGCAAATGCGAGCACAACAGGGCATGCAGATTTTCGTAACTGTCGCCGCCGGCAGGACTGTTTTTGCAGGTACGTTTTAAGATGAAGGGTCCATTGCGTAGTAGTGATCAAGACTGACGTTCTGACATCGGAATTACATGCTATCCAACAGATATGCAACGCACCACCACGATTAAAGCGCAAGATATGTGTCCAATCTCAGCGACGAGATCAGCTATAGCGCGATAGCTAATCGTCCTTCTCGCCACGATTTTTGAATGCCTCCTCGACCTCCTTCAACCCCGAAAATTCTTTGATAGTAGAGTCCTTGAAACGCAAGCCAATTGGCAGACTGGCAAGAAGCCTTCCCAACCGCGCACTCCCTCCTCGATATATGACTGGCGAAGGCCGAGAACAAGAGAGGTCTCGCACGATCTGTTCAGCCCATGCGGTTGCCGTGATGGGCTGGGCTTCAGGACCCTCTCTTAACCGTTTCTCCACGACATCTCTCTGCTTGGCGTAATGCGAGTCAGACGGCAGGCGTACGTTGGGGACGTTGTCCAAGAACGCCGTCTTGACCGACGCCGTTTTGAGATCGATGACCTGGATGCCGAACATCTGAAGTTCCAGGCGTAGGCATTCGGTGATGCTTGCGGCTGCGGCTTTGGATGCGCTGTAGGCCCCTTGGAGCGGGACGGGAAGGGTGCTGACCAGCGACGTGTTGTTCGCCACTAGCGCGCCATGAGGGGACTGAGAGCGGCGCAGTAGATGCATGAAGCCTCGTGTCATGCGCAAGATGGACAGCGCGTTCAGGTCAAACTGCTTGGAGATCTCGTCCAGAGGCGCATCCAGCAAAGGCATGCTGTAGCCTCCTCCAGCGTTGTTGATTAAGATGTCGAGACTTCCTCCTGTGAGCTTGGAGACTTCGCTTGCGCATTCTGCCACGGAGGCATCGGACAATACGTCCAGTTGCAAGGTTGTGATGCCCAGTGCGGCCAGCGATGTCATCTTTGCGGTGTTTCGAGTTGTGGCAAGCACACGGTATTCTTTGTTTTTGTGGTATGCGACAGCTAGTGCTGCCCCGATGCCGCCGTCGAAGCATCCCGTGATTAGTACTGTGCGTGCCATGGAGACTGAGATATGAAGATTTGATATTGCGAGTCTGGAGTTTGCGAATGCGTCGATGAATCGAGCGGCGCATTCACGGATCCAGCCTTGCAGCCTTGTAGATTGTCGGCCTCGACACTATTATATCAGCAACGTCCCAAGCACAACAAAGCAGCATCTAAGAGCAGTGCATTCTTGGCCGGTACAATTATGCCGGCCACAAATGTGCTGAAATAATTTGAGCCCTATCTGCGGTCGGAGAGGCTGGTATAGTAAGCAGGATGCTTGGTGTTCGGTATCCTTACCAAGATACCGAACGCCTCATTTTGATGGCGCTTTGGCGCAAGGAGACGGAGACAAAGACAGCACTCTCGTCTCTACTTCCAATGCTGCTTAGATAACTGATGAACAAAGACGTCGACTGGGCAATGTCTCGGCGATCTAAAATAGTGCATGTGAAGAACGGCCAAGGCCCGCCAGCGCTAGCGCATAAGTTGCACAACTTAGTGAATGTTGATGAACTGTACTTTAGTAGCAGAGTAGGTGCAGCCACCGATTCCAAGCAGTCAGCTTGAGCGCAATTCGATACCAGACAAGGTCGAGTCCATGTCTTCTGCATTCACGACTCACATCGTTCGTCCTCTTCCACCAGAACACTCTCCACTGCACAATGCGCTATGGGTGATTCGGAGCCTTGAGGCATCGTCTGACCAGTCGAGACTCGTTGCTTCAATAACACGCCCTGAAGGCTCCATCAACTATGGCGATCTATGAACAATGCAACAAAGAGAGGCTCTTCTTTCTGGACGAGAGTGCTGCAACAATGCTCTGGCGTGATTGTTGAAGACGATCAAAGAAAGAGTCTTTGTCCGCAAGTTACTCGACTCAACAATGTCTTTGACCTACACACAACACATCCGGCCGCTTAAAAGCACCGCTTCCCGTGAAGCCGGGTAGTTCGCCAGACCTGCACCAAACACACTGTTTCGACCAAAAGCTTTCTGGAAAAGCTTACAGCCTTCGAAACGAAACTCGAAAACCTCAAGTAGCGAGTCTCACACCAACAACAAACACCACCGACCAAACACTACCGAGTATGGACTCCCCATCGTCCGTCTACTCGGAGACTTCGCCACCATCCCCTATTCCCGTCCTCGCCCTTCAGCCGCCGCTCTTCTCTTCGGCCAACTACTCCTCTGAACTACCCGGCATGATGAGCAAGCGCTCGTTCGGAGACGTCTGGGCCGACACTGGATTCAAGCCCTGGACTGCACCGAAGAAGGTCCTCAAGAGCATGGTCACCGACGACGAGTTCATCATCGGCTCGCCTCAAGACAGCTTGCTCTGTCGTCGTCGTATCTGGAGTCGCAAGGCTGCTCGAGGCCTCCTCAATCCTGGTAATTGGCAGGGCAGTGTCGACAACCAGATTCGCTACAATGCGAAGATGGAGATCAACAAGGAGTGGCGTGAGGCGCATGGCGACCCTCTCCACCGTCCAGAGATGTTCAGGAGCATCGACTGGAATGCGCCTGCCACTTTCCGCCAGGCCCCTGTCAGTCCTCGCACGGTTCCTGTCTCTCCCTCGACCATCGCCCACGACACCACCGCCCGCAGCACAGCTTACTGGTCTGTCCGCGATGGTGGTCCAGATGAGCAGATCACGGCGACTTTCCGTCCCACTGCAGGTGAGTTCAGCCATACCCGCGCAAACAACCGGAGCAAGCTGACAGTCTCAGATCCCTCGACTGCTTCGAGTACCCCATCGCCACCAGACTCGCATCTGACAAGCCGCCGCAGCATGTCTGCCATCGAGACCTCCTCACAGGCTTCAAGTAAGTCCCTAGCCCCTGCACCTATCCCCATAGCTGGTCCGACAGTGAGCATCTACTCGCTCGCTCGGTTCGTTGACGCAGAAGCCCCTGGCTTTTTCGGACTAATAAGCAGCACCACTTCCCAGTCCCCCTCGAGCCCCGACTTTCAGATTGAAGACGCTGTCATCGGGCAAGCTACTCTGGCCATGCCAATCGCTATCCCTCCTCGCGGTCCCTCGCTCCTGAACCTCCGTGTTTTGGAAGCAGGTATTGCAAGCAGAGCCCGTCGACCGATTTTGCTTGACTCTGACAGTACCGACAGTGATTCCTCGTCATCCTCCACGCACCACACCAATTTGATGCCCGCGACCTTGGAACTTGGCGTTGCAACTGCTGTGCGCATGGTCCGCCCGGCTCCTGTACGACTCGTTGTCGTCCGAGCTGGAAGTGTTCCCACGAACCAGGCTGATTTCGCTGCACTCGAGACTGCCTCTGCTCTAGACTCGCAAGATGAAGGCGGCTGCTCTCCTCGATCAAACCTCTGGTCGAAGCTCAAGCGTAAGTTTCACCGCGGTTAAGTCGTCTTATCTAGATCTCTTTTGTATTGGGAAACGTCTCTGCTTTCACCTCTACCTTCACAATTTCCTCCGTCCTTCACTCTATTGCCCTATCCATTATCCTTATTATGTCTATCTCGAACCTCGTCAGCCCCGATTCGACGAGAGCCTAGTCTGGAAAGCATCGTACTGTTCCACAATATTCTTCACCTTGTCCTGTGGCAGTGCTTCGAGAGTGTGACCAAGATGCCCCGTCAACGTCTCGGCCATGCATAGAGCATTCAAGATCGACTCCTCTGTTGCATCAGCCACCGCTTCGAATAAAGCATTAATGGTGGCGTCATCGATGGCGGCAGTAATGTTTGGCGATGGCTTAAACGGGTCCACGGCAGATGCAGTTTGGACGGGGATGTGGTGGGCAGTGGAGAATGCCAGAAAAATGTCTCCACAGCCATTGAGTCCGTTGCCCCCGACTCTAGCCAGGCCAACGGTGGCTCGTTTGGCAAGACGCTCTAGTTGGAGGGGATGTAGTGGTGCGTCGGTTGCGATTATTACGATGATACTGCCGTCTGTTCTCCCGACCCTCTTATCTTGAGGGGATACATCTTGATCGCCTTGGGATGCACTCTTGTTGCCGACCGATGCTTGTTGGTTCTGCTCGTGAAGAATCTGTCCCACTGGCACATTGCCAATTCGCAAATGTGATCGTCTCCCATAATTCGCTTGTACCAGCACAGAGACAGTGTAAAGTTTGTCCTGTTGCTCGGTATCGAAGCCTGGGATAACTCTGCTGCTGCTCCCGGTCCCGCCTTTGAAAGAGTGACAGATATTCCCAGTGCCGCCGCCCGTGTTGCCTTCCTTGACAGGTTTACTCGATGCCCTCTCAATGCCATGAACGACATGACTAGACGAGACAGGCAATCTAGTTATATCATTAACATAGCCATCGAACGTCTCGCCCACCACTGGGAGGAGCAGCCAGTCAACAGGTTCTCCAGGGCTGGCATGGCGGCTAATAGCATATTCATAGATCCCCTGATACGCCGCACCGACTGAATACGAATTCGTCAGCACAATCGGGGAGTGCAGCAGCCCCGTCTCTCGGATCCAGTGCGAGCCAGTCAGTTCACCGGCGCCGTTGAAGGAGAACACTGCGGCGTAGCAGGCTGAGCGGAACCAATCTTTGCGCGGCAAGATGCACGTTACCCCCGTGTTTTCGGCGTGGTCGTCTGAGAAGATCTCTTGCCTGTGGACTAGTACACCGGGCACGTCGGTTAGGAAGTTTAGCGGGCCTGGCTGCCAGTTCGAGCCGACGAATTTGAAGTTCGGGAGGAGGTCACGGAGTCGTTTTCGGTCACTTGAGGTAGTTGATGTCGCTGGGGACGTCATTTGAGCGCTGAATCTCACTTTCTTGTGGTTCAGCTTCTTAGTTGGGAGACGCCTTACTTAGGTGCGAACACCGGGAGCGCAGAGAAGAGCAGCGTCTAAGTGGAAATCGGGGCCAGTAATGATGCGAATCTCAGTATTGTAACGTTACGGATGTACAGTCTCGCCGGATAAGTCTTCGTTCTTGGCATTCCTTCACAACAACCTCTTAACTTCAAACCTATATATCTTTACAACTAGTTATCTGATTCACAATCTGATCGATTCATATGAAAGCTAAGAGTCTGGGCTTTGATATAGTGCATATATGATAATCAGTACTTCGTTTGCCATCCCCCAGCGTTGATAACTGCTTGAATCCTTCTTGGCATTGAGTTCAGCACATTTACAACGATATCACGACGAATTGCCCTCCATGCCTCTGGCAGTACTGACTGTAGGATCTCCAGTTGACGGTCTTTATTGTGCTCGTTGTCCAGATCCGGCCGGAGCTCGTAGACCTTCTGTTTAAGATGAAACCATATATGCTCAATTGGATTCAGATCCGGACTATAGGCCGGCCAGTTAGGGACGAATATTCCCCAGTATTGATGCTATTGTCTCGTGTGGTTAGCATTGTGGATAGGGGCGTTGTCTTGCTGGAAGGTCTGACCGTCGTAATAAGGCAGTAGTCCTTCTTCGAGAGTCTCTGTGTATGAAGAGGCTGTATACACCCCCCTCTGGGCAGATTCATCTCTTTGCATTATAACAAGCTCAGACTCTTGAATTGAATGGCCGATTATAGCCTATATCATAATAGAGGCCTGCTTGCCCTTTGGATAACTCTCAATCCGGCTGGCAGTCCACTTCTCGCTCGGATATCCGAAGGCCCACTGCCTCTGCCTGCCGGCTCCTTTCTCGACTGAGCACTCGTCCGAGAATAGCCAAGTTGTCCAGTCAGTCTGTTGATGCTGGCGTGCCCAACGCAGTCTTGCTCTTGCGTGTTCCGGTGTAAGGTGTGGACGCTTCTTACAGCGCCAGTGGACAAGCCCAAAGTCATATAATATCGTCCGAAGGGTGTCACTGCTGTAGTTAGTGCCAGTCTCGTCTCTTATCTTCTGATATGTCCATTTCGGATTGGATCTTGCTATACGAAGTATCCGGCGAGCCGTCTAGGGTGTGTACGTCTTTGGACGGCCGGATCTTGTCTTGTTTTGTACGGTGTTGCGTTGTAAGGTGCGTTGAATCGTGGTGTTAACTGTTGACTTTGGGAGATTCTCAGCCGTCGCAATTTCAGGCCCAGATTGCCCTGCAAGCGCACGCCTATATATCCTGCTTTTATCCTTATTTGAAAGCTCGTGCTTCGGCCGACGATTTAGATCAATTTCTGCGAGTGGACGGCGTGGTGGCATTGCGCAAGAGGTTGTCAAAGTTGAGGTGTTGAAGCGCGTCCCAAGACGCGCGCGTGCACGGACGTAGACTTAAGCCCTAGTACTGTAAGGCGAAGTTGTTGAACGAGGAACGAAGGGCTACGGCAGAGAGAAGAGAAGACAATCTCATGCTCCACCTTTCCTCCAGACTTAATTCTAGATAATTATAACGCCACTTCAGACGCTAATCTCTAAGGTAATATTTTGAGTCCTTTACTATATACTCTCGTCTCGCATTTCTCAAGAGGTAGACGTCTAGGTTGTCGATCGAGCAGTCTAACAGTCTACGGACAATCTTGACACCGACAACGATTTTCCTTATGCATACAGATACGACCCAACTTGTGTCCCGCAAGTTGGGTATATCAAGACTGAATATTAGTCTAGTAGACCACTCAGGAATTTTCGAATAGGGAGACAAATAAAGCGCAATTGCTCAAGAAATAGCCTCGAATCATCCCCCAAACGTAACGGAACACGGTTTCATGGCGTACTTCAGAAAAAAAAAAGAGAGAGATAGAGTATATATCTTGCTTCACTTTAATCAGTCTCCCTACAAATCAACTCCCCAGCTGTGAAACTCCTTCCTGCCGCCTTCTCAATGCCTCTCGCCGATTGCCGCCTGGTCCTAAACAGTCAGAACGACGCAACTGAATGCCCTGAAAACCGTCACTCTTAGACCATCTCCAAGTCTGCGACGCAACTTCGACGTCCGAATCACGCAGACAGTCAAGCGCCAACCACATCCAACCGTTCTGGGCATAGGTCTCATACATGCGCCTCTTGTCTCCCGTATCAAGTGCAGGGGGAATATCATTTTGAATATTCCAAACGGACTGAGGCATTTGGAACTCTTGATACATCGACGGACCTGCGACCGGCCAGACATGACAAGACTGCACTCTCACCCTCGGCGCCCGAGACGAATATCCTCGTCCCACAGGCCTGGTAGCATATCTCTGCTCCCAGCCTTTCTCATAGCTCGACGCAGTCGGATCTTCAAGCGTCTCACACCCAACCCGAATGACCGTCGTCTGCACACTGCAACCACGCAGCAGCCTCGCCTCAATAACGTCCCACAGTAGCCCCAAGGTGAGCGCTTCGTTGGAGTACTCGTGGCCTTTACCAGAGATCATGGGGTTCCCGTTACTTCCGCGATCAGAGCATGACCATGAGTTCCACCAGTCTAGACGTTTGATGGGTGGCTGTGAGACATGCATTCTTCTCCAGGATGCACATTCACGCGCGAACGCGAGACGGGAAGGGCAGTCGGCGGTCATGCCATCGCGCGCCCAGGGCAGGGTTTGAAGGTCTGCGTAGAGGCAGTTCCGGGTCCATAAAGCGTGCGAAGGCAGAGAGTCGGCCTCCAGCAATTGCAGTATCGGCGCGAAATGGGTCTCGAGGATGGGGTTCATCTCGACCAATGCATCTGTTTCTTCAGAATTTTCCAAAGGCCGAAAAAAGAGCTTCTCTTGCAGGACATCCGAGGCATCGATAATCTCTTTCCGTTGACGGCATACTCGCTGGCATTTTAGAAGCTCTAATGTGTCGGCTTCTTGTAGAAATAATTCCACCAGCTCAGTGATCGAGACAAAGTGATCGCGGGCGAGGGCGCGGGTTATAGTCGTTGATGGTCGCATAATGGAGGGGTGAAGGATGCCCGGAGAAGTTGTGAGTGCCATGTGAACAGCTCCACTCTTCCAGCAACATGTAGGCACCAGCCAAGAAGAGCTACTGTAGCTTCGTCGTTCCAATGAATGAGACTGCAAATACCGATGTCACCGCTCCAAGCCAGTTCATCTCCGTACATCCTCGACCTCACCTCTGGTCGAAGCTCAAGCGCAACTTTCATTGCAAGTAAGTTGTCCCCATTCATATTTCCTTTCTATTGGATCGGTATGTAACATTGCAGGGCATGGTCTCACTTGGGAAATGACTCGTGGTGAGCGTTGTCCTTTTCCACTCAGTCTCAGCCTCGTTTATTGTCCCAAACACCTAGATTCCCCCTCGCCATTTGCAATGGAGCGTAGCACGATGTGAACAATGCCAGCTGGGCACTAATGCAAGGCCCTGAAGCTGATGCATGTCGGATATGCCCTTATTTCCGGAGCTGACGCTCTCGTTGCTGCCGAACTTGAGATGGTCCACGATGCCTTCGAAGAACGACAATCTGCCAAGAGCATGGGGTTTCGATGAGAAGACGAGAACATGTCCATCCCCTACAATTATCGGGCCCTCAAGAACACCGAGATTCGCCTGTTTCGAGTAACAGCATCAGAAGATGGTACCATCATCGGCCAAATCGAACACTTCCCGCTCGTCACAGCTCCGGAGTACGCGGCAGTCTCATACAGATGGGGTTCGACCGATCATAACCGTGATATCCTCATAGACGATGGGGTGCTCTCTGTCACATCAAGTTTACATGACTTTCTCGTCGAGGTGACCCATCGCCAGACTAGGAACAAAACTGTCTCTTGGCCTCGTGGCTGGTTCTGGATTGATGCCATCTGTATCGACCAGGCCAATCTCTCCGAGAGGAACGAGCAAGTGAGACAAATGAAGGAGATTTACGAGCATGCCTCAAACCTGGTGATCTGGTTGGGAGTCGGTGAGCAAGAAACAGCGGCAACATTCGACACCCTTCAGCAGATCGCGTGCTTAGACTGCGATAACGTACAATACCTCTATCAGGATGATTCTAGTGACGCTTTCTCCCTCGGATGCGAGTCTTGCTACGTTCCACTATCTCGAAAGATCCTGCATTACCAAATCGGCCACGTCTTCGGATCTCCTTACTGGAAACGCGCCTGGATCATCCAAGAAGCAAGTACCCCAAAACCTCCAGCCAACGCTATTATATGCTCCGGCCCAAACACTATATCTTGGCAGTCATTCTTCAAAGCGCACAGAAACCTTTTCGAAGCCCGTCCGCAGGAAGACCTCTTGGGTCTGATGTATGAGATTTCCGTCGACGCGGGGACGATTCCAGTGGTGTTGGACACAAATAAACGGAGGTTTGAGAATGGAACTCACCCGTTGTATGACCTACTGGTCAACACCAGAGACTCTGAAGCCACGGACTCGAGAGATAAAGTGTACTCGATTCTTGCTTTGAGCAACGAGCGGCATGAGGCGGCTATACAGCCTGACTACTCGCAGAGTGTAGAGGAGGTTTACACCCGGCTTGCGAAGACACTGATTATGACGAGCAGATCCATGGACGCGCTGGGACTTGCTGGAGGGGCAAGGAAGTACGATGTTCCGTCTTGGGTGGCAGACTGGAGCGTGCGATATGAATGGGTTCCAGATCCGTTTCCCACATTCCTGGCTGGGGAGGTATGGGAAGATGGTGCGCGAATTCGGTTGTTCAATGCAGATGGTGATCGGCCTATGGAGGTCGAATTCGAAGACAACGGACGTTGTCTTGTTGCTAGGGGATTTCAATGCGATACCATAACCAACATCAGTTCCCCTCGAATCCGCCCCAGATCCCACGAAACAACAGATCACGAACGGGACTGGCGAAGCTGGCACCATTTTGCCATATCCAACTCAGCAAGCTTAGAGACTCTTACCAAGCTCCTCACAGCAAACATCTCCCAGCGGTACCGCGACATGTCAGCCGACCTGGGCGGCCACATCCCAAACTTCACACACGAGACCTCGAACGTCTTCGCATTGGACCATTTGCAAGTCAACAGCGTGACCTATGGACGGACTCTCTTCCTCACGGAGAATGGGCGCCTGGGAATCGGACCTATGGAGACGGAGGCGGGAGATGTTGGGTGTGTTCTGTTTGGAAAGCAGACGCCTGTGATTATGAGAAGGAAAGGCGACTGCTGGACGTTCAAGGGCGAAGCCTATATTGAGGGCATTATGGAAGGGCAGGCGGAAGAGGCAGGAAGAGAAGAGGACAAAAAATTTCGCATAACCTAGGACGAATGTTACATATGCCATGCCTCAATCATAAAATCAAGCGGCCGGAGTTACAATCCCTTTGTTCCAATAAGGCTGTGCTAGAACCACTGCGACAATGGCTTTGGAGCAGGTACAGAACAAGATCATTGTTGCCGACACTACTATATATTCATCTCGCCCTACAAGAAAATAACAATTGTATAACTTCCCGCCCAATAGACATTTGAATTCTCAACCAACTCCTCACCAAGCAGCCATGACGTTCCCGCGATCAACCACCTACTCTTTCGAGCTCCCTGAATATCCAAGCCCAATTCATCGATAGTGGCTTCTTGCAAGGCGAGGCTTTGAGCGGGATGATCCCAAACAACTTTACCTTCGACATCCACAAGGGGTTTGCGAGCAACAAATTTCCGAAAGATGACTTCGACTATGGCAAGCTGGAGCTCTCTCTGCGCATGACTTCGGCACTCGAGGTGGCGGCTATTCCGATCTTCCACTCGATCCTGGTCAAAGGAGCTAGCAGCATGGGCACCATGACTGATAACGGCAAGTCGCTGTACATGTTTCCCGACCCTGTGGAGCTACTCAGCCCAGACGATGTCTACACTACATGGAAGCGGTTAGATCAATTGGCAGAGGGCCTGTCGTTCCTCATGGGGGGTACAGAAGTAAGTTCGAGCGCCTGGTGCAAGAGATGTCACCACCCGGACGGTTCCCTCGGTCCTGGCCTCTGAGGATGTGGAAGCGCCATCCTGATTGGTAGGGGACTGTACGACTCTGTGGTCAACTTCTACACAGAAGAGACTGATCTCATCAGCGAGCAGGCAAGTGCCTTTAACTTCGCTTCGGTCATGATTCATGAGCTAACACACGCAGTGGTCAAGGCCGCCACCCCCTATGAGCACGCTCACGACGACGTTCAGTACTTCCTCGGGGACAGCGCCCACACGACAGAGATGAGCTTCAAGACGGAAGCCTGGCTCTTCGGCGGCGTCACCATCTGCCAGCCTTTCCAAGGCTACCGTGCGTACTACAACGAGGACAGCGACAAGACCAGCCGTCTGGATTGCCTGATCATCGCAACCGAGTACCCCTGCCCCTCGAAGACACTTCTCTACGAGCAGTATCCCGACAAGATGACGGTCAGAGGAGGCCAGAAATCAACCGAGATCATATCGCACGCTTCATTCCTACACATTCATCAGCTCTACCAAGACGACTACTGGACGGAACTTTTCCCGAAGTACGGACGCCGGGTTCTGTTCTTTCCCAAGGACGCTGGGTATCGCTTTGAACCTCGAGCGAATGACTACAGGCTCAAGCCGGTGCTCTTCGATCCCGATGACAAGGCTGATCTGCCGCCTGGGTACTTCGTGGATCGGGCGGGTATGATCCGAAGGGAGTCTGAGAAGGTTGTTGAGAAGAAGCCAACGAAGGGACAGGAGGTGGGAATCAGGTTTCGTGTGGCGAAGATCAGGGACAGCGCTTTGTCGCTGGTGTTTGGCAAGGGTCGATAGAATGGGTTTTCACAGGGGTCGGGCTTTTGATTTGGTCATCGTGTGGATTGGTTACGCTGGGTTGGGCTTTTGCACCGTCTGCACTTTTTTTCGAATCTTCGAGATCGCGAGTTTCGACTTCCCAGGAAGTCAAAGAGGTTACGAAGATCGCAGGTTGTACATGGTAGCTTGCCAGGCACTCAATGGGGATTGCATGGGGCGCACATGGCAGGGCCGGCTGTCTGATGTAGAACTCTGGAAATTGCTTGTACTTTATAACCACTTTCCACGTTTTCAATCATTTTGTTCTCAATTGTAATATAATAACATGTCTCGTTGTACCCAACCCCAGTGGACTCTCTACATGCGCAAAGAACAAGGCTGTCAGCCGAGCTGGGAGGATTACAAGACCCACATGCTCGCAGCTTAGGAGGCGAGGAGAACTTATAGCGGTACGTTGGGAGTGATAGCTCATCTCTATACGTATGAATTCAACAAGTTGCCTTACAGTCAATGTATCAAGCCAGTGAAAGCAGTAGTTGTCGTCGCGAAATCTCACTACGCTAAGAAAACGTTTAGTTGTCGACCTAACGTCGTAGGCTAGAGCTATTCGTTAGTATAGACCTGATGGCATGGTAACGAATGCTGCGCTTTCTAGCTAACCATTTGACCGGCGACAACGGATGCACGCTGTTCTCTAGACTAGTATAGGCTGGCAAGCAAATGCACCTTTGACAGATATATATATGGGCCTTGGGACTATCAATAGAGCTAATGCAGTATTTCTGCTTAAACCCGTGGCCTTCCGGCGGGACATGGGAGAACATGAACCTCCAGGGGTGTATCAGTGCAAGAGGATTGAGCCTTCGCAAAAGGGAAGCTCTTGCATCAGCGCAACCACATCCGGCGTTTGTTACGAGAACGGGGCCGTAGTAGTAAGCTTCTTTATCGCAATCAAAGCCATTTTGAGCCGATTGTTTGGGAAATCCGGGATGCAATGCATAATAGCTACAGAGGCTCTCCCATCTGTAAAGTGCGATGGTGCTTATAGAGACTGCTCGCACCATAGGTACGAGGCTGCCATTTTCCAGGACCCTCATGACAAGATTTTGGGACTTCCGAAGCCAGACTCCCCAATCGAATCATGTCTTTTGTGATTTCGGACGTCCAAATATTTGACGGAGAGGCAGTCGTAACCAAGAACGGTGCAGTCCTGGTCGAGGATGGCCTCATCAAGGCCATCGGCGAGGATCTGGCGGCACGGTATCCGCACCTTGAGACCATCTCCAAGCCGGGCCATACTCTGTTGCCGGGCTTGATCGACGCGCACTGCCATCCTTACGGCGAATCATCGCTCCCGGAGCAGGCCTTCCGTTTTGGGATCACCACCATTATGGACCTGCAGAATGAGCATCACCAGGCGGTCCGACAAAAGCAGTGGGCCAAGGAGAGGAAAGACTTTCCCGATGTCAAGAGCAGCCACCATGCCGCAACCATTGCTGGTGGGTGGCCAGAGTGGTTTGAGAGGAGATACAACAATAACCCCGTGAGTGATAGTGAATCGAGCAAACAACCCCACGAGGCTGATGAATGTTGTGCACGTAGGAAGCAAAATGGGACAACTGGCCAAACGTGGCCAACATCGACGATGCAGAGCCTTTCATCGAGCGAGCAGTCAGGGACGGAGCTGACTACATCAAGCTCTTCCACGAAGGGGGCGCTGCAACCGACATCCAAGGTCTCGTGCAGCCACGGGAAGAAGTCCAGGCAGCTGTTGTCGCCGCCGCGCGTAGACAAAGCCTGAAAGTGATTGCCCACGCACTCGCCCGGCAAGATACGATCGAGGTGCTGCGAGCTGGAGTAGACGGCATGGCACATTCCTTCTATGACAAGCCCATCAACCCCGAGATCATCGCGGCTTATAAGACGAACAACGCCTGGCTGAATCCCACTTTGGCGGCGGTCGGATCGCTAACGGGAGAGGCGAATGACTTGCTTAAGTCTTTTTCCACGGACCCTCGTGTTGTATCTCGAACTACTTTGCACGACATGTCTCTTCTGAGCAGATGTATGCACATGAGCTGTAAAGGAGCCAAATGGGAATACGCCATCGACAGTGTCCGCCAGCTCAAGGCAGCAGGCTTCGATATCATTTGGTAAGTTGTCGATTCGCCACGCATCAACCCCAAGTCTTACTGTTCACTCCAGTGGCTCCGACGCAGCAAGAGGCGCGCCTTCGGTCGTTTTCGGCGCTACATTCCATCTTGAGCTCCATCTGCTGGTGGAAAAAGCGGGCCTACTCCCCGTCGAGGCTTTGAGGGCCGCTACAGGCGTGACTGCAAAACGCTTTGGATGGAATGACCGCGGTAGGATCCAGCCGGGTCTGAAGGCCGACTTGTTGCTTGTAGAGGGGGACCCGGTCACTGATATTACAGAACTTCTCAATATTCGAGAGATTTGGAGGGATGGAGTGAGGTTTGAAGGACATCCGGGTTTCGCGAAATGAGTAGATGGCGAAGTAACGGTATGAATTTATCCTGATCGAGTGTGGTCCCCGAGGAGTATGATAGAGTAAGAGGTGTTGCTCTAGTAGCAGTAGCGGGTACATTCATCTTTTGAAGTCGAGAAAGATCCAATACAGAGCTAACCAAGGGTAAGAAGATAGGATTTCAAGTCCGCATACCAAAGATAAGTTTATGCCTCAGGCATCAAGGTTGTATCCGTCGCTTAGTCAAGCCGACGTGACGACTTCACTCGTCCTCGATAGTCACTCCATCATCAACACTCCCGTGTACTTTGTGTTTGAGGAATATGCGAACTGAACAGAGTCGTTCAGGTGTTTACACCTTCTCGATCTGTACTAACATGTGTAGACTGTCGTCCACAGTGAGCTGAAAATGCAACGTCCGTCTGCAGCTTCAGCCAGCCAGTCGATGGCTGTGCATGCATGCGCCGTAGCGCAAGGCTGGACCCGGACCTGATGGTTCACATACCTCTCGTCGAGCGCATAACAGTCGCATCTTCCCAGGTCAACCACGACTAACACCACCATGTCGCACGACAAAGTTCGGTTTCCGGATGAGGACGACCCATAGAAGTCCATGGTATATCTGGCGCCATGGCGCTACCCACTCATCCTCGCGATTCCTACAACGTCGGCATCATTTGCGCACTCGATGTGGAGAAGGCGGCGGTAGAGGCGACGCTGGATGAAGAGCACGGCACAGTTGAGAAGTTGGCAAGAGACGACAATCTGTACAGCTTTGGCAGGATTGGGGCGCATAATGTGGTCATCGCATGCCTGCCAGCAGGAGTGATGGGCAAGGTTTCGGCGACGGCGTCGGCGAAGGATATGATGCGCAGCTTCTCTATCAAGGCGGGCTTGATGGTGGGCATTGGCGGCGGAGTGTGGAGTGAGAAGACGGATGTTCGACTAGGCGATGTAGTGGTGAGCCAGCCGAACGGAATGCACGGAGGGGTGGTACAATGGGACTTTGGCAAAATGGAGAAGAAAGGAGTGTTTCGGCGGACGGGTACACTGAACAAGCCACCGCGACCGCTTCTCAATGCGGTCCAGAGTCTCAAGGCGACGCATCGGCGAAAGGGCAGCAAGGTGCACGAATACCTGGAAGAAATGCTGTCGAAATATCCGCTCATGGAAGAGGAATTCAGGCATCAAGGACGCGAGCACGACGAGTTGTTCGAATCAAGCTATAGTCACCCTAGCGAAGATGACTGCGAAGGATGTGATCGGTCAAGACTGGTCCAGCGTCCGCCCTCACGCAGAGACGACAAGCCGAAGATCCACTACGGAAATATCGCCTCAGGAGACGAGGTGGTGAAGGACGGACCGACGAGGGACCGCATCGCGCGCGAAGAAGGTATATTATGCTTTGAGATGGAGGCAGCTGGTTTGATGGAGTCGTTCCCATGCATCGTCGTCCGTGGCATTTGCGACTATGCAGACTCACACAAGAACAAGCGGTGGCAGCCGTATGCGGCGGCGACAGCGGCGTGTTACGCGAAAGAACTTCTTGGATTGGTGGACCGACAAGGGGTGGGGGAGTTAGGACCAGCAAGTGAGTAATTGCGTTGGGACTACAGGTCCGGGTTCGACGCTCTCGAGGCAAACATGCATGTTGACGAGCTACAGGTAACGCAAGCGACCGGACTGCCGACACTCGAAGGATCTCTGCGAAGTTTGAATCCGTAGTTGAACGACTACCTTTAGGTGACACTTTCATCGCATCTAGCTCGCCAAGTGGTGGACCATATCGCACAGGCTGTGACAACATGCAGGGACGACAACAAAATCTCGGCACAGATCTCATCAAGCTTGGAAAACTCTCCAATAGCTTACGCAGCCAAAGAGATGGTCAATCTGCGCAGAAGATCGCTGACCGGCTCGCCACGCTCATCGAGTATCTACGGAGTTCCAGTCCAGGCAATGTGCGCAATCATAGCGGGGATCAATGGATCGTCTTGACGCAGTCTTTGAAGGGTTGCGCCCGAATCGCAATCAACTCAACACCTCCGAAGTTCCGTCCAATGGCAGTCGTTGAGCTCCGCCGTAGAAACGACAGCTGCGAGTTGGAGGAGGGCAAGCTTGCCATGACGACGGTTACGCAGCACTCGCGCGGCGACAGTGGACATGAAGTGCTGCAGGTACTTTCAGCGTTGCGCTTCCGACCTGCCTTTGGTTCGAAAGCCCCACCCTTTGTGGCTTTCTTTGGCGGACAAACTGATGCTTTTCAGAAAAGCATCATTCACCCTACCATCCTAACCTACAGGACTGTTAGCAGTAGCTCCATGGTCTTCGATCTTGTCAAGAAGGATGACCTCGAAGGTTTTCGGAAACTTCTGTCGGATCAGGAAGCAACTACTCGCGATTGTGATGAGCGTGGTATTTCTCTACTCGGTGTACGTGAGACCTCTCTGCAGCGGAGTCCAGCTCCCTGTGCTGAGACTGTGGCTGCGCTAACATAGATCAGTATGCTTGTCACTTTGCAAGCCCAGTTTGCTGCGATTTCCTGATCAAAAGCGGCGCTGATGTCAACAGAGTAGAAGGCCACGTATAGTGAGTATATGCAGCGCAACATCAACTTAGGCTGCACACTAATCCATGACTGTAAACAGTATCGAGGGCTTTGACACCACAGCCCTTGAGCCACACCCTGGTGGCAATGTCGAACTTCGAGATGAAACCAAGCTTGACGGAGTCTTGCACTGTCGAAAATTACTACTTCAAGCGGATGCTGACCCCACGGTTCAAACCGCAACCAATAGAGATCCACCCTTGTTGAGACCTTTGTATACTTATTTTGTTGAGGGAGGCTCCAAGGCAAGTCCACCTTACTACCTTTACTACATTTCTGACAGTGTATAGGCTTTTCTTGATCTTATCATTCGATATGCCAATCCATATTACATTGATTGGCAACGATTTACCTGGCATGGGCAGAGTATATGGCTCTTCGCGTGCGGACAAGCTCGGTTTCTTCCAACTCACATGATTCTAGACAGCCTAACGGGTGCTGGCTGCAATGTTGAAGAAGCTGACGATCAGGGATGGAATTGCCTTTTCCATTGCGTACTGTTAGCGTCAGGCCCCTCTGATTCCAGAGAGCTCGAGGTTTTGGTTCATCTTCTGGAACTTTTTCACGACATTCACGCTAAGGACTACAATGGTATGACTGTCTTTGATTACGTCCGAGATACATCAGGCGTATGGGGCTCATATCAGCGAGATCTGTGGATGACTGCCTTAGCGAGAGCTGGATACGAAGATGCTGAACCAGATATTCGACGAGCAGTCTACACGAAGTACTTTGCCCCAGAGCATCGTCTGGCGATGCGTCATTTGCATTTTTCGGGCGTTCTGGACGTTGTTCCCAGGTTAAGATCGTTAGCTAAAACCCGATGGTCGCTGAAACGCGACATCTTTCAAATCATGGCCCGCCTCCAATGCTTTCGCGAGGAAACTCCAAGATCAAACGGGCTGCGGGTGAAGGCATCGACGATCAGAGTGGGAATGAGTGGGCCGCCGATCCGACCTCAAGTGATTGTGGCTGTGGGCACTCTACGAAGCGTCAGGAGAAAAGACGAAAAGACAAAACGGGAACGGCCCATATTCCTTCGAACAGTGAGGGTGGCTAGACGAATTCTCATGACTGCGCCAGTGTGGAGATGCAGATAGCCGTACTGGCTGAAGAGGAGAATTCTGATGTGGCGACGAGCACACAGGATGGAAAACAGCGAACCGGGGGCTTTGGGAGAGACGGAGAGGAAGCTGGGCGATGTGTATTCATTTGGAGTGATATCGATATGTAGATCACCACCGTCGGTTCAGAGATTCTAATCCACCGACAACCCCCAGCTTCGACGGGTCTTGTGGCATGTCCATGTCTGAAAGAAGGGAACGTTGAAAGCCTCGTACTGCCTCTGAAGAGATTTAAGCGTCCATCAGCATCACGAGATGCAACAGAGAGAGACCGAGTAGAAGGAAAGGAGGCTCTGAGGACTTTCGCTCAGCCGTCGCGAGGCTCTCAAGTCGTTCTTGCCCTCTCATCAAGTCCGCCCTCTACTCATCCACGCTCGACATCCATGCCAATTGCCCCTCCCAATCAATAACCAAAAACTGCAAAACACCCTCCCCAACCCTCCCCACCACCTCACCACCCAACCCTGTCCTCGGCTCCCTCAACGTCAAAGCACGCTTCACAACAATTCCAGCTGAACATGAACGTCTTTGGCTCGATCTTGCATGTGGCACTGTAGAGGAAGACAAAACGTGAGCTGTTCCTTCCAAGAGCACTGGCCTAATCTTTAGAGTAGGTTCTTCTGCTTGAAGTGGATCATGTCTTTGTGTTCCTTTTCAAGGAGTCTTGTCGATACGTTGATCAGGGTCTGGGGCAGTGAGGTGAGGTGAAGCCAATTCAGCTTCGACGGCCGGAAAAGTATACCTAGGGCATCGTTCTTCCGCGAAACTTCTCCATCGGCGGCTTCGTCCCTACCTTATCATCGCACACATCGATGGCGGGCATTCTCGTTTTTGGCTATTATGTGGAAGAATGGTTCAAAGCAAGTTCTTCCACTTGACGGGAGTGTTCTTGTGATGGAACTACAATGTCTTGCCAGGACGGGCTCTTCAATGGACAAGAGAACTTTCTATGTGAACAGCCTTCCAACTCCCGTCATGACAGACTTGTTCGCCACATACCGCCAAGTAGTTGTGAGATGCGATTGGGAATGGAAGAGTTCGAAGTCGTATGAATAAAAGAGTTGCCCGTGAAGAGGAAGGATGGAAGAGACGTTCGAGGGCAAAGACAAAATGACGTTATGTCTCAATGTGCCTGGGGCATCAACCCAAATCACTAAAATACCACCTCACCTCCTCCACTCCACCCCCAAAACACAACTCTCAACAATGTTACCACTCCTCACCTCCTTCTACCCACCCCTCACCTCCCGCACCCCCCTCCCCTTCTACCACGCCCCCGCCACCCTCATCCTCTCAATCCTCCCTTTCCTCTCCTCAAACAAAACCCTCACAGCCACCCTAACATTCCCACTCTTACTCTACCTCTGCCTCTCCTGGCCCTGCTACACAACCGGCGACCCTTCGAATGACTACTACAACGGTAGCCAATTCATCGCGGTCCCGCTGTGGTATTTGGATTTCGTCTTCCTCACTCCCAGGGATGGGGAGGGAGCGCCGGCGTTTGTTGGGGAGAGGGCTCTGCACAAGCAAGGCGGAGAGAAAAGGGGCGTTCCTGCGAAGTATTGGAGGGACTTTACGACGTCGTGGGAGAGGTTCACGTGGGCGTTTCGGCTTATGCTCCCGGCGCAGAGGGGCATTGGGTGGAATTGGCAGGTCAAAGGGATTCCGCACGATTCGGAGGGGAGGTTGTCGAGGTGGGAGTTTGTGGGTCGGAAGACGTTTTGGGCGGTTTTCTTTTATCTGCAGTCTGTGGTGCCGTTGACGGTGCTGGGGTTTGGGGTTGCTTTTAGGGAGCATTTCCGCCCTGAGCAGAGAGTCGACAGCGCTGTTGCTGGTGCGATTGTGGGTTGGGCTGGGGCGATATGGGTGTGGGATCGATTGAACTGTGCGTACAGCCTCGCAGCTGCCTTCTCGGTGGCGGTCGGCATGACTGAGACCTGGGAGTGGCCGCCTCTAATGGGACCCTTGAAAGACGCCTGGAGCGTGAGACAGATGTGGAGGTAAGTGAATGACCAAGACCAATACCAACCCGCATCATACTAAAACACCCTCCCAAGCGCAACATACCAACAAGCCTGCCGCCGAGTAAGCCTATCCCCACCCCATCACCTCCCACAAGCCTCCACTAATAACCCCTCCAGCTCCTCTCCCGCCCCTCCCTCCTCCTCACCCGCCTCCTCCACATCCCCAAAGGCTCCCCCCTCTCCAGCCCCACCCAGCTCTTCCTCACCTTCAGCATAAGCTATCTCTTCCACCTCGCGCAAATCTTCAACGTCACGCGGCGAGACATGGGCGAATTCGCCTTCTTCATGTCCCAGCCCTGCGCCATCTGCGTGGAAGATGTCGTGATTTGGGCGTGGAGACGGATGGGGTTGGTGGGGAGGGATCGGGGGTGGGAGAGGGTAGTGGGGTATGTGTGGGTTGTGGCGTGGTTTTCGTATAGTTTGAGGATGTATGTGGGTGGGCTAGTGGAGGCGGAGGTGGTGAAGGATTGGGTTTGGGCGTATGGGCCTTTGGGGGTTGGTGCTGGGTTTGGGAGGGAGGTGTTGGGATGGTTATTAGCGTAGGTTCAAAGTGTCGTGTTTCAAAGAGGGACTATCTCAGCCTGATTATCAAGATTCCATGCACGAGATTTGAGAACAGGGGCTGTTTCCGCTTGCGTTGCAGAGGAGGTTGATTCTGCACTCCCAACTAAGAAAACCACTCTCCCTCACCGTCTCCACTTCAGAATCCCTCCTCTCCCTCTTCGCCCTCTCTTTCCAGTCCTCTACCCTCATCCATCTCACTCACATCTCAATACTCCTCACCACCGCCTCCGCCAACACTTTCGGCTCCGACAACATCGGCATATGCCCCGTCGAAATTCTCACAACCTCCGACTTTGCCAGACCCGCACACATCTCCTGGACCTGAGGCGAAATCGTCTTGTCGTTCTCAGTCAAGACATACGTACTAGGAACCTTCTCCCATCCAGTGTACGTGCACTCGACGTTCCAATCATCCATCAGGGGTTGGCTTTTGATGAAAGGTTTGCAATGCTTCTCAGCGATGGCTGGGTTGACGTCCGAGAAGAGCTTGGAGTCCGGGTCGGGGAGGTATGTTGCGCCGTCCTTCACCTTGTCAACGTCTAGCTCTCGCTCCATTATTTGTGAGTGAAACATACCTTCACCTCCCAATCCGTAGGCGGATGTCTCGCGCCCACGGGCAAAATCCCTCCAGCAATGAACACAAACCTCTCGACGCCACCTCCGCCCGAAACAGCCAATTTCTGCCCAACCTCGAGATCCTCCGTCGCCATAGCAGAGAGAAAAGCGCCAGAGCTGTGGCCCACGACGACCACCCGTTTTCCCGCATCAACGAGCGGTTTGATCACATTGCGGATACCGTTCGCATCGTCGAGCATGGTGGGTGCATTGGGACTTTTCGTGCCTGTTGAGGCGAGCTCGGCGTAGAAGATGTCTGTTATTGAGGGAGCGGCCTTCTTGATCTCCGTAGCGAGGCGTTCGTAGGGCTTAGGACCCAGCCAGAAACCTGGAACAATGACGATTGTTGGCGCGGTCATACTGGCGGTGTTCGGTGAAATCGCTCTAGGGTTTGAACTTCTTGGTATCGAAGTTCGAGGACTGTGTTTCGTGAACTTCTCTATCCCATCCTCTCGACGTTTGTCAGCTTTGACAGCTGTGCCGTGTGGAGGATCCTTTACGCGTATCTGTCATTGCCTCTGCTCTTCGCAAGGAGCGGCGCAAGAAATCCCTGGTAGAAATCTCGCACACTGTTCCTCTTGGAGATATGGGCGTCCCTCGATTGCGTACAGGAGAGAGTGCGTTCATGCTTCTTGCCGAATAGTGGCCTTGCGGACACCTCATCAGTTGTACACCCTCGGCAGCGTACTCATGTCGACGTTGAAGCGTGTGCCGGCATAGTTGCGAACTCCCGTGACCGTAACGCACGTGGGCATGGAGTCGGCATTGTTGCACAGCATCTTACTTCCTTCCACCTCTTGCTCGAGTCCCTTGGCCGAACATCGCCTATCGCTCGCAGAAGCCGTCAAAGCTATCGTTTGGCGAGTAGGTGGTGTGCTGCGAAGCGATGGACCCATCCAGCTCTCCATCATCCCACGTCCAGCTCGTCCAGCTCTTCCATCCTTCGCGAGATCATCCCCATCCACCCCAAGCTTTAATCGGACTCCGAGTAAACTCAACAAACCAAACCTCAATGTATGCATCGTCAACCATCCCGTCTCAGCTCATAGCAAAAAATCCACTAAAACTCAATTACACACCCGCATGTCGAACGTGTTGGAAAAGAAGAGACGAAGGAAGGATGTTCCAAAGCCGAAAGCGCCTCGTTTCTTTGAACCTCCAATCGCGGACAATAAGATACTCCGGATAAGCATCGTACTCGGGGAACCCTGCATTTCAATGGAGACCAAGTTGCTCTTACCATGTGTTTGTAGCGAGGGGAGAGGTTTATGGTGTGTTAGGTTTGTGGTACGCCAATGCGTGCATGCATGTCAGATCGGTGTTGGAAGAATACTCGGGGTAATCTCTTAACCTTCTTCTTCTTCTCAATACCGTATGCAGGTATCGTCTGCACCCACATGCATTGAATTTCGGGAAAGGGTCCTGACGAGAAGTCCCCATGTGGCAGGTGAGTTTCCTTGATAACTGATGATGGAATGTGATGACGATGATGATGGAGGAGGTTGGGTAGTGAAGAAGGCGTGTGCGCAGCGAGGCTTTCTGCTTGACATCATCGCCAACGCCGTAGCGGAATCCACGGCATCGTCAAGTGAGACACATGGATTCTTCGCCGTGACAAGCATCGCGCGAGGTACACCCGCCCGCTCTGACCCGCTCTCAAACCACCTGCACATCATACCACGCACACACCCAAGTCTAGGTTCACAAGAAAAACTCCGGAGTAAAGTACGTACCTCTTCATCCATCCAACCAGCCAACCAACAAGGCCCCTCCACATCCATGTCCAAAACACACAGATCAGCTGTTCGCAGATCCCATGCCCTCTCAAAGAGCCAGACAGGGAAAAGATTCGCCAAAGAAAGCAGGGCATAACCCTCCCTCCCTCCCTCCATACAACCAACACCAACAACACCGAAATTCATGCAGATAGATGCAGATGCAGCAGATGCAGGTCCAGAAGCGAAGGAGACGAGTACTCGGGTCCCCGGAGTTTCTTCTATACAAACCAACATTGTTGGATATGCAGGTGCAGGTGAGATCTCGCCCTCTCCACCTCTCACCATCTTACCATCTCGTAGTAGCAGGTGGAAGGTGTTATCTGGAGAATAGACTTTCTTCGAAGATGAGTGTAATACACCGAGTGGCTTGCTTTGCTTGCATCGGTTCGGTGCATAGCATAGCAAAACACAAGACTAGTAGACCATGTACCAGACAAGCGAGCGTCGTGTTGGTTCTCCAACAACCAACATCGCTAGCAGGATCAACAAGCGATCAACAAACCACTACGGGAATCCTTCCCAAAGTCGTGTGCGTGGACACGGGAAGAACGGCTTCATCAAGCTTCAAGCTTTCGATCGTGACGAACACGTGGGTGCTGGACGGGTGGGATGGGCACATCCTTCGACGGACGTCAGAAGCACAGAAAGCGTGGGTTGAAAACCGATCATGTGAACCTGAACTCCGACTTCACCTCTGTAACTCGACTGAAACCGGAAAAGTATGAGAAATTCAAGGTGGGTACCAAATACTAACCTTTGGATTTTTGCTAGTACTAAAATCGATACGTAATCTAGAAATCAAAACTTCAAATTAGATCAAGACGCCATGCCATGAAGAACTACTTTCACCGCGAAATGGGTATACGCGTGGTTTTGTGCACAAACAAGCAAAAAAGCAAGATGAAAGCAACAGCCAACTTTTTGCCCGTGCCCTTTCTCTTTTCCAGCCCAGCCCATTCTGATGATGCATCGCAAGTGGCGAAAATCGAACGATGAGTCACTTTCTTCCTGCGCCAGCCACCTTCGATTCCAAAACACATGATGCCAGAAAGCAAAAAGCGCAGCAGCCTTCCATGCCCGCCCCCGGAAAAGTCAAATAGTATTCGTACAGTAGTCTCTCTCTCCCTGTCCAGTCAGCAGGATCCAGCATCGCCGTTGGTGATGAGCTGGCTTTGTATCCAATGAACTCCGTTGGTGGTATATCCCCGTTCAAAGCAAGTAACGTTTGGGTTGGGTATCAGTAAAATCTTCAGACGAATCATCGCGCGATATGCATGCAATCGACAAGTGAGAAAAAGCGGGATCGATGTATCAGAACTCCAAAGCCCCAAAGATTCGCCACCGTGACTCCAGGCAGCCGTCGTCGTCGTCCGTCGTAACGTCCCCTGTCGTCGGCCTCGTCTACGCGGTAGGATTGCGAAGGATCTCCTCGCAGTTGGCGTCGAACCGCATGCTCCACAGCCGCATCCCCGTCATCAGCTTCTCCGTGCGCTCCAACTCGCGGTCGCGACCGAAGATGGCGTCGACGAACTCGCAGCCGCTGTTCTTGCCCATGGTGACGTTCCTCGCATTGCCGCTCTCCTTCTTCGCGGCCTTCCACATGTAATTCTCGCAAATCTTCAACAGCTTGTTGAAGCGCTGCCACAGCCTCTCACCGGATTCGAGGAAGTCGTCGACGAGATCGCGCGATGTTGTTGACCGGATGCGCGGCATGCAGTCCTCGGCTCGCTTGACCTTGTGCGCCAGCTGGATGAGTAACAGCCAGAGTTCACCGGCGACTTCTGACATCGGGGTCCCCGGGCCATAGAAGAAGACTGTCCAGTCATAGATCCACTTGCCAAGTGAGTTGGCATCGAACACGCTTCCTAGCAACAGGATTGGCTCTTCTGTGGGATCCCAGTTCTTGTATGAGTAACCGGCAGGGATGCCGGCACGACGTGCATCCGCTTCGGTTGCCTTGGGCGGCGGCTGGGTGGCTGTGCTGGGACGGGAGCGAGGTGGCGGGTTGGTCGGCTTGGTGGATTTGGTGGTGTAGGACGCTCGTCGCTGGCGAGAGGGCTTGCTGCTGGAGTCGGCGGTGGTGTAGATGTGAACCTGAGGACGAGAATGTTGATCAGCTCGTGCTCCCGGGTCGTAGTAGCTTTTGTGGTGTCGCTGGTACGGCGGCGGTGATGGCTGCTCGCGTGGAGTGTAGCGCGGCAGTTCATCATACGAGCGGTCGTTGTAGTAGTCTTGATCCGTGCGAGACGAATAGTACTTGGTGCCGGACGACTTGCGATGCTTGGTGCTGTCCGTCGACACACGGTACGACCGCGTGCTTTCGCGCTTGCGTTCAGAGCCACTTACATAGTCGGCCTTGCGCTGAGGCGTGGATTGCCCGGAGGTGTAGTAAGTGTACTCTGGGGAGTATTGCGGCTGCTTGCGCGGCGTCGAGTTGGTGTAGGTGTAGGTGAAGGTGGTGCCGTCGCCCGTGGCTCTTCGTGTGTGGCCCTTGGAGGGGGTCGAAGCGTAGGCGTAGTTTCGTGGGGAGTAGTATCCGTACGATCCAGTCGGGGGTGGAGTCTCAGGATAACTGTATCGTGCATAGTGCGGCGGAGGCACTGGATATGACTGGAATGTTGCCATCGAGGGCCGATGGGGAGGCGTCCAGAGCGCCTCCTGTCGTTAGAGTGAAATCGTATGCGTAGTCGAGCGTCGCCAGGTTGTCGTGGGAGTTATCTGGGGCCGTGTCGACAGCGTAGCGGAGGGCGAGAGGAGAAAGGTCGAGTCTCGATCTCTCGTCGTCCGTGCATTGGAGTTGATGATTTGGAGGTGGATGTCCAAATCTGAGCGAGATCACCGAATGACCTCGTAGCGTCCAGAAAGGTCGTTGTTGTTCGTGGTTTAGTAATGGCTGCAGCCTTGGGAGGAGAGTGAAAGAGCGAGGTTGGGCGGCGGAGGAAGCGTCTGAGTTTGTATCCGCGCCGCTGCGCAAGGAGAGCGGCCAGGCGAGCAGGGGCCAAGCCAAGTGCTTAGGAGTGTGGCTGAAAGCGAAAACGGCTGCCGTGGGCTCGGGCCACTCAGGGACGACGAATTTTAAAGGCGACCGGGTGCGAAAGATGAGTCGACGGGGCGGTTGGCGTCGTCGTCTCGTCGTCTGTCCAGGAGGGCAGAAAAAGGAGAGCGGTGCTATTTGGGCGCAGCGAGGGCGGGGATGGCCTGTCTTGCCAACGAGTTTGGACTTGACACGCAGGCCGCCGCATGCACCGCGGGCCGAGTCGTCTGCAGCAAGCAAAAGCAGCGTGCGGCCAAACCAACAGCGACAGGATGCCGGATGCATGCAGTGGTTATACCGCTAGTAATGTAGCCATCATTGGGACGCCCGGAGCAGTCTGCAGCTTGACGCCTGTTCTCGCAGCAGCCCTGCCCGGTGCATCCGAATGCGCAGTGATAGTATGTAGCCAAGTATCTTGTATACGGCTCTTACGAGAATCTACTCGCACTGTCTTTGTGTCGCTCACATAAGCGGCAGCGTGGCGATGCTCAACTCGGGCAGTAGCTCAAAGCGGCATCGTGAGGGCGACGACGGCGAACGAGCATCCCCTATCATTCATCAGGATGCCCGTAGTGTGCGCCCACACCCGCTGCCATCCCACGACGAGACCGCCTCTGCTGCTGGCCTTGTCGGAGTTGGAGTGGTGCAGCTGTTCACGCGGTGCGACGCCCATCACACATCGTATCGGCCATGTGCCGGGATCTCCTTCCATCCTTCCTTTCCCACTCTCTGGGTGAAGCTCCGTCCCGCGCACGCCGTACCGTTCGCGCATCTCTCTAGCAGCCGTTGAAACCTCACCCGTCCACACACGCTCTTCCAATCTTCGAAATTCAAGCGGCCGTTCGGAGCCACTCCCACGCGCAATGTTCAAATTCCTTCCCCGACAAGGTTTGCGTGTGTCGCGGCCCAAGATCCAACGCCTTTGCTGCCAGCTGAGCTCGTCGCCAGCTCGCTGCTGCTGCTCTGCTCACTACTGGACGACACACTCGCGTGCAGAGCATTGAGAGGGCGAGTGCAGCACGCCCCAACAGGACGTCACGGCCAGCGCACACCACGGCAATGCAGCAGCGCATGCCAGACGTCGCGCTTAGTGTGAATGTGGCGCTGCGATGCCTCGTTGATTGGCCCACTGCCCTCGCCGAACTGCTGCGCTAGAATTGCATTTATCTGATTGGCTCTCCCGCACGCGCTTCAGCCCAAGCGCCTGCCTGCCAAGCATACCATGGACCAGTATCAACATCAGGCGGTGGGCACTTTCGCCCTGCTGTCGTGTGCTGCGCTGTGCTTGATCCATCACCGCCTGCGAGAAAACTCTTCACCTCATCGCAGCCACCGGTATGACTCCTCCCATCCTGCACGCTCCCAGCTCTTCCCATGGCGCCAAACGCTCGTTGAGATGTGGCCTGGTTTCACTCTGGTACGACCAGCTTGCTTGCAATCACTGGCCAACGTCCCAGATTCCACCCGACCCACACCGCACTCGATGCCGTACATTGGTCTCAAAGGCAAGATGGCGTCAACACAGGCTAACGCGTCGTGTCAGGTGCGCTCTATCCTCTTCTATCTCTGCTGTACGTTACTTGCACAACACCCTCGCGGGTAGATGCGTCTGTCACTTTCCAGGGCACATTACAACTGTCCTGTCATTTTGCACACACGGTCACGCTTTGCCGCAGGGGTTCGCGAATGTAGAGAGCGTCCGAACGGGAAGCTCGCAACCGTCCGCTCATAACAGACAAAGAACCATCTCCGCGTTTGTGCCACCTGACCGCTCTCCGGGCGACTTCCGTTGGCTCGTGTTCAAATCTGTGGAAGGACCGGTGAGATGCCTTCCATCCGCGACCCGCGAGACACATGAACATCTGTTCAACGAGCGGCTTTATCGATCCACGGCTATGTGCATTGGTCGTGAAATCACAGCCTATCGTTCGCCATTCGAAGGCAATCAGGAACGAGGCAACACACGAGGCCGCCACCACTAAAACCCCAGCCACCTAATGACAGGGAAATATCGCGATTGGTTATGGTGGGTACCCTTTCCGTCTCTTCATGCTTTGTCGATCATGGGGCATTCAATATCTCTGCGCGACACTCCCCTCAGGTCCCAGCCACGTGCCTGTTTCTCCTCATCTGTCGGTTCCTGTGTCTCTCAACATGTCACATCGATATATTGCTTCCTTCATGCGCGCCATGCAGGATTGAGCGGATGTGCCACGACACTGGATGGTACCTTGCATTGTGGAAGGGTCATCTGCTTGTTGATAACAAAGTCCTTGTGGTACATTGGTCAAGCCGCGACAAACCGGTCGGCCTCTACTTTGGGTGTGTTGCACCGTACAATAACAAACGTACGGATTTGTGGGAAAGAGAGTACATATCATGTGCGTGGAGCAGAGTGGTTGATCCTGAGGAGTTACTCAACACAGGCTTCTCTGAAAGTAAGTCCGTGGCAAGGCATTGTGAGACGACTCTGACTCTTGGGCTTGGGTTTTGGAAACTGTCTCTGTCCATCCTTTCAGAGTGTAGAACACTGAACTTTGCAGAGGGATGCAGATGGTATGACTCTCTTGAGCACCGACTGACACCACCACTCTAGCTCAGGAGGCATCAGGGTTTTCGACCTGAGTACATCTTCTTCATGCTTGAAGGAGGGAAGGCAACCATGACCATTGAAGACTACTGACATACGAGCAACCCTGCTGGCCATCTGTCTCCCAGCAATTGCAGTAGGAATCCCTCCACGCACGGTCTTGGGCATTTGCATCCTGAGGGCCACCAATGCTCATTGCGAAGAAGAACGAGCGACTTACACTCCTCCAAATTCAATCGGTAGGTTGCAAAGAGTTCTATATCTCTTTGTCGTCAGAAAGTTCACATCCCTCTTGCTTTGTCTTTCCTCCCGTATCGTCGAATGCGGATGTTGAAGTGTCTGTAACAAAGACAATGAGCGAAGCATTCTGGAGACTCAAGATGCATTCCATCTCCTGCCACCTGGTCTGGAGGCCAAGAACAGTTGCAAGATGGATGCTTCTCCGACATCAGAGTCTGGCTTGAAGCCAGAAGGCAGCGTCGCGGCCAACAGCTTCGACGACACAAATCCGACCTCGCCATCTCAACAAGACATTCTCAGCCCCGCCAGTTTTCGAGATGATGCGACCGACAGGAGCCCGGTGCTGTCCCCCAATGCAGGCGGCGAGCGACTTGGAGATGTTCTGAGCGATGCTGGAAGCTCGGAATACGTACAATCTCCCACCAATGCTGCATTCTCACCGGGATCTCAAAATGGGGAAGCTCAGCAATCGTCCCTACCACCAGGTCCTCCTGGAACATCAGGACTTTCAGCAGACAATGCTGAGCCACTCCGATCACCCAGCATTGCAGATCGCAGAGGACGGGCTCTGGCTCCAGTGCACTTTGCACAGGGGACGAAAGCTGAGACTCCTCCTCGTCCAGGCCCATCCACCGACGGAAGACCATCTGCATCAACAGCCGCCAATGCAACTGTGGTGGACATCATAGTTAAGCTCGACCTCCTCCCAGCCATGGCAGCTCTACGTGCCTCCGCTCGACCAGGAGCAGATCCCGAAGAAGCCCACAAAGCCCTCGAATTGGCCACCAGAGCGCGCGACTATGCCCAGCAGCACGGCGCCGATACAGCACTGATCGGACAATGCAACTACTACATGGGAGTGGCGAGCATCGCCGTGGGCGAACCAGACAAAACCAAAACCATCAAGCTCTTCAACGAGGCCCTCGCCGCCAAAGGACTCAACACCGAAGGCGACTCAGCCGCCAGCTGGATCAACTACGTCCACGAACAACAAAAACAAGCAAGCCCCGGAAAAGAAGGAGCACAACCAGACTCCAGCACCAAACCCACCTCCCTCCTCGGTCAGCTCTTCAACCCCGTCGCGACAATGCTAGGTGCCACACGATCCTCCTGGTCCGGCTCCTCAAAGACTTCATCCAGCGCACCGAAAAGCCCCCCCAAACAAGCTGGCCTCTACGCCCAAATGGCGCCCGCCCGCCGCGAGAAAATCCTCGCCGCAAGACCCGCGACGCAACGCATGGCGATTTGGAGTTCCTCCAGCGACAACGACAGTCGCTGCGGTGGAAGCAAACCACCCCCCAAACCCGCCTTCCCCCAACGTCGAAGTGCGCAAAACCTCCCCTCCTTCCACTCCTCCCAATCCAGCCGCCCCGTAACCCACGAAGAAGCCGAAGGCCAACAAGCCCAAAACCTCCCGAAGAAATTCATCATGAAGAAAGACAGCCAGGGGAATTTCATCCACCTGAATACGGATCTGAAGTATAACGCGGAGCATCCGTTCGTGGTGGATGTGCCTTTTGTGGTGAGTCCGGAGAGTTATGAGGTTGTTGCTGCGGTGGGAGATGGGGATGGGGGAGAGGGGGATGGGGGAGAGGAGAAACCGAAGAAGATTAGGTATTTTATCGTGAATCCGGATGCTACTGATCCTTCTTCTTCTTCGCCTTCGGGAAGGAGTAGGAGTGTGGGGGTGGGGGCGCAGCGCCAGACCTCGTTACATCACGCCGATGGTGAGGTGGTGAAGCCGCCCAAGAAGAAAGGCAGCTGGATCCACAGGTTGAGCCTGGCGGCGACGACGGATCCGCGCGTCTCGAAGAGTTTGGAGGCGATGGTTGAGGAGGGCGAGAGTCCGTTGTTTGAGAAGCCGAAGGGGTGGGGGCGGTTTGATGGGGATGGGAGGATTGTGGAGAGGGGGACGGCTTGAGGGGGGTTGGTGGAGGAGAGGGGAGGGGAGGTGATAGGGGGAGATGGGTGCGGGTGTGTGTGGGATTGGTGTTCCGTATGTTTTTGTAAACTGACCTTTGGAATGGTAGATAGTGTATCGTAATGTGCATTGGTGCGGTATAACACTCTTACGTTGTCTATTCCGATAGTTTTAAGACTTCATTAGAATAGTTACCTTTCGAAGTCGCCAACTTCTGCAGCAAGGGGGTCTTGCGAGAGAGCCTCCATATGCAGTAGCTGCTGCATGTTAACACCTCTGTTGGGAATAATGACAGCTGCAATTTATGCAAATAGCCTCTGCCTTAATCTTCACTTATATAATGTTGGGTCATCTGCTCCCTTGCTCTCCCACCAATCTCCCCAGATGAACTCCTCCTTCCCCCGTCTTCACCCCTAATAATCGATGAACGGCATCGCGATCTCCGCCAACGTCGCTGTCCACACCATCTCGCAGTCGTTGCTGCCCAACACCGCGACCTGCACAACGCCCGGCCCCAGCTTCAACCCCTCATCAGTCAGCTCGTTCAGCGTGAGTTTCAGAGTGCTCGTCGCCTGTTGTCGGATAGCGCCAGCTCCGAACACGAACAGCAGCACATCGCGTCCCTCCAACTGCTTCTGCTTCAGGACTTCGAGCGTCTCGCGGCTTTTGACGTCCCCGACTCGGAGGTGTCTGAGGTGGCGGAGAAGTGGTCCCGGTACGCGGCGTTTGAGCCAGGCGATACAGGCGTTTGCGTCGGAGAAAGTGAAGATGGTGCGGCGGTAGTAGATGGGCTCGACCTCGTGCCGGATTTGGCTGCTGACTTGGAGGATGCTGACGTTGGAGTTGCTCGTGGTGAGGGCGACGTTTGGATCGAATTGGGTGCTCTTGCTCGTATTGGGGGTGATGCTTTTGATGCTGGCGGTAGACCCTTCGCAAGCGAATTCGTAGATGAGATCGCGGAGTTCTCGGGGGAGAGTGAAGAGGTTGGGCTTCTGGGGGGTTGACGATGGCTCATACATGATGGCGGACGTCTAGCTTTCGAGATAATGTTGGTGCAGAAGCAAGAAGTCGCCAAAAGAAAGTGAAGTTCTGAAGTTCATGTGAATTCGGCGCTAGTCACCACTAGCGTCGTCTGGCCCGGCAACCCACACAAACACTTCTAGCTGCTTCCAACACTTCCAGCAAATCTGCAGCTGAGAGACACCGCTTCCACAACTCTCACGGCAACTACAACAATGGCGGCCGATCCAGGCTCCGACCTCGAGGAGGAAGCAGCCGACGTTCCCTACCTCCTCTGGACCTTACCCCAAGAGCTCCGCGACATGATCTACGAACTCGCCTGCGACTTCGAGGTCACCATCTTCTCGACCACCAGAAAGTCCGCCGTCACGACGTGGAACCCCGCTGCCGACATGCGACTCAAAGCCAAGCAGACTAACATGGGACTGCTATCGGCGTGCAAGCAGCTTCGTGTCGAGGCGCGGAAGGTCTGGTACAAGCACACCCTCTTCACGTTTTCCAGCCCCATCGCATGTGCGACCTGGTTCAAGCGCCACGTGCCGGCGCAGTTCCAGAGCGTCGTCAAGCACCTCCGAGTCACTTCTCCTGGCGCTGAAGGCAGATGGTTTTCTCTCGTCAAGCAAGGCGGTCGAATGCCTCTAGGCAGGCTTATGGCAATCGAAATCAAGTATCGAGCTAAGGAGACTCTTTTGAGTGTTCGGGCCCAGATCCGTGAGCCCCTGCTGTCTGTGCTGCCGCCGGATGCTTTGCAAGTAGAGATGTTTGACAGCAAGTGGACGCCTGTCTGGACCTCGACGCCGGATGAGGTGGAGTTGCCGAGGACTAAGATGAAGCCGGCTAGGTATTTCTTCCCATACTACGCAAATTGAACAGAGCTGAGTTTTGTTCAGACTTCAACTGAAGACGACTCCAGCTCCAGCTGCTGAAGTGTGAAGGACGAGGTGCATCCGTGAGAGGCATTCTGGGGAGTTGGTGCACTGCTGGATAGCTGGATAGGATACGAATTCACGGCTTTGAAAGCTTAGATCCAAGTGTGAATCTTCATGTGAAAACGACGCTAGTTTCAGCCGGCGTCGCACGGGCCCTCGCCACGTCACTTGACTTCGTTTGCACCTGCACTTTCAAACAGTTCTCTTCTTTCATCGTTTGACCCTGTTATACAGTTCCCATCGCCAAAGATTGCTTGAAGTGGACCGAACGCCGCCATCCTCCATCTAGTCGTCGGCCTTTGTTTCACAATTCAGCTTGGAAGTCGTGGTCACGCCACGTCAACAATCGCCCTCGACTTCATCAGCAACCTCTATCTCACTTTTGAGGTTCATCTCAACCTCAGAAGCTCCAACCGAGCCTTCGAATGAGCACACTCCGATACACCAATTAACGACCCTCGCTGAGACGTCGCTATCATGACATTCCCCGACAAAGCCTCAAAGGCGTCCAAGACAACCCTCTTCACCCTCCCCCGAGAACTGCGCGACATTATCTACGAAGACGCCTGCGATGAAGTTGAGGTGACCATACGCCCTGGCCATGATAACAAGCCACGGAGACACGCCCGTCTCTCACCCTATGCCAATATCGGTATTCTCACCACCTGCACGCAGATGCGAGCAGAGGCCCAGAAGATCTACTACCCGAAGACCCTGTTTGCGTTCACCGATATCATGTCTCTGGCAATCTGGCTACGAGCCCAAGTCCCGCCTGCGCTGCTAGGAAGCATCAAGACGCTTCGTCTAGCATGTGGCAGGATCAAGCAATTGCCGATAGTCATTGCCTATGCGCGTCGTCATGTCCACCAGCCAGGACTCTGCAATCTCCAAATTGGATTCTACCAATCGTTCAGGAAGGACGCGAAAGCAAAGCTCGAGGAGGCGAAGGTCTCGTTGAACAAGATGTTGGGCACGAACATGCTCGCCATCTTGCACCCGGAGGCAATCCAAGTTCCTGTCGTCAATGGGAAGTTTGAGGTGGTCTGGACGTGCGAGCCGGACGCAGTCCCGCTCCCCACGTACGATGATCTGGTCAAGTTTGTGTGAGTATGAGTTGCCTTGAAGTCAACTCCAGCACAGCTAATATCATACAGTGGTAAGAAAGGCTGAGTGAGAGGCAGCGGAACAGAAATACCGAGAGTTGTCATAGAGAGGATTCTCAGTGAGAAGGGGGTCTAGTTACTGTCTTCTTGTATCTTCAACAGCTTAGACCGACGCGGAGAAATGGGAATAATAGTTTCACTAGAGTCCCTCCTTCTCTGTCTACGAAACGTCAGCAAGGATGATATCGCAGATGGACGTCTGGTCGAGAGGAGGAAAAGACCGTGCTAAAAATGAAATGTAGTGATACGTGTCGGTCGGGCCTTCGTCGTTGTCCCCAAAATGGCACACTCATCTTCATTACTCGCAAGCCATCTAATAGGCCTACCTTGCGATTGAGAGCGTGGTAACCAGTAATACATTGGAGATATGGCAGTTTTTCACGATGGATGCAAGGGGTCCGCGGTGTTCCCAAAGAGGCAAGAAGCACAGTCACTGCTAGCGTCATGCACGTGCTAGAACTACATAACAAGCTCAGCTCGCCGCTTCTCCACCTTCAATGCTATAGAACTTACATCAACCTCACACCTTAAACAACCCGAGATTCCAAGACCCAACCCGCAAGAGCCGCCATAATAGCTAAAACACCATGTCTTCAACTTCAAAAACGACCTCGACATCCTCCATCACCTTAAGAGAAACCCCAAGTAAAACCCGCAACACCACCCCCACAAAATCCACCACCTCATCCCCCATCCCACTCCTCTTCACCCTCCCCACCGAACTCCTAGACCTCATCTACGAATTCACCTTCTCCGACTTCACAGTCCACATCGGCGCCCGCTTCTGCAACTACGGCCAAGACCGCTTCGGCTACGCCGGCTGGAAAGCAGTCACTCTCCACGGTAATCCTAATACCGGGATCATTGCGACTTGTAAACAGATGCGGGCGGAGACACAGAGACTCTACTACGAGAGAGGCGTGTTTTCTTTCGAAGACGCAAAAGCGTGCGACACATGGCTTCTGCGGAGTGTCCCACCGGAGATGTACAGTGCCATTCGAGTTCTCCGCGTGCCAACGCCCTGGTGCGAGGATATGTTCGAGGACCTGGAGAAGAAAAGGTTTACCTACGAAGGTAGTTGCGTCGCGAGGTTGATTAACGACCGGGCGCTGTATACGCTCCGCGAAGCGCGGGCGGAGATTGGGCAGGAGATATTGGGGAGGTTGTCGGGGGGTGTGTTAAGGGCTAAGGCGGTTGATCGGATGTTCGGGGTTGTGTGGACGTCGATGCCGTGGGAGTTGGGATTTTGTATGGAGGTGAGCAGTAGGGCGTGAGGGGTGGTGATGTTTTGGTGGATTGATTTTTTGGGTAAATATGTTGGCACAATACTTGTTAACGCAAACAAAACCATCGATCTCCTCCACCCCTTTCCTCAGCCTCGCTAACCGCCTGGCCTCCCATAATCCCAAAGACATATGCTAATCCTACCATCTCCCACTCTCCAGCATCCCTTTTCCTTACCACAAACGGCCACTCCCCGCCATACAACACAACCACCGCATCTGCCTCTCGCATCGTCTGCGGTCCAATACCCATTCTCCCAGCTGCTGTAAGGAAGAACCTCCTTCGATAGCACGCTCGCCAGGAAGCTTCTGCGTAGCGGGCGGCGGGGAGGAGGGCGGGTGGTGTGTCTTTAAGATTGAGAGGTGGGCGTTGCGGATCTTTGAAATAGGGTTTGAGGTCAGCGTAGCCTGCAAGATCGGAGGGAGTGGCGAGTTCGCGAGAGGACGATTCTTCCGCGCAAAGGGTGGTTGCGATTGCCTTTTCGATGTCTTTGTTTTTCTCCCTAGTTGCAGGATGGCTGTTGACTATATCCTCGACAGTGTTCAAGAACTCTTCAGTCATGGATTTGCCGAGGAAGCGCTCAGTCACCACATTCACTCGTGCCCCTTCAGCGCCATCGACAAAGACGCCTTCCAGATCGATCGTTTCCAATCCACTCTTGATCGATCCAATCTCACTCAAAGTCCACTCCCCACTCGCCTTAAACCCTCTATGCAACGGCGTCGGATCCATCTCAATATTCCAAGGCCGATGCCACTGCGGTACCCAAGACGGAAGATCCAGCCCACCTTCATCTTCTTGCTTATCGAATCTATGATAAATATCATGGAATGGAACGAGATCCCCTCCTTCTAGGATAGCTTGCCGGGTAGCGTCGATGAAGACTTCAATTACGGATTTGCTGTAGTCTGGTCGAAGTAGCTTCGGGAGTTCCTGGCTGGAGAACTCATTGTACAGTCCTAAGAGTCCGAAGATATGATCCACGGGCTGGCTACAAGAGAAGTTCCGCAGCTCTGTGAGGAGATGATGTGTCAGAGACACTTCTGGAGTTTCCTCATTCTCACTGCGAAACCACCCCTTTGATTTTGCGTGGTGAAACCATCCACACTGCTTGTCCGCGAAGTCTGAGATCCGCCATGCTCGTGCAAGAACCCGTTGTGCGTCAGCGAAGAAGCCGAGATCGACGAACTCCCGCTTTGTCCATATCCATTTCGCTACACGCAGAAGTGTGAGGAGGTCGAACGAGTAAGGACCACAATGACAGATGTTGGAAGATGCGAGAGAAGCTTCCTGAACGACCCAAAGTCGGCCGAACCATGCCTTTGAACATAGTTCTAGAAAGGGCTTTGTGTCAAAGTCCTGCTTGAGCCTTGAGTTGCGGTGGAGGTAGAAGTTTGGTCCGCCAGAGAACGGAAGTGTCGTGAACTCCTCTGTTTCCTCTTCAATTTCTTTGATCAAGCGGTTCATGCTTTCGATAGCTTGCTCGGTCTCTACATCGTTCTCCCCAAGCCAGATGAGGTTCGCCTCAGCGGATGCATAGATTAAGTGCATCTTGGTGACTTGCACACTGCGTTCCTGAACGTTGCTTTGATCGATACACACCGCATCAATCCACAGCACTCGTGGTTTGTCAGGGTGTCGAAATCGGCGTAGAACTTCAGCAGTGCTTATTGGTACAGAGAGACTCTTGCCAGCCACTTCGATGGAGACAGACGAAGATCGTTCTCCCCAGCAGTAGGATACTGTCTCGTAGTGCTGGGTGGCGGTCGAGGCATGTTGGAGCTGGCATTTGATCGTGCCGTTCGTGTCGCCGGGCTCCAAATGCAGCAGGCGTATCTCGTCGCTATCGGATCGGAGAGCCTGATATTCGTACAGTGGCGGCATTGGCCTGTAACCAGGTATGTGTCGGGAGAAGAAGGCATGTACGGGTAAAGACATGTACTAGATGCAGCTGAGAGCTGAACGTGACTAAGCGGCTAGAGAACCTAAAGGTATCATAGGTCATCTCGATGCATTGTGAAGAATTAGTGTCGGGTGGCCCGAACGTCTCATACCGCATATCTAGAGCAAGTCGTGCATCATGTGTCGTTCAGACCTCGTGCTAAACACCATCCCATCATCGTATTTCCAACCAAACGCCAGAACTCCATATGTCCATGAGTTGCATCGCTCCTACGAGTATCGCTCGAACGCTAGAAACCAAGAATCGAAGGCAAGCAAGCCCTGTGATGTCGAAGTAGTGTACAGGCACTGCACCATGTCGGCTGGTTGTCTTACCGAGTGCCTTCGCCGAAGCCCTGTCGAGTGTTAGCTAGTTGTCTTGCGAGAAGGACGACGTTGAAGACTTACGTAGATGGTCCTGCCCATGCGATTCAAAGCGAACACCACATCCGTGACGCAGACAGTCTTGCGACCGCAGGACTCTACGACAAGGCAGATGTCCTTAAGGAGCTGTCAGGTGTCAGTCTCGATCAACAATAAATGAAACCTTACTAGCACGAACCATCTCCAAATGCCTCCTCAACTGCGTCCGCGTCTCATCATAAATCATGCCCGAGATCCGCTTAACACCACCCCGTCGTGCAAGCCGACGAATATCGCCCTTCGTCACGCCCTGGATGTTGTCGCGGAGGATCTTGCTGTGAAAAAATTAGTCACGACATCCACGATGCAGAAAGAGCAAACAAACACAACTCACCGATGCCGCTTGGCCGTCTTCCCGCCCTTGCCCAAACCCTTCCCTCCAACGCCGATGCCGACTCCCTTCTTGCCGCCGCCGCTCATGCTTGTGCCCGCTCTGGAGTGTCGGTTCGGTGCAGAAGATGAACTGGCGTGCGGGACGTCGGAGCGGATGAGGGGCGTGTAGGCGCGTTTAGCCATGTCCGCTAGTTGAAAAAGGAACAACTGTTTTGTAGGCTGCTGCAGTGACAAGTGAATGGTGAAGGCAAGTTGATGTTGTAGAGAGAGTGAAGCGGAGCGAAGCGAAGCGCCCGTAAACACGGCTGGTGGGTCCGTGCGCGTAATGTGATTGGCTGAAGGGGCAGGGATGTTGGACTTCACTTCACTGGAAACAACTTCGTGTTTGACTTCTACATGTTACATTTGGGATTTTGGAGAGCGTGCCAGAACGTCTGATGAGTGTTATAGTCATACAGACTAAATGCGTGAGCTGTGGACAGTTCATGCTTTCGCGGCGACAGCAGTCTCGCTTCATTGCAGGACAGCCTGTGTGGCACAGCGCGACGTTGTTCCTTTTACAGCTCCAACGACATCCGTTCCTTCTTCAACAGGCTATCGCCAGCTCATGTCCCGCATCTTTTCCCGGCGTGTTTGCTATCCCAAATCACTGGTGCATCTTGCGAGGCGTCGTCCTGCTCTTCCTTGCCGTCTCTCTCTTCTGCCGAACTCCAATCTTTTCAGTACGATCAGGCGCCCGGGAGGATCGCCTCGCCAAAACCCTGTCATCTGTTAGTGGAAAAGGACTCCAAAAAGTCAACCTAGAACAAGTACTTACGTAGATGGTGTTGCCCTGCTTCTTCAAGGCATACACGACATCGAGCGTGGTAACCGTCTTGCGGCCAGCGTACACTAGAAGAACAAAGTCAGCGCATGGCAAAGTAAGCAGCAACGAAAGTCATACATACCGACGATGGTGATGACGTCGCGAAGCAACTATACGCATTGTCAGCAATGTTGCTCACGAAACCGATACGGGCTTGTACGTACGGCTTCGAGGCGCAGCTTCATGGCCAGTCTCGTCTCTTCATACACATTCTTCTGGATGCGCTTGACGCCGCCACGACGAGCGAGACGACGGATGTCGGGCGCTGTGATGCCCTGGATCTTGTCGCGGAGGACTTTGCTTTGGCGAAGTTAGTACGAGAACTTGCCACCAAAAAGGGGGTACTCACCGATAGCGACGGGACTGGCGAAGGTCTGGACGGACCGGGACTGCAAGACCCAAGGGAGGAGGTGCGCCGCTGCCACCGTTGCTCGCATTGCGGCGGAAGTCAGAGATGGATCTCTGGGCGTCGGTGGTGATCGCGCTGTTGGCGCCTCTTCCTCCGGTCGCCTGAGTGCGATATGGTCCGCCGAAACCAACCACGGACTTGCGCGCGGTGGGCTTCTTGCCCTTCTTGGACGAGGTCGCGGAGCCGGCAATCACACCTTGAGAGTTGCTGTCGATATTACTAGCCATCTCTGCATTCTGTTAGTTATCTTGCGTCCAAGGTACTTCCAATCTGCTTACTTCTCGTCGACAAAAGCGGTTTCTTGTAGTATCTGCTCGCAGCGCAGGATGAAGTATCGTATTTTCGTAAGTTCCTCCTCTTTGACAATGAGAAACTGATGGTGAGCGCCTTCGAGTTCGATTCGCCGTCTGGATATCTTCCACCAACGTTGTCGGTGATGTTGCAGCAGTGAAGTCAAGTCGACAACTCGCTATCAAAAGACATGCCATCCTGCGTTAGCGGCAAGGCATCCAAGCGTTTCATTGTTGTCCGAAGTGAGCCCGAAAATCACATGTTAATTTGCATCCAGAATGCAAACGGTGTCTAGAGTAAGCTTCCAGGCTGGAAGGCAGCTCCGTAGCTTCACTCCACGCTGGAGGCATTCGCCCATCATTTTCAATGCGAGGACGTGATTGTCGTTGTAAGCACGAGAACAGGAAATGCGAGCCTGGGCGAGTGTTGTCCTGCTTCATTCAGTGTGTTGGCTGGCACTCTGTCGATGGTCATCGAGTTGAAAGTGACCTACGTTGAAGGGCATGTGGCTGTATGTCGTCTGATGCCCGATTGAGAAATGAACAGTTGACGGTAAGCTTAAAAGTTCCCAAGCGGCAGCATGGCTGAGATCACACTTGAAGGCACGTGGGCAGAGACGTGATCACGGATCATTCAGTCCGAGGATATGAATCTATCTTCATGTCATTATTTCATCTGCCATGCGACTAAAGGCAAGCAGAAGTGACAAGATGCATGCAAGCCGTGAGGGTGTCAAAAGCAGGGGCAATTACGTATCGCTGTTGTGTCTTCCATCATATCCACCAACTCCAGCATGTCGAAACAGAAATGCCGTACCGTTTCCACTACCATGAATATCTCCTCACGAGATGAAAGTCGCCTCCATGAAAACCTGGGCATCCTCCTCCTTCTCCTCCTCTCCCAACTTCACCTTCAACTTGAGCTTTGGTGTGTACTGGTAGATGTACGGCTTCGTTCCGGCGGCGCCTGCGACGATCTGCTTGACGAATTTCGGAAGCTCGCCCATTACGTCGATTCGGTCTGTTCGTGGCTGTATGGCACCTTTGACCTCGGCGTGTAGGTCTTTGCCATCCTTGGTCTTGCCGTCCCAGGTGAAAGCGACAGCACCAGGTTCTGGCCAGTTTGGTTCCGGATCGCCCTTGACCTCAGTGTGCTGAGCCTTGGTGGATGGAGAAGCACCAGCGAAGACGATCTCGCCGTCCTTGACAATGCCGCCGATGTTGACGACCGTCTCGCCATATGAGGGTGGGGTGGTGTACTCCATCATGACGGCAGTATAGGTCGGCGCTGGCACCCAAGCGAAGTTCCATTTGGCGGCTGCGAGCTGTTAGTGTTTGCCGCCCTTCAGAAGGAGCTTTTTCGACCCACCTGCGAAATGTGGCTTCATGCCCTGAATGGCATGGATGAAAAGTCCCAATCCCTTGAAGTCAACCGGTCCGTCCTTGGTGACGATGCTACCCTCAACCCGACATCTTGGCCAGAACTTGTGGTACATCTTCCCCCAGGGATGCGCAGAATCCGTTCCAAACGTGCTGGTTCCGTTCTTGCCCACCACGAAGCCTGGTGTTACCTGAGTGAACTTGAGATCCACGTTCGCATCCTTGCTCGTCGTCGACTTGATCTGATAGCTCTTTCCGTCCTCGCTGATGTCCACGGAGCAATGATCAGCCTTGAAGTTCTGTCTGTCCTTGGAGAAGTCGAAGTTGTGTAGGTTGTCTGAGGTCCACACGTGTGGCTTGCTGGCATCATTAGAGAAGACCTTGCTGCTGAATTGAGCCGTCGTCCTCACTCCCCTTCAAACACCGAATCAGCTATCCATCTTGACTTCCACTCCCCGCTATTGCTCACAAGACGTTGCTGTAGATGACCTGGGCCATGCCGATGCGGCCGTCGTCGCTGACCATGTAGAAAGTCTTGGTCTCGACATTGGTGCCGTCCATAACCTCCCAGGCGAGGTCATTTTTGGTGAGCTCGGTGTAGGGTGTCTCGGTCGCCTGCTTGGCTACGGACTGGATGCCCTCAGGGCCATAGTGGTGGTCCGTGAGGCCCACGCTGTAGGAGACATGTTAGTGCGGCGGCGGACAGATGGGGAATAGATTCGCACATGCGTCTGCTTGACCCAGTTGAACATTTCAGCTGGATGTGGTGTGTATTAATCGGTCGAATTCCTTGTGTTCATGGGAATGGGTGTCGATGTTGGTATGTGGTCTCTTTGCGGTGTATGCTCTCAGCACGAGCCGCAGCAGCAACGCGCTTTTCATCCCACCTTCCAACTGACATCACCGGCGTTGGCTCCGTTGACGCCGGCGCAAACAAGTCCGGGAACTATACAAACGACTGCCAAAGGTGTTGGGGTCAGGCCATCTTCTGCAAAGTTCGCTCCTTGACCACTTCCCTCTCGTGCGGTCGCCAGAAGCAGCATATATGAAGCAGCATCTCCTGCAAGGCGCACTTCTCTACCCCATGCTCTCTTCTCCGCCCTCCACACCGACTCGATGATGAGCACAAAGAGCCGCGTTGCTGGCGGGACTACCAAACGTGGAAGAAGAGACCGCCTCCTCAATGCACCGAATCCAGCGAACCCGCCCATTAATAAGTGTTGGATTGGCAAGAATGCAGCACGACTGCAGGCTAAGGTAGTATCTCTGCTGTTTCTCCTCAACAATTCCAGACCGCATCGATCTTTCCTTCATCACCTCTTACCACCTCTTTGAATGTCTTTCCGCCCTCTCTCCTACACTCCAAGCAGAACAAGATGGCCTCGCTAGTGTTCGCTGCTGGGCTTGATGTCAAGTCTGAGGGAGAACAGGCTAGACCATCAGTGGCAGACTCTGGCAAGAGAGGCCCTTCGGTGGAAGAACTGGATTCAATCGAGCTCGCAGACTACGGCAGTCTCAATAAGAAGAACTACTCCGCGGCCATCACTCCGGCCGGTCCTCAAACACCAGCCGAAGCGTATACGCCAAAATGGGACACTTCATCGCACAAGACTCCAGACGAACTGGAGAGGAGCCAGCCACCTACTCCAAAGCAGGACACTGCAGCGTCAGTTATGCCGAGCTTTTGGTATCCGAAGATGAGCAAGTTTCGAGTTCTGGCGTGTTGTCTCATCTACTTTGGGAACGGCATGAGTGACAGTGCACCAGGTGCCCTGATTCCGTACATCGAAGACTGGTACAACATCGGCTATGCCATCGTCTCGCTCATCTGGATCACCAATGCGGTCGGCTTCATCCTCGCTGCCTTCTTCACAGACCTGATCTTGGAAAAGCTGGGGCGCGCCAAGACATTGATGGTCTCGGAAGTGTGCATGATAGCTGCGTATGTGGTGATAGCATGTTCGCCACCCTTTGCGGTCGTGGTGGTGGCGTACCTGCTGATGGGCTTCGGGAATGCTGTCAACCTGGGATTGAACAACGTCTTCTGCGCCAATCTGGCCGACTCCACCGTCATCCTTGGATTCGCCCATGGATCATACGGAATCGGTGGCATCGTCGCCCCCATCATGGCCACGGCAATGGTATCGGATGGCGTCCAATGGGCGCGATTCTACATCATCACCATCGGGATCCGGGCGGTCTGCTTCTTTTTCGCAGGCTGGTCATTCTGGAGCTACGAAAAGGAGGGTACAACACAGTTCGCAAATAGCCTCCAACAGATCGCCAGCCGGCAAGCTGCAGAAGAGATGGGCCAGCCGAGCAAGATGAAACTCCTTGGTCGAGCGCTGAAAAACAAGACGACGATTATCGGCGCCCTTTTCATCTTTGCTTACCAAGGCGCAGAAGTCTCGGAGTCTGGCTGGTTCATTTCCTACTTGATCAACTACAGAAATGGAGACCCCGCCAAAGTCGGATACGTGACGGCTGGCTTCTGGGCAGGCATCACCGTCGGAAGATTCACTCTCACACACCTGGCGCATCGCGTGGGCGAGAGGCCTTTCGTGTTTGCGATGGGTGTTGGCGTGATATGTTTCCAGCTGATGGCATGGTTCATACCAAATATTGTAGGCGATGCAGTTTCAGTGGCTATATTAGGTCTTCTTCTGGGACCGGTGTATCCGTGTGCCGCGACAGTCTTCACCAAGCTTCTGCCAGGAAACATCCAAACCACAGCGATCAGCTTCATCAGCAGCATGGGATCCAGCGGTGGAGCGATTGTTCCTTTCCTGACCGGGTTGATCGCACAGGGGGCTGGAACGTATGTGTTGCATCCTATCTGCATTGCGGTGTATGTGGTGATGCTTGGCTGCTGGACTATCTTGCCGAGAGTGAGGAAGGTATCTGCGGAGTAACATGAATGTGGCTGCTCAGAGTACACACCATCTACATGTACACCATCGACAAGCCGCCCGACGGCTCAAAAATGCAATCCGCGTTCTGGCCACTCTGAAGACAGACTTTCACATGCAGCCGACTGATGAGCATGATGATGTCTTCAGGATTGGCATATGCGATGAACGGACGACAGTGGGATCCAGGCGTGGGATGCGGTGAAGGTCAATGTTTCGGATCATGATGCCTCTGGTGGATGGCTGGAACTTTAATGTCAGGGAATGATGAGTATGCTTGATGAACAACGACTCAATTCTTCACTACTTTGCGCGTGCAACACCTCTCTCCTGATCATATTTGGTACATGTGACATGTTCAATGCTGAGCGTACCGTAGCATTGGACTCGTGGATGCTTGTGACATGACGCCGATCGTTTCTCAGCGCGGGGTGCAGCAACGCGCTAACCCCTGCCGTTTTTAAACTTTGTTCTGGCACGGGCCCTGCACAAGCGCGGCGGCAGAAATATCTTGTGCAGAAGCCGCCGCCATTTTTCTCTTCTTCTATCAACTTTTGGTCCTTGCTCCTCTCCCGCGGCCTCAGAGGTGACAAGCTGCATACAACCATGGCCGAGCAGGAGACGGGCGGCATGATGGCCCTCGAGGTCAAGAACGGCGACGACTCGATTCGCTTCTGCGAGGGCCGAAGCTTTGGTGCCCAGCGCAGCGTCGCCGGCGAGCTGGTCTTCCAGACTGGCATGGTCGGCTACCCCGAGTCCATTACAGACCCCTCATACCGAGGACAGATCCTCGTCATCACATTCCCCCTCGTGGGCAACTACGGCGTGCCGCCTCGAGACGCCAAAGACCCCATCTTACCCGACCTCCCCGCTCACTTCGAGGCCTCCGAGATCCACATTGCAGGTCTTGTCGTGGCTTCCTACTGCGGCGAGGACTACTCACACTACCTGGCCGACTCGTCCTTGGGCCAATGGCTCAAGGAGCAGAATGTGCCCGCCGTGTGCGGCGTGGATACTCGAGCTCTGACGAAGAGGATCAGAGAGAAGGGCAGCATGCTCGGCCGCCTGCTCATGCAGACCGGCACCAGGCGAGTCATCAATGGCACAGCCTCTCCCAGCGGCGCCATGACACCCAACGGCATTACGCCCGCACTTACACCAGCCGTGCCGGACCTCAATGGCGTTAACAGCGCCTTGAGACCGAACGGCATGAATGGCACCAAGAGCCCCGAGGGCTACTTCGGCAGATCAAAAGAGGTGGCAGTCTACGAGGAGCTCGACTTCTACGATCCCAACACCAGAAATCTGGTTGCAGACGGTAAGCCTGACTTACCACACATAGCAAGTAGCCATAGTCCTGATCCGTATCTCAGTCTCAATCAAGAAGCCCAAGATCTATTCCCCAAGTGCGTCCGTTGCGTTGCGTCATCCGTCTGGTAGAACTGTGCGTGTTCTGGTCGTCGATGTTGGTCTCAAATACAACCAGCTGCGATGTCTGGTGTCAAGAGGAGTCGAGGTCGAGGTTGTGCCGTGGGACTACGACTTCCCTCAGTTGGCTGGCAAGGAATACGATGGTCTTTTCATCTCCAACGGACCAGGCGACCCGAAGATGATGCAGCAGACGGTCAAGAACATTCAGAAGGCGATGGAAGAGGCGAGAGTACCGATCTTTGGTATCTGTTTGGGACACCAACTGCTCGCTCGTGCAGCTGGCGCGGATACACTCAAGATGAAGTTTGGTAACCGTGGACACAACATTCCCTGCACGAACCTGCTCTCAGGCAAGTGCTACATCACCTCGCAAAACCACGGTTACGCAGTCGACTCAGAGACGCTGCCACACGACTGGAGCGAGCTCTTCGTCAATGCGAACGATCACAGCAACGAGGGTATTCGCCATGTCAACCGCCCATACTTCAGTGTGCAGTTCCACCCAGAGAGCACACCTGGACCGCGAGACACGGAATTCTTGTTCGATGTCTTCATTGGCACGGTCATGAACGTTATCAAGGACTCGAAGCTCATGCAACAGCCAGTCGCTTTCCCTGGTGGAAACGCTGCTGAGAATGCTGCCAAGAATCCACGTCTCACACCGAAGAAGGTTCTTGTGCTAGGCAGTGGTGGACTGAGCATTGGCCAAGCAGGCGAGTTCGACTATTCTGGTAGCCAGGCCATCAAGGCTCTGAAGGAGGAGGGCATCTACACCATCCTCATCAACCCCAACATCGCCACCATTCAGACTTCCAAGGGTCTGGCCGACAAGGTCTACTTCTTGCCTGTCAACGCCGAGTTCGTCCGCAAGGTCATCAAGCAGGAGCGCCCAGATGCGATCTACTGCACATTCGGTGGCCAGACTGCTCTGCAAGTCGGTATCCAGCTCAAGGATGAATTCGAAGAGCTTGGCGTCAAGGTCCTCGGTACGCCCATCGACACCATCATTACCACAGAAGACCGAGAGAAGTTTGCACGAAGCATGGACTCCATTGGCGCTCCATCTGCGAAGTCCAAGTCTGCCAACAATATGCAAGAGGCTCTCGAAGCTGTCGAGGAGATCGGCTACCCAGTCATCGTTCGTGCTGCGTACGCTCTTGGTGGACTCGGCAGTGGTTTTGCAAATGACAAAGAGCAGCTCGTTGATCTCTGTCACAAGGCATTCGCTGCCAGCCCCCAAGTGCTCGTTGAGCGCAGCATGAAGGGCTGGAAGGAAATCGAGTACGAAGTCGTCCGCGATGCACACGACAACTGCATTACCGTGTGTAACATGGAGAACTTCGACCCTCTCGGCATCCATACTGGTGACTCGGTTGTTGTCGCTCCTTCGCAGACTCTCTCCGACGAAGACTACAACATGCTGAGGACGACTGCAGTGCGAGTCATTCGACATCTTGGCGTTGTTGGTGAGTGCAATATCCAGTATGCGCTCAACCCAGATAGTAGGGAATACTGCATCATTGAGGTCAACGCTCGTCTCTCGAGATCTTCAGCACTGGCATCAAAGGCTACCGGATATCCACTTGCTTTCATCGCGGCCAAGCTGGGTCTCAACATTCCGCTGAACGAGATCAAGAACACCGTTACGAAGGTAACCTGTGCTTGCTTCGAGCCCTCTCTCGACTATGTGGTTGTCAAGATTCCGAGATGGGATCTGAAGAAGTTCACGAGAGTGTCGACATTGCTCGGCTCATCGATGAAGAGTGTTGGTGAAGTCATGAGCATCGGGCGAACGTTCGAAGAAGCCATCCAAAAGGCCATCAGATCCGTGGACCCAAGCAACTTGGGCTTTCACGAGACACCCGCACTCATGTCCATCGACGTGGACACCGAACTCCAAACTCCCTCTGACCAGCGCATGTTCGCCCTCGCCAACGCCATGCACAGCGGCTATACAGTCGACAAGATTTGGGAGCTCACCAAGATCGACAAGTGGTTCCTCCGCAAACTCAAGGGCCTCAGCGACTTCGGCAAGCTCATGACCCAGTACGGCGTCGAGAGCATCCCGACGAACCTCTTCCGCAAAGCCAAGGAAATGGGCTTCTCCGACAAGCAGCTGTCCGTCTTCTGGGACAGCAACGAGCCTCATGTCCGTCGTGCGAGACTCGAGCAGGGTATCACCCCCATCGTCAAGCAGATCGATACAGTCGCGGCTGAGTTCCCGGCTTTCACTAACTACCTCTATCTCACGTACAATGGCAGCGAGCACGATATCTCTTTCGAGGATCGAGGCGTTATGGTCCTTGGATCTGGTGTGTACCGTATCGGTTCTTCGGTCGAGTTCGATTGGTGCTCTGTGAGGGCGGTGAGGACTTTGAGGGAGAATGGGTATAAGACTGTGAGTTGCATCGACAGTATCATCACCGATGTGACAGCTTGCTGACTATTCTCGCCGCGCAGGTCATGGTTAATTACAACCCGGAAACCGTAAAGCTACCCAGCCCTTCATGTTGCGACAGCTGCTGACTTTCTCTAGGTCTCGACCGACTATGATGAAGCCGATCGCCTCTACTTCGAGAATATCACGTTGGAAAACATTTTGGACATTTACCAGCTCGAACACTCCAGCGGTGTCATTCTGTCCATGGGAGGCCAGACGTCGAACAACATCTCCCTGCCCTTGTACAGATCCAACGTTAAGATCCTTGGAACTTCGCCTGAGATGATCGATACCGCAGAGAACCGATACAAGTTCTCCCGTATGCTGGACAGACTGGGCGTGGACCAGCCAGAGTGGAAGGAGCTGACCAGCATCGACGAGGCCAAGAGCTTCTGCAATCGGGTCAGCTATCCAGTGCTCGTGAGACCGTCGTATGTGCTGTCAGGTGCTGCCATGAACACGGTCTACAGCGAGCACGATCTCAAGAACTACTTAGCTCTTGCGGCTGAGGTCTCCAAGGAGCACCCCGTGGTCATCACCAAGTACATTGAGAACGCCAAGGAGATCGAGATGGATGCTGTCGCTCGAAATGGTATCATGATCGGCCATTTCGTCTCTGAGCACGTCGAGAACGCTGGTGTCCACTCTGGAGACGCAACCCTCATTCTGCCACCTCAGGATCTAGACCCGGAGACTGTTCGCAAGATCGAGGACGCCACTCGTAAGATTGGTGATGCTCTTAACGTTACTGGCCCATACAACATCCAGTTCATCGCCAAGGACAACGAGATCAAGGTCATTGAGTGCAACGTCCGTGCCTCGAGATCTTTCCCATTCGTGTCCAAGGTCATGGGTCTTGATCTTATTGAAATGGCCACCAAAGCGATGACGGGCCTGCCTGTGCGAGAGTACCCACCATTGACAGTCCCGCCGGATTATGTCGGTGTCAAGGTTCCACAGTTCTCCTTCTCCCGACTTCAGGGCGCCGATCCAGTCATGGGTGTAGAGATGGCATCCACTGGTGAGGTTGCCTGCTTTGGCCGTACCAAGTATGAGGCGTACATGAAGGGCCTGATCTCGACAGGCTTCAAGCTTCCTAAGAAGAACATTCTCCTATCATTCGGTACCTTCAAGGACAAGATGGAGATGTTGAAGCCAGTGGAGCAGCTTCATAAGATGGGCTTTGCGCTGTTCGCCACTGCTGGAACTGCTGACTTTCTGGAAGAGCACAACATTCCGTGCAAGTTCCTGGAGGCTCTTGGAAGCGATGATCAAAGAGAAGAGTACTCGCTCACCTACGCTCTCGCCAACAACCTGATCGACCTTTACATCAACTTGCCATCGAGCAACAAGTTCCGTCGTCCCGCGAACTACATGAGCAAGGGCTACCGCACTCGTCGTATGGCCGTCGATTTCCAGACGCCGCTGGTGACGAACGTCAAGATCGCCAAGATCCTCATTGAGGGTATTGCGCGAAACTACGACTTCAATATCAGCAAGGTCGACTACCAGACCTTCTCTGAGGTCCCCACTGCGCCGCTCGTGCTCCCGCCAGCACAGCCGTCCGAGCCATTGACTGACATGCTTAAGAGATCTCCATTCAAGGGCAAGGACATCTTGTCGGTCAAGACCTTCTCCAAGGAGGACCTCCACCTGCTCTTCACCATTGCAGCTGAGATGAGACTGGGCGTGGAGCGTGATGGCTCTCTGGACATTCTTAAGGGTCGCGTGCTTTGCGAGGTGTTCTTCGAGCCATCAACTCGGACCTCGGCCTCCTTCGACGCCGCCATGAAGCGTCTCGGCGGCCAGACTATCGTGCTCAACGAGTCCCACTCCAGCACCAAGAAGGGCGAGTCTCTGAGCGACACTATTCGCACCATCGATCAGTACAGCGACGCAATCGTCCTACGACACCCGGAGAGCGACAGTGTCGACGTCGCCGCCAAAGCTGCCGACCACCCCATCATCAACGCTGGCAACGGCGCCCGCGAGCACCCAACTCAGGCCCTGCTCGATCTGTTTACCATCCGTGAGGAGCTGGGTACAGTCAACGGTCTGACCATCACCTTCACTGGTGACCTCAGATATGGCCGCACCGTGCACTCCCTCTGCGAGCTCTTGCGCCACTACAACGTCAAGATCCAGCTCGCAGCACACTCTCAACTCGCCCTTCCTAGCAAGGTCAAGGCCGTAGTCGAGAGCCGAGGCCAGCTTGGTGCCGTCTCCGACCGCCTCACGCCAGAGATTATCGCCAACACCGATGTTCTCTACTGCACCCGTGTCCAGAAGGAGCGCTTCGAAGACCAAGACCTGTACGAGCAAGTCAAGGACGAGCTGGTCGTCAGCAGCAAGACCCTTCGTGATGCCAAGAAGAACATGATCGTCATGCACCCGTTGCCACGAAACCTGGAGCTCGCTACTGAGGTCGACGATGACCCGCGGGCTGCCTACTTCCGCCAGATGAAGTACGGCATGTTCGTGCGTATGGCGCTATTGGCGATGGTCATGGGATAGATGGCGAGAAAGGAAGGAAAATGGTAGAATGCGATTATGAGTACCCCCCCCCGAAAAGCATAGCGTTGGCGTTTTGTGCGTTTGTGAGTTCCGTTCGCTGGTCTTGATAGACTTCAGTCAAACTAAAAGGTGTGATATAAAAGGCGTTCGATGGGTGTCTCGTGTATAGAGAAAGTCGCATGTACAATGTCAAACCAAATGTACCTGTATCACTCTCCACAACTGCGTTCCCTCGCCACCCTCAACCCCCTCCCACTCACCCAAACGGATTCAACCTCCCCCAAGTCCCCACCGCCAACAAATACAAATTCGGCCCCCAAGCCGGCACCACCGCCCCCGTCGCGCTCACACCCACGCCCCTCCCCCGAAACTCCCCCCTCCTTCCCGCAATCTCCACGACCGCATCCCCGAAATCCGCATAATTCACCGCAAGACTCATCGCCCCCTCCGTCACAACCTCATACCCCGTCTTCGTCTCCGGCGAGAACGGATGGAAGAGATTCGGCGCGTCGAGCAGGATGTATTTCAGAAGGGAGGCGGGTGTGGAGTGCAGGAGGTCCACGGCGCGGGAGAGGTCGAAGTAGATGTTGTGGATGGCGAAGTGCAGGAAGTGGGAGAAGGGGGTCGAGATGGGGACTTGGAGGTGGGGGTTTAGGGCCGAGGAGCGGTTGAGGAGGAGGGTTGGGGGGGTGTAGGTTTCTGGGGAGGTGGATTTTATGGCCTCGAGGGCGGCGATTATGGATTTGACGGTGTCGTAGGAGATGGTTGTGGGTTTTGAGGGGGACGGGGCGGAGATGCATTGGTAGATGCAGTCGGCGTTTTGGAGACAGCTTCTGAGGAGGTCGTGGTCGGAGATGGTCCCTTCGAAGATTGTGAGGGTTGTGTTGGATGGTGGGGTTTTGAGGCGGGGGATTTGGGCGAGGAGTTTTTGTTTCGAGCGCACGAGGAGGTTGATGTGTTGGTCTTCTGGGGAGCGGGAGGAGAGGAGGCTGTGGACGATGGCGCTGCCTACGCCACCTGTTGCGCCGAGGATGGCGTGGGTTGTTGGCATTTTTCTGGGGTGGGGAGTGGTCGGTTGTGGTTTGAGTTGGTGGTTTTGTTGTCGTTGGATTGAAGTATCGTCTGCGTTGTCGTAGCTTCGTTATATGTGTTTGATGGTCATCGAGTTTGGGCAACTATACGTTGGTGGTGTTGGTATTCAAGGTTAAGTCGAACTGTTAGATATTGTTCATTGAAATGGATGACCTCATGCAAACAAGGCTGCGGTTTTTGAGCACGGAAGATCCGTCTCTGCCCCGCATCGGGTTTTCATCAGTCCATTTCCTAGTTCCTACTCTAGCCACTTAAGAACGAATTTACGACTTGCTTCATGCGATTCTTGCATGCGTGACACACTTTTACTCTCTCGTAGACGCGGATGCAGCAAATCCCGACGTTGCTCTCGTTCGCTTGATACCGCTCATGTCGGCTACTCACAGCGGCATCTTTCCGGAAACCCCAGCCTGATCATCAGGCCAACAAGTCACTGTCTGAATGCGGACATTGCAACTATGCATTACCCCCTTCTACAGCCTCTGAGCAGGCCCGAGCCCTTTACGAGCCGACCAACCCTCATCCTTCTCATCAAACCCCGGAATCCCTTCCCCAAACCCCGTCCAACCCCGGAAATTGTCCAAATACAACAAGGCAGCCTTGAGATACCAGCCATCCTTGTCTCCCCAAGTCTCCTCGAAACCTAGGGGAGCGCGAATCGCTTTGAAGAAGTGCACGTCGATTTTGGCGGCTGGGTGCTCTCGCGCTGTTTTCTTGACCCATTCCCAATCTCGTCCTTTGACGTCCACGTTCTCGATCAGGTCTGCCCGGATGGGAGGTCTTTGTTGGCATATGTATGTCGATATGATCATGATGGCGAATTCTCGCAGCATATTCTTACGTTTCTCGGGCGGAATGTGCAACCAGAGGGACCGCATGGCGTGAGCTGAGGTCATGAGGTGGAGGAGGAAGAAGTCGAATTCATGCAGCTCATCGTACGTGCTCATGGCGAGGAGTGTGGCCATATCGCAGGCTTGCTCGAGCTGGTGCAATGGATCTGTGACTTCCCAAGCATTCCAGTGTTCGATTATTGCCGCGCCGGCCCCTTCCATCACTTTGCCCATCTCGACGATTCCAGGGTGATCAGTGAGATTGTCGAAACGTGGATCTTGGCATACCCGCTCGAAAATCTCAACCAGAGATGTAGTTTTGTACGTGGATGTGTCCGGCTGCGGTTCGTCCAGCAGAGTGTGGAAGTCGCTGTAGTCTGTGCATAGCAGGCTGAGGCCTTCAGATGCAACTTCTTTGCACTCAAAGTCATATGCATATGCAAGGTGGATCATTGGGTGTCCCACTGTAGTCTCGTTAGCTCGAAAGACTTCAAATCTACACTTTCACGTACACCCGCCAACAAGACCATTCATGAGTGGCCGATCTTGCTCGAAAAGATAGTTGTGTACGACCTTCTTCCAGTCACCGTTCTTCTTTCGAAACTCTTCGTCGAAGAAGTCCATGAAAGCAACAGTATATCTGTTCCTGGTCAGCGAGTTCACACAAGTCCTATTTCGAGGCCATTACTTACTCTCGCTTCTTGAAGTAGTCCCGCAACCGACTTCTTTCGATCTTCTCTCCCCGAGGAAATGTATGATCGATCTTGACCAACGTCTCCATGACATTGTCGTGTGTCTCCTTAAGGACCTCCGAACTTTGTCCAATGTCCAGAGCTGAGCAGAGGATCTGCGATCACGGTTAGTATCAAAGGCACTTCCAGTGCCTAGACTTCAGTGTTGGCTTTTGCGTACGTGAGGCATATGATCATGCAGGATCAGATGCGGTTCGCGAAGAGGCGCAGCGGCGCCATGATGGATCAGGAGAAGATCTCGCAAAGTCTTTTGCCTCTCATCAGCCGGGGCAGTCAGGTCGTGTCGTTTGGTAGATTTCAGTTCCCCTATGGCCCTGCTAGGTGGGAGGCGAATGGTGTTTTTGGTAGTCATGTTGATCGTGACCTATCGTTTGATCGTGATTTGCAGATGTCTGACTTCACGGATGATTTACGTATAGTCAACTCGATTTGTGCAAGAGCAAAGCAGGACATTTGATATCGTGGGCTACGAGTCGGACTTTCGGTCTTTGAGAGCTCATCCACTTAAACAAGACCAGGGAAGTGGTTTCAAGAGTGAGTTCTCCCAGCTCGAGTCTCGGATACATCATCTGCCATAGCTCCAACTCTGAGCGTGGCGACACACCCAGGCTCGATCTCAGAAAAGTGCAAGCTAAGGGTCCCTAGTACTAAGGTACAAGCTATGTCCGGGTTACTGTAGTTGCCGGCTCCCGTCCTGCTCCTTCGCGGAGCAGCCGTCATAGGGATCGGACGTTCCGTCAAGTCAATCGATGAGGGGAACGAAGGATCCATCTGCCGAGCTCAGCTCTAGCACTGAATGGAGTAGCCAAAGGATCTTACAAGACTTTGAAGCAAGTATTGCACGGTAGATCGGGAGAAAAGCTTGGGTGGGAAAGGAGTATGGTGTATCGATCGCTATTGTTACTTGAGCCAAGTGCTTGTTGGCTTCCCTCAGATGAGCCCGGCAGTCTCATAAAATTGCTTTGCCGCTCGATGGAGAGGGAGGTGCGTTCGAGCCATAGCCTTCGGATCCAGGGGCCAGGTCAGAGGGCTGCGCTCCGGGGGAATGTGACTGTACTGCGATTCCAAAACATTTCTTTTGTTGACAAGAATCCAAGTCAGAAGACCTGCGACATCATCAGGCATGTCGTCTCGCACAACAATGGCAAAGTCTGAGAAGTCCATGCCTAGGGTCTCCTGTGGCACATTTTCCCAGAAATCGGCACGCACTGTGGCAGCTCCCAACCCAAGCTCCCTTTTTAAGTTTTCCAGGGCAGCGGGTTCCGCAGAGACAGGAGTCAATAGGCCGCTCTCAATCAAGTTCCGCCACCAAGGAGTCATGATTGCCTCCTGCAGTAGACAGTCGGCCTCGCCGTTCGCGACTTTGTCGACGCACGTATCAGGGCGATATCCTCCGTCGATGAGTTCTCCTCCCCATGATTTCAGAACATCCCGATCTAGCCCGTGCGCTTCGAGGTACTTCGCGGCAAGATATCCTATAGTACTGGTCCCGTCGTCTGTCGAAGTGACCAGTCTCATCGGCGGCTTTACTCGATGAATATCTGCCCACGTTTGCACTCCATATCGAGGATGTACGGCCAGAACCATTCTATCTCTCTGAGGTAGAACAGCAAGAGCCCGCAAGCTTGGCATTGAGCCAGCAGCTGCAAACATTCCAGTGCCGTTTAACGCTGCAGGAGTATGGCCGCTTGGCGTGATGAGGCAGAGGTCCAGCTGTCCGAGGTACAGGTCTTTAGCCGCTGATACTCCTCCATCAGGCAGACTCTTTATTGTCACCGAGGATCCACGGCCTGCTCGATCGCAGAGTTCCTGTGTGAGCCAGGAGCAGATGCGGTGAAAGTTTGCCTGGCCCCAGTCGCCTGCAAAACGGAGCTGCAATGCACGTGTGATCTTTGGTGATTCGCCGCCAAGCAGCTCCTGCTTCTTGTTGGGGTCGACGAACATTGATGTCCAGATGTAGTCACTGACTTTTGCCAGGACGCAGATGAGCCATGCATCTCCTTATGTGATGTGTGGTCGGGCTTTTGGAGCCATTCGGGTTAATACAGATCCTTTGTCATCTTCGCACGTTGTCGTAGAGCGGCTGCTCCGGATCAGGAGAGTACAGGGCTGCATCTCGAGGTGGTCCATTGCGCAGAAGATCCGGAGTGCCTTTGATTTCAGACGAGCTCGACCGCCAGTGAAGGAGAGTTGGAGGGAGCAAGGAGTGAAGCAGCGGCTAGCGTGAAGTCCGTGGGAGCGGTGGCGCCGCGGAGCGGATCTGCATGTGATTGGCCAGAAGAACAACTTCAACGACGGCTGTTCCATCCTCCTTGTTCCGGTGAAACTGGGGACGTACGGAGCTGTCATCTCTCCGACTTTTCCCAAGCGACTGCATTACTGATTCCACTCCGAGCAGCTTAGACGGCTTGGGAACGATGGGGATGAATGTTACACTTTGGTCGTAACACCGAGAATGGAACATCCGCCGTCGAAGAGGCAAAAAGTCTTGATTGCCTGTGAGCCTTGCAGATCCAGAAAGGTGAGCGCGTTTCCTCAGGCTGACATTCAATGTGATCATAAGATTGATGAAGTTGGAAATAGGCAAAATGTGACGGAATAGGACCAGGCATGCGATCCTACTCTTTCAATTCAACAGCCTGCTGAAGACTTCATCTAGTGTGCGGGCCATGTAGACGTAAAGTGCGCAAAAACGGCATCCAATGCACATGGAGTGGATCTGCTCCTACTCCAAGTTCGACTTCGGAACTACAGGCGCTTCGGGATCGTGTGGCCTTCTTAGAGAGTAGAGACCCAGGAGCGTCTGCCGGAACACCCGCTCCGCGCAGACCCAATAACCCGCCACCTTCACACGTAAGGTCGAATCTCTCCGATCGAACAGATGTTGAGGGCAGGCTTGGGACTATCGACCTGTCTCCCAGGGTCGTCCGACAGAACGATCAGGAGTCGCCTGTTTATACGATCATCGGCCCCACAGAGCGTGCGGAGAATCGGGAGGGCTTCTTTGGCAGCTCCAGCGCCGGCACTTTCATGCAGAATGTGAGTGCCTTGGTCGAGCAGCGCCTCCAAGGGATTGGATCCGAAAGCCGGCACCTCCTTCAGCCATCCGATCATGGCGGGATGGAGTCTTGGTTCCCAAATCGCCAGGTTTCGAGAACTCATGTGGCAGAGCATAGTCTACCTCTCAGAAAAACGGCCGACGAGCTTTTGAATGTCTACTGGGAGGATGTTCATTGCATGTTCCCGATACTGGATCGAGAGAAGACCCAAGAGCAATATGCTTGCCTCTGGACCGGTGAATGCGAGCCGTCAGAGCAGACACCGTTCTTGTGCCTTGTGAATGCCATCTTTGCACTTTCAAGCCAGCTAAATCCAGCAGTATCTCCGCACGAGAGGAGTCGTCTAGCAACCCAATACTATTCGCGGGCCATGGACCAGCTGGATATTTGGGGGATGGCATCACTGCATACAGTGCAGTCCCTTGTTCTACTGGCAATGTACTGCCAAAGTAGCAATGAAACACATCAATGCTGGATTCTCGCCGGGATGTCGATCCGTGTCTCACAGGCGCTTGGGTTGCATCTTCCAGGAGCCAGTGAACGAGTACGAGATGCTCGCACAAGAGAGCTTCTTCGCAGAGTCTGGCATGGGTGCGTGCAATTGGACCGCACTGTCAGCATGACCTATGGACGACCTTGCGCTGCCGGCGAGCGGATGGCCGTTGCAGTACCTCTACCCTCATATGAGCCTGACGATGAGCTTGGAGCTGGGTCCGCTATGACTTTGCAGCACTTCAACCTCTTCACAAGGCTATTTCGTAACTTGCACGAGGTTCTGTACTCGCTTGGTGCCCCGGGTGTGATTCAAGTGCAGTCTCTGGACGAATTGTATGACCGCTACTTCAGACATTGCCCAACGGATCCGAACAAACCATCAGTGATTGACATTGAAGGCGGCTTGCAGCGATGGCACGACGGCATCCCTATAGGTTTGAGAGCCAACCAGTATCAATCGACATCTGAGATGTCTACGCTGCGTCGACAAGCTGTCATATTGGAGCAGAAGTAAGTTTCCAGTCTATGCAATGCTACAACATTCGAAGTATCACTGATCTTTCTTCAGCTACCTTCACGTTCGACTCTTGCTACTTCGACCTTTCCTGTCCGCAATCATTGCTCTTGATCCACATGAGCACTCCAGTGGTACAGCTCCACTCTCAGTCGCAATCTCATTGCAGTGTGCGGTAACCTGCGTCAGGGTCGCTCAAGATAGCATCGGACTCATCAATCGGCACCGACCGCAGGATGTAAGAAGTACTGGAAGCACAGCAACCTGGTGGTTCAACGTCCTATTCATCTACACAGCGGCCACAGTCTTGAATGCTTCCTTGCTCAGTCCGCCGATTATCGGCGAGTTATCCGAGGCATCCATTCTGGAGTCCTGGCAGCTTGCGCTTGCCATGCTGGAAGAGTATACTGTGTTCGGCGAGCACATCAAGCGGCTTGTCATGACATTGCGAGTCCTTTTTGACGCCGTTCCCAAGCAGTACTCGCAGCATCGGCGACTCAGAACTCAGCGAGAACAAGGTTCGAACTCCCGCCCAAATCAACCAACTCACGCCTCGGGTTCAGACGCTGGAGTCCAGCAGGTTGGGCTTCAAGATCAGGTGTCGGGTGTTCAGCCCACGACTTCAATATCGATGCCATTCTTGGCTCCTTGGGTAGAGCAAGCCTTCGACTGGACTCAACAAACAGATAGCCTGTGGGACATGGGATTTGATCCCCTAGATCTGGCATGGCTTACCAGCTTGCCGACAGATCTTGCAATGTGACGTCGACGTGTCCAGTCCCACTGGCGCAGCACCGCCTGCCATTACACGTCACTGGTATTGTCTTGTAGGCTTTAAAAGGAAAGAAGGCATTGTCTAGACCCAGCAAACTTTTGTTTCTACGAACTGACTGGAAGAATCGCGACTATTTCGACTTCCCTGGCTTCCTTACGACTCTCCTACCAAGATGTAATGCTCTAGGACTTCCGCGCTCTTTCGCCATTCCCGCTTCTTGATTCATTCATCCTCCAAATCGACATCCGTAGGTTCGGAAGTCCACACATGGTGGCTTGGCTCGCCCTTCGGCACCGACAGAGGCGCAAGAGCCATGAGTGCGCCGGGGCGAATGGTGATCCCAGAGTGAAGCAGCTCAGCCTCGAGGTTGATAAGCTTAGCCTTCAACTTCCTCCTGTACTCAACCGCAGTGTCCCTCCTCGAGCCGAGTTTGAACAGCATCCAGACATGAATAGTCCCGATCTCCTGATACTGCAGTGTCGGAATAGAGTCGAGGTACGTGCGGAGGACGTTCGCAGAGGCCGGACAGCTGAAGATGGTGCAGCGGTAGTAGAATTTGATGGCTTCGCTGCGGATCTGGCGACAGGTGGCGAGGAGTCCGATGTTCTTCTGTTTGACGCCGAAAGGAGGGGCTTTGAGCGGTGGCAAGCATGGGACGCCGCGCTTTCTCAGTACTGCGACAGCATCTCGTGAGAGCGGAGGAGAGGTGATGCGCACTTCTTTGGTGAAGACGTACTCGTAGATGAGTTGGCGCAGTTCGAGGGGGAGCTTGAAGAGACCGGACCTGTTGTTAGGTGTCAGCATGTTTATCATCTGTCGCGGATGCTTTTACTTACGCCTGGGGTGCCATTGAAGCCGGAAAGGAATAGCGATGTGAGTGTCCCTGTTTTCAATATTCGAGAGTGCTGTGTGAAAAGATGATGACGAGCTTTAAATCAAGTGGAAAGGCGGAGGTGGTCAAAGCGCGGGCTGAGTCACTAGCGCAATCAAAGGATTTGCATGTGATGATTAAGTCATCAGCTGTCTCGTGGTCTAAAGTGAATGAAGTCACGTCTCGCGTCTCTCGCACTTGTTATGGTACTCTTGTCATGACTGGGTTGGTTCGCGAATTAGATACTTCTGACCGCTCGATGGACAATGCTGTAGCGTACAAAGTGTACATTCACATACTTTGGCAATGTACGGTCCGCTGTCTGATCCCCCTTTCAATACTCACTTGGATACCATCTGAACCTTTGCATGATCTTCGAGGTGCTTGCTTGTATGCATGCACAATTCGCTCCGCCCTCGCTTTCGCGCGCAAGTCCCTTCCGCACTCATTGCGACCTCTCCGAAAATGGACTGGCTTTCTCGTCTTATTCAGCGTCTTCGAAACGAGGTGGGGCTTCGTTGAGAGGCTTCGCAGTCCAGACCTCCTCATTGAACCGTCCGTTCCAAGCCATGACTCTGGTCTTCAGCACGCCATTCTTGACAAGTGTACCCTCTTTAACCAGCTTTTTCTCGAGGATCGCCAGAATTTCAAGCTTGAGACATCTCTGACGTGCAAACAATTCGAGATCCAGCTCAGCTCTCTCTTCGGACAATTCGGCCCCGTCTTCCGCATCGTAGCCGACGCAATGGACGTGGATGGTGGTGATGAAGTTGCGATGCTCAGGAGGAACAGACTTCAGGAACCTGGCAGTGTGGAGATGCGGATCCCAGAAAGCATCAGACACCCTGAATGTAGTCCGTCCGTAGTATGCCTTCAGCGCCTCATGGCGGATCTGCTTGCAAGTAGCGAGTCCCGCATTCCGGGTGCGAATGTCTTTGCGGCGGGTGTGAACGTGGATGGTGTCGGAGAAGGTGTGCTCGTAGATCTCGTCGCGCAGCTCACGAGGGAGAGCGAGGAGGCGTGATGGAGTGACTTGATCGGACATCTCGGTGGCAAGAGCGTCGGTGGGCCGGTTTTGTGATTCATTTTGATGCTCGTCGCGTGGGTGTGGTGGGCTCGGCGACAGAGTGCGAGAGGCCCACTGCTGTGGCATAGCTGCAGTGGTGACCATGCGCCGGTGTTTTTTGTTTTGGCGCTGTTTGTGTAGAGGTGGAAGGCTTTGAGAGTCGCAGCAAACGGAATCCGCAGCGAGCCGGCGTGTGACGTGCTTTCACACCTGACGCGGTCGCAGTCAGAGTGTATCAAATTGTTGCATCAAGATTGAGGAGAGTACCGCGATGACGACTGTCTCGTGGTTGAAAACACACTCATCTGAAAAGTCGCTCAGCGCAGCTTGACGTGTGCTGTGGCGTTCAGGGGCGACAACAGTATGTGACGATGGTGGCGACGTCGGCAGTAGGCCACCGACGGCAGCGAGGTGAGCGTCATTGTTTCGGAGAAGCTTTCAGGATATATAATTCATCTTTGAGAGTGAACCATGCCCTTCGTTCAACGCAGGCAAAGTGGGTGAGGTTCAAACTCTTCGAAAGGGTGTTAAGGGCCAAATGCGATCGACTTGATGCTGACTTTATTACAGTAATCTATGCGGCGGCGATGTTGCCATCCTCCTCGCCCTGCTTATTGAAATCGGCATAGAACTCCAAATATTCCTCGACAGTATCGTACAGAGCGGTCTCGAATTCAGGATCCCATAGACCGTACTTCCACCTCCACCTATCGGCATCATCGGTGTCTTCTGGCTTTCGACAATATGCCGCAAACCCGCTATTGCCAATCCCAACTGCAAGCGCAAGCAAATGGTCATCCCATTCTCCCTGAATATCGCCAAGATGGCCTTGGCTAATTTCTTCGTCCGTCCTAGGCACCGTCACGAATCCCGAGTCCCTCGGTTCCTCTCCCTCCGCTTCCTCGCCATCGATATCGGTGAGGAATTTCATCTGGCGCAGCTCGCCGAAGTATCGATATTCAGGAAGTCCATTGCCGCAGATTCCGCGGACCAGAGTCATCAAATACTTCAACTCGGCCGGTAGACCGTCGGGATGGACCTCCGTCCTCTCCGCTGTTCGGGTCTGTTCCTCCGTCTTTTCGATCCACGCCTCCCGCGCCTCAATGTCAACTTCTCCGTGAACTATCCCGTCTAACCGACAACTCCTCACGAGATTTTCCCCTCGATCCTCACTCAGAAAATCCCGAATGGACGTAATACTACGATCCGAGGGATGTTCTAATCGGATCCCGTAATCCTGCTCGAGTCTTTCGATTCTTCGTTTGGGAAGTTCTTCGGGACCGAGATTGGGGGTTGAGGGCCAGAATTCTATGGGTTTGATTTCGCGAGTTTCGAGATCTGAGATGGCGGCTTCTAGGGTGGCCATGTTGATTTCGAGGACTCGATTCCGGTATTTTTGAAGGGCATTTTCAATGATGGTCTTCCGTTGTTGGCTCAATCCATCTCCACCACGGAGTGGTAGATCGAAGCTGTGAGACGCATCTGCGTCAGTTGAAGGCATTTCGCCTGTATTTCGCGGAACTGTGAGAGCGGAGGCACCAGATTCCAGAGCTGTCCCCAGGCAAGAAAAGCTTGATGTTGACGGCAAAAGGATGATGTCGAAAGGATCGAAAGAGAAGCTTCCAGGCTAGCGGACGTGCGTCCGGCTCGGCTGACATCGGTGGCAAAGCATGGCCCTCCATCGTGCCTGCCAAGACAAAAGTGCCGACTTCAGCTCCTTCAGCTACTGTACCAAGCAAATACCCTCCACATCGATCTGCAATTGGCGACCACATTGGACGTACATAGCCAGACGCAGACGGCCTTTCATCCGCGGCCCCACCCACCTATTGGCTCGACTCTGGAAAAGGCTTTGCAGATTTCCCCTTTCGTCTAAAACCAACACCTACCCTCTCTTGACTGGATTGCCACTGGCTATGGCACCTTCTCGACTCGCTGAAGATGTACAGACCGGCGGGACTTGGCACTACTACATGCATACAATAGCGGACGGCAGTAGTCCGTGGGTCTGGTTCGCACGAGGGTACAGGCATGCTAGCTATGCCGTTTCGAGCTTCATGTACGAAGCTGAGGAGTATTCAACATCAGCCTTTGGTCCCGATGCTCTTCTTCGTCGAGGACTGACACATAGCGGCGAGTGAACATGGCCAGCGAAAACTTTGATGGCCATACCCTTATGCGGCATTGGCGCATTCAGCGGCATGGCAGAGAGAGCTACCAATGTCCTATGGAGTCATCGTCGAAGACCGTTGAACGACCTTCTGCAAAACAGCGTCATCTACACTTTCCCTCTGTATTCACCGGCGGAGAAGCCAATATTCAACAAGTCTGCTCGGACGTTCTGCCGTGGTGATGCCGTCCGGCTTGCTCATGTCATAAATACACGAAGTCTTGCACTCTCTTTGAGGCGAGATACTTCCTGAACTAATGTTCAAGATGAGACCCTCAGTCGAGAGTAGCAGGCCCTCGAGATTGGTAAGTCTCATTTGTCTTGGACTGATCGCTCGGCAAACCAATGCACAATTCAACTCGGCGATCTCACCTTGCCCAGTAAAGTGTGACCTTACAGGGTCGGACTCCTCGGCATGGACATACTATCACGACTTCGGACAACTGGATGCTTGCAACGGGACTGTTGTCTTCCAGACCAACATCTACAACAAGATCGATGATCCCAACACTCACGTCTACTTCCGTGCATGTACAGCTTCAGGTGGAACGATCACGGATCCCCAGGCCGGAATCACAAAACGCTCTGAACATGCTGGCAATCTGAATCGACGACAAAACCTTGCTATCAACGACACAGCTCCATCCGCTCCCCAGTTGACGCTCACCACCTGGCAAGATGGCCAAATCGAGGCATCAGCAGCACAAGACGCAATTCAAGCACTGCAACGCTACGCCGAGGCCACGACATCGGACACAACTCTCGTTTTTGCTTGAAAGCAGCCAGTTGTCGCTGGAATGTACATTGGCTCTCAAATCGACAAGACGAGTGCTGGTGATGTCCTCGATGGCTTCAGCGATCGGATCGGCCAGGGAAATGGGCAGCGGCTGGCTGTCCAGACCTGCAGTGCGACGAACCTCAGCAGTTCGCAGTACTTTGGTGTTGCTGTTGCCGACACTGATGGTCTTGCCGCGGTGCAAGATGCCTTGAGGAGCTGGAACGAGGCCCAGTGCGTCGACGGGGACTCGAAGACTGCCTGGAGCGGACCTGAGCTCAGCACGGTATCAGGGACGGAAGTCTCTGTCGATCCTGATACTGTGACTAGCGATGGCGATGGTCTGCAAGGCCGGTCCCTGCATGCAAGAGATACTTGCAAATACACTCAAGGTATGACAACAATCCTCACATGTTTACACCGCTAACAATATCATCTGCAGTTCAAGCTGGTGATGGCTGCTATGCCGTCGCCGAACGATGCGGTTGCACGCAGGATGAGCTCGTGTCCTACAATGGAGGCGGTAACTTCTGTTCCACCCTCAAAGTCGATCAGGTGCGTCTTTTCTCCGCCGGGCTTCCATGGATGTATTAGTCTAACTTTTCAAGTACGTCTGCTGCTCACCTGGCGATCCTCCCGACTTCTCCCCTCAGCCTAATTCCGATGGAACTTGCTCCGCCTACACCATCAAGTCTGGAGATTACTGCCAAGCCATCGCAGATGCCCACAGCATGACCGTAGAGGACATTCAAGATTGCAATCGCAACACTTGGGGATGGCAAGGCTGTGGCAATATTTTTCTTGGGATGAAGATCTGTCTCAGCACGGGAAGACCACCTTTCCCAGCCGTTGTTCCAAATGCGGTCTGCGGCCCCCAAGTCAATAACACTGAGCCCACGTCGGATGTGTCTGGATGGGCTGATCTAAACCAATGTCCTTTGAAAGCATGCTGTGATATCTTTGGCCAATGTGGAATTACATCGGACTTTTGCACGCCGAATCCAGCGTAGGTCGAGGAGCAAAAGCACTATAGAATTGCCAACACTGACATTTTCCTTAGCGACACGGGAAACCCAGGCACAGCTCAGCCTGGTAGCAACGGCTGCATATCCAACTGCGGCACGGACATCATCACCAGCGGCAGACCCTCCACTTTTGAGAGAATCGGATACTATGAGGCTTTCAGCGTTGAGCGTCCCTGCGATCATTTATCTGTCGGCTCCATTCCCGACCGATACACCATCGTACATTGGGCGTTCGCCGATCTGAGCGACAGCTTCCAGCCTTCAATCAGCCCTTACGAGGATGCGTGGTAGGACTTCAAGAAAGAGACTCGGTTTAAGAAGATCGTGTCCTTTGGTGGATGGGAGTTCTCGACTGCGGTGAGTTATCTCTCGGATTCGTCCTACCCTTGGAAGCTGACAATGTGTAGCCTAGTAGCTTCGACATCTTGAGATCGGCCGTCAAGCCCGAAAACCGACAGAACTTTGCCAACAATGTCGCGAAATTCGTGCAAGACGAGGGACTTGATGGTGTAGACATCGACTGGGAGGTGAGCTACAAATAAATATGATCTTTCAGTCCATCGTTAACAAAGTACTCAGTATCCGGGCGCTCCGGACAGTCAGGGTGAACCAATCCCAATCGACTCGCCCGACAGTGCAGACAACTATCTCGAGTTCTTGAAACTCCTGCGAGCCGCACTCCCAAGCAAATACTCGATATCGATCGCTATCCCGGCTTCGTTCTACTACCTGAAGGCTTTCCCGGCTGATCAATTGGGCGATCTGCTCGATTATTTCATCTACATGACTTACGACTTGCATGGGTAAGCATACGAAATACGTTTGAATTCCACGCTGACAAGTTAAGGCAATGGGATTATGGCAATACTTTCACCAACCCCGGCTGCCCTAATGGCAACTGTCTCAGGTCGCAGATCAATCAGACAGAGACTGAGTCCGCTCTCTCAATGCTTACCAAAGCAGGAGTACGATACTCGAATTACTCTATCGTTCGATCAAAACTAATGAGTATCGCAGGTCGACTCAAGTAAGATCATGCTCGGACAGCCATTGTACGGACGCAGCTTCAAGATGACGGATCCCGGCTGTTACACCGCGGCCTGCACTTTCACGGGCCCTTCAAGTGGTGCCCAGCCTGGTAATTGTACCGGAACACCAGGCTATATTGCCAATTTGGAGATTCGCAACATCATCAATGGCGGCGAGTATGATGTTCAGCAATACAATTCTCTTGAAGCTGGGGACATTCTGGTCTACGATGGCAATTGGGTCTCGTGGATGACTGACTCGACGTACGATCGACGAAGTGACTATGCTCGAGGTCTTGGGCTGGGAGGCACGTCCGATTGGGTTAGTCCTGCACTGAAGTTTTCCCAGATGCCGTGGCTGACTGATGAATCAGGCTATTGACTTGAACTATACCGGCGACGCTGGTGGTGGTGGTGGTGGAAACAGCGGCGACGGTAGCGGTGTTGTCACCATAGATCCATCGATCTACGGGGATCCAAACCCACAAGTCACCTGCCAGCCACCATGCACGTTCGTGTTCCCACCATGGACGTTGCCGTATACCAACACCATCTCTCCAGCCCCGATCACGTCTTCGATTGTTGACTACTGGCCGTACGTGACTACGATCAGTGGCACCGTCACGAGCACCCTCTATGTTTCGAAGACCACCGGCAAGTCTCACCACAGCCATCTTCTCATTACACTCGGCTAACTCTTGTACAGTGACTACAATCACGCCAGCGCCGGTGACCACGACAAAGATTCCGGTATCGAACGTGGAGTGGACCGACACTGACCAGAGCATCATCTTCTTGACAAGCAGTGTCATTCTTCCACCGGTCACATTGACTCAGGACTCCACGGTCTACACAACAGATGGCATGACCACCACGATTTCGGGTATCACCTACAAGTACAGTCAGGGACCATATCCGCCCGTGACAAGGCCGACTTCTGGAACCACTTCTAGCCCCGGGATGACTGGAAATCCCACCAGTACCGAAACGCCGACTTCATGGTCCACATATGGTATTTTCCCACCTCCAACCTCATGCGGCTCATGTCCGCCATCTGTCACTCCAATCATCGGTCCACCTGGCCCTATTTGCAAGACCGGCTGTGGAATCCAATGTATAGCATTCTGTTCGCCAGAACTGCCTTGTATTGGCCCGCAGTGTAACTGCATCGGGATTGGATGCCCTGGAGGAGGTGGTTGTGTTGGTCCTGGATGCTCTGGCTCTGATGATGACAATCCAGACGACAATGATGATAATGACGACGACGACGACGACGATGATGATGACGATGACGACGATGACGACGATGACGACGATGAGGAAGATAAGTGTGAGATCGATACATCCACCGGTCTCTGTGACAACGGCAATTTCCCGGTATTTGACGCTTCAACGGGACAGATCAGCTGCGATGGCTCCATGGAGCCGGGTGAATGCCAACAGCGCGTCGACAATAACATGGAAAGTGTGCAGAACCAGCTCGAAAACGATCAGCAGTGCTGCCCTGCTGACAGTGGTGCCAAGTTACGACGGCGTGGCGGAAATGGCATGTTGACGAATCTGTTGCATGATGCGAGTGATTCGTTCGGTGCTCTTTTCAGACGACAGGGCCCTTCCTGTCCTCAGCCTGGAAGCGATCCACGGAGGCCGGCCCAAGAGCAATGTCTCGTCACGTACACATGCCCTCCAGGCCTGTTCCCGGGTGTGTGTGGCAATGCCAAATCGGCCATTCAAGACAGGGGCATGACTTCCATCCTGACGCACATCACTGGCAGCAAAATTCACAAGACGGAACCCTGGCACAAAGGCCACTACAAATGGAAGTCCGGTACTCCAAAGGGAGGCTGGAAGCTGGATTTCTGCGAAGTCGAAGAATATCCTTTTGGCGCTGGAAATCCCAATCGGAATCCCACCGGCGATAGAATCTTCAACTGGGACAATGTTCCTACGCTCCGTCTCATACCCGGAGGCAGATTTGGGCTAAACCTGGAGAATCAAAACCATGCCAATCATCTCATTGCGTTCCTCAATGGTGTGAAGCAAGACTATGACCTGCCGAACATCAACCGCATCGTCTATTGTGTTGACTTCCCGACGGGATTTGACAACTATCTCCCTGAAAATTCACCAGACAACTTTTGCGCCGTGCCATATGGAGTTCAGTTCACCCTAGTCAATGGAGTTCCAACCATTGGCGGCGGCGGTGACGAGGCAGCCGTGCCCGAATTGCGTTGGGACCCATGGTTTAACCAGTTCGTCGGTCGCAGGAACTATCAATTCATCAGGAACAACGACCAAGGGCAGGCAGTGTACGCCAATATTCCACCTGTGTACTGCCAGGATCCATCGCCCGGCCGTATGACCCAAGCGACCGCTGGTGATGGAATGTATCGACTCGCGCCAGGCTTTCAGGAGCTGTCCCGAAATGACGATGACCCAGATTTCGTAAGATGTGAGGACGTTCCGGGGGCCAACAACAAACGGGACGCACTGGCCATCGACCCACCCACAGCGATCGCACTGGCTCGAGCAAATCAGACAGCTCGTACGCACGCACGACATTTAGTCAAACGCCAGGGTGGTGGAGGTGGATTCCTCGATGCCTCTGTGTACAAGTACTTTGGCTGTGGAGACAGTTCTGTCGATCCTGACAACGACCCATGTGCGGAAGATCCATACTGCGACATAGAGTTCCCTCCGTACAGCGGCGAAGCTGGGAATGCTTTACCAGCACCAGAGGAAAGTGCTTCAACTAGCTATGGTCCATCCAAAACCTTCACCAACTCCGATGGAGGCTCGGGGCCCACCGATTCTCCCACCGACACTCCTACAACGACGACTGCATCGCCCACGAGCACTTGCTTCGTGCCTTCAGGCTGTCAGAATGTCGCCGAGCCCCCTGGATGCGCGGTTCTTTGTGATGCTCCAACGACAACTTCGTGTAGCGAGCCTCCAGCCCCAACGGGCACGACTACTAACAATGAAGACCGGGCATTTGAATGCTTCAGTCCTAAAGAATGTGCAGACCGCAAGAGGTTCACATTCGATGATTATGTCGATGTCACGGGTATGTCCATTTCTTCATGCATAAAATTTTCAGCCGAGCAGGACTGACGATGAGTTTCTAGCCGGATTCTGCGACACCGATCGCGTCCTCGGCGCCGACAACGACTTCGGCTACGTCGAGCAGACCACCGCCGACGACTACCGAGTACAAGTCTTCGTCGCCTGGGCCGATGACCAGTCCGGCTGCGGCGATAAGAAGGATTTCGAGACTTCGTCCACCGATCGTGACAGCCCGGGCTACAACGCCTGTCGAAACCTCTTCCTGGGTCCGTACCAATGACATCGAGACAAAGACGATTCCGATGGGAGGGACACTAGCTATGGTGGGCAGTACGTCTACAATTCTGGCGAAGGCTGCATCTTCTTCCGGATCTACGGCCTCGCACTTCAGGAGCAGAACAACGTCAAGCGATTGCTGCCCGAGGGAACTTATCTGCTCCCGAATTCTAGTGCTGATGATCGTCTGCCTGAACCACCGCGGAATGGGTTTTATAATAAGACGACGTTGGAGTGGACGAGCTCGGGGGAGGTGACGACGCTGGATCCAAAGATGTTTTTGGGGTTTAATACGACGCTGGGGAATGCTACGGAATCGGGGGAAGCGTAGAATAGAATTAGGGGGTCCTCTAATTCGTCCAGGATACTGGTACGATGATGGAATGTAGTTGAAACGTACGATACGCTCGCTGATGAGGATTATTTACGACTCTTCAGCCTCGTTCCCACTGCCAAATCCAGCCTCTTTATTCACTTGACGGGAATGGCACGGTTGGGAGTTTCGAAACTTAAAGTTTCGCCACCTGTCGATCTGAGAGCATGTAGTAGAATATATGTCTGCTCGATGCCCCCCATTTTTTCCCGACCTTGCACTTCTTCTTCTCACTCACACCTACAGACAGCCTTGCCAAGACATGGGCGTCAGAACCTCATCCTCTTCACTACGCCTTCCCTTTACGAACGAACGACACCGCCTCACCACTCGCAAATTTCTTCACCATACAGTCCTGATCGTCTCGACGGTTTTTCTCTCCCGAATATGTCTCCGACCACAACCCATCGACAACGACCTTCTTCACGTCCACGCCACACTATCCGCTTTCGCTCGCAGGGGACAGATGAGTATTGAGCCGGGTTTGCCGTTACTATCTACTCTCATTCCCACGGAGAGTAATGTTATCCTAAAGATTGGGCTCTTTGCTGCTTGGTTGGGCGTTGGATATGCGGTGTTGAGGAGGTGGTCTGCGGTTGTGGGGTTTGGCATTTGGCTGGCTTGGGAGTGGATGGTTGATGATGGGTTGGGTCTGGGTTTGAGTCTGGGAGATGTGGCGATTTGTTTGGGACTGTTGATGGAGGGAAAAGGAGTGCGGGCATTTTGGTGTGAAGGATTGGTTTTGGTGGGTTTTGCGTTTGGATTGAGTGAGAGGGAGGCTTGCACTGCGTATTTTTTGCCGCTGGGACGGCGGATGGGTGGGCTATTTAGGGACATATCTGATACGAGGATTTCGTGGGTATGTGCTTACCATATAATGAATCTGGCGAATTCGAGTCACTGACACCAACATCACAGAAATCCCTCCTCCTCTCAGCATCCTCCAGAATTTTCATGTCCCTGCTCTTCTGGCCAATGCTCTTCCTCCTCATCACAGGCTACCTACTACCTTTCTCCGAAGACGCAACAGGCGGCAATCACAACCTCCATTACCTTTCTCCTGAAGCTCGACGAAGCATTACTCCCTTCGGCAGTATTACGAACATACCCAATCGCCATACACCTTTGGGAGTGGCCGATTCGAAGGAGATGTACACCCTCTATGTTCCAGGTGCAGGCTTTCTCTGGAGCGACGAAATGGTGTGGGCACAGAGTGGACCATGTTCAGAGGAGTATGAAGTGGAGGGCTCGGAAAGGGTGTTTTTTGAGGATCGTTTTGCGGAGAGGTATCCTTGGATTGTGGAGGTGAAGAATCCGCTAGAGAGGAAGAAGAAGACTAAGAAAAGCCGGTCGAAAGTTGGGGTTATTAAGTCAGGAAGTGAGGTGCAGATCAAGAGTTGGACGAGGTACGTTTCTTTTCTTCTCCTCGAAGACAAATCTATCAGCGAACAAAAGGTTTGACATTGGAACATAGTAACGATTACCTCTGCCTCATTCCTGGCGAACGAGTCACGAGTGAAGCTGGATACTTTCCTGCCGACGAAGGCGATGTGGAAGAATCCACACAAGACACAAAGTCAGGAAGAACAGAATTGCAGAGAATCCGAGTTGGGTGCGTTTGTCCGCTCTTTCTCGGCCTGGGTACAGCCTCTGACCAGCACGATCTAGTAACCTTCCCACCCCCTGCGACTGGACTATCTACTACGATCCATCCGATGACAGCGGTGTCGTCTTCTACAATTCAGACTACTCTTGTCGCTTAGCAACGACCTTTCGCTCCCTGTCCAACGAAGTCGCCACCAACGACACAGTCCAGCGGACTCTAAGATCCGAAATCGAAGCGAGCTGTACCGTCAACGCAAACGATGCGAGTTCGAGTTTCCATCTCATCGATGTTAGCCCAGTGACCAACCGACCTTCTTCACGCAAGGCACTCGCAAACCATGGACCGTCCTTCCCGCAGCGAAGCTGGATCGTCGTACGAGCACGGAATGCTGTGAGCCAGTTCAGAAATCGGTTTGCCGACAACAGCACCCCTATGCCTCAGCTTGAGCGGCGGAATTCTTCGTCTCAGCTCAACGAGTTCTTTGCGTACGCACTGATTGCTGTTTCATTGGTCTGCTGTCTTGTACGGCAACGAAATCCCGCAGCACCAGAATTTCTACATCTGCCGATATGGCAGACCACATTCGTGCTCGTTCAAATCTTTGCTAATGCGAGCTGTTCCAGGGTTACGGGTATCGTCGGTCTACATGGATTGATGGACTTTCTGTCGTTGTTTTTGGCTCCACGAAATTGCAGTCGATAGAACATAGACTTATCCGATGTCTAGAAATAGCTTAGATCCTCTCTTCTCATTTCCAATCCAAATACATACTACCGAGCATTGCAAACTTGGGGTTCGAGTAATTCGGAGTCCGTGCTCACGAGCTTGTGACTGCCAAGCCGGTGTCACCTCAAAGAATGCAAGGCATCACCTCCTACTCAGGCTTCGAAGTCCAAATACAGACGTTTTTGCCATTCCAGACATAAACCCTGCACTTCAACACACCCTTCGACAGAATGATGCACTCCGTAGCCAGAAAAACATAGATGTTTTCCACTTGTGCTGCGCTACACGCACGCTGCGTGACCACCATCTCGCGTCTTATTCGCAGGGTGGCCAGATGTAGTTGGAATGGCGTGTGCTCGTTTCGTTTGCAGTTCGGACACGGATGTTCGATCTGGACGTTTTTGACGAAGCGATGGCAGTTTTGTGGGATTTGTTTCAAGAACTGGACACAGTCTGCCCCGGTCGACACGGTGAAGGTCGAAAAGCTGAAGTACAATGGCAGGCTCTCCGCGCGGATCTGCTTGGATGTCGATAGCAGACCCATGTTGTGATTGTGAGGCACAGTTCCACGGAGATCGACGTGGTCTGTGAATGCATACTCATAGATGATGTCGCGTAACTCTTGTGGAAGGGGGAGGAAAGTGGGTTTGGTCTGGCTGGTCATCATGGGTGAAAGCTGTTGCGATTGCTGTATTACGTCTAACCACAAAGCATGAATTGACGAACTTATGTAGGTGCTGCCCTTTCGCTTCTTGTGTCAGCACTTAAGACACGCCAAGAAGCTTACAAGTGAGACCTCCTGACTTCAAAGAAATGAACTTAGAGCAATCGTTTCAGCTGCAACACCATCTTTTGTCCCTGTCTCTGGTTCGTCTTGCCTAATCCATGTCTCTCTTCACTCCCTACCATTGACACTTGGCACCCCATGAAACCTACGCGCCAAAGTGTCGACTGTTATAGAATGATTTCCTTGTACACCCTAACCCATCGCTCGATCGCCACAACCTATACCAACAACAACAGACCTCCAAAGCGCGCTATGGCCCCGAAACCTGCCACAGTATCGCTACTAGTGCCTGTCTTGGACCAGGTGTCTTGGTCCAGTTCCCAAATCATCACCTCCCATGATGGTCAACCTCTCAAAGCACCATTCTCCGTTCTCATCCGGCCAGCAAACGAAAGGTCTCATCTCCCCTCCCCACAAGCACTTGATGATCAACTTGAGCACGCCAGGCTGTAGCGTCGCGCCAGAGTCGCGCATACGACGCTGAAGTATAGCCATCTGCTCTACCGCCCTGGTTTTGAGTGACCCGATCCTTCGTATCGATTGAACTACAGCTTCAGAAGTCGCATCAAAGTAGACGTCGGTACTCAGCAGTCCGCGCTTCTTAGCGCCGAGCTTCCTCAGAAGGCTGATCATCTTGTCGGCGACTTCGAAGTGCAGGCTCACGGTGGAGTAGTAGAGGAGGATGGATTCTTGGTAGATCTGTCGGGAAGCCATGATAACACCAGGACCTTGCGCTCGACCTCTCCTGTTCGAGGACGTGGGTTTGGGATATGAGGTGATGAGATCCTCGAAGGCGAGCTCGTAGATGAGGTTGCGAAGCTCGGCGGACAAGTCGAAGAAGTTGGCGCCTCTGGCAGATCTGTCGACCGGGATGGGCTTCAGTGATGAGACTGCCTTGCGAGGAGGCACGATAGTAGGTGCTCGATGCGGTAGATGCATCTTTGCGATCGAGCTGGTGTTGTTGGGGTGTAAGAGAAGTCGATGAATGTATTCCAAGAAGTTGGGACTTCAAGCTTTTCAATTATTAGAAGAATGTGGGTTTCTAGAGCGAGTGACGCGATGCGCAGCCCTGCACGTGACCAACCTTTATCTGAAGTGAATAAGCTTTTGTGCCAAGAATCACATGTAAGCTCCATAGGCTAAGCAATTAAATTTTGAAGAAACATAATAATGATTCAATAGTGCGCTAGCTGAAACCCATCTTCTTCGGTCATGCCGTGATCCTCGAGTTTCAAGCATGAGAAGCTATTGCCGTCCACCTTTCTGGTGCGTTTGTCCTAACCTCAATCACTACAATTCTTGCAGAGCGAACCTAGTCATGTTCCTTTCAGACACTTTGTCCAAACCATCAATCTTCATCATCACTCTTCGACTCGTCCTCTCCCAGTCCGAAAGAATCCAGCATAAGCCACGACGAGCGTCCATGATGCGTCATCGGTCGAGATCCCCCGTACCTCTTCGTCCTACGGCGTTTCAGCATCAGCTGGTCGTCTTGTTACAGTCTTGACATATACTTACCGAATCTCCCCCAAATGCTCTCCGAACTTCTTCGCCGTACCCTCGGGGTCATTGGTCCAGTACGTAGAAATGCCCGGCAAGGTGGGAAACACGAAGCGAACATGAATCTTCTCATCCGGGATCTCGTCTGTTGTGATGATCTTGGAGCGACGAATGACTTCCAACGAGATCTTGAACCTTGACCCGGCTTCGAGCATCCTTACGCAACCTCGCTTGGCTCAGGCTGGCGGATTTTGCCATGCGGATTGGTCCTGCGTGTCCGACGAAGCTGACCTGACGCCGGCGGATCGAGCCGATGAACTCGAGCCACTGGCGCATGGGTCGGCTGCACTCGGAGTAGAAAGCCGACTCGCTGTAATAGATGGTGAGTGCCTCGGTGTAGGTCTGTTTGCAGGCGACGAGGAGACTTGGCGCTGGAGGGAATCTCTCGCTTTTGTCGTCGCGGGGACCGGAGACTGGCAGCTCGACCTCGACGCGGAAGAAAGCATATTCGTAAATGCGGTTGCGCAGTTCCGCCGCAAGATCGAGGAAGCGGAAAGGGCGGGCAGCCAGGTCGGTCTCGGCGTGCTTAGCGTGGGGAGGCATGATGTGGATGTGTGACGCAAAGATCGCCATGTGCGATGCGCTGACCAGGTCGAGGAGCTTGGCGATCGGTTGCAGGAAGCTTGAAAAGGTGTAAACATAAGTAGACGGGTCTTGCGACGTAGCACGTGAAAGGGTGGTCAAAGCTCAGCCGGCAAGTGAATGGGTCAAGGGTAAGATGATGTCATGATTGAATCCTTGCCTCTGTACGCCTGTGTCGCTTGAACCTCATACTAATACAAGTCTTGTCCCATTTCTGATCATTCTGGATCTGAATTGATACCTTGCGTCCCTTCCATGCCGTCGTTCGCTGACGTCCGGCAACCTCAAGCCTTATCAGGGGAGAAGGCCTCTATCATCTCGTACCACGCAGCAGAGCTATTAATCTTGCCTGGGCGCTTCCTAAACTAGATTAGTACTTCTCGTGGACCCGAATAAGATGTGCTTACTTGATCTCTCTCAACTTCTCCACGAACATCTCGGCAATCTTTTTGGGCTCGTTGGTCCAGTAAATCTTCGTTCCTGGAAGATACATCCGTACGTAGACTTTGTCGTCGCCGAGGATTGGACCTGATTGATGGACGTCCTGCAACACCCACTTGCGATGTCGGGCAGCCCTAGTTCCCAAGTGTCGAAGTGTTTCCTGGGATTGGAAGGTGCCATACCAATAGCTCGACGACTCGTAGTGGATGGTGTTGATCTGCTGCTGGCGAGCAAGACCAATCTTCGAAAGCCAAGGGGCCAAGTCCCACCAGTTGGTGACGTAGAAAGTGACATGTGCGTAGAACATCGAAATTGTTTCAGTGTGAATTTGTTTGCATGTGAGAAGGAGTCCAGGTGCCCCGTGTTTCTTCTTTTCACCGATGTTGAGGCGGGAGTTGCAGCAGGGAATTCGGTGGGAGGTGCAAGAGAGAACGAGGCCGTAGATTCGATTCCTTAGTTCAGCTGGCAGTCCCAGGAGTCGACAACCAGTTTGGTCGGCCATGGGGGACGTCTTCTTGCGACGGGCCATAGCCGTGGGAGGTGGTGTTGAAGTTGAGTGTTCGGAGTGAGTGTATGTCAGAGGAGAGAAGTTGAGTTTGAGTCTGAAACTGGAGGAGGAGGAGGTCTTTTATGCATAACGATAGCAAGCATGTGACACATGAGATTCCGCAGGAGGCCTAAACACTCTCACTTGAGTTGCAGTTTTGCTCGTGATGATTTAGCAAGTGAGGAAGACTTCAAAGTATCCAAAGTCTCATTTAATATACTGCTATAGGACTGCCACATTGTTACTCCATGCTGCACTCCGTATCTCGTATCGCGCGTAAAGCAACTCAGAAAACAATCTGGTGAAAGCTCCCCCTATCTCAAAGCTGCAGCTCGCTAGTAAAATCATTTCCTGTACTTTGACACAGTAATCCGTCGGAGTCCTGTCGTTGTCTCCCAGCCTCATTGTCTCTCAAAGCATGCTGGTCGCTCTTGCTTGAGTGTCGTACTAGGCCTCGGCCTCATGAAGCGAAAGTGGACGCCGGCTTTGTCTTCGTCAGCTTTGATATCAAGGCGTGCAAGGAAAGAGTAAGAGAAAGGGCTTACTAGTTCGTCATGTTGTCGATTCCACCGCTGTCTCCATCGGTGACCCAGACCGTCTCCCACATCGAACTTCCAGTATCGTGGATGACTCTGATCATAGGCGACGGAATGCGCACTTTCTCACGTAGCAGCTCAGCCTGGACCATAGCGTAAATCTTATTTGCTAGCCATTGGCAATGACGACGAGGACGATCCTGTCCACTAGAGCTACGAGACCGCAGTCGGAAATCGACTCGAGTCACGAGCTGGCGATTCTCTGGCCCGACGTTGCGCAACCACTGCCCAAGTCTAGCCGTGTTTGTGAACTCGAAGATGGAGTTGGCGAAGTAGATCTGCAAGGCTTCGGCGTACAGGAGCTTGCAGGCAAGTAAAATGCCCGGTACTCGAGTGCCACGGTTTGGATCGTCGTTGGTCTTAGAGCATACGTAGACGATGCTGTCTTCAAAGGCGAGCTCATAAATTCGGTTGCGTAACTCTGGTGGCAGCTTGAAGAGTCCGGAGTCTTGTTGGCCAGTGGCATTTTCGAGCACGGTGACCATTTGCTTTTGCTTCTGCTTGGGCTTCCGCGGCTGAACACCGTCTTTGCGGGATGCCACGGTAGAGGCAATGGAGTGGTGTGTTGGCTCTAGACTTGTCAAGACGGTTGTGGGTGTTGAGTGTATTGCTGTTGTGTCGGCAGTGCTGAGAAAAGAAGAGTAAAAGGGAAAAGGGAACTATCTCACATGGAAGGTGCGAGGCGAGCATGCGAGGCAGGCATGTGATAAGCTGGCTAGAGCGTTTTGCTTTGCATACCCACTTCGGCTGCGTTCTGCTCGTGATGATTGAGCGAGTAAAGCAAGACCAAACGAAACCTTTTGAAATTTCTCTGCAGCATCTCCTTGACCTCATCGCAAATCTCAACAAGACTCTTCAAAGAATGCGGCTCCTATCAGCGATTAGAACACACCATCGCCAACAGAACCAGACATGACTCATATTCAAGTCTCACTTCTTCTTCAAATTCTTCCAACCCAACCCCCAAGAAAAAGCAAATATGCCCACTCCTAGGCCAGCTACAAGATAAAAAAAGCGATCTATACTCTTTGAGTCAGCATCCAGCACACCAGCCAAGCTTGTCTGGGGCACAATCGCGCGAAATCCAGTAGCCCCGGCTTCGACGACACTTTGCACGTCAACGCCAGGCGAGTACTTGGGAATCAGGGTTCTGAAGCTGTTGCTGTAGATGGTTTCAGCCAGGCCGAGACATACTGCCGCGCCGAACGACTGGCCGAACATGACGAATGCCATAGCAACGGGGATTTGTGCAGGAGCGACTGAGTGCTGGACGGCTATGAGAGGCTATCGATGGGAAGTCATGATTAGTTGCAAGTCAGAATCACGAATTTCGAGATGTCTTTACTCACCATTTGCAGGCCAATGCCGCGGCCGACTCCAAGAATGATCTGATAGCCTATCCATTTCCCGGTCGAAGTAGTAGGCGAAAACGTGGAAACCAACCCACTCCCGACGGCAATCATCACTGCACCAAAAAGGCTGATCGGTATCCAGTATCCCACTCTCTTTACTGAAAAAGCATTAACATTTTAACCACCAAAGCTTCAGCAGGACAACCGTCGACCTACGTAAAGGCCCAGAGCTCAAGGCGCACAGGATATGGGCCACTATCATCGGCAAGATGTATACACCACTCAACGCCGGCGAGGCTCCCCTGACTCCTTGAAAGTATACCGGCACCCAGTACGACTCTGTGTATAGATGTCCAGCAAATAGTCCATACACGACGCAGCTGATCCACACTACTGTTTTGCGGACCATACTGAACGGGAAGATAGCTGCGTCGCCTTTCCGCACTATCCAGAGGGCGAAAACAATAATAGCGACGCCAGCACCGCAGAAGAGGCCGATGATCTGCGAACTTTCCCAAGAGAAAGTACTCCCACCCAATTGCAAGGCAAGCAGAAGCATCGTAGAGGCACCAGCGACGATCGTGAAACCGAGCAGGTCGAAGTGAGAAAGGAATCCATGGAAGATCGACCTAGCGCTTGGTCTCGAATGTTGTTGCGGGACGGGAACGAATACCAGCATGGCTGCGACAAGACCGCCAATGGGAAGATTAATGTAGAAGCCTGATGTAGTTAGACTTAGTCGCGACCGACGTGCATGAAGTCACTTACACCATCTCCAAGTCACGAACTGTGTGAATAGTCCTCCAATAAGTGGACCACCCACCAGTCCAAGTTGGCCGAATAAACACGTTGTTAGCGTATGGCCGAACTGAAGTAGAGACTTCTCGACTCACTGCCCATATTGATGCCTATCAGCGCTATGATATCGGTTAGCACAGTCACGCAACTAGAAAAGCTTGTTCTTACTCGGCCTCTTCTGCAAAGGAGCACATTCGGCGATTATGACCAGAATCCCATTCAGCAGGCCTGCCATGCCAACGCCCGCAACCACTCGTCCCCCGATAAGCATATTCGATGAAGTAGCCAGTGCGCACACGAGAGATCCTATCTCGAAGATCGTGAAGAAGGTGAGGAATACCCACTATGTGGAGAGTTTCAGCTACACTCAAGAAGGGCTTGGATTGGTTTTTTACCTTCGGTGTTGAAAGAGCATAGATCTTCCCTGTGATGGGTTGGAAACAAGCGCTGAAAAAGACTCGTTTAGGATCGGTAAAGTTGTCATGATGGTCCAACTCAACATACCTGCTCAATTGATACGCCGCGCCGTACCAGCCAATGTCGGCAAGAGAGTGGAAGTCGTTAGTGATGCGTGGAAGGGCGGTGACGATGATTGAGGCATCGAGCAGTACCAAGAAACAAACGAGCGTCAGGGCAGCCATGATGTTGACCAGCTGCAAGCCGTGGATCCATTTGTCCTCTTCTTGGATATTTGGTGCAGCGGTGTTCAAGCCTGACTCTAGCCCAGCTTCAGGGGTGTATCCTGTGCTGCGTTTCTCTGAAGTGGAAGTTGAAGAAACCCCTGGCTCTAGCCCCGAATCTTGGAGTTCTGCTTTATGGGGTCTTTCTTCCGTGGAGCCTTTTTCGGGATCCATATTGACGAGACAACAATGCGATGTACAAGACGCGTCAAATATCACATATTCTTGTAAACATTCATCTCAGCGATCGAAAAGCGGTCGCTGGGTCTGTGACGGAGATAGATATATACATTGACTCTACTTCTTCTGCCTCGTCACAAGGTCCTGGTATAAACATCCTACCGGCCCAATTCTCCCTTCACAAAATCTCGCAACTTGCTCTTGTCGGTTGAATCAAACAACGAAAAGGAGTAGATTGAAAAGCAATGTCTCCGATCAGTAATCGTTCGTGGCTAACTAAAGGTGAGGAACCTTATATAGGCAGCCTTCCCACGAGATGTAGCCTTAATGAGGCTACATTAGCGCCGGACTTAGCGTCTCGCGCTTATACCACTCCTGTAGGAAGTTTAAAAACGGCGGGTAGGGCGTGCGGATAGGCACGAGGTTCTGGGAACTTTGATGGGATAAGTCCTTCTTCCTTTTCAGTCACCGTATCGGTCAGCTTCCTCCCGTGAAGTATTGTTCTACCTGCTGGAATTGAATGCATGAGGCGAGCGCTATGAACATCATGGAGAATCAATAGCATGCCTTCCATGGAAGAAAAACAGGAACTTGATGCAAAGGACAAAGCTAGATAACGTGGCTAAAAACCAAGGGGTCGGTAACAACCGAAAAGCCTCCTGTAGGAGCTCGCCCTGAATCACAATATGCGAGTCCTGTACTCTCTCGCTGCAGGCCACGCGGTCTTTGGCAGGGTCAAACCACTCTTCGAACGCTTTTTGCTTGCTGCAACAGGGTACACTTGAAGGCCAAATCCCACGACGTCTCTCTTGCCTCGATGGCCTTTGTCTTCGACCCCTTCGTGCCGACTCTCCCCTCCCCCCTCCCACTCGCCCAGAAACATCAGAAACCCAACACCAACCCTCAGCCCCTAATAGTTCACAATCTCAAGACATCCACCCTTTACAATCTTCTCCACCCCATCTTCGCCCACAACCTTCGAAAAGATAGCCTCCACATCGAAAATCGGACACACAACTCTCACCCTCAACATGCCCTCCCCAAGCACAACCCCATGACGCTTGAGCTCCTGCTCAACAACCCCAATCTTGACCGCAATTCCCCCATGCCACGGCTCCAAACTATGCTCCCCAAGCCCCTTATTGACCGCATTGTGATGCGTGCGGAAATCGACCCTCCCCACAACCCGCCGGTTCGCGGGGCCGATATTGCGCATCCAGCTACCAAGCTTCTGCATGCTAGTAAAGAGGAAGACGCTCTTGTTGAAGAAGATATGCAGGCTCTCGGTGTATGTCTGCTTGCAGGTCATGAGGATGCCGGGGACTTTGGAGCGGCCTGAAGGGTTGGATTTGGACTTGGATTTGAGGGTGACCATTTGGTCCTCGAAGATGAACTCGTAGATTCTGTTGCGGAGTTCGGGGGCGAGGGACATTAGGCGGGAGGCGGATTGGTTGGTGGCGTTCGAGAGGGTGGAGATGGTGGTTTTGCGGGCTGGGGCCATGGTGTTGGGTGATGGTGTGGTGGAATGGTCTTAGAGAAGGTGGATCTGAGTTGTTGACGGTGTTGCAAGGACGGACGTTGCGGCAGACTGGCTTTGTTGAGGTATAGTCGGAATGATCAAATCAGTTGATGAAGAGACTCGACGCAGCAGCGTGACGATCTTGTCGAGGGTCTTGTCGAGGTTACCGATATGTTGCACTGCAGCGATCTTGTCGAGGTTTGCTCTAAGTTGTTGCAGCTTCGAAGAGAAAGATGGAATATTTAATTCTCGAGGGATTAGGGGCAAGCTAGGCAGCAGGGAGTGAAGAAAAGTAGGCTAGCATGTGACAAAGCTGGTGGGTGAATACTAATTTCGGGCCGGTGAAGCAGCTACGAACTTGGTGAAGACCGGCACAATTGAATTGCAGATACTCAAGTCAATTCACAACAAAAGCCAATCGCATCCAGCTATAGACTTACTGAATGCACTGCTCTCACATACCCTCTTTGAATTCCCTTTAAACCCCTCTTGACAACTTCACAACACGCTTCTTCCCCTCCTTATCTAGCTCCCAGCACCACCAGTTCTCCTTCACCAAAACCCTCATCGCACCGATTTCCACCGTAACATCCTTCGCCTGGAGCATATGATCCAGTTGACACAGCACCTGCTTCGCGAAAACCGTAGAACCCAGCAATCTCTGATTGTACGGATCCGTCAACAACGCGAACTTCCTCAGCGATTTCCGGCTTCCAGTGCCGATTTTCTCCAGCCAGCGACGCAAATCGCGGATGTCGTGGGAGACGAACTCGCAGTTGGTGTAGTACAGCTGGCGAGCTTCGGCGTAGATGACTTTGCAGCTGGTGAGGATGCCGGGAGGTGTGTTGTACTCCATGTTGCAATATAGAGAGAGGATGGCGCATCTCGAGTCGTTGAAGGCAAGCTCGTAGATGTAGTTACGAAGTTCTGGTGGTAGTGTGAAGAACTTGGAGCCGGTCTGAGAGGAGGCGTTTTGGAGTGGATTTGGTGGCGGCTTCTTCGTACGTGCCATTCTGGCGATGATGGTGTTGCTCGTTGAGTGAAGTGTGGTGAGGTGGAGAGAAGTTGGTGGAGAGAAGTTGGTGGAGAGAAGTTGGTGGAGAGAAGTTGGTGGAAGAGGATGTGTCGTCGGTGAAGCTGAAGAAGTGGCTGCTGGAAGTGACGTGAAGTTAGCGCGTTGGCACGTGCGCTAAGACGGCTGGCAGTTGAAGTTAAGTTTTGGAAGGCACGACGATAGCTCATATCACAGTCATTCAAATCCACGTACCGATGCTACATACCTATGCTATGCCACATGAACGCCTCACGCCTTCGCTAAAATTCGGACCAGAGCAACGACATATTTCACTCGAATCCGTCGTCTCTTCTCTCCCTTCTGTCCGTGTTGGGACTCATGGGAGGCGCATCGGGGGCGTGCGGGCTGAGTGGTACTGCACCCTTCCCTTCATATGCCGTGGGAAGGGCACCAAGGGGGTCAAGAGCAGCAGTCTGCACAGGAGGCGGCGCGGACGTGCTCAAGCTTTTTCTGTGGCCGTGACCAAAGGCAGAAGGCAGAGGCTTCGCAAGCTGTTCGCTGGGTTCTTGCATCGGCTCAACAACCTCATCTCCGAGCAAATCTTCGCCATCGATATGGTGCACACCGCCGCGATTCTCTGCAACGGCTTGCTGGAGTGTGAACAAAAAGTTGGCCATGCCGTCGAACTCGACTTTACTTTCAGTTTCACTCGTGTCGTAAAGACGCATGGCCTCAGACAGACACTTCTCCGCTTGCGAAGCCTTCTCCAGACGTAGCCAGGCATCCGCAGCAAGCATGTTCCAGAACCCAGCTTTGCGGTGTCGATCGATGCCTTCGAGTCCACCAATCTTCCTACGCTCGTTGAAACATGCACCGATGCGTTCCATGAGCAGGACGTGACCCACCGGGCCTACGAGTCTATCGTCAAGAACCCGGCTCGACCACCGTGCTGCATCGTCCAATGCGTTGCCTCCGCGCATCTTGAGAAGTTCCACTCCAAGCACCAGTGTTCGCAAAGCGTTGTATGGTGCTCCTACTCTCGTCACGTACGTGTAGTAGGCTGTCTCAAGGTACTGATCAATCCCTTCGATGCGGATCTTGTGATTCGAGCCAGTGGCTATCAATAAGCTCATAGCAGCCATTTCATTCGCACCCGCATAGTGTCGCCAAGCTTTGTCGTTTTTGAAGTCTTGACAAAGTATTTCGAAAGTTGCATGCGCCAGCTTGAAGTCTCGGAGCATAATTGCGTAGTCACCTAACTTCCGCATGATGGCTTCTGGAGTGTCCGGTCTGTAGAATCCTTGCAGACTGTCGTAGTTGCTGCTCGCTCCACCAAGAGATGGGCCAGACGAGTTGCGGTTCCCGAATCCGGTGAAGCGTTTCGATAGTGACATGAATCTTCCACTCAGCCCACGCCGCCTTGAAGCAACCTGGTCGTTCCACGTTGCAGAAGCCCGCTCCATGGCCGGTATTATAGACTGCGTGACCATCTCGCGTACGAAGGCCCGAATTGCGGTCGCATCGGATTCGAAAATGTACGGTGAAGGATCCTCTTCCTCCTCGTTGGTCTCGCGGCGAATGATCTCTGCCAGCTCTTCCGCCGCGGCTGTCCACTCGCAATGCTGCAACTTCATGCTGTCATCGTCAGAAGCCACACACTGCGTACTTCGAAGCCGAAGAAGATGGCAGTGCAAGCCAAAATGCCGCTTCATTTGATCGTATAGGGCCATGGACTTCGTGATGTCGTCGTAATCCTCGTCATGTATCAAGACATAGTAGCGTAGAAACTCGTTATGCACCCACTGTGGTAGTCTTTGCTCGCCAGAATTCGACGCATCGTAAAGACTTCGCAGCTCCTCAATTGGCTGTGGCGACCGCGATGAGATGGCGATTACAGCGGCCACTGGATGGGAGAGGGTCTCCGAAGGAACCATCGGCAGGCCTGAGAGCAAGCGTCGCAGGTACAGGCTGTAGAAGGGAGACACAGCATTTGGATCTGCGAGTCCAGTGTCCTTTGCGCTGATGTAGTCATCCACAGGCCCAGAATTCTCCTCTGCGAATGTGAGATGTCTCTCAACCAGCTCTTCCACCTGCGGCACATCTCCACCTGTCCTCAGTCTCGCAGGTTTGAACTCGAGAAGAGATATCCGCTGCGCCCTGTTGCTCGATGAATCCGTGCTCTTTCTGTCTGCAGCCCTCGGACTCTCAAGTCCATCTTTCACTCCCGTAAAGCGTATGCCAAAGTCATCCCACGACCTGCTGACCCCAATGCTGTCTCGTATGGTGACTTTCCCCGGCACATGCTCCCCAAACGGCCTCAACAGCTCGAGCAAGCCACCACTGATACCCTTGTGCCTGACAAGTTCCTCGGTATCTTGCGACGCCAGCACAGACACATGCGGCGCAAAGGCCCTCAGGATGAGATCCTTCACATGGTTGCTGCTGACCTGCCCAGGCGGTGTAGGAGACGGCGACCTTACCGTTGACCCAGTGGGCGAGAATATCGAGCCATTGACTGTGCCCGCGACAGGTGTCACCGTCCCTGAGGCGCTGGGCGAGCCAGAATTGGGCTGAGTCGGGAGAGAGGTGGAAGCGAACAGGTTGGACAGGGAGGCATTCGAGCGGCGGTAAGGCAGCGAAGAGACCGAGGACAAGGGCGACTTTCCCAGTCTTCTCTTATGGACCGAAATGGCAGGCTCCGAGTCCGACTCCTGCGGCGACTGCAGTGGATCATCCGGCGTCGGTGGCATCAGCGGAGGAGCAGCGGGAGAGCGAAGGGTGGAAGGCTGCGTATAGCATGGATGGGCGACTGGAGATCAAGAGCAGTTTGCTAGGGCGGCGAGTGGTTTGCGTCTGACAGGAGGCGATGCATGAACGGGTGGTGGTAAGTGTTGCTCAGGCACGGAGACAAGTCCAGCCCGCCGCCGTGATGACGCTCGAGGGTGAGTTTTGGTTGGCTGTCCTTTTTGTCACCGGAGCCATGGCCATAAGTCCCAGACCTTTCCACTTTGTCAATTCGCTCGCGCCTTCAGACACTACACTTTGACATCGCGTCAACACAAGTGAATGAAAACAGCATCTACTGCTATCACGTGCAAACGCAAGAGGCTTGTGATATCCATTTGATGCTCCGGATCCAGCAGCGCATCATCCAATCCCAACCAGACCGGTGAATGCAACCAGCTCACAGACTGACTCACTGGGCTGCAAAGTCACTCAAAAACACAACATCTCTCTGCTTCAGACCAGCTTGGGCAACAACACACATTCAATGCAGGCACACTTCTCGCATGTCTCCGGCTCGAACCCTTTCGACATCACCTGAAGGAAACAAGCGGCGAAGGCTGAATCCATCTCCCTCTCTAAACCCATCCTTCTCCACAATGGCTCCCATGCTCATCCAAGAAGTCGAGGATGAGCCAAGTCATCCAACCACGCTGGAGCTGACTCCTGTAGAGACCACATTTCGTCGTCTTCTTCTGGACGTGGCAAAGCATGTAGACGGCACTCCAACTACCAACGTCGAAAGCCAAGTCGCACTTCCAGAGGAGCTTGCCAAGGAGCCTCTTGTTCTTCGCTGGACAGGTGGATGGGTCCGTGACAAGCTTTTGGACACGCAAAGCCATGATATTGATGTCGCCATCAACAAGATGACCGGCTATCAATTTGGTCTGCGGATGAAGGAGTACCTGGAGATGCCTGGCAATCTGGAGAAGTACGGCCTCGAGGCAATTGCAGCAAACGAGAAGCAGAGTCAGAAAGCCGGTACCACCGACAAGTCAAAGATGGTGGGAGGTCTCCACAAGATTGAAGCAAATCCAGAAAAGTCGAAGCATCTCGAGACCACCACACTGTCGATCCTGGGCCTGGATGTTGATCTCGTCAACCTTCGAAAAGAGACTTACTCAGATGACAGCCGTAACCCTCAAATCGAGTTTGGCACACCCGAGGAAGACGCTCTACGTCGAGATGCCACTGTCAATGCCATGTTTTATAACATCAACACTGGCGAGATCGAAGACTTCACTCAACGAGGGCACGAGGATATGAAGGCCAAGATTATCAGGACTCCACTCGAGCCGTACCAAACTTTCAAGGACGACCCATTGCGTGTCCTAAGACTCATTCGGTTTGCTAGTCGACTGAGCTTCACCATTGATCGAGCAGCACTCGACGCTATGCGGAAGTCCGATATCAAGGATGCACTTCGTAGGAAGATCAGCCGAGAGCGGGTAGGGGTTGAGCTCGACAAGTCGTTGAATGGCCCTGATCCACATGAAGCCATGCGCCTGATCTTTGATCTGGATTTGTACGAGACCATCTTCTCCGATCCTGCGGTAGCCAACCAAGACCACTACAAGCCCGACATAGAAGGTTGGCGGACCGTCATCGACACCTTGGAGGATATGCTACAGAGCGGTGGACAGATCGAAGAGAATCTTGCGCGCGATAAAGACGAGAGATTCCTCGCGTGGCACCTCGCGGCCATGATCCCATACAGAGACGCTCCCCAACCTGAACCTTCCGAGCCTGGCAGGAAACCACCTCCACCAATTGCCGTTACTGTCGCTCGAGAGGGCGTCAAAGCGACGAACAAGACCAGCGATGTCATCAACGCCGCCATTCGCAACCAAGCTGAGATTTCGAACTTCGTCGACAAGCTGAGTGATAAGAAGAGGAGACCAGATAAGAAGGTTGAGGGTGAAGACCCAACTGCTCGAGATGTGCTCGGCATGGCGATTCGGCGGTGGGGATCCAGTTGGCGGAGTCAAGTCATGTACTCCTTACTTGTGGACATCGCCAACGACCGTGATAATGTCGAATGTAAGTCGAGCTGATCTCAACTCTTGACATGATACTGATCAATCCCAGCCATCGAACGCAAATACGCTGCCTTCCTGGAGCACCTCCACAACATATTCCTCCTCGAAGTCATCACTCTCAAACCACTCCTCGACGGCAAGGCCCTCGCCAAAGCCATCGGCACCCCTCCAGGTCCCTGGATGAAAGACGCCCTCGACGTCGTCATGGCCTGGCAACTCCGCAACCCAGACATCACCGACCCTGCCCAAGCCATCGAGGAAGTCAAGAATCAGCGACAAACGAATGGTGAGCTAACCTCCGCTCTGATCCGTCACTTCCTCAAGCTGACGATCCGTCCTCTCTTCATCAAGGCCAGTCCTAGTACCGTTACGGAGCAAGGGCGGAAGGTGACCACCTCTGCGTTGCCGAAGAAAATTACGATGGACGAACAGGATGATTCTGTCAAGAGGCCGTGGAAGAGCGCCAAGGATGCTTACTCGTTGGATCTGCTGCAATGGGTCGTGGAGAGTCTGGATGAGAAGATCGTCGCGGAAGTCTGGCCGTTGGTCATCCCACCAATCTTGACTTTGATCGATGACTGGGAGACGAAGTACAAGCGAATCGGTGCCGAACGCCTTCACTCCCTCCTCCGCGCAACACCACCATCTCTCCTCGATCGCACCGGCCTCGGCGAAGTCTTCGAAGAGGCCCTTCTGCCCTGCCTGACCTACCTCCCACCCCTCACACCGCAAGACGACTCCATCGCCCTCCTCTCAACGGTCTACCCTTGCCTACTCACCCTCGCCCACATCCGCTATCCCAAAGACCTCCGCTCAAACCCCACAACTCCCACCCCGACGGATCTCAACCGCATCAAAGCCCTCTCCACCATCCTCCGCAAAGGTATCCTCCATGGTTACACCCACTGCAGCGAGCACCCCGCAGTCGTAATCCGCCTGTTCACGAACCTCGTCCCACTACTCGACGCAATGGGCATAGACTCCGTGTCGCACCTCAAATACACCATCACCATGCTCGTCGAAACCCTCGCGCACTCGCTCGGAGCTGGAAGCGTGGCTATGCTCGAAAGCGCCGTGGAAGGCTTGAAGGCCGTGATCCGCAACTCCTGGCCGAGGATAAGTCGTTGGAGGGGCGAGATCCTGAAGGCCTTATGTCTCTGCTGGGGGAACGTAGCCGCCAACCCAGAAGCCACAGCCTTGAAAGGCAAGATGAGAGAGCTCACAAAGATGCTCCAAGTCGCCCTCAGCGCCGACCAAAGCGTGAACTTTCAGGAAGAAACCCAAGCCCTCGTCGCCGCTGACGCTCGTCTCGCACCTCTTTTCGATGGCCTCGAGAACACTTCGTAGATAGATAGTCCCTCCAAAAAATCATCCTCTTCCATCCGAGTACCTGTCAAGTATATCGAATGCCTGCGTGTTCGGGACGCTGCAGTCTTCGTTATCGTTGACCGGACAGCCTAGGTCTTCTTCGAGTTCGGTGCCGACGTCGGGTCTGATGGAGCGGATGGCTGTTGCGACGGATTTGCAGGAGGAGCAGTTTGATCGGGGGGGTTGGGAAGTGGTGGTGGTGTTGGGCTGAGGGGAGTGGTTCGTGTGGGATGCATTTGGAGGAGGGGAGATGATGGATACTTCCTCGTTCGTGGTGGTAGTCGTTTCGTTGCTTGTACTCTTGTTCCTATCGCTTGATAGACCGTTCAGTTCAGGTTGATGACGATCCACAACCGTATCCATTTCTGCAGGCGCAGGCCTTGGCCGTATCATCACATCCGAAGCACTCGACATCGCCACCACCGATGGCTCCTTCAAACCACTCTCACACCCCCACCCCACCCGTCCCAACAACCCCTCCAGCACCCTCGCCCCCTCCCCATCACCCTCCCCCTCCCTCCACCCCAACCCCCTCAGAACCCCTCTCAACCGCACATTCTCCTCCAACACCCTCCGCGCAGCCCTCTGAATCTCCTGATTCGCCGCCACGCCCACCCGCTCGCAGTGCGCGAGTTTGGCTTCCAGCGTGGAGAGGTATTCTTTGCGTCGGGCGCGGGAGCGGCGTTGGTTGTCGCGGATGCGGTGCGTTTGGGGGAGGGTACCTGGCGGTTTGGAGGCACTTTTTGAGATGGTAGGGGTGGGTTTGGAGGTTTTGGAGGTTGATTTGGCCATGGCGGCTTGTCGAAATGATGTGCTAAAGGTTGCCGGCGTCTCGGTCTGTGCTTGTAAGGAAATGTTTCCCTCGTATGTTTGAGAGTCGCTGTCTTGAGTTGTAGAAGAATATCGATGTACAGCATCAGCCTCCATCGACGAAGTGAAGTCCAGCCAAAAGTTCGGCCCGATTTTGCCACCGCCGTCTCCGTCTCGACCACACTCCGTCGCCGAACTCAAATCCTCTCACCAATACCACAATGAGACCCAGCACAAGACATTATACTCTCATAAACAGCATTAAATTCGTGACGCTCAAACTACAAGGAGAACGGTGGATATCGATACATAACAGACCACCCTCTTTTCCCATAACACCAAGCTTAGATCGTCCATTTTCCTCATTGATACCATTCATCTTCGTTATACGACGCCGCCATGCTGTTGTAGGTGTTCATGCTGTTCAGCCAATTCACCATTCCCATGCCGTCGTGGCCGTTGTTCTGTGCCTGTGTCGTCTGCGCGTATGCCATGTTGGGGTTTGGCGGCATTGTCATGGTTGTTGCTTGTTGCACCGCGACATTTCCATTCGGCTGGCCCATCACAGCACCACCCACAGGACCACCGCCATTGACGGGTAAATTGATACTGCCATTCGTGGGGCTTGTCGTCGTCCATGCTGATGGATCCATTGCGACCGAATCCCAATTCTCAAAACCAGTCGCAAGCTGCGCCTGATCACGAAACGCCCAGTCCGAGCTATCGCGTATGAGCTGTTCGACACCGCCAAACATTTCACTTGGGCTGCCTCCCGCCTGTATACGCTGCTGCCAAGTCATCTGAGGAGTCGCAGGTGTCGTGGTCGCGGACGGATACTGCTGTGCTAGTAAGCCTGATGCATCTTGGGGAGGCGACTTGTAGCTGCCGCTGTTGGATCGTACCGCAGCTCCTGTGCTCGCTGCCGCCACATTCGGCCGCGGTCTAAAGTACGCATTGGCTGCTGCCATTTGGGGCTGCTGCCATTGTGGTTGTTGTTGCTGGTGCTGAGGGCTCGATGTCGGAGGCGGCACGAAGATCTCGGAGGCCCGTCTCTGGGAAGGAGACTGAAGCTCGGCGCCATAAGAGCCGAACTTTGCGTCAGTCCTGGCAAGTACAGCAGCCGCATCTTCAGGTAGCTCGACTTTCCACTTGTTGGCCAAGACGCTGAGGATTGCAAGGGTGCGTCGAGCGCAAAGCCAGCCTTCGGCAATCTCCTCGAGATGCTTCAGGCCGTGGACGATATCTCTCTTGGCGTTCTTGTCCGGCAAGTTCAGCAAGTGGATCGTACATGCCGAATGCGTGATGTACACTGCGACGTTGGGTATTTGACGCAGACCGTGCGAGCGCTTGTATAGGCGCATGAGCTTCGATATCATCGCGGCAGCTTGTGTGCAGAGCTTGCGAGGGCTGACTGTATTTGGTAAAGGTGATGTCGCTTGGGTGTACTTCAGGAAAGGCCGGAAGAGGTGGATGAACAAAAGCTGAAAGAACATGCTGTTGCTTGTAAGTACCACATCACGTAAGATTGGTAGTCTTGACTTACTGCATCACCAAAACACTAGCGAGAATGCCTTCCTTTGGCTCGAGTTCTTTGGGCAAATCTCGTCGCCAGCCCTCAAGCCGTGTATGAATGTCTGAGAGCTTCTTGAGTTCGACTGCTTTGCCCTTAGTCTTGTCCATATCCGTCGGGTCGTAGAAATGCTTCATCAGGTCGTTGCTGATCTCGCACAGCTTCGATATCTGCAATGCCACTGCTCTCGTCCGCGCAGGCTGAGCATGTGCTTGAGTGAAGCCGGAGTCAGTGTATGGACTCCACTGTGAAGAGTCCTCATCCGGGAAGACTTCATATTTGGAAACTGTCACGATGGATGATGGGAGCTGCGGTATCCGGCCGAGATAGTTGGACCAGCATTTGTCGAACAGATAGCAGCCCCAGAAAGTGATCTTCCTCACATCTTCTTCGTTCTCATCACCACTGACAAACTTGTTGGAGGTTAGCTGGCTGGAGTCAAGATTCAAGCCCATGTCGCAAGCCATGCGGAAAGACATCCCACTGTAGACCCAGCCTCTTGCTTCCCTGCCACAGCCAGCTTCTCGTACTGACATCAACGCCAAAGCCTGCACTGTGGTGAGGTGAGGTTTCTCGTGTTCATCATTCTCCATGATAAGTCGTTTCGCTTCTCGAAAGAAGTGATCGCCAGCAGTTGCAGAGTCATCCGGATTATCACGAGCTCCGCCGTGTGAAGTGAAATGGCATCCCAGCGCCAGCATTGCATTGACCAGCAACGGCGTGCAGTAGTGAGTCTTTCGTCTTGTATGCGGCGGTGGCCGGCCTAGCATGAAATCGCGATAGAACAGCTGTCTCGACAACGTCGTAAAGAAGGGGTAATGCCAGGTGAAGTACATGTTGAGGAGATGGACCACCAGCTCTCCATCATTGGTGACATTTGTCCACGAGGTAACCGCATCCTCTTGCTGGTGATAGTCATCCGTGTTGGAGTTGTCCTCCTCATCCTGCGCCAGATGTATCAGATTGGACGTCCCACCAATGTACCTCACAGAACCCGAGTCCAGCCGCAGGTCTCCCATCTTTCCAAACAAGTGTGATTCAAACGACGGCGCGCCATGGCTAGATGGCTCTGCACCTGGCGAGGCATCGTCGTCGTCTTCATCCACCTCAGCCAATCCATTGTCCTTTGCCGCAATCTTTTCTGCCACCGCATCCAAGCTCTCACATGTCCGTATCTCTCTTATCAGCGCCGGCACATCGTCTTCAGGGTAGTTGAGGATGGCTTGGATGAGGGTTTGGAGGGTCGAATTGCGGGTCTTTAGATTGTCGATATCGTTCTTGTATACGCCTTTGCGGCGGTGGTCGGAGTTCGGGTCGTAGATGCATTCGGTACGGTACACCTGCTTGCAAGCCGCGCATGCCGGCGTGTTGCCATCGCATTTGCTCTTGCGTTTCCTGCGGCGCGCAGAGACATGTCAGCGACCCCCCTCTCCTCGCTTGGTGTAACAGTACGTAACAGAATCCCGCTCCAGCGCATGGCGACCCAGCAGAGTGTCCCTCCCGCATGCGCGTGCTCGGTCTTGGGGTTGTGCCCACACACTCACTCACCTGCAAGCTATACACGCCGTCGACACACATCTTCGTTTCGCAGCGTCGTCCGCATCCTCGTTGTGCTTCCGACGACTGCGCTGTCGAGGCTTGGCGGGGGTGTCGGCGACAGGGTTGGTGGTGGCTGCGCCGTTGGCAGACGACGTCTCTCGGGCGTTGGAGGATGTCGAGGGTTTCGTATCGGCGGCAGCGTCTCCGGGTGCACCAGGAGCAGTAGTGATATCCATGTGAGTTATTGGCACAATGGGCCTCCAATTAGGCGTGCGGTGCTGGCTGCGATCATGCGGCGCTCTTTACACCATTTCTCCCGCCGTCCTCGGAGATGTCTGACAATTTGGAGGAGCTTGTTGGAGCTCGCCACGGTCTGGGCCGAGTGCTTCGACGAGTACTTGTACTGGATGATCACCCTTCAGACTGAACAGCGGTAGACTGATAGTTGAGAAGCTGCCATGGCCTTCAGACAAAACAAAGTGCACGACTCTCAGCAGGCCATGCTCCAGGTTGCTCGTCCGCCTCGTCGTGGCAGTTTGGTCAGCTTTCACACCGAGTGTCGTCGGCTTGGGCAAGCTCGTCCAATCACAGCAGCGTCTCTCTCAAGCGCTGATGGCGTCAAGCATTAGAAAGTGGTCTCGAAGAACCATAACCTTCACGCAGAGAGAGAGAGGTCTTAGAAATCAAACAACTGTGAATGCTCTGCCAGACTGACAAACAGGTGGGTTCGCATTGGGTCGGGGATCTTCGCCGACCCTGCTTGCCTGATATCGCTTACGATAACGGATTGCTTGGCGCTGCTATCAGGGGCATTTCTATGGTCGCGTTGATAAGGTGGAAAAGAAAGAAAGCCTGGCAGACAGGGTATCCATAGGCAGACATAGAGTACCTTCGCCAGTGTGGCGTCTTGGGTATCCTTCATGGCTGGGCGCTCGCCTTACCTCTGCCAGAACACCACGACGCCGAGAAGGACTGACAGGTACCACCAAGACGGCGATGATAGCGCGTCCTTGAAGATACGACGTTCTACGCCTCGTCAACAAATCGTTACTTCACGGGACAATCCAGGCGCTCAGAAAGAGAATGTCTCACTCATCGCACTCTGCGGTGCCCGTTGACGTCGAGCAGGTGAGGTTGATGGGACTCGACGCAAGAGAAACCCACCCAAACACCTCAGGTAGTCTTCGAAAGACTTACGACTTATCCATCGTGAGCAAGTTTATGCCCTCGAGTCTCTACTGCCTGGCTTGTCTCCAAGCAATCAGACAGACGTTCTCCCAGAGCCCACTATTCATGCAGGCTCAGCCGAATGAAGTGGCTGTCCCTGGGGATTGGCAGGCGAATGGCCTGGGCGACTCATTGTGGCTATTGGTGAACAGCTTCTTTCCTCGCCGACACTCGCACATTAGGACCGCCGGCTTGTTCACTTCGAAGTCCTGCGGTGTTTACATCCGTCCAGTTTGTGTAATTTCGACTGGAACGTAACGGTAGAGCACACTTCGTTGAGCGGCCGCAATCGTTCGACTTCATGGTTTCGGGTATCGTTCTCATCGTGTACTCACATCGACTTGCAAAGAACGAACTTTTCGTTGCTTTAAACGCAGTGACAAAGTCATGGGTACCTGGATACGCACACTCTGCTTCACAAGTATAATCTCGTCAATCGATCGAGACGGCTTCGATGTGTCGCGGAGATGATATGCAACAGTTGTCGTTCCAATTCCTGTAGCATCGCCGTTCTGTCGGGTCGGAGTGTCGCGCCGGAAACGAGAGTTGGAAAGTGTCGTCGAGAACAGTTTTGTGACGGGGTCTTTGACCGTAGACGGGCGAGATGAAATTCGTTGTTACCCGTCGCACATAGGCATGGGCATGGAACACCAGGCTCATGATGCCGTGGTCCACAATACCGTGCGTTCACGCACAGGCGCCTGCTCTTGGACCTGTGTATCGTCAGGAAACTCCATGTGTCCGACACATGTGCGGCTGGTTGAGATCGTGTCGTGTGCAAACAGCACGCATGCGTCGACGTCTAGTTTCTCTGCCGTACAAGTATGCGATGGTGCCATGTGTCGTCGTTATTGCGTTTTCGATGGATCATCAGAGCGTGGGCTAGTCGTTCTTCGTATAGGCAAAGGTGGAGCAACCACTGAAGCTGTTATGTAAAGATTTCGTTCTAGTGTGGCCTCGACCGCATAGAGTGTCGGCAACGTCGTTATGTGTGTTTCGGGCCCATCCAGACGGCGTAACGAGGTCTTGGTGTTGAGTGAACATTCTGTGAGACTCGCCGGCTATCGATGGCAGGACGCGTGTGGTCGAAGAAGCGGATGTGGTGCTCTCGGTCGCATACGCTGCCGTTGAGGGTCTTGGGCATGATTACCCTACTTCCGCAGCACGACGTTCTGAGCGACTATCACGGCCCGTTGATCGTCGAAGTTGTCCAGACTGGAGGTCGTGACGAAGAAAGAGTTCCGGCTACAGATCGAAGTGCAAAGAATGAAGGGACAATTTGGCGGGAGATGATCTCGAATTCCAGAATCGCAAGTTGATAGAACCATCGAACATTGGAATGGAACTGTGTGGTTCGTTCACTGCACGGGACCCTCGCAGGGCTGCTTTCCTGTCGAGGCCGAGACTCCGTCGAATGATATCAACGATGGAGCCTTTACTTCTACTGAACATAGATGCGCCAGTGCCATAGATAGTGGCGATCGCTTGCTGACGCTGATATCAACGCGTTGGTATCGACTGGAACGCCCAGCTTCCGAATGCAACGCAGCGAAGAAGCAATCAACACACACGGCGGTCCAGTCTAAAATCCTACAGACGGTAAGCCTGACTTCTCGAACCGCCGAACACGATTCCATGCAATATGCTTTCCATGCCACTCACGTGCAGTCTCTCGATATGGCACAGCGGCACGGCCGGGTGCGTCGTGGCGCCTGCCAAAGCCCATGTTCGTCCAGGCTTAAATCCTCCTGCGGCGTCGACCTTGCAGATGTGATGCAGCCACAACTCTCTCGCAGCGCTCATGTGCGGCATAATGCACAACGTTGCCGGGTTGCGGCCTATATTGGAGCATTGTGAGGGATTTGTTGTTGTAAGCCGAGTTGAACCGCCTACGCGATGTAAACGAAGTGCTATCTTGAATCAAGGCGTTCGCACGTGGGCTTTAACGTTCGAGGCCACGTGAGATTTATGCTCTCCATGAGATGGAAAGGTTTGAGCGGGTGGGCGGTAAGGTGAACTTTGACCATGCGACGCATCGGACTATCCAGCCTCCAATATTGCCAGTGGCAGGCATAGGGAGGGGAAAAGTCCTTGCTACAGTGTTGTAGGCATTGCAGCATATGAGGCAGAGACAATGAGGCGCACCACATTCGCGGTCAAAAACCCATTCTACGCGGAACTGAGCGTCAATGAGGGTCGGGCTGATCCCGATGCCTCGCAGTCCTCGTTGAATGTTCCTCGCTATGGTATCTTGGCTGTCTATGCGGGCTATTCAATGCGCACGCATGCCCCTTCTCTTGTTGAGTTGCGACCGTCTGACATCGGGGTGGACGATGCGTGTCAGATCGCGGCGTCGATAGCAATGCCATTAATAGCAACGCCTTGCCACGGCGGAGGGAGGGCGGATGGGAGAGGTGGAGGGCGGCGCGTTAGGGAAGGATGAGGTCGGGTCGTGGTGTCGCTGATCAGCCTCGGGTCGACCGTATGCAGCAAGACCTCACGCGCGGAAGGAGCGCTCGAGCTTCGGCGCGGCGCCCGCTTTAGGCTTAGCATGCTGGCCGGTGCGTTTATCGACCGCACCTTGTCGGGAGAAGCAGCGGCACGCCTGTCGCCTCCGAAATCACGACAACGTCTCCCAGTCGTCGTCGTCGCCGCGCACCTGCGTCGAAATTGATTGCCAGCCCTCGGCCGTGCCACCCGCCTTTAGATCATGCCAACCTCGCGCCTTGCTCCCCATTCGCTGCAGTACGGGACATTCACTTCTCCAATGGCGTTGGTCCTGTTGCTAAGATCAACGTACGGACCAACAAATGTCGCTCCCCTCCACAGTCTTGTCTATCGCCAATCAAGAGGGCCAGCCATACGACCCTTTCGATAGCCTGGCGTCGCGCAATACGAGGGCTGGAGCTGCGGAGAGTCGTGACACCCCAGGCTTTCCTCGTCCACCATGCTGCTCTCAAGCAGGATTACATAGACGACCTCTTGCGTAAGACATGAGGTCGATTGTGTCGAGAGACCTTCGCGATCAGAATCTCGAAGAGGCATGCATCCGACCCAGCAGACCAATCACCCACAACCAACCGCTCAGCTCTGCAGCCAAGTGGTCGAAGCTACTGCTGATCTTGGCGGCGTTGCCGGCGCACCTCATCCGAGCTAAGCCTGGTCTTGGTAAAGCTTTTCGGCGCGCTTCGTCTCTGTGCCACGCCCATGATAACGCTACGCCCAAGAGGGCAGCTGAATGAACGCATGCTTAATTGCCACAGTGCCAGGATTCCCTAGCATCAGTCGCTTGCAGGTACATGGGGTCCTGGAACTTCTAGAACGTATCTAGAAGACGGGAACGGCAGCGACAACTGGCTTCCAATGCAACGCTCGGAGACCACCCTAAGATAAGGGATCCTATGAACACTCGCCACACTAAATTGGCGCGGAGGGGTCGCGCCATGTGCGCCGGCGAGGGTATAGAAGAAGCTTCTGCCCAGCCCTTGCCTCTCTCATTGTGGTCCTATTCCCAGTCTCTTGGTCTTGCTTGAGTGTGTAGACAAGACGCAGCCATGGGTGAGGCTTGCCATGGTCTTGGCTTTTAATCGCGACGCTGGCTAACACTACCGCAGACAAGATCGAGCGTGACAGCGCGGACTCCCCGCCCAACGAGAAGTCACCCTACTATGGCGCTATGGAAACACAGCCGCCTACGGAGGCTCACCATGGCATTGCCATCTTGAACGTCGAGTACGAGGGCAAGCCGACCGACGAGGAAATGGCGACTCTGCGACGAGTTCCAGGCTCCGTTCCAGCTCTCGCCTACCTGCTCTGCGCTGTCGAATTCTGCGAGCGTGCCTCCTACTACGGTATGTCTGCCGGCAGCGCTGTACTCCGAATTCGAGTAACTAACTGTCGACAGGTTGCGTCCAGATCTGGACCAACTACATCAACAGGCCGCTGCCGCCAGGTGGTAACGGATACGGTGCTGTCGCCGCTGGATCCCAGGCCACTCAGGGTGCCCTCGGCCTCGGCGAACAAATCGCCAACGCTACCACTCAGTCCTTCAACCTCATCGCCTACTGCTTGCCTCTCTTCGTCGGATACCTCGCTGATGCTAAATTTGGTCGTTTCCCCATGATATTTTGGGGTGTCATCATCTGCGGTGTTGGCCACGTTCTCATTGTTGCTGGTGGCGCCAAGACTTTGATCGATAACGGAACCGCGAAGATCCCGTTCTTCATCGGAGTTTACATCCTCTCCATTGGAGCTGCCATGTTCAAGCCAAACGTCACGCCTCTCCTGCTCGATCAGATGAAGAGCCACGTGCCAAAGATCAAGATCCTCAAGTCCGGCGAGCGCGTCATTGAAGACCCCGAGCACAGCACGGAGCGTGTCATGCTTTGGTTCTACCTTCTGATCAACATCGGTGCCTTTATGTCGACTGCGACCTCGTACTCCGCCAAGTACGTCGGCTGGTGGTTGGCGTTCTTGCTGCCATTGATCCTCTACATTCCTCTGCCACTCCTGCTCTGGTGGCTCAAGCCCCGCCTCAACTTGCACAAGCCCGCCGGTTCTGATCTGCCAAACGCGATCCGTGTTCTCAGCCGTTGCCTGGGCGGTGGAGGCATTTTCCGTATCGGTCGTCACGGCTGGTGGGAGGCTGCTAAGCCCTCGGTCATCGCGGCCAAGGGAGGGAAGCCAGAGACTCGCTACAACGACCAATTCGTCGAGGATGTCAAGCGTGCCACCCAAGCCACTGGAATGTTCTGTTTCTTCCCCGTCCAGTACTGGAACGACAACGGTATCGGAAGTTCCGCCAACTTCTTGTCCACCATGCTCACTAGCAACGGCGTTCCCAACGATGTCATCAGCAACTTCAACTCCCTCTCCATCATCTGCTTGGGCCCAATTCTCAACTACGCCATCTACCCAGCTCTCCGAAAGGCGCGTATTCACTACGGCCCAGTTGCCCGTATCACCACCGGTTTCTTCCTCTCCACCCTCTCCGGCATTGGCTACTGCGTGCTGTGCTACAAGGCTTACCAAACCAACCCTTGCGGCTGGTACGGCAGCACTGACCCAGAATGTGTCGACAACGGCCTGGTTTCGCCCATTTCACTCTGGTGGGAGGCTATCCCATACGCCATTGGTGGTTTCTCCGAGCTGTTCATCAACGTCCCAGCTTACGGTCTCGCCTACTCGCGTGCGCCAATCAACATGAGAGGTGTCGTGTCCGCCATCAACCTCTTGAACACCGGTTTCGCCTACGTCATCAACTTGGCTCTCTCCGCCGTCATCACCGACCCACATCTCGTCTGGGATTTCGGTGGCCCAGCCATTGTTGGTGGTATTGTCACCGTCTTCTTCGTAAGTCATACTCACATCCATCCTGAATTTAACATTTTTGCTAACAAACGATCCAGTACTTCCTCTTCCGCCACATCGACAAGGAAGAGTACGTCTTGTCCACCAACCAGACCTCCGAAAACCACGAGACGAACGAGTTCGAGACCGTCGACACCATGGATCCAGAGCTGCATCAGCGTGCCCAGTCTACCATCCAGGAGAAGGCTGTCGTTTAGGTCTGTGCTCTTGTTGGTGCGGGTCGCTTTCTCTCTGTATGATACCCATGCATCATGTGCTCTCACGAAGTTATGGGGCTGGGAGGTTGTCAGTAGTCTTTAGTGGCATACACAAAAAAATCCAAAAGAGTCGTTCCGTCGTTCAACAAAGTTGTCTTACCTTTTGCTTGCCCCAGTTCACCGTCATCGACAACTAAAAGCACTTCCAACAATGGGCTTTTAAGGTGCAGTTGTCGAGTGCAGTGTAGTTCAATGTGGATGGAATTTGAGGTCGCTGCCTGTAACGTAGAACGCATATCCCCATTCCCGGCTACCGTTGTGGTCAACTCGTTCTACAATCACTCGCTAGTCTGGTTAACTCCAGAACTCGGGAGAGGTGCAATGCGCATGTATGTGTTGCACGTCGAGCGGAAGGAAGGAGCGTGAAAGCCCCACAGCGCATGAGTGAATGTCCGTTCATATGCACAGAGCCGCTAGCGTCTTTTTCCTCGATTGCCAAGGCGCAAACGCCACCTTTGTGAAAGTGCTATGTAAGGGGAACGTCTGCGTTCTATACCCAGGTTTTCCGAAGATATTTTGACTGTTGAGGGCCTTGAGGTAGTATGGCCAGACGTTGTCCCTTGGGGATGGAGACGGTAATTGAGCAGGAGCCCTTCGCCTTCAGCATCGCGTTTGCGTGCATGCGTGCAAACGGTGACGAGTGTTTCGTGTCGACTTTGACAGCGTTTGTAGGAGGACTGTGCGTTCAATTTTGGAGGGGGTGAAGGAATCTCCTCTACTTCTTCATCTCCTGCTCTTTCTACAACGCCGCCCGCCACCCGTTTGGTCTCTTCTTGTTTGGTTTCGTGAGGTTCAGGTACGCACTGTTTTCAGGCAGCATGTTCGAGCTCATCATCACCGCCGACAAGGGCTACGGCCTCTTCGCAACCCAAGACATCAAGCGAGGAACCCGCATCATCGCCGAGGAACCCATGCTCGTCCTTCCCTCCGATGTCAACACGTCCAGCCTGTACACCTACCTCGACAAGCTCACGCCGGACCAACATGCCCAACTCTCCGACCTCGCCTCCACCAAGCACGTCGCCCCGCCGACTCTGAAGCAAAGCATCCGCCAGAGATTGCAGGCTAAGTACAGCGGTGCTGCCCTGGATGCCGCCGTCGAAGACAGCCTCAAGATGCACTGCACCTTCCTGACTAACACCGTGTACATGGGTCCGGATGTTTGTTTCGGCATGGGAATCTTCCTCAACTACAGCCACATGAATCACTCCTGTCGCCGGAACGTCCACAACTCGTACAATCCGACCATTGGCAAGGAGACGGTCCATGCCATTCGAGACATCAAGGCCGGCGATGAACTCCTCACGTCGTACATCCATACGGGTCTTCTGATCAAAGAGGACCGGCAGAAGATGCTTGCCGAGCACTGGGGTTTCGACTGCCGATGCGAGGTGTGCGATGGCCCAGATGCGGCCGAGTGCGAGCAGCGGAGAGAGCGTCTGCAGCGTATTGGGGAGGGGCTGGCGGTTTACGAGCGGCATGATCGCATCCTGACCAATTTCGCGCCGCATCCGGTTCCAAAGGACGATGCTCAGGCATTGGCTTGGTTGGAAGAGTCGGTCGGTCTGCTTAAGGAGGAGGGGTTGGCGGAACATAATCTGGTCCATGCGTGAGTCCAAATAGGTACCACAGTACGATTGTCTCAGCTACTAACTACCGTTCTACGCAGCTACCGCCAGTGCTCGGAATACGCGCTCAAGCTCGGCCAGGCTGCCAAAGCCATGGCCTACGCCCGGAAAGAGCTGGAGGTTGAGCGGGTTTGCCTCGGCGACGAGACCGATCACATGGAAGAGGGAATGGAGGGTGCGAAGTTCTGGATCCGGCATCTGGAGAAGATGAGCGAGCAGGAGGCTGTCAAGGATCGGATGAATCAGAAGCGGGAGGCGAAGGAGCAGAAGAAGAACGATAAGAAAGCGGCGAAGAAAGCTGCGAAGGGGAAGAAGTGAGGACGAGAGGTATGGGACTGGACATGGTTTGGCGCTGGACCTTGGGCCGTTGTCACGACGGGGAGCTGGTTGAGTTGGCCACAACAGCAAGTCGATTGTCGATGTGATCGCTGTGCGTGAAATAGAAGACGGTTGATGGAATGCATCGCAAAGCTGGCTAGGGGTGCAGTCTTTCACGTTGATGCCTCAGGCCACAAAATCCAATTTCACTGCACTTCTTCCTCATCGATATCTATCTATCTGCTTCAACTTCAACATTCAGCAAACATGGACAGAGCAGTCAGATTATGGCTCTCCAAGAGCGACGCACCACCAGAAACATGTACAGCACTGACCAAAAAGCTCAACAAGTCCTACACAATCTACGGCACCATGCTCCTCCTCCCACCAACAGCTCTATCCGGTCCAGAATGGACTCAACTCCAACCCAAAATCGATAATGGCTCCCTCGCCATAACAAACCTCTACAAAGAAATCTGCCACCATCTCAAAATCACCCACATCGCCCTCAACAAACCCATCCCCCTCCACCTCGAGGAAGAAACAGAACCAGAAGAAAACATCCTCCGCTCCCCCACGAATTTCACGCCTCTCCACGGCGACTTCGGCCCTGTCACTGCATCCTCGCCTCCAACGTCGTCCGACTTCGACCGAGCGTATTGGGTCACCGCAAAACAAAACGGCATCTACCAAACCTGGTCCCCGCGCTGGACGATGTTCTCCCGCGGCAACATCTCCGAAAAGGCACGTCTCCTGACCTTGCCGTCCGTCTTGCAAGCCGTCGAGGAAGGCGACTGCACGGCCGTGGATTTGTATGTTGGGATTGGTTACTTCGCTTTCTCGTATAAGAAGGCGGGCGTGAAGTGTGTGCTCGGGTGGGATTTGAATCCTTGGAGTTGTGAGGGGTTGAGGAGGGGAGCGGGGAGGAATGGGTGGGGAGTCGGGGTTGTTGGGGAGGGAGAGGAGGTGGGTGGTGTGGAGGAGTTGGTGGTATTTAATGAGAGTAATGTTCATGCGCCGAGGAGGGTTGAGGGGTTGAGAGGGAAGGGGCTTGTGCCGCCTGTGAGGCATGTGAATTGTGGGATGCTGCCCAGTTCGAGGGAGTCTTTGGAGTTGGCGGCGAGTGTGCTACATGAGAGTGTTGTGGGCTGGGTCCATGTGCACGAGAATTTCCTGGTTGAGGAAATCGAGGGGAAGGCAGAAGAGACAAGGCGAGAGTTTGAAGGTGTCGTGAAGACGAAGCGAGGAGGAAATGTCAAGACAGAGGTGGAGTACATCAACCGCCTCAAGAGCTACGCCCCCGGCGTCGTGCATTGCGTGATAGATATCGTCGTACATCCAACTGATCCCACCTGACAATCTCCACCAGCGCCGGCGCTCTGTACACGTGTATCATACATCCGATCTCATTCCTCATCTACAAGTGACAGGCCACCAGTACCGCCAGAGCCACGGCCATCCAAGCCAAAAGCTGCGAATATGGATTCCGCTGATGTCTATCCGCAAACTCCCAGAACGCCCTCCACGCCAACACAGCGCATATCACGTATCCCCATTGGCGCTGAAACTTCAGCTCCCGCGTAGTGACTTGCTCTTTAGCGGCGTCTACCTCATCAATCGTCGTCGGCAATTTCAACGCCTGCACCATGAACATCATCCTACAGTTCCCTTCGAAACTTCTGAGGGATATTGGCCTCCACGATCTGCATGCGATCTAGCCTCTCCTGTCTCTCTTGCGCCTCTTCCATCTCCTCGTGTTTCCGGAAATGCTCAATATCCTCAGGATGAATCAAGTCCTCCTCGCGCGTGTTTTCATCGTGGTACTTCTCGAAATGGTGAATCTCATACTCGTACTCGTCATCGCCGTGGTGGCCGGGGCCGTAGCCAAGATCTGGGAGGGCGAGACCTTGTGCGACCCCAACGGTGTACTCGGCGAAGGAGATTGTGCCCGACTGATCGCGATCGAAAAGGGTGATGACTCTCTGGACGGCGGCGTCCTTGTCAGCCTGCGAGACGTGCGCGGTGGATTGGTCGAGGAGGCCGTAGGTCTTGAGGAGGTCGTCGCGGGTCCATTCGTTGCTGGAGTCGTAGTCGTGGAGGTTGAAGAAGGAACCGGCGTCGAAGGAGGAGATGTGATGTTCCTCTAGATGGCAGGGAAAGTGTTTGATTAGATAAGAGCTTTTGATTGAAGGCCATCAATGTTGCGATTCCTTACCTGCCATGTGCCGGGTTGCCCAGTCTGCGTCTTCCGGCACTATGGGCTGTTGTTCGTGCGCGTGTTCTCCATGCGCCTGCACATGGCTTAGGAGGGTCAATGCAGTGGCGACGAAGGCGAACAGCATCGTGAATGAGTGGTGTTAACTGTCCAGGGGCGAGGAGAAGGCGGTATTCGACAAAAGGCCGTTCAGGGGAACAAAGAACGCCGGCATCATTGTTGTGTCAGCTTGCGCGGATATTTGGTCACCGCGAAGCTGTGAGACCATTGTCAACTTTCAAGCGCGCGTGCGTGAGGGACTGCACCTTTTCCATCAACACTTTCACGGACTTGCTCAAGGCCATTTGATGAGCATTCCTGGCCTCAGAGACCTTGATGAACGATCATGCGGCATAGATATCGCCCAAGGCCTCCTGCACTGATGCGGGCTGGCCACTCATCCCTCTATCCTACTTGAACCTCACCTACGCGACCTGAACTCCGACATGGCCATCGAAATGGAGGAAAAGCTCTGTACCATTGTCCTCCACGATGATCGCGTCACGAAGAAAGACGTCCTGGCCAGTAACCGAGCGATGCATGTGGGCGAATTCGCATATCTCAACGCGCCAGGAGCCAGGACGTTGTGCATCGCCCCAGCAGGACTTGCTTCCAACTCTACCGAAATCTCCATCCATGTCACGTTGGCGCAGAAGTTTGGGTTTGAGAATCGGACGCAAGGCCGGATCCAGATCATTGAGGATCCCGACCCGGCTACAGCCACTCATGTCGAGATGTTCTTCCGGGACCAGTTCCTCTCCCGAGCGGACATGTGGCAGTTGATGGGCCGGCTGCAGGATACTGTGCTGTATCACGGGCAAACTATCAACTATCTGGGCTCTGAGACGGCTGAAGTCAAGCAAATCTATATTGCGGGTCAGGAGGTTGAATCGGCCATTTCCTCACATCCACACACGAAACCAATCTTTCGCAGTGGGAGCGCAAGGTACACCATCTTGATCGAAGTTTCTAGGGAGATGTTAGAGAACTGGAGCAACGGCGATCTTATGTATGAACGGATGATCGACGGCTTTCTGCCCGCTCTTTTCCGGCGATGGGAGTCGCTGAAGGTTAAGCATCAGATCTCCATCGTCCTATTCGGACGCATTGTCAACGTGCATGCCAGTGGGAACAATGGGCATGCGGATAAGGTGCTGGATAACGAGGACTTTTTTCATGTTCTTGTGTCAGAAGTGGCAAGTGCATCCTGGCGACAGATCATGCGAAGACTGAAGAGAGCTTTCAACGATCATAGGCTACCACACTCTGTATCCTTGGCTGCTGACACCAACATGTTGGAAGCCATTCATCTGACAGCTATGGACTTTGCAGATGATCAGAACGATGCACATCTCATGAGCACTGGCACTTCGATGATAGCCATCACAGCAGGATCAGGCCTCTTTGAAGCTGATCACACCTTGTTGAAGCAGACAACGGACTTACTAGTCGGCAACAGCATCGGTGTGGACATCGTTGCGCTCTCGCCAAAACCTCTGCATCCCGTACCACTCTTCAGATACGACCATAACGGCACTGTCGAGTTTGCGCTACCTCATTGGGTTGACATCTCGTTCTGGAGGGATCCACATGATGAAGCCCGCTCCACTTGGACCTTGACTAATATCGAAGAGCCCGTGGAGGACATCGCTCTACCTCTTCTGCGGGAAAGCGGTTGGAGTGAGGTTGACACGAGCACCATGGACTATCACGATAATCAGGTTTTCCAGGATCGTGGACCCTCATCACAATCCATTCTAGACTCTTCCCCGGCTATTACGACTGTGGACCCCATTGGCTCAGTGGAGACGATGAAGGGAGTTCCTATACCTGGCTCCTCGCCTAAGAAAAACAACCCCACTGCTCCAGTTCCGGTTGATGAAAGCCCTAGAAGTGGCAACTCCGATGCTTCGAATAAAGAGCCCTTATCAAGAGCGAAGCGCCCGCGTCTTCCACCTCATCCGCTAATGCAGTCTGGACGCAAGATCAGTGTTGGACCAAAAGGTCTAGCACCTAGTAGGGGTGTCGCGAGCACTACACTGTCGACCGCCCATGCTCAGCACGAAAGGGAAATGGGGCTTGGCATATCAGCAACTCCCAGTGACAGCTCAAATGGCCTCGCAAAAGCTATCAGACGATCTCTTGCCAGGCAGCCATCTCAGCAAAGTCTGGTGTCGCATCGGACCAGTGGATCGGATCAGTATCAGACTTCTAGGCCTATCGACATTGCGAGCGTACCCGAATCGTCTGAAGACGAAGAGTCAAGTGACCCAGCAGGCGACCTGAAACAAGGCATTGCAGATACCATGGTTGGCACTGCACTTGAGCATGAGACCTCCCTTTCTGCGACTCCCAAGGCAAAGAACATGTTCCCTCGCAAGGGCTCAATGAATGATAGCCTGGATATGCTGTCACCTTGGGTCATGCTATTGAACCCCTGCAACCCGCGAAGGGACAACATGCGAGTGGCCAGTCAGTATCGCAAATGGCAACACGTCTTTCCGCGAGCTGTCAGCTCTGGTGCCTTCAAATGGTCGTCAATGTGCTCGCCGGCTGCTCTCCCTTTGACCGCTGAGTACAAGCCGTCGGCCTCTGAGCTTGAGACACATTACCGAAAGAAAGTTCGGCGGCATGTCATATCGAACTCGTCTGGCCTCAAGAATGAGACTGCTCGCGTGTTGGTGGAGAGGTTGATCGACGTTCGACTGATACGAGGCTTCCAGATTGTTGCAATTCGCAATACTGGCAGTGATCACACCTTCCAATCTAAAGACAAGCCCGTACTTCTGTCTCTCGGTAGACGGTATCATGAACTACAGCGCTTCTCAGACTTCGAAATCCAGGTCGTTCAGTACGATCCAAAGACGGGTATTGGCAGCGAAGACAACGGCACGCAGCACTATCTCACGTCATATGAGCCCAAAATGCGAATCATGACGGGCATGACGGTCAAGCCTGAAGTCACATACCATTCAGAATCTCCAATCGCTGACTGGTCATCACTTGACGAGTATATCCTTGGTCTGCTACCTGCACCAGAGGTCAATGCATCGTTCAAGGTCCGCCTGATATTGGTGCCCGTGGAGATGACAAAATCTGACCGGAACGCCCAAACCCGTCTTGGAGGCCTTTCCGATGAAGAGCGACGCATCGAAGGAATCCAGCGACTCACGCAGACTTGGCAACGACAGCGGCACTTCTCGGTTGAAGATCAACAACGCCATGTATCCATCACAAAGTCCAAACCGACGTCAAGTGCTCCAGAACGGGACCAAAACCCCTTGGCAATCGACTACCAGACGAAGGACACAAGTATTATTGTCAATGCGCAAGGACATACTCTTCCCAGTCAGCTTGAGGGTGGCGAGCTGAGTACACCACTCTTCAAAGATTCCGAGAAGCATCACAGTAGCAACTTCGACCTAGAAAAGCTTGTCAAGCAGATGCAGGAGCTGCCACCGTTTGGTGTAGAGATGCGAGACCGAAGATGGCTCACCCTCACCCATCTCAAATGTTTTAGAGGAGATGAGATGACCTCCTGGCTGCAGGGTGCCTTCAAAGATCTGGAACTTCGTGAAGATGCAGTGGCTCTTGGAAACGAATTGATGAACCGCGGTATCTTCTCGCATGTGCGGCAGAAGCACAAATTCCGCGATGGGAATTATTTCTACCAGATTGCGAGCGCCCACAGAACGACAGAGTATCCCGATACCCAAGGCCTGTTCAGCAAGGCGCCGTGGAGATCGATACCTGCTACGCCAATCGCAGAATCTGTCAAATCGCCTATCATTCGACCTCTCACCAACGATTCCAGCTCTTCATCAGGCAGGCCAACTCCAGTGCTGGGTCCAATCGACCACAAGGCGAAGGAGGTACTTTTGAGCCAGATGATGCGGTACAACGTGGATCCTCAGAAGAAGTCTGATCATCTCCAGGTCATTGATCTTCATTATGGTAAGCTTTTTTGTTACCCTCTTGTTTGCACGTGCTTACTGTTTGACCTTAGATCGAATCCACAACCCCGAGAACTGCTACCACATTCAGCTCGAATGGCTCGGCGCTTCCACCAAGCTTGTCAGAGAAGCGATATCTCGATGGTCGAGCACTATTGATGGATACGGACTCAAGCTCATCCAAGTGCCATTGCAAGAAGCTTCCAAGTTTCGAGAACATCACCCCTTCGACCAACCCCAACCCATACGACTTGCCGTCAGACCTCCAGACAAGATACTTGCGACGCCAATCATCCAGCCACATTCGGTATCTCCTCGCCCCGTCGAGGATCATTTCGCTTACCACAAAGCTATTCTGCGCCAGCACGACTTCGCTCTTGACTACGAAGCTGCAAGCGAATTCAACACTGATCTCCAAGTGACTTACTCTTGGGGCCCACCGACCTACTCACATACTCAGTTTGTGCACAAGTCGGGTCTCGTCCTCGCACAGATTCTTAGCAACGAAGTAGGCGATTTCATCCTCCTCCCCAATCGCCTTGCTTCAAGCAGAACATCTTCGGCCTCCACATCGTCGTCCTCTTCGACGGCTACGAAGCTCACAGACGTGGAAACGATCGAAAGCATCACCAGAAGTTTCAAGGACTTCTGCCGAAATGAGGAGATGCTGAAGCAGTTTTTCAGCCAGGCTGATCGGCCCAAGGGGTTTGCGCCCAGTCCTTTCGCGGGTGCTACGCTTGCGGCGGACTTTGATGTTCCACCTATGCAGTTGCCGCCGCATTTGAGTCACAGAGCGCAGGGGCATAGACATTTGTTGGGAATGATTGAGTAGGACTTGTGTATGTGCTCGGATGCTCAGGAATGTGCAGCGTGAGTAGACGACTGAGAATAGGTCAGAAGAAAAGCGCGAGACATACAACCATGTGTGTTGTTGTGGTGGTTCGAGACCAATGATATTGATTAGATTTGAAGCAGAATTGATTATGAAACAAGCCGAGGTGAGCAAGAGAGGCAGTTGAATTGCAGATCGCACGTGAGCAGGGCAGGGCCTGGTCGTCAACGACCCCTTGGATTGCGTGCTGCGAATGTGCCACGCACTGCAATCCATCCGGCTTCCTGCTCGCCGACAACCTTGAGACGCGACTCGCGATGCTTGGAAATCAGCAACATCCCTCCCACGCCTCGACAGCCTTTTCTCACCATCTCATGCACCTTTTGCAGCTTGTGACATGAGGTGATTCGAACCATGCCTTGAGCAATTCGTTGCACACTGCGCTGGAGTAGAGCTACCACCATGTTACTACGCCTTGCCGTGCGCTCCAGGTGACCACACCACCTCATCACGCGACACAGCCTGCTATCAGCATGGAACTGGCTTGATTGCTGAATTTATCCTCATCATCGACCTTGATCGCACACAAACGACAACATGGCGTCGAACACCGACACTTCGCCACTACTCTCGACGACGTCCGCCGCAGACTATGAGTCCATCTCAAGCATCGAGAGCAACACTGCTCGAGCACGCGAAAGCAAGCCTTCACCCTCAGAAATTGAGGCAGACGTTCTCCCGGAAGCAAGTACTCTGGGAAGGACTCTGACATGGAGAAGTGCCTATATCATCACCATCTCGAGAGTATTGGGCTCAGGCATTTTCGCCACCCCCGGCGTCATCTTGGCTTCTGTCGGCTCTCCAGGCCTCGCACTTACGCTCTGGGTCGTAGGCGCCATTCTCGCATACTTTGGTCTTGCCCTTTCGCTGGAATACGGATGCATGTTGCCACGGAGCGGAGGCTCAAAGACGTATCTGGAGTTCACGTACAGGAAACCAAAGTACCTGGCCAGCATCCTGGTTGCGACGCACGCCATACTTCTGGGCTTCACAGCGAGCAATTGCATCGTTTTCGCGCAGTACATGTACTTTGCATTCCGCGTGGATGGAACAGAAACCGGCCGCAAGGCCATCGCGGTGGGACTTTTGACATTAATCACATTGATGCACGCCTGCTTTCGACAAGCCGGCATCCGGATACAGGATTTCCTTGGTTGGATCAAGATTGCGATGATTGTTTTCATGAGCTGCAGTGGCATCTTCGTTGTGCTCTTCAGGCCGGATCAACGAGATGTGAGGCATGCAGCAGCGGACTTGATGCCGCCGGCAGATGAACTGAATTGGACTTGGGCTGGTTTCTGGGCGGGCAGTATCTGGTCTTTTGGCGCTATTGCGACTTCCATCCTCAAAGTGTTCTACTCCTTCGCTGGGCTCAGCAACATCAACAATGTCTTGAATGAGGTCAAGGATCCGGTACGAACGCTCAAATCTGTCACCCTGGCCTCTTTGGCTACGGCGTCGGCAATGTACGCTCTTGCCAACATGGCTTACTTACTCGTCGTACCTCTGGACGAAGTCAAGACGAGTGGTGAACTCATTGCAGCTTTGTTCTTCCAGCGAGTCTTTGGAGAGACGGTGGGGAGGAGAATTCTTCCCGTCATGGTCGCCCTCAGCGCAGCTGGTAACGTCATGGTGGTGACCTTCGCCCTGGCACGCTTGAACCAAGAAATTGCACGAACTGGTCTGATCCCATTGTCAAAACTACTATCATCCACGAAGCCTTTTGGGTCGCCCATGGGAGGACTCATCGTGCATTACATCCCCTCGGTGCTGGTTCTCACAATCCCCAGCGGCGATGTATATTCCTTCATCCTGGAAGTAGAAGGATATGCTGGGCAAGTGATCACCGTTGCACTGGCATTTGGTTTGATTTGGTTGAGGTTCAAGAGGAAGGACTTGCACCGTCCGTACAAGGCGTTTCTGCCAGGAGTTGGAATCCAGCTGGCTGTTGCATTGGCCCTCCTCCTGGCGCCTTTTTTTCCGAGTGAGAAGCAGAAGGAAAAGGGTTGGTTTGGTGGAGTGGCTTATGCTATTGTGGGTATCACAGTGTAAGTCTTTCTCATCAAAGTTTGGGTGCATCCGACGCTAACGACTTCGCAGGTATGGACTGGGTGTGGTGTACTGGTATCTGTTTGCTAGACTTTTGCCACGATGGCGAGGCTATAGACTTGAAGATCAGACTGAGATCTTGGACGATGGAACTACCGTTACAAGAGTCGCACATGTACCGATAGCTGCTGGGTAGTTGTGAGGGTCGATTCATATTCGACATAAAGCGTTTATGCATCTTGTTGTCCTACACAGCTTACACGAGCACCATACCTTCAACCTGATTCTGCAAGAGGTAGGTAACTCACAATGTCCAACTCCGCGAATGCGGACCCGACGATTATCACATTTCTAATCCCTCGGGTACCTCCTGCAAGGCTCCTGCAATATAGCAAGCAGAGCTCATTTCTGATGAATGATCTCCTTACACAACCACGCAAGACATCCTCGCTTCACGGCCCTGACACGACCGCGGACAGCCTCCGAATGACCGTCCCTGTCAGCCCTCATTGGATCGAACGAGGAGGAACGCATGGGGACATAGCTAGAAGCAATTGCGTGCTCTGGGGTTTCATTGTTGGCTGACATATACAGCTCGCGGTACGTCGGTACATGTAAGCTTCGTCTTGAACGGTAGATAAAACCAGGCTCGGAAGCTCTCTGGAGGTTTGATTGTTGTTGATCTGCCACTTCCAATTCGATTTTTATTTTTGTGTATTCATTCCATTCGACATCATGGCCACAGCAGCGGTACAGCTCCCTACCCAGCCGCAAGGCTTCAGCTCCAACTACAACGACTCCGCCCCTCTCGTCACCGCCAAGGAATCCAAGCTTGAGAAACACCATGTCGATACCGTGTTGAACTTCTTCAAGCCCAGTGAGGATGGTTCGCCACCCAAGCCTGCATACGTGGGCCGCCCGGAGACCTATGAGAGACCGCTTGATACCCACAAGGCGAGGATTCTGGATGTCTCCGGCGATGAGGACAAGTACACGCTTGATGGCCATGGGTTCCAATTTGTGTCTCATGTCAGCAAGGAGAAGGATTTCTTGGATGATGAGCAGATCAAGGCTGGGTACTACAAGGAGGTGGATCAGCTTTTGAAGGATGTGTGAGTATTGCCGCTTAATCATATATCTTTTGATCCAGAATACTGACCTTGTCCCCAACAGAACTGGCGCCTCCCGTACCTTCATCTTCGACCACACCATCCGCCGCCCCGCCAAGGAAGGCAACACCCCAGCCCTCCGCGGCCCCGTCCAACGAGTCCACATCGATCAATCCTACCAAGCCTCCCTCTCCCGCGTCCCCTACCACCTCCCCGAAGAATCCGACAAGCTCGTCAAAGGCCGCGTGCAAATCATCAACGTCTGGCGACCCATCAAGAAAGTCCTCCGTGACCCCCTCACCGTCGCCCAAGCCCAGACGGTCGGTGAAGAAGACCTCGTCCCAGTGGGTCTGATCTACGAGAAGCGGAATGGCGAGACGTTGTCTGTGAAGCACAATGATAAGCATCAGTTTTACTATAAGCACCACCAGACCCCCGAGGAGGTCCTATTGATCAAGTGCTTTGATAACCGCGCGGGCGTGGAGAGTGATCCGAAGTACAAGGAGAGGGCGAAGAGGGTGCCGCATTCGGCTTTTGAGGTTCCTGGGACTGAGAATGAGGAGGCGAGGGAGAGCATTGAGGTGAGGTGTTTGGTTTTCCATGAGGATGATGTTGAGTGATGGTAGGAGAGTTGGGCAACTTACCGGTTGATGAGATGTGTTTGTAGACAAATGATTCTTGCCTTCTTTTCTGGTTTTGAAGAAACTTTGTCTTCCTCAGCTCTTTCTTCCTGGGACCGCGGACCAGTACAGTAGTAGAAAGACTTGGAATATGGCACTACAGCGCCGAAAAACTTGGTACGTCCTCTGCCAAGTTCGTGAAGTCGAGATGCCTCGGTGACAAGAAGCATCTCAGCAGACTGGTGTTGCCAAATCGGTGGCAACGACGTCTCAAAGTCACTTTACGACTTGCACAAGACCCGCGGAGTAGTGGTGGCTAGGCGAGCTTCCTGTTTGAGGAATACCTTCGGACGATACATGTGTTTGGCGTTTGTCAGGGTTGCTTGCCACGTGGAAGGGGGCGTGAGAGGAATGTCTTATGGAGTTGCGTCTTCTGATATGCTCCAGCATCTGTTTCGCGATGTCAGCATGGTGTTTCTTCATCTCAGCAACTCCGACAAGACTCGCACAAAATCACAGACCTTGCCGCTCAAGTATGGCTTTCGCCACAAACAAAGACACCATCAGCTCGGTCGCATACCCGCTTGTGACAGATGCGCCTAGCCTGGCATACCCCTCACAGCACCCAAGACGCCCCAAGACGCGACTTCCAAGGATTGTTTCTGGAGAGTCTGGGGAAGCGAGTGCTTTTTATGGTTGGTGAGATAGATTGGATTTTCTTGGCTGTACCAATTGGTGGATAGCACGCCAATGGAACTTCATGGCGAATGCACTGACCGAGGTGCTTGGCGATTCGGACGACTCTGGCCACACCACATGATGCTTGGGCCTGTTGGTATGAAAGGGAGCCGGCGAGTCGTTGAATTCGACGACGGTTTGTTTCTGACTTTCGTGGAATTTGATCCTGTGTAACCATGTCGCTCGAAGAGAAGCAGCACGATGTTTCCACTCTGGAGAAGGTCGAGACGAATGAGGTCTCGAGCAGTGGTTCTGGCCAGGAGCCACAGGCGAAGAACAAAGTATGCCATCCCTTCCAGATTAGAATTGTGACCACGCTGATCGATAAACAGTTGACGTTCAGCTTCTTCATGACGATGTTGGGGTTATCGATGGCCTTCATCGTCGCCGAAGTGACTCCCTTATTCCTCGTCACCTGCTTCACGGTCATCGCATACGATCTCGACGCCATCGACCAAGTCATCTGGGTCATTGTGGCACCGTACATCGCTACCGGCGCTATTGCGCCCTTTGTTGGAAGTTTGTCGGACTTGCTTGGCCGCAAGGGTATCATTTTGACCAGCTTGGCCATGGGAATCGTTTCCTTCATCATGCTCGGTGCAGCACCCAACTTTGCCGTCTTTCTCGTCGGCCAGGTCATCTCTGGAATGGCGATTGGCATTCAGCTTTTGACTATCATCGCCGCAGCTTCTGAATTGGTGCCGGTTGCTAAGAGAGGCGCGACGATTGGTTACATCGTCATTGGTTTCTTCCCATTCGCCGCGGCGTCGCTCTATGGACAATTGATCGCCTCGGTCAACTGGCGTTGGATCTTCCTCCTCATTGGTATCTGGTCCGCGATGTCTTTTGTTGTTCTGGCTATCTTCTACAACCCACCACCTCAGCCAGCATCTGTTGGGCTATCAAAGAGGGAACTCCTCAAGCGCATCGACTACATCGGCTGTGCGCTTTCCATCCTTGGAGTGGTCCTCTTCCTTGTCGGAATCAACTGGGGCGGACAGACGTATCCGTGGAAGTCAGTACAGGTCGTCTGCATGCTGGTGTTTGGAATCGTCACCTTGATCATCTTCGGCGTATACGAGCGCTTCTTCTGCAAGTACCCAATGTTCCCTGGAAGATTGGTGCAGAATAGGAGACACTTCATCGCAGTCTCAGTACTGTGTTTGACCTCTGGTGTCAACTACGTTCCGTTGACGGTCTTTTGGACGATTCAGACTTACAGCGTCTATGGAGCCAGCTTTGCTCAGGCGGGTGTCTGGCTTCTGCCTTTGGGCTTCTGCATTGCCGGTGGTGCTATTATCAGCGCCATCTTGATCACGGTCTTCAAGAGGCACATCCAATGGGTCTTGCTGATCTTCTGCATCATCCAGACAGTCGGTAAGTCATTGTCTAAGGAGACCCAACGTCGCAAACATACTTACAGCTTCAGGTATCGCCTGCATGTCACTCTTCGATCGAAACGACATATCTACTGTCTGGGCCCCCATGATCTTCGGCCTCATCGGCGTCGGTGCTGTCCTGCTCCCGTCCCAAGTCGTCTTCTCGGTCATCTCTCCAACTGATCTCATCGGTACCAGCGTTTCGTTGTCCGTGGTCATCAGGATGATCGGTCAAGTGATCGGTAAAAGCATGTTTTACAACATCTTCAAACAGCAACTTACCAAAGAGGCCCCGGCAATTATCGGCCTGCCAGCTGTATCGGCTGGTTTCTCAGATATTCCTCGGATCACGAAGCTGGTAACGACCATGACAGCCGGACCGCTGTCCCACTACCTCGCTCTATTTCCCGAGATCGACTCGCCGCAAGATCTGGCTGTTATCGTGGAAGCTGGGCAGCAGCTATACGCCAAGGTCTTCCCGTTGCTGTACCTTGTGTCCATCCCGTTTGGCGTGTTGGCTTGTCTCTCCTGTTTGGCGCTCTGGGGAATTGACAAGTACATGGATGGCGACGTTGCCGTGCACTTGTGAATCAGGCCAAGCAGTGATGATGGAAATGATCGTTAGTTCGTCGTTGAAACTTTGAGCATGTTTATTTGTTACTGCAACGATAACAAGAAGCCATCTCTGTCTTCTGAATCTATTTTCACAGCGTCAGTAATCTCAAGCCCAGCCACAACGTCAAAGAAGGCATCCGCAAGATAGTCTCCCCTTGCTGTTGGCTTTCCAAACTTATCCGTAGCCATCTGTGCGATAGACGGCTGCGCAACATCACGCATATATCCAGCAATGCCATCCTTCTTGAAGTTCTCGGCAAACTGCTTCGCATGCAGACTGAGGCCTTGCGTGGCCCAGATCGGTTGCACCTAGAATGGTGTGAGCCAGTGGTCATGGGATCAAGGCCAGCGGAGCAACGCGCCTGCCAGACACAACCCATATTTGCGATATCCTGCGGGAAGTTTTCAAATTCCTCTTGAGTGTAACCCGCCTTGATGAAGTCGTAGGCTCCAACGTAACCAAAGGCAAATAGCCTGTCGGGAAAGACTTTGCGAACTTCGGAGTGGAAGTCGTGCAAGTCTTTCTTATCTGAGGAGGAGGTCAGTTAGCGATAGAAGGACGGGAGTTAGCAACAACATACTGGGTTTGTCTGCGAGGGCGTTAGCAACGTCAATCAACTTAAGTAGACGTTATGTACCTTGTCGACTCCATGTCACATCGCCAAGTGGAGCTGCAAGGATAGCACGATCTATGACTTGCTTTGTAGACCACTGCCACATGTATTGACCCAATGGCAGTCTTGGGACCTCCCAGTCGAAGTACACATCTTTGCCGTCTAAGCACTTCTTTGCGATCGATCTCCGCTCCTTCAAGCTTACAATCTTTCCTGAAACTTCCTTCGAATAAGCTTCATATTGTTCTTTGGTGGAAGCAGCGTTGACTGCATCGTCGAACGTCATCAAAGCTGCCTTGTTCTTCCATTCGGCCTTGACTGTGAGATAGTCCTTGCCCGTAGCCTTACCCGCTTCCAAAGCTTCCACAAAAGTCTCCACCTCCGGATTTGTAGCGCCGAGTACATATGGGTGGTCTCTTGGATCAAGGACACTCGTAATGAATTCCGCATGGTCACTGTCGCAGCGACAAAGTAGCATGGTGTCGGCACCCATAATGTCGAACGTCATACGAGCGGTTGTGAGGCGATTGAGATATTCAGAAGTTGGAACGATCGTGCGGCCTTCCCCGTTCGTGAACTTCTTCAATCCCAGGGCCAGATCATCGATGTGTATCATTGCGACTCCGGCTTCGACGAAAGAGCGCACCATTTTCATGCAGCCAGTCAATGTACCGAATCCCATGTCTGCATCGGCAATGATTGGAGTCATGTAGTCGATACATTCTAGATCGGCTCGATCGGCCTCGGAATAGCGAAGGCGCATGTGAGTCTGTCTCTGGTCGTGCCAGAGTTGGGTATTGAAGATTCGCTTGACGACAGATGGCACAAGGTCACTTGGGTAGTCGGCATGGTCAGCACCTGGCCAAGCTGCCTGCGAAAGACCGCACAAGGCACCGGACACATATACCGTCTGCACTGTACGTTGTAGCATCAGCAAGCGTCTATGATGACTCGCCACACTCCAGCCTACTGTGCTTTGCCATTTCCTTGACAATTAGAGGCTCAGTGGTCCCAAAAGTGATCTCATAAGATCCATTCTTGCTGTGTTCGTTCAACAACTTCCAGAGCTTGCGGCCCTGCGCGCTTGATGGATACTCGACTTTGATACCAACATTGCGTAGAGTGGCGATCGATTTGGCAGAATACGGTCTGAAGAAGTCAGTGCCAAATCTTCTGTAAGACCGGTGTTCTCTTCTTTACCGTTTGATATGCTTCTGACGATCGGAATGCCACCAATCTTCAATGGCTTTGATCTCGGCTTCGACGGCGGCAGACTCTTCGTTGGTGCTTGCCCATTTCTGCATCTTGGAAGTAAGTATCAAGGCGATCGACTATGAAAAAGCTTTCCAAAGGCGAGATCGAAGCATTGAAAAAGCGCGAGACCAAGGCGCGGCATCTCTCGCCTCTTCTCATCACGGCCTACCTGTGTCTCGCCGTCGGCGAAGGTCGCCTGTTCAGATCATTGAAACATCTCCACTCGAGCTTGGAAAGCTCAAGCTGTGCCGCCAGAAATCATTATCTGGTGTGGTGTAGAAGTTGGTGAACAGGTGAGGTGGAGAAAGATGGCAGGGAGTTGACGCGCCAAGAGAGTTGGCCGCGGCGCAAGTCAAAACAAACGCGTTCAGAAGGTCCACCTCAACCTCGCCCTATCATCAACCACTGCCATTTCCATCGCCGGACATGGATAGCAGGACTCTGGGAGCCGACACGTCCTGGAATGCAGGCCGTAAGTGAGCCGCCGAAGTTGACGGTCGCGGCCAATGTAGCCGAACGCCGCTGAAGAGTCTTTCAGGTGTAGAAACATCTCACACATGTCGTCTGTCACTGTGAGTGCTCTCCTCCCCTCTACTGACTATCAATATGTCCTCTCTCAGCTCAGCCTTGGCCTCGACCCGCAACGGGGACAAGCCGCTCTTGAACCTCCAGCTTGGATGGCCTTCCCCAAGACTTTGTGGACGGCAAGGTCTGCTCATTGGCGCTATCTCAGTCCTCGATGACAACGCCAACATGGCACCAATCCTACTATATGGTCCAAATAAGGGATTCCCACCGCTATGTCAAAGCGTTGCGGATTGGTTGACCAATGTCTACAAGCCCTCAGCTGGACCCCTCGATGCATCGCGGATATGCATCACCAATGGGGCATCGGGAAGCCTCGCAAGCATGATGCTGAAGTTCTCGGACCCAACTTATATCAGAAGGATCTTTATGGTAGAGCCGACCTACTTCCTTGCGTGTCCGATTTTCGAAGACACTGGTTTCCAGGGCAAGCTGCAAGGAATTCCCGAGAACGGTCCTGACTGTGTCGACATCGAGTTCCTCCGCGAGCAGTTGAAAAAGGCTGAAGCTGAGGAATGGCCAGATGTGCCTCTTCAGAAGACTGGGACCAGCTACCACCACATCTACAGATATGTCCTGTACTGCACTACCACGTACTCGAATCCCAGTGCGAAGACCATGCCTGTGCACATCAGGGAGAGCTTGGTGGCACTCGCGCGGGAATTCGACATTCTATTGATATCAGACGACGTATACGATTTTCTCGGCTGGTCAACAGAGACGGACAACAACGAGTCTGTAGATCCACCCCCACGCCTCGTCGACATTGATCGTGCGCTTCCAGGATCGACGGCCTTTGGAAATGCCATCAGCAACGGCTCATTCGCGAAAGTCATAGGTCCTGGTATCAGGGTTGGCTGGGTTGAAGCAACTCCTGCATTCTGCTCAGACCTTGGCCTCGTTGGATCATCGTCATCCGGAGGAGCCCCCAGCCATTTCGCTTCGACGCTCGTAGATCGCATGCTACGAAGCAATGACCTCCAGCAGCTCATCTCGACAGTGTTAATACCTGAGTACCGGAGAAGGTCGTCGGTGCTCATGCTGGCGATTGAGCAGAAGCTGCTGCCAATGGGATATACTGTCGAAGCGACAGGCCCTAGACCGGGCACTGTGGGTGGTTACTTCACTTATATGAGGATCCCTGCCTTCTTTGCTGAGCACGGTGTATTTGCCAAAACACTGGCGGGCATTGCGCTGAGGGATTACTCTCTCCGAATAGCTTTCGGCCACATGTTCGTGGTAGCCGGCGATGAAGGCAGCTTGGAACGTGCAGAGACTGTTGATGGATTTGCATACTGCCTGAGACTGAGCTGGGCCTGGTTGGAGGCTGAGCAGATAGAAGAAGCCATCACACGTCTCGCCGAATGCACAGTACATACACAACGCAGGATTCAGCAAGGCGAGGACGTGGCCAAGGGAGTCGAGATAGGCATCCGATAAACATTGTTTGAACTGGCCACCGATAATCAGCTACAGAAGAGGAGCATTGCAGATATGTTGCCCGTGGGCCAACCATCGAGATCAGCGACGGTCTCCACATCGCAGGCATTCGAATATAGGCGAGGCTTCAATTCATTTCTTCGTATCAAGAGATACGAAGACTATCTTCACTTTGCTGATAGCTCCCAGACTCTGTCCAAATTATCGACAACTGCGGTCAGCCGATAAAGGCAGGCTGCCATTGATGTTCTCCTACAATCATCCACTCCCAACATCTACTGCTCCTCCCTCATTGTAGCTGACATGGACACTTCTGATAGAGTGCAGACCGCAGACAGGAAAGAGCCCTCCATCAACATTGATGTCGAGAATAACAAAACCGCAGACATCTCCAGCAAAGCGTACGACGTTGGCGCTGCTTACAGCGGATACTTCGACAAGAATGAGACGTACAGCCCAGAAGAAGCCAAACGACTCAGATGGAAACTCGATCTACGCCTGATCCCCATTCTGGGATTCAACATCATCCTCGCTGCGACTGACAAAGCCTGTACATCCACTGGTGCACTGTATGGCATGAGAGAAGACACACATTCGACGGGCAACAGATACTCCTGGGTCGGCAGTGCCTTCTACTTTGGCTACCTTCTCTGGTCTCTTCCAGCCGGAAGTCTTCTTCAGAAACTGCCAATTGCCAAGTTCATTTCCGTTATGTTCTTTGGCTTTGGGGTCGTTCTTATCGCCACTGCCTGGGTGCGCAGCTTTCCGGTGTTCATCTTCTTGCGTGTCCTGCTTGGTGCAATGGAGGCCCCTATCATCCCTGGCGGCTACCTCATTCTGAGCATGTGGTATACGCGGCATGAGCAGTCGTTGAGAACGGGCTTCATGTACACGAATTGGTCGACAATCATCCTCATTGGTCCGATTGGATATGCTGTCGGCAGCATTGCTGGTGGTCACCAATGGCGTTGGTGGTTCATCATTCTCGGGTCTATCTCAATCGTTTGGTCCTGTGTCATCGGACTCTTCCTTCCCGATAACGTTGTACGTGCCAAGTTCATTGGCGAGAGAGAAAAAGCGATTGCTGTCGAACGAGTTCGAGGGGATCAGCTTGGTATGGAGAACAAGACGTTCAAAAGGGAGCAAGTGGTGGAGGCGCTACTTGACCCAAAGACTTGGCTCATGTTCTTCTTCAACATTTTCGTGAGCATACCGAATGGGGGATTGACGAGTAAGTACTCTCCGTCTTCGCTTGACATTGCTAACGAAAAGGCAGACTTCCAGTCTCTCATCATCAAAGGTCTTGGATTTAGCTCTCGCAAGGCGGTCTTATTGGGCATGCCAGAGGGCGTAGTCGGCACCATATCGACATACAGCTGCAGTCTCGCAGTGTGCTATCTCACCAAACGCTGGCCTAACAAGCAGTCCCGAGTCGCCGTAATCGTCATCGGCGAGCTCATTGGCATGATAGCGTCCATCTTCCTGTACACGCTCCCACTTACTGAGGTTGGTGGCCGCTTGGCATGCCTGTGGCTTGCGAAGTTCTTCCTAGGACCGTACATCATCAGCTTGTCGCTCAACGTCGCCAACATCTCCGGGCATACGAAGAAAATTACGGTGCAAGCTCTGATCTTCATCGCTTACTGCGGTTAGTACATCCTCTCCCATTGAAATGTTATGCTAAATTACAACAGCATCCAACATCATCGCTCCGCAGTTCTTCATCGACTCGCGGGCTCCGCTGTACCCACTCGGCATGGGTGCTATCTTGGGGGCATATGTCCTGGCCATCATCACGATCATCCTCTATGCAATCTACTGCTTCTACGAGAATCAAAGGCGAGACAGAATCGACAGCACGAGAGGCGAGCGGGTACATGTGGACACTGATTTCAAAGATCTTACAGATAAGGAAAATATTCATTTTAGGTGAGCTTTTGCCATGAATAGGCTTGGTTGTGTTTGACTAATGTATGTGCAGATACGTGTGGTAATAGTGTGGATGTGGATCTTAGGTCTTCATGTCTTCACAACGAATATTCGGGATCTTGAAGCTCCTTCTCAAGCCTGCTACATTCCTTCCTTCATTTGCCCATTGGAAGATTCCTCTCAATGTCTTGATTCGGCCCCGGATCTCCATATAGAAGGACGTGTCAGGAACCCACTTATTCTCAATGGATACAAGCGGCGACCCTGACGAGGACAGAGAGGGCAACCATTCGCAGTTCAAGTACCCGACGAATTCATATCTGGAGCCCTGGAGCCCTCCAATGGACATGTCTTACTCGAGGAGCTCCATGTTTTAAGCGGCTTATGAGAGCTTGACAAACCAAACTCTAAAACATTCATGCACCGAAGTTAGCCTCACACCGGGATGGCAGAGCCATTCACACATGCATCTGATGGTGACGTTTCCTGTTAGGACTTCGGCATCATCTTCGTACTGGCCGCCTTGATGTCATAGTCAGACGTGTACCGGGTAAGGCTGGAGCAGGAGACGAGCTTACGGCTGCTTCGGAACAAGATGGCTCTGCGCGCAGGGATACAACCAAAGCTAGCTGCACGTGCTGCAGTATTGGCGTTGAGCTCCTCGAATGTCATCCCGCCTTCGTCGGTTCACGGCACGCTCAGCACAGCTACTCATGCAGTGGGACTGTCATTTCATGCATTGATGGTTATAACATAATCACATGAGTCCAGCATTCCAAGAGTCTTAAGTTCGCGCCGACGGCCATCACACGTCTTCAAGACTTCATTACATTCTCGATGCTGATGCAGAGATTTGTGATATAACAGCCGTCATCACAGGTTAAGAGGTCTTGGAAATGACTACATAACAGCAAGACAGTACTGGAGGAACCGGCATGAAAGACCAATCCGAAGCAATGCAGTCGTCGAAAACAGCCACGGCAGTTATCGTGAAGCAATCATCACTACGCCATCAATCTTCAGCGGATTCAAAGACACCCATTCAGATCTGCACCGTGAAATCCTCAGAGCGATATTCAGTGCACCAGTTCAGGCAGCTTTTCCAACAAACCAACCTCACGAACAAGTACTATCTTGCTGGCACCGCTCGGTCGAAGCTGGCCTACGAGGTAGAAGAAGTCGATCGCAACCTCCTCCGTCTTGTGGCCCATGCAAACTTTCTCGACCGTCTACAGGATGAGATAGACAGTGCAGAGCGGTTGCATGAAACTCGACATCAGGCTCGTCTTGTTCAGAGCTCTGTCTCGCCGAAGAAGGGTAGTATTGTCTGGGAAGATGTTAGTGATGAGGAGCGGACTTCTAGTGACAGCGAGGGAGAGGACGAGATTCTGGAGCTGGTCCGCATTCCGACGAGATATCAGCTGCCTGCGAAGGTACTTACCAAGGAGGACAAGGCTGTAAAGGCGAAAATGGTTGTTGGAGCTTCACAGGGAGTGAAAGCTGTGCTGCCTCGCATTGTGGAGGAGGGTGAGGATGATGTAGAAAGCATGTTGCAGAAATTCGACCAGGAGGTGGTCGTATGACTGCTTGCGAATGGGAAACCTCTCTAATCTTCAATTGTCTATCTATGGGGTTTCATGATCAAGAAATCCCCTCACGCAGGTATCTTTTGCCCCTGCGGGCATCTACATCAAATACTGTGGGAACAAGCCAGAATTCTTGCTACCCGGCAAGACTCGCATTGGCGAAAGTTTTAACGAAGGGTGGGGAATAAGAGGCTAGTACAAGACCTTGATTGAGGTTGATACATAGGGATCTTCTACTCGAATTCAGACAAGTTAAACTCATCCTCACTCCCCGCCATGTCCTCCGCATTCATACCCGGCTCCTGCTCGCCCGTGGTCTTCTTCTTCATATCCTGCTCGAAGTTGTCGATGATCTCTGCCTGGTCAAGCTCTGGTGGACCGTATCCCCCCAAACTCCTCTTGCCATCAGTCCCAGTCGATGGCTCAGCCAATTGACTAGAGGCACGGGATGGGCTTCCGAAAGCAGGGCTGGTATGCGGGAACCAGGGCGTGGACGTCCGTAGTGTTGGCTTCTGAGGCGAATCCGAACCGAGGACTTCGTCGCCGTCGTCTGCGCCGCCAGTACCACCGTCGGCAAACAAGTCACCGTCTCGCTGTGGCTTGTATTTCTTCCCTGGAAGAGTCGGACTGTCGAGGATGTGGTCGATGTCGAGGTCGCTGTCCTCATCCTCCACCGTAGCTTTCGACTTGTATTTCTTCCCTGGAAGAGTCGGACTGCTAAGGTCGATGTTGTCAAGGTCCATGTCATCATCCTCATCCTCCACCGTAGCTTTCGACTTGTACTTCGAGTTGGTCGTCTTCGACTTTGGCGCCTTGCGCTGGCCTGATGATCTGGCCATGTCTTCCTTGATCTCCTTCAAGGTCTGGGCCTCCTTGAGCGCCTCGGCGGAGCGCTCCCTACATAATCAATTAGCAACTGCTTTGTAGAAGGTTGGTGTAGATGACTTACTTTTGCGACTTGATCGCGAACCCAAACGCCTCGGCGGTCGCTTCGATGTCTGCCCGGCATGTCTCATGCTTGATTTTGGCCATGACCGCCATGCCTTTCTCGTGTTCCAATTTGGAGTAGTCCAAGTGTGGAGCAACTCGCGACTTGGTACGCTCCTTTCCGGAGCGGTGTCTGTGCAAGAGCCGGAGGGCTCTCTCGATGGTGATGGAGTCAAGATTCTCAATCTCTTCCGCCTTGTACTTCCGCTTGGGCTCCTCAATCTGACAGATGTAAAGAGTGTAGACGATGTCCTGGTCGAGGGTCTTCCTCTCGTTGCTTGACATTTGCCCAAGATGAGACTTCCACTTGTCTCCAATGCTAGACTTGCTGGAGAGTTCGTTCTGGTGTTTGGGATGTAGTTGTCGAGTCTCTTCTCGGCGCTCGCATTCAGTCGCAGGATGCTGCTCCTGAGCGATCGCCCGTTGGAGGGGGTGTTGAGCAAGTCTTGCTGGAACATGCTGCCGTTTATGGCGACCCTCAAGGTCTCCGTCTTGATCATTTCCTCGTCATCAACATCACCGCCGTCTCCCAGCCACTCGTCACCGGCGTTGGGGTCTTCCACTTCTTCCAATACTGCGTCTTCGGCTGTGGCGATGATCCTCGCCGCGGCTGCCTCTTCGTGTGCCTTCATTTCCTCTTCCAGCAGCTTTCTTGAAGCCGAGTTGGCTTCTGCAACGGCACGAGTGCTGGTCTGAGGAGCGGTCCCCGTGTCTGTCAGCAAGGATTCTTGCTCTGTTGCACGATCGTCTCCTGCCCGAGACGGCGTTGCTGCTTGTGGATTGGCGGTGTTCGGCGGCAAGAATTCTGGCTCAGGGGTTTGGGGCTTGTTCGTCGGCAAGGATTCTTGCTCTGGTGCGCGATAGTTTCCTGCCCGAGACGGTGTTGCTGCTTTTGGATTGGCGGTGTTGGGCGGCAAGAATTCTGGCTCAGGGGTTTGGGGCTTGTCCGCAGTGGTCTTGGCCATCGGCTTCAACTCGGCAGCGTCTTCCTCTGACAGCTTCTCCTTGATGTCATTCTCCAGAACTTTCTGATAAAGTTCCGCTCTCGCCTCTGCGAAATCATCACCAAACAGCTTATCATCGAAGATTCCCTGGATGGCTTTGCCAAGTGCCGTACGCTTGACGTCCTCAATCTCCTCAATGCCGTCGGTACTCAGCAATTTCGCGAGCGTCTTCTTGGTCTGGCCAGAGAACGCCTTGGTGGCGGCGTCGATGAGAGCTTTATTTGCTTGGGATGCCTCGCGCCATTCATCGTGCGAGTTGTCAACACAGAGCCGAAAGATCTCGACTTCCTTTTGCTGGGACACTCGAATGAGCCGAGACCAAGCTTGGATCTCCAGCGGGGCGCTGCTGGCGGCGGTTGCCACAATGCAGCGATTGCAATCCCAATCCAGGTTGACACCACTCGCGTTGATGGTGTATAGCAACACGAGGACCGTGAGGTGCGAGAGGTCACCATCGGCCGGCGGGTTGTTGAACTGGTCGACCACAAACTCGCGCTCGTGTTCCTCGAGTTCGGAATGCAGCACTTGGGTGTGGACATGCAGAAAGTTGAGGGCAAGCTCCCAGAACCAGGCGACCAGGGGGAGTTCTTCAGTGATGAGAAGCTTTCTGAAGCGGAGAGGTCCCTTTTCGCCTTCCTTTGGTAGGACATAGTCGCGGATATGGATCAAGATCTCTCGAAGCTTCGGAGAACCCTCTGTGAGCTTCGAGAGACGCTCAGCCCTGGAAGGCCGCTCGGACTTCTTGCCCTTGCGGATAGTATCGCCGTCGTTGGCGATGTACAGCAACATGTCTGCGTCCAGTCCAGAGTCCCGCCAGTTCTTGATCGACTCCACGTTAGTATTGCCCTTGGTGAACTCTACAATTTGTCGCTCGAATCTCGATAGTAGGTTCGATGCGGCCGCGATGCTCATCTGTCGCAGCGCAGGGGAAACCGGTGGAACCTTGTGTCTCGCCGACTTGGACTTGTTGCGCTGCAGCTGGCACAGCTCTTCGTACTTCCTACATTGTGGGTCAGCGAGGTGGCTTGGAAAGAATTCTTGCTGAGTGGTTCACTTACTTGCTGGCACGGCGATGCCAGTAGAGATGTTCAATCTCTTCAGCGCCTTGTCGAAATTGGAGGCCCGATGTGACGGTCTTGTGTTCGACCATGATGGACTTGAGCGGTAAGTCTGGGCCAATCAAGTTCGGCAGGCTGCTCTCAGGAGACCGACGCAATGTGAGAAAGTCGTCAAATTTCTTGAAGTTTGCAGCGATTGCTTTGAGGTCTTTTGACTCGAGCAGGCAACGCAGCACATTGGGTTCCAGACACATCAGCTGCAGGGAGTCGTTTGGTGGGATGTTCTCCTTGGCGATGAGGCTGTTGATGGCCTTCCACGGTTGAGATCGGTGCATAGTCTCGCAAATGTTATCGAAGTTCGGCCCAATGTCCTTCCATCTTGGATGCCGCTTCAGATCTTGCAAGATTGACGGCCAGAGCACGCGGGAGAGGTCTGCCAATTCCTATCGAGCAAAGTCAGTACATCGGGTGAAGAGACGGATCGACAGGGATGAAGGACTTACTGGAGCATACTGTATGACGGGAGTCGCCGTCAACAGCCAGTTCTTCTTTGCATGCAGGCCACGAACAGACCAGTGCATGTGGGTCGTTGGGTTCCGTATGGTGTGACCCTCGTCGCACATGGCCATGCCAACCATGACATTTTGCCACTTTGGGCAAGTAAACATTCGAACGATCTCTTCCCTGCCAAGCTTCTCTTTTTCGTCTGCGTTGAGCTTCACTGTCATACAGTTGTCTCGCAGAGGTCGGACGTCTTGAAGGAGCAGAGGCGCATCACTGAGATCCACGACACGCTTCAACCATGTCTTGTACGGGGCCACGAAAAGGGCTCTGGAAGCTCGTGGATCGGTGTTGTCGAAGACGTACTGCAGCCCGGTCGGAAAGCCAGACTTCTTGCTCCACGGATCCCTGGTCTGCTCGCTGCTCAGATATTCGAATGGCGAGTGAGTCTCGTTCATCTGCGGCCATGGATCGCCGGGTTTGCAGGCGATCAGGTTGATCTTTGGGAACATCCGCGCTGCAGCAGTGACCCATTGATGAAACACGACGCCATCGGGGACGACTAGGACGCTGGGACGATGATCGGGGTTGCCATCCTCGTCGACGTGCTCTGCATGTTGCGCATACCAATTGAAGAAGGCCAGAGTTGTGTATGTCTTGCCCATGCCCGGGGAGTCGCCGAGAATGCCGCCGTGGGTGAGAGGTGAGTCGTAGTTGAGCATTTTGACGATGTTCTCAAAGTATGGGCGCTCCTTCTGCTGCTCTTTGCTGAGTGGGAAAGTACCCAACGTGCGCCACAGCATATGCACCATCCCGGTGATTTGTGTTGGGAGCAGGTCGACTTTGCAGTCGTCCATGTACTTTTTGGAACGATACTTCCACATGTTTCCATGCTTGACCGTCTTCTCCATTCCCAGGAGCTTCAAGCACAAGTCGAGAGCCGGTCCAGGGTGTCCAGTAGCACCAAAAAGCGCGGCTTCTACATCGACGTCTGATACCTTGTCGGCCTTAGACTCGTCGCCTTTCTTGGGGTCCTCGTTTGAGTCGGCGTTGCGATTGAGGGCGTTCTGCCGCATATTCGCATCCATAGCGTGGGCGACGTCTTGCACTGCAAAGGAAGTCCCCCACTTCTTCTGTGGTGCCTGAGATTGGCCCACGCTCATGTTAATGGCATACCGCATCCACTCAATCTTCGCACGCTTGTCGTTGATGACGTCGTAGCCGTCGTACTCCTCCTTGATGAACTGTTCATGGCTGCGGCCGAATTGGTCTCCCTCTAAACCCGCAGACGGCTCGGTCGGGCTATGCAGGTTGGGTCGGCTCCGTGAGTTGTAGTTGGACCCATTGTGACGGCTATTGCGGATACGTCTGGTTCGTTGATGTCGCAGCATGTCGTCCATGACCTTCTTGGCTTTCTGACCTCTCACTTGTGATGCTTTCAAAGCCTTCTTCATTCCCTTGACCCCATCGTCCTGGAGGCGAGGGCCAGAGTACTTGCCGCGATTTCCACGTTGTGGTGGGAGTTTGGGCAACGAAGATAGTTCTTTTCTCGGGGGCGCGGATTGGATGGCCAACGCCCTCATCTTGTTGTTCAGTTCGTGGAAGACCTCTCGGCCTCTCTCTTGGCCTTGCCGGCCTGCCTCCCTGTCGCCCTCCCGTATACTCTCTATCCAATCGGCCACATCTTTGTCTTCTACGCGTGCAGCGAAGTCGGCTTTGGGTGACGGTGGGCGAGAGTTCTTGGTGGGAGTGGAGCTCTGAGCACGTGTCTCCGCAGTTTGCTCCATCCTGGCGCTTGGCTTGGGATGCTCTGTGGCGTCGTCTTCTTCGACATCTTCGACGGATGGTACGACGTAGGTTGGAGGGGTTGGGTCTTCCTCCTCCCGCTCTTCCTCGTAGTCGTCTTCATCGGCAAGAATTGTTGAAGACTCGGGACCCAATGACATGTCTTCCTCTGGGTCGTTTGGCTCTTGCACTTCGCCCCTTGCTAGAAGGGCAAGAATTCTTGCCAGCTCGTCCTCTGAGGCGTCTTCTGGTTCAGATTCCAATGCGACATCGCCATCCTGGGGATCTGGGTGCAGGTGCTTTCGAAGATGCGCAGCGAGCCGAGAGCATTCGAATGTGGTGGATCCATCGATTCTGAACCGCACGGAGAATGCCGCCTCTTCAAGGTTTTCGATCTGAAGACACTCGAAGAGTTGGTCATAGGACATCCATTCGCTGTCGCTCCACACAACCTTTTCCGTCTCTTTGCCGTCGCCCATGGTCAGACAGACTCTGATGTCGACCAAATTGGCCTTCCACGGCTCTATGTTGAACTTTGTGCGGATAATGTCTCGCCACTCCGCAAGATCGCGATACTGACATGGGTTCTCGATCTCGATGGAGTCTGGTGGCATCATCGGGACTTCCAGATCGTCATCCTCCAGCGCCACTGCTGCCTCCTTGAATACCTTCTTCGCTCGGATCTTGACAGTGCATCGGATGGCCTTGAAGTCGTGCAGTTCCTCTTCCTCTTTTTCGAAGAGTCCTTGCGCTTCTGCAAAGGCAAGCGGATGGGGTTTGTCGTTGACTTCACCCTCATCGTCCCACCACTTGGGCGGTCGACAGTTGTACTTGTCACCGTTGTTGTCTTTAAGAAAGGCACCCGTCGTAATACGCGCTCCCGAGATACAATGTTGCTTCGCGTGCCAATACCACACCCACAGTCTGTTGCAGACTTCCAGGGTCGGAATCTCTCCATGCTTCTTGCATTCCTCATCTGTGAGCCCAGGGGGAAGCTTGTCGGGGCCTTTGCGAACGTCGGAGGAGATCGAATCGAGGGTGTAGGCCGGTCTCTGCTGGTCCTTGTTGGGCGACGCATTCATGTCCGTGATCAGCTGGTCGTAGTACTGGTCATATTCAGAGTCCCGCGACCGATCCTCCTCCCACGCTTGCAAGTCGAACTTCCAAAGCCAAAGTATCTCTGCTATGGCACGTTGTTTGGGGCTGCACTTCGCAAACGCCGTGGAAGCGTCGCCTCTGCATTGAAGATCTTGTCTCACCTCCTCATCTGTCATCGTACTGAAGTTGCGAAGATAGTACAACGCCTGCTGGATGATAGACTTGGCAGTCACGTTATTACGTAGCAAGCAGAAGTATTTGACCATGACTGGACTGAGAGTCAACGTGGCGAAGTCTCTCTTGCAAAGTGTGGCATCCTGGCAAAGAACATAGTTCATAACATCGTGCCGCTTCGAGACTTGTGTGATGTCGTCGTTGGAATCAGCGATGGGCTTGTCCGCCATCCCAGAGTCTGCGTCTTGGGTCTTGGGTGGCATGATGGCTGGGCAAGAGTTCTCGTTGGAGATGCTTGCCTCGCGCCGAGCTTGCAAAGGCGAGCTTGCTGCGGCACTGGGCCAGAATTCTTGCTGCAGGGAGGGTGCGAAGTGGACGTTCGACGGGTGTGGTGGTTGGGATGGGCCAGAATTCTTGCTGGTCGCACTGGCGAGGCGTGAAACGGCGGCGGGCCACGTGTCTCAAGGCGAGGTGGGCGAGCAAGCGTTCTTGCAGGGTCGGCGGGGTGAGGAGGTGAAGGGGCGTGACAGGTAGTCACGTGAAGGTCGCGCGGAGACCGCAGTCTCGCGATGTCGGTCGCCGCAGTCTCTCGAAGACAGAAGGTGCGAGGTTGGTGGACCTCGATTCGGTGAGGCAGAGGGTTTTGGCGCCGCAGCCCGGCTGAGTTGGCAAGAGTTCTTGTTGGCGATTTGGAGGGTGGTGGTGGTGGAGTGTTTGTTGTGGTGTTGGTGTGTTGGTTGAAGCTGGAAAAGCAAACAAAGCTTTTGTAGGAAGGAAATGGCGCTAGTGACTAGCGCGGCTTGGCGTTGCATGTGAGGCGCCGTTTGCGACGCTGCGATCTTCACTTCTTCAAACATCTCTTCTCTCGAACAACTTCTTCCAACACTCGGCCGTCCAAATCGCTTCAAGAATTCTTGCCTACTCGTCTCCTGGTGGAGGCGCTGCTGAACACACTCGAACGCTTCCTTCAGCTCAGCCGACCGAGTCACCTCCAGAATCCTTGCTCGTCCACCACAGGCGGAAAGTCGGCGCATCCGAGACATGACCTTGCCTGCTGACGTTGGCGATGCTCGCTGGGCGGCCCTTGTCAGCATTCTCAAAGACGACAGAGTCCTCCTTCTGCTGCCACCTTCCGACAGCGCCACTACCCTCACCGAATCTGCCCGGCATCTGCGCATCTCGGTCACGGATGCTCTTACCGATATCGATCAAGCATATGCCCCAGCCAAATACCCATTTGCCTTTGCCATCAGAAGTGACGGACTTCAGAAGCTCAGGGATCTCCTCGACCTTGCACTGGATGCGCCTTACGACGAGGAAGTGATTGTGGTTCTCTTGAGTATGATGCGAAAGATGTGCAACGACAAGCACGTGTCTTTGGATGTAGAGACACTGCAAGGTTGGGTGAAGGTCCTCTTCGAGGTGGGGAAGGCGCTGCACAAGTTCATCGAAGGAGGCAAAGGGAGAGGACCAGTCATCTCAAAGGCCAAAGGACTGAAGACGCAACTGGACAACCGCATGCTCCTAACCATCGCCGAAGCCGGCTTTCCGACTGGTGATTCCACTGCGCTCGGCTCATACTTTCTCAAACAACCTCATGGCTTTCGCTGGCAAGGTGAGGTGACCGGCCCAGAGGAGCTCTTGAAGATCATCCCAAATGTCACCAAGTCGACCGCAGCGTTCCGCCTCGACGACGGAGATGCTCACACCATGACGTACAAGCTCTTTCCAGCAGACGCTCTCCGCCTGAACGCTCTTTCCCAAGACATCCGCGGGGTCCTCATCGGCGAGGGCGGAATGGATGGAGTCAAAGCAGCGGCCGGTCTGGCCAAGCTTGTGCAACGCAAGATCCAGCGCTATGTGAAGTTTCCGCCCATTTTGCTGCTCTGTCGGGTGCTCAGCGCCTGTCTTTGCGACATTGCGGATGAAGGTGAGTCGTTGTATTACCCCTGAGCAAGAATTCTGACTGACCGCCTCCCTCAAGCCACTGCAGATGAGGCCATCAACGCCGTATTGGACGTTATGGATGCGGTGAAGCAGTCCCTGGAAGCCAACACCCCGGTCGGAAGCATCCCGCATCTCGACAGCAGTACCGTAAAGGCGGCGACTCCACCACATCTCAAGCATCTCTTCGACACCACTATTCCCGAGGATCCGGCAGCCGTTGAGGCAATGTTCAAGCGGATGGTAGCTGAGTTTGGCAAGCGTAGACAAGAGATGGTACAAGCCGAAATACAGAAGCTGAAGGCTCGTCGATTGAAATGCGAGCGGGTAACGTTGTGGGTGCACCCCAGCGACGCCAGTGTTCTCGACCTCTCCGACACCTGCAGATTCGCATACGAGGAGGGCTTGGCGCGGGAGGCGGAGAACTTGATGGAGGAGAGCGTTGTCGGGATCCGTGAAGAGCTGGAGCGATGCATCAAGGAACATCAACAAGATCGATATGGGTGAGTCTTGACTATCCTTTGTGGGATCGATCTTCACCGCTAACTCAAACAGACCGCAGCACACCTCTACACTATCTCCCTCGTCCGGCTGCAGATCAGCTCGAGAGGCTCGGGGAACTGCTGGATGCCATGTCCGTCTTGGCCAAGTCTGGATGCGGAGCAGTCACGGCAGGTACTCGCGAGGATACCCTTCGGCAGATCGATCCTTATGATGGCAAGCCATTTGCCGTTGTCGCTTCTGAAGCCATGGGCGCTGGCCGATCAAGACATTAGACGGGCGGAGGTCAAGTGAGGCATGAAGTAAGACGGGAGTGAGGTGTGAAGTGAGATGGGAGTGAAGTATGAAAGGAGATGGGGGTGAGCTTCCGAGTGAAGGTGGGACTGAGGTACAAAGTGAGAGTGGGAGTGAGGTCCCAGTGAAAGTCGAAGTGAAGTCGAAGCGGCAGCGGGCCGAGCCGTTAGAACGTCAGACGTCACCTGGGACTTCGGACTTCAATGTTTAATACTCACGACCTCTTCAACATCCTCCAATCCAACACGACTGGGCGCTCAGCCAGAGTTCTTACCCAATCACCCCATTTAAAGCACGACATGGAGCGTCACCGCCGTCATTCGGCTGCCCACCTTCGGAAAGCAGAGACGCTGCATGCCTCCAGCTCCGAGCCGCTTATCGATACGCAACCTCTCCACAGTGATGGCCCCAATCCCTACGAGCTAGAGCACCCGAATGAAGCTGCAGATGAAGATGGAAGTGATGTCGAAGATGAGAGTGAAAGTGAGCTGGACAATGAAGATGTGGAACCAGAATCATCCAACATTGTCGTGGCTGTTCAGCCGAGACCCCGCAAGAAAACGATGGTGATATCCTCCTCCCAAGAAACATACAACGACCACGCAGCATCGCCCAGCACATACGAATCACCATCGCGGAAGTCTCGAATGGCACGTGAGTTGCGCGATCTCCGCCGTCCCGGTCCCTTTGATTCGCCACTGTCGTCTGAACCTCCAACCAAACGCCATAGGATGAATGAGAAGCCTTCCCCGCGGAGACTGAGAGAACGCAATCCTCTGATGTTTGGCTACACAGAGAAGCAGCTACTCCCAGACCTGGACCAGATGCTTGATGAGGCCGTACCTTTTGCGGATAGCGTCGAATTGCTGGACCTCAACAAGCTTCAGCCGCTGGCGGATCGAGCTGCAGAGTATGGCGTCAGCGAGCAGACTATTCGCAAGTGGGACGCGGAGCAGGCCGTGTTTGATGATGACAGATATTACGAGGACGTTGATGAAGACGCAGACTATCTACCCATTGGACTTGGTGGCACAATACCTTCTCAATCCCACCACCCAGAACCCGTCGACCCCGAAACACAGTCTCAGCCAATCTTCGAGCGCATTCAGCAGCCGACTTCGCGCGATGATGACATGCAGACCTTCCTGGACGCCTTGCAGCGCGGTTGGTTCGAACTCATCGACAAACTCCTCGAGAAGGAGCGGCGCATTCGTGCGTATTCTGAGAAGGATATCAAACTCGCCAAGTACCAAGTCTACTACATCCTCATCAGCATGCACAGCAGCATCGTCAAATCGCACATGCAAGGCGATCTCGCACGCCAGTACCTTGTCGATGCCGAAACCCGTGGCGAGATTGACAAGCTGCGTGAGCGAGCTGCGGAAACAGGACAGCCCGCAATCTACCGCCAGGCGCTGGTTGACGAGGATGGCTAGTCGCCTACCCCGAATCAACTTCGCCAAGTCATCGCCCTCATCGAAGAGCACTACCTCGTCTACGGCGACCCTGACATCGCCACCGAGATCGACAACTTCCGTGCACCGTACTCGACGGCTGCGAACGCTCAGCGAGGCTATCGCAAGTACTTTGTCTGTACTCGGCGGGACGGCACGCGCTACATGTCTCGAAAGCGCATCGACATCTTGAGGTTGTTCTGCGAACGGCTCTCGGGGCGTCTGTCCAAGATCAGCGGCGATGATGCCGACCGTCCGCTGATGGCAGCACTGGTCGAAGTGGGCTTCAGCATCTACGTGTTCCGCCGCCTCGCCAACCATCGAGCACATCGCGGATCCAACTTCATCCAGAACATTTTCGAATCGGTCTGCCACCATCTCTTCGGCGACAAGTTCGGCATCCATCAGCACATCATCTACCTGGGCTCCAATAGGATGCAGGGGAGTCTTGCCGAGACGATTCTCACACGCATCTGCCAAGGATACGTTTTCAATGCTGGCGGATTCTCTTTTCACCCAGCTGGACAAAACAATAGCTCAGGAACGTGTTGCGACTGTGCCATTTTCTCACCTGAATCTTGCTAACACGCGTGCAGCCAAGCGGTTCACAGTCGACCAGTATGCGACGTGGCGCTCATGGGCGCTCGAGAACTCGTCGGTGCGCGAAAACCACGAGGCCTATGGAGTGTTCTTGGCTCAACACGCAGACGAGCCGGCAGCACCAGCTCGCTCCCAGAGCAACCATGAGAGCGGTGTAGGCAATGTCGAGGCGGAGGTCCATGTCTCGAAGCTTCTACGGTTTGACCGTGCTTTGCAGGATTTGTTGGAGGACTGGTAGAGGCTGCTGTTCTGGGGATTATATACATATTCCAAGGAATTCTTCTTCCTCTTCCCTCTTTAATTCCAATGTCCCAATCCATTTTTGGATCCCAACTTGCAGGCGATGTTGGAGACCAGCTTTCTGGGAGATTGAGGAAGCCTTTCTAAACTTACTGTACGTCGTTCATCTGACTATACGCTCCAGATCTAAGGGCAACTCTGCCTTTCCTCGAGCTGCGATCATCGAGTCTAAGGCAACGGCTGGAAGAAGTCATGATCTATCAACCCAGTCCAATGCTTCCGCCGTTCCCTGCTTCTGCGGGATTATGTCCGGAGATAGCTTTGCGTTGTGTTCGGTGGTTGATTTACGTAGCAGAGACGCATGATCTCGACAACAACGTCTAGAATATAGAATATTTTGAGATCTAAATCTAAAATTTATAAATCTAAAATCTAAAATCTAAAATCTAAATCTACTTTATAAATCTAAAATCTAAAATCTAAAATCTAAAATCTAAAATCTAAATCTAAAATCTAAAATCTAAATCTAAAATCTAAAATCTAAAATCTAAAATATAAAATATAAAATCTAAAATCTAAAATCTAAATCTAAATCTAAAATCTAAATCTAAAATCTAAAATCTAAAGCTAAATCTAAATCTAAAATCTGAAACTAAAATCTAGAATCTAAATTTAGAATCTATAGAGGTCTATAATAAGGTATAGGCCTCTTCTTTTATAAACTAGAATTCCTTCTTTTATTTCTAAAAGAAAGGAGGGTCTATAGGTAAGTAATAGGCTTCTATAGTTAGTAGCTATGCTAACTTAGTACAAAGTTAGTCGAGGAAGGGACACTAGCTTCTAGTGTAGCGTACCCTCCTACTATACAGCTACCTAGTAGGGCTAGTTTATAGAGTTAGAGTAGTAGAGGACAGACCTCCTAACATAATCTTCCTTCTTTTAATGACTATATAACTACCTCTGTATCGGCCTGCTTACTCTTACTGTCCTACCTAGACTGCTAGACAGCCCTCCTAGGTTACTGCCCTGTTAGGGAGTGCTTGTCTAAAAACGGTAGACAGCAACTCCGTTGGTGGACTGTTTAGGAAGTTTACAGCTAACCCTTGTGCCTAATGAGGAAGCCTAAAGGAAAGTGTCTAGGACTTGAACTATACTATATATTACAAGCTTCTAAATGTAGGGCTCTAGACTGCCTTGTATGTATAGTAGGCGGTCTATACCTTTTTACTCTACTATACTATAGATATATAAGACGACTTATAATTTAAATTGACTTAGACGTTCAATTAGAGCAGGCTCGCTTTTACGCTACTAAGATAGCTCGTTCTACACTTGCGATGCCTCCACTTTAATTAATCTTAACTTATACTAGCATTACAAACGTCCTCAATTAGGAAGTTTACAACAGCGCTAAAGATAGAATTTAACAAGGGGATGACGTAAACTAATTTGCAAACTACATTATACTACTTCTATATTAAACATAGAGCTTCTCTAGCTACGTACGCGCAGAGCGGTCTTAACTACTTTTATGCTTCGCCTTTGCTAGTAACTGCGTTACTAATAGCTAAAGCTATAAACGATATATAAGATAACTACTAGCCCTACTGCTAGAGCACTAGATTAGCCTACAATAGGCGCAACTTTTGTAGCGTTTTGTTTATTACCTCTGGGCAAATTACTAGTAATAGATCTAAAGGCCTAGACTCTGTTCTCTTTAACGCGTAGATCGGCCTAGATCTCTAGAACAAACTTCCTAAACAGTCCAGCACATACTATCTTGTCTGGAAGACTGAAAAGATTCCTAGAGGGTACTGCCTAATAGAGAAGTACTATAAGGGCAACTGTCTAGCAGTGCGTACTGTCTTAGTGCATAGAATATAGCCTTACGCAGTTTCTCTTCTACTGTGCCTTCGCCCTTGCTATTCTCTTTAGGTGCCTTTTACAGCCGGCCTAAAGCAACGCGTTTACTATATATAACAGCACGGTTCTTAAAACAGAGCACTTCTAGACAGCAACCCGCCAATAGTCCCAAATTAGAAACTGTCGTGTTCTTGTTTAACAACAAAATAATAGCGAGTAGGAGGATAAAAAGTAAGAGCAGCAGCTAACTGCCAGTATAGACTCCTCTCTAGTCTCTAACTTATAAAAACGAGGTGTTAGAATAAGTTTCTTATTTAGGCGAGTAATAGAGACCTATAGTTAGTTACTACAATTTCAATTAGCTACAAGCTTGTAATTCGTAAGAAGTGTTTTAGCATGCATACGCAGCAGCCGACCTAAAGCACGTAAATACGTGTACTGTCTGCTACAAAGTACAAGGCCGTTATAGGCTCGCTAGACTTACTGTCACAATGCTTCCGAAACTGGAAGTATACCTCTCTTAGGGTATAGGTAGCTAGGCCCGTTTGCAAGGAGCAGATGTTAGCTCTACCCTTCGTAGGAGCACCTCTTTTTGCCTGCTCTCTATTACATATAACTAGAGGTTACGATTTTATTACTTACTTACCTGCTACGCCTTTTTGACAAGCGTATATAGTACGTCTATGCACTTCCTTCGTGTTCTGGTAATCACTGACGAAATGGATGTTAATTGCCTAGTTAGGGGCACAAGCGCAGAGTAGTAACTTGGGAGTCGCTACTGCACGGCCCACAGCGATACCGCTGCTGTATAAGCTATTTGCAAACAGGGAGGGCGGGCTGGTAATCGCGTTTCGTTTTCCTAGACTAGTAGTGGGAAGCAAGTAGCCTAATAGCTTAAGGTTCGAGCAAGTATCCCCTTTTTGCGTACAGACCTATACATTTATTACTAGGTGGGTCCTAGGTAATGTACTAGCCGCCTGTTCGTATAGATGCTAGTTCATTTCGTCCTAAATAGGCTATTATACACTTCCTAAACGGTCTAGTAACAAAGCTACTATCTAGCAATTTTAGCAAGTAAGAGAGGTCTATATAGACATCTAGGAGTACTTACCTGAGCAGTTTCCTACTACATTAGTTCTCTTCTTCTCCCATTACTAGAGTAGCTCTTTTTACCTAATTTTGTCGAAGATATATTTCCGCTTTCGGAAGCAGTGCGACCACGGGTCTAGCCACTGTATAGTAGCTTCGTAAAAGCTATAACAACGAAGACGCTGGGGCTAGCATTCGCGCTCCCTCTATACTAGCTAGGTTAAAGGTTGCTTCACCTTACATCTTTTATGCGCACAAAATTAGAATGCGTGACTGTACATTCCTTCTAGGACGAAGTAGACGCCATTCGACAGACATATAAGCACGAAGAAAGCGAATACCCCAGCTCTCCCCTTCGCGAATTACGCTCTATAGGCCTTGTAATAGCTTTAAGCTGCTCCCTTCACAAGACCTGCATCTGCTTGCGGCTGCACATGTAAACGCAAAGCTGCGAGCTTGGTCATAACTGCATCGAGCGTCGCTTTGCATGATATCTTCATGCAGCTAGGGGTTAGAGCGACTGTAGTCAAGCTAGTCGGGCGTTGTTTACATGAGCGCGCTCGTGCTCGGGGCGCTTATAAGAGTAAGCAAAGTTAACGGCCAGCAGCAGCAGCGCTTGCACCGCAATGCCTCACCTAAAGCTACCTACACTCTAAGCTAAGCTATAGTGCTCAGGCTGCGGTTGGAAGATACTAGCCAATCGGGACAGATTTTTAGGGGACTGTCTAGTCCTACTTAAAAATTAGATTCTAGAAAACTACATTCTAAAAAAATAAATTCTTTAAGTAGATTTTAGATTTTAAATTTTAGATTTTAAATTTATAAAATAGATTTAGATTTTAGATTTTAGATTTTAGATTCAGATTTTAAATTTTAGATTTTAGATTTCTATTCTAGATTTTAGATTTAGATTTTAGATTTTAAATTTATAAAATAGATTTAAATTTTAGATTTTAGATTTTAGATTTATAAAATAGATTTAAATTCTATATTTTAGATTTTAGATTCGAGATTTTAGATTTAAGATCTTAGAGGGAATAATAGGAATACCTAAAAGGTCTGGAAGTCAAGTCGACAGCACGAGTAACGAGTCTCCAAACTATATTAAAACCCGCCTTCCTCCAACATCGAGGGTAATCTGTTCCAGGCCCTGACGTCCTGACGCTGACGTCTCCCCATCTTGGCCCTCGCCCGCTCAAGCTCACGCATCTGCGCCCTCAGCATTCTCTCGCACATCTTATGCCTCCACATCAGAGATTGGAAAGAAGCGTCTTGCTCATCCATGTCCATAGCGGCTGCCTGCAGTTCGTCCCTCATTATCGCCATGTCGGATTGCCCCTTTTGAACGTCGGCTTCGAGCATCTTCACCTTGTTCTCGAGCCCGACGATCTTCTCCTCGGCTTCGGACAGCTTGCCGTTCAACGTGACATTCTCGTCCTCCAGATGTTGCACTTCGGCGGCATGCTCATGCTGAGCACTCGAGAACCGACGATCCTTCACCGTGAGTGCCGTTTGGTAGCTCCGAGCTTGAGACCTCGCCGCACCCAGTTCGTCGTCGAGGCTTGCCTTATCCGCATTGGCTGAAGCCAGTGTGTTGTTCAGCCGTGCGACCTCGCCCTCATGCTCGTGTGCTGCCGTGGACATTTGGCCATCTTTCTGTGTCAGATCGTTCGTGAGTCGGGCGATTGTCGTCCTGGCCGACGAGGTTCGCTGCTTCAAGTCGGCACGCTCATGCTGGAGCATGGACATGTGGCTGTCTTGGACGGACATGTTCGCTTTGTAGCCGCCGACTTGACTGGTGAGTGCCTTGACATCGTCCTCATAGCCTTGGATCGCTTCCCTGGCTTTGGCGGCGGTGCGGTCACGGCGCTGCTTGGATGCCTCGCGCGCATGGGATATCTGGCCGGCACTGATAGAAAGTGCTGTCCTGTAACCTGCCGCTTGGGTTCTGGCGGCACCAAGCTCGTCCTGGAAGCCCGCTCGCGCAGCAGACATCGACTCTTCGAGAGACCTCTTCTCACTCTGAAGCGTGGAGATTCGTTGGTCTTTGATCGACAGACCGGCCCGATATCCAGACGCTTGGTTCTGGGCGGCGCTGACTTGCTCTTGCAAGTCGTCGATCTTGGAAGTGCTGTCGGCAATGCTGGTGCGGTAATGCTGCTCAAGTCGGGCAATACGTGCATCTTTGACAGATATCGTCGCTTTGTGATGGTGCTGCAGCATCGAGATCTGGCTGTCCTTGATCGACAACCCTGCTCGATATCCAGACGCTTGGCTCTCAGCTGCGTCGGCTTGCTCCTGCAGCTCATCAATCTTGCGCTTCTTGGAAGTCCCGTCTGCGATGCTGGCCTGATATTTCTGCTCCAGTTGAGCAATACGATCGTCCTTGATAGACATGGTTGCTTTGTGATGGTGCTGAAGCATCGTGATCTGGTTGTCCCTGACCGACATCGCTCCCCTATATCCAGTCGCCTGACTCCCAGAAGCAGCGATTCGATCTGTGGCGTCCGACATTTTGTCTTGCAGCTGGTCGATTCTGCGCCTCTTGACAATACCATCTGCAATGCTGGTGCCGTGTTGTTGCTCGAGGAGGCCATACTGGCCCTGGGCGAGCAACAGTTCTCGGTCGACGGCTTCTTTGGACTCGTCCAATGCCGCGAGTTCATCAACAAGACGGTGATTCGACTGCCTCAGCTCGTGGTTATTGTCATTGACTGTCGTGAGCCGAGCCTCCAGTCCACGCTCTGTGTCACGACACATCTCGAGCTCCCTCCCGCGTTGGCCCTGAAGCAGCAAGAATACTCGCTCGACGGCCTCCTTGGACTCGTCCAGCTCTGCGAGTTCAGAAGAGAGGTCCTGGCAGGAGCGCGCTAGGCGAGAATTCTTGTCCGTCAGCTCGCGAATGCTCCCTTCTTGGCCTGAGGCGATTGTACGACTGGCTTCGAGCTCTCTGCGTGTCCGCCGGTGCTGGGCATTGGTGACCTGCAACAAGAGTCCACGCTGCAAGGCGGTCTCTTGGATCTGATTGCGTTGGGATTTCAGCTGACGAGCATGATCCCTCGACTCTTCAAGCTCCAGAAGCAGGCCATGAATCTCGTCAGACGCGCTGTTTCTGACTTCATCGAGGTGAGTTTGGGACGTCTGGACGAGGTCATCGACATCCTTCGTCAACAGCAATATGTCAACGAGAAGCTCGGCATTTCGGTCCTGCTCTGCATTCTTTTCGGTGGACAAACGTCTGTTATCATCATTCAATGCCGTGATCCGTGCAGCGTTGGCGGAGAGGGTTTGATCTGAGGTCTCTGCTTGACCTTTCATTCGCTCGTTGTCAGACTCGAGGTTGTTCATTCGAAACTTTGCACCCTCAAGGTCGTGCTTCAATTTGGTTATCTGGCCGTTCAGCTTCTTGCGCACGTCCCGCATCTCTTCTCGCTTCTGTTCAAGTGCTCGACGGTCGTTGCGTTCCCCTTCAAGTTCGCTGGAGAGCTGCTCGTTTTCTGTGCGGAGCGCGGCAGCCTTTGTCTTTGCCTCCTTATCCGCTTGTTGCAGCTCCTGAGCGTGCCGTGTCTCTGCTTGTTTCTTTGCATGTTTCAAGCTCGCCAGGGTCATCTCGTACTCGCCTCGCATGGCAGCGAAGTCCTTGCTGCTCCTGTTGGTGGCTCCTTGTAATGCCTTCTTGTGCTTGGCCTCTGCTTCCTTCACTGCGGTGTCAAGCTTGGTTAACTCGTTGTCGTAGGCAGATTGAAGGGCCGCGATGTATTCTTCAGCCGCATTCTCGAACTCGTGAAATGTTGCATCTTTCTTGGCGAGGTCATGCTTCTGTCGTGTCGCGTTCCGCTTCCAGTCCTTGGTATGCTGCTCTCGCACCTGCTTCTCGTTGGTTCGATAACGTTTGACGGCTTCGATACTCTCCAGCTCCAGCTTCTGTACCTTCGCCTCAAGCGTCTCGCTGTGGCGGCTGGCGTTCTTGATAGTCCTGTTCAAATGCTGGATCTCACGCTCCTGGGCTTCGATCATGGCATTGTTGATGCCATCGACGCCGTTGAAGCATTCGTGAATGATGGAGATGAGGCGTTCGCGCTTGTCCTTGACGTGACCGTGAGTAGCACCTTCTTTTGATTCATGGGCCAGCCGTGATTTGGCAACTTGAAGGCGCGTTGTGATTGTCTACGCAAGTAAGCTTCGTACTGATGAGCGATATGAGACTTGAGTGGCTCAGACGAGGCAAGTGTTATGGGGATAAGTGGTGAAAGCAGTCTGGCTGCATGAGTAGAAACGTGTGAAAAGACCAACCTTTCGAGTCTGACTCGCCATCTCAGCGGTCTCATCGTGCTTGACGTTGCGGCTCGGTGCTTTGCGAGCGGCATCGGCAACGGCAATGTCGGCTAGCATGGCCTGTTCCACATCTGGTTCTGTCGCGGTGCGCGTGATTGTTTGTTGAGAGATGGAAAGGAGCGTCGACAACGGAGGCATATGGGCGGCGAAACGGGCGCTCCCGGCGCTAGCGAGACTAGCGCCGTGCTTCTAGCACATGTATTTTGACTTCATCTCGTCTCGTTCGACTTCCTCGACAATCCACATCTACATCAGCCATTCAAAATCGTCAACAAGAATTCTTGCCCATCGGGATCCTTTGAACTTAACGCGATGTCCTCCGATTCCGAGCCCGATGAGGAGCTTATGTCCTCGCCAACCGCAGAGGAGCCTGCTTTCTATCGAATCTTCACTACATCCTTCAACAAGGTAGCTTCGCGAAGTAACCACCGGAGACGCAAGATCAAGAGTCTGAACCAACGCGTCTCGACCTCGAGACCCAGCTGGAGGAGCAGAGCGTCTTGCAGAATGGACGAGATGACGGCCGCGATACACAAATCGACTCTCTGCAGACACTGAACAAATCGCTGGTGAACGATGTCAAGAAGAAGGATCAGGAGATTGAGGCTCTTTGGAAGGTCATTGTCCAAGAGCAAGAACTCTTGCCCAGCCAGCATCGCGACATCACCAATGACAGACCGAGCGGTACCATGATCTCAGCCGACGCCGGCAACCTCGAGCCTCGAGTCCCTTTCCAAGGCAAGCGTGGATTCACTGGGCAAGAATTCTTGCCAGGCCAACACCGAGACACCGCTGGTTGCAGTTCGAAACGTCGTCCCTCCATTCACGAAGGCGAGCGAAGCAGATCCGACCCAAAGAGGAAGAGACGTTCGTCATTGAGTATGCGGCCTACCATGATTAAGGAAGACTCAGACATTGAAGCAGAGATTGAGCGAGGGAGTGAAGCGGAGAGTGAGCGAGGAAGTGAAGCTCAGGGTGCAACTGAGGTGGAGGGCGAGCCGGGAAGTGAAGTGGAGAGTGAGCGATGGAGTAAAGTAGAGAGCGAGTCGAGAAGTCAGGCGGTAAGTGAGCCTGGAGGCGATGTCAGAAGCAACGCGATGTCGAGTTCATCGGATCCCAATGCTCACATGAAACCACAGAACGATCGAAGTGCCAGTCCACACGGCCACGATACCGACACGGAGTCGACAGTCGTCAAGGACTCCACGACTACGTCTGACGACAAGGTGGTCCTCTTCGACGACTTCAGCCCAGCCAAGGAGTCCAGTGTAGACTCGACCAGTAACGAGTAAGTTCCGACCTATTCTTGACGATGTTTGCTAACATCTCGCAGCGTGGCAGAAGCTGTCGACTGCCTCTTCTTCCACGAGAGCGACAACGCGATTGGTTTCCTGCCGTTCCCCGAATTCCTCATGACCCACTGGGAGAAGTGGGAGAAGGAGAGCGATGCCAACATTGATCGCCGTCGTGCGAAAGATCCGCATTATGATGCCGCCGAGGCGTGGACGAGGATTGGCGGCTGCATTTCTCAGCGTATGCACAATACCGAGACGGTCTTCGCGGTGAACAGCCCACATGAGAGTGTGTGCCGCGTGTGCTTCAATTCCCGGCGGCTTTGCCTTCGCTGGCGCGGAAGCGATGAAAAGTTGTGCTTCGTGCCGTTACCAGAGATCCTGAGATTGGGTATGTTCACTGCCGGCATGCGTCTTCATTCGCTGACTGTTATCCATAGGTGTCACCCCCGACAGCGCGGATTACTGGATCTACCCTGGCACGAGTAAGAACAGAGGGGTGGAAAAGAAGTACGGCAAGATATGGGAGGTGAAGGGCGCGAAGCTTGTGGGCAGGTAGCTCAATGTCCCTTGGCGATGGAGTGAAGACTTGCAATGTTGGACGCCATCTTGAGAAAACGAATGGAGGGCATCTATACAAACTCTTCTCAAAGTGATCCATCCCCATCATTGCCTGACGCTCCAAGTCATCCATCTCGAGCTTCTTTTCCTGAACAGCGATGCGACGGTGTTGTTCGAGGAGATTATGCTGGGCTTGGAGTAAAACTCTTCGGTCAATGGCGTCTTCATCCGCGTCTTCTCCGCGTGCGTTTGTGCTGATCTGTAGAATCAAGCCTGTCTGCAGAGCCGAGTCGCGATAGCGAGAGGCTGCAGCTTGGGCGGAGTACCGCTCATTCTCCAAGGTGTGTGCATGTTGCCTTGACTGCTCCAGCTCCAGTAACAGATCGTGCACTTCATCGGACGCGGCGTTCATGATCTCGGCCTCATGGACCTTGGCCTGGCGAATGATGTTGTCAACGTCATCGATCAATATCGCCAGTTGAACAAGCTGTGCGGTGTTCTCCTCCTGCAGAACAGTCTCTTGGATCTCCAAGACATCCAATTGATCGCGTCGCTGGTCCAGCTTTTGGTCCATCGCGGCCTTCTCCCGACGAAGCAAGTCATTTTCTTCAGTCTTGGTCGTTGCTTCGCTTTCGATATCCATCAATCGAAACTTCGCCTGCTCAAGCGCACCCTTCAGATGTGACAACTTTGAATCACGCTTCTTCCTGACCGCCCGAATCTCTTCCACTTTCTTCTCCCTGAGCTCCTCAACTCGGAGATCGTAGGAATCGCGAGTACGCTTCAGAGATGACCGTTCGCTGCCAAGGTCCTTCTAGAGTTTGGTCGTCCTCTTCTCGCTCTCGTCCCGGATGAGTGCAATCTCGGCTTCGTGGTGCTTCGTGGCTCGCTGCTTGTCCGCTCGAAAGTCCTTGCGTAGTTTGGCTTCCAAGTCTCGACGGTCGTGGTCAGCATTCACACCCGCCTGTCCGCTCGAAAGTCCTTGCGCAGTTTGGCTTCCAAGTCTCGACGGTCGTGGTCAGCATTCACACCCGCCTGCTCGAGCTTGTTCAGTTTGTGTTCGACACTGTCTGCACTCTTGTAATGCTTGCTTGAGACTCCGGATCTCGTTTTGGCGAGCGTCAGCCAAAGCGACGTTGATGCCTTTGGCGCCTTTGAGACAGTCGTTGAAGATGGAAACGACACGCTCGCGTTGTTCTTCGAAGAATTTGGAAGTACCCTCACGGATGGTGTCGTGTAGATTGGAGTTCAATTTCTGAAGATGGGTCGCAATCATCGAGCTGTCACTTGAGGTGGAAAGACACTTGAGCGATCACTCGTGCTTTCACTTGAACCTTCACTTACTCTTTCACTGGAAAGAGCGGTACGAAGAACTTTGTGCCTTCCATCTTCTCGCTTGGCCTTTTTCAGAACCTCGCCCGCCGTGAGATCGGCAAAGGTAGCATGCAGCTCAAGATCATGCTTATGATCTCGAATGTGGGCGTCTTCCCTGGCATGCTGGCCTCCAATAGCGATGGTTCTCGAGCCGTAGGATCGCTGCGACTCAGCCGCGAGACGGCAAGGAAGTGGTGGCCCTGGGATCGCGGAACGGGCGCTCAAGTACAAGCGCAGGATACAGTGCGTATGTGACGCTGTTTGGCAAACATGTTCGTGTCGGACTCTTTGAAACCGTGCAGCAGAGGGTGTTTGCGGTGATTCGGGGGTGTTGCGGGTGAGGAGAGACTTCCCAGCGGGAGACGACATGAGATACATGTAGGTCAGGCATGCCCGGACGTTCCCGCCGCTAGTCAAGACTAGCGTAACTTAGAACTGACTGAACCGTTTCTCTTCCATGCTTCTCTCCTTTACATCTCATCTCACCAACCCGCGCAGAGCCCATACGAGGGATCTATCACTAAAACCTTCCCCAAAGTGCAACCATCCAGTCTCCAGACAACCCAGCAAGCCAGAGCCGAACGATGCCAATCCCCGATCACATGGAGTCCGACTTTGACCTCGAAGACCCCAACTCGGACGAGGAAATCTTACCAGCACCAGGAAAGGCTATGCACTTCGAGATCTACCGGCTCGTAGACGCGTACGACGAGATTGCCTCTCATACCAATATGAACAGTTGCAAGATACGCTCTCTGCAAGAGGAGATAGCCGTTTTGGAATGACAAGTTACGAACCTGGGAGCTGGCCTGGAAGTCGGAAGCCAAACTTTTCGCCGATTTCGAACCTTTCCTGCCTGGGGAGCATGACAACAGTGGAGAACACATCGCCAAGAGAATGGCCTCGCAGGATCGTACGATGCGATCCCCTGTCGACAGTGACCCTGTATCCTAGGATGACATCGAGCCAGAAGCCGAGCACACGAGTGAACCAAATAGTGAGGAATTTGACGATTAGACGAATGATGGCATCATTGAGGTTGGAGGTGAAGACGTCGGTGGACCGAACAGCGGAGATGTCGAAGATTTCGAGCAGGAGGGCGGCAGGCCTAATGGTGAGGGAAACGCTGAGCCCGAGGATGAGGACGGTGAGGGAATCGATGATGTTGAGTAAGGACGACCGTGAAGATATCAGTGAAGATATCAGTGAAGATATCAGTGAGGTTGAGAGTGAGGACATCGACTTCATTAACAACAGCGAGTATCTCGGTCCTTTGACATTGTTTGCCAGCGACATTGAGCCGCCAGACGAAAGCGCCGCTCATTCAAGACTCCTTCTCCGAGGTGGGAAGTGACGCTGAAGATGGTGGATCGAATGTCGTCAAGAGAGAACCTTCTGTCGAGGAGGACGATGAAGAGTAAGCCCCTCAATACCTTCTCCGGTACATTGCTAACAGCTTGATGATAGAGACATTGGCGATTACAAAGCCCTCGTACTACGTCGAAACGGCACCATCGAGTTCATCGCCATCCCCGATGCCCTCAATCAATACGAGAACGCCTGGTGGACAGACATGAGAGCTGCTGTCAATCACCGCAATAAGAAGCACCCAAGCTTCAAGACATACCCAGCGCAGTGGAGGAAAATCGGCGGCTGCATCATGGAACGTCTCAAGCAATGCAAGACCTTCTTCACTTTCGAAGATGAAGAAGAGTCTTGCTGTCGCGTATGCTTCAATTTTCGCAGGCTTTGCTTTCGATACAACCCAGCATCGGACAAATTATGCGTCGTACCGCTGCCAAAGGAGTTGCGAAAGGGTGAGTTGCGCTGTGTCTTTGTTGCCTCGTTGCGCCCATGCTGAACGGCGACGATAGGCATCAAGCCCAACGATCGAGCCTATTGGATCCTTCCCGGAACGGGATACAGAAGGAGTACGGCCAGATTGGGAAGTAGGATGCATGCGATACGGAGTATTATGAGAACGGACAAGGTAAACAGCAATATTGGAAGTGGCCATTTGGTGTTGTTGCTCGAATCTTGGCCAGCATTTGTGGCGGAGTGGGTGGGATTCGGTCGTTTCAGTTGTTGCTCCCAGAAGAGGAGAGAAGCTGCACATATCTGACCTGGAACATTGCTACCGTTTCTCTCATCTCTCGTCGCTCCAGCCAAATATGTTGGGTCGCATTTGCGCCTGGCAGCCAGCATCGAGAAGCAGACTCATGATCTTCATGGCCTACAAACCCGTGTATGAAGCATCATCTGTCATCGAAGATTTGTAGGGCGACGCTCTTCCGATGTCCACGGCTAGTCCTCCATAAATCGCATCTTCAAGAATTTCCCGACTCATAGGCCTGCATCGGCGTGCTTGATGATAGCCAGAGGGCTTCCGGAACCACGCCATCTTGTTCACGATTGCCGTCTTCCATTCTCACATGCCCTTTGCTTCTAAACCATAGCTCTTGTGATTGACAGACTCGAATCGAATTTCATGTGGAGATCTGGGACGAATGGTCGTAAAGACGCTTGAGGTAGCTTCGAATGTATCGTTTGGTGGTGAATGGTAATCGCACGTGGGCGCAAGGATGCAGGCGAGGGCTGGATGGCGCTGGCGACGGGATGGAATTTCAGAGTGAAGGTCAGCGCTCACGTGACATGTAGCTCGACCTCACTTGAAACTTCATTGCAACGGTAATGGAGAGATTCACTCACTTCCTTCCCTCTCTGGTGCCTCACTTCCTCCGTACTTCATCTAACATGTCACGTTGAAAGGTGCATACCTCAGTTTGGGGTTTTCAATAAGTATACTTCATTTTCTGGCTATCTACCGCATCACTTCATGTCGCATCACTTCATGTCGCATCACTTCATGTCGCATCACTTCATACCGCATCACTTCATATCACATCAATCATCAGAACGCCCAAAGCCTGACTCCACCGAGAAGCAAGAATTCTTGCCCATCCCCCTTTCAACTCAATCCTCTGTTGCCATGCTTCATCACATGAATCTCACGGGCGGCTCGCCACTCGTATGACCGTGGCAGGTACAGGCGCGCTGACGAGCGCCCCCTGAATGAATACTCTCCCACCGCCTCCTCTCATGGGAGTACCGAACGAGGACATTGTCCAGGCAGTCTTCGTCACAATCTGGGCAGGTCAGATCGTAATGAGGCATGGGCAGCCAGTCGTACGTCGGGAGAGGGCGGTTCGGGGAGAAGCCTTGCTCTGGCAACTATAAACTGATTAGCAGATGCTCCCACACTGACACAGGATACAAAAGTCACCTCGAGATCGGGGTCCTTCTGCTTGTCCTTCTCCCACCGCAAACGTCGCATCTCCTGGACTGTAACTTTCTGGAATGCCGCGTCGAGCTTCTCCACCAGATGCCTCTCTCGGAATGGGCCAAGTGCGAGGTCGGCGATCTCTTCTCTCAGCTCAGGCGGGAGAGCGTGGATGCGGGACTCGAGTGTCTTCTCTTCTCCGTTGCCCACCTTGCACTCGGGACACTGGTTCGTGGCAGTCACTCTGGGAACGCAATATCCCATCTGCACATCTTCGAGAAGCTGCTTGATGCGCTGGAGGCAGGTCTGGACCGGCCATGCCGCTGCATCGATCACCATCAATGCTTTGCGGATGAGGTCGATCTGGGCAGACGGGTCTTTCTGTAGGCGCTCCCACAGGTTGGAGCGCATGATGTACCCGAACATGCGCTGTTCGACGGCGCTCACGATTTCGAACTTCTCTTCAATCGAAGTTTGTATGTCAAGTCGAATGCGGCCGACTTCGACTTCGTCCTCTTCCTTCATTGGGCGGTCTCCCACGAACTGCTGAATGGCTTTGGTCTGAAATGTCGAATCGACGGAGATGTCGTCTTGTCTCTCTGGGCATGGAACCGCCGTGATGATGGAGATGACACCCATCAAGAGCTCCTGGATGCTGGAATCGTCCTCGAACATTCTCTCCATGGCGGTCAGAGCTCCAGTGAAGTTCCCACAACATTCCACAACCTCCATGCATCTTGTATGGGATCCGAATGATTCTTCCGCTTCCAAGCCGTACAGGATGCTGTGAAGTTTTCCCGGCCTCTTGCGAAAGAAGAAGCTGCTCCACTTGCTGTCGAGCCAATTGGGGATGTCTAGCTGAGCCGTGAAGTGTTCCTGCTCTATCTTCTCGAGCATCAACTCGCGGGTCGACTCGTCTGCAAGACCGTCGTTGGCGTGGCCACGTGGTCGCGTTGGTTGCGCCATGTTGTGGTAGTTGGTAGGGCGACTGGGTAAGAATTCTTGCTGGCCGAGGTGGAAAGGGCACGGTCGGGCAAGAATTCTTGCTGGCTGGGGCCGCTAGGCGAAGGCTTTGGACCGGTGGGTGAGACTTCTGGAAGTGTAGGCCGAGATTGATGCGGTTTGGTGGCAGTTGGAGAAGCACCTTCGGGGATGCTGTTGACGGCAGTATGGCGGCCCAGGGGCCGGACGGGCGAGAGTTCTTGTTCGAAACTTGGTGTGTCGATTGTGGTTGGTGATTGTAATGGAGAAGAAGTTGGAGAGTGGAAGGAAATATTTGTACTCAGGAGAAGCACGGACCATCTCGAAGTGAGAGGCTTTCACATGATCAATGATGGTCCGAGCTTCGCTGACTGCATATATCCATCTTTCTCTTAAACTCCTCCTGCTGCATTACAACAACCATCTATCAGTCAACTCCAACAAGAATCCTTGCCTGCCGAGCTCGCGGGTGGACCACCCGGTAGGCAATTTGGTAGGTCAGTGTACTTGATCTCAAGCGACTAATGCCGCCAGTATTCACCCATCGATTGCTGATAGCCCTTTGGATCAAGTTTCAAGACACACAAAACGATAACACAGCCCCTGGGGCAGCAAGAATTCTGGCTGATCCGCCCTGCAGCGGCCCTTTCAACGTGCAGTGCGTATGCCCCGATCAGGGTCAAGCTCAAATGTCGCTGATGGCTTGATAGGATGGAGCACTCGCCACTCGGAAAGCTCGCGCCAGAGCTGCGTAACAGGATCTACGAACCATTGCTCCAACGACCGCACAAGATCTGGCTGCACGTTGAGCGAAGAGGGCAAGCTTTCACCATCCCCGGCTTCAAGACTCCATCGATCACTCGCGTCTGCCAGCAAATGCGGTCCGAAGCCATGCCCTTCTTCTTCAACCTCAACGAGTTCGCATACGACATTCGATTCGTCCATCCGATCAGATACACAACCGACATTGTACATGCATTCAAGCTCTTCGGTCGCGACCGCACCCGCGCCATCTCCAAGATCAGCATCAACATGTACGACGTGGTGGGTGCTCGCCGACCTGCAATCATAACGCTGATCTGGACCTTCGCTCAGATGGCGATTCTGGGACTGCCTCTGAAAGCAATCACGCTCAATGGTGGCCTCTTTGTGCACATCTACAGCAACCGAGAGATGAAGGCGCGGCTGGAAGAGTGGACGGAGGCACTTCTGTCACTTGGACATGGCTTGGGCCGAGCTGGCTTCAAAGCGGAGGTGACGATGAGACAGCGGTATTTCGAATGGCAGTTCGAGGGCGAGGGTCGACGCTTTGCCCAGGACGAGCATTGCGCGATGATACTCGCTCGACTCGGCATTCGGGATCCCAAAAAACCACGGCCCATCTGACAAGATTCTTGCAGCTTTGGAGGTGCGAGTCTGAAGACGATGTGCATTGGAGTGAGGAAGGCAGGGTCAATTGAGTTCTAGCGGGAGGATGTTCGGGATGTGATGTGACATGAAAGTTTGAATGTTGCCTTTACGAGAGCGAGATTGTTTAAACTTGCATCATTTAATGAGATTTCTACGCGAGACCGTACCATCTTCAGAGGCCAGGCATGTGCAGGTAAACACCACGTGAAGTGATGTGGTTGCGAGCCGTTCTGAATTGCACATGCTTATCATGTGATGTTGGACGAGGCCATCGACCCCCATCACTTCAGATTTTCACATGCAAATCTGCACAGCGCGCAGCCTTAGCGTCAAACCTTATTTTGACATGTCATATCTTTCCAACCTTCCAAAAACAACCACTTCCTCTACAACCACACCACATCAACCACCTCCACCGTCAACCGCCTTCAATCTGAACAAGAATTCTTACCCATCGGCCTCTGCTGTGGCAAGCCATCCGCTCCAGGCCTCCCGTCACACAGACAACCGGACGACAGGGACGGCCAACGGTATGTCGCCGAAACGCCCATATCACAGCTGACACCCGACTGACCTATCTCCAGACACGACGTCCCAAGCAACGGAGACCGCCCACCACCAGCCCATCACCCCTCCCACCCAGAGCCGACGTCACGACTTGACGAACCCCGCCTCCCTGAGCAAGAATTCTGCCCATTCCACCCCGTCGAGCAAGGTTACGACCGACACACAGGTAGACGACGGGTTCGTGCCTGTCCTCGTAACAAGATGACTGGAGACAAGCGCCAGAAGCGTCGGAATACACAAAGGAAGGACTACACGAGAAATGGTGAAGGACAGCCACCTCAAAAGAGGGCGAAACTCAACGAAAAGACGAAAAAGGCAGGCTCGCAAGCATCCGTGGCCTCAAAGCCCTCTCAGGATGGCGGTGAAGTCTCACCAACACCACCCGCGCCAGCAGCTGCAAAAGGGGTGAAGTCACGCAGCAAGAAGCAGAAAGTCGAGGATCCTGACGACTCTTATTCGGAGAAGAAACCAACAGCCAAGAAGCGGAAGCGCAACGTGGACAAGAATTCTGGCAGCCCCAACGCGGCAGAGGTGGAGAAACCGAAGAAGAAACCGAAGACGGCGGCAGCAACCAAGACCCCGAAGAAAGCGCCAGAACACGAGGCCACTCCCAAAGCTCCGGAGCAGCCCCCAGTCATCCTTAAACTGAAGAACACTCGCAAGCCTCCCACTCCAACCGGCGAAAAGCCTTTGTTCCCAGCAAAACCCGCAGAGAACCAGGCTCCCAAGTCTCCACCAGGCGCCGAAGGCTACAAGCAGTACAACGCCGAGTTCCAGAACTTCCCGCCAGGGGAGATCCAGTACAACCGTACGAAGGGTGCTGATGCCACCACCTGGCTCGTCCAATACAGGGAGCGACTCGAAGACGGTGGCCAGATCTTATTCTTCAACCATAAGGAGCATCTTGGTGGGCCCTTCGCCTTCCTGTCCAACTTCTTTCCCAGCAAGTTCACTCAGACGGACATTCATCCCACCTATACCTTCCGGTTCGTCGAACAGGCCTACCAGTACCGAAAGGCCGTCTTCATTGGCTTTGTGGGTACGCGAACGTCAAACATATCGACTCCGCCTCTGAAATCGACGGATCTTGTACACGTCGTACTCAGCGACACTCTCTCTCCCAATGAAATCGCCCGCTTCGGCCGTCTTTTTGCGCGCCATCCCGACACAGAGTGGCGTGCGGTATGGAACTCTTTGTGGGAGACTGCGATCGACGAACTACTACAACAAGCGCTCACGGCGAAGTTCGAGCAGAACCAAGACCTGAAGGAGCTGCTCATGATGACTGGTAGCTTCGAACTTGTCGAGGCGTCAAAACAGGATCACGCCTGTGGAATCGGCTTTTACGCACGCCACGCACTAGGCAACGAGAGCAGTTGGGGAACGAACCTCTTGGGCAAGATGTTGATGAGAGTCAGGGAGGAGATTCGCGAGAAGGAGCCCGGATGGCCTACTACGATGGCATTCGAGTACTTTCACGCATACGAACAGATGTTGGCAAAGAAGCGAAGCCACAGCCTCTCCCAAGAACAAGAGAGAGAGGAGCGCCGGCGTCTCTGGGGTTTGAAGGCGGCGTGGGTAGCCCAGGGGAGCCAGAATTCTGGCTCGCCAGCGTCAGTCAACGCCAACACAGGTACTACCAGCCAAGGCACAGCGGCCGCAGGTAATGGCCCAGGACCAGTCCAGGTGTATCAGAGGCCGTACACGACCAACAAGTGGAACAAAAACTACGATGCCGACACAAGATACGAAACTCTGGTGAAATATTTCAAGGACGAGACCAAATGGAAGTCAGGCTGGAAGGCGCTCATCACCGAGCAGGGGGCCTTTCAGTTGCTCGGCGATCTCCTCTTTTGCATGAAGAAGGGCCCAACCGAGCAGATCAGTCTGAGAATGGACCACTGTCTGCAAATCTTGTCTTCTCGCAATACTCACGGACTACGAGACCGTTTCGGCGGTGGTTTCGCAGAGGAGGACCGCAGCGCGATCAGCTCAATTGTCGAAAAATACCACACGGAGCACGCGCATTGGGATCCCATCGAATTCATTCGACCAGAGGAAGAGTAGCTCGAAACGGTGCGGACCACGACGAATCAGCTCCACCACTTCGACAACCAAGATCTCGGTTTACCAGTGGAGGCCTGATCTCCACGAGATGACACTACTTTCTTTTCATGATGCTTTATTACGAGATATGGTCCAGGACCAGGGGTGAGATGTACGATAGCAAAAGCGAATTCAGATTACGATGTATATTAGGGAGCAAAGCAAAATGAACAAATTGTATCTTTAAGTCCTTTCTCACGGGTGCCACAGTGAAGCTGGAAGAATTCTTGCATTATGAGCGTAGGTGTCATCGCAAAGGCTGGCGGCAAGAAAGCTAGGTCATGGTTGTGCTCAAGGTGGACAATCCGCCTCTGTTGCTCGCAGACCTTCTGAGTAATTTGAAGTGCGTGTAAGATCCTGGTCGCTGGGAAAGCCGAGGGGACGATGAAGTTTCCATGACGGAGCGACGAGGGTATGGTTTCGGGCATTCGGCTGTAAAGAAGGATAAAGACTTGGAAACCCATTAGCTATATACACGTCAGAATAGCCACCATCAACCACCCCACCCCGCCCGCTCATCAAGATCATCCAGACAATACTTCAAATCCACACTCAGACGATATTTCAAAAGCTGGCTCTGCCCAGCATCGCGGCTCGTGGGCTGGCAGTACAAGGCATTGAAAGAATCCGCCAGCTTCGAGATCTTCTCCAACTCAGTCCTCAACGACTGCAGCTTGGCAGGGTGTTCCCGCCTTTGAGCGATAGTGGGTTCCTTGGGCAGCAGGCTTTCAACCGCACTCCTAAACATCTGAAACGCGGTGCTCAGCAAATACGCCACTGGGAACGCTGAGCTGCATGTACAAGCCGTCGTGGTGTTGAAAGTTTCGGCCAGTCGTCGACCGGAAGCCAGAAACTGCGCAAGGGACATCCTCTTTGGTGATCGAGCATCAACGCATGGAGCAGCGTTCATCGTTTGTAGCATGTCGCGGACGCAAGAGTGGATGAGATCTGTGCAAGCAGGGCGGGAAGTAACATCTTGTCTAGCCACCGGCTCGTCCAACGCCCGAGGATACGCCATGCAAGACGTGGTAGACAGGTTGAAGGTTCCAAAAGGATAAGTAGCAGTTTTCTCCGATTCCAGCTCCATATCGCTTTCGTTCACATCCGATGAGCAGGGTGTCATCCAATCCACGGGGCGTAGTTCTGGTGTCTGGGGTGCGGCGCTTGACTGCGTTGACGCAGTACTGCTCCTTGTACGGCCTTTTTTGCCGCCATTACGTCTTTTCAATGATCGTAAAGAGACAGTGTAGTGGCATGGTGGAGAGATACCAAGATCCTCCCCTATTGCCACGCATCTGGCACAATGTGGTTGCTGGCGGTCGCACTTCACCTGCAAAACTGTCAGAACTTGAAAAATCGTCCATCTGTATCACCCACTTTCGATAGAGCACATCGATCACAGGTGCCTTTCGTCCTAGGAGCTTCCCGATGCCTCGGTCGTTGGTCAGTTGACTGGCCCGACAGGCTAGCGTCAGAGTCGAGATCCATGATGGTGATAGAGTTGGGAAGTCCAGTACATGCCGTTAACTTTTACCCTCCTCCTCAAGTCGATCCAGCTTTCGCTTCGCCATTCTGACCGGTGACGGGCACACCGTACTGAATACGAATACCAGACTTGCAGACATTCCTAAAGAAAGCCAAGGCCAGCAGACTGACCAGTTCACGGACCACGGAGAGCCTTCGATGCCGTTCTGTAACAATGAGAGAGGCTATGATCTACACGACGTTGTGTAAGACATGGCCAGTCCGGCGTGTCCGAGAGCGTTGGATGCTGGAGCAATCGCTGCGGACGTCTGCGCTAACGCTCGTGCAGTACACCAACATGAATCCTCGAGGTCGCACATGGCTGAGGCCTGGGCCAATGCTTTGTTGGATCGTCCTGAAATGATATCAGTGGTTCAGCTCTGGTGTAGCCCCATGAATACTCGATGGACGCCACGCTGAAAAGCGAGCATGGGCGTTCACACGAGGCTGATCCAGTCCACACCGCTCAGGATTGTGTCGACCTCTTCATCGAGCGTGAATGATGCTGGCCCTGATAGCACCCCACGTCTCAGAACCCAACGCAGTGGTTCAGGGCTGTTCCTTGTGCAGTGTAACAGAGTTGAGCGATTGAAATAGTTGACGCGCGCGAAACGTACTGGGTATGGAACGGGTGTGCTTGGCGTAGTACGCTGACTTCACTGCGTGGGAGACGGGACCCTGCGCGGGATAGTGGGTATGTGTGAAGTATCTGCATGTCATCAGCGGCATCATGCCACAATCATACCTTCCAGTTCCTCCTTCCTAGCACGATAAACATCTTGAGCCTCCCTCTCCCTCCTACTAACTAGTGCAACCTCCTCTCGCAACTTCTCCAGCCTGCCTTGAATGCCGGCCTCCTCAGCGACTTGTGCCTGCCGACTGACCTCAACATCCAACCTCGTATTAGCCAAGGCTTCACTCGCCTCAACAATCTTCGCTCGTAGCTTTCTCTGCCGATCCATGTATCCACCATGGTGTTTGGCAAGCTTCTTTTCCATCGAGGTCCCTTTGTCTGAGGTTTTGGTGATTGACTCCTGAATGTTGTCAAAGGCCTCGGTCAGCAACTGCTCTTCATCCAGCTCGTCTTCGCCATATCCAGCAAGTCCAGGAAGGATGGAATCAGCATGTGCGCGTTCCCATTCCTGTTCGAAAGCTTTGCCAAACTGAGCACGATCAGCATCCTGGCCCATGTCAAGAATGACTTCCATCTGCGCTCTCTGTAATGCCTCGTCTTCGAAAGTTTGAGGCGCCCTCCCATACCCCTTCACCTTGGCACCTCCAAGCTTCTGTGCATCGTTTGCCATAAGCAAGGCAGCTTCCTCGGCAACCTGCTTCTCGATTGAATCGTGTTGTTCTTTCGCATTCTTCAGCATCGCTTCAATGTCAATGACGCTAGACCGTGGGAGACCCTTCTGCACGACTTTGGTCTGGCGTCTGAAATCTGCCAACGCTGCAGCCCTCGCAAGTTCGGCATTCCGTCGGTCACGCTCAGCGGCATCTTCTTGGGAAAGCTCTTGCGCAATGGCCTGCTCCGCTCTCTCTTCTGGCATCGCCTCCAGCTCCCATTCTGTCTGCTGAGGTTTGGGTAGACTTGCAAGCTTGCCGCGAAGACCACTACGAGCTGCCTGCTCCTGCAAACGAACGTCACTAGGGGTCTGACCGACCAATTGCATGGAGCCATCTTCTTGATTGAGACGAAAACTGTCTCGAGGTGCTCGCATCGGCGTTGCGCCCACCCCATTGGTCGTGCCGTTCTGCTGTCGGAAAGGTGTGGCCATTGGATTGGGTGTCGACATCGCTTGTTTTGACGGGGCAACACCGCCGTATCCAGTGGTGGCACCTCCTTCCGCCAAAGGCGTATTGTCACCACCGAACAGCACTGACTGGGTCTCCGTCCTGGCCCTGGCGTTACGAAGCTCATTGGCAATGCGGTCTTCTTCTTGTGGTGCACGAGGAGTGCGAATAGGGGTGGCGCCGACAGTGCTGTCATACTTGCTAAGCAGACCTCGAGTGGTGTCGCTGTCGCTAGCTTCAGCCTGCAGATGTGCACGCTCGCCAGACATGCCCATCTTGACGATATCTTCGAGTTCGCCCTCGCTGACCTGGGGTGCTGGCAAGACCAGACCTCTTCTCTTGCTGCTCTGCTCTGCCTCACGAATGCGTTGCATTTGGCCGGCTTTAGCAGCTGCCGCGAAAGCAGAAGAACCACTGTCCTTGTCATTCTTCCTGCGTTTGCTCTCTTGACCATCTTGCTCTTGGGCGTCTCCTTTCCGCTTGTTGGCTAGCTGCTGCTTTCGTGGGTCGAACAGCTCCCGCTCATGCTCATTCTGGGCTTGCTCGTCTTGGGTGTCAAAGAACCCAGGCGCAGGTGCTTTTTCGAAAGGAATGTCTGCATTGTAGTCCATCTGTCCCTTCTTCCTGGTCGTGACCTTGATGTTGATGCCAGCGCTCTTCAATTCTCTTCGCTTTTGTAAAACAGCCAGCCGTCTGCTCTCCTCAAGCTGTCTCTCCCTCGCCTTCCGCTTCGCCTTCTTTCCTTGTGTATTTGCCAGACGCGCTCTTGCCTCGGACAGCATCTCTTTTTCATCCTCATCCATGTCGATGGTATCAGGTCGGGCAGGCTTGCTTTCAGGATCTGGGTCCAGCTCTCCTGGCCGCAGTCTGCGCACATCATCTGCTGAAGGTGCTTGTGTTTCGCCGCCGTCGGGTCCAGCCAGGCCAAACTCGGAGTTTTCCCTCGCCTCGGCCTCGTCCAAGAGTTTCTGATAGCGCTCGAGACATTGTGTAGCGGTCCGGCCGACGATAGGGGCGATGGTGCGCCATTGCGTGGGCATCAGCTTGGCCAGATGCAGTAGCTTCTCGTCCTCTTCACGACTCCATTCGATCTTGCGGATGCCTGGGTCCAACCATTCAGTCCACCGCGCCTTGCATTGCTTGGGCGTTTTGCGCGCGAGCAGCGACGAGACGCGCGCCCACTGGTTGAGGCCATATTTGGAGACGGCGGCCTTGAGGATCTCGTCCTCGATGTTGGTCCACACTCCGCCCTTGACGACCGGCATTTTGGCGTGGTGATGTTGGTGGTGGTGAAGTTGATGAAGAAAGTCGGTTGAAGCTTGAATCAGATTCATGTGCGATCGGATAGGCTAAACCGTATTTATCACTAGCGCAAAGCTTAATGGGTGACGTCCTCTTTACTTCACCATCACCCTCGCCAAGTCTGCTTCCAACCCGCCTCCTCTACAGCAATCGCATACCATCAGCCATGATCTCGTCAATCAGCCGGATTGCACCTAAAGAATCAAGCCACATAGCTCCTTTGCTACATCGAATGCTGGCGAGTTCCAAACCAGCTCCACAGCAATCATTGAAGGACGACAAATCGTTGGAGGAAAATGCCAAACAGGTGCAAGCCAGTCAGCCAAGCACAAAGACCGTTGCTCAAGCCGATGCTGAGATGATGCGAAGGATGGCTGGGTTGTCTGGTGAGGGAGGTGAGGCTGGTGTCGAGTACGAAAATGGCAAGCCGGTGGCCATGAAGCGCAGCGTCAAGAACAACATGTTTCGACTTATCTGAGGCGGCAATGATCGGCCAGTTGCTTCCAGTTGAAAGGCTCTACCCAATTTTATCTACAATCGCCCGATGGCGATGATAAACGAAGCGGCACGACCTTAAGAGTGACTACCAACATCAGGATCTCAGATAAATCCAGCTCTTTGGTAACGGGGAACCATGGCCATCATGGTACGAGCGTTGGCTGGGAGAGATGCAATCGCATACACAGCGTTGCTTTCGTACCAAAAGCAGGTACCACTCACGAGCAAAGACAAGCCATGAAGAAGTTCGCCGTACCTTGGGCACCACATCGGATCACTGGCATGGAGGAACCAGTCAAGGAAGAAGGATTGCGAGCTACTTCTTGGGAATCGAGAAGGAAGTTATGAAAACTATTGTATTCGTTAGGGCAACTTCATGCATTCTTCAGACGATGAAGAAGCCCCTGGCAGACGAGCAGCTGGGTGGTACAATAGAGCGTACGAGATTTTTTTTAATTGAATAGCATCTCCATCTTTTACAAATCTATTACTCCTTCCTTTCCAGAAAGATCTCACTCGTGGGAGAAGTAGACAATGCTGAGATACACTTTTCCTGATCCCAGAATTTCCTTCGACTTCATCGTCTGAAATTCACATCTTCACTTCGTCTTACCCGCCACCAAGAAGTCATGAACGGCTGTAAGCACTTTCTCTCGCAGGTCTCCTTCCAAATGACACATGTGGCCTCCCCCCGGAAAGGTGATCCAGCGAACGCGTGGGATGAATTCAAATAATGGTGCCACCGCCGCGTCTGTGGTGCTGTCAAATTCTGCGTTGTAAACGAGAGTGGGCACATTTATATTGGAGACCCGCGAGGCGCACTCCCAATTCTTCAAAGTGCCGGTGCAGGTCAGCGCAGACGGGCCAAACATGGATCGATAAGGAGTGGGGTTGGTGGCTTGATATTCCATGCGCTTCTCCAATTCCGGTGGAGGAAATGGCTTGAGGCGATAGTAGTGTGTTTCGAGGAAAAGCTGCGCCGCGGCCTTGTATTCCGGACTACTATAGTCGTCTGTTCGTTGGGCATCCTCGATACTTTTGCGAAGGTCACGAGGAAACTTCTCGTACAGGGATCGAACTCCAGCCATATAAGTCACTACATCAGCTGGTGCACTCGCCAATATCAAGCGATGGAGACCATTCGGACGGCTTGACGCATATGCTGCCGCCAACATCCCACCCCAGCTGTGCCCCAGAATATTGAATCCCGTCTTACGAAGGCCTAGATGGTCGATGAGGTTTTCCAGCTCTGTGATGAAGGTGCGCTCGCTCCAAAGTGAAGTATCACCGGCGAACTGTTGAAGGTGCGTCGAAGCTCCGCAGCCGACTTGATCATAGAGTACGACGGGGATGCCATATCGGTCCGAGAGGTTTGCAAAGGTGATCATGTATTCGTGAGCTGATCCGGGACCACCGTGGAGGACCAGAAGAGGGTGTGTACCATTTTCGAGGTCACCGAATACCTTGTAGCTGGTAGATGTTTCTGTGTCAGCGATGGCTGGAATCTTGACAGGCACTTTGTCGTCTTTGCTCGGCTTCAAGTCCATGTTGCTGAGTGGTGAAAGAGACACCTGCGGATAGTTATCACACCAGAGCTGAATGCGAATGTGTAGGGTGGACGCGTTTAGGAATAAACGTGCTGGTGGTCGCAAGCCTATCTATATTGGATGATGGCACAGCGAAACTCGGCCGTGGACTAAAACGTCCACCTAGCTTTTATGTGAGTGATTAACTCAACACAACCGCGGAGGATGAGCTTTACAATCCTTTACGATTACGGACTGTTGTCGTACTCCATGATAAGTAAAGCGTAGGATACTAGTCTGCATACGACACATCCAACGCAGATGATCCAAAGCTCACCACAGCTCATCGAACAGCCATCCAGATCCGGAAAGGGTTGCTGATGAGTCCACCAAGATCTGACGCAGCAACGCGTACCCGATTATGTGCGCGGTGGAAGTATAGGGCATGCTTGGTATCCGCAGACGATGTAATGATCTTGGGCTGAAGTCTCTGCAAACTTCAACGCAGAGCCACTACTCCCCAGATCCCTCTGACATTGATCGCACCTTTGGTCGCCCGAAGCTTTGGTCTGCTTCTCAAATGGCCTGCAGAGGAATATTGTCAATCAACCTCACTGGCACTTTATCTTCGCCAAGGCCCAGCTTTTCCCGTCCTGTGCCTTCCTCCAACGGTAGCATCTTGATAGCACCACTCAAGATAGCACCTCTCCTCGGATCAACGGTCTCGACCTCTGCCAACGTGTCGGGATCTGCCAAAGATATGTAGTCCACTTCGAACAAAGCCCTCTCCGTCTTTTCCAAAGTCTCTTGTTCCATGCTCATGCGATTTATGACATCCCAAGCAAAAGCCAGGATTTCGTCTCTGTTCGTCCTGCCCATGTTGTAAGCGTTCTCCGCAGCCCGGAGAGCTTTGGACAAGACCAGTCCGACTCTGTGACGGCGCTCTCCAAGATACACATTCCTGCTGCTCATCGCCAAGCCGTCGGGTTCTCTCTCAGTGGGAACGATACGGACTTGGGTATCGATGTGAAAGTCCTGGACCATGCGCTTGATCACGACCGTCTGCTGCACGTCTTTCTGGCCAAAGTAGACACGATCTGCCTCTACAATGTTGAAAAGCTTCATGCAGACCGTAGCGACTCCGCGAAAGAAGACAGGCCGGCTCTTGCCTTCAAGCACGCTGGCGATGGGTGTGATGGTCACGAATGAACCAACACCAGGCAGAGTGGAGTCTGGCGGCAGGGTTGGGTACATGACCTTGGTTGTAGGAGCGAAGACAGCCTCGATGCGGCCTTTGCCGTCCTTGTTCAACTCATCATCCAGCTGCTGAAGCTGGTGCAAATCGCTGTCCCACGTCTTGGGGTAGCTGTCCAGATCTTCGTGCACGCCGAACTGGGTAGGGTTGACGTAGATTGACACAAAGACCTTGCTGTTCTCTGCTGCGGCTGCTCTTACCAACGAGATGTGGCCATGATGCAAGGCGCCCATGGTGGGCACGAGACCAACCGATTGTCCATCGAGCAGCAGCGCGCGGCGATGGCTTCGTAGGGGGGCTACATCACGAAAGATGTGGATGGATCGGACGATTTGGCGTCTTGGGAGGAGCGCTGAGGCGGGCGTGGAGGAGAGCGAGGCGTGGGCTTGACGAATGGCCCTGCTGCTGCTGCCGGAGAAGAAGAAGCTGGCCATTGGAGCTGGACGTAGCTGTGCTGGAGATGAGGGTCAGGTCGCTGTGCAGCTCTATCGGACTGCAAAGGGTGAGGATCGCAGGCTGTCCTTCATCATGGCTCGGTCTGCGCCAAACGAGCCGGGCACGGGCAGACAGGCGAGTGAATCAATGTGTACGCTGGAGGCTCCATCACACCAAGCCAGCCTGGAGCTCCATCAATGTCGGGTCAGTTCAAATGTGCGTACCTCATTGTACGCGGACCGGGACGTCCAATAAGGTTGGCGCTAGTTTCGCGAATTTCTCGACCTCACATGCATCTGCGGCTCGATTTCAACCCTCAATACCACCAACTTGCCCATCATGGCCGACGATGGCATGCTTTTGAATTTTGAGATTCCGGCCGATGCCTTTGCTGCCCCTCTCACCAAGTTCAAAGGCGGGAGCTGGAAAGACCGCCTCACTGCTCGCAAAGCAGCGGAATACGGACGGAAGAAGGCCAGCGAGCGCAAGCCTCAAGCTCAGGACGTTACCCAGGCTTCTGTGCCAGAATCGCATCAAAATGCTCGGCCGGCCAAGCGAGCGCGGACTGGCGATGCCTCTGTTACAAATTACCCGGGAGACTTTGTATCGTCACTCTTCACATTCAACCCCATGTCGAAAGAGCCCAGAGAGCCTCCGCCCACAGAGGATGTCAACGTCGAACCGTCGAATGCACCGCTCGCTGATGACGAGACTGCCAAATTTACAACACTTGGCCTCTCGCCAACGCTCGCTGGACATTTACTAAAGAAACTCGATATCAAGGCCCCCACGGCTATCCAGAGAAAGGCAGTCGAGCAGCTCTGCAAGGACGACACCGATGCATTCATTCAGGCACAGACTGGATCTGGAAAGACCCTTGCCTATCTCCTCCCAGTCGTCGAGCGGATCGCCACCATCTCGAGGCGCATGAAAGATACCGGCCAGGACTTCAATCGTCACAGTGGCCTCTTCGCAATCATCTTGGCTCCCACCCGCGAACTCAGTAAACAAATCAGCACAGTTCTGGATAGCTTATTGAGCTGCTACCACTGGATTGTTACCGGCACCGTGCAGGGAGGCGAAAAGAAGAAATCAGAAAAGGCTCGCTTGCGAAAAGGCCTCAACATCTTAGTCGCCACCCCAGGCCGACTCGCAGATCATCTCAACAACACCGAAACACTTGATGTGAGTATGGTAAGATGGCTCGTTTTGGATGAAGGGGATCGCCTCATGGAGCTTGGATTCGAGCAGGATCTCCAAAAGATCATCAGTGTGCTCAATCTTCGATCGCGCAAGAGGCAGGAGACTACAATCCCAGGACTTCCAGATCGCCGAACGACAGTTCTATGCTCAGCGACCATCAAGTCCAACGTGGAGCAGCTTCAGAGCATGTCATTGAAGAATCCCATCTCTATCGTGGTCGATGCGTCAGAGAACGTCGGGGAGTCAGCTGCGGAGGAAAACAACTTTTCCGCTCCTGCTCAGCTCAAACAGAGCTACGCCATCGTACCTGCCAAGCAACGGCTTGTCACGTTGACCGCCGTGTTGAAACAGACCTTCAAGCGCAAAGGCAGTGTGATGAAGTGCATCGTCTTCATCAGCTGCGCAGACAGTGTGGATTTCCATTTCGAGATTCTGACTAGAAGTGGCAGGAGAGATGCAACGGAGGGGGATTCTGACAAATCCGGCGATCACAATACCAATACCAAACCCAGCAAACATCTAAAAAAGCCTGGCAGCATTCCACAAGGCAACACAATCTCTGAGATACGCACACAAGGTCAAGCATCTTTCTCCGGCAAGGACAATACCGTTCAGGTCTTCCGGCTTCATGGATCCCTACAGCAAGCAACACGGACAAGCACTCTCAAGGCATATACCCAATGTGAAGAGCCTGCCATTCTAGTGTGTACAGATGTGGCATCGCGAGGACTTGATCTCCCCAACGTTGATCTGGTGATCGAATATGATCCAGCTTTCAGCAAAGATGATCATCTCCATCGGATAGGTCGAACAGCCCGTGCTGGAAGGGACGGCAGAGCGATGATCTTTTTGCAACCGGGGTGCGAAGAGGGATATGTGGACGTGTTGAAGGAAGCACGGCCACGGAATTTGACCCGACACGACGCAGATGAGCTGTTGAAGAAGGGCTTTGGGAATAACAAGGGCTCAGAAGAGTCGGACAATGGCTGGGAGGTACGAGCCACGGACTGGCAGCTGGGCGTGGAGCGCTGGGCAATCGACAATCCGAAACACCTTGAGCAAGCCAGGAGGGCTTATCAAAGCCACGTCAGAGCATACGCGACACATGTTGCAGCAGAAAGACACATCTTCAACATGCAGGAGCTCCATTTAGGGCATCTCGCCAAAGCTTTTGCATTGAGAGATAAGCCCGGTAGCATCAATGTGGCTGGCTTGCGGCCTGGTAAGGACTCTGGAAGCAAGAGCAAGCACAGCAGACTGCAGAAGAGTGGCAAGGGCAGAACCGAAAAGGACGATGACTTGCCGGCTGAGACGGATGCAACCGAAGCGAGAAGAAAGATGAAGACCATGTCGAGGGCCATGGGAGGTGCTTCTGAGTTCAATTTGGGATGAAGGGGGCAGCGTTGGTAGGAAAAGCGCTTCAAACGGGGTATCTAAACTCAGTAAATCTCCCACAACGACACCTTACCATCCTTGCTACCAGCTGCAAGCCAGTGGGTCGTCTTGGCAGTGTGCTCTCTCTGCTCGGCGACCGTCATGGCGCTCTCTGTTCCACGTTCACTCGAAGTCGGCTTCTCGACCTCACCGCCGGCAGACTGACTGCCCACATCAGCGAAGGCCAATGCGTAGCACCCTTCCTTGTGCCATTTCAACACAGCCAGCTCTTTCATCGTCTTGACAGAATACACCCTCACTCTCGAGTCCCATCCGGCTGTCGCAAAAATTTTCTCGTCCTTTCTCAGCGTCAGCCCTTGCTGACCAGCATGCTTGGTCTGGACAGTCTTAGTCTGCGTTCCGCCTTTGCTCAATGGATGTCTTGCTATAATGGCGTCTGCAGAGGACGTGAAAAAGGCGCCTTGGGTCTTGGCCACACTGAGCGACAGAACTGGTTGGGAGTGATATTTGTGCATGTACACCAATCTCCAGGACCTTCGGGCTCCCTTCTGCTGCCACACACATGCATGGCCAGATTCATAACCCGCCACGACGAGGAGCTCTTGGATGTAGCTCGCAAACTCGCCATCTTGGAACGACATTGCAATCGCCATGGTCATGCCGGTACTCTCGCCCTGTGGTGAGGGAATGGTAGCTAGTCGTTCTTCTTCCGGTAGGGAGGTGACGTTGATGTGGCCGTCTTGAACTCCTGGAGTGGCGACAAAAATGCCGTCTGTGGGGAGATCGTTGTGGCCATGCGGTTCAGCGGGGATCATGGCGAACGAGCAGAAGTTGAGAGCGTTCACGTCCAGACTATGGAGAAGCCATGGTGGTTTCCGGCCTGCTATCGCGTCGTCGATGGGTAAGGTGGTGGACAGGTTGGCTTCGTCATCCTCTTTGACCTGCCATACCGAGAGCTTGTTGTCTCGGCCGTGACTGTTTTGAAATCAGTACCAGATTCATTTCCGAGATGGCGGGGTCATACGTTATGATCTTATCATCGTCCCAACTTCCCAGGCCCAGAATGGTGTTTGAATGTGCTTTCCACACGGCGGAGGCCCGCTTGGTCGCGGTGCTCCAGACCACGACGAAGCCATCGGCATCGCCAGTCAACAGGCGGGTGTTGTCTCGCCAGAAGTGGATGGCGTGGATCTGGGCCGAGTGTCCACGCAGGACATATGCGGGCTGAGCCGGCGGCTGTTCCGAGCTCTGGAGCGCCTTCTGCGCCATGTGAAGGTGACTGACTGGGATGTGGTCGGGTCGAATTTTACGCCTGCTGCTGCTGCTGCCCCTCCGGCCTCTGACGTCTCGGCATCCCCGCGACAGCACGGCAAGGCGTTTGATGATGGGCAACGGTCATCTGATCACTCCGACGCGCATGTGCGTGAGGCGGCACGCATGCATGTGTCTTGGCACGTGGCATGTCGTTGCAAAGTCTAAAAACGCGAGGTGGATGGAGAACTGTAGGGAGGGCTTGATAGGAATATTGGACATATTTATTTCGCCCTCTCACGCAATCTCCTTCCAGCGTCGCCATCTTCCACTCTCCTAATTCTCCTCTTCGCCACGATGCGGTCCACGCAGAAGTGCTCTGCATCCCCTCCGCTCCCATGCCTCAAACATGACATCGTGTGCTTGCTCCCAGTCCGGCTGACTGAAATTGTCCTTCAGCTCGTCGTCAAGAGTCCTCTCTTCGTCGGCCTTGGGGATGCCATGCCGCAGCTGCTCCTCGCTGCTGAGCCACTCCACCATAAAAGAGCTCATCTGCTGATGAGTTTGCAATGTGTCCGGACTGCAAGTCTCTAAAGCTGATATAAGCGCAGGCCTGAGGGTCGGCAAGTGGTAGGACAAGGCCAGTTGCCGTACGAAATAGTACGACATGGGCCACGGCGTAAACTGAACTTTCCATCGAGGATCATCCGGGGGACGTGCCATCAGCCATGCTTCGATTTCGGTGTACACTGCCGTTGCTAGTCCAGCGTTGCGTAAGAGACATGGCAGCCAAAGGTGCACTGGTGCCTGCGCTACGCCAGGGTCGCCACGATCAGGCGCATTGCTTGCACTCGCGCATGCGTTGATGGTGTCTTGGTTGCGGTAACGAGACTCGGCAATGGCCAGCTCAGCAGCGTCTTCATAGGCAGGTATCTCAGATTCTAAGATTGTTTTCGCGATGTGCTTGCAGTTCTCCAGCCAGACTTCGCGATACTCCCGACATGACAACGACAGTCGTACGGCAGTTCGTATGTCTGGACATAGGACATAAACGAGGATGAGGACTTCTCGCGGGATGTCGCTGATTGCTGCCATTGAGAAAGGTGGCTGGAATTGGAATGGCGGTGGTCCAAAGTTCGTCCTTGCGAACAAGATTTATTCTTGTGATTGAATTTGTGTCTCGGTTCGGGACTTTTCACAAGTCTCTCACATGGCGCTTGCTGAAACCGCGTCTGGTGGCGAGCCAGAGAACGTGCCTGGAGTCGTCTGGGATTCAGGCGCTTACATGCGCGGCAGATGACTGAGAGCGCAGTTTCCTTGCCCGTCGTGGGAATGGACCGTCGTCGCACATCCGACTCCTATCACCAGTGAAGAATTGAAAGCGGGCACTCGGCCGCTTGAGCTATGAGTGGCCTCGAGCGATGAAGTAGATGGGGAGAAATGGTGTATCCGACGAGAGCAAAGCTTGCGGTCGTGCCTCACGAAGCTCAACTCGCAATAACTCAAACCTATCCATGATACTGTGGAATCAAGTTTAAAAGCACTGTAACCTAGCACTTGCTCGGAAAGCCGCCGGCGCTCTTGATGGCTTTGCCAAAGCAGTGGTCAGATATGAATAGCGGCAATGTCCCTTGTGCATGCCACTCAGTGCCATCCGAAGCTGGGGCATCGAAATATTCGAATTTCCAGCCCGTCACTACGCCGCAGCCTCTGATCTGGCGCTGAAGCTCTGCACCAAAGTCGCTACCAGCAAAGCCGACGCCTCGAAGTTCCCAGCTGTAACCCCAAATGTGACCTATCGAACTACACTGACCGTAGGGTATGCTCGGCGCTGGTGTTCGATCCCGCGTCGGCACAATAGAATACCTTATGCCATTGTTGTCAGACATACTACCACCATGCTTCCAGTTCATCGCATTGTTGGTTCCTGGAAGGCTGCATCCATTGCTAATAAGAGAAGGCATTGTCAGAGAAAGGCTTGTCAACGTAGCAGGCTAGGTCAAACTCACTTCAGAACGCTCAAGTAATAGCGACATTCTTCTTCGAAGATCTGATAGTTACGCGCACCGGTTGGCCATGTCGTTGCAATCTCCACACGGCTAGGAGTGCCCTCGTTGAAGACTTGTGAGAATGTTGAGCCTGAAGAGCCAATGCCATGAGGTTGTGCGCTCGATTGTCTGCAGTAATCCACGATATTTCCTTGCAGTGTGGCCTGGTCCAGGTAGTTGTTCGTGCTGATGCTATTGCACTGTTGACCACCTGCTTTGCCTTTGTCCCAAACGCGCCGTACAACGAGCGGCTCGATACTAAGAGAGGCATTGCCGACCTTACTTTGATAAGGGATGATGCCACCGTGCTTGAGATTTGCAGAGTTCTTTCCATCCGTTGGAACATCGCAACCATCAGTGACAACGTCCAGCCAAGCCGAACAACTGTGTTCGCCGATGACAGCATTGTCGCTCCAGCGGATTGACACGTTCATATAATCCAGTGAATCGTGGTTGAATGTTTCGCTGGTCACCGTATCGCGGTTCCCTTTGATGTTGTGGGGATCTTTTGGAACACCATGGTCAGCATCAGCCGCTATGGCGCCAGGGAAGACAGTTTACCTGCACAAAAGCTGTCAAGAGCCGATATCATCGCCTCCCGTTGGGACCAGGTATCGGACGAATCTGTCGTGCATGCGGCGCCACCGATTTGCGGTTGACTTGAGCCGGTGCTGCTCACCACCTCAGATGGAAATGAATGTATCCCTGCCAGGGGTTTCGTCAGTCACGTCCTAGCGAATTGCGAGTAGGAAATAATGCCTACCCTGGGATTTAGCGTTGTCTGCGGCCATATGATACAATATCAAGTTGGCAATAAGAGCATGGCCCCCTTGCGTTGGATGAAAGACTCTCGCGATTCCATCGGAAACTAACAATTGCTTGATGCTGAACTTTGACACCACTTGCTGGCTGCCAAGTAGGACGTGGGTGCGATTAGCAATAATAGTGCCCATGGAGTCCTTTGCCGCAAGTCTTGTATGATTCTGATTTCCGCCGGAGAGGGAGTTTGAGAGATCGCTTGAAGAGATCGCACTTCCGAGGGACCATTTTGTACCCAGGTTGGTATGATTTGCGCCCGTTGGTCGATATTTGGTAGAGGACACGGTACCCGATGCAAAGCCCACAAGTGAAGGTCGTGTGTTAACGTGAAGCGACATAACCGCCGATGGACTGGCAAGGAACCCGGATCTATCCGCAACTCTTTCAGCACCAGACGTGTCGTTCCAAGATCGCCTGACATGGCCACCGTGATCATGTCGATCCTGGTGAGACGTTTGCGGGGTGGTAGCAGCTCGGGGTTGTGATACTTGAATCGAGGCTTCCTTGAGCTGCTCTTCGATCTGTTCCTCCTCAGCAACTTCTGCTTCCAAGTCATTATTGGCGTTATCATCGTCAAGAACTGCAATGTCGTCGTCGCCATCAATAGCTGCTTGTATCAGGGCTCCGTATAGAGCGTTCAGTGTTTGATTGACAGACTCGGTGTCGCTGCTGTGCTCCAGATTATTCGAGCGTCGTTTCAATTCATCGTGCGTCCACTCTTTCTCTACCTCCGTCCATGGAAAGTCTTGGCTTCTCATCTCGTAGAAGAAAAGGTCTTGTCGATTGGCACTATTGCCTCCGCTCTCGTCGGTATCCGGTTGACAGTATCTTCCATTGGTTGGGCCTACATAGTCGTCGAAGTCAATGAATTGCACTTGCTCACCAGCCCTGGATACAGCGGCACGAAGAGCGTCGTTCATCGAGTCCACGAGATCGTTCATTGTCCGACGACGAGCTTGTGTCAGGGCAGGCTGACGTTTGCCGATGTTGAGCCATATACGCCACGACACTTGGTCGCAGCTAGAATCACTGATGTCGAAGAACTTTGCGTATCCAACATAGTATCTAGAACGCGTGAGCATGATATCTATGAATTCCGCACGTTACTGACATTTTGCCTCCGGGCGCCAGTTTTGATTTAGTTGTTTGAATCAAGTCGTCCAGTTTTGAGGCGAATTGAACGTTCTCGATGGTGGACCGGGATTTGGATAGCTGTTGGTCACAGCTTGTGTAAAGATACGCCGAAAGATCGAAGCTGTATACACACAGGTTCAGGATACTGACAAGATCGGCATCGTTCCCTCCCTACTTGCGTCAGCCATAGGAATAGAACAGCGGAAGTATTTGCACACCGCCGACATGATGATAAACTGCTGTCCGGTCGAAAGCTTTTTGGCTTGATCTTTAACCTCACTCACCACTGCTCCACTGCAAGCGGTGTATGTAAAATCCAAAGTTTTCGGCTCAACGCCAAGTTGAAGAGCGACCAGATTCGCATAAGACCCATCGTATCGCGAGCAAATCCAACCTACTCGATTGCCGGCCCCTATGCCTGCAGCATAACTAGTAGGACACGGTCAGCTGCCAAGTGTTTCTGAGATCGCAAAGTTAGGCAGGATAAGGCTCTTACGAGTCGCCAATGGCCGCTCCTTTGGTATAGAAGCTGAGATCTTATGGATCCCGTGAGTCGGCAGCCGCGACAAAGCATCGCACCGTGAGCAGAAGAGCCAGACTGGTCAACAAGGCCATGGGTTGGCGGCGAAAGATGGTCGGTCTGGTGGTACATGATGGCGCGGGATGCCCCCATTGATAAAGTCCATCTTATCAAGCGGATTACCGTCGCAGAGGCGCTGTGCAAAGGCGCTTGCTGAAAACGACGAGACTGGTGCTGGACTGCTACTGTCAGAGGGAGGAGGTGGAGTAATTCGAAAAAGTGGGGCCATGAGCGGGTTGCGCCAATCGTGGCCTTTGACGCTTACTTGATCTAGTGGCGCCAGGCTAGGGGCTCCAATGTTGGCAGCGAGACGCTCAACCTCATCGTTCGGACATGGCTGGCCCCTCTCATATCAGCGAATACTTCCAACACGCTCCACTAATTCATTTGCGGTATCAGTGCTCATGTATCCAGCGCGTAGATGCTGGTATCAACAAAGGCGAACCATGACTTCCTATCTACCCCCAAAGCGCTTGCCTGCAAGGAGGCGGCGTATATTTCTATTCTCACAATAGGGCTGGCACATTGAAACGAGCACTGCCACATACCTACATACTGAATGCTACAACAGCTCTTATTGACTATTTGTAGGTCCATGGTGTGTTTCATGGAGAAACTGGGCATCAACCATATATTGCCAACTGCAAATGTACTTGCACGGGTATATCGCTACATGATCATACGGAAATATAGCACCGCATTGATACACCTGTTGTCTCCTTTGTTTTCTACTATCTGCTGTTTGAGAGTATTGTCCTATGGGTTCTTCTACTTGGTATTCGATTCTTTGGTTGCTCTCTATTTCTTTTCAATCACTTGCTCTACGGGCTGATCAACTTCGTAAGTTCCTTGTTGCTTTATCACAAACTTCTATGTAGTCCATGACTGACGTCTCGAAGAGCTTCGGATCAATGCGGCAGTTCATGCCTCTACTGGAAGAGGATTGGTCGGATCAATAGCTACAATCCGAGGACTGGACGAGTGGTCTGACGAGCAGATTGCCGATCTAGCATTTACGGCTCATGCAGCTATGATCGAAGAGTACACGAAGAGATTTCCGAGCTTTGCTGGCCTAGGAAAGAAGGCGCCCGGGGTGACCACGACTCTCATTGTCGACAACACGGCTTACATCTCGTCCTCGGCCAACTCTGCTGGAACATTTCTTTACCTCCCAAATGGCAACCGAGAAGGCTCGCGATTTACGCAGCTCAATCCGGCGCATCCTTGCAAAGGTTCAGTGGAGCAAGCCTTGACTCGATGTCAACTCAGAGCCGTCAACTCCGACACTGGCCACAGAACTGGTGCAAGTTGCGGAGAACCCATGGCGGCCCTAGCCTTCTGCGCAACCAACAACCAGCGTAGTCTTGACAACGCGAAGATCGTATCTATTACAGGAAAAGACAAGTACAAGATCGTGCCACCTTGTGGTCATCCAGATGGTCATTTGGTATGTCAGCCTGCCGTGTGGCGAAGTGCCTTACCATGAGCCTATTATCGACGGCTGACATGTCATGCAGACATACGATGGTGAATGGGGTTGTCATTCCTTCATTGAGGAGTTAGCAATGGGCATGCACGTCCTTTCGGCTGATACGGGCAGAACTGCAACGGACGTTTCAGACGATGATATCGCGATTTCGTATGCTACTTATCCTTAGCGGACTGCTTCTGCGATGTTCCTCGCTATACAGATTAATTTTTGCAGTACCCCTTTCTTATCAAGCTGCCGAAAAGCTTTCCAGATCATCTCTTGACTGGCAATGTCTTCTGACACTCAAATTTGTCAATTGACTAATCTTGTCATAACCACAGAGTGACGGTCTTCTAGCTTCAATGCTACCTACAATGCCGCATAGAGCATCCATGTTCAATACAAAATCATCCATTGAGAGCTCCCAAGCATTTGAGGATCACTTCCACAAGTCTTCGAGGTCTTCTTCGCCCGAAAACTCCATCCGCCCATCGCAACGCCTCGACCCTATTGCCTGCTTCTACGCCGACAGCTTCCATTGCGTTTGGAAGCCCGCGGTCTAAAAGCTGCCACGCGATCAAGAACGCCTTATATGCATACAAGATCAACCACGGGGGCTCTGACGTAGGCAGTACATCGTTGTCAAGATATCGAAGAAACCACTCGATATGTGGCTTGATCGAGTGTGCCGTCTCAGATTCAGAGCAGAACTCTGAAGAGGTGGCAATGAATGTAGCGTGCTCCAGGAATACATCCATACTACCCAACACGACGCCATTAGTGTGAGATATCCACCAGACAGGTAGCTCGATCATCGTCATCTCCCACGCCGCCAACGAGGATATCGATTGGCAGCATTGGGACGTCGGACTCGATCGTACGAAGGGCTCCAGTGCCACCAAAGACGATTTGAGGGGCTCGAATCTTTCCAGGCTCAATCTTCCGGTCATTATCGTCCAACCGGAGAGCTCCCTAGCACTCGAAAGCATGAACTGTGCAATGTTTATGGCTCCGCACGGATCAAAGCTCGGAAGAGAATCGATCTCTGGATTTGGAGCTAGAAACGCCCTCACAGCGTCGCCATACTTCACTTTCGCTGCACCTAAGACCAGTTGTCGATGAGCCCATTGTTGTGCAGAAGATGCCATCCAGCATTCAGCCGGGCAAGGAAGGTCATGTTTGATTTCGGGGTTCGACACCAATCGAGGGATGGAGAGAAACTGATACCACAAGGCGTCCACCTGATGAGCTGTCAAAATCGTACGCTTCAGCGATTCTGATGCGGCGAACTCGTGCCATAAAGAATCGAGATCCTCTGTCGTGGTAGACTCAGTGTTCGAAGGTTGCATCAAGCCCGCAGCACGCGCAAACGAGACCATGCGGTGGTGCAACTCAAAGCCGATACAGGAGTAATCTCCACAAATGTATAGAATGGCACAAAGTTGCAGCATCAGCAGTGATTGAACTACGCTGAGGTCCACGGATGGATTGTTGCTCGCAAGTGCCATGGGTCCAAGATAGTTGCGAGCCTGCTCAAAACACCTCAAGGATAGGTCTGCTCCTGTCCCGGACATTGCATCACGGTCAGGGTCCTCTCCATATTGGTATGCAAGGCTTAGCATACTGAGAGTCAAGTGTGGAGCGACAAGACTTGCGTCGAATGTCGGCCTGTGGAGAAAAGGTATGAACGGCGAGACATATTCGAAGTATAGGTTATACCCATTTGAGATCTGCGAGCGGGTTGGAAACCACTTCACCTGAGCAATCGACTGGTCGATACCATGGGCAGCGCCGGACATCTTGTGTCGAAAATCCTCGTCATCAAAAGACTCAACAGTGCTGCTCTGCTGAAGGACTAGGTCCATCTCATCGTCTCTCTGTCCGGATGAAGAGTGCCAACTATCCGGTATCGTGGCCGGGGATGCACTGGAAGAGGCATGCGACGCAGCGTCGTTATCCCACGCCGCATTTTGGCGACTGTTCGACCGATGAAGACGTCCGAGTGGTTTCTGCCCGGCATCAAGATGCTTCTTTTTTACATGTCGTTGCCGCAGATCTCCACGAGAGAATGAAGCAGGGCACCATTCGCATGGGAACTTATTGCTCTGTGGGTTGGGTCTGGATCACGTGTAAGTCATTGTGGAGTGTGAGAGAATGCGATCATGGCTTACAGGTGAATCGATGAGTGTCGTTTGAGGTTCTCCCTTCGTGTGAATCCTGGTGGGTACACTCAGCGTCCTATCAATACTGCAATGAAGGTCCACTATCATACCTCGTTGACAGATGGAGCACTCGAATGGCTGCTGCGAGGCCTGGTCCCGAACACCCACGAACGAAGATATCAAAGACATTATGCACTATGAATAATGGTTTTTGCCCATCAACCGTCGAGGATGGAGAGGTCATCTACCCCACGATACCGAGTACGCGGCGTCTGTATCCGCGGCAAGGATGAGTGACGGCAACTGACGGCTTTTGCTTTCGATAAGGAGGTCAGATAGGCCAAGGCCAGAATTTCCACTTGACGAACGAACGAGTGCTGATTGCCATTTCTTCACAGCCTCTTATCGGTCATTCGATTTTGCTTATCTACATGCTCATCATCCTCTAAACACCGCCACCCTCACTGCAGCACACTCAAACTGGAAGACAGACTTTCACTCCCAGGTATTCCCGCTGATGCATGAGCTTTCCGTCGATGAGTACCTGATCCGCCCCGACGCGGTTTCGAACAGTGTCTGTGGGATCTGTCGCAGTGGCAATCTGGATTTCACGCCACTCGCGGTTTGTCGGCACAAGCTTGCCCGCTGCTGTGCGCTCTTTGAACTCTTTGTACACTCCTTGCTCTTCGACACAGCCTTCACGTTGGATTAGAGGCGAAGCTGCGGCCAGGTCAGTACAACTTTCAAGGGGGAGAGGCGTTTCCGATGTTACTCACAAGCAACCGGCGACATGCGCAAGTCACCGACTGAACTGTTGAAAAGGACCAGTGACAGTCGATCTGAGTTTCTCTGATCAACCGGAGGCTTGAAAACACGATGACGAGTCGCCTTGAAATGACCTCCAGAGACAATCTCCAAGGTGTCTCCAATGTTGATCACAAGGGCACCAGACTTATACGGGACATAATACCACCTTGGTACGGTCAGCCTTGATCTCAAGAAAGACAAGGAGGAATGCGACCACTTACTTCTCATCACGACCCCAGATCTGCAAGCATGAGATCGGGACCGAGAACAACAAAGTCGTCAAACCGAAATCGGTATGGCCGTGCATTCGAAGCCCCTTGGAAGCCTCCGCGGTCTGCTTTTCAACCGGCCGGAAAAGCGCATGGCGAAAGTAGCCTTCTCCTGTAGGACCTCCATGAGACTGAACATTATTCCAGAGGTAGTCGTCTGGAAGCTCCAACACTCGCGAGAACAGAGTCAGGAGTCTCCGGTTGACTGACTTGGTGAGGTAGTTGCTGAATGACTCGATCTCGTCCATGAAAGGGTGCAGACAGGTTGGCACCCGGTTCAGATCCTCCCAGTCGCGTTTGTACCAATTGAACTGCTCGATGCCATCTGGGATTGCACGATGACGCTTGAACGTACAGAGATTAGCCAGGGATGAACGTGGACTTCAGCGTTGACTTACCTTGAAACCAAAAGGATGTTTGTATCCAGACCAGCGGCCGGTGTCAGGGTCGAAAAGGAGCCGTTCTTTATCCTCTTCGCTTATGTTGGAGTACAGATACTGGGCGAGAGCAAATTGTCGGTGCAGCTTCGCCAGGTCAGCATTGGCCTTTGAACAGCAGTAGAGCGGCTGACCTGTTCCAAGGAGACGCCATAATTCTCGAGGAACAGGAACCCATCATCGCGAATCGCCGTCTTCACCCGTTGGATGAGATTATTGACAACAGCCGGATCATCAGAATCAAGCAGAGACAGATCGATTGACTTCAGTTGTGCGAAGTTCTCTTTCTCGTTTGTCACTGGTGGAGGAACCCATTCGGGTACGAAAGGTTTGCCAGGTAAGTCTGATGATGGAGGGTTGAAAAGAGCGGAGGGGGCCATGATTGTGGGAAGTACTGTGTTGGAACAATAGCGCTGCGCTCTACCTGGAGCTGTGGAATACCGTATTTATAAGTCAAACCTGAGTTGGAGCCTTTGGGATCTCACATCACATCTTTCACCATCGACCGGTCCCACGAGCTCCTCCGCCGGTGGACAGAGCTGTGTTGATCGCACGACCTTAAACGATCATGAGACTTTACCCAAATCTCGCTTATTGCCGACAGGTCTTCCTATCTTACTACTGCATGTGAAAGTGTTGAGAGCACGATAACATGGTTCCACCAGAACTCAGGCTAGCAATCACTCCCCAACAAGGTACCAGCAGCTACGCATAATGATTCCGTGACCTTAACCCGATGATGTCCACTCCCAGCCAGCAAGGACCGTCATTGGTTGTAGATAGATCCGTCACTCAGGTACCATTAGTGTTGTTCTGAAAGGGGTTTGAGAGGAGTGATTAAGGCCAAATGGCAAGGGCGTTGTCTATGAGAGGAGGAG